CACCTCTCCCTTCAAGATGGAAGAATGTGAGGTCTGTGCTATAGCCAAGACAACTATGTTGCAAATCAGCATGTGATGATTAGTCATCAGCACATAGAAGCAATCTCAACCACAAAGTAAACCGCAGGAAGCAAAACCGCAAACCGCAAACCGCAAACCGCAGCCTGTTCCCACCATTTGCCCCTTCCCAGAAAAGTATATATAGCAGGCCATCAGGGTCTGATCTTCTTTCTCCTCTCATGTACTACTTTACTTTTATGCAAGCAACCAGATACATAGTCTTACGCAAGAGATAACAACAGTCAACTTCATCAAAGGAACAGCTACACCATCAGCTTAGGCTGATATCACAACAAACTAGGCTTACCTTTGGTGACATCTCCGTGGCAGCTCAAGAACCACTGGAGATAGTACACTCAGACATAGCAGGGCCTCTCAAGCCAGACTTCAATGGGAACATCTACTATATCACCTTCATTGATGACTTGACAGGCTTGACCTGCATAGGAGGTCTAAAGACCAAGACAGCAATGGATGTCCTAGGATGCTTCAAGAACTTTATGAAGATCACAGAACTGGCTTTCAACAGGAAAGTGTAGTGTCTGAGGACAGATAGTGGTGGAGAGTATCTGGGAGGCATGAAGCCTTACCTGCAGCTACATGGGATAGTTCACCAGGTCACCACGCCATACACACCTCAACTCAATGGCACAGCAGAAAGAGCAAACAGGACAATCAAGGAGATGTGTTCCTCCATGCTTATTGCTGCCAAGATGGACCACAAGTGGTGGTTCCATGCCATGCAATATGCTTGCACCCTCATCAACATGGGCAAGCAATATCAATGGAGATCTCTGGAGGAGATCATGTGGAAGCATAAGCCAGGATATGGCCAACTTCAACCCTTTGGAACAGAGTGCTGGATCAGGGTACCCAAGGAGGGTAGACTCAAGAATGATCTCACCACCAAGAAAGCAATCAAGGGCAAGCTGCTGCATCCAAACATCACTGGAGCAGGCTACCTTGTTGTCATACAAGAAGAAGGAAGAGATGTCACCCTTACCAGCAGGGATGTTGTGTTCAGGAGGCCAGAGGGAGCTAGTGAAGGGAACACTACTCCACTGGGAACATCACAACAACATCAAGGGCATCTTCCTGACCAACAGTATAGAGGTACAAAGTCACCTAATACTGAGGATGCCTCTGAGGACAAGGAAGATCAAGAAGATCAAGAACCTCAGAAGGAAGCATCACCACCAGTAGTCAATGGCCCATAAGATCAGCCATTGGACTATAGGGATCCTTCACCTCAGATAGAAGAATCAGGGTAAGAAGAAGACTCTGATGATGAGGATCCCATGCTACTCAAGCCCAGGGGACCTATCAAGAGAAGGTCACCCAGGCTGAACAGCATGCAAGAGATGGCAATGGCTAGTGTCCACTCTGCAGAGACATAGGAAGACCCTCAGTCATACAGGGCTGTTGTGAAGTAACAACTAGATCCACCAAGGTTGGCTACTTGATGTACCTAGGCAATAGTAATGGTGTGTTACTAGTGCTGATCTTGTCTTGTTGTGAAGATGAATCAATGTTGCTTGCATAAAAGTAAAGTAGTACATGAGAGGGGAAAGAGAAATGAGACCCCAATGGTCTGCTATATATGCTATTCTGATGAGCATGTCCCCTAGTAGACTTGCGACTAGAGCAGTCGCATAATTGCGACTCTGGTCGCATATTGCGTCTCCAGTCACGTATTTGCGACTCCAGTCACAAATGACATCACCAATATGCGACTCCAGTCGCATATGTGTGTCTCTGGTCGCATAAGTGTGACTCCAGTCACATAAGTGCGTCTCCAGTCACAACATGTGATCCTGGTCACATGTTGACCCTTTGTGCTTGAGATTGCACCTTTGAGCATCATCAATGATGTCATAGCATGCCAATTTTCAACAAGGGCAGCCATGCAAGATCCAAGGTCTGACTTGTGGCATGAAGCCATCAACAAGGAACTCAAGTCAGTCAAGGATACTGGAACTTGGCAAGACGTCAAAGTTCCAGAGGGAGCTAGCTTGGTATGTTGTGATATTAGCCTAAGCTGATGGTGTAGCTGTTCCTTTGATGGTGTTGGTCAATGCTGTCTCTTGTGTGAATGACTATGTATCTGGTTGCTTGCATAAAAGTAAGGTAGTACATGAGAGGGAAAAGAGAAATCAGACCCAAATGGCCTGCTATATATACTTTTCTGGGAAGGGGCAAATGGTGGCAACATTGAACGATATCGGTTATTTGGCAAACAATATCTGTTGTTCAGTGGTCGAACAATATCGGTTGTTTGGCGAACAATATCGGTGATTTATTTCAAATCCAATCCTTCTAGCACTTGCTAGAATGTTCAGTGCCTTTCGCTTCCTTTTTGCTTCCTGCTTTGCTTCCTGCTTTGCTTCCTGCTTTGCTTCCTGCTTTGCTTCCTGCTTTGTGGTTGAGATTGCTTCCTCATGTTGATGACTAATCATCACATGCTGATTTGCAACACAAGTTGTTCCCCTGATCCTTTACACAGGGAATACAAAAGGCAATTACTCCTCAAAGTCTCCAGGACAGCAGCCCTCCTATCTGACCTAACAATCTGAGGGCTCAACCAAACAGCATCGACGGACTCTGGACTGGCTGCATTTTGCTACTAAGGACCAACCTTTGTGTCTATTGGTAACGGTCGTGATGATGGCAAAATTGTTGACTTTGCAAGCTTGCAGCATGAACAATGTGATAGATGAGCCATGGCTTGCTGTGAAGTGACAACTAGATCCACTAAGTCTGGTTACTTGATGTACCTAGGCAATAGTAATGGTGTGTTACTAAAGGTCATCTTGTCTTGTAGTAAAGACGAATCAATATTGCTTGTTTCAAGATAAAGCAGTACATGAGGGGAGAAAGAGAAATCAGGCCCAAATCTGCTATATTCACAATTCTGATGAGCATGTTCCACTAGCAAACTGACACCTCCTTAGTTGCACAATTGCAACCCCAGTTGCATATTTGGGACTCCAGTCAGAAATGACACCACCAATTTGCAAATCCAGTTACAGAGGTGTGACTGTAGTCACATGTGACAAAGATCCCATGTTGACTCTTTGTGCTTGAAATTGCACTTTGAGCATCACCTATAATGTCATGGCATGCCAATCTTCTGTTCTAGTGGTGCGCGCTCGTCGGACTCATATTGTGCCAACTCCGGCAGAGCTGTTTAAGGAGCATATTGTATTGTGTTTTTTCTAGTGTTGAAGATTGGCATGCTATGACATCATAAGTGATGCACAAGGTGCAATCTCAAGCACAAAGGGTCAACATGTGACCAGAATCACATGTTGTGACAGGAGACACACTTATGTGACTGGAGACATACTTATGTGCTTGGAATCACACTTATGCAACTGGAGATATCCTTATGCGACTGGTGTCACATATTGGTGATGTCATTTGTTGCGCGTCCCAATCTTCTGCCGCTACTAGCTCAGCACACTCAGCCTTTTTGTCTGTGTCTAAAGTGTTGGCCAGAGGAATCACAGGGTTAACTGGACGCTTGTAGATGTGCTCCACAGAAACTAATGCGTTGCTCTTGGAGAACAGGACTACGGCCAATCGCTCCCCCTGGCACGGCATGATCTCATGCATGGCAATGGCGGATCAGAAGGTGATCATGTCTTCTACCTGGTATCATACATGGTAAGGCCTTCCATGATGTGAAGGATGAGATTGCCTCTATTGTAGTTGCGCCACTTGGTCATAGCCACCAAACCGAGCTTGTCGTCACCATGATTCAAATGTCGGTTACCCTGAATGTTACAAAGCACTGCCAGACCATGAAAGAAGGTCAGACCAAAGATCTGGAAAGCTTTGCTCCATTGTTGTACTTTGTCAATGACCTGCTGACTCCGCTAAGCTAATTCAGCGTCAATGGAACGAATGGCATCGTAGCTTGTTGCGGCAATCCATCCCCAACAATCTCCCAGAAATTGCTAAATGGCATTGACTTTATAGCAACCCAAGGTCATGTTGGACGATAGGCAGATGGCTGGAGAAAGTTATGAAGAGGTTGGCACACCGCATGACATCTAGCTTTGGGCCTTCTCTACTCACTCTCAGGTTTGTGTCCTAGGGGAATTCAATAGGCAAAATGAAAGACGCCGCACCAAGAGGGAAGGTCGAGCCATCGCATTTTATTGAGGGTATGGTGTCAATTATCATAATCGTGTTCCTTGAGAGCCGGAAGGGCAGTGGTCATGACTCTAGCCTGGAACACAGCCTCAACGTTAGGCGAGTCTGGGACTCTGCGGAGAATTGAACTTACCTGTTGCCTCTTCTTTGCAAAAACCCTCCTCGTTGCGGGGAGTTACTAGGTTCATGACAGGCACACTACGGGATTGTAAAGGTGCAACTGCAATCACAACTTGTGACCAGAAACACAAGTTTTGCGACCACAGTCACGCGTCTGTGTCTGCAGTCACATTTGTGCGAACTGAGACGCATCTTTGCGTCTACAGTCACACATTCGCGTCTACAGTCACATATTTGCGACTACAGTCACACATTTGCGACTACAGTCACACATTTGCGACTACAGTCACACATTTGCGACTACAGTCACACATTTGCGACTACAGTCACATGTTCATGCTATTTCCTCGGATTGTACATATATATAGGAGTCCCCAGAGGAGGATTGGGTCATCCCTTTTCTCTTTCATGAGGACTCAGACCTCTTATCACTAGATTCATTCCCATTACCTTTACCTTTCACTTCATCCCTTTCACCCTTTCCCTTTCCAACTTCACCTCTTCAACATCAACAAGGACTAGCTACCCTTGTTGCATAACAAGCAAAGGATATCAAGAACCACCAAATAGGACACTGTTGAGACAACTGCGACATATCTGGTTATAAATTCAGTTGTGAGATTCGCTCCTCTCCCACGTAAGAATCGGCTTACTTCACAGGGATGATGCACTATTTGGCAACAACTCAGCAGGTTTCACGGTTTGGAGCCAAATCCTTGGCAGAGGTAACATCGGCTGCCACCCAAAACTTGGCTACCAGTATACATTGCAACATTGGAAGCGAGATCACAAAGAAGAGCACAAAAGCTGGCAAAGCCTGGTACAGGTACGTTCACCCACCTGGATGGCAAGTTTAGTTAACCGCAGGCGTAACATAGCACTGATAAGCTCCGTCTCTCCGTCTCAATGTCGTTCTCACTGCTCAGCAAGAATCCAGGCAATGGACCTTCATTCATGCAGTACGCAACTGAACTTGCAGGAGATACACAAGGTCTCTTCATAGACTTCTGGTCGGACTTACTCAAGGCACTCGCAAACAGTTTGAGAATCACCCCAATTACAAGCTTTTTGCCCCCCTTTTCTTTGACACAATCGACATGATCAACCTGAGAGTCATTTTTGTCCACAACCAGGACGTCTGCCGTCTCCTGACTCAGAACAGGGGGAATCTCATGAAGCAGGCGTTGAGGATGATGGTGGTGACTTCATGAGTTGCTGGATTTGAAGGATTGTTGTAGCCAAGGACAATCGTCTAATAATCTGCCGGTTTGACTGCGGGTATATGGCTTATTGCCCCGATCTGACAAGGCTCCCTCATGAGCTCAACGTCTTGGTGGTGTGCAAGGTTCGTTTATTGGTCGCAACAGCTGGCGCCGCAGAGCATAAATGGGACCTAGGTGTAGCAAAAGCCGTTTTGAAGGAGACGGAAGACAGATTCAGGGAACTGGGGCTCAACCAACGGTTTCAGGTAAGTGTGTCAGTCTGTTTTGCTCTGTCCGACAGTGGCTGAGTCTGCCGTGTCGATACATTGGAACAGGCCCGACTAAGTGAATACTTAGTACTGCAAGAAGGGCTTTACAGTTTGTCTTGCTGTAGCGCCTCTCTTTGGCCCGGCATCCCTCATCCCTGTAATGAGCAATAAGGCGTTCTTTGATCACATGCTGGACCAAGTAATGGGGGAGAGAATGTTCCTGGTCCATAATTGCACCCTCAATGCAGCACTGTGAGCAGAAGGGAAGCCCGGTAGTGACAAGAGGCTAGAACAGCTTGAAATGACTGTCAAACCGGTCGGGGCTCCATTGGTTGGGAGTTCCTTGACCAGAGGTTCCTCATCTACCACTGCTTCACTGCCTTGTCTGAGAGGAATGCTGGTTGGGGATGAGATGTGGCAACACTGGTTCTTGACTAGAAGGGAAGGTTGTGTGTCACCGAGTCAGTCTGCCGCCTTCAACAATCCGCAGATGAGCTGGTGGATGCTGCGGCTTGAGCCACAGAAGGTTGTGCTTGCATGCAGGACTCCCAACAAATCTACCCTGTATACACATCTCAATTGACTTCAAAGCAGGTCTTGCTGTGGCTGGCCAAAGTGACCACTGCTACAGCAGGAGAGGATGAGTGCGGTAACAGCTGGTTACAGGTGAGCCGTTCTCAAGAAAACATTGGAGCAGCAAGTCACTTCTGTCCTCCTTGGTTTGGACAGGCTGATCATGTGTCGGGATTGCAATCGAGTGGGGTGTGTTGGGACTGCAATTAAGTGGGGATCGTAGATAGGGAGTGTGCAATGCACCATTATAAAACGCTGGACGGGCGTATTCTTCTGGTGAGATCCTTACCATAATTGCATGTCCCTTTTTCCTTGCGTACATGTTCTTGAGTGCAGGGAGTCAAGATCAAATTGACAGATCCAAGTCTGACTACGGTCGGGTTGTTGATTCCGGCGCAGCTTTGTTGCATCCTTTATTCTTGGCAAGACTTCAGCAGTGGGTTGAAGACAGCCACAGTGTGATGTTGGCTCCATCTCCAGTGAGTCAGCTCCAAACAGCTCGCACAAAATGCATTGATAGTGACTCTGTCAACAGAATTTGGCCAGACTTGGTAACACTTTGGGATCTTACTTGACAATCAACAATCAAGCTGGTGACTTCCAGAGCCCTCATTTTATCGAGTTGCAAAACACTATCGCCGCTACGATCACGCTTCAGGTCAGTCTAGTGCAATGTTTTGTTCTTGCAACTGGGACTGACAGCCGCATGTTATGCTATTAGGTGTCAGCCACAAAAACCATGGAGGAGGTGCTGTGGAACCCTTACAATGCAGATTATATCATCTCTTGCCACTACACCGTAATGACAAGGATGAATCAAGCAGCAGGCGAAAGCTCTAGGTCGATCCTGCTCTCTTGGCAGGGCTGAAGATGAGACTATATCCCCGGTCCACCATCCATTTGTTTATGCAGAACCTGAGAATAGTCGTTAGTAACAAACTTTCCCTACCATACCTGTGTGGAACGTCAAACACCAGTGCAGTATTCCAAACAGCGGTGTCGCATGACTTTGGAATAGAACGAAATGTCATTTGAAACATCCAATATGCGAGTGATTGGGTCAACTGGGAACCAAACTTAACAATGATTTAACCAAACCCGGAAATGGAGGAGTCCAACTCAAGTCTTCACAACCAATTACTGAGCTTGAAGCAGACCTTTAGTATGACCTGAGAAGGCCTGTATTGACTGTCCTAGACTTTTTTGCCTGGCTACCTTGACCTTCACTCCTCCAGTATCAACATGTCCTCAACAAGGCGAACCATGTGTCAAGCAGTTTCAATTGCCTTCTGCGGGACTCCAGGTGAACGTCCTAAGAAGCATTCCACCTGGACCGCCACTTCCAATGCAGCCCCTTCGACTCCCTCACACAACCGTTCCCCAAAGGCTGAGCGAATATGATAGGTCTGACTGAGACAGGTCAAAACCTCTGACCTTTTACTGGATGGGTCTTTGAGAGCTTTGCGCAGCCGGCTATGCACTCGAGCAGGCGTTGATGAATTGGAATCGGTTGTGGTAAGCAAAGAGACATCGTCTAGAGGTGTCTGCATAAGCAGTTGCTGACGCAATTCCTAGTTTTCCTCCATCACCGAGTACAAATTCTGTTGCAGGTCGCTCGATCTCCAGCCTTGCCGCTTCCAATTCTAAGGCATGTTTGTCCTGCTCCTTTTGAGCGTCCAGTGTCCGCGTCCCACTCTCAGGACTACCAGCCAGTATGTCATCGAGCTTGTCTAGTACTAGGGAGGTCTACGTGTCATCGTTCCGCTCACTTGCTGTGGGTTGATGCTTGATGTCCAGCAGGGTTGCCCACATTCCAAGGATTATGGCTAGGAGCAAACGACACAGGCCTGTATCTGTAGAGGCGTTGGTGTTGTGGTACGAGAATCGAGAAGCTGGCCTGAGTATGAAACCTCCAAGGGTGTTGTAACATCAGCCTAAGCTGATGGTGTAGTTGTTCCTTTGATGGTATTGACTGATATTATCTCTTGTGTGAATGACTATGTATCTGGTTGCTTGCACAAAAGTAAAGTAGTACATGAGAGGGGAAAGAGAAATCAGACCCAAATGGTCTGCTATATATGCTATTCTGATGAGCATGTCCCCTAGTGAACTTGCGACTAGAGCAGTCGCATAATTTCGACTCTGGTCGCATATTGCGTCTCCAGTCACGTATTTGCGACTCCAGTCACAAATGACATCACCAATATGCGACTCCAGTCGCATATGTGTGTCTCTGGTCGCATAAGTGTGACTCCAGTCACATAAGTGCGTCTCCAGTCACAACATGTGATCCTGGTCACATGTTGACCCTTTGTGCTTGAGATTGCACCTTTGAGCATCATCAATGATGTCATAGCATGCCAATCTTCAACAATCACTCTGGATAAAAAGGAGAAGCCAAAGGCACTGGCTTCAGAGGGAGTCAGATCTACCAGGACTGAGGTAGCCACTCCAACTTCAGCAGAGGTCAGCCTATACCTCCAACTTGTCAGGGAATATCAATCCTGGATGGACAAGGATCAGAGGGTCATGGGAGTGCTCAGGATGACTCTATCTCATGGAATCAAGATGGAGATAGAGCACTGCACCTGTGCAAAGGACATCTGGGACAAGCTTGTCCAGATCCATCAACTCAATGCCAAGGAGTACCAAGCAGACATTCAGGAGGAACTGCATGGACTTAGCATGACAGAGGGAGATGATCCCATGAAGTTGATGGAAAAGTTCAGCTCTGTCCTACTCAAGGCTGAGACTGCAGGCATCAAGATGGACATACAAGACAAAGCAGTCATCTTGCTGAGGAGCTTGCCAGTCTCTTATGCTGGACTCAAGGACAGGTGGAACATGAAGGTTGACATGAGCAGGATCATGAAACTTCCTGAACCCACCTTTGAAGACCTCAGGGCCATGTTCAACGCACATGTGACTGAGATGGGCAGACAAGACAAAAGGATCTTTGCTACTGCCATGATGGTCAAATCTGGCTACAAAGACAAAAGGGTCTGCTGGAACTGTGGAAAGGCTGGACATTCCAAGAGGGAATGCAGGCAAGGACAGATAGGTGATGGATACACCTACAGAAACCAGGACTATGCCAACAACAGGAAGCCAGGAGCTTACAACAGGAGGCATCAAGAAGGAAGAGACCTGGATGACCTTGCTGCCCTGCACAGGAACATGGCAGGGTAGAGGACGGGATAGGTCAGGTAGACCTTAGCACGCAATCTTAGGAGGAAAGGATCGCCCTCAGCAAGGATTGGTGCAAACCATCTTGGAAGTCGAAAAGTTACTCCATCCTTTTCAGGATGCGGCTCACTCCAAGATGTGAACTTGGTTTCAGGATTTGGATACGGTATGGATCTATCAAGAAAAGACAAAACACCAAAAACAGTCTCGGGTCAAAGATACAGGCTTTGAGCTTGAGCTTGAGAGGGAGTGTTGAAGATTGGCATGCTATGACATCATTGATGATGCTCAAAGGTGCAATCTCAAGCACAAAGGGTCAACATGTGACCAGGATCACATGTTGTGACTGGAGACGCACTTATGTGACTGGAGTCACACTTATGCGACCAGAGACGCACTTATGCGACTGGAGTCGCATATTGGTGATGTCATTTGTGACTGGAGTCACAAATACGCGACCAGAGACGCAATATGCGTCTGGAGATGCAATTATGCGACTGCTCTAGTTGCAAGTCTACTAGGGGACATGCTCATCAGAATAGCATATATAGCAGACCATTTGGGTCTCATTTCTCTTTCCCTTTTCATGTACTACTCTACTTTTATGTAAGCAACCAAGCAACCAGATACATAGTCATTCACACAAGAGACAGCATTGACCAACACCATCAAAGGAACAGCTACACCATCAGCTTAGGCTGATATCACAACAAACATGCTTATCAGAATAGCATATGTAGCAGGCTATTTGAGTTTCTTTCTCTTTTCCCCTCCCATGTACTACTTTACTCTCATATAAGCAAGCAGATATAGAGTCATTTCCACAAGAGATAGTATCAGTCAACACCATCAGAGGAACAGCTACACCATCAGTGTAGGATGATATGATAACGATCCTGCATCGCCTCAGCCTACCCAGATATTATCAGCAATTTGATGCCTGCTGCTGCTGCCGGCGTGTGAACATGCTACTCACTTGACTACTGTCAGCAAGGCGTCATTGATGATCTTTTCCTTCTTGGACTTTGTCCAATGTTGTGTGATGATAATCTCCCTAGCTATATATACGTATCCAGAACAATACCCAAGACAGAAATAATAGCAAAGTGACAACAGTTGAGGCTGACATGACAGGACAAAAACAGATGTATGTTGTTGCACCAGGTCTGGCAGGTGCAGTGAATCCGTTTTTCCATTAAATTGAAGAGTAAGCAGCAAAACTGGGATGATTGTATCTATGTACTAAATGTAACTGCTGTCCCTCTTGTCAGTCATGTCTGATGTCTGTCAACTTGAAAATTGCAAGTGAGTCCTTCTATTATACCTGGCCACTTGCTTTCAGGGCCTAATATAAGGCTCAGCAAGTGGCTTGCGGGCCCTTGAGGTAATAAGGTTGCGGGACTGGGGAAAGGTAACGGTAGGTATAGTAATGTAATAACGGATGTCTAAGTAATACCTTATGTCTAACTACTACAAGGTACTAGTTAGACATCTACAACAACGTCTCCTACAATGCCTACCTGCAATAGCAGCTTGTATTATCCTCCTGAGAGAATTGATCAAGAGCATAATTCAGCAGCAAGTCAAAGCCGCACAGGTCAAAAGACCTCATACCCACTGGGTAAGTATGGAGAAATGTCATTGAAGCATCTCAAACCCTGTGCCATGTCTGATCGTCTGTCTGATAATGTCATCACCATGCGCAGTCATTTAGGAAACACTGTCACGTTCTGGAAACAGCAGCAAAGTGATCGGCTTTCAGATGGCCACTGTACCACTGTGCGATGTCTTAGCAATCCCCGTTCAAAGGCTGGCTAAGCATGCTAGGTTGCTCGTTCCACATATTACGAGCCGGAGGCCATGACTTCGAGCTGGAACGAGTTCGCAGCGTAACGGATGGCATCACGTGATCCCGGTGCATCGATGACGTCGCGGCTACGTACAGGATCGGGGAACGACGTCGATGGCCGATGGAGTGGGATCGACTCAGTAGATATAGGAACAATCCCCTGCGACCGTGACTCCGCGGCCTGTCGATACCTTCTCATCTATCGATTGGCTAGTCTTCATCCCCAACGAAACGTCTGCGTTCTTCAAGCACCAGATCAATATGCTCGATCTGCCGCCAACAACATCGCCCTTGACGGGGAAGCCCGTTCCTGCCGATTTCATACATGCATCCACCTTGCATTTCCAGGACAATGCCGGTCGCACGCTTCTTTTGCGAGGTGTTAACTTGAGCGGATCGACCAAGTGTCCGAAGGGCCATCCTCAACAGCTCGGGGATGATCTATGGGATTCTGCAGAGGGCGGGGCTGACCTGAGCTGGGTTGGCATGCCATTGAATCTGGAGGATGGTAGCGCTGATGTGAGTATTCCGTGGCATACACTTTTCGATCAGCCGAGACGATTCCGATGGGTGCAACTGGCTCTGACGATGTATATCCCATATAGATTCATCTGGGTCGACTGCGCGCGTGGGGTTGGAACGCTTTGCGTTTCGTGTTCACATGGGAGTCCATCGAACATGCGGGACCTAAGCAATACGACTACGAATACATCGATTACATAGTCAAAGTCCTCCTTCGTTGCGGCGACTATGGCTTTCGAGTATTCATGGACCCGCATCAGGACGTGGTGAGTAGATTCGCTTCGGTGGGAATAGCATTGCGTATCTTGGCTTTAATTCGAAACAAACCACCTATTGCGCCGCAGTGGTCTCGGTTCTCGGGCGGATCTGGCGCACCCATTTGGACTTTACATGCTTGCAACCTACAACCTCGAAACTTTCCTAAAACGTATTCAGCTCTACTTCAACCTTTCTATGTCGATCCGAGAGCCGAAGAAACGGAAACGACCTCGCCCACCCAATTTCCAGCCATGATATGGTCCACCAATTACGACCGTCTTGCAAACTTGACCATGTGGACGTTGTTTTTCGCTGGACGTGATTATGCCCCCAAATGTCAGATTGACGGCATGAACATTCAAGACTGGTTGCTCTCGCACTTCCTCGGCGCTGTAGGTGCTCTGGCTTCTGCTATCGCCCAAGCGGACAACGGAAGTCTGATGGAACGGGTGGTGATCGGCTGGGATAGCATCAATGAGCCAGCCGAGGGATTGGTCGGCCGGAGTGACCTCTCCAATGTCGATCATTCACAAGGCAAGATGCATAAGGGGCCCACAACATCTGTGCTCCAAGAATTCAAACTGGGAATGGGAATGAGCATCACGGACGCCGAATATTGGATCGTTGGCGCTCTAGGCCCAAGTCAAAAGGGTACGGTCGATCTCAATCCTCAAGGGGTCAAAGCCTGGATGGATAAAGCCGAAGATGATAAATGGCAACAACGTTGGGGGTACAAGCGGGGTGATTCATGGTCGGCCGGTCGATGCAGTGAGTGGTCCTCTCTTTTATGATTGCCAATCGTCAGAGATTAACACTATCACTCTAAAGTCTGGGCGCAACATGGTGTATGGGATCTAGAAAGCGAGATGATCAGCAAGCCAGATTACTTTTCTCGAAACCCAAGCAAGCAGGGCAAAGTCGACTTCGAGGCGGATTACTGGTTGCCTCATTTTACCGCTTACATCGAACGAGTGAGGAGCCACCATCCCGAAGCTATCGCCTTCGTGCAGCCTCCCGTGTTTCACGAGCCGCCGCGCATCCCCTCCGCTCAACTGGGACATCGAGCCTGTTATGCGCCGCATTTCTATGACGGCCTGACGTTGATAACCCGGCACTGGTGGTGGTTCAACGCAGAACCCGTTGGTCTGCTCCGAGGCAAATATCCGACCCTGGCACAGGCTCTCAGCCTTGGAGAAGGACGTGTCAGGAATAGCATGGCTTGCAGCCTGAGGATCCTCAAGGACGACGTCAAACTCTTCGGACCCGGAAACGAGATGCCCAGCTTGGTAGGGGAGATCGGGATCCCTTTCGATCTGGTGGGTATTAGGTCTGAACAAATATGTCGCTCTGCAGCAGAATTGATCAAATGCATGTTCGAACAGGATGACCGCAAGGCGTATGGTTATTGCGAAGGAGGTATCGGGCAAGGCGATTACACCAACCAACAAAGAGCACTTGACGCTTCGCTTTCAGCGACAGACAATGACAACATGCTGAACTGGACGCTTTGGACTTATTGTCCAGACAACACGCATGAATTCGGCGATCAATGGTGAGCTTGTCGTTGGCGAACCTCTTCGTGGCGCTCGCGGCTGATATTCTCACGTATCTCTACAGGAACATGGAGGACCTCTCGGTCTGGAGCGCGGATGACGTCGTTTCTGAGCGTTACGCGGGAGCATCTGCGAAGACGGAGTCGAGTTCGGGATCGACTTCGGCCGCATCATCTACCGCTCTTCTAGCTACGGCAACCGAAAGCCAAAACTCGGCCGGCAAGCCCGCTTCCAAACACGTTGAACCGTCGACGTTGTCTGCGCCCGCTGTCGTAGCCCTTTATGACAGGCTGCGGGATCGTGTATCGCCCGAGGCTATCCGCAGTGGGAGCAGGATACCCCCTGAGCTACTTTTGAACGGTGCTCGTGCGATCGGCGCATTTTGCCGGCCGTACCCAACGGCAATGGTGGGCACACCCCTTAAGATGGCATTCGATATTCGGACCAGTCGGTTCGAGATGGAAATCGAAGTCGATGCGCGTACGCCCACGAATACTTCAACTTACACCGAGCTCTATGTGCCATTCGTGCATTATGCTCTTGATTCTGATGCCATGTCTGTTGACGCTGCCGGCACACGCGGTGCCGATGGCCCGGTCCAGGCGAAGGTGCAGCATGACGCCAAGGATGGCTGGTCGCAACAGAGCTCGGCGAGTCAAGAGCTCGATATCTCGGTCAAGATTAACGAGGGTCGTTACGAAATACACGGGCAATACCTGAGGTGGTTCTATGAGCCCCCTAGTGCAGGAGCCAAGGTGATGCGGTTGAGCTTGCGGCGGAAGAATGGGCCTATTGCCGCTCGAATGGAACAGAGCATTCCCAGCTGGGGCGATCTTTGCCCGGTTGGAAAGGAATCGTGTAGCATCATGTAATTACATTCAGAAACCAATCTGATCGTTACATCATTTGAGTTGTGCTCAACCCTCAAAAGGGTCGACAGGGCGACCCCGCGCAAAGTACACAAACTGTGCGAGAACGATGCAGTCGAGTAGAACAGTCCCACCCGAGCCTATCAACCAGCTAGTATTGGCCAAAACATATTCGCGATCGAGGCTTTTACACAAGATGCTCGCAACGTATGTCAAGTCTTGATGGAACCGAAAGTGCGACCTTATCAGATGTCATCCGTGATGGCGATGCAGCAGATCATGTACTCACTGCCGGAGATTGAGAAGAAAAACATGGCCAAACTGAGACCCTCGCAGCGGGTGTGACTGAAAAGCAATCGAGCCAGATAAGTCTAGTGCCCATAGCCTCAGGATAGGAGGTCAGCGACTTACTAGTTGTGAGCAATCTGAGGGATTCGGCTGCCCAAGTAAAGCGCAGCTGAAATATAACCCAGTACCTGCGACTTCCATTCGAGTTTGGGCAATCCTCCATCTCTTTGGCCGCCTTGGCCCAAAGACCTCTGAATATACCACGAGGCTATGCCGACGACAGCGATACCAATCGTGAGCAGAGGGTATGTTATGTAAGGCGAGACCTTCGCCTTGGAAGTCTCGCGATCGACATCGGCATCTGGCGACAGGAGAGGTTGTGACTCTGAAGCCACGACGTCGCGTTGCTGTGTAGCCCGACTGAACTTAGTGACGAATGATCAGCCCCTAATCATGTGGTGGCCCTACGTCCGACGCTCACTAATAGTAGAGCTGGACAAGGAGGACTATATCGCAGACCGAGTACTGCAGGAACCCGCTGGTCACATTAGTATCGTACAGAGCACTAAGCGGACAACGACTTACGTATACGGCCAGGATGATCTAAAGGAAGTGATACGAGAACAGAACAGGAACTCAACGGATTGAGGGTCTATGTGTTGCCAGCGAAAGACGACTGACCATGGTTGGTAAAAGGCGTGCCATAGCGCCGCCAGCAAGGTTGGCGAGGTCTCCTGCTAGCCACTGTATCGCGTTTGTTCCAGCGGCCTGCCTCCAGAATATCTCGAAGAGACAACGCTCACCAGAATAATGAACAGAACCGACAAGCCCTCCCCTAGTAAGATCAAAGGCGGCAGTAAGCGAGAGGCGCAGCGGAGCGGGTATGACCCCGTTTCTTACCTGATTTGCGTGTGTAATTCTTTGAAGGGGCGCGGTCAGTCTCTGTCTCTTCTCCCTACCTTTCATCCCGATATGTATCAAACCCACCTCCAGAATCTGCGTGCAAGAAGCGATCATTGTCCTTCAGCACAAGGAAGCGACTACCTTAGCAGAAATACTGACCTGAGGAGAGTATACTATGACCCAACAGGCGATGCTCATCCATCCGGCGATGGAGGAGGCATCCTCGCGAGTCGATGGTATTTCCCACATTGTTGATCTTGCTTTGTACCTGGTCACGAAAGAGGCCACTATGGTACGTCTGTCACTACAGAGATGCCGTGCGAAGTCTGCAGGGTGTGAACAGTTCTAGAGAGCTAGAGAGCTAGAGATCATCATCTCTTGCTTGTCCTCGTCGTCGTCCTGTCGATCGAACGAGGTGGAAATAAGACATCGGCGCAATGAGCGAGCAAGCACGGCGGAGCACTCGTGCGATCAGACGTTTCAGGGTATCCTGTCATGAGATTATGCGGTCACGTATTATACGGTGGGTCTATCCTCGAACCCCTCGAACTACAATGTAGCCCCTGCCACTATATCCACGGTCGACGTGCCAACCGACCCGCTCCAATTCGTTGGCCACGCCAGGTCCCAGGATTCCTACACGGTTGACGGAATGTTTCCCCTGACCCGTGATTATTTGGAACGGCTTGGACGGAACGGGAACTGCGAAAGGTTTCATACAAGAAGATCAAATCAGCAGCGCTTTTACGAGTTGGAATCAGCCGCATGAAATATCTGAGCGTCGTACCGAAATTTTGAGATGCGTGCCAGGCTTGAGTGCGATCTTTCGCAACCGATTTCGCTTCGTCCAGCGTCAGGCCATGTAGATCGATGGAAAATGCGCCATCAGATTTGCTGCCATAAAGGGAAAGGTTCAACCTGTAAATACCGGTTCCAGGGCCGACCCGTTCGTTGACCTACCTCTGATGATTGACCAACTCTTCGGCTGCACGCAACTCCCAGGAACGAGCAGCGGCTTCATAACGCCGCGCTTCTCCGGCATAGAATGCAGCGACTTGTTTACCACGACTACCGCCATTTCCACCGCTTCTGAAGTGTCTACCCGCTTGCCTGACGGCCGCTTCGCGTTTGAGCCGCTCTTCCGAGGCTCGACGCCGGCATTCATCCATGTCAAACAGTACCGCATCCGGCCCGAACGAGCTCTTTGCGTATCCAGGTATGAATTCTGCCAAACGGTGTGATGATCGGGGTTTCTTTTCCTTTTCCTTTCGGACTACCCGCCAGTTCTGAGGATGCTCGTCTTTCTTCTTGCGCTTGGGCATTTTTGGGTCAGGCGGGAACAAGCGTCGAGAGGAGGATGTCTGCACGTCGACAGAGTTCTCCAGGCGTCGGGCTTTCTCTGCCACTTTCGGGCGGGACGTTGCAGGAGTGTCACGCGCGACCCCCAGCCATCCAAGGGACTCCAATGATCCACCTCCCCATGATTTGATCTCTTCCAGAAGGGCAAGCAAGTCCAAAGCGCGAGATACATCGCCCGCTGCACCCACACAGACGCCAATATCCTCGTCTGAAGTTTGCGTGTGTATACTTTGTTCGATACCTGCCCGGATCTCCCGCACCATTGAAAGCTCTGCTCTAAGACCGGTCAATGGAGTACCTGCCTTAACGAGCGCCTCTCTAACAGCCGCGTAACCACTTGTGTGGTTGGGAGAGTGGAAATACGTCAGAAAGAAGGATATGTCGGCGGAAGGCTGGACGACCAGTTCAGCCAGATACGTTGCTAGCGACTCGAGCGTTCCCCACGAGCTATCACCTTGTCGTCGACGGGGAGGTAAAGAAGAACCCTGGCCCTGCAATCTTTGCTCGAAGTCGCGCAAAGGGATAGCCTTGGACGGCTTGCCAACGCTGCGACGGCTTCTTGTCGAGCCGGCACTTTCATCTCCACTGCTGAAACCATTGTAGGATTCGCGGGGTAGTGATGCCAAAGACGCGTAACGTCCAGTATTGGTGATAGGTTTGACTTTGCGAACTTTGGGCGTGCCAGGAACGTCATCCAGACTTTCGGTATCCGAGACCGCAGGAGTGGACCCTGAGGGCTGGCTGATTCTGGAATACATTTGCGTGTTGAGGGGCAAGGCGGGTCGATCGTTGGGACGCGGCCCATCGTCATGAGACGTCACCTCAACAGCTTCGATCGATAGCTCCAGCCTCTCGTGGACCGAGTCAAATTGGCCAACGGGAGGAGCTTTGACAGCAGAAGGTGCGTCTGGCTTGATGAAAAAGTTTCGCCAATCGTCCCCTTCCTCCTGTTGATAAGAATGATCGGGAACTTTCGAGTCCAGCTTTTGTTGCTGGTTCCCCCTGTCCAATTGTTGTATCGTCTCTAACGACAATAAGTCTTCTATCGCTGACGACATATCTCCGCCTTCAGCGATGCTGTGATTATCTATGGCTCGCTGAACTTCAAGCGTGGGCCTTCGAGAGGAGTCACATTCAGATTCGACGCCAATGATGCCTGCATCCTGGTCGCTGGGAGCCGACTCACAGATGCTCAAATATCTCGTACAGGAAGTCGACTGGCCCGTATGACTCGTCTGCAAAGGTGTGCGTGGACACTGAGTCTGCTTCCAGCCGATCTTCTGTGTCCGAATCAGAAAGCTCATCGATATCGTATGCCGATGGGCTTTCTTCTTCTGCGACCGTCTCTGTCTGGTCTTCCACGTGCTCATTGACGTCGCGATCTTCTGATAGGTTCGAGTTGACATGAACAGGCGAATTTGATGACATCGCTGACACCATGTCTGGAACCTGAGGAGTATGTTGCGAATCGATTGCCGGTCGGGGAGCTGGCACATCATCAGGCAACGGTGAGGTGAGTTCAGCTCGTCCTTCATCCTCGGCTTGAGCTTTGTATTTCCCAGCATCGGGATCTGGCACCACGCTCGCTTGTAGCAAAGCGAGGTCTTCCCTTATTTCCTCCGTCTTAGAATACAGCTGTTCAGGAGAATGATCCGAGATGATGGCCCGGATCAACGGCTCGTCCAGTAACGGAAACTCGTCCTGTCAAGGTTTTACGCGTCAAGACGAATCGGACCGAATTGTAAATTGCCGGCTTCTCTTACGACAGTACAATCACGTTCACTTACGGCGAGAATCGCTACGATGCTGTCGATCTCATCGACCTGAAGAGGTACATCTGGAGCGATATCTGACCTGCCGATCTGAGGCAGACTCTCGAGAGCAATCTTTGTAGGCTTGTCTCGAACGACAGGCTGGGAATCAAGTCGCCTGTGCGATTGAGCCGCTATCGTACTGGATACCGATGAAGGTACAGTGAGCCTTTGCGTTCGTTGCAAGTTGGGCATGGTTGGGAAAAGGGTCCGGGTAGTGACCGATGGGAGACGTTTACCAAGATCGAGGTCAAGATGAGAAGCGCACGAAGGGTGGAGTTGCGATGACGATGTTGGTACTTGATCTGCTAGAGTTGCATGGGCGGAGTCTAGCACTGGCTCGCCATGGTGGTCTCTTCGGATACCACGATCGTAGTAGTATTGATATACGTCTATTGACTTTTCTCGGCCGTGATCATCGACTTGTGGTGATGAGGTACACACGCTCTGTGACTTGGTAGAGTATACGCTTAGTGCTACTTGTACGCCAAGTACAAGCGTACAAGAGACTCGCATCTTTCCGATCTCAAGGTTCCCGAGTAGATGATGAGCGCCAGCCGTCGTCATCGGCGATCGCGCGCGCGGAGGGGGGGGGAAGGGGACCAGTCACGTGACAGTCAGCTGATCGATCGAAGGTATCCGGATGCTACTGCATGCAAGGTGCTTGCAGCTCGTAGACACAAGAGGTCACACCGCATGTCATCTGCAACGTACGATCTGGTCCCCTGATCATCCACACTCGCCGAGAACATACGAAAGGGGATAGTACTTTGAGAGTATGGATGTAACGGATGCCATCATTACCGCTCTTCGGCAGCTGTCCGAAGCTCTCGAGGACGTTCAGCGGCTGCAGTCATGTGTCGGGACTTTGAACGAGGGCTACAAAACCATCGGACAAGTCCCCGCTGCCAGGCGAGTCTACTGGAGGATTTCCGGTTTCAGCTACAGAAAACTGAATACGTCTTACGCTCATTCAATCAGGCATGACTTTGTCGAGAGAGCACCGATCAGCAGTTTGACAGTTGCATGGCAGGCTTATGCGGAGCGATTTGATGTTCAAGGCCTTGGCATCTCTACCGAGTCACTCGAAGCAGGATTAGCTTTGGCACGTTTGACTCGCAACTGTCTGGCGGGATCACATGAAGCCAAGGCTCTGGTCAGGTTGGTTCCCCTGGAGATTCGCTGTCATCCCTCATGCAAACGCAAGCTTATATTCGTGCGTATCCACTGCATTGTACCTCTCACAGCGGCTCTGAACCCTACATCCGGCGAGCTGTATTCCAAGCTACAAGCTTTGGTGCGATCAAAGAGGAGCGATGTATGTAATCCTATCTTGTCGCAAGTTGAATCTCGTACTGACATCCGGTGGGATACAGTCTTTCCGTTGCTTCGCGCTTTGCTTCAGTCGATCGCCAACCTGATCGCTCCGGTCGATCGGGACAATTCGGAGCTCCTCCTCACCGGATCATTAATTCGCTTGTACTTTCAGGAGGAAGTGCGCACCGACCAAATCGTCTTGTAGGACCATTTATCCTACGAAAATCGATACGTTGTCAACACGGGACTGACGTATCAACCTACACCGACACTTCACAAAGACGCGCGCTGGATTCGGACGATGCACAGGTCAATTTATCGGTCCTGATGATTGTATTGAACGCTCTGAAAGTCGACCCCTCTTTGATGTAAGCATTCGGATGCAGACGAACTGGCGTTGTACTAAACGCGTCTTCATCTGTCCAGTCAAACCCTTGCCAATGTGCAAGGCACAAGGACAATGGCAAAGATACTGGACAAGATGACGAGATGGTCAGAATCTGTTAGTGAAACCCTGGAAGGCAAGTGTTTCGACTTGGGGTACGTTAGAATGACTGCGCTCTTGACATGACCTTGGCGCGGGATTGATGCCGACCGATTCAGTTATCAGATTTCCGCATATATCATATCGTCGCCGGTACAGATGTCGCTATTCAACACGTTGGGATCGTGAGTCTACCCTTTCCTTGTTTGGCCTTGCTAAACTGACCAGCATTGACTCGTCCTCAGAGACGAAGAGGTAATCACTCCATCTCAATTGATGTTTCTCAAATTGTTGGACGGTTATCTGCAGAGTGCGACTTCGGCATCAAGCAGTTCAATCGACATACCGGAAGTGGCATACTTGGTGCCACATCTGAATGCGGCTGCGACGTTTGCCGCCCCAAATCTAAAAGCCCTACTTGAGAGCGGACAGGACCGGGAACCTGCAGCCAGTCAAGATCCAATATTACCGAGGACGCTCGAGGCTTCGATCCTCCTTTGCCAATGTCTCATTGCGGCGGCACTGCGAGAGATCCCTGTTCAGCACGAGCGCGAATTGCTGGCCCAGAGTATTGCAGGGCTCGATCAACCAGCGGGTAACACATTGAGTTCTCTTCGTAAAGCGGGACAAGCCACAGTCGAAAATCTCATAAGTAAGCGGGTCAAGACAATAGGGGAAACGGAGCCAAACTCATATCGCCGTCCTCACAGGTCTACTTGGTGCACTAGAGGCTGCATTGCCGCGGCAGAAACCGCTCAGACCGGCGACCGAATCAAGTCCAGGCGGTAGCTTGCAAGCGTTTGCAACCCTCAAGCGAGATGTTGTGCAGCTGCTAGGACTAATAGCATATCACGACAAACTCAGTCAAGATCGCATTCGAGAAGCTGCGGGTATCCACTTGGTTCTGTCGCTGTGCGTAGTGGACGAACATAACCCTCGTGAGTTTGCCCGGACACCCCACGCATGTATCCGCGTTTCGTTGATCAATTTTTGGTGTATGTGTGTGATTATAGTCATCCGAGAGCACGCCCTTCTTACGATACGTAATCTGATGATGAACAACCCAGAGAATCAAGCAGTCATAGGCACCATGGATCCCATTGGAATGGTTGGACCCAACGGAGAGTTGCAGGAAATGCCTGTAAAGCGCGGTTGATACTGACGACAGTGTCACGGCTCGTAGAGCGCTACATTATCAAGGAGATAATTTTCTTAGTAGAGAAGCATTTATCAATCCCACTTTCAGATCTTACGAAGTTGGTTCCTCTGCCAGCTTTCATCGGCTATGGCCGTTCCCGCTTTTTTTCTGGCTTGCTCTAGCGTCTTCCAGATCTCGTGCACCTTACCTTCAGCAAAGTCGAGAGTAACATCGAGATGGGCGTTACGTCCCGTAGACGGGAGCCCTCCGCCAGGAGTAGAAACAAAACTCATGGATATCGAGTTGGCACCAAAGAACATGGGTTGATTGAATGCCGTGCTCAAGACGTTTGTGTGGGCTACGGCGAGTGTACGTAGTGCGTAGCTTGAAACGGCCGGCTCCCCAGGGGTCACTTTCAGGAAAACGGGATATATCAGAGCGTCCAGGTCAGCGAATCGTTCCTGGCATTCCTAGTCTTGGATCTTTACCAATTGCAGAACCATCCTGAACGAAAACAAGCTATAAAACAGGCAAGTCATCGCTTAGCGGCTGATGGCGAACCTTACAAGCCGGACTGCTCGTCGAAGGCTTGCCCTTTGATTTGTGATGAACAAGCTTCCGAGTCCATTCACGGTGCGCTTTGGACCCTCTAGACTCGGAGGGATTGAGAGTGAGAGTTTGACCTTCTCTGATTGGTGGACGAAAGATTCATCTATTCAGGTCCCAACATGATACATCTTTTCAGCGATATTCAAGGCATAGCTCGACAGATAGTTATCGTTGCTCACTAGGAAGTGCCATAGGTTTCCCGGATTCTAGCTGTACCCAGTTCAGTGCCATGACTGGATTGAGGTATGAATTCAGGAGCAGAGTTTCAAGTGACGACGTGCTTGAGAAATACAGGCAGATTTGACAAGGAGCACAACTGGCAATTGGAGATTTTGCTTTGGCGATGCGAGACCCATTTAAGTTAGTGATTACTGATCCCTGAATTACTGATCAGCTCAGGATCGGTGATCGGTGTGGGCGAGTGCGGCGAAGACCGAAATCGATTATACGTGACACGTCATCGTTGATTTACAACACCGTTCATGATCATCAAGCGAAGTCTACCTGTGGCCTGTGCATACTATCCCGTCTTATTAATTTTCCGCCCCCATCGGTTCCGATGGCGATGGTCTTTCTTGTATGTCCATAGTCGCTTCTGGATTCATCGCTGTCGCGGGAGCATCAACGCTTGTACCCTGGGGTACCACATTCGCCATAAAGTCAGGACCCAAAAACTTGCTCATCCTCTCGTTCGTCTTGCTCCAAAGTTGCTTCTGAGCCTCGGTCCTCGTGTCTGGACTTGCCGATGGGATTAGCATCCCAGCGGAATGCATGACCAAGACTACGTTCTTGAGCGATTCGGGAACCGCCTCGTACTGGAATTGGGTCGAAGTTAGTTAATTGGGTGGCGCGCTCGAGGCAACGCTCTGGGAAACGCGCTCACCAATTGCCTGGATCCCGTGCGCATGAAGCGTTCCATGACATCCACAATCCTCAAGAACACCTCGAGAAGTCTTTCCGGTTTTTCCGACAGGGGTATCAAGTATTGAAGGAAAGCCTTGCAGGTTAGAGCCGAGGCTCTGAGCCGTGTTTCTTCCATGCTAGGCGGGTCCTGGTTGTAGACTTGCGGCTTTAGAAGCTCGTCCACCACTGGGAATAATACCCTGGAGAAGATTGATACCAGTGCCACATCTTGCTCAACGTCCGGTAGCACCTGAGAGCTGAGAAGTACCCGCTGGAGGTAACCTATCGCTCTTTGCCGAATGTCCCTACTACCGTTGACGCTATGCTTTGCGATAGTGAGGAGGAGGGGTAGCCAGAATGCCATCCAGGCTAGATATATGCCCAAGCGCGACATCAGCAGCTGAATGTAGCCTGAGAAAGACATCGCTGAGCTATACTAACCCTGACTCTGAGGAGCGTTAGACGATGTCACCAAGTGCGGCACACGGTTTCTGAGCTCGTACAAGGTATCGAGGGCGGCTAAACCCCGCTCGACGGTAGGTCCGCTAGAACAAAAATGATGATCAGTCGAAAGGATCAGCAAGAGGCGAGACCCGTGGCGTAGCGAAGACCTTACAGAGTAGCTGCAGGCGCGACCGAGGTGCCTCGACGTGAGACCTGCAATCGGCTGGCAGCTGCACCTGCCGATGTAGCAAATTCATCCAAAATTGCTACGATTCCCGGGTAGTTATCCGCAGACGGTCCCGATCCGACGAAACCTGTTGCCATTTTTTGCACCAGCTCAAGCGTGACTTTGGAGGCTTCGGGATGAGCAACCGTAGCCCTGAATAATGCGGTGACAAGACTCCATTCGGTTTGCGATCTAGACGGAGCAAATGTCAAGATTGCGGTCACTGACACTGACTCTCTTCCCGCTGCTTACTTGACTATCGCGCTGTCCTTTTCCAGAATGCGCGCGATACCCGTCATCAATTGTTCGGAGACTGCGTTGAGTACCGACGATGGAAGACTACGCAAAACGTCCAAAGCGATCGAAAGCTGGTCTCGCAATTTGGGCTATGTCGCTAGACCGTCAGATCGACGTGCGTTCTGCTTATCACTCGACAGAAGACATACCTCGTCACAGATCAGCAAGCACAATTTGAGCAAGGCCGTGACCGCCCGTTCTATCAGCAGAATACTGTAGGACTGGGCGGATGACAGCAACGAAGAGATGAATTCGAAGACGATCGGCCTGTTCCATGAGGTTAGGACATGAGCTCTGTTCCCTTGAAGCATGTTCGAGCAACCTTAGCTTACCAGGTCTCGGCAGCGTGTTGTGGAGACTTTACAGCTATGCTGACCATGATTTCCAAGTCGAAGAGGGCGGCCGGATCATAAGGCTGTTGAGCTTCATCGTAGGCCGGTGTGAGTGGTCGTCCGGAGAGGTCTTCCTTGCCATTCCGAGCTCCGAGATAGTCCTTAGCCTTTGACATGCATCTTGCCTCTCCAAGTGCCCGCAGCGCATGTAGGCAAGCTAGAGTGGCCTCTAGTTCGAGTTCGCTATCAAACACCGCTATTATCAGTATCTTCGACGTTTCGATGGGTCCGGCGGAGATACCCACTGGACTTGAGCATAAAGTTCATCCAATCTGCAAGACGACACGCAGTCGATAGCCGAAAGGGTATTCTCGATATCTTCTTCGTTGGGCACAGTCAGGACGTCGCTACTGGTAGTGTACGGACTGAGCAAATATGATGACAGTGTGGACAAGAGGCCAGCTTCGGTTTTGCGTTCTTCCCGGCCCGATGGCGCGTTGAGAGATTTGTGCGGGATGGTGGATTCGCCCGACAGAAAATCGACCTCTTGTGTTAATTGCACCGGGAGTAAAGAATGCAAGAATAGAGTTTGATACATTTCGAAGATCTGTGACAGGAAATCCCGTTAGCCATGGCCCGGTATCCGATCCCACATGTGCATACCTGTATCCAACCATCACGGATGGCATTGCCATTCCCATTGGCGATGGTAAAAAGGACCACCGTCGCCAGCTGGCTCCGGAAGCTCGTGCCAAATCGGACCGATAAGGGTGACACCGTGACAGAGCCCGTCTCCGTCTTGACGATAGGATGGTTGGCCGGCTGATAGCCATCATCTGTCTGATCCAGGAGATCGGTAGCATATGCCAACGACAGGACTATCGTGTCAATTACTTCCGGTAGGCGGAATCGGCGAGCTAATGTCGCGCAATGCTTGAAACCGATGATCGCCTTCTGGATCACGTATTCATCCTGTGTACTGGTAGTAAAAGCAGATGCCATGGAGGTCACGGTCGCGCGCCAAGCCACTTCAAACATAGCTTGGTCGAACGAAGACGTATTCACTGACACAGCAAGACCGGCGCTCCTGCTCCTTTGCATGAGACCTTTCCACGCATAATCGAAACCAGCTTGGCCGACGTGTTCTTGTGGCATGATAATCTCACGTCGGCGAATAGAATCATGGATGGAAGCCAGATACTCGGGCGCAAAATCGTTTCCGTGGTTGACGCCTCGAAGGTTCTTTTGGTAGTCCTCTATAGTCATCCTTTTGCGATTTTGGGGATTGTGCTGGTCCGTGTTGAGCATGATGACCGAATACGCTAGGATGTATGTGGCTTCTTGATCGGCGATATCCTCTGGGCCGAAGGAGAAGAAGTGGTCCGCAAACGCTTCTGTGATACGGGCAATCGGCTGTGCCTCCCCGGGCAGACGGAATGCTTCGAGCAGATCACGAAGAGCGTCGGCAATAGACTTTCCGCCGAAGTCAAACAAGCCAATGAAAGCCTTGAGCAATTCCAAGTTATCTGGAGCGGATATGTATTCTCCCAGCAGCTTCTTGTCCAATCGTGTCGACGTCTTCAGGAAGCGCGCTAGAGCACGGGTCGCATCCGCATCCGTCGGTGTGTGGTAGTCGTCGATTAGGTTGTTGTCTTTGAGATAGGCAACTCCCCGTTTGGGTTTCTGGTTGAAAGCTGTAGCTCCCGCTATTAGTTTGGCTTTTTTATCTTTCTGAATACGCAGGGCGTCTCTCGAGGGCAGACCCGCCGGCCAAGCTTCGTCATCCTGTTTTGTATGGGATGAGCAAAGTTTGGCGTATAAACTATCGCACCATGCGACTGACCGTAGACATGCGAGTCGCCATCGCCTCTACGAACGAGATGAGCCCCTCGAAGCAGAGAAGCTGGCTGTTGTCCAGATGATCGGGTACATGGTTGGGCATTGTCCCGAGCCCCGAAGGATACACACCCTGCCCAAACAAGGAACGATTTTCAGCCGGGCTCGCAACTTTATCTACTCAACGATGACGCGCACCTTGGTAAGGAAGTCTATCATCCTCTCGAAAACATCTTCGCTCTCCGGATCGCAATCGAAGTTGACCCAGAGGTCGACCATGAAATTTCGATTGAGCATAAGCTGACTGAGCGTTTCCAGCATGAGTTCTCTGGTATCGGATGCCACAGAAGGCAGATGTATATTCGATTTGGGCGTCGATGGCCTGTCTCGCTCGGAATCTTGCGTCGAACTAGGTCTTGAAGATCCTCGACGTGAAGATCGGACGTGCATGAGATGCGACGGTACAGCAACAGGCGTGGATGGTGTTAGGCGGTCGATTAGGAAGGTGAGAAACAGCTCGAATTGTAGCTTGAGGTGGGGTAGTAGGGTTGTAAACAAGGTTGAAAGCGTTCGCAAAGCGGAAGCCAATATTTGCGGATTGTCGGACCGAATGAGCTTTTGAGTTGGACGCATGTCAGTTCCTCACATTATCAGGGTGTTGGATCAGGCGGCTCACCTGGAAGAGGTAGCGACATCCCTCGTTCTTGATGCCTTCAACCAATTCATCCCATTGTCCGATGTGTTTCCCTCCTACGTCCAGTATCGAATTGAGCACGCCGAGGGCAGAGAGTCGCATCGAATCCGTATGGGTCAGGTCAAGGGGATCAAGTAGTGACGTGACAACCCTGAGCAGCTCCAAGAGAGTCGGTAGACCGTAGGGTACAAAAGTAGCTATTTGGGCTGTCTCTGCAGTGAGATCTAGGTCAGCATCTGATCAAGCTCTCCTTGTCCGCCGTGCTCACCGAGCGGCGCAGAATCGGCCGAGGCGCCCTGCACCAATTTCTGAGAGGCCTTTTGCTCCACTATGACAGGCGAGATAACGCTGACCCCTTGTTGTGCTTCAGTGACTTGAGTCGGGAGTTCCGAACTGTCGTTACGAGCCTCATCGTCCCCAAAACTCTCCTTCTCATCAGGGGGAACGACCATCTCGGTGCTTCCGCCAATGACCAGGGTGTCACTATTGTGCTCGCGAGCATCGAGTACCGATGCATCCATGTGTTTGAGCCTCGTGAAACCCGCTTGCACAATCGATTGTATCGTGTTTTGTGCTGTCTTTCGAAGGCCCTCTACACAAATTTTTAGAGTTTGAGCCCAAACGATAACGAGCACGATGTAGGTGAATCGGCGACTGACCTCCCAGCCGAGCCCTTCCGCCCATACCTAGGCCGACTTCTAGCATCTCGCAGACTCCCTCGTCGGTCAACTCTCTTTCTAGGGGACCAGATATGATCGTCTCCGTGACGCGAAGTAAGCGACTCAAAACGAGCTCGTCCTGAGCTGGAGAGCTTGACGGAAACCTGCACCGAGCCAGCGCGGATGTGGTGGCAGCCAACCCAAGCTGAAGACCGGTCTGTGGACGCGGCGGCGCAGTAAACAGATCTGACGAGAGGTCTTCCCGGGATGCCGGTAGATAGAGCGGCAATATATTGAAGCAGATCGAGTTGAGAGCAGTCAAGGCGAGCGATGTGATCGGTCCAGACGTAAGGGGAGACCTGATCAACGCCAGGAAAGGTGCGAGGATGTCCCACGGCGAGACATCGGTGATGTCTGGAGAAATATACGAGGCTGAGCCGACGGTGTAGTCTCTCTACAGCAGGAATCACTCACCCTTGGCGGCGACCAGTCTCCGGCGCAGTCCGACAAAGGCGGCCAGCAGTTCCATCTCTTCCCCTTCTCCTTGGGCTATTCGTTTACCGTAGATGCTCGGACCGCTTTCAGTGCCGGCCGAGGTAGAAGAGATTGCTTCGCCTTTCCGACCAGTGTTTATACTACCCGACGACCAATCGCTCTGAGATGCAGAACCCAATGATCGCTCGACCATCTCGGTTGGCCCTGAAGCTGAAGATTGTCGGCGATGTGCTGCCGAATAATACGCAGCAGATGAAGCCGAGCTAGGGGATGCCCATCTTGGTGAGCGTCTCATCGAAGATGTGATCTGTTGCAGCTCCTGAAGGAGCAATAACCTCGGGGGAATGTCCAGAGGATAGTCGAAGCCCAATCGAGACGAGCCTGGTGACGAGGAGGGCGGCATCTTGATCCGTGTCTGGCGGCTTCGTCGGGTGCGGGTTCGATGTCGTGTGCTCTAGCTGTAAGATCGTAATGCTCCTCGTGAGCGTATATGTTGTAGATGTGTGTGGACGCTCAAGCTCTTCGAGGGGTTCCACGTAGCAGTAGTAGCACGTAGCACGTAGTAATGGTAGTACACGATGATAGCACGACAACATGGCAATTCATGCAACAGCTGCTCGTGGCCGAGACCGCGGAAGCAAAATGGTCGCGAGGAGAAGGCGAAGGGGGGGGATGATGACCGATCGATCGTTGGATGATTGCAGGTACTTGCCAGGTAGCTGGTAGCTGGTAGCAAGTCTAGCAATCATCTGCCAACCTGCTCGCAATAGTCGCAGCGGTGTGTGGTCGATCACCACTATCCCGTCATAGACCTCTCGTCAGAGTGACGACAACTATCGTGACTACATGGCGTCCGGCACGAAGCAGATAAAGCACATCACCGTGCTCGGGGGAGGGTTGACGGGTCTCACGTCGGCCTATCGCCTTGCACAACTGGTCAAATCCTCTCGCCAATCTGGCAATCCATCATCAGCATTACATCCAGAGGCGAGCATCACCCTGCTCGAGAGGTCAGCCAGAGTTGGAGGTTGGGTACACAGTAGACGAAGATGGATGGAGCTGCCTGAAGGGGTCAAGGACAATCTCGGTGTCCATGGAAAGGTCGACGTCGTTTTGGAGAGCGGACCCAGAAGTATTCGGCCTCGAGGAAGCAAGGGAGCTGCCCAGATGTTGAAGCTCGTAAGTATCGAAGTCCGAGAATCTTTCACACAGGATTTCGCTATCACTAACTGCGACTGATGCCCTTCCGCAAGAATTAGCTCCAGGACCTCGACTTGACAAAGGCGATTTTGCCCGTCCCTCTGGATCACCCTTCCGCCAAGAACCGGTTCATCCTCGATCTTCGAAATCACAAACTCGTCAAGTTGCCGTCCAGTGTGATAGACGCCCTGACATTGTGGTTGAGAAGGGATGGCAGGGGTTCCGGTATATTGAAGGGCTTCCTGCGGAGTATCCTTCTGGAGCCGTTCCGCAGGAAGAAACGTCTCGATGCCAAAGTCCCATCGACCTCGAACCTGGCCGTACTGGAAACACAGATCAACGATACCTCGGTGGACAACCTAGTCAGACGTACACTCGGGCCTCGAATAGCAGACTCCCTGATCTCCTCGATGGTGCATGGAATCTATGCAGCCGATTCTCGGGTCCTCTCCGTCCGCTCCACCTTTCCCGTCCTCTGGGACGCCTTGCAAGCACGAGGTAGCCTTGTGCTAGGATTACTCAGGCCCGCCCGTTCAGTCAGGCGCGAAGATGCCGCACGAGCCGAAAAGGAGGCTTGGGAGTCCCTTGGAGGTGACATGAATGCTCAACGAAAGACGTGGAGTATATACGGCATTCGAGGTGGGGTAGAGACTTTGACCAAAAAGCTAGAGGAAGAGATTCACAAACTCGGTGTTGACGTGCGGGTTGGGCAAACTATCGAAAAGCTCGAACCCACAGATGACGGATGTCGAGTGAGTCACCGAAACGCAAAAAAGAATGGAGCCCACTCGCTGATTTCCGATGAATTGTTTGGTTATTCTTCAGGTCTCACTTTCCTCGGGGGCAACTTTGGACACAACAATGGTCGTCTCGACGCTCTCTCCTGCAGTGCTAGCGGATCTCTTACCTAGCCAACACAGCCTTCCCAATTTGTCGTACAATCCCGCGACCTCGGTAGGGGTGGTCAACCTGGTTTTCCCCATCCCGCCTGAAAGGATACATCCTCCCGGGTTCGGGTATCTGGTACCTCGCACAGCAGACTCTTCGATCTTCGCACAGAGCGAAGCATTACAAAGGAACCCGAACCCCGACGGCATCATCGGCGTCATTTTCGATTCCACCTCGATGACCGGCGTGGAAGACTCACCTCTGATCGCTTCGCACTTTACAAAATTGACTGTCATGATGGGAGGGCCGCACTGGTCGACTTATCCATCGGATCCGTTCTCATCGGCTTCGCCTGCCATCCCGATCCCGCAATCGAGCGAACTCGCCGCCAAAGCCATGGCGCATTTGAGAAAAGTCTTTCCGTCCGTGCCGGAGCCTGTCTTGACGGAAAGCCATATCTCGAAGAACTGCATCCCTACCTATTTAGTTGGGCATGGTCAGCGTCTCCATCAATTGCACAAGCACTTGGGCAGTTCTGCCTGGCGTAGCAAGCTGGTACTTCTCGGCAGCGGTTATGGGGGCGTCGGGGTGAACGATTGCGTGGGAATGGCGGAACAGGCGGTTGAAAACCTCAACATCGCTTGGAGTGAAGCCCCATCTTCTACATCTTCATGTATTACAGGTCTCGAGAGGTGGAAAGAGTGGGACTAGAGCGATTGTTCATGCACCATAGCTCCGGCGACTTCCACTACTGCCTCCTTCTATCGAAAAAGCAGACTCCCGCGTATGTCATTATTTAGATCGTCCAGGTCGCAAAGAGGGTACTGCGTAGATTTAGATTGCGATCAGCTCGACGATCTGTAGGATCTCTCCCAACCAACACTGACCCGAAGCAAGCCATGATGGTCCATTTTCGATTTTCACCTTCACGGAAGACGTGGCTTCGAGGTCCATAAAAGACCTCGTCATCCACCTCCTCGGCTTTGCGAGGTAGGCAGTGCAAGAACTTCCAGTCCGGCTTTGCGCCAGACTCCTGGCACAGCTTTTCAGTGACTTGGAACCCGTTGAAAGCCTTCAAACGAGCTTCCTTCTCCGCTTCCTGTCCCATAGAGATCCTGAAAGAGATGGGTTCAGACGGATAACGAGGCCCCCCTTCAAATTGATCAAAGCTTACCATGTATCAGTGACCACAAAGTCTGCGTCCCGGAGCGCTTCAGCTGGCGAATTGGTAATGAGGATCTGGTCTGCAGTTCCAGCCTCCTCGCTGGAAACCGGACGAAACAGATTTCCGGACTTCAGAACACAATCTAGACCGAGCAGTAGCAGATCAAGGACTTACACCCTCTTCCAGACCCTAGGATCGACTTTGTCGTACCCTTGAGGAGCTGCCACAGCCATCTTCATGCCTAGGCGAGGCAGCGATACCAGCATGTCGTTGAGGACGTTGTTGACGTCGCCGACCCAAACGATCTTTTTGCCTTGCAACGCCGCGAGCGGATCGATCTGCTCGGCCAGTGCGAATGCGTCCCTTTCCGGCGTGTTAGAGCTTTTGAACCGCGACAATGGGTTTTGTTCTGCCGGAGTCAATATCTCATACATCGTCATGATGTCCGCGAGAATCTGGGTAGGATGCCAAAGATCCGATAGCGCGTTGATGACTGGGACGCCCGCCTTTTGCGCCAAAGTCTGGAGATATGACATTTCTCAAGGTGAGACCGAGTACTTCCCAAAGCGCGCACCTGGAAATGACGTATTTAAACGAACTTACCTCGACTTCTACATGTTCGCCCACTCGAGCCATGATTCCTGCCGTCATGCTACCAATGATACGGGCCGTATCTTCGAGAGACTCGTTGACGCCCAGCTGGATGTCGTCTTTTCCCAAGAAGAGAGCGCTTCCACCGAGAGCGGTTATCGCAGTCTCACTAGCCACCCGAGTTCGCGTGCTCCTCTTGTTGAAGATCAACGCGACCGATTCCTTGGGTAGCCGAGAGATGATGCCACCAGTTCGGTAAACCGTAGCGATGGTCTTGTAAGCCAAAGACAACTTGATCAGAGTCGCAATTTGCGTGGTGGAGAGATCTGCCAGAGTCATCAGAGACATTGGCTTGTCGGCGAGGCGCTTGTTGAGCATGAAGCTACCGTTCCGATTATGAAGCTTCTGATCACGAGGCTTATCCGTCGAGGCATGCAGCCTTTGACCTCGAGGCTTTGCCGTCGACCCATCTTTTGGTCCCCTCTGAAGTCGCCTCGATTTGGCTTCCTCATCCCGGGGGAATGTTACGTCCTGCTTGTGCACGGCTGAAGCAGTGATGGATCGGGCCTGAACGCCGGTCTTGAGCGTCGGGCCTAGCGCTGTCGCGACAGCTCGGGGACGCATGGAGAGCATAATTGGGGGGAAGCGTAGATATAACTGATGATGGTTGACGATGCTGTGCAGACCTCGACTTGACGAGGGCCCTGCCACTATAGTAGGTGATCAACAAAGACGACGAGCTCGATCCTGCCCCCGATGACTCACAGCGAGTCATGCGAGAGTCAGTCACCCGACGATTAGGGTTCAAGGTGGAAACAAGCCGATATGTCACGTGATTGGCGACCGGACTCTCTCCCTCGCCGAAGTATCAAAGTTCGAAACCGGGTTACAGTACTAGTGCTCATCAGTAGCGTCAGTCGATCAGTGCAAGGTTCGCAAGGACAGGCTCAAGAAAGCTCTGGGACGTACACAGAGGATAAGGCCGCGATAGCTTGCTGAACAGAAGCCCTTCGAGATACTCGATTGGGACCGATCTCTGTGGAGGGCGAAACAGTCATGGTCGTCACCGTGCAGTTACCAGACTATCTGCAAACCAGCTCGGCACTTATCAAGGCCCTCAAAGCCTCGTCAGATCCTCCTCAAACTGGATGGCCTTCCAAGATCGAGATAGCTCAGCAGGCAAAGGATCGTGACGATTTCTTCCTCTACAGGAAAGAGTCGCTCTTACGGGAATGGGTGATCGAGGAGTTTGGCAAGGTTCGAGGAGCAAAACTGTGAGCCTTTCTCGGCAGGTAACTTCAGGGTTACACCGAGGCGATATTGATCCAGGACATCACTGCATATCAGATCTTCTTTCAATCCTCTGTTAGATTACCGTTATCATGAATTGCTCGAATCTCTTTCCGTGCAGAAAGATGCGTCTGTCCCGTTAGCTACTCCTATTCAGGCCCTCTTGCACGGGTTCTTCTCTGCATTACGCGCCAACATTCACAAGATAGAAGCCCTGGACCGACTTATCGAAACCGCATCTCGGAGCTTCCACGGCCTTCTCTCGACCGTTCGTGCCGATCAATCGGCTACAGCAGGCAAGGCAGAAGGATGGCTCGACATTTTGGGACTCGCGTTGACCTGGGTCGACAAGGAGAACGTCAAAGGTTGTCTCGTCCCCGTCGAGCGATTACTCAGGGCGATAGGTACGGAACTTGTTGTGTCTTTGGACGTAGCACAAAATAGGAAAAAGGTGAGCTGTCATCGGGTTCAACATCTCGGTCTGTTCAACTGATTCTTGATACACAACCCGCTTTTGCAGATCACTTCTTCGGTGCAGCCGCTGGCGCCGGCTTTATTAGCAGTTTGGGAATCCAACGTGTCCATGCGGGAAGCACTAGAAGATCCCCTCAAGGCTCTGGTTTTATCTCTACCGGTGTTGCAGCAAGAAGATGTCTCTACAGCTTATTTGCTACCCATCTTTCTGTACCAAAACGCAATTCTGTCTCGGACCAAGCTCGTTTTCGTACCGCGGTATCTAGCTCTCTTGATTGGATCGCTTCAGCAACATCGTTATGCGCTTTTCCCGCCATCGGCTTCAACGAGGAGCTCTGTACCCGTTGACGTGCATATCTCAGGACGGGTCCGACAAGCGGTACTTCAAAGCACCCGATTTGTGTTGGAATCCATCAATAAGGTCTCATCTCCGACGTCGGAACTTGCAGCTCGCTGCGATGCGATCGCAGGGGTCTGGCGAGCTATTCAAGCCTGGGGAGGCTACTTGGAAGGGGATGAAGCATGGTTATCGCTCTTGCAGCGAACTGTAAGCGATGCTTCTCGAGCTCTGGTTGGAGCAGATCCGACTCTTGCTAGTGCGATCTATGGGGTGTTGGACATCGCGGCCAGCTTGGATTATGGAGCCACTCAGTTGAATATCAAAGATGAGACTGACGTGCAGGCTTGTAGCCGGAATGTCCTTGCGCATGCGATGGCGGTGAGTGTTCAAAGGCGCACGTGCTTTCTCATTCGGCTTGACTGAACAGCTAAATCATCTAGGTACCCGAGATTGAGATTTCGGACCCAGCTTTGAAGCTACTGCTTACGGTATCGAGGTATCACGCTCTCACACACGAGACTTCCAGCTTCTTCGAACTGCTATGCGACTGTACACGGCGCGCCATACGCCAAGGGGAAGCAAAAGATGTCTATCGACGCATATGTCGTGGACCTCTCGTCGCAGCTATCTTTCAACAGGAAATGAAGCGCAACGCGGCCGACTCCTTGGCGGGAGGCGCTACCACCGAAGGAGTCTGGGCAATATTGCTTCGGAGACTTTCTCAACGGTTGGATGGCTGTCAGAGATCCTCTCAGGCTGAACAAGGCGCTCAAGTTGGATCAAGCAAAAAACGACGCATCAATAATGGTTCAGCGGTAACCGTGAATGAGGGAAACGACTTGGCTGCCGAATTCGGTATTCTGTCTCGTTTGATTTGCATTCTGCTGGATACCGTAATCGACAGCCAGGTCGAGAAAGCGCCGGCGCTTCGGTCGTTGGTAGAGGAGCACTACCGTATTTGGCAAGACATGCGCTCTAACATCACCAAGAGCACAGACGGCAACTCCTGGGCACGTGAGATAAGAAATGCTGGCATCACAAGGCTGCTCAGCTCTGCCTTGCGATTTGAGTCTTCGCTCCAAGATCATGCAAATACCGTGTCCGGAGACTTCGATGCACCTGTCATGGCGGTAGCAGAGTCACGTTACGAATCCGTACGTAGACGTAGGGTCACTTACCGCTCAGGCTAACTCACTCTCGAAATACAGTTCCTAGCGGCTTTTGATTCCGCCGAAAAGCTTGGACTGTTTGCGGGGTCTGATGAGTCACCTCTGCAAGGGTTCTTATCGACCTCAGGGCATGCTAGCTCCAAGTGGTCTGGGTACACAGGAACCTTGGATGCCGAGAGCTTTGCGCCGGCTATATGGCAGACCGTAGCTACGCGGGGTGTCTCAGTCATTGAGTAAGAGCAGAATGCGGGTGCGCTTTGACAGTTTTCTTATCTGATCACCAGCAAATCCTAACAGAGCTTATGCCACCGATGACCAAGTGAACGTCTTTGCGCGCAATCTAGTTCATTATGGTGCAGACGCTACGTTGGCACGAGAGCGCGGTTTCTCGGCTGCCAGTGCAATCGAGAGGGTCATGTGTTCCAGCGAGCTATGGGAAATGCCTCGCCTCCAAGGTGAGCTAGGGCCCACCTGGTCTTTCGCCAAAACAAGCTGACCCATGACCTATAACTCTTAGCTGCAATCTCACAGCATGTGAAAGATCAGATGCAGACAGTACACCCAAGTCCAGCGGCTGTCAAGAATGTCTATATGTTCCTGATGCTTACTCCGGTTGAATACCTGAGTCGCAATCTACGGAATTTCACCGTTAGCAAAGCCTATGAATGGGACATAACCTTTGCAAGATCCGCGGAACGCCAGGAAGAGTCAATGCTTTTGAGACGATATCTCAGCAGGACCATAGCCGAAACGGGTTACATCGGCAATCTGGTAAGTCAAATGGGATTTTCGAGCGACACACATATCGCTTACTGTTGATGACGAAAGGAAACCGAGAATATCGACGTACTTCTGGTGCCTTCCTCTCCATCAGCGACACAAAGCAATGAAATCACTCGAGAACTGTTTGCGGGTCTTCTGAGGTATGTAGCCTGGACGTCGCTTATGAATAGATTGTCACCCAAAACTAACCAACTGTTCCTCTGAAAGCGCACTGTTAAGGGAATCGAGGAATGAGAGAAATTCTGGTTTGCTGGCATACCTCGTTGTCAAGCTAGTGAACGATATCAGTCGACACCAGCGACTAGGCACCATATGTGCCATCCTCTTGACGGCACCTCGCGAACTGAGTATCGGCGCTGAAGCGTGAGCATTCACCGTTATAGCAGCCGGAATGGTATTGAGCTAAACTTGTTTCTGATATAGCTTGCCGAGTCATATTCTTGGCAGCCTGGACGAGCTTCACCGCAAGATGAGCCGGGTGTACGACAAACATTTCAGAAACAACGACATCACCGAGGATCTTCTCTGTATATACCGGGCGATAGTTGTGTATAGCTCATGGAGGAATCCAGGCGCATCCTTTGACCCAGCAATTAGCAAAGGCTTGGCACGACGGGCGATACAGGTTTGCCTGCGACGAGTCACCGAAGGCGAAGTTGATCCAAGCTGGAGAATCGTCAGCATAGCAGCGCCTGCTCTGGAGACCTTGGCCATGGAAGTGGCGTCGGAACAAAACGAAGCAGGCATTCAGATGTGGCTTGCGGCTTGGGTCGAGATCAAAGCTGCCAATGGCGAAGCCTCAGGTGAGCATTGGTCCTATCCCAGCAATGCTGTATGGTCTGCTAATTCGCCGTTCGACTTTGCGAAAATAGCAGGCTCCGCTGATGACGATCTATTATTGGACAAGCTGTACAAACGCAGTTTATCACAAATCACCTCTGCAACATATGAATCATTGCTGTCGACCCTGATGGACAGCCTTGCACTGCCGACCGGATCGGCCGGAAAAGTTGCTGTAGCGTCTCTGCAGGCCTGTTCGCTGCTCTTGGAATTGCAGATCAACGGTGAGTTCTCTCGTGCATCACACATCCTCGCAGAGATCTTACGTGTTCGAGTTCAGGCTCCGGCAAGGTCTTCAAATTATACCTGAGCAGGCTGTTGGCCGTCCTGCATCGTTGCATCACAGACGGCCCAGACACGGCATTATTGGTTCAAGCTTTGCGCATCATAGATATGATCAGCGAGAGGAAGGTTCGTCTCGCAATGGACATCACTTGTAGCATGCGGCAGACTGATTTCCTGTTGCAAACAGCCTGTCAGCCTCAGCGAGCAAGACGCGAGCGAAATCGTACTCTCTTGCTTTGCCGCTTTGTCGCCTTCAGTCACAAACAAGGACTTGCAGACGAGTCTCGAAATACCGACACTGGTCCTGTCGATTTGCAACTCGCTTGTCCGACACCGCAGGGATCTAACGCTCAACGTACTCCCACAATTGATGAGAACCTACTCGAGGATGTTTGTGCTGTTCGCTCGTCCCCGAGCCAGTATCGGATCGGGCAGGCTACGAAATATCGTCATCAATCGGCGACCGAAATGGATGGGCCCCAAAGATGACGATTGTTTGGGGGACCAGGAGGCTTCGACCTTTGCGAGAGCGATCGGCACCTTGACGGGGAGATCGATGATCCGGAGAGGGAAGTCTGCAAGCGATCCATCCGTTGGCAATCAGGTCGATCGAGAGCTTGGCAGTCTCGTCGGGCAACTATCAAAGCACGCGCCTGGGGTCCTCGTGGCATACGTGAGAGCGGTAGCCGACCCGCTCTCTGGGATGCCTGTTTCAGTCAGAGGGGAACTCGAGCCTGGCCTCTTTGCTCTTTGCGAAGCCATCACCGCCGGAGGGAAGGCTCAGTATGGCAAGGGACCGGGAGAAGGCGTCGGGGAAGCGTTTGGGCTGGGCGAGGGCGATAATGTCGATACGGAATACGAGGTCTGGGTCGATCTGTGGCAAAGATGGACCAACAAGAGGTATACCGGGCAGGGTTAATCGGCGAGGCTTCAAAATCTTGTGCAGTGTAACAACAATATCATATGATATCCGTGATGCACATCACGATCATCTCTTGCTGCAACGCGCTCTTTGATGATGAGGTGGGCGGCGGAAGCGGATTAGGAGCTAGAGGAGAGAGCAAGGGGGCAGGGAGCAGGGAGGAGCTGGCAATGGTCCACTTGTTGCAGGGGGGACTCTGGTCTAGCTAGTCTCTGGATCTCTGGCTTTCGTTGTGCTTGACCTACTACTACTGCACACATCGCACATTCAATTTACTTTCATCCACGTGTTGCTCCTCGAATAACAATCGATAGCTACAGATCCATACCTCTTCCCGCTCGAGAACACGCCTGCAGGATGAAATCTCCGCCAGTAGAGGACATGTTCGCCGAATTGAGTAGCGAGGATGGAGAGGACTATGTCGTTCCTAGACGGAACAGATCCAAGATATATTACAGCAGAGATCAACTGCTAGCGTTGAAGAACTCGCCGTTGGTCAAAGAACCTCAGGGAATGTCTCCTGCATCGGAATGGTTCACGTACGCTGGGTCGATTTCCGCGTTGGCATATCCATGCATCACCACTGACATCGCTTCCGACTGCTTGGCTCCGATCCAGACCGTCCACTGTCGAGAGCCATCCACCGGGCTATAGATCGAGACAGTCTCCTTTCTTCGGCGAAACAGGCAGGGATGCCATATTGACGCCGGGCAAGAATACGAAACGAGGGAACGGCCGTTTGCCCGGCGAGAATTATGACGGAGAAGAAAGGCTGTCATTCGGGCGGGGATTGGCGAGCTCTGGCCGCCCGAGAAATTTGTATGTCTTCAAACATTCTCCGCTCTCGTCTGAGCACTGGTCCTCAATTGTAACTCCCGGTCCTCTCCTAGAACACGTAGGACAGACAGTGGGATCCTGGGACGCAGTCAGACGGCACAGGACGAACACCCAGACCCGATTACGCCAGAACGTAGAACTTTCGATAGGACCGAAAGGAAAGATCGACTATGGGCTAAAACGGATCTCAAGGATGCGGCCGAAGGAGATGCCACGATAATGGGCAGGTTTGCGATGAAGGGGGCTTTGAAATTACAGACTGGAGATGAAGTAAGTGTCTTTGCTGTAATAGCCAGCGTGCCACGCTCAGCTGATGTCCCTGTACAGATCGATAGGAGGACCCCGAAACAGGTCGACGGTCGGGAACAACGAGAATTCAGGTCGGCCGATCACAGCTCCAAAAGGACCGCTGACAGTACGTGGAGACGTACTACTAGTGGACAGGTGGATAGAGTAGCTGCAGCCACCCCGCGACGCTATGGACACAACGAGGATGAACACGTTCCGGAATGGATGATGGATCCGGCCCCCACTGCGATCGATGCAACTCCTTCGAAACAGTCACAGGCGGGATCCACGCAGAGCGGTCTTGACGAGATCGCTGCGTACAGGCAGGCCATGAAGGAGCGGGAAGAGCGACTTGCGGCCAGTATCGCACAACGTATGTCACTCATGAGTTCCTCGTCCATGCTACCCGGGTACTGATGCGCCAGGCGAATCGTTGCAGCCGGACGGTTACAAGATGACATCGCAGATCGTGCCGAACACCAGCCGCCTGGGTTATTTTCCGACTTGTCCTCGTCCCACAGTGCCGGATCTGGCTCGCATCCGGAGCAACGAACAACCCCGGCGTCATTTCTCCTCCCTCAAGCCAAAGCTAAAGTTCGCAATGATAACTTGGCTGCGAGCGTGTCAGACCCAGCCACTCCTTCCGGCAAAGGCAGCCGTTTCGCTCGGTTCTTCGACCCTTCCGCCTCTCCGGCTACCGCACACACAGCTCCGATACCCCAACAAACCATTCCTCCCGCTCATACGACGAGACAAGAGCCAGTCGAGACACTGGTCGATAAGGCACAAGGTCTTGCAGCCTTACTAGGCATCAAACCTGCTTCATTGGTCAAAGCGAAAGACGCCGTTCCTCAGTCGCCGGTCATAAGTACCAATAGTCAGGCTACACCGCCTATTCCGCCAACTCTAGGTATGCCACCAATTCGTGAGGCGAACATAGACCCGGCGACGCAATCGGTGGATCACATGGCCCGATTACTGGGAATGCTCAAGACTGCCGTAAGTAGCTGCTTCTTCACTGGTTGCGGATGTTTGCATGCATGGTGCTAATATCTGTATTCTCCTGCGTCTCAGCAAACGGCTCAACCGCCTTCGCTTCCTGCCACGCCGTCCGCTACAGCTCGATCTGCCCCAACGGCTCCGATCTCCCCAAACTCTGGATCGCGCTTCCTGGCCGCGATGTTGAACGGTGAAAAGCTGAAACATAGCTCTTCTCCGATACCGCCATCGACATCTTTGAGCCATCACGACGGAAGGACTGCTCAACGCCAGCTCGGCACAGAAATGATTCCCGAACCCTCAAACCAAGCGACGGGTACCCAGGTCAAGCTCCACGGCGCGCGCCTAACCCAACAGCCATCCGAGCATCATATGGCCGAAGCAACCCCTACGTTACCCCATGAGCGCCGGATGCCGGCCGCAACTATCCCACGGGACCTGGAATCACCCTCTATGCATTTCGCTGCGACCCATATCAGACCGCCGGGAATGGATATGATGCCCAATGCCCCTACATCTCTGATGTACCCGCCACAGCAAATTAGACCGAATATACCCGAGATGACTCCGGCTATTCAACAACAGGCTCAATTCTGGCAACTTGCAGGAGAGCTCCCACGAGGGCCACACCCTCCTCGAGGCATGCCTATGCCAGGACCTCCGTTTCCACCCATGAACATGCCGCCGCCTCCGGTTTACGGACCTTATCCGATCCAGAATCTCCCTCCAGGACCCGGCATGCCTCACATGCATCCTCACCCGATGGGCTTTGGTGGTCACATGCCTCCAGGTCCTCCGCCTCACACAATGACGCCCGATGCGATGTCTAGCAACCTCATGGCGATGTTGCAGAACCGGCCCCAGGCTTAAAGATTGTTGCTTCTCCCTACGATCCCAGTTGTACCAGACTGCATTCATAGCTATCTTCAAAGAAGCTCGACCGACAAGGCTTAGATAGTTTGCCTCGTGTAGTGATTGCGCAAACATCTCAGACGTTATAGCGATATCAATGCTACCTTGCAAGATTCAAGGACGAATCATACACAGCACAAACGGCAGCAACGATGGCTCCGGCTCAACAAGTTCCGAGAAGGCCGAGCCTGAGCATAATAGCCGAACGATCTTATATGACGAACGACCATGTACATTACGCAAAATACATCACAAGTGCAAAATCTCGAGGTTTCTAACCGCTCGCAAACGCCTTGACCAAACCCTTTCCGGCCTCGGCAGCCAGACCTTTCGCGGCGTTATCTACGGCTCCTAGGCACAACATCAAGTCCAAACGGCTGGGGTCCTGGATCTTGCGAGCAGGAGGTTCCGCGACATCCGGCAGAGGCGCAAGCCCCTGTTTCTTTCTCAGCTCATTCTCCTGCTGCCTGCTCTGGACGGCTTGGTCGTGCTTGCTCTTCTCTCGTCCAACTTGACGCAACTGGTAGGCCAGATTGTTCTGCTCGGTCGATAGGTTGGTCAATTGAGAGAGGGTGTTGCTCAAAGACAGGGGAAGAGATGTAGCGGTGGTGTTTTGGAGAGGGAGGAATGTCGAGGGGAGGACGGTGTTCTTGGCCTCTCGCAAAGAGGGCGAGGCATCGGCCGGGGTGGACATCTCGGCAAAGAGAGCGTTGAGAAGGGCAGGGTTCTTGGTTCGAAGCTTCAGAGGCTGAAGGATAGTGGAAGGAGCAAGACGGTGTTCGATCAAGCTACGAGTACGGGATATGACGGGGTCAGGCGTCAGTCGAGGCCATGTAGAGTTGAGCTATTCCAACTCACCTTTGAGTGTCGAACTTTTGCTTCCTCAAGGCAGCAGCGAATCCGTCGGAAAACTTGTATGCCTTGATCGAGACGTCACCAGCGGAAGATCGGGCGGCGTCTTGAGGAAGGTCACAATTCATAAGTTAGCGTTACGAATGCTGCGTCAAAGACCTTCCCGCACTCACCGTGAACAATCAGCACAGCCCTGCTACCACCTTTTCCACTCGACCCCCGATTTCCTCCCATCCTCTCCACAGCGGCCATGAGTTCGATAATACCCTTGATCAAGAACCCACTTCCGGGGGCCAAGCCGGCCAAGTTTTGGTTGTTAGGGTCTTTGCTTCCCGAGATGGTCGAAGAGGGATTAAAGGTCTCGGAGATAAGAGTCGAGAAGAGTGTAGGGGAGTGAAGGGTGAGGTAGATCCCGATGGGAGAGTCGAGCAGGGCGACTTCCCGCAAGTGTCGCAGAAGGTTTTGAGCGAAGGGGGCTAAATAGTAGCATTATTGTCAGCTCAACCGCGAAGGCTACGGGCATGACTTTCAATGAACTCACTCTTTTCAGTATCAGCACCGGTTCCGACAGCGTTCAAGGCTCCCTGAACGCCTCCAGGAAGAGGATAGCTGTCCACAATCTCGGCAACTCCGCTGAGATCTAATCCGAGCAAGAGACCCACAGCGTCGACGGGGCTGGGGTTGGAAGAAGAGTTGGAGCCGCTGGGGTCGGTAGAGTGTTTGAGGATCTTGAGCAAAGGCTGGAAGAAGAATATTTCGTTCTCAGTCGAATGGCACGACCTGATTTCCTTTGACCTGCCACGAGACTTACGGTGCCTCCGACCTCTACCTCGTTGATAGGGATGTCACCTTCGACATCAAGAGCCTCTTCGAGTCTGGCAGGAATGTTGCCAGATCCGGCAGACTGCAGAGGTCGCGAGCCGAGAGCTTTTCCTTGAGCACCACCAGCTTGGTTGATCGAGGTCTGCTGAGACTGTCGGGCGGATGCCGCAAGCTTCTCGGCGAGCGAGGTGGGTTTTTGGGACTCGACTCCTGATGACATTATTGTCTCTTGAATTTCAGGCAGATGTCGATATGATCTAGACGAGTCTATCGATCGAGTTTTGGGTGGGATATGGTATCAGAACGAGACGTCGAATGTCTCTTTTGTCGCTGGGATCGCTGGTGAAGAGCGAGAAAATACCGCCAGAGCGAGGGAAAGGAAAGGGAGGGGGAGGACGCATAATAACGAATATTCATTCTCACGTTCACATCAATCAAAGTGTTTCACTTTTTGGACATTCGAGAGGATCTTTGCATCCGCCGCTTCCCTCCCTAGCCCTCCCCCCCTTCCTCTCTCCCGATCATTCGATCAGCAAAGCTCATTCCGACCTTCGACCACCTACATATGCTACATACACATATGCATACGTACAACAACAACAACGATCACTTCGAGTCATCTCTGTCTTTTCAGATCCACTCGACTGACTGACCCTTTACTTCCAGCAAGCCGAGGAGCGTTCAAGACTACTCAAAAGCACACCATACACATGTGGGTCTTTCATGAATGGCAGCACCACTACCTTTCCCGACCGGTTTGTCGGTCGATCCGCTGATTCAAGACCGCATTGGACTCTATCGATACAGCCTAAAGTTCGAAAATATTTGTTAATCTGCCATGTCGGACCATGAACAAGACGATGTACGTTTCGAAAGGTACGCAATCGTCGGGTCATGATGTTGACTGATCGTGGCGGCGGAATTTCTCAGGAGGCGGTCTCCGGATTCGAGGTAAGAACATGATCGCCGACATGTTTCTCGTGACTATCCACTGATTTCGTTTCGGGTAGAGCGTGGATGAACTCCAGTCCCAAGGTATCAACGTGCAGGACATTAACAAGCTCAAAGCCACCGGTATCTGCACCATCCTGTCCGTGTCCCAAACCACTCGACGCAACCTTCTCAAGATCAAAGGCCTGTCTGAAGCCAAGGTAGAAAAGCTCAAGGAGGCCGCAGCCAAAATGTTACCTCCCACTTTCGCTACGGCAGCCGAGATCGGTCTCAGGAGGGAATGTTGCGTGATGATCACTACTGGAAGCAAGACCGTTGACGCGATGTTGGGCGGTCAGTAGTGCGGGGTAAGGCAGATTCGATTTCGATTAGCTCTTACCGCGGTTGAGATATTTGAGCAGGAGGGATACAGACGGGCAGCTTGACTGAGGTCTTCGGAGAATACCGTGAGTCGCTGTTCATCTTGGATCGAAGATCACGCATGTATTTATCAGAAACCTTGCCCGTCCCAGGTACTGGCAAGGTGATTCCAGCGGATTTCGCGATACGAGACATCTTTACATTGACAGATCAGGATTTCTGTGACAGACACAATTGGCTCATACCATGGCAATCACGTTAGTTGAAGAGCAGCTTTGGAGAGGATCGACACAGGTTCAGGTCGGCTGACTTCCTCTTGGAGCAGCACCCAGCTCCCTCTCGAAATGGGTGGTGGAGGGGGTAAAGTCGCGTGGATTGGTAAATCGACACAGGGAAATGACGAGCTTTAAATCGCGCTGAAATATGTGTTGTATATCAGACACCGAAGGGACGTTTCGCCCGGAACGGCTCAACGCGATCTGTGACCGATTTGGCGTTGACACGACGGCGGCGACCGGGTGAGCGCGTTCCCAGAACGTGATGTATCAACAACTGAGCCTTCAAGTCGCCCAATACAGGAACGTCATTTGCGGCAGAGCGTATTCCTCGTCAGTAGCCGGTAGGAGTTGAGGATACATGAGAGCTGAAGATGAAGTCCCTTTTCAGGGAGCAACAACATGACATGTTGTTCGAGTTAGCGCAGAGGTGCGTACCGTAGCGCAGAACAGATCGCGTCTCGACGCTAACTGACTCTAGCGGAAACACTTGTATCATCAGATTCGTTGAAGATCGAACCTTCAAACTTCTGGTCATCGATTCGGTGATGAACCTTTTTCGCAAGTCTTCTATTCGACATGCAGGGACTCGATCGGTCGCTGATGAATAATATCCGGGTGACATGCAGGTTCCGATTTCAGTGGAAGAGGTGCGCGGGATTACCGGATGAGGCATCGCTTCCGATTCTAACATCTTATCTTTCGCTATTTCGCAGGTGAACTGAGTGAAAGACAACAGGTAATTGATTCTTAACTTCCGGAATATATCGAGTTTGAATCTCATCACCCGACAGAAATTAAATGCCTTTTTGTCGAGACTCGCGAAAATGGCAGAGGAATTCGTAAGCTTGTCCAGCACGAACAAATGTCCGAACAACATGATGACGCTCAAATCTCTAGAATATCGCTGTACTCATGACCAACCAAGTCAGTGATACTTATATGCAATAATCAATCAAGAAGCTCATCACAGGGGTTGAAGTGACTGCAGGTACAAGCCGATCCCGGAGCCACGGCGATCTTCGCGGGCCCAAGTGCTAAACCTATCGGAGGGTGAGCGATTACCCTGAAGATATGCGATCGCGGTTAGTTGGGCTGACTGATGTTTCTCGGTCGATTTATCCTGTACAGCCACATTTTGGCTCATGCGTGAGTGTTCTGGTAGCGCAAAAAGAAACATATACGACGCCAGGCACTGAAAATAGTTTGACGCGATCTCAACAGGTCTGCGACTAGGATTCAGTTGCGGTATGGATTGTGTTGGTGCAGGAACCGGTTTATTGTTCATAATTAACTTGATGAACCAAAACTCCGCAGCAAAGGACGTGGGGAAGAGCGGATCGCGAAATTGGTAGACAGCCCTTGTCAACCGGACGGCGAGTCCACTTATGCCCTAAGGGTAGGGTAAGTGTACTCCTAAGCGCGACCTAGACCGTCTACAATGTACTGACGGAAACACTATCTGGCCTATACAGCGGTTGGGAAGACGTCTAAGTGTAGGCTCCGCGAGAAAACAAGGGAGAACCGGACGGCGAACATATAGGATCACATCATTGTATCTCAATCATTTCTTTTTACGCTTCGGCCAAGAGCCGGACAGCTCGTATGCCGAGCAAAGAATGTCACAGTCAGGAATACATACGATATTTTAAAGCTCCGCATTCTGTCCCACTCACTCAGGTTCGAGTCTCAGAGGTAACATGCTATCGCTATCCACGAGAACAGCATGGGACTGGGTCTCACGAAGCGCGACTCACGTGAGTAGCCGGGCAGCAGGCAGATCTCTCGTAAGCACGAGGTTTGCATCCGCGAGCCCGGTCATCGATCGGCCTCTCAGTAATTTCAGGCTTGCTCGAATGCAAGACCGACGCTGATACGCTGATGCTGTTGCAACAAGAGGTGTGCAAGCCAGCCTTACGCACGCCTTCTAGCACCACGAGAGACCCAGAATATAGCAAGATGGGTCCTCCTGTCAGACAGAGATATAATGCGAAAGCGCGACAATCTACGATCGGGGGATTAGCACACAAGAAGCGTCGACGCAGTACGGTCAATAACGAGGATGTTCCCGTTGGTACCCTTGCGAGCGAGGCTCCGGCCGAGCTGGATATGATCTCGCCCGGGCAAAAGGAGACGGAGAGACAGTCTAGACTTGAAGCTATGCGACGTGAGATCACGGACCAAGGCGAGCAACTCAGCTCGAAGAAGCGGAAACGGCTAGACGCATTCATAGTTAGTCTCAAATTCTCTATCGTCTCACGGTCGACAGACGCTGACCTACTTTGAACTCGCCTCAGAACAAGAAACTCAAGCAAGAATCTCGTTTGGAGTCTCTGGAAACTATTGCGAACTCTTACAAGCTCGCCGGATCGTCAGGCGGAGCTGGACCGTCATCTGCGACCATCGCTTCGATAGCCTCGAGGTTGAAATCGACGTCTACTCTAGGTCAATTTCCCTCCAACCCTCTTAGTGCCCAGCAGAGAGTCGACAAGCGCGAAGACTTGGATGTCAGGAGAGCAATGCACAAGACTGCTCAGCGGAATGGAATCACCTACGACGATGATGTTTCGGATGCAGACGACGATGAGCATACATCAGCTCACGGAGCCGGTGAAGGCCTTGGGCATAGACAAGCTAAACGCCTCAAGAAAGCCGAGAAGAATGGGATAATCGTGGATGTCGACCAGCAGGACGAAGTTGGCTCATCGTCCGATCCAGTGAAAGGCAAGGTACATATCACGAACAAGGCCAAGATGAGGAGAGTGAAAAAGGTGAGCGATATTTATCGTTGAGGAGGGGCGATAATCTTGCTTATGCTTGAACTTGTACTAGGACAAATGGGGAAATCCGATCATCGTTACAAACCATACCGAGTCAGAACTGGATGACAGCACCGATTCAGACGGCGAACAAGGGAACCAAGCGACTAGTCCTGAAGACGCCGATCTGGAGAAGCTGTTGGCGATGGCAGTAGAGGAGGACTTGCCGGTCGGGACTGTGAAGCCTGATTCGTCCATCCCATTGAGTTTATCACTAGGTTCCGCTCTGAAGCGGGCTCCCGATGGGTCTGTGATAGGACCGAAAGTGGTGGTTCGAGCCGCGAAAGTGAAAGTAAGTCATCTGGCTGCAGGTCTATTCGTTCTTCTGTTGATCGGTCTCAAGCATAGACCACCCGAATGTCTGGAGCAGAAAAGAGACTGCTGAGGAAAAGGCAAGCTATGTTGGACGCTGCTGACGAAGACGAAACGGACAGCGACGAGGATGAAGATGATGAAGATGAGGATGAAGACGAGGATGTTGAGGACGATGACAGCGAGGACGACGAAGACGTAATCGTGCGTGCGGAGAGTCGTTCAGCAAACAGCGGTCCGTCAGACCTGAATTCAGGAAGCGAAGCCGGCGTCGAGTCTGATGAAGAAGGCGATCTTGAGATTGCCGAGGGCTCCGATACCGGTTCCTCCGACTCGGAAGCCGACCCTACGATGAACGATCTTGCAAAGCAGAAAAGGCCCAAATTCCGACAATGGGCACTGCAACAAACCGGCGTCAACCTTGCTCCTGACTTGCTTGCTCTGAACAAGCCGTACGTGGAAGGACCATCGTCCGGGCCTAGCATGCCGAAAGTAGGACCTCTCGGGGAAGAGTACAGCGTACCATCCACGTCTTTGCTATCGAGGGATGGCGGTACGCCAGAGTCCCAAACCAGGCAGAGGGTTCCCGGGGCTCGTCCTATCCTGAAACGTCGGCCATCAGTGGACGAGGCGCGACAACAACTGCCTGTCGTAGCCGAAGAGCAAGCGATCATGGAATCAATTTTGCTACATCCCGTGGTCGTAATCTGTGGGGAGACGGGAAGCGGAAAGACTACACAAATACCACAGATGCTTTATGAAGCTGGTTTCGGATTCCCAGGATCGGACAATCCCGGTATGATTGCTGTCACGCAACCCCGTCGAGTCGCTGCGGTCTCCTTGGCGGTCAGAGTTGCCTCTGAACTAAATCAAGGGCCAAAATCGAATCTGGTTGCACATCAAATCCGATATTCATCTACGACTTCGAAAGATACGGCGATCAAGTTCATGACCGATGGTGTGCTGCTGAGAGAGCTTTCCACCGATTTTCTTCTGAGCCGATATTCGGTTGTAGTGGTTGATGAGGCACATGAGAGAGGAGTCAATACCGATGTGCTGGTAGGAGTCTTAAGCCGCGTCGCCAAGTTGCGAGAGAAGCTGTGGCGAGAGAAAAAGGACGACACCAAGGTCAGTCGGTCTTTGAGCGATCCCTGTATCGAGTTGATGCTGATGCTGGCGGCGTTTCATCTTAGCCACTACGCATTGTTATCATGTCGGCGACGCTCAGAGTATCAGATTTCGCCGCAAATACCACCTTGTTCGCCAAACGGCCTCCCGTCATCGAGATTTCTGCCCGGCAACATCCCGTTACGGTCCACTTCAGTCGCAAGACAACAAACGATTACGTGACTGAGGCCTACAAAAAGGTCTCCAAGATCCATGCGAGGCTCCCAGCCGGCGGTATCTTAGTCTTTATGACGGGTCAGGGCGAGATCACCTCTCTCTGCCGAAAGCTCGAGCGTAAATTCGGCAAACGGGCGATTCAGGAACGTCAGAAAGCCAGGGACAAATCTCAGCAGACCGGCTTAGCTAGAGACGAAGCAGCCCGAGCATGGGAACTTGAGGAAGTTGACGCCGGTTCCACGACCGCAAAATCGGCCTCTCTCGTAGATGGTAAGCAAGAGCCATCAGATCGGCCGCTCTCATACATAGTTAACCGGTTGCATTGATCAGCTGCACTTGAGGTAGAGGACCTTGATATCGGATACGACGACGATCTTGCCGGCGATGTAGACGATGGTGAAGAGGATACTTCTCATGATCCCGAAGCACTCGATTCCGAGGAGGAGGATGATGAGGATGCGAGGCTCGGAATCGATACTGAGGAGTCAGAAGGTGAGTTTGTGCCGTTCTGGACCTGTTCGATTGCCACTGTGAAGCTGAGTTTTTTTATCGCCTACATGGCAAACAGTCCCCCTACATGTGCTGCCGCTGTACTCTTTGCTCCCAAACGAACAACAACTGAAGGTATTTGAGGCTCCGCCGGAAGGACACCGTCTGGTTATCGTCGCAACGAATGTAGCAGAGACTTCGTTGACGATCCCGAACATGAAATATGTCGTGGATACTGGACGAGTAAAAGAGGTCAGTCAACTAACAAGTTGTGGAAAGCGAATCGGGACACAAAGGACTGAAGACAATATGATGTCACCTATTCAGCGTCAATACGATCCGTCTTCTGGCGTGCAGACTTTCCGGGTCGCTTGGATATCCAAAGCGTCGGCGGCGCAGCGGGCGGGGCGAGCGGGTCGTACCGGACCAGGCCACTGCTACCGGCTTTTCTCCTCCGCAATGTTCGAGAATCACTTTCAAGACTTTTCGATGCCTGAGATCCTTCGGATGCCGATTGAGGGGATCGTACTGCAAATGAAGAGCATGAACATCGACGCCGTAGTCAACTTCCCGTTCCCGACACCGCCTGACCGCATCTCGCTGAAAAAGGCAGAGTCTCTGCTCACGCACTTGGGCGCTCTGGAAGCCACGACCGCTACGACAATGGTCAAGGGTATTGAAAAGACCGGGACCGTTGGTGGCAAGATTACGGCACTTGGGCGGTCCATGTCGAATTACCCGGTCACGCCGCGATTCGCGAAGATGTTGGTAATCGGCCATCAGCACGGTTGTATGCCGTATGTCATCGCGGTGGTTGCGGCTTTGTCAGTGGGGGACCCCTTCTTGCGGGAGGAAAGCTTAGGTTTCCAGCCAGGCGAAGATGAAGGAGAACAGCAAGATCTCGAGAGCGAGATACCCGAGATTAGCCACATCAAGAGCGGCGACATTCGAGAAAGGGAAGAGCGCAAGGCGAAGCGTCGAGCCTTTTTCAAAGCGCAGCAGGCAAGTCACATCTGGCTGTTATTTGTTCTCAATACGCTTCGCTGACCTTGTATCGTTTGCAGCGGTTCGCTACTCTAGGAAACGGAAGCAGTGATCTGTTCAAACTCATCGCCCTGATCGGGGCTTACGACTTCGAGGGGAGTTCACCTACTTTCTGCCAGCGCAATTTTGTTCGAGCCAAGGCGAGTCATATACTTCCGACACGTCAGCCCCCATGGTATTGATCAACAACCTACGACGTGCTATAGGCGGTCAAGGAGATTCAGCAGCTGAGGCAACAGATCACCTCGATCGCGACACAACAAACACCATCTCTGACGATGCCGGCCAAAATCAAGCCACCTAGCGATCTACAGGCAAGTGGCAGGTGGACCCAAATCATCACTAGCGATATGATTTCGTAGCTAACAAAGACGGTCATAACAGATGAAGGTTTTGCGACAAATTCTCTGCGCCGGGTTCATCGACCAAGTTGCAGTTCGGGCGGATCTCGTATCGAAAAACAAACCTGGCCAAAGATACGAAAACACCCGTGGAGTCGTCTACAAAGCTGTTGGAGTATCGGACGAGACCTTCATTCACCCTAGTAGCGGCATGTTTGGGGGTTCGCCACCAGATTGGATTGTCTTCAGCGAGGTGGTACGGACGAGTCGAGTGTGGTTGAGGAGTAAGTGCTCTCTCTTCCTAACGCCACCTTCGGCCCGCTGCCACATCGGCGCGTATTGACCATACTACCCTTTCTTACACAGCCGTCACGAAGATCAATCCAGCATGGTTGCCCAACCTTGGAAAGTCTTTGTGCACTTTTTCGCGGCCATTAGAGATGCCATCCAGCAGCCTTACCTCGAAGAGTTCCACAATTAAGAAAGGGCAGGACGCAGACACGCGAGAGGCCTTCGTGACGCCGCATTATGGAGATCTCGGCATCGACCTACCTATCGTCAAAGTAATGCAGAAGAAAGATAGAGGTCGGTGGATTACGCAAATATAGATGTCCTGCGATGAAAAAGTACAAGGCGGTTTGATAGACTGTTGCTGTGCGACTAGGGTCGAGCGAGTATGTAGCCATAGCATGTATTCATGTAGCGAGTCAACGCCCAATTGTTACCGTGTACGTAAAAAAGGTGCCGATACCGGATGCAGATTATTTCGGGCGGTGTTGAACGTTCGAGTCAAAATACATTCCCTTAACCCTTTGTGATAGAATGCACCGTACATCGAGCAATCTCGCCAACACCTTCCCGAGACCAGGATCACGATCGAACACCTCTACACTCCCTTGAAGCCGTTTAATCAGCCCAGACATTGCGACTCTCGGCATGAGACCGTAACGGCTATGCATTCACGAAATCTGACTTAGACCCAACTGTATCTCAACATCCCGTCGCATTCGCCTCGCACACCGGCCAGTCTCTGCCTGTCCTCGAGGCTGCGAAACTACAAAAGTCGCCAATCTATATGAGCTATGGTTGCTAGTAGACTATGGTCTGCGTATTGCGGGGCTCTGGTCCGCAAACCCCTTCAAACTCGGATGATAGCTTCGGGCACGCTATTCGGTGTCGGAGACATTGTCGCTCAGCAAGGATTCGAGCATCGGGGCTTGGAGCACGACCTACTTCGTACCGGTCGGACCGTCTTCTATGGTACCTTCATCTTTGCCCCGCTCGTCAATACATGGCTCGGGGTCGTGGAAAAGGTCAAACTTCGGAGCAAGGTTGGAACGGTCATCGCTCGAACAAGCCTAGACATCTTTTGCTGGGGAAGCTTTATCACCACCGTGTACTGTGAGTATTGACGCACGATCTGCAAATCGCGATATCCGTCCACGGTCTGAACATGACATGTACATGATTGTGATTCAGGGACGGCCACGGGATTTCTCGCTGGCAAATCGACTCAGCAGGTCAAGGACAGACTTGAACTCGTCTTTCCACAAGCCATCTTCACCTCGTGGACGGTATTCGGCCCGGCTCAACTTGTCAACTTTTCTGTCGTTCCACCATTGCACAGAATGCTCTTCACGCAGGTGAGCCCGGAGAGCGCGATTCTCTGTGATAGATCGACTGAGGTGAAACGTCTCTCTTACGCATACCAGGTAGTCGGCCTAGGCTGGAATATCTTCTTATCTATAGCAAACAACCGCACTAGTCAGACAGAGGCGATGAGGATGCGAGCGAAATCCCTCGCCGTCGATCAGATTGGTATCTAATCATTCCCAAAGATCGGGAAGGCTACGGCCACCCTCCAAATAGATGAGAAACCACGCGTGATAACGACCTGTTGTATCGGATAACCTTGACGCACTCGACGATACTTTCTTCGAATGCAACGTATCAGTTTCGCCTTGTACACACGATAGATGCGTAGATGTCGTCAATAGCTGCCTAGAAGTCGGGCGATACCCGCTCGACGGTGAAACAGTCTGATTACGTAAGTCGACCGTCGCGACCTTTGGGGGAAATCCGTGGTAGCGGTCGAGCGTTGTAGCGTGTCGGTAAACATCGAAGTTCGATCCATCAAGATTTGTATGCTAGCCAGCTACTATACAGCTTACCCCCATCTTCCTCATCCCTCACTCCCCTTCGAATCCTTCATCAACACGATTCGTGCTCGCTCGCCATGAAGCTGATTCGGGATGTTCTCGGCCTCGCCGGGATCGACGTGTCCGTCTTCGAGTTGATCGAAACTCACCTCTATATCAAGGTCGGCATACTCGTCGTCGCCCTCAGCCTGGGGCTGTCGCTCGTCTTTGCATCACAGAAGAACCTTCCCAATGCTGTGGCCGTGTTGCCTACCTCTTCCGACTTTCACCATGCCAAGCTGGTGCAAAAGGTTCACCTATCTCACAACACTGCGTTGTATCGGTTTCAAATTCCCCACCCCGTCGGACATATGCCTGGACTCTCGCCCGAACCCATCCTCGGTCTGCCTATCGGGCAACACATCAGTTTGACTGCTGAGATCAATGGAAAAGAGATTCAACGAAAGTACACGCCTACCACGCTCGACGGAGAGGACCCCGGTCATTTCCACCTGGTCGTCAAGGTTAGCAGCTGGTTTCCCGACGTCATTTAGTGACTTGAATTGACAAGGTGTCCTATAGACTTATGACCAGGGTAACATCTCCAAATATCTCTCGCTACTTACCCTCGGCCAGACCGTCAAGGTCAAGGGGCCCAGCGGAAGGTTCAAGTACGAGTACGTAGCATCGTCGTGTTATGTTGCAAATCCGACGACGCCTCTTACCGAATTCCCATTCCTGGCCAAACTACAGCAAGAACCTCGCCCCTCATCTTCTCATGATCGCTGGTGGTACCGGTATCACTCCTATGTACCAAATCATCAAGGCTTCGGTTCAGGATCCCGAGGACAAGACTCAGCTTCGACTCATTTACGCCAATGTCAACCAGGACGACATCCGTGAGTCGCGTAGCACCACCTATGCCACAATCACATCTGACTGAGAGCCTCTAAAATCTAGTCTTGCGGGATGAACTCAAGGGTCTCGAGCGAAAGGCTGCAGGCCGTCTCAAGGTTCACGTAAGTCTGCAGGGAAACCTGACAAGCTGAACGGAGGATGCAACTGACCTCGAACGGCCCCGCTTGCTACTCTAGTATGTCCTCAACAACCCCCCGGAGAAGTGGACTGGTGGAACTGGTTTCGTCACCAGTGACATGATTGAGCAGTACATGCCTGAAGGTGGGCCCAAGGTCGAAAAGAGCAAGGTCTTGCTATGCGGTATGTCCCGGATTCCGTCGCGTGCCTCGCTTCATAACAGGCTGACTCTTTGACGTAACAGGACCTCCTCCCATGATCGAGGCGATGAAGTGAGCTTCAGGCACTGAGCGTTTCTTGCGCGGATGATTGCTGACATCAAACGCTTCAATCGTGTAGACGCAACCTTGTTGGCCTCGGTTACCCTGCCCCGAAAGCTCTGTCCAAGCTTGAAGACCAGGTCTTCAACTTTTAGACATCATCATGCTTCCGCCGGAATATGTCACCAGGAGAAAAAGCTAGTGTCAACGCTCAGTTCGAAGTCGTGCTCTGTTATATGCTTGATTGAAGCAGCGAAAATAGAATTGTTCATACACGTTGCCCAAAAAGGGAAAGAAGCAGGACTAAGAACCACATATTATCCAACATTATCACTCAAGCGTCTCAGTTGATTCGGCAAGAGCTGAAGGTCGTAAACTAGACACGCTCCTTCTCGGTCTATTTACCCTTTTGCTTGGGCTTGATCTCTTCTTGCTGAACCTGGTGTATCATAACCTTGTTGAGGTTCTGCTGAACAGCACCGGTGTAGCCCCTCGACCAATCATAGGAAAAGGCACTGGATTGTCATGACCGTCAGAACGCGCCCAAAATATGGAATGGCGGGACACGATTGTACTTACTATGCGAAGAGGTTTGATTCTTTGCTGAAAGCGGTGGCAACAATAGGAGTCGGAGGGATCTTGTTGACGGTGTCGCCAGCGTTGTTGAGATCCTTCGGCACAAAAGCTAAAGCACGACCAGAACGAGACGCGTTAGTCCGGGTTTTCGACTGATTATTTTGCATTGATTTACTTTTGAGACGAGTTCGCAGATCCTTGTCCCTATGAGAATTGTTCAGCGTAAATCAGAAACCATACACATAGCAGACAGAATTGGCTCGCTTACCAGAAGCTCAGCGATCCATCACTTCCAGCAGTACTGAACGTTCCGTGTAGCCGGTTGAAGCTGATATCATTAACAGAATATACGGCAGTCTCGGTGGTTCGGTTCATCTGGTTGACCGTCACAGGTTCTCCTCGATGACACCTGAACGAGAAGTTCTGTCCACTGTCCTTGTCCTCGGCGTATCTGCAGGTCGGATGAGAAATAAGCCAGGGCTGAACCAGGATCCGTCCGGGAGTACTCACTGGATGGCCACTCGTCCTTCTACACTTCCGATAGCATACCCGTTACCGGCAGGAGATTTCGCCGGGAAACACGTAATCGTTCGAGTTTGCATTTTCAGGGGAGATTCTTTCGACTGTATCATTCGCATAGCTCAGTGCCCACATCCAGGCTTTACTTCCTTTGCTCGACGCTCACGCTTTTCACGACTCCAGGGTTGTTCAGGTCAACAATCGAGACGTTCCTGTCTGCTGTACCGAATACCTGGTACACGTACAAGCATCAGTATGAGCACTTGTTAAACCGGATGCCTACTGGACCTACCATCAACTTGTCGACAGCATCCAAGGCGTAGATCCGCTCTGTTGCGGTGATTGTTGCAATCGGATTCGGCTGCCTCATGTCCCAGTACTATGCAGCGAGGCAAGAACGCTTCAGTTTGACGCCGCTATCATGTCCAGCTGTTGAAGTGTTCGACATACCTTGACCATCTTATCCCACCCGGCCGTGACACAAACTCCCTGACCCTGACCGCTCGGCATGTCGAGCCACTTCACACAACTGATGGGTCCATCATGAGCCGCGATTTGGGTCGCTTGAGATGATCCGGTAGCAACATCGAGTATCTTGGCGGTCTTGTCGGCTGAACAGGTAAGGAGCTTGGTACCATCCTGAGTTCAGAAAGCGAGGTTGTCCCGGTGGTCAGCTTGTATCCTTCGAAAGGGTCGGTCCGAGACATGTTCGAAGGGTGTGTATGAAGCTGCACATCGCTGTACAGGCTCATGATACCAGGCTATACGACATCATCCATGGAGTTTCCGGAAACTTACCTTGGACCACGAGAGGTTCAAGGCGGGACCCTCATGTTGCACCGCTGCTTTTGGCGTGATCTGTCCCGTCGTAGCGTTGACCTCGTAAACTCGGACCTAGGAGACGACATTGCCAACAAGAGATAAGGAACACAAACATCGGCCCTCTCTGACACTGTTGCCATCAAGGTCCGCGGTTGCGACTAACCTGATTGTCCCAACTTCCAACGGCCAAGTAATCCACAACCGGATTGAATTCGATTCGCGTCACGGAATCCGTAGGACCCGGCTCCAACGGTACATCATTCGGCTTGGGTGCCGAGTTGAGGACGTTCATGAGGGGGATCTTACGGCGATGAGGGAGAGTATTGATAGGATGCAAAGGTTCCATAAAAGGTGGAGTGCCGACAGAAGTTTGTAGATGATTGATTGCTTCGGGATATACAGCCAGAGGGAACGAGAGGCCGTGCGTGCTGCTGAGGGGAGGGTGATGAACAGGTCACGTGATATCCTGTTCAACGTAACGTAGCGGGATGTGCCCAGACCGGCGTCCCCAATAATATGCAGATTCGTCACCCACCCATCACTTGATCTCTTGCTCTCTTGAAGCACATCTCTCATCTCCCTCAGCTTGGTATGCCCCGAATCGTAGAGTTTACTTTTGCCCCTGTGTCGACCGGGATAGCAACGATATGAACGCTTCGGGACCTGTACTGCCGGCCGTGCTTGCAAACACACAAACCCCGCATCAACCTTTTTTGCTCTTGCAAGACACATCGACATGCTCCGGAATACCCGTCTTGAGGCAGCTCATCGCGAGAAGCAGGGACAGGTAAGTGAGAAAGATGATTTACCTGTTGATCTCTGAAGCTTACCAACTTTGACCAACTTTCCCGATGACAGCGGGTCACCGATCATCCTTGTTTCAGCAATGCATAGACCGGAATTTCTGGGCATCGACGATGTAGCTGGAAAATCAACCATTAAAGTGCTCGATCTGACCAACACCATCCCCGGGTTTCCATCGAGCTCCCAGACCAAGGCTGTCAGTACGATAGATGACATCATATCCTGGATTCTTGCGTCATGCAAAGAGCTCGGGCGGAGTGTCCAGGTTTACATCGATGACATCGATACTCTGGCGGAAGATTATGGCTCTGTCTCTGCGATCGCGAAAATGGTCAAAGACGTGGTCAAGACTTTGGCGGGCCTTAAAGGTCAGTAGGACCACGCCCCTCGCGAAGCTCTGGCATATTCGCTTACCTATGTGAATAGCTCCTAGCCGCCTAGTCCTCCTATCCTCAACGTCTGGCTCCTCGCTACCCAATCTGATCAGCCCTACCGTTTCTTCCACTCTGACATCTATCATCGTTCATCCTCCCGAGACTATCTCTTCCTTGCACTCGGCATATCTATTCCCACCGCCTGTCTCTGGCGACCTTTCCGAAGCTGGAACGACCGGAGGTTCCCGGTTCAGAGGGATCTTGGAGAACGCTACCAAGCGGAACGAATCTCTGCGGTTGACGTTGACCGGAGAACTCGGAGCTTCCGTGGGCGATTGGGTTGGGGAAGATTCCATCACAAGTCCTGCAAACTACAGTGGTCAAAGTGCGGGCTCGACAGCTGGAGAAGCCTCCTCGTCGGCGACTACAAGCGGAGTAGTCGTCGAAATCCTGGTCCGTAAGGCCGCTGGGGGCGCGTCCAAGGGCATGGTCAGGAGACTGGAAGGTCTACGACCTAGCACCAAAGGCAAGGGAAAATCGCGTGTCTCAGAATGCGACCTGGAAGCATGCCGCTGGCAGGATATCAAGGGTTTGGAGTCGCTCGCATCGGGTTATCAGGCGGTCCGAACTCCAAATGAAGAAGCAGAGGGCGACAATAAGAAGAAAGATGAGGGAAAGGTGAGTTCTGCTCCAATGTGGTGACTGGGTCGTATCGATACTGATGAGTGCGAGCGCATGGAAATGACAGGCACATGTAGATTCGACCTTCAACCTAGGCTTGACGGACGCGCAACGAGCATCGAGGGCCGAAGTGCCGATACCTTATGCACACGAAGGTAAGTTGTTAATCGACTTGATGCAGTCACAGTTCGTTATGGAAAGCTAACGTTCAGTCAACGCGTTCGTTCTGATTCCAGGTGATGACACTCCCGAGAGCAAGCGGTACGACACCACACATACCGGGGCGGGTATCATCTTTGAACCAGGGTCAGACGATGATATGGACGACGACGATCCCGACGACGATTTAGATTTCTGAGAAAAGGTTGTACCACCGCTTTGGCCGCCGTTGCATGGCTGTCGTTGTGTGAGCATTTGAGCGGTATCATTTGCTTACGTAATAGGTGTCCCGGAGACAAATTTCTTTGATTTTGTCCGAGATCCAAGCTACAAGCTAGCAGCTAGCAGCTAGCAATTGCATTAGCATGAATTGTGAGACACGAGACACCGGACCTTGTCCTTACTTCTCCTACATCTGCATATTCCAACATCTCATAAGAATAGCTAATATGAAGCTCGACGCTACTGAATTGAGATATGTGCTGCCGGACGAGTTCCGAGTGCTGCAAGCTGTAAGACCAGTCTCGTCGATCTTTCGTTGCCTCCACCTTCTCACTGACGGATGTGATACGACCAAAGGTCGAGACGGGCTCTAAGAATCATGAAGTTGTACCTACCCAGTTGATCGCTCAGCTTAGTAAAATCACCGGAGGAAACGTCAACAAGTGTTTAGGCAGTCTCGCCAAGCGAGGTTTGGTTTCCAGGGTACAAGGAGCGAAATGTGAGCTCGTAACGCTAAGTCGGACTGTGGCGACACTGTGACTAATATTCTGCCATCATGCAGACGATGGTTACCGTCTGACCTACGGAGGTCTGGATTGGCTTGCTCTGAAAGCCTTTTCGAAACGTGGAACGGTTACCTCGGTCGGACAGAGGATCGGTGTTGGTAAAGAAGGAGATATTTCCATCATCAAGGGGAAGGGCACCAACGCATGGAATGAAGACGAACTTGAAGAGCAGGAGATCCAGACGACTGGTGAGGAGGAGACGAGAATCTTGAAGATCCATCGGTATGCTTTTGTGATGGGAGTCGTGATGTCAAACCGGTACTAAATCCTCGTTCTGAACAGATTGGGACGAATATCGTTCAGAGCAATCAAGACGAAGCGGGACTACCTAGGAACCAGAAAGTCCGCTAGCTGGATGTACATGTCTCGTCTCGCTGCCAGGAAGGAATGGGAGTTCATGAAGGCGAGTTGATCTTTGAGCGTACAATACTACCAAGAGACGCGGCGGCTGAGCGTAACCGTTCTTGAACAGGTGCTCTATGAATATGGTTTCCCCGTGCCGGAGCCCTTTGATCAAGGAAGACATTGTATCGTTATGTCGCTTGTTGAAGGATTTCCTCTGTGAGTACACCGCCTCGATAAACAGTACAATAGTGCTAAACAGCTGGATCTTCAACCATTTCAGACGACAAATCTCCGAGCTACCCTCTCACGTGACTCCAGCCCTCCTCCAAGCGAAATTGATGCAGCTCATCGTACGATTGGCTCGAGTTGGTTTGATCCATGGAGACTTCAACGAGTTCAACGTCATGATCAAAGACAAGTCTTTCGAGCCGGTAGTCATCGATTTCCCTCAGATGGTCAGCGTTGGACACGAGAACGCGGAATAGTGAGTCGAACTTGACGACTCACTCAGGTAGGAAACGTTTAACACAAGTCTTCAATTCAGCTTCTTCAATCGCGATGTGGAATGCGTGCGGAGATTTTTCCGTCGTCGATTCCGATACGAGTCAGACGAATGCCCGGATTTCCGACAGACCATGGCTGATCTTGCGGATGAACTGGCGGGCCGAGCGGAACCCGAAAGCGGTCTCGATCCGGAGCTGGACGACGATGAGGTTTTCGAGAGATCTGACAAGACGATCCTCGCACGTCGTGGAAAGGTCAGACTGGACGAACTGGTAGAAGCCAGTGGCTTTGCCAGGAACATGTGGCAGGATCTCGAACAGGTCAGTTTACCGAATTCGTGATGCCCTTGAAGCTTATTGACCCATACTGATTGTTCGTTTGGCATGTACAGTATATGAACGATGTGTCTGCTGAGCCCGGTGAAAACGACGTCTCGAGTGAGGGAGAAAGCGAGGATGATGATGAGGATGAGGGGCAAGAGCGCCTGAGCCGAAAGTTGAAAGCCAAGATGTCTATCGCCGATGGAGACGAGGCACCAGAGCTGCACGACAACGATGAAGACGACAGCGAGGAGGACGATGACGACGATTCGGAAGAGGAATCATCTTCAGATGAGGAAAGCATCATCACACCTTCGACGACGGCAACGCACAAGCGAAATCTTCGGGATCCCAAGGCGCTTCAGAACATCGTCGCCGGGGATATCGCTCGGGCTCGCTCCAGCGCCGAGAAACAACACCACTCGAAAAAGGCTCTTCACTCTGCCGGGAAAGCAAAGGGTTCCAAGTGGAAATCGAGTCCCTCCATCATGGTCGGGAAGAGCGGGGACAAGTCTGGATGGTCGTGATTCTTTGGTATAAATGCATATCTGTAGCGTTCGTACCTGTCTATGTCTATGATTGGTTGTAACAACATGTATAATTGGCGTCTGAAAAATCGAGCATACGAGAAGCCGTTACGCATCTATCTTCTTCTCGTCTTTCAACCTGCCCGCCGTGTCGAGGATTTCTGGCCGGCGACCCAGTGCCGCGGCGACTCCGCTGTTACTCAGGTATTTCGCATAGCTCGGCTCGACGAACATTGCTTGCGCCATTGCTAACGTTTCACCCTGGAGATCTTCCATTGTGCCGCTCACATTGACCTTGCGTCCATTGACGCTGTCGAACTTGGTGCGGATAACAACGAACTGGACATAGGGTAAAGTTAGCCTCAAATGCTCGCTAGACACGAACGGAACGGCTGACTTACTTGATCAGCTTTAGTGGGCTTCTTGTACTGCATGTTGAGCGTCGCGGTAACTCCAATGTTTGAAGGGATATTAAGAAGAGCCTGAAAGGGGCCTCTCATCAGTCTGCTTGCCGAGGCGCGCTAGAAACCGCTGGTCGTACGAACATTTCGACCCAAAGCCTCGTCAAAGATGGTGGCAATCATTCCACCGTGAATGATACCATCGTGACCGCAAAGACTACGTCCGAGATGCAAGATCAGGACCGCTTCCGATTCGTCCGTCTTTACAAACGCCAGGGGAGGAACCGCTAGCATTCCGGGTCCACGCAGGATGGATGACGTGAGCGAGTGTTCGTGCATCGGTTTGGAGGCAGGGCCTGCAGTGTGACTGGTTGTCAGTCATTCACCATATTACCTTACTATAACTCGTATCAACTTACGGCACTCGTACCATTCCGCCGCATCACCTCCAGCTGTCTTTTCACGTAACTGCTGAACGAGGTCCAACTTTTGGATCTCCTGTTCGAGTCTTTCAACGTGAGCCTGACCTTCAGGGGTTTCGACACGCATCGGTGCAGGAGCCTTCCGTGGGAAGAGTAATGAGAGGGTTGCGGGTGGGTATATGCTCCCCAAGAGGTAAAACGTTGAGGGCAGTACGAGCAGGAGGGCTGGAGCGAGAAAAGCCGAGGGTGTTGACGAAGTTCAGATCGGTCGCTCTACATCGCTCTCGTCTTCGCCCGCTGCTGCAGCTCACCGATATTTGTATAGGTCGACGAAGCCCGTTTTTGACTCGGTATACTACGAGAACCATGTTCCCATCGTTTCGTCCTGACACCGTCTGACGGCGATAAAATCGTCGCGGGCTTGGTGATGACAGTGGTACGGTTATGGTGAGTTAACCGGGAGATGGCACGGGACCCGTAGGCTTTTGGGAGGGTCGATCGGGTGTCGATGACCTTGAAGCCTGACCTGAGCCCGCACAAGGGGCGAGTATACCATGACATCCTGAAAGCTGGATGCTGAGCCTCGAGATATCCTCGAACCCTACTGTCTTGTGCCGACGACCGACCTCGAAATGTTCTCTTCCAGCTTCCAGGAGCTCTGAGTTCGACATCGAAATAGCGAATGTGTCGCGTAGGGGACGGAAGCAAATGACGAAAGATTCCGCCAACTCGTGGCTCGAGAGATCCGAGGTCACCATCGGAATGCACAGAGAGTAGCCGATTTACATCCGGGGAGAGGGTGGGTGCAGCTGAACATCTAGCATCCAGCTAGCTAGTAGCTAGTAGCTTGGGACATGTGATACTTCGACACCTCGACTTGAACACTCCATTCTCACAGCATAGTCCTAGGCTTCGAACCTGTCGCTATACTTGGTCTTTTTAGCGTGCCATTGTCGTCGCTCGCTCTGTATCAAGCAATGTCCTCCAAGAGGGCAACCATTCATTACCGGTCATTGAGGTCCAACCTCGTACATCTACCGCTATCCATCTACTCAGGACTCGTACAACAAGGAACTGTGAGTAAAGCGTATTACTCCGAGGCGGTCGAACTTGAGCTGATGAGACTCTTGTTCTGGTCGATAGCGCCCTCAGTCCCTGATCATACATCTCAGCATCCAATCTTCCAGGTCGCCCAGCTCGGTCAAGCAAGCCTACTTAGGATGGTCTGGGCTTTCATCCGCGTCGTCTCTTTCGATGCAGCAAGCAGGTAGAGGGAAGCAGGGTTTGGAAACCGTAGAAATGGACCCTGATGTCGCAAGAGGGCTCGGCTGGGCGGACGGAGAGACTGTACGTAGCAACTTGATCGCTGTAGAGACAGGGCTAGCTGACCGGGGGCAGCGACGTTCTAGGTAGAGATCGCTATCATTCGCAATCCGTCAAGGGCGAAGAGCGTTAGCGTGACGCCATTGACTTCAAATGATTGGGAAGTCTTGGTGAGTCCCTTGATTTTCCCCTTCCTGCAGGCGGATACTGAGTCGCGTCATATGCTCGCTGCGGTATTATAGGAACTACACACGAACTACCTAGAACAGAATCTTCTTTCGCAGCTCCGAGCCGCTAGTTCTGATAAGGACCGAACTATTAGTGTCTGGGTCAACGGGAAGACAAAAATCAGCCTCGTCGTCGGTAAGTCTAACTAGCCTCTCCTTGTACACCGTTACAACCCTTACTGACAACGCTTGTTGGTCTACGTCAGACGAGACGAACCCGCCTACAGAGCCTACCACCGCCGTGCTGATCAATCCGGACACCGAGATCTTTGTGGCTCCTCGACCTCGACACAAATCCAAGCCGAATGGGGGGAAGGCACCCAAATCTGGCCAGTCCGACGAACAGGTGCAAGCGCAGAAATCGAGCACTGGGACGAAAGATGACAAGAAGCCGCTGGCTAGCATCAAACAGGCAACAGATACCGCAGAGCCTTCTGTATCGACTTCGACGACGGCTTCGCCCAAATCCTATCCGTGGCTGACGGACACAGCCAAAGATCCTCCAACGACGGTCGAAACCCTCCCGTCGATGCACCTTAGAAGCATTCCGCCTGCCATCTTCTGCCAGTGGGACGATTGTCTCCGGGCGCTGGAAGGCGAACTTCAAGCCGATCAGAATGGTCCAAGCGGATCAGGTCTCGGCGATGAGCGTCGTTGGATGATTTGGGCCAACAAGAAGACACTCAGGAGATTCGAACGGAAAACTAGAGCCAAGAGTACAGGCGACCGGATATTGGTAGAAGCCGTTGCGAGCCCTCGGCCAATAGTCGAATTACCACGAGATGCAGAGACCGACGAAGGGGAACCGCCTGAACCTCGACCCATTAGGAAGAATCGGAAAGCCGTCATGCGGGCTCTTGAAGGTATGCCAGTGGATCAGGTCTTTCTCTGGCCGATATGGGGAAGCGAAGGCGATGTCGACTCCGCATGGCGAATAGAAGATTGGGACAAGATCTGGTGAGTACCCAACCTGTGCGAGTTTATTATTGGGGCCGAAGGGTCTTTGGCGTCCCGTTAACCCGTGCTGATCGGATTGCTCTTGTTGTAGCTTGATATCGCCTGATATCCCCAGAGAAAAGATCTCTTCCCGCAAACGGATGGGAACTCTGGTCAACATCGACTCACTCGTGAAGCAACAGCAAGCACTGGGCCGGGCAAGCCAAACACTAGCCGGCGTCGGTGATATCGTCGCTAGATGCGAGGATTACATGACATGTTCAAGATACTCAAAAAATGGTAAGTCTAAACTTCGAGTAACAGGCAGGAAACAACGGCCTGGTTTTCTTACCGTCATGTATACCTTTAATAGGTAAGGCTCTCCTCTTGACGGCTGGTAACGGCATAGGGAAAACAACAATCGCTCGGGAGATCGCCCGGCGCATGGAGGTCAACAAAGATACCACACTTAGTGAGTGTGCCTTGATCGGAAAGTTCCGTCGATGAAACACCAATCCTGAATCTTCGATATAGAGACACACTATGTCGATTGTAAGGCAGCCAACATACCCGGAACTCTCAAGGGCATGAGAGAAGTGCTGGATGGATGGCTCGCCCTTGGTACTGCCGTTTCCACCCTAGTGATATTTGACGACCTCCACTCCGTGGTCAAGGCAGAAACAGAGGTAAGGGTATTTGCGACCTGGACGTTGTACAGCAAGCTGATGCCACACCCGCCGTATAGCAAGATGACAACACGCATACTCGTGCGACTGCAGAGCAGGCTCTATATGTTCTTCGCGAGTTGGCCGGACGAGGTGTATCTGTTCTCGTAACAGCTACTTCTGTGATGGACCTTCATCCGCTGTTGCGAACGATGCACGCATTCGGTCAGACTGTAGAGGTCAAGTCTCTCGATGCAATTGCGAGGCAAAAGGTAAGCTTCGGCGCGATTTTCATGCTCGACGACCGCTTGATGCAATGTCACTCTCTCAGATCTTTGAGAGTATTGTCCGTGCACGAACAGCTGGATCTGCTGGTACAGCAAGCTCAATTCCGCAGGAGAAAGCAAGCTTGGATTTCGTGTCACTTTCCTATCTGGCGGAAGGTTATACGCCTGCAGACATCCGGGATCTGGTGGATAACGCAATGCAAAATATGTTGATCAGGATGATGGAAGGCTCTGAGGAGGTAAGTGGTTCCGTTGATAAGCCTGCTGGTCGGTAACCTCGCTTATCAGGACTTGCGAACACAGAGACGCCTGGTTCAAGACGATTTTGCCAAGGCAGCCCAGGAGTGCAAACCCCGTTCTTTACGTGACGTCAAACTTCAGAGCTCACAGATCGCTTGGTCGGATATCGGAGGTACGTGCTAAAGGACAAAGCTTGCCCAATTACCGCTAATTGGAGGGATCTCACAAGGCCTACACGAAACGAGACGCGTTTTACGCGAAACGTTAGAATGGCCGACGAAATATGGAGCGATATTTGCAAAATGTCCGCTCAGATTGCGTTCCGGGTGAGTGATATTGAAATCCTCAAGTGCGCAGGGTGCTGAACATACTGGATGTAGCTTGTTGCTTTACGGCTATCCAGGCTGCGGCAAAACTCTTTTGGCTTCGGCTGTTGCGAAAGAATGTGGGCTTCATTTTATCAGTGTCAAAGGACCGGAACTATTGAACAAGTATATCGGAGCTAGTGAAAAATCGGTTAGCAGCTGTCTCTTTGATGCGCAAATAGTGCCCTAGCTGACTTCCACCTTGCAGGTCCGTGATATCTTCGCTCGAGCTGTAGCAGCAAAGCCGTGTGTACTGTTTTTCGATGAGTTCGACTCGCTTGCACCGAAGCGGTGAGTCATCTCGCTTGAATCTATATCGAACTCTTCTTCATACGGATTTGTTTGTGGGGTCGCAGAGGTCACGATAGCACTGGGGTTACCGACAGGATTGTGAATCAGCTCCTGACGGAGATGGACGGTGCCGAGGGTTTAGACGGGGTATACGTCCTGGCAGCGACCAGGTGAGCGCAGAAACAATCCTGCTGTCTCTGCTATGTGGTACTCAACTCTCGAAACCTTGTGACATGTAGTCGCCCGGACCTGATTGACGGGGCCCTTCTTAGGCCAGGACGACTGGACAAAAGCCTGCTTTGCAATATGCCGGACGAAGAAGAGAGGCTAGACGTGAGCTCACTCCTACAGCAAGGTGAAAGTGATTGCATTGCTAAACAAAGCTCGATCCAGATCCTCCAAGCTCTCACACGAAAGCTGCAGCTAGGCTCGGAATTCGACCTGTCTCGGCTGGCAGCAAAAACCGCCGGGTTCTCGGGCGCGGATCTGCAATCGCTCATCTCAAACGCTCAGTTGGAAGCGATTCACGATGTACTCGACATGCCCGACGGCGACCCGCGATCAACGACAGGTGCCGCTAATCTGAGTCCAGCCCAGCTGAGGCTGTGGCAAGACAAGGAGAGGTCGATGAACGTCAGTCAGAAGTCGGACTTACTCAAGCAGGTAAATAGGGCGGCTTCGTGTGTGGCTCAGTCCAGGTGCTGACCGCGAGTAACAGGTTGAATTGGTCCTCGGTGACAGAAGAGAGAGAACAACCAAGGCAAGCTCGCCGAGTCAACGCCGAGAAAAGGTCGGTGATAACGATGGGATACATACAGGTCAAGTAGCTCAGATCCTACTTTTGCGTAGCCATATATCAAGGACGCCCATTTGCAGCGCTCCCTGGGAAAGACCAGACCGTCGTTGCCCGAGGCTGAAAGATCACGCTTAGACACGATGTGAGTGGAGTCTTCGGTCATTGTTCAGACCCTGTTGCCTGAAACTTTGGTACATCGTGTCATAGCTATCGCAAATTTGTGGGCGGTAGCACGGGTCCACTCCCGAACGGCGAGGTGGCCTCAGGTATCGGGAATCGGGCTTCCTTGATGTGATTGAACGGTACCGACTGCCGATGCTACAAGAGAGCCGTTGATGATTGCTTGTAGTCCAGTCACAGCAGACCCGGACATTGGACTAGACTTATTCAATCGTGCTTGTCGCATACAATTTTGAAGGCTTTTCATGCTCCTATAATGATACAAATAGCTCTCGAATTCCTGTAATCACCCCTTCAATCTGGGTAGTGATCCCGCTCAGTGGAACAACTTCTTCTTGATTTTCCCCTCTTCTGGCTGAACCTTGATATGCTGATGGTGGTCTCTGGCGCCGCCAGGATGTGAACAGCAGGCAATGCTCTGGAGCCATTCGTCTCCGTGATCCTCATCGCCAACCTCTTCGATTTGCCTTTGTATCGCTGGCGTGTAGAACTCCCCACCACAACCGTCGGCTCCACATTCGCAATGCAATCCGTCTTTTCCCCTCCCGCGCAACAGTTCTGAAAGTGTACACCGTATAGTCGGCTCGACGGAGAGCATTCGCGTGAGGGCCGGACGACATTCTCGAGGCAAGAGCCGGAAGATGGAATCGGCTCCGCCGGCATTGAAAGTCGCCGCAGAGTCTGAACGCGGGCGAGATGGCGGAGGTACGGGTGCTGAAGAGTGGGGTTGTCGACTAGGCGTGGTCGGCAAAGATTGGTCCTGATACGAGGCCGTTGCCGCTCGCGGTCGGTTCCAGCGAGCCTCGTCTGGATGCAAATGATCACCATTTTGCGTCGGCGCAGCGCCGTCATTTTCCGTGTTGAGTCTTGTGGGAGGCAAGCTGGCTGTCGAGTCTCCCGGTCGAGCCAATTGCAGCACGCTGCGGTCCATCTCGGCCTCTGGCGACTCGGAGAGCTGCAGCGGTTCAGCGATCGAGCAGGCAGATGAAGCAGAATCGGCTGTGTCTTCGCTGAGCTTGGTGACCTGTAGCGACTGTTTGATTCGCTGCTTGTCTACGGCGCCGTTTTCAGTTTCGTTGTTGAGGGTAGGGGTGATCGAGGCAGTGTCCGAATCCCTTATGGCACCGTTAGGGGCCACCGACGCGCTTCTTGACATTGTTGCAGAGCGAGCAGGCTTCTTGCAGAGGTCCGGATGCGTGTTACAGTACAACCGGAAGCTAGCGTCCGTCTTGGTGTCCGGGAGCTTCCAGGGGAACCTTCGGAGTACCATGCACATGAAGATCATCGCTACCGACCAAACGTCGGTCAAGCGGGGGTCGTAGTGATCTTTGCTGAGCACTTCAGGGGCGAGGTAGGGATCTGATCCGACGATGCCCGAAGCCGGGATGTTGTGCTTGCCAGGGTAATAGAAGACGGTAGCAGTTCCGAAATCGATGAGTTTGACGATATTGTCTGGCGTCATGACACAATTGTCGAGCTTGAGATCCCGATGTGCGAGACCCATCTTGTGCAGGTAATCAACCCCGTCGATAATCTGTCGGAAGACGCAGTACATTTCCGGCCTCGACATCTTGCCCGACATGACGACCGAGAACAAGTCGTATGGCGCGTACTCCATGATCTGCCAGAGAGCATAAGGTGAGACGTGCAAACGACGTCAGCGATGGGGCTACGAACGTAGAGCGACGCTAAACGCCCAAACTCACCTCGAAGAAATGACCATGATCATTGAGAATGTCGACCGTCTCGATTACATTGACGTGTTTCAACGTGACCCCCACGCAAAACTCGGCCATGACCTTTCTCTGATAATCCTTGGCGTCCTCTCCGGCCCGTTTAGGTCTGAACTCCTTGACGGCATAGGTCGTCCCACCCGTCTTGCTGCTCGCCTTGACGAGTCGGACGGTGCCTCCCGCCCCGCTGCCCAGTACGCGACCCCACTTGCCGTACTTTTTGCTCATGTGAGCCTGAGTAGCTTCGAGCGCGCTAGGCTCGGGGAAATGACCGGGTCCGATGGGCGTGACCGCACCACTGGGAGTTGCCGTGGGGGCAATCGACGGGCTGACCATGGTCGATGCGCCTCTGGATGGAACGGGCGTTTGCAAGGGCGTGCTGTGAGCGCTCTTTTCCTTTTCGCGTTCCGCTTTGGCCGCCGCTCGTTCCCGCTCCTTTTCCAGCTTGGCCTGGTGTTCTCGCTCCTTGGCCTCTCGCTCGTGACGTTTCTTCTCCTCCTTGAGCCTGGCTTTTTCCTCCTTGTCGGCCGAGCTGCCGCCAAAGAAGGAAGCGAGCGAGGACGAACTCTTGTCGTGATCCCGGTTATGGTGCTTGAGGAACCCGACGAGGTTGTTCGTGTGTGTCGAGTGGTTGTCGCGCGTCTTGGGCAGGTTGCCGGGTCTCGCATGATCCTTGACCGAGTACGAGTGGCCGTTGTGCTGTTGTTGTTGTTGTTGTTGTTGTTGTTGCTGCTGTTGCTGGTTGCCCTGCTGGTGAACGGGACTCGGCGAACTAGGAGGCAAACCGACGGACGTCTGGGTAGGACTCGCGACGACCGATCCGAATCCTCCAAGGCTGTCAACCGTAGTCGTCGACTGTGAAACGGGCGTTCCGTTGCCCGGGGTATTCGTCGCTCCCGTCATGGAACCAGTCCCGTTTCCACTACCGGCACCAGCGAGGGTGAAGAAATCGCCTCCACGCAGCTGCGATCCGGGCGTCTGGACCCCGCTCATCCCGCCTCCCGGGGTAGCCATCCCGTCCCTAGCGACAGCGAGCACGGCCGGATGGATCGCCGGGGTCTCACTCCCGCTCTGGCCTCGATCCCGGTGGAAGAAACTCCCACTCCGACTGCCCGAAGGTCTATCCCCGTGATGCCCAATGTGATGGTTCAGGAACCGTTTCAAGTCGTGCAGAGGTCCAGTATGATGCTTTGCATGCCTGGTCGCATGTGCAGAAGCTGGTGGGGAATGTCCTGGTGTCGAGGCGGCCGTGTGCGAGGTGTGTGGGTGCCCTTGATCCATCGTCATGGTCGATCCCGAGGACGCTTTTCGAGATGGCGAACCCATCCCCCTGGCTGAACCTGAAGGCGAGGCCGGGGTGATCTGTAGACCTGCTGGCAAGTGTCTGCGACCAAACACTGACGCTGCAGTATTTGACGCCGGTCGAGCTGGACTCTGCTCGGAATGGTGGTCATGGTTGTCGGTGTGATCGTCGTCCGCAATCGACATTTCCCTCAGCCGAGAAGGCAAATGCGAGTCCTAATCCCATCGAACGCGGTCCGAGGGAGGCAGCAGTAACGAGTAGAGAGAGACAACATCCATATGTGAGCCAATCACCCCGGGACCGTGCCTCTCTTTCATGAGGACCCTCGCCCGTATACACGCCGAAACTCACGCTCCTTCCCCTCGCATGTTCCTCGAAATCCTTCTCTTCCAACTGCGTCCCCTGCCCCAACCCACCGAAATCCGGCGTACTCTGACCGCTCCTGGTCGTCTCACCTCCCGGAGTCCCCGGTTCGCTATGTTCATGCTCACTGCTCGTATGTTCCGGGGAGGTATCTTCGGGGGTCCCGGGCAAGGGGCTCAAAGTGCCCGGCGTACCCGCTACTCCACGTTGAGTCTGGAGGACGTGGCCCGTGGCTGTCGTCAGGGAGAGTCGACGTCCGGTGCCGTTGGGGTCTTGAACGAATTGTATGGATTCGAGCGGGACGGGTGGGTGTGCGGAGAGCATGGCGATGGGATCGAAATTGCGGTGAAAGTTGGTTTGTAGCTGATAATGTCAAGGTCGACAAGGTGGGGTTTAGGTGCAGCGTGATAGGTCGGAGGCTGATATTAGATTATGATCTTCGAACGAAGATCCGGTCCGGTCTTGACGTGACGTTTAACGAGGATGAAGAAGCTCGCTGGACGATTGATCCAGGTAAGTAGCTAAGTAGATCGCTTTCCAAAGTCCGATTCTTTGAAGGAAGCGACCCTTTCTTGGAGAGTTGAAACGCGAGTCGAACGTCCTCGGTTACAGAGACGACGTGGGTGATGGCGAGGTGTTCGATCGACGAACGATTTGGATTGAGCGGCTTGTATTTACACCACGATCTGGGTATAGGTAGAGGTGTCTTTACCCTCAAGGGTGATGAGGTCAAGTAATAGGTAGGGTGGTAGTTCAAATTCTCGAAGAGTCGACCCAACGCAACGAGCTAGGAGCGTGCTGCCGAGCGAGGTGGTGCGCTGACTAAAGCCGGCGGTGAGTCGGGTGGAGTCCGGGGAGAGAGGGTTTACGTGGTTCGACCGCAACGTCGAGATTTGAAGCACCGGAGATTACCAGGAGCAATATAACAGAGTTGCCAGTAGTACTAGAATACGAAGAAGGTCGAGGTCCGGGGCATATTGGTTGTCAAGAGGCAGCAGGGATACACGAGATCGTCATCCCCCCCCTGGCCTGCTCGCTCGGTGTCGCCTGTGGTTGGTTGGTTGGCCGCTCGCTCGCCCGCGTCGCCCGCCGGACCGACCGAGGGCGAGAGGGTGGGTGGGTTGGGCTCGGCATCGTCTTTGAATTCGATAATAAACCCGGCAAGTACCCGACCACGATCGAGAGGGCAAGTCTTGTACGACGACAGCACGGGTATGATGAATCTCGACATACAAACTCATACACGACAGAGTCGAACTTGCTATCTTTCTGATGCCAGCTAGGTCGATTCCTTCTTCATCGTCAATTGAACGAGGGAAAAGCGCAAAACCCGCTGGCATTTCATTTCATCTCTTTCACTTCTCACTTCGGCCATCTCCGTCTCGCGCGTTCGGCTCTCTTGGGCTGTGGCGTCGCGCTCGGCGATCAAAAAGCGATCCCATCATCGACCCCCGCCTCCGCCGTCGTCATCGATCATCCCGTGGGATCACCACCCATTTCCATCGGCCGCTTATTGCCATTCATCGCGTCTGTTTCACCTCTAGCGGCCAGCTGCCTGACAGTACAAAGCGAAGCTGGTCAAACTCCTTCTAAGTCTACGCCTGTCTCAAAGGTTCGCCGGGATCCAAGCTTGCCCCTCGCTCTACCATCTCTAGCGGTCTCTCCCTCGACCGGGAAACGAGAAATCGCGTCCGACTCGATGTGAAACACCGTACAATGTATCCTTAACCTATGTTGCTCACTCTTCTCGCCCAGCAGGAGAGAAATCATCCTCCCCCTATTCTGTTCTCCCTCGACATACAGAATATTTCGTTCTAGTGGTACGGATCGTCCGGGTCATATGATCAGGTGACAAGTGCAACAAAAGGCCAAGCGAGCCAAGCTTGTCTTCTCACCAAGGGCCTCGGGGGTTTCTCCGAAAGAGTCCACGACAAGGGGCCAGACAAGGTAAGGGTGGGATATGCGCGTATGTGTTGAGACGGACGGGACGGCCGTATCCGTTCCTGCGCTCGTGTCCTCCGGGTGAAGGGGTCTTTGCGCTGCAGTCGTACCGTCCGGATTCGGGGTATCTGGCTGTGTTCTTGTACTGCTGTTTGCCGTTTCAGGTCGCTGCGCGTGGCTTGCGAGGTCCCGATGTCGAAAGCTTTGCGCCGTGTACAGGGAGGCACGTCGTCGCATGTACTACCCTCTGCCAAATTTACTTGGATGACTCGAATCATTTATCGGCGTGAAAGAGGATATTGGACAGGATTAACGATTTGGGGCAGAATACGACCCAAGTGAAGACCGGAGTGGCAAGGGGATGAGATCGGAGTTCCCGGGTAGCTTCGACGTGAAACGACGTATCATCGGCGATGAGTATGCACCGTATTCTCATGATGTCCGTCGAGTTTAAGCTTGCCGTTGTATTATGAAGGTCATGTTGAAGTTCCAATGAAGACTTCAGGTGCGGCACTATTGGTTGCCAGCTCAAGCAAACGCTGAACAAAGTCAAGCGAACCTTTGGACCACCCGCCTACTTCAAAGCATCGTGGACCTGCAACACATCCCTCAGTAGCAACAGCATGAGCTGCAACAACCGAGCCAACAGGTCCAACTGTTCCAAGGATTTGATGGCGGCGACTTGGGACCCATCAAATTTCAGCAAGGCTCGAGTATATCAAAAACCTCAAGTATCGACAAGAAGACTTGGAAGACTTGAGGAGATTCGAGGGAGATTCCACATCACCATCGTCTCGATCGGAAGCCATTCGGAAGAGCCATCCCTCGTTCTTCGTCTGACAATATAATACGCGAACGGTCGGCGGATCTAAGCAGTCCATGACGATTCATGTGGGGCAAAGGCGACGACACCGGTACCCTTTTCATGCTTTTGCTACAACATGATTGCCGGGTCTTCGTTCGATAGAAGGCGCTCGTCCCTCCTGAAACGTGCGAGATCCGACAGGTTCGACGTTTCAAAGAGAATCAATCGCCCTTGCCGGCATGCGCTCGGTGGCATTCCTGATCGATTCGAGGTCGATAAGCGTAGAAGCGCGTCGAGTCAGGGGGGGATGCGCGCTTACGAGAATGTCGAGGCAGGGGGGTACAACTGCTATGACGATCAGCGAGGTTACGATCTGGACTGATGTGTTTATGAGACGGGGGTCAGTGTATCTCAACAGCTTCCAGACAACAAACATCTGGCAGGAATTATCCATCTGTATCATGCCGGAACCCATCACCCCGCAGACCGCATCATCGTCGACATCGACACAACCGACCGCATCCAGCTCGAAACAACCGGGCGAGAAGCAGAAACAAACACAACAAGCTCCTTCCACCTCGCAAACACCAGCAGCAACGTCAACAGCAGCTCAGGGAAAGAACAAGGAAGGCAAAGAGGCGGCGGGAGGAAAGTCGGCCAAGGAGGAGAAGAAGGCGAAACGAGCTGCAGCGGTCGCCGCTCGAGGAGGGGCTGGTGGACCGCCTGCAGCTGGACCGGGGGCACCATCTGGAGGAGCGGTCGGGAAGGATGGCAAGGGCAAAGAGTCTAGCAAGGCAGATCGAACTGGTCAGGATGGTACCTCGACAGCAGCAGGAATTGCTAGAGGAGATCCGGCTGCAGGCGTGGTAGCTGGGACGACGGTGGCTACGGGAGCGACCTCGATCGCGGCCGTCTCGACCCTCTTGTTCTCCCATCTTCCCTCTTCCCGTCCGCCCAGCGCGATCCCATCAACCTCGTCTCACAAACACCTCCACCCGCTCGTCTACCGTCTGGGACTCCTCCTCTCCACTCCTTCCACCTGGACAACCTCTGCTCCGGCTTTCCAACCCCAAAGCCCTCCTCTACGGGGCACCAATGCCCGGACCACGGCGCTCCTCTTGACTTTCCGTCAAGTTATTCTCGACCATTCGTGGCCACCAAGAGAGATGCACAGGGTCTTGCCCGCTCATCTGAGTCCGATGATCGGGTTCTTAGATGGATGTAGGCCAAAGGGGGTCGCTGGTGGGAACGTGATCAGGTGGTTAAAGGCAGAAATCAATAGGGTCGGAACGGACGAGTCGATAAGGGATGAGAGCGAGGTGGGTCGTCCTAATTGCTACAACTCTCAACGGACACGACATGCTGATCGTTTTGAACGCTTTCGTGTCGATAGCAAAAACGACTGATCGTCGAAGCCATCGACAATTACCTAAAAGAACGGATCGAACTCGCTGGCGAGGTCATCTGCTCGTTTGCAACGGAAAAGATTAGGGACGGGGATACGATCGTCACGTATGCTAGGTCGTCACTGGTCGAGCAGGTTCTCTTGGAGGCCTGGAAGCAGATGAAGGAGGAAGACGAGGAGGCAAGCTTCCACGTCGTTGTTGTCGATTCGGGGCCGCTGCTGGAAGGTACATTCGAGGGCTCTGCGAAAGATCTCCCGAATGACATCCGCTGACCTTTCGCCCGTCCGCCCCGACCACAGGCAAAGCACTGCTACGAACCCTGACGACCCACTCGATCCCCTGCAGCTATACTCTCCTCTCTTCGCTCGCCAGCATCATCCCTCGTGCCTCGCTCGTTCTTCTAGGTACGGCCGCCTTGTTCTCCGACGGAAGCCTGTACTCTCGAGCGGGTACAGCAGCAGTGGCCATGTTGGCCAAGGAGAACAGGATTCCGGTTGTCGCGGCGTGCGAGACATACAAGTTCGGGGAGAGGGTTCTGCTGGACGCCGTGACGGGTAACGAGCTAGGTAAGCTGCGCGAATTGTCGACTGCCAGCGTTGCGCTTATGGTCTTCCAGCTGACACATATTTGTTGCGATTGTAGGCGACGCTTCGTCCCTATTGGCACAGGAAGAAGGCGACATCCCAACACATCTCACCCCGATTCACCTCTTGTATGACCTCACACCAGCAGCGCTTATCACGGCGATCTGTTCGGAGGTCGGTTTCATTCCAGTACGTAGTCGTCGTGTAAAAGCACAGAGGGGGGGACCGCAATAGTCAAGCTGACAACGATCTGTTCGATTAGCCGTCATCGGTCCCTACAGTCATCTCGAAGCCGGGCGAAGCCGCTGGGTTCTGATAAGCCGTCAAGAGGGAGCAGAGAGATGGGCCAGGAGATAGGACGATCTTCATCACGCCGGCAGCATTGTATGGCAACACTGTCTGACGAGGCACGAGGCATTACATATATATCATCATGCTTTCAGGGGCTCTCTTCATTCGCGGCTGGTGCAGATTCCCCTCGAGCAGTATCAGACACGTAACTGCGGTCTATCATGCTCTGTCATCGTCATGAGATTACCCAATCACGCACAAATATCGCCGTCGAGTCAGAGGCTTCCATTGATTCGGAGCCGATCGGCCAACGCCGAACTTGACACTTGCGACCCCCCCCTCCCCCCCCCCCCTTCCCATAAGGTTGAAACCACGCAACAAACGACTCCTTCTTCTTTACTCTTTCATTCCAACGTCTTTCTTGACTTGAATCCGTATCGACCGATCCTTCCCGGCCTCTTCCCCGTTGCAGCCCAGACTATCATCTGAGCGAGCTCTCTCGTCTTCACCTTTCGGAGTCTCTCCGGCGTTCGTTTCCCTTCGTCCCCCTCGACCACCACCTTTCTTTCTCCGGGCGACGTCTTCCCCTGCTCGCCCCTTACCCCAAGCTAGCCCATCCCAATTCTCCCAAACTTCAGGACTCCAGATTACCTTTCAGTTCCGGATCCTCCCAACGCTTACATTCAACAGAATCAGCACCAGAAAGACCGACAAGAGACACGGACCTTTAGCGCGCTATTCGACAGTAGCAATGTCTTTCACCCAAACACAGCAGGAACCGCAGACGCACATTGTCCGATACAAACTACAGGAGATGGCTTGTGAGTTTCTGGTTTGGATTTTCTCTGTTCCGAGGTCGACGAGACGAGAGATCGAAAGCAAGGGCGTTCCTTTGAAACCCCACCGACGAGAATTACCACTTTGGGTCAAACGCGTGAGAACTTCTCACGCGTCGTGATCTCAAGACTCTTATCTCTCTCTCACGCGCGGAAGCTGATTCAACTTTGATCCAATTCGCTCGCTCGCTCGCTCGCCAACTCGTGCGTCGCCTTTTCCCTTTCGACCTCTTCCCTTCTTCAACCATCATCATCATCATCGTCAACGATACAAACAACCTCGATATCACCTGCGATCATACCAACGTCTACGCCAACATTATTGATAAACACAACACGCTCGCTCTCATCATGACAGCCTTCACCTGCTAAGCAGCGGCACCCGCGCCCCAGAACACAACGAGCCCCACCAGGACTCTCGCAACACAAACCCCCAACATGCCTCCAAATATACTCTAAACCAGCTCCTGTCTTTGGACTACCTCGGAACGGATTTTAAAACCCTTTACCCCACCCACCACAACACCCCTCTCACACAACCTTTCCTAGCTTCGGCTCGTGACGTCAACCTTCAAGATGGTTTCCCAACTCGAATTCCAAAACACCAAAACCCAACAACAACAACAACAGCAAAAACAAGTAGATTCCCAGACTCTTCCTCTCGACTGCTCGGCATCGCCAAACCAGCCAGCCTCTTGCCTTCCGTCCTCCCTCCTCCCCCGATTCTCGGTCGAAAACCAGACCTACCGACTTCAAACTCGAACCCAAAAGACAAACACCCGATCAGACAGGATCACCAACAACAGCGAACGAAAAGGATGGACTTTGAACAACTGTTCGACTCTTTCCCGCTCGCCCCTTTTGCTCCCGAGGGAGGATTAGGGGGTGGAGCGTACCTCCAACCACAAAAGGGACAGGATGAGAACGTCGTCCGTGATGAACAGGAACGAATGGACGGGACGACCAGGATGACGACGATGAACAGCGTCATGACGCTAGAGAACGCCAACGAGATTGCGGCTGCTGCTTTCGAGCTCGCCGAGATGAGGAACGATGGGGAAGGGCAAGGGTTGTTCGGGATGACCAGTGTTGATGTTCGAAATGATGATGATAACAAGATGAACAAAGATCAGATGATCCTCGGAGGAGAAGGAAAGATGGAAGGTGAGTCTAGTCGCGGTCGGCGGATAGATTCGAACGGGCCTGGGAACGCTGGCTGACCTTTCGCGCACGTCTCTGCAGACTATTCAGCCTTCTTCAACTTTGGAAACGCGCAGGAAGAGCCAGACGTCGCTCCCCCGGCTCCGGCCCCGGTCGACGAATCGTTCGACTTGCGCGCCCTGTTGGGAGACGCCAACGGCGAGTTCAGCCAGGCCGCCCTGGCCTCGGCCGTGACTTCGCTCTACACGTCCTTCTCCACCCCGGCCGTCGTGCCTTGGTCGACCCAGACTCAGCTGTGCTCGGACTTTGAGGACATCGAGCAGGCTTCTCCGGATATGGTCTTGGGGCAGATGTTCCCAGACCAGACCGGAGTTGCCGGTACCACCAAGCCGGCGATGTCGGCCCCGACGACCGCTCTTGGTAGGTTCGATTCTTTCGGATCCGAACCGGCCTTTGACGATGTCGACGGGTCGGCCTTGACTGAGCAGGGCATGTTCAGTCTTCCGCTATTCGGAGGCATGCCTTCGGGCGCTGCTGCACAGGCTCAGTCGGAAAAGGCCACCGCGACGACTACCGGAGGCGGAGACGACTTTGGTCCGCTCTCTCCCTCGCACGCCATGAGGTTGGCAGGGACCGTCTCGCCCCAAGATGCCACGCTCGACATGTTCGCCGCGAACTATGCCGGCGGTCACTACGGCAACCTGTCGGAACCCATCTCCCAGACGGCTTCCCCTAGGAACCTGTTCCTGCCGACCCCCTCGGCCATTCCTCCTCACATGACCAGGAAGACGTCGGACGGGCAGTCGAGCTCGCCCCCCTCGCCGCTCATCGAGGTAGAGCAGGACTTTTCTCGAGACGCCCAATCCGGCAAATCGAGGAAACCCAGCTTGACCGGGTCCAACAACAAGACCAAGAAGAAGCCTTATGCCGGACCTACGGGGACGAGGAAGTCTAGCCGACCGCTCCTCGACGCCGACGCTCCGACGATGACCAAGACCTACGCTGCGCCGGGATCTACGACCCGAAAGCTCATCCCCGCCGGGTTCCAGAAGAAGCTCAAGCTTCAGTCTGACGTCACGGGGGATGCCGTCCTGCCCGAGAGCATGGGCGAGGACGTCCAACAGGGTCTTTTGGACGAGATCGAGGAGAAGCGAAGGAGGAACTGTGTCGCCGCCAGGGAGAGTAGGAAGCGAAAGGCCGACTATCAGAACGGGTTGAAGGACGAGTGTCGAGGCTGGAGGTCTTGGGCCGAAGAGGTCCAGGCCAAGCTCAAGGCGATCGGCTTGGAACACGTTCTCGAGGACGTCGGCGCCATCATTCCCGCTCCCATGGATCTCGACGAGTGATCTGGTTGTCCCGCGGGATAAGGGGTCATCCGACCATCTTCATCTACATCATCAACAACAACAAGAATATCAACCAGGATATCATCGATCAACACATACCTAGGCGGTTACCGTAAGCGATCTTCTGCTCGCGAATGTCGCTACCGGAACCGATCCCCAAAAAAGGGCGCGGGATGCGCCCGAACCCATGGGGGTTAGACCATCGTTCGCTACGCAGCGAAGGAGGGTCGACCTCCTTGCTCCTCATATCGGAAGGAGCAAAGAAAGCAGTCTATCAGCAACAATCTCGTTCTCGGTTTTCTTCGCGCTCATGGCACGTCCATCGTCTTTTCGCCCGCGGAAAAGGAAGATTGACGTCCAACCAGAAAAACACTATAAAACCCACAAAAAAATTACGGACAATTTCTCCCTCTCTTCCCGTCTTTCCCATTCTTGTCTTTCGTCGTCGACATCCTTTCCTGTTTCTATAGTAGTTGGAAGAAGAAAAAAGAGGTCATCCTCGCGCGCATTTGTCCCTGTTTCTATCTAGTCTAGTATTTGTTCTTTTGTTTCGTCTTGTTTGGTAGACGGACGGTCTCGGCTTTCGGGTCGACCCGTTTCCGGGGTTCTCTCTATCTATTATATGAATGTTTCTTTCGGACGTCTGTGACTTCTTCTTGATCGAGTCAGGTTCGGCAGGAATGGGTGTCGTACGAAAGCACGCCATGAACGGGGGGATGAGGTGATCCCGCGCTTGTTTGACTCGGACAGAGGAGGCTTTCCGTTCCGTGGTCGGTTCCGCCTAGGCAGTTGGACGATGTCGCTTCCGAGATCGAGCGCATTGTGAGGCGCAGACTGTGTCTTGAACCATATCTGAGACGATAGGGTACAACAGCGAGAGTCAGTTGGGGGCTTATAGATTTGGTCTTGCTGTCAACCTGCTTTACCGTTCATCACAGAAAAGAAGCTTGCTGCATGGGTAAATCTCCAAGTAGGAAGTTGGAAGGTTCTACTTGTACAATGTCAGAACAAGTAGGGTAGGTCTTGTCGAACATGCGAGCTCTTGTGCTGTCAAATGGTTGAACCATGGATTCAGAAGCTGGTTGTGGACAACGTTGTAGAAGAGAGGGGTCCACTTGAAATGCTTATTTGGCAAATTTAGAAGGTTGTTCATGTACATACCGCTTTCATGTTCTTGTAATGAACAACCCTTCCTGCCTTGTATAATCAGACGTCAAGAGACTTAAGTCGGCTGTGACCCGAAAGAAACCTCGAGCTGGTCTCAAGTCCATCAAAATCGTCTGTGCTCTCCCCAACTGTACCTCCTCTGCCTGCACCCACTCCTCAGTACCGGCCTACACCCTGCCGGCTTTAGATTCGGATCCCTTAACGACCCTGACTCGCCCTTTTCTTTGCCCGGGCAAAGGTTCGAGATTGCGTTTGGCATCTTGCTTAGCTTCAAGCTCTGGTTTCTCCCCTGTTGTTTCCGGCCACCAACCCGTCGCACCAAGACCGCCATCAATGCTATCGATCTCACCTTCCTCGATGACAGTGACCAGGATACTGACATTCCCTCGCGCGAGACTAACGGGTTCGCCGCAGGTGATTCTCTCTGCGCCGCTCTCAAACATCGTCCTGACTCATGCTCGCGTCACAGATGAACGTCAGTCATTTCGATCCCTTCCTTTGCTGATAAAGTACATGTTTAGGCCGCCCAGATATGCTGACAGCCTTTTATCCAGAACATTTCAGCAAGGACCTTTAGTTGTCAATGCTTCTGTAGGCGATTGTTATGTAGCATTGTTACACGCTGAGGTGATACAAGTTTACGCTTCCGCGTCAGGCGATAATGCCTCTTCTGGTGCCCCAGTTAATCCAGCCCTATATCGCCAGCAGTGCGGTCAATTCTGTAATCTTTAGACTGGTCGTTCCCTTACAGCATCGTGACTCACCCTGCAGCTCGTTTCTTTTCCCGTTTGGCTTTCCTTTCTTCCTTTTTGTCCTGAACTTTCTTTGCCCCTCCACCGACGTTCCTGACGATGACCTGACCGAAGGCGCCTAACTGCGTCATGGTCGGATCCCACTCTTGATCTGCCAGCGCGATTGATGAGGAGTCTATGTCCATGTTCTGATCGGGTACCACGGGTTGACCCAAAGTTGCATCTGTCTCGGCATTCTCGGCCGTAGCTTGAGCTTGAGCACGAGCTTGCGCGACCTTTTCGAGGTAGAACGGCCGCAAGATTCCGATATGAAATGGGATATCTTGTGGTGTAAGCGGGATGAATGGTGGTGGACCCGGATATTCCAAGGGAGGCGCTTCGGGTCTAATATGGGCGCAAAAAGGACGTTAGTTACCTCAAGGTAGCGGTTCTGACACAGCTCGATATTACTCACTCTTTCGGCTCGGACTTGGCTTTCGATTTTCGGTCCCGTAAGAGTTTCTTGGGGATCGCTCCCATCCCTCCCAAGCCCAGAAAGTCCTCCATATCGCCCATCCCCGGCATCCCGCCGCTGCGACAAGAGCAGAACGAAAATCACGTAAACAGTAGCTCTTCGAGGGTTGACTTCGGAGATCAACTCACAACATCAATTCATCCTCCCCAATCTCGTCGTCATCCTCATCCGGTTCGACCTGTAGATCATCGAGTAGTTTTCAGTTCGCAGCCGGGTATGCCCCAGAATCCGTGTTCTCCCTTACCTGCTCGTCCAAGGCTTGCCGAAGCTTCTTGTGCATGTCGTCCAACTTGGCACCATACCTGAAGATGTCGTCCTGAACATAATCGTCTAGTTCTCTCGTTGTCACGTTGCCATTGTTCCCGAGCACCTTTTCGATCAGGCTCTATCGATTCGTGAATAACACAAAGTTTTCGATCAGATCCCTGTTGTGGTTCGAGACAAACCTTTGCTCGACAAACAGGACTGACCGAGGCAGAGACCTGATCCACCTGGCTGACCCGGTCGGCGAGCAATCTCGCCGTCTTGCCGAGCCCCATCAAATAGTCCGAGGCGATCCGGCTAACGAAATCCAGAGCCATCGAGTTGCAGCCTGAGCACACGGTCACCCGACAGATACACGATATCAGCTTCGAACGTGCCATCACGGCTAAGCAACTCTGAACTTGCCTTCGAAACCAGCATGACTCAACATGACTCCCGTGGCCAACCTCAACTGGCTTGCAGCCACCCCTTCATCTACCACCCTTTCCGACCTCGTCCTGGCCCGCTTGAACTCTCTCACCCTAATTGAATGGTCCCTGAGATCCTTCTCAGCGGCAGGATGATCTTCGATGTTCCCATTTGCAAGTGCAGACAAGAGCGAAGCCGTCTCCCTCATCCCCTGCATGAGCGCGATGTTCTGACTTATCCGGTGTGACAAGGACTCGCTCGGGCGGGGTGGACGTTCTTGCGCGGCAGCCGCTAATGATGTCGATGCTGATATAGCAGATGCCGGCGCAGGTATGGAGGGCAAGGCTGAGCCGACGGGGGCAAGCTCGGCCCACCAAGCTTCATCGTCCTGTCCTATATCGGTAGAGGTGACCGTTTCCGAGGGAAACCAAGCGGGAGCCTCCAACTTCCTTCGTTTCGGAACTTCCGGCAGCGCTGTTACCGAAGTCGATCCGAGCCGTTTACGGTTGTTCAACAATGACTGGCCGTCGCTCAAGATGGCTTGAGTCTTGGCGACCGAGATGGCTGGCGGACGAAAGCCGGTCTAATTGCAAGTAGGGTCAGAATTCATTTAGTCTGTCGCTCTGGGGGTTAAGCTCGCGCATATGACTTACCATACCGTCGACTGCGAGTTCGTCAGCATTTGAGATTTCGTCAGCACGACCTCATGATACAAACTTATCAGCCTACTCACCTCCAGCCGAATCGCCTGCACCTTCCGCCTCTCGATTTATCCCCGCAGCACCGACACCCAAGCCTCCAGCACCAGCATCCCCATTCCCGGCTGCCCCTTTCTTCGCAGCCATCCCATACTCGGGATTGAGGGCGTTCGCTACATCGCTCTTGTCCGGCAAGTACCTCAAATGATGGTTCGCCAACCGCTGCATGAAAGTCGCATGACTCCTGACCGGATGTGGCTGTAGTGCAACAGAATCCGGGTTTGCATTTCAGCTTGACTTGATGTGAGACGGCCTCGAGCCATCCTCAGCTGCGGTAGAAAAAGGATTCTGGACTGACGTCGGCGTTGTACTTCAAGCAGTTCTCCCAGATCAACGTCAGGTCCCTCGCGAATTGTGCTTTGTTTCGGTATTCCCTGGCCCTGATCTTCTTTTGCATCGTACCAATATCCATGGGTTCAGAGATGACTATGATTCGCAAGTGCAGGAGATGAGAAGAGAAGGTCGATCAGTCGATCCCTTGTTCTCGGAGTTTCGAGGAAGACGAACCTTTGTCGTAATCGGGAGCAATCTTTTTCGTAACGGGTTTCATGAACGGTTCAGCTTCTATCGGCTGTGGTCCCCATATACAAGTGTTCACAGGTTCATGCATATGGCGGGCCAATCCGATTTGAGTGTAGAAGGTAGCAGATAGGTTCCTGAGGATCAGCTCCTGATAATAGGTTACTCGTAAGGGCAGCGTGCGTAGCGAAAGAGATACTGACGTATGCTTTGGTAATATCTGTCAACATCCGTTCGCAGCCACTCAAGAATTCGTCATGAGCCTTTTGCGGGGGGACTTTCTCCTACGAGATCGATTTGCGAGTTTCAGTTCGACCCCGTTCCAACAGCTGGATGCGTGAGGAGCGACCAGGACACAGCAGCTCACCCGACCGATGGAAATGACATCCGTAAGCAGTTTCTCGAATTCATTTTCGCTGATCTTGATGGCTTCTGGACGTGACTGAATGGCCGGAAGGAGGTACTGCGATAGTCAATGGCAAGTAGGTCAGCTCGGGCGATAGAGGATCGATGCAGTCTTGGGCTTACTTTCAGCGACATGGTGAACGTGATATCGCGACCATGTACTCCTCTATCGGATCCGACAGTGATTGTGACAAGTCTGGCGATGAGAACCGTGCGGTAGTAGTATAGTTGTACAAGTATACGAGTAAGTATATGGTCAACGAGATTGTTGAACCCTCTAGGCTCGGTGGATGTGACCGAGCCCCGGGCGGGATATCTCTCGTATGTCCGTGTATTTACCTCCGAGATTCAGTCTCGGAAGTAGAAATACGCGCTGATGTCCGCTTTTCTGCTTCCAGCTCTTTAGCATCCCTCACTTCTACCTCCGAAGCTAAGCTTCCTAACAATTGGATAGAGGTCGATGTGTCGGTGTTGATCGGGTGGGTTTGTGACCTCGAACGAAACACATAGCCATACATCTCACCTCGATCACTGTAATTCGTAGCTGCCATGAGTGAATCGCTCGCACCTCCCCTGGCATCGTCATCGACCGCCAACCTCTCGGTCGACTCGCACCTCGACCGGAGACCGACCAACGAGTATCCCCAGACCCCAGACGTGCTCGATAACAACCCGCTCCGAAACATCCAAGGGATCAAATCGGATTATGTCAACGCTCTGCATCGAGGGAACGTCCCCGATCATCTCCTTCAAGCGCAATCGCAGGGTTCCTCCTCGTCCTCGTCGCACCCGTTATCGGCGCCTAGCTATCATGCGCAGCACGAACAGGGGATCCTTCCCGGTCCTCAGCGAGTCACAAGGGCGTTCGGTTTGAGGGTCATCAGGACGGTGAGGAGGGGACAGCTGCCGTTCTTGTTGGTATTCTTCACGTGAGTAGCTATGGAAGTGGTCTGACATTGGGCGAACATGATCCTATCTCACCTATTCAACCCATCCCTCCCGACAGCTGCGTGATCATCTTCTTCTCAGCCCTCTCTGGTCTCGGCTATGAAGAGCCCGAAACGACGCCCTCCAGCTCGGCCGCGGGTGAACCGGAGTTTGACGTAGGTAAACCTGTGTTTGATGGGCAAGGTGTCGGAGGTAGTGGAACGAGCGAGGAGGAGGAACGGGTGGAAAGGATGAAGAGGTTGGAGGAGCAGTGGGCAAAGCAAAAACGGCCCAAGGATGTGAGTCGAATTCGCATCGAGGCCGTCTCTCAAGGTTCTCGAATCGAGCTGATTCGAGTATTCTTTTCCGTTTGATCTCTGTTCGCCGGTACTACCCATGTTCCTGTCCTCATCTGTCCCTTTACTGTGTCTGATCGCGACCTCGCCGACACCTGCAATCCTTTGCCACAGGGCGCTTGGATGAAGTCACAACGAAATCAGCGAGAAATTCGGCGAAAACCCCTAGCGGGCTCTCGGTTCCAACGACAACGACAGCAAGAAGAGCCGGACCTCACGCAGCAGCAACAGCAGCAGCAGCAGCAGGCGCAGGTGGAACAGGCGGACGCGCCGGGAGCTGTAGAGGGGATCGAGGAGACACGAGATGGAGAGGATGGCTTAGGGGACGGTCGGGCGGAAGAGTTGGAGTGAGCAGGCGAATTGGATCTCGCCGCCGAAACAATTTCCGGTCAGGCTGGACTGGGGTCGGCGAGACTACAACGGTCGAGCTGATCTGGCAGGCGAGGCCACGGTCATCCGCGTTGGTCCGTTGATTCGGCCTTTCTTCATGTGCCGCTTGCCCCTTTCACCCTTCAAGTCAAAGAATAGAAGGGGCGGGCAGGCGGCCGATTGATGTATATCAGAGGGTTTCTCAAAGGGTTTCTTGTTCTTCTTAATCATATAGAAAGGGAGATATTATCATTTGTTGTGTCTTGATTGAAACCGAACGGGGACAACGTCGAGCTGGATCGTGGAGTTCAATCAACATGGTTCCTGATATCACGTTAGGATATCAAGAGACCGGGATGAGCACCTATCGAAGCGACGTCTAGGCAGCAAAGATGAGACGATATCGTTGATTAGGAGAGTTCAGAACGGGATGGGAACCGATTAATAGACATGCCAAAAATCGAGGGCTAGAATGGCGAGGAGATGATGCTTCGTATCAGATCGTTCAGACATGTATATGCACCCATCACTAGTGCCGGCGCGGAGAGACATTCTCGGTCTGCGGGATGGAAATAATTTTTTGTGTTCTTTCCAGCCGAAGAATGCTTTGGAGATCACTTGAGCAAGGAAGAGCATGCCATGAGTCTCCCCACTGTAGCGCAAAGGGCGCTTCTCACACAATCGTACCTTACTTCTTTGAACAATCAATCCCAAAGTAATTGTCCAGTTTGCCAAACGCAACACCAGGCTCCCTTCTGAAAGGTCTACTTCGGGCTTGGAGGAGGTACTTTACCGTCTCCCTTTCCTCATCCACCTCCAGGCTTCTACCTTAATTGGCCCTCCCTACAAACCGCTCATGATTTCCACCGGCCCAGTCTTGATCGTTTGAAAGTAACCTTCTTGATAAAATGTGCAAAGGAAGACAAGAAGTGGCTGTCGGCTATGGGAGCTTGCTTGGTGAAAGCGGTCAGCCAACTTCTCGCCGCTGAACTCAAGAACAATGCGGAGGAAGCGAATCGACTGGGCGAACATTACCACGGTATTCTTGAGGAGGCGAGTGGGCATAATAGCTGGCCTATTGCCAGATAAGTTAAGCTCAGGAAGAATCGAACTTCTACGACACCCTTATCAAGTGGAAGGTCTTTATCCCTGCGGCACACCTGGAAAAAGGCAGGACGCTAGAAGCCGTAGCAAGTGCGCTTCGCGCGACTGCCGAAGCCAACACAGCATCCATTGTGCTCCCGATATTACCTTCCTCAACAATCTCGCCAAGCATGCGAAGCGGAACCCTTGCTAGACACCCCTTCGAACAATCGAAATGACATGGTATCTCATCATCCAAACAGGCATGACAAGGCCAAATGCGATGAATCCCGCTAGCTATCTTTCCCACTACAAGCACCTCCGCCGACCAAACGTGTTCCGTATGCGCGCGTATCTCACTGTCCTGTTACCACACATCTTGGCCGGAAATATATATATTATGTCGACGTCAATTTCGTGTCCGCATCGAACTGGATGCATTGGGGGACCTTATGTGACGGATGACGCTTGCGGGTCAATCCTTCGCCAGACGATCTTGGCTCTTCCTCAATGACCACAAGAGGACACGTACTGCTAGGACAAGCGATTCCCCACCCGAATGCGTTGCTGCCCTTCATGGCCAGCAACGATGCAGGTGAGCGAGGTCTGACTGACAGTATTGAGCTGATATAAGTTGTTGACAGGGAATGATGTAATGTTCACGCCATTCAAAAGGGAACCAAACAGAAACTCCCAGTTGCACTAACGATAGGCGTGGACAGCTGGACTTTCCAAGTGATCTTAGCTACAAGCAGGTTCACGCTCAGACGGAATGCGAGGTGAATGGACAACAAACAAAAACTGCAATCCTCAAACTGAATTCTAAGGGTGAGCAAGAGATTCGTCAATCAGAACTAATTCGCAACCGAGGTGAATGATCCGAGTAGAATAGAATCTAAAAGCATATACTTATGGTCCGACCACGATGATTTGGTAGGCGAACAGGATGAGGACAACCCTGCCTCCATGGATCAGTCACAACTCAATGATGCTGCGAGTCGAGTTGACAGCTTGTCCCTTTCTCTAGACGATCTACCTATTCCTCTTTGCACTGTCTGTCCGATCCAGCCGATATATGTCGCATTCCGACCATCGATCAGACAAGTTGTCGGCCATCGATGTGGGAGAGGACGATATGTTTGCGGGCTTAACCATCCTGAAACGCGACACGGGGCGAGGACATTTGGCGCGATTACCAATTTCATGATATCACGTGGACTCGTTTCGACCAGATTCTGCCTCAACTGTGCTGTTGTCGTGTTCCTTCCTTTAAAACCATCATGGTCAACGAGACTGTCTGTCGCACCAGAGGACCGTTTTACATTGCCTTTGCTCCGGTCATTCCAATACACATGCGCTAATCCTGACCATGTTCTCTTGATGTGGTTTTACAAACGGATCATCTCGTACGCTTCTACGGGCCTGTCTGTGAATACATTTGCATCGATTCCTGGCTTAACCGAGCCTGATCCCGAGAGCAAATCCGGCGATGAAGCTCGCCCGTTCTATGATACGCAGGAGAACGAAGCCAATCCAAAGTCAGCACAGCGTGTTCAAGCACGAGTAAGTATAGTCAGCTGAAGAGCTAGAGAAGGGCTCACGCTGGAAGTTGGCAGTCAAAAAGTCGACCATCCATCGATAGACGCCGTCAATGGTAGGAGCGGCCACTTTGCCCTCGGCAGTCTTGCTACCAAAGAGGGCTTCGTAACGGGATCCGAGCTTGTTCCAGTTTACGTTGATGATCGAGCGGGACGATGCGTACTACAAGTCGGAAGATTTTGTGAGCGGAGAAGGATCAGTTTCTTTTTCAATCAAGATTGTTCGATAAGAGGACATTTAGGAACTCACCTGCATGAGGACGTAGAGCGCTCCAAAAGTAAAGGCTACGAGCTTGGCTCCCTTTTTCACAAAGATACCGGCGCAGATACCGCAGATGGCGCCAAAGGAGAGTTGGTACGGGGAGAGAATGGATTGAGAAGGGAGATCGTCCGACGAAGGCTGCGCTCGGATAGGGTAGGCTGGATATGAGTGTAAGTCGACACGATCAGTTACACTCTGCCAACGGATGTATAGGCGACTTGTCGCTTACATTCGCATTCAGCGACCCGGATGGGGGAGAATTTGCTCGACCCAGGGCTGAGAGCAAACAAGCTCAGACCTGCTGCACTGCCCAGACCGACGGCTGTGAGTCTTCGAGACCATGATGCGATGGGTGTCGAACGGGCGAATTGAGTGGTATGGTACGGCTTGAGTTGACCGAATTGCCGGGTGGGGAACCGGAGCGTCTTGAGCGACGAAGCGAGGCCGAGAGTGGGACGAAGAGGGTTCATAGTGTAAGGTCGAGATGCTTGAATCCTGATGGTTCTGGAATTGGCTTTGCCAAGAAGCTGGTACGCAGAATCAAAATACGAACGACATCCTTGGACAATTGAACGGGTAAACATCTCGTTCGACCTCGTCTGCTCGCTGACGTCATTCTGATCGAGTGACCGGAGGTAAATCTCCGGACTTGTCGACCAATCAGAAGCGCATTTCCGGCTCCGAACTAGGGTCAAGCGCATATTTGCATCCGACAATGGTTAGTAGAAGTTGCTTCAACCGTATCCGGTCTTTCTCATCAAAACAAACAACAACAACAACAATCAACAACCAACGATCTACACTGATCAATCGATCGACCGCGATTTGAACACAACCACCACCACCGACAACAATCTGGTCAGTATACATCCTCCTCGTTCATGATGGCAGCCTTAGAAGTGCCGGCTGTGCTACCCCGAGCGAGGAAGTCTCTCTCGGCCCTGAACGACCCTTCCAACATGCACCTCGTCCAACCCTCCTTGGTCCGTTCAGAATCGGACGACGTGACCGCTAGAGGTCTTGCTACCAAACCAATCAACAAGAGCAAGGAAGCTATCAAACGAAGAGCTATGAGTATAGGAGGCAATGCTATCGCTGCTGGGGTTACGGATCCTGCTCTCAAGGCGCTTAGCCCGAGAAGCTTTAGGAGGGTTGCTGTGAGTCCTGGCAAGACGTCGTATTAGCTAATTCTCCAACGCTAACCTTGTCACGCCATTTCTGAACTTGTGACACTCAGAAACCTCGAAAATCCATCTTGAAGACAACTTCAGCCCACTCTCCCCGTCGATCACCCAACTCTCCTTCAAACTCTCAGCGACGAAATCTCCCTCGGACCAACGCCACGCTACAGACCACTCCTTCCAAACGCCTTCCTGGTGTAACATCGGCAGCCATGACGTCTTCACCGTTGGCAGGAGGGGCGGATCGATACGCTCATACCATTGACTTTTCCGGCTCTCGACCGAACATGCTGTTCAGCAACACGAACTCCGCGGGTGGACAGGACAACGATGACGACGACGATTTCGAAGATATCCCTTCTCAGAACAACGATCTAACACTACCAGCTTCTCTTCATCCCCGATCACGGATGAGCTTCGCCGGAACGAATACTTCCACAGCACCAGGCAGTACGGCGGGGATGACGGACAAAGAAAAGGCCAAAGCCGCCCGACGTGCCTTTTTGGCGAGCAGGAAGAGCGTATCCTTTGCGCCGCACGCTCATGTCAGGATGTTCGACACCGTCGTTTCGGCCACACCTGTGAACAACTCGACCATGCTCAGCGCTGCTGCAGCCGCTGCTGCTGCTGCGAGTACACAGGCTCAAGGGGACTCGGCCAACAAGGGGTTCGATTTCGGGAAACTCGGCGGACAACAGGACGGGGAAGAACCTACTCAGAGTAAACGAGGTTCCAGCAGGAGACACGGCCGACAGAGTTCCATCACGTCCATTGGAGAGTTGCCCGCGCTTGTTCAGCCGAAAGCGATTCCCTTTGAGGACACTCCGGCGCAGCAAGGTCAACCTGAGCGACAGAGCGGGAGAGGCTCGAAGCGAAGGTCTGTGATGGAGGTTGGAGACGAGAGTGCGATGTCCATGGATATCGAGACCGACTCGGAGAGCGATGAAGAGGCGCAGAAGGAGGTCGACGGAGACGAGTCGGAGGACGAGGAGGAGGAGGACATGGATATTGAGGGGCAGACGATGGACTTCACTTCGACTTCGGCCGTCGCCTTTGATGAGCCCACAACGATGTCCATCTTTTCAACGACGTCCGCCGCACCTGCTCCGCTCGAGATGCCTCGATTCAGCGTCAGGCGAGACTTGGCTCAAGGGTCTCGACAGGGCGCTTACTCGGCGTTCAGCTCGGATCTCGCACTCGATGGTCAGGCTCAACGAGAAGACGCTGCCGGAGACAATGACCATACGGGTGCTTCTTCGATCTTTACCTCGAACATCGTCCCTGCTTCGCCGGCCAAGAAGATGCGAGGGAGACTGAGCATCGGGGATGATGTCACGGTGGATATGGACATTACCGAGATTGTCGCCGGTATGGGTACGTTGAGGCCGACTGGATCTCCCGCTAGCACCGTCTCTGCGCGATCGGATGACGAAGAGGAGGATTCGGAAGATGATGACGAAGACGATGATGAGGACGAGGAACCTCAAAATGGAGGGAAGAATGGGCCGGAAGAAAGGACGATGGACTTTACAGTAGCCGTAGGGGGGATCATCCCTGGTTTGCCACCCGTCAACGCTTGGAGAAGTGCGGTCAGCATCGGATATACCACGGAATTGCCGGATGGGTACGACCCCGCTGCAGGTCATACGATGGGGAGCATCTTTAGTTCGACCTCTTCTTCCCCTCTCCGCGTGACCCCGGGACTGAACAACCCGTTCGGAACCGCATCGACCGCTTCCGAGGACGGGAGGGTCTTCACCCTGCCTGTCATGGCTTCCAACGGGGATGATAGTCTCGAGATGGACGAGACGATCGCAGTCGGTGGGATCCTCACTCGGGAGGATCAGACGATCAGCAGCGTGGACGACGACGAGTTGCCGCCCCGTGAGCCGACCTTGTCGTTCAAGCGAAACGAGGATTCGACGGGATTTAGCGTGTTTGGATTTGGTGGCACTAATAACGCCGATGAGGAGGAGGGCATGGACTTCACGATCGCTCAGGGTGGGATCCTGAGCCAGCAGCACGAGGCTATCTCAGAACCAACTTCAAACGTCTTTTCGCTCGGAGTCGGCTCGTCCAATGCTTCTCGCGCAGCATCACCTCCTGCTGGTTCTAGCTCCGGACGAGCGCTCGCAACAGCAGAACCGGACGCTTCAGTCCTCGCTGCCAGGCAAGACCCATTTGGTGCTTCACCTAGCCCACCGAGAATGGCTGGCTCATCAACCGAGAACGATCCCGTTGGCCGGAACGTCGAAGTCGCTAAGGAAGTCGCTAAGAAGCTGGTCTTCACGCCGACCAAGTCTGTCACTCCTCGCAAGGTCTCTCCTGCCAAACGATCGTTCGAAGCCGATCTGCAACAAGGAGATGCTACCAAATCGAGGCGGACTGATGCGGCTGCCGACAAGGAGAACGTGCCCGCTGGAAGCGCTTCTTCGTCGACATCGCCTGTCAAGTCGAGTGTCAGAGCCTCTGGACCTCGGACACCGAACAAGCGGTTGAGCGTGTTTGGCGCTCCTGAAAAGAGTCCTCACAAACACCTCGCGCCACGATCGCCCGCTCGAGCGATGATGAACTCTCCTACCAAAGTCAATCGGCCTACGACCCCTTCGCGATTGTCGCAAACCGAGACGGTGGAACAACCCGCATGGGCTCAGGACGAGTACTCGAACATAGCGCTCGCCGACTTTTTGGAAATGGCCGGGATCCAATTCATGACGTCGATGCCGACCGCTACGAGGAGGAAGAGCGTGCTCAACGGAGGCATGCCAGCCGAGTATATGCAAAGAATGATGGCCGGCGAGGCTGGCGATTATCCTCTGCACGAGTACGCAGCCGGCATGAACGCCTGGTTCTACTACAAGATGTACCACTGGGCTTGCCAGCAGATGGAGCAAGATATTGAGAAGAGTCAAGCTACTTTGGACTATCAGTTCCGGGACGCTTCGGTGGATAATCCAGTCGTCGTTCGAGAATACCTGGCTGCAGACGAGGAAGAGAAGGGTTTGTTTGAGGTGAGCGTTGCGGTCAAGATTTTGAGTCTTGTACTTAACTGAACATACTCGAAATCGTTCGGCTTGTTGTAGGCAATGCTTCAGTCTCTGAAAACGAATGCTCGGCTGCTCGCCAAGGAGAAGTGGTACGACTGGCGACTACAGTTGACTATCGGCGTACAGAAGCAGATCGAAGCGATGAACCTTAGCCTTAAAGAGGTAAATCAACATGCTCGTCACCACATCCGCCTGGACACCCGGCTGACTTCTATCCTTCCCTCCGCTTCTAGGACAAGGAGCGTATCGACGCCATTCGCCGAGACGCGCAGGATTCCCTGCCTCACCTGAGGGAGCGACGGATGGCACTCGAAAAGGCATTGGCGCTGGAAAAGATGTCGATCGATGCCGTCACCGAATGCGACCAGGTTGAACTGAAGGATCTGAGAACGGCTATAGGCGAACAAGGGTAAGACTGACGAGACAAGGGATAGAGACGGCGCAGCTACTGATGAACTACCTCTTTAGCGCTCAAATTGCCGCCTTTACGGCTGAACTCGACGAACAGACTGAGAAGCTAGAACAGCTCAGGAAAGGGGTAGAGGAACATCAAACTCAAAAGCACGAGATCAGTCTCGCACTCGCGGCTGCCCGGCGGGAATGCGAACAACGAAAGGGTTTCACCAAGAGCGAAGCGTTTGGTTTCGAGCGTGAGTTGATCATCTTGACGACTTCGACCTTTCTACAGGTTGTTGATATCTTCTTCATTGGGCGTCTACAGAGGAGTTTAAGGCGCTGCAGAACTTCAACTCGTGGCGATTGGACAAGCTGACTAGTACCGGCATCGAACTTGTTTACGACGAGGAGATCCGCCTCACGGCTTCATGTTCCGACTCGCAACCCTCTTCCGGATCCGCTTCGATCGTTTTGTTATCGAAGGCGGATCAGGACGTGTCGGCCACTCAGGGTCTTTTCGACCTGATGAAGCCTATAGTGGACAAAGCAAAGACGACGTCGACATTCCAAGGGGTGAGTGGTAGCGACCAAGATCAACATGAACGAAACACTTACGCTCTGCCCTTTGCAGCTGGTACAACTCACCGCTCGCCTATGGACCGCCGCTCAACGGCTGAGGGCTGAATTCCGGTTGATGGGTCTCCAGTACCCTACCAAGTACTCTTATCTCGAAGCGTCCAAGACCTTTGAATGCCGTTCAACGGTTCTTCTTACGGGGTCAAGATCGAAGATCCAAGTGGCCTTTTCGGTTGACGAGGACATGCTGGCTACCTGGCCGGAGTCTGTCTCACAAATCGGTGTTGCTGTGACCAAAGTCTACGGACCGGTAGAGTGAGTCGCAATGTATGGGTTCGTTCGGGAAACAATTGCTGATCGATGGATTCTCCGTCTGTAGTACCGACGTGTTGAACAAAGAGATCAAGGAGGACATCCGAGGAGCTACCGCAGCTGCTCATTTACTTGCATTCTCTAGTTGTTGTGCCAATCTCGAGCGTTATTAGTTTACGAAACTCTTCGATTTTTTCACCCTTTTCCATTGGATGTTGTACTTGTATCGGTTGTGATATTAGCGGAAAACAGGCCACAGATATAATAGCGTTGAGAGTACAAGAGTGAGACAAGTAGAGGCCAGCCATGCCAAACGTCGAGGTTGACCGGCCAAACATGATTTGCTTACGTAATTGTTCACAAATACCGACCTCGATCGATCCGACCGAGGCAGGCATTTGAGGACTGCACATCTGTGTGCAACTGTGAGGTTTAGCAGAGCGCAGAATCCATAACAATCCCGTAAAACATCCCCGTTTCTAACGCAAACAACACAGGAAGAACATTGCACATCGGTAGTGCTCCATACTAAAATGCCTCCCCTCCAGTTCTGGAAACCAGGAACACCGGGTCCTGGCTCTACTCTGGACCGCGAAGCTGAAACCGAGGGATCGCTCTTGGCCGGACCTCTTAACAACAACCTGAACGCTTCCCTGTCTCTGGCATCGCAGCGGACGCGGCTACCAATCTACAAGCACAGGGAGAAGCTTTTGTATTGCGTGGAAAAGTATGGATGCGTGATCGTGGTTGGCCAGACAGGATGTGGAAAGTCGACTCGTACGTACACTCTGAACTTACCACACCGATCGCCTGTCCGAGCTCAATGCGCTCTTGCTTTACTCTAGAGCTACCACAGTACCTGAAAGAGGCGAATTGGGCATCGGAGAACCATGTAATAGCTTGCACGCAGCCCCGGAGGGTAGCTGCAACAACAGTAGCTGCACGAGTAGCCGAGGAGGTCGGGAGTGTGCTAGGAGACGAGGTCAGTCGGTTTCGGATCTCGTCCTTGGAGTCAGCCGAGATTTGTAGCTGACTAGTATGTGTCGCTATGTACCTTGAAGGTCGGCTACTCGATCCGGTTTGAAGATCTCTCATCACCAACGCGGACAAGGATCAAATACCTCACGGACGGGATGTTATTTCGGGAGACTATGGTCGACCCCTTGTTGAGTCGGTATAGCGTAATCATGGTCAGTACCATAGAAAAGCTCTTGCCTTCTGCCTTCTGGAGCTGATCCTCTCCTTACTCCGACGTGCAGATCGACGAAGCTCACGAGAGGAGCGCATATACGGACCTCTTGCTAGGACTGCTCAAAAAGTCAGTTCCCGCTTTCAAAGCTTTCGTGTTGAAACTTATCCAAAACCTATCCCGGTAGGATTCGACGTAAGAGGCCCGAGCTCCGGATTATCATCTCTTCAGCGACCATCGATGCGTGAGTCTGGAGGTGTTGCTGTTTCGACACCAGATGCTTGCCAGCTGATACGGTTCATGGTACAGGGAGGATTTTTTGGAATACTTCAACTCGAACGCGGATGGTGACGATCGGTCACAGGACGATGCCATTAGTAAGTTCCCTAATCATTATACACTCTGTTCCCAACCATGCTTAGATCGCGCGTAATCCCGGATAGTCCTCTCGCTCGAAGGGCGGACTTTCCCCGTCCAAACCGCTTACCTAGAAACCCCCAGCCCCAACTACGTTGAAGCGGCGGTTCAAGCCGTATTCGACATTCACATGAAGGATCCGAAGGGAGATATCCTAGTCTTCTTGACAGGGAGGGAAGAGATCGAGGAATGTTGCCAGGAGATCGCTGATCGTTCGTTAACGTGAGTAGGATCTGGTCAACGAATTCGCAGGTCCGCTAAGACACGATCGATGTCGCAGACTACCGAAGATGGCACCTCGGATTCTACCTTTACCGCTGCATGCGGGTCTCCCGACCGAGGATCAGCAGGTCGTTTTCGAGCCCGCTGGTCGGGACACAAGAAAGGTCATCGTGGCTACCAATATTGCCGAAGCGAGTGTGACAATAGAAGGGATCGTCTATGTCGTTGATTGCGGACACGTCAAGGTCAGCCGCCTTCTTTTCGACACGTGAATTCAGACCATGTGTACTTATTGTCCACGTATCTCGTTCACATAGATCAAGACGTACAATCCTCGCACCGGTATGGACGTTTTGACAGTGACACCTTGTTCAGTCGCCTCGGCAAATCAGCGTTCCGGTCGAGCAGGTCGTACTCAGCCGGGCAAATCCTACCGACTTTTCCCTCAATCAGCCATTACCTCTGGACTAATGCCTCCAACGACACCCCCAGAGCTGGTACGATCGGATATCTCGCTGTTCATCCTGCAGCTCAAGGCACTTGGAGTCGACAATGTACTCAGGTTCGACTGGATGGATAGTCCGCCAAGCGAAATGATGATTCGGGCTATGGAGTTCTTATACTCGCTCAAAGCCATCGATGACTCTGGCAGATTGACCAAGCCTCTGGGCACCAGCATGGCTGAAGTGCCGGTTGACCCGATGATGGCAGCTATCGTAAGCCACATACCGAAAGTGCCGGTCCTTGCGTTGTTTTCTGACTTCAAATGCCTGGCTTCTGCAGCTACTCAATTCTCACAATTTCAAGTGCGGAGAGGAGATCTTGACCATCGCGGCTATGACTTCGGTACAGAATGTCTTTGTCTTTGGAGAGGGGGCCGCGGGTGCTATGGGGGAGATAGAACGACGCAAATTCACTGCAGAAGAGGGCGTAAGTATCCCCACTGCTGTTGGCTCGTTGGCGCAAAGTAATGTCTAACGTTCTGTCTTGTTTCAGGATCACCTGACTTTGCTGAACGGTTAGTCTCCACCATAGAGGCATAGATCGCTATGAATGCTCAAGCTTATCGTCTCTTCGTTTAGCCTACAATGCCTTTGTCCGTTATGGCCGGCAATCTCCAAAATGGTGTGCTTCTCACAAGTTGAACTACAAGGCTTTATTGCGAGCCGTCTCCATCCGGAAGCAACTTGGCAAATATTTGGAGCGGTTCAACATTCCGGTTGAAAGCTGTGAGGGAGACGCGAAAAGGTTGCGAAAGTGTCTGGTCACTGGGTATTTCAAGGTGAGTCAGTCTCTTCGACGCGATCCTTGGTACGAGATTTTACAACGGTGTCCATGTCAAGAACAGAATGCCGCCCGCATGCTGCCTGACGGAACTTATCGAAGTGTCCGGGAGAACGCAGTGAGTTTTCGGGCATGCGCCTCTTTCGGGACATACATAATTTGCTCAATCATGTGTCGTTGCCCACAGCTCCTCCATGTCCACCCATCATCCGTTCTCTTCACTAGGACTCCTTCCACGAATTGGGTAATCTACCATGAGGTGATAGAAACCACGAAAAGCTTTATCCGGGATCTTACCGTCATCGAACAGGATTGGCTGGTAGAATCAGCGTAAGCTCTGCACATGCTCTCTGTTCATTTGCTTGCGATGGGCTAATCCCCTTTCACCCTTCAGTCCTCATTACTATACCTTTCGCGGCGGCAAATTCAAGCCGGAATGACGCGAATGCGAAACATGCACGCAGAGATGACCGTGAAACCAGATGAAGGGCGACACTGGGTGATAATACAGTTGTAGAAGGTAATCGCATTTAGTCACGTTGTAATACCATTAGCATTTATAGACAGCATAGGCATTGCATGATTGCCATATTTGCCATATCATCACCGATGGACTCGTCACTGCATTTAATGGGGCAACAGCTTGGTTGTAAAGTCTTGCTGATCGTTATCTAGCACATTACAGTGTTGAAGTGGATCCGTTGACGTTACCCCAAACAAGTCTGATTGCTGGGAAACAAAGTTACGGATCAGCGCGGGCCACATCCTAGCTCGGTGGCTCTGCTCAAGGTTTGAATTGCTTTCCACTTGACGTCGTTGTAACTAGAAATCGCTCGACTTGGCGCGTCCAGACCGGCAAGCTCATCCCCCGTGACAAAAAGGAGGAGAAATTGGCATCCGCTTAGAATCAGGAGAGCATTGGTAAGGAACCCGTACAAATCAGAGACAGACAAGGAATCTCGTTCCGAAGATCAGAAAGGTACAGCGTACGTAAGATGGTGCGGTACAAAAGCCAGCCCTATGAAGTCACAATAAGAGCAAGTAGCGAAGAAGAAGAAAAAGTCCATTGACAGGCGCATCGAGATCGAATTTGAGCGCCTAGTACCCGCCTCGTCCGACATCCCGCCTGGCCGGACTTGGAGCATAGGGGTCCTCGTCATTTTGGTACGCGTACCGGGACTGCGCATAAGGGTCTTGCGCTTGGTACTGTTGTGGCTGGTACTGAGGTTGTTGGTGGTATTGTGGCTGAGCATAGACGTCTGGTGCCCCTCCCGAAACCGCCCGACTCCGCGGCGAAGTTGAAGGGTCGTAAGCGTACCCCGTAGGCTGCCTGCCCGAGCTCGTCATCGGTATCGACGTCGACAGATCAGCACCCATGGATTTCCTCCCGTCCGACCGGGTGTCATAGTCATCGTGCTCGAACGCCCCAGCTCCATCATCGACGTCCGAGTACGCAACTCCCCATTCCCCGCTGACTGCCTTGTCCCTCCCCGACGTATCGATAGGAGGAGCCAAGCTGATCGGCGCGGTCGAGTTGTTCTCTCCATTCTCCTGGTTGTTGGTATTGCTTGTACTGGTGTTGGCGCTCCTGAACGGCTTGGACCCCCACTTGGGCACGGCCTCGTCGTCGTCCTTGCGCTCCTCCGCCCGGAGAGGACTAGGTCGAGCGGGCGCATACCTCCCGATCGGGTTTGCCGCGGCCAAAGCGGCCTCGCGTTCCTTGGCCGCAGTGGCCGCCTCGATCCTCTGTTGTGCTCGAGATCGACGATCGCCCCCGCTCGAAGATGAAGACGAGCTGATCGGCGCAGGAGGAGGGACGGTCGGTTTCGGCTGAGTGACAGAGGCGTGTGAACCGGTGGACGAAGTCGGCGAGGTGCCATGCGTATTCATCTCTGTAGAAGCGTGTGACGAGTAATACTCGCCATCCCTCTCGGCATACCGATCGTACCCTCCGTCCTGCCCATAAGGCTGCTGTTGCTGTTGCCCGTGACCGTGCTTGCTGACGAGGTACTGCGAAGGTATAACAGGAACAGGCGGGGCCTGATGTCGGCCTTGCGGGTGATGCCCTGGAATGTCCTTTTCAGAAGGAGCGTCCGAGACGGCCGACTTGTTCTTGATCAACGTCGGTCGAGCCGTCCCGTTCTTCCTCGCCGCACGGGCTGCCGCACGCTGTCTTGCTTCCTGTTTGACGAGACGGCACGTCAAGGTCAAACCGGTTGATTATTAGGGTGAGAAAGCGGAACGCATCAGTAAATCTGGATTTCGGTCGATATCACCATAGGAGGAAACTAGACTGACCTCTTTCTCCTTTTCAGCCTTGCGGTGACACCAGAACCAGATCCCTCCAATGATCAATACGGCCGCTACACCAGCAACGATTCCTCCGACGATGGGTCCTGGCAGTCAGAAAAAGCAAAGCAAAGCGAGAAAAGCGAAAGGTCAGCGAATGCGAGTGAACGGGGTTCGTAGTGATAAAACGGGTCTTACCGATGGGAATTTTGGTCGGTTCGGAACTATAATACGAGAGAGGCCATAAGAACGCTTGTATCAGCCTCAGACTTCGGACTTGGAGCTGAACCTCTCCTTTCATCCGGCATTCAAGGCGGGACTCCCTCTCGCACATCCTCCTCTTCGCGACGATGTGAAAATCGCACAGAACCGCTCTGGTACTCACTTGGAAGAAACCACGCTCCCCGTCGGCCCAGCGATACTCGTCACGGTGATCACAGCCTTTTTCATCATCTTGTTCATCCCCGCCGTCCCGGTTACTGCTGTCGAGGTCCGGGCGATGGTTGGAAGGGAAGGTGTAGGGCTGACGAGCCTTGCGTGCGGCGGAGGGTGGTTGAGCATTGTTGTTTTGTTGTTTTTGCTGTGAGCGTCTTGGAATTCGGAGGATGGGCGCAAGGGAGAATGCTCGAGGGGTCACGAAACTCTGTGATGTTTGTTTGAGACTTTGAGTTGGAGAATGATGTATCAAAGCTATGACGACGAGTTGAGGTCTCCCTTGATCGTTTTGATTGAGAGAAACCTGGATTTCCTTGTTTCACGGGCACGTCCGAGCGAGCGAGCGATCGATCGATCCGATGACGGAGAGCAGAGGGATCTCCTAAGCTCCTAACTGCTCAGGAATACGAAGAGCCGTAGTTGGCGTTCGGGATCGACCCTTGATGATTGTATACGTTCGAGATCTCCTCGTCTCGCTCGCTGAGCCAGAGAGCAGAGTCAGGGGTTCGGGGTCTCGAGAGGTTCCTTTGTTGATCGCGGAGAGAGAGGGGGGGGTCGTGTGCCCCGGGCGTGAATTCGATATGCCGGGTCCGGGCACAAAAGGGTGGAAAACGAGAGTGATGAATCACACGACTTCGACACAGTCGATACTAGGACCAGATGGAAGAGAGTATAGCTTGTATCTATCAATCCACTGATCCATCGATCTCTGATGTCGATCTCCTGATTGTTGTTTTGATGGAAGGAAGGAATCCCCGGCCGACCCACGACCACGAGGACCACGCGCGCGCGCGTCTCCTCTCGATTCGATGCGCCACTTTGTTGCCTCCCCCACACAAAACGATCGCCCGCCTACGACCACCTCTTCACATCCTTCAACATCTTGCCTCCTACAAACCAGATGATCAATGAGAATGGTGTGTTCGTTCTCGACCCTTTGTGCTTTCCTGGCTGAGTCTAGAAGCGATCCCTGGGAGATCGCCCTTGAGAGGGTCCGACGCGCCTCTCCGATATTCTTCCGGCTCGTCGATTTTGCGCCTCGTTGCAGAATGACACTCTTTGTTCGATCCGTCGCCGCCCCTTGAGAGCGTTTTTTGATATCGAACAAGACTCCCCCTGCTACCAAGGACGCAGAACAGTGAGAATCAACTGGGGTGAGCCCGCGCTGTTTTGATCGCCATAGTGGGCTACTGTAGCACAGCCTTATATCCTACTGGACGACGTGGGAACATGAATCATGCATAATTTCGCCTAATATCTCCCCAGGCAACCAGCAGCAATCCATGAACTGAATCCACACTGCATTGTCGATATCAGCATAGAACATGTAGCTCTGATGAGGACTGTGGAACCAAGCGTAATCCAGAATCGTGGCTAAGAGAGATGACTGGTGACGCTCAGGATTATGGAGTGGGTCGCGGAGTAGGCTAGCCAGATCACCCCTGTCACAACAATAATCATTGGGGGCGCTTGCTATAATTAGCCAAGATGATGCAGAGTTGGATTGAGGAGAGCCTTGATCCGATTTTACAAAAGGGACAAGCTGATGTGGGATAGTCTTCCCATGATCTGGCTGATGAGGGTCCTAGGCGGAACTGCTTTATCCTCCTGATCGTTCTGCACCTGTAGCGCCCTTGACTAGCGACCTCGAGTTCGTGATGCACGGACCTCGAGTCCGCACATCGTAATACCACTTCTCCCGCTTCTACCGTATTGAAACCGACATTGCATCCCCTAACTTCTACCCCGCCAACCTCCACACCTCTCTTCATACCTATCGATGGAGAAAAGGTAGCAATAAAATCCAAATACACCCCGGCAGTGGAGTTTACTGGCAATATCATGATGACCGAGCGCTTGAGCCAATTTGGCAAGGAATTCAACCTTGCTGTGGGAACCCGCCACAGCGTCTTACAGGTCCGTCCGCGGCCAAGGAGAAGACTTGATACTTGTGCTACAGAACTGGAAAAATGGACGCATGATGTTGCCAGAATCGCTTGCCTTCTGTTTGAGGCGATCTTCCGAGGTGTAAGGATGCACGTGGATCATGTTTTTTTTTACCTCAATCGTTTCGATACAAATTTAAGAATATTCGAGGCTGCTTGTATCGAGCGGAATTGTGTAGATGTTTTGGATACTCCCTGAAGGGATATCTAACCTGATGTCGCGGACGTAGGTCAATATCAATTGCGAAAGATGGCTCAAGTGGATGGATTTTTTTTCACTACTTCTCGATTGACATCTAGTATTGGGCTTACAAGGTCAGGTCGACGAACGCCCATTACAGGCATAGCTTGATCGCTTAGCGGTGTCGTCGACATCAGCGTTGCAGCTCGATACACGTAGGCCATGGATTTCATGCACATATACGAACTGAAGCATCATATGGTATCCCTGTATCACACCGCATCATCCTACACTTTCCTCGTATCGTCTATTACAAAATACAGTATATGATTACGTATCCCAGCTCACAAGCCAAGGGAAGGGTCGTTAAAGAAAGCCAGGTAGTCGGAAACCGAGAAAATTTTGGAAAGAAAAAGTTGAGTGATCGTTCATCCGCAACAGCCAGTGGTCTCCTGAGCGTCATCGCCGCTAAGAAACGCGAAACATCAAGTCGAAATGAGCGATTCGTTCGCAGCCTAGCAGAGGCAGGAAAAGCCGACTTACCCTCCGCCCTCGAGGACGTCCCAGCTGAAGATGAAGCTCCCGATATACGCCCCAAGGAAGATGCAGATGATGATGTACCCGTTAAAGTACATGGCGAGGAGCATGACAAAGTAGGCCACAGCGAACTGAGCCGTATGGATGAGAGCTCGCAGGGCTTGTTGAGGGACGGTCAGGCGGAGTCGAGTAGGTGGGTCCGAGGGCGATTGAATAAAGGTGGAGACAAGGGCCGGGACGAGAGGGGCTGGGATAGGGGTAGGTGCCGGAGGAGGGTTGCAGCAGCTGGACGATGCCGCGGTAGACGAAGGGTCCTGGACGGTCTCGTTGATCCCATAATCCTTCTCCCTCAAGATTCCCGCGCCTCGCTGCTCGAAGTCGTCCGAGTACTCCTGGTCCTCCATCATCTTCTGCTTCTTCATCCGTCTCGCCCGCTTAGCGTTGGCGACGACGATCGACCGGTCGTGCTTGCGCTGGAGGTACTTGAGACCTTCGAGAAGGATGACCAAGGCAACGACGCCGATGCACGAGCCTGCGAAACCTCCTTTGGATCGGACGTGCCAGTCGGACGAGATGAAACACGAATCGACCGTGTTCCAATTCCACAGCATCTATTCACGGTGCAGGTGGAAGGCGGTGATGATCAGTGAGGAGGAACAAAAGGCAAGAGCGGGATCGGCGAGCAAGCCATGACTCACGGAGATCTTGCAGGCGGCACCGCCACCCGCGTCAGACCCTCCATGGTCCATACCAGACATGTCCATCTCGGACGAGGCTTAAGAGTCTTGATGAGGCTTGTTGAGGTTGTTGAGGGTAGAGTGATGTCAGGTCGATCGCAACCTTGAATGAGCGAGAGACTACTGATCGGCGGTGAAGATGCCGGAAGGAGATTGATGTGACGTAAAGGCAAAAGCAGGAAGCAATTTCCCTGACTGACGTGTATCTGAATCGCCTGGCCGATATATATACTATTCTGCCTGTTAGCCAAGCCAAAGTCTGACGAGTACGAGTCCCGTCGGGTCCTACATACGACTACCCGACGAGTTTCATCGAGCCGAGGCCCCGATCCACCTCGTCGGTCGGCTCCATAGGGTTTTTAGTCGAATGTCTTGATGTGAGCCCAATTCGCGTTTCGTTGTATCCGAACGCGAGCCCTTTGCGCCGTTTGCCCGAGAGCGATCCAAGTGAAGGATATGGCTCGGACTGCGCGATATAGGGGCTAGAGCTCACGAGCTGCTTCGGCGATGCTATGGGACGTTTTAGCGATGATCTGATCTGGACAGAGGCAATTCTGACCAAGGGGGAGGTGTTGTCGTGCTTGCACTTAGCTAAATACGCACAATACGGTAGATCGCTCAACCCGCCTTGCCCGCCCCAAGGCTAATTTCGCTCATCTCGCTCATCTGCCTGCGGATTCAGGCGCGCGCGAGTTCTGCCTGCCTACAAAGTTCAGGGACTCAAACGAGCGAAGATACAGTGTTGAAAGTGTCCCTGTTCTTACCTTCCTATACCCGGCATGCTATGTAGATCTGTACGTGTGCAAGTGTCCCTCTGTATCGATTGATGGACTCCAGGACATCGACCGAGGTCATGGCTCAACCTGCGCTCCTCGTCAAGCGGCAAGTTCGGACTTGTCAAGAGGTTTGCAAACTGAAGTTAGGTCGGGTCGCTTTGGATACTTGTTTGACATGAGTTCGCGGAATGACGTTAATAGCTTAATAGACAGAAGTTTGTGCAATGAATCTAATACAGTCTATGGTTTCAAGCTCTCAGGTTATGGTCTCGAGCTCGGACGTAGCGCAGCGCGCCAGAGACCGACACGATAGGATGCTGTCTGTATCCACGTATCCATTCGAGAGCTCGAAGTGTGACATGACAACAGCGACGGGAAGGGGTAGCAATCTCCACACTCGATCCCGCCTTTCAAATGAGCCACACGGAAGCCACGTCTTATGCGGGATGTCCGAATCGATTGAGCCATCTTGGTGAGTATCACGACGGAACGTCGTTATACCAGCCTTGGGCGTTTGAGATTGGAGGAGACCGGTAATAGGCGTCTCGACAATTGAAACAATTACAATCACACGAACTAAATTGACTAGAATTATGTATATCGCCGCACAGAAAGCGATAGAGAAGGCTAGCAAACCTCTCCTCTTTAACCCTCTTTGACCGACCAGATGCCTTTGAGATCTGTCAAGAAGCCCAGAAACAGTCAACACTTCACTACAAAGTCTCTGAATCGATTCCTAGAGTATCTCCGGGCAGGTTGATGGAGTGGGATGAACTCCTGAGATCTATGGAGGTCTGAGTTCATCAGCCAGGCGGGTGGGTCACCCGGCATCCGAGGCTCTTGCTGACCTGCTCATCCGGGATACCCTTTTAGCTACAAAGGCCTCCATATTGTCCCATCTCACAACAAGGATGTTCTGCTCAAGTTGAAGGAGTTTCTGCACTGGCGTATGCTTTGGGAAAAGCGAAATCATGTTGGCATGAAAGACGGCAAGATCAAGGAACGTCTTCCGGTCTTTCACACTGTAGTCGAATGGGCCACGACCGTTGCAGCAGTCACGACTCACATCTACAAAGACGGTATGACCAAGGCTGAAGTATGCTTCAAACAGACGCCTTGATCGGCAAACCTGTCCATGCCCTTGCCCTAGCTGGTGGATTGACACGTGGACACATCGCCTGACTGTGAATGGGAACGGTCGGACGATCGCCTCGTTTGACCGATCGATGTCTCGCTGTAATAAATCGGTCAATCATAGTAAACAGAAGAAACGAACTTGTACAACTCCTCCTCCATCCATCCTTGAGCTCCTCTTCTCGCATGCGCTTCGCACCGAGTGTCTCGTACCGACAAAATTCAGCTCGCGCCCTTTCTTCAGCTCTTCCCTCTCAACAAGAGATACCAATCCCGGCCGCGACATGCCAACGCCAAATGCCCGAGGCATACTACGTCTATTTGGTCTGGTATCGTCGGAGCTTTCCAGGGACTGTCGAGTGGCGTGAAAACCAAAGGAAGATCAGCTGTCAAATTCCCAATCGATCTAAACAGCCAGGGTGAAAAGAGGGAGGGGTACTGACTATGGACATAGTTCTCGGCTATTGCGTTATGGTCATCACCGGAGAATACAGTGTCGAGGTGGGCGAGCGAGTTTGAGGGCGAGAAAGGACATGCCGAGGTATGAGGGGAAAAGATAAAGATGAGCGGGTCAGCGCTGGATGTTCCCCAATAATCAAAACCGATCCAGACTCTGCTCCTGAATTGTGGCCCTTGTCGAGGACGCAAAAATGAAGCAGAACAATCAAAAGTTCCACGACACTGACCATACGACTTCGGCGGGATCCTCGCCTCCTGAACCTTGTCGACCTGATAACTCCACCCCTGCTTCTCGGCGAAATGGATGGCCGCCTCCCTCGTCCTAAACCTCATCGACGTTCCCTGCATGTAGTCCGCGGTAGATCCCCAGCCCATCAGCTCGTTCTCCCATCGACCGGCGCCCTGGAGGGTGTCCCAGTCGATCTGCCAGTGCGAGGTCCCTTGTTTGGCGGATTGCATGGTGGATTTGGTGGGTTGGTAGATGCGGACTTGGCGGGCGTGGAGGGCGTCTGCGTGGTTCTCAGGAGGTCATGAGGATGAGAGGAACGAGAGACGGACATGTAGGCAGCAGAAGAGGAGGAACGACAGGATCAAATTGAGCTGCATTGTCAACACAACAGGCTACCCCCATAGACACACGCCGACTTACAAGGCGCATCGCTCAAGACGTCCGCACTGATGATCTCCGGACTCGGGTGCGAAGTCGTCAATCCACTGTTTTGGTGAGCATCGATAGTAGCCTGGTCATGGGAGACGATGGACTGGGTGACATTCTCCTTGGGATCCGTCACCTGGCGAGTAGGGGTCGAGGTGAGGTTCGAGTTGAGGCGGATGGAGGTGGCCGTCAGGGTGGAGATGGAGGAGGGACGGGCTGAGAGGAGGAGTGAGCGGCGGATGGCGAACATGGTGGACAACGCTGCTATCTATGAGGTGTACGGGGTTGCCAGGGAGTGGTATGCCAACGTCCAAACCTAGGCTGATCGAATGATGATATGATGATGATGACAACTGAACGAATGCTCGTTGGTCGCAATCGAGGTCCAGGCTGACTTAAGGCGATGCCGTAAGCTAGTCGACGAGCGTTAGCCAGGTCACGTGAAAGGTGTCAGCCCGTTACCCCCTAACGTAATCGTCACACAATCGCCTCCACTCCTGGTCTGATCGGTCGATCGCTCAGCGTTCGCAAGAGCTTGATCATCATATTATCACAACCACAGCCATCCGACTCGCCTCCCTCTTCAACGATCATCGACCACCTCCGCATCAATGATCTCAGCACAACTCCGTGCGAGACCACCGACGTCCGCCATGCTCGAACGTCACCTCCACCGTCATCACTTTCGGATACGCGCGACCTCGTCCTCGAGCTCTTCTTCTTGCTTGCACACGACCTCGATCCGACGACGGGCTCGTAGTGACAATCAGGATCCTACGCTTGATCCCGAGCAAGATGGTAGCAGTCGTCCAACATTCTTCACAAGTAACAATACGACCCCGACCTCGAGGACGATACTGGGCGGTAGGGCGAGATCCCCGGCGTTCTCCCGACCTTCGCTGATCAAGCTCGGTGGGATCGTACCCGGTTCAGCTCGACCCGGTCAGGCTTATGATCACTCGGGCACTGGTGGAGAGGCGGATGGAAAGCCTTATTCTGGAGGACCTGGCGCTGGTGCCGATGCAGGATCATCCCCAGCAGCGGGGTCAGGTTCGGGAGCAGGCGCAGGTGGAAACCTCTTGCCAGAATCGTTCAGGTCGAAATATTACCACCCTACCCCTGAACCACCTGCTACGCCGGATTACTATACGACTTCCCTCGCCTCGCATTTGCTTGTTTCTTTCTTGCCCTCGCATACGAACGTCCCGACGAAACACCCCAAGAGCGATAAGGATAAGGACCCGCAATCGTCCTCGAACGGTCGACGTTCCCCTCACGCAGTCAAACCTCAAGCTGTATCCTCCCCCAACCTATCGAAGAAAGACCCTCCAACCCTAGCCCTTGTCTGTCCCATTGAAGGATCCGAGGCTCATACACTCGAAACGACTCTCCATGCAGCAGGCCTCGTAGGAGCCGACGTCGTACAGCTCGACTTGGTACGGACAGTAGGATTGGGCGTAGAAGGGGATTGGGGAAAGGATGCTGGGGGATTTGTCAAGTTGGGAATGGGTAATCCTGTCTTGGTCAAGGACGAGAGCGAGATCCGTGGGTCTGCCTCTGGGAGCGGGTCCGGGTCGGGTTCTGGCGTGGGGATAGGGGGTGAAGGAGAGGAAGAAATGGATGGTTGGGAGCCCGATAAGGAATATGATCCCGAAGAGGACGGGCACGTCCAGGCCGAGGAAGACGGTGAAGAGGGCGAAGAACATGAAGATGAGCACGAGGGGGATGATGATGCGGGAAATTCTTCTCACGTGATCTCGGGACCGTTCGAGATCGCCATTCCCGTCGGTGGGAACCCTGGCGGGCTTGGAGGTGGTGGAGGCGGAGGAAGGGCGGGAATGGGGATGATGGCTGTGCCAGGAGGTGGACAGGTTGGGATCGGGATGGACGAGCCGAGGGATGTTGGGTCTGAAGTGGATAAAGAGGGGATGAGGCGGGTCTTCCAGGAGCTGGTCGATCTCGACAGTGCTATCGGGAAGAACGGGGATGTAGAAGAGAAGACCAAGCCGAGAATTATCTTCGTCCAACATTCTACCTCGATGAACGCCTCGTTCTCATCCTGGTGGTGGGCCCTCACACGGGCCGTCCGCCTACGTAACGCCTCCGGTAAACCCACAACCATCGTCCTCTCCTGTACACCCTCCTTCCTGCACCTCGGTCCCAATCTCTCCCTTCCCGCTCCCGCTGCGCCAGCAGAACCGGCCGAGAATCCGGGTCTCCCACCAGGACTAGGAGAGCTGATGAAGGCGATGAAAAGGATGAGAGAAGGGCCGGGAGGTGGAGCCGGTGGGCAGGGCAAGAAGGAGGACGAGTTTTGGAAGGGGAGTGAGGAGGAGGACAAGGTTGGCCGACGGAAGAGGTTAAGGAAGAGGCTGGCCGGGTTTCAATTGGGCGATGAGAGGTGCGTCAGAGATTTCGTTCCGACAAATCATCGATCAGGGCTGACGTGTTTTCTATCATCGCAACTCATTGTATTTCTGATGACAGAGCCTTACGTCGCTTCTTGCCAACGTTCGATGACCCGGATATCCCGAGTCACTACCCACCCGAGGCCAAGGAGGGACTCATGCGACTTAGAGGCACCCCACTAACGACTCCTCGTATCTGGAGGGTTCTCGGCACGCTCCCTCCTACACGTCACAAGTCCGCGGAGATGCTGGAACGCTACACCCAACGACTCGAGCTCAACCGGCTCTTGCTCAAAAAGGCAGTTGGGAAGCATGGTCTGAGATTCACCGACTCCGACCTCGGGGAGGACTTGAATGGCGATGGGCCGAAGTCGGAAGAGGTTTTGAAAGAGTATCAAGAGCTCAGAGACAGTTTTGCGTCCGCTGTTTGGCCTTGGACAACCTTGCAGCATTTGGCCACGATCGGAGTCGGTCATGCGTTGACCCAGAGGAACAAGTCGGGCGCGGATGCGGCGGAGATCGAGGTTGGATGGAAGGATCTGGCCGAAGCGTCGGTCGTTGAAGCACATGCAGAGGACGGGCTGGAAAAGTGGAAAGAGAACCAAAAGGCCAGCCCGTCTTCCGTTCAATCGGCCGTCGTCCATCCTCATCCTCGATCGGGCAAGAAATCGTCTTCCGGCAAGGCTGGCAGCGACAAGAAGCTGGTCGACCCTGTCGTAGAGAAGCTGAAGAAGGACAAGACACTGAACAATCACGAGAAGCGGCTGTTGAGCTGTATCGTCGATCATGCCGCCGTCAAGAATACGACGTTTGACGATGTGGCCATGGAAGAGAAGACAAAGGATGCCGTGAGGTCCACGATTAGCTTGCCTTTGCTCTATCCCGAGGCGTTCAGGAGCGGTATTTTAGCACAACATGCGTCGCAAGGCGTGTTGTTGTATGGTGAGTGGTGACGGACGGGCCGTGACAGTCTGACAACTAGAACTGACGAATGAATACGACATCGTGTAGGTCCGCCTGGAACGGGAAAGACGCACCTTTCTCGAGCGCTGGCTAACGAAAGTGGCAGCCGCATGATTGCTGTGACGTGAGCTGGCAGAAACCGAGTGTACATTCATCTAAATCGCTGATCAGTATTCTCTATACTTCTGCTGAAACAGACCGGCGGACATCAACGACATGTACGTTGGTCAATCTGAAGCCAGGACCAAGGCGCTCTTCAGCTTGTCCCGGCGCTTGTCGCCCTGCATCATCTTTATCGACGAAGCCGAGAGCTTGCTCGGGTCCCGCGGAGGGTTCTCTTCTGGCAACGCTGCGCATCGACAGGTGTTGACCGGTGAGCTGCGAGCGTGAGACGAAGTGAACGTTCGTCCGCTGACTTCGGAGACACTTTGCACAGAGTTTATGCAAGAGATGGACGGCTTGACGTCGTCTGGCGCGAACAAGGAAGCGCGGGTCAGTGTTGTTGCCGCGACCAACAGACCATTTGTGAGTCGCAGGTGTTGTTGGGGTTATAGATGTAGGAATCTGATATATAATTGCCCTCCGTTAGGACATGGACGAAGCGGTATTACGACGACTTCCACGAAGGTGAGCTTCGGTATGGGCTTTGACACACGAGATATAGAATTCGTAGTCTGATTATTGGCTGTGCTGCTGCCAGACTTCTCATCGATCTTCCCACCCTCAAGGACCGAGAAAGTGAGCCCAGTAAATCCCTCTCGTTCACACACGTACAAAGCTGACCGTTCAAACTTATCCGCCAGCCATTCTGCGAATCTTGCTCAAGAACGAGACTCTGGGTGAAGATGTCGATATCGCACAATTGGCCAAAGACACGGATACGTACTCGGGTTCCGATCTGAAGCGTGAGTTCGAGCCAAGGCTTTTCCCTCTCTAGTCGGTATGAAATCAGGCCCGCTGATCCAATGATGGCGATGTTATATACTATTCTGCCCAAACAGACCTGTGTGTGGCCGCCGCCATGGATGCGCTGAAAGAATCTGCACCGCCACCTTGGAAACTCACCAAACCCGGCTCCGTTCCGTCCGTCCCACTAACACCCTCGTCATCGTCCTCCTCGGCGGGCGACGAAAGCGGACCTGGCGGGATGGGCGGAGGTGGGTCGGAAGAGGTGGAGAGGGAAACCATCGAGCAGGGAGAAGGAGGGCCGGGTGGAAGAGAGGTCTTGCCGGTCGCGCCTGCGCAGGTCAGTGCGGCGGGTGAAGAAAGGGCGGTCTTGATGAGCATCGGCAAGGGGAAAGGCGAAGGTACGGGAGAACAAGAGGCAGGTAGTGCCTCAAGTACGAATGGTGGAACAGCATCATCCGAATCATCATCAGCATCATCAGGACCCAGTACACCCTCGTCCGCATCATCAACAACGACACCAACATCAACGGCAAACTCCACCTCTTCCTCGACACCTCCCCCCTTACCCCCTCGAATCCTCCGTAAAAAGCACTTTACCCTCGCCCTACGCGAGATCTCCCCCAGTTCGGCCGAAGGGTCGTCATTGGAAGAACTACGTAAATGGGCTAGCAAGTTCGGTGAGGGCGGGACTGAAAGAGGCAAGAAGGGCGGATATGGTGGCAAGTTTGGATTCGGGGATGTCAAGGAGGGAGGTGGGCTCGAGGAGGAGAGCGAGTACGGAAGGGTGAGACCTGGGTCAAAATAGAAAGGCCGGCGAGGACGAACACGACAAAGAAGGATAGAGGCGGACGATGCATGCATTGAGCTTGTAGTGAAACGAAACGTCTTGTAGAATAGAGCATGACACGAGGACACAAACCATATTATCGAGAGTCGTTCAAAGCGTGCCGGATGATCGTGATGAAGAAGGACAGACAGCGGAAATTTCGACTTTTGTCCCGATTTTGAACCGTATCAGGAGCTCCGAAGGTCGTCAACGTCAGACGCCGGATGAACAAAGTACGAGCCGATAGATTCGACTTGCAGTGAGAACGTTGCCACACCCCATCCGTTGAGTGGATCGCGTTTCACCTCGTATCCCTTGATTGTCCTGTCGGTACCCTTTCGATCACGGAGAACAACCCCCCCTTTTTTGTCTCCTTTGATCAATTGTTCCACCGGGAAAGGAGGGTCCTCGACGCGTGACAACAACAACGACAACAACAAAGAGAGTAGCGCCCGCTCGGACACATCGCGGCAGGCGGGAGGAGGAGGAGATTAGCCGATGACCGAGGCTGTGACGCGAACGATTGAAACGCGAAATTTAGGATTGTCTTGGCATCAAGGGGTAACACATCGCGGTGGGGTGGGAGGGAGGGGATTGCGCTGCTGCTGTGCGCTGTTTGTTCTCATCATCAAACACGATTCTCATCAGAAAACCCCTCGCTCCTCCCCCCTTCTTCTCCTTGATGCCTTGATACATATACCTCACTCCATCATCATCAAACAACAACAACCCTCGACTCTTCGTCTCTTGATCCGACTTCTCTCTTTGACATATTCACGCTCCTTTCTCTCTCTCTGACTTAACGACCCACGACCTACCTCGACTCTCACTCTCTTTGCCATCTTCGTCTGGTTACGAAGATTCAAGTCGAACGAGAACTCTTACACGTAGTCACCCACACGCTCTCTTTCAACCCGGGAAACCTCCTTTACGCACAAATCGCTCTACCTCACCTTCAACGACCTCTTCCTCGAACCTTTCCATCACCACCTCACCTGAATCAACTCGACAAACACACATTCACGATGCTCGGTCAGGCTACTACCCTCTCCCTCGTCCTTTCCGTCTTGGCTGCCGCACCTGCCTTGATCAACGCTCACGGTCAGGTAGACTGGATCGGTTGTAACGGCCAGCAGTACGACGCTTGGGACCTCGATGATCATTACAAGGCCGCTTACAAGAAGCAGGGTAGGTTTTCGCTGACAAGTCGGGTTTTCGCAGAGGGATTTGTGCTTACTGGCTTGTTCATCTGATAGACCCGCAGTACGGTGAACAGCCTGCTCAAAAGTTTAGCGTTAGTGACTTGCCCTGCTCTGAATCTCCTTTCCGCCATCATCGCCAACATCGCCTCAAGAACCTTAACTTACCCTTCTCTTCCTCCTCATGTCCATGAAACTGTACAGCGCAAGACCGACCGTCTTGATCTCGGACCCACGGACATCTTTGGCAAATCGTTCGCTACCGGAGGATACCAGGATCCTTTGGATTACGATGATATCTCTCCCGTCGGGGTCATTCCGGCCAAGGCTGGAGATGAGATCACGATTCAATGGGATCACCATTGGCCTCAGGGACATCCTGGTGTGAGTCGGGGCGGGTTGCTGGTCATCTTTCATCGTCAAAGAAACAGTCGAGCTGACGACGTCGATGTGGGTTCGTGTGCTCTCCCCAGCCCATTGGAGAATGGATGGCCAAATGTCCCGGCGACTCGTGCTCCAAGGTAGACGCCACGACGCTCGACTGGTTCTGTATCGCCCAACACAACTTTGACAAGGACGCCAACGATTGGCCGACGGAGATCATGACCCGAAACGGACGACAGTGGAAGTTCTTCCTGCCCAACGATTTGCCCGGTGGTGAGTGCCTTGTCCCTGAAAAGATTTTAGATGTTGCGGGCAAGCAGGCTGATGTGTACGGAATGTCGATCGTGTGAAGGCGCCTACATTGTCCGACACGAGCTCACCGCTCTGCATAACAACACCGGACCTGTCGAAGGTACCTCGGCCAGCCCTCAACACTACCCCATCGCCTTTGAGATCATGCTCGAGTCTTCCGGTTCCAACTTGCCCACCCAAACGGGCAAGTTCCCGGGCATGTACAGCTACGACGACTACGAGTGGCACCACGACATCTACCACGATGGATACAACAAGAAGTTGGTCGAGTGGGAGTTCCCCGGTGTCGCCGTCTACCCCGGTGGTTACACGTGAGTGGATGCGAATCTCCAGAGAATTCGAGAGGACGAACGGGACGCTGACAGTCTTTGGATGCACAACCTTTAGTACTGGTGTCGTCAACGGAAGATCGGTCAACAGTGGCGCTTCGGTCGGGTCCCCCGCCCCGGCTGGCGCCAACCCTCAGCCCGCCGCCGAACAGGCTCCCAGCTCCAGTGCCGCCCCGGCTGAACAGGCTCCTAGCTCGACCGCCGCTGCTCCAGCTGAATCTTCCGCTGCGGTCGAGCCGGGCTACCAGAACGGAGTTGCTCTCCCTACCGAATCTGCTCCTACGGAATCTGCTCCTGCCGAATCTGCACCCGCTTCGACTTCTGCTGCCGGTGAGTTTTAGAGTCTCGATGACGGTCCGTCATTGTGCTGTGTGCTGACTTTTGCTTACCCTTGTCTCGTAGCTGCCCAGAAGACCTGCCGAGTCAGGACTACCCAGGCGCAGCAAAAGAGGAAGAGGGCCGTCCAGCAGGCTCGTCATCAACGAAGGTCGAGGTCCGGGTTGGGAAAGAAGCACTAAGCGAGAGCTTTTCCCTGTCGGTCGGTCGATGAGGTCTCCCGGAAAGAGCAAGTGTGAATGAAGAAGAAGAGTTTATCAGTCTGGACAGTCTCGATCCGGTTCGTTGTACTTTGCCGCTCGGACGGGTTCCGATGCATGAACGTACGACGATCGGGTCGTGCACCTTTGTCCAGGCTTGAGGACCCATCTTTTCCTCCCGTACTCGGACTAGGAAGCAACGCCTTAGTTGACTTGTCTGTGATATGTACCGGGCTTGCTTGATGTGCTAGCAGTCACTCCCTGTTCTTCAATTTAACGACCTTGTTACGAATCGATCTGTAGATAGTCTGATATGAAATCCGCGTTGATCGCTGTGGATACTTTTAGGTCGCCGATTATCGTACAGGGGGAGGTAGCATCGAAGCGAGTGAGAGATCAGCGCGCAAGGGATTCCTCCACCGGAACACCATGCTCGATCAGCATGACACTGCGCCAAACAAAATTGAGCGAGCCTTCCATCCAATACTGAGAAGAATCACCTACACCTTAAGCAAGGCTTTACATCCAATGTTGGAAGCGTTGGTCCAGCTAAGGGACGAGGAAGAGAACACTCAAGAGGATCAGGCAAAGAGAGATGTCTTCCGAGTAATGATTATGTTGCTGATTGAGCGGACGCCTCGACCGGAACAAGCAAAGTGATGCCGCTGAAATCTGCACGTGGACTTTCCGCAAGGTCTATCGATCTGTCGATCTGCGAAGTGAGGCAGGTGCAGAATGGAAAGGTGGAGGAGGGAAATGAACAGCCCTTCGACTATAATACATGACTGGGATCTGCGTCCCAGGTATCAGTAGTAGAATATGATACAACGCGACAAGAAACACAGTAAAGGTCCTGCCCTTACTACCGACCCTTTTAGCCTCTCAAGGCAACGTATTGCCCTTATTTCGTATCGCCCTTAAGCCATTTGTCAAACGACTCTCCCGGATCATTCGCCCCAACCCGTTCCCAGACAAAGTATTCCAGCTCCCGCTTTCGAGCTTTCAAGCGGGTCGTTCGCTGTTCCTGTGACTCTTGAGAGCGCTCGGCCTTGGTTGGCCCTGCGGAAACGGGCAAGGTGGGAAAGAAGGGTGTCTGGACCTCCCGCTTGACTCTTCTCCATTTCGGCTTATGTCGTTCCGAGTTGAAACCCTTTCTCAACCGGACGATCTCGGTGACCATTCGCAGTCGATGGCCCTGAGAATCTTCCTCGTCCATCATCTGATCAGTGATCTGGGAGATCAACGTCTCGCTTCTGGTGCGGAAGTAATGGTAAAGCAGGACTATGTTGCGCAGATCTCTTTGCGCAACGATAGGGTCCCCGGCCTTCTTGGGAGGCACACACTCAAAAAGGGATCGCGGCTTGTCCAATGACACCAATGGAGGGGGACCGTACGTGGAGAGGTGATTCCAGATCCGGGTTAACAATTCGCTTGTGGTCATCCAGCTTCCACTTCGCCCGAAGTATTCCATCCAGGAGATGAAATTGACTTCGTCCTCCTCCATAGCCGTATCACCTGACGGTTGTACCTGGCCGGCCTCGACCATCAATGCCTGGATGTCGTCCCGGTACTTGGTAAAGGCTGATCTGAACAGCTTTCCCACAATGCCGTCGACAGTTTCTCGAGCATCCATCTTCTTGATGCAGTCCAATGTATAATCCCAGTATTCGGGAAGAGCAAAGTGGGAATCATCCCCTGCAATCGAAGTGGTGTCATTAGTTGTGGTACGTATGCACACGCGCTGAACCACAACTCACCAGTCCATATGACGACGTCTACCCCTGTTTGCTGATCTAACTTTAAAGCGCAGGACAGATTCAGCAAGTTCTTCGACGCCGTTATATCTCTCGGTGGAACAGTCTTCATGAATTTGTCTATACATATATGTAGCACGAAGATCAGCTGACCGACCGGCTGTACGGGAGCGGGTCAGAACTTGCTTATCTCCTCGACAATACTTTGCCATCCTTGAACTGGAGACGCAACTTGCGTCAGATCACTCAAATCGGGGTCTGCGCAATCTAGCTACTGACCTCTTCGTTCTTCAGAGAGGATTTCCTGGAGGAAACGAGATGTTCCGTCGTTTGTGATGGACTGTTCGACATCCGCGGGCGGTTCTGCCAAGGGATCCGCACCTTCATCGTCGCTCGGAATATAATCCTCTGTCAAAAAAGGTATCTCGAGTCAACACTGTCGCCGAAGGTGTGCGAGACCACTCAATCTCACCTGTCCCCGAATCAGAAGCATGTTCGTCCTTGTCATCCCCATTATTCGCCTCTTCTTCTTCGAACTTGGCGAAAGACTCCACGTACGCCCTTTGTTCCGCGAGCTGCTGTTCCCCCGTCAGCTCCGAGTCCGGAAACTCGGGTCCGTCTTTGTAGATGTATATGATGTCAGCCGTAGAACTCATGGCTGTTTGCTCAGCTCTGAAAGGACGTCCTTCAATTATGGCTCGAGAAGAGGTGGCGGTTCGACAGGTGAAGCTGTCATCTGATGTTGATGCTGATGATGAACGAATGACTCGGGATCCGTCGTCCCGGTGGGTTCGGCCTTGGCCTGTGAACTCGGTGGATTGATGGTGGGAAACCTTAAATCAACGTGGGATATGCCCGAGAAGCGATCACGTGACTGGATGAACAATCGTCAAGACGACGATTCTTGCAGTCTTTAGCGATCAAGAAGTAGCTTACCAAAGGCTAAACTTGTTCCCAGTCAGCAAATCCTGAGCGGAGCTCTTTGCTTGTATCGAGGCCAAAAGTTCCCGGGCGGTGATTGCGTGCCGGCGGGCTGTATGCCACTGCTTGCCACCGGGGAATCGCTGTCATTCAGAATTGTCACTTCATCGGTCGGGCGACATGTTCTTCTTCTTCAAGTCGTCCACGTGGACGATTGAGATGTGTCTTGGTATCACTCAAAAAGCTGATATTATATGCACATCTTTCAATGAGCCTCTGAGTTTTAGAGCGCGTCGTAGTGGAAGCCCGTTGCCATCGTAAATCCGGCCGGTCGTGCATACACTCGCGGTCTCGCTATTTTTATTTATACAATTGGGACATTTATACAATTGGGACATTACATATGCAGCACAGTCACTCGGCATCGGAGATCCAATCTTGCTCCCACTCCGACTCCGAGACCCAGGCAAAAGCATTGAGTCCCCTGAGTTCGCTCGGCAAGGGAACCCGCCCGGGAGGCTCAGGAATGCCGTATTTGACTGACCTCTGGGTTGCCTCGACCTGAACTTCATAAGCGGTACCTTGGTTGAATTTGATCGGCACACCAACGACAGTACTTGTATCGTATCAAGTTGATCATAGTCTCTTATATCCATGATTGTTTCGTGAGGTCTATTCGACGTTTAATAACGGCCTATACCGACATTATGATGCTTATTTATGGCTGCGGGCCGATGTTCAGCCAAGTAGCAACAGGCACGACCGGCTCTTGCGAAACGCTGAACGGCGCGCTTGTCTGTATGCTCTATCGGGGTGGCAACGGCCCCGTCGAGAAGCGCCTCTGCCTTGCCTGGGTTTTCTGCACCCGGTAAGAAGACTGGTTCAGTGTACAGTTTGTAAGCAGAGAGACAGGGAGGTCGAGGGACCGTGCCTTCATTGGACCTTCAGATTTCTTGTCCCTTTGAAGGCGTGAAGCAAGGACTCAGTGGTACTACTCTTGCCGGTCAACTACCGAACGTTACTCGAAATGAGTTATGCCTAAGTATAGATCTGCTGACCTCGCCCCCAGGAAACGTTCTGGGAACGAGCGAACTCGAGGATCATTGGCATGGTCGTACTATTTGAAGACGATGGACGCATAATAGATACTGTACCCTTTTTCTTTGAGAACCGCCGGGGAAAGTTTGCGTGCGGTATCGGGTGACCGCCTGTGCGAGAATTACATGTTATGAAGGAGCAACCAGACGTCCCTAAAAATACTGACATTCGCGACTCTTAATCATACGGCCATTGCTACTCAAAGCGGCGTCTTGTGGCTCGCTGCGAAAACAAGTTGAGGATCAAGAATACCCGACAAAATTTGACGGTAGGATCAGGGTCTTATCGTTATCCATATAATCAACGGATCACCGCAAGAATGATCATTCGGTGATGCCTCGTAAGATGTCAGTGTCCAAACGGCACTGATATCTATATTGTATGTTACCCCTTCTCCGCCAGATTGCTGGTTGGCATCGGTAGCTAAGTGCCAACGTGAACAAATTGTCTCGAAATTATCGGCGGTTGCAGGCAATGCAATCTTTAATCATACAGACACTTTTGAGTAGCGACTGGCCGCTTGAAAAAGCAAGGGAGTAACCGGATCTGCTATGCTGCACATGTAGCGCATCTCGAGGCGTTTCGTGTAGACCTCCGTCCTTCCCAAACGCGTGGAAGGTCAGCCCGTTGACGCGATTTCATTAGGGACGCGTTTGGACGGGGAGAGTACGCTTTTGAGATTCGCCGAGGTAACCCTATCGATGTTTAATCATCTTACATCGTCCTCATCGAATCCTGCAACCTCGCCGACACCTCTTTCTTGCCTCATTCTAAAGATAGTCTTGGATCCCGACTTACCTATCCCTTCTCGTCCTTCACCTCACCGGAATTCGGAACGCAGAGCGGTCGATCGGGCGATACCACTTCGAGCGAAACGCCGTCATGGTCCTCAACGTGAAGAAGGAGAACATTCCGCCTCCAGCGTTCGTCTTCCTTGCTTGTAGTTGCAAAGCCCACGAATCTAGCTTATGTGTATTCTCTTATGCATCTATCATCACAGCGATGCACCTCCGGCGAAGCGGCAAAAGATGTCTTCCTACGGGTCCTCGCACACCGCCCTGAAGCAGCAAGACTCGTTTACAGAGGTCCTGGCCCAGCTCGAAGCCGACGCAGAGTCCGCCGAGTATGCTCAAGGTGGAGGAATAGAAGGGGAAGCGGACGGGGAGAGAAAGATCGGGCATATCGAAACGAGTGCCGCATGGCCTCGACCGGCTCTGGGAAAGTGGGACGCTCAGTCTGACAAGATCGGTAAGCACGGCAGCTTGTATCGCTCGATTGCCTGTGCGTGGCTCAATTCGATGCCTCGATCGACTGCAGTCTTTCAACAAATCGACATTGACGAGTCAACAGATGCCACCACCGGTTCTACACTACGGCTCTTTGGTTTGACGAAAAAGGGCAATTCGGTCCTCCTGCATGTTCACGGATTCAAGCCATACTTCTATGTGGCTGCTCCGAAAGACTTCATGACCGAGGATTGCAAGCACCTGAGAGACCAGTTGAACGTGAGTCGTGCAAAGTTTCGAAAAGAGACCACAACTCGTAAACATCGGCTGATCAACCTGAACTATCTCTTCTCGATAGGCCTCGGTGACAGCCGGCAACCAGGCAGCCGTCGTCAACGTCAGCACCTGTATGCGGAAGTCTTTATGGGGATACCGAGGCAACCAGAACGTGCCTTTCATCAAGATCACATGCGTCGACCAGAGGTCCATTCCGAGGGTGAAAGATGAGTACTGGCTGACATCTACAACACTTTTGAGCAGAACGAGCTGACATACACCTTTCTTCCTCTCGTGGGACTGTGGCTTGCGGGATGATACGGCTCTTTGAGAGGGCTCAGATCGATTTCAGAGATATGTTCACCCAGGAGGTCATGACTTACGAAAGCAACATCGCCTACACCCTTCGATTCATGATTGATACCAAGGTAAGCCGGATCCGAACGGATGACAGTGATAGAACCTGTACGCTTATGATGTCCTGGCGTGGCAGATTGTCGGTATGAACTGGATCGAATTGCCTGCAGGGAAGTATACCGTGAGATCAGGGAGCAAGAAGGTGTCATCGTGTCAGCTTGAAGCGGACTGCAGGTGAGTTGCCAACGAGCAAGTCGTTATCGCCACGTTGACACTGAATGTCCTGATCAACCAGCTACGACAAACTCATCTCTCATTCGCCTGAAGGTGATGGAGCGGATATTGCACCCCTCCGAATCCTCAGTTTCGATATCGAGTGTGCCGGTAGAAAGGGTATCTTCCCAGAAGCCAACATCGACCCCGTCATCCAGATCGCCAACATGGTCACACGGCAAGGAGAAAGCAAGCCTTTCATCCGGAACGTCTTTACCCTCAATACCTGCGCCCATATCGTCGGATCGCAAGTGCTGGAATACCATAACGAAAGGGAAATGTTGCAGGCTTGGAGGGATTTCGTAGCCGAGGTCGACCCGGACGTCGTGATCGGATACAACATTGCGAATTTCGATTTGCCTTACCTTCTGGACCGAGCCAAAGCGCTCAAGTGCAATCAGTTCCCCTATCTTGGAAAGCTTGTTGGTACGTCTACGGGCGAGTGAGGACCGCTCGGTTGATTTCAGTGTCGATCTAACTTGACCTGCTACAGGTGTCAAGACCGAAGCAAAGGAGACCCACTTTTCGTCCAAAGCCTACGGTACACGAGATTCGAAACAGGTCGCTATGGAGGGTCGTCTTCAGCTCGATATACTGCAAGTCATGCAGCGAGATTACAAGCTGCGGAGCTATACCTTGAACGCTGTGTGCGCGCAATTCCTGGGAGAGCAAAAGGAAGACGTGCACCATTCGATCATTACGGATTTGCAAAACGGTACAGCAGAGTCGAGACGAAGGTTGGCTGTGTACTGTCTCAAGGTAAGGCTTTTGACCAACACCCTTCCTCTGGGCTATCGCTGACATCGCTGTTGCTAACAAAGGACGCCTACCTACCACAACGATTGATGGACAAATTGATGTGCTTCATCAACTACACCGAGATGTCGCGTGTCACGGGAGTGCCGTTCAATTATCTGTTATCCCGAGGACAGCAGATCAAGGTCATTTCGCAACTGTACCGAAAGGCCAATGATTCGGGATATCTGATTCCGGCTTTGAAAGGCGAGGGTAAGCTCGCCTCCCTGCACCGCTCATGACCCTCCTGCTTGATCACTGACCGCATCTATTGATCGACAGGTACCGATGACCAATACGAGGGAGCTACAGTCATCGAGCCGGTCAAGGGATACTACGATGTACCCATTGCCACCCTCGATTTCGCTTCGCTGTATCCCTCGATCATGATGGCGCACAACCTCTGCTATACGACACTGCTGGACAAGACTACTATCGATCGATTGCGCTTGGAGGAAGGGTCGGATTACGTGAAGACGCCGAACAATGGTCAGCTCGGTGCATTCCCGTCATATCAGGTTCGAATCTGATTCTCGTCTTTGTTAATCAGACTTTTTTGCAACCCGGAAACTAAGAGAAGGTTTGCTACCTATCGTTCTGCAAGATTTGCTTGCTGCTCGTAAGCGTGCGAAGAACGATCTCAAGGTGGAGAAGGACCCGTTCAAGCGGGCGGTGCTGGATGGTAGACAGTTGGCGTTGAAGGTTAGTCGCTATGAACCTTCATGTCGATCGCCTAGGTACTGACCGACCGTATCTTGATAGGTTTCCGCCAACTCGGTCTACGGCTTCACCGGTGCAACAATCGGAAAGCTGCCGTGTCTCGCCATCTCGTCCAGTACAACAGCATACGGCCGGGAAATGATCGAAGCTACAAAGCAGCAGGTGGAGAAGGAGTTCACCGTCGAGAAGGGATATGAGCACAACGCAGAGGTTATCTACGGTGATACCGACTCGGTCATGGTCAAATTCGGCACTTCAGATCTCAAAACGGCAATGGATCTCGGTACGGCGCGGCCTTCCATATCTCGGAGACGCTGGGTTCTGACTTACCTTGAACCTACTCGCAGGCGCTAAGGCGGCAGATATTGTATCGGCGACTTTCGTCAACCCAATCAAACTGGAATTCGAAAAGGTGTATTACCCGTACCTGCTCATCTCGAAAAAGCGTTATGCGGGACTTTACTGGACAAAGCCTGAGAAGTGGGACAAGATGGATACAAAGGGTATTGAGGTGAGCAGAGAGACTGGGCGCGTCTTTGGACCGATCAAGTTGCTGAGTCGCTCGTTACGGCAGACTGTACGGCGAGACAATTGTCGGCTGGTGTCTTCAGTCATCGAGACATGCTTGCATAAGATGTTGATCGACCGTGATGTGCAAGGGGCTGAAGAGTCAGTCAGGTCATGTACGACGAGCTGCGCAAACAAACTAACTTGGTCTTCTTAGATACACAAAACAAACTATCGCGGACTTGCTGCAGAACAAGATTGATATGTCCCAGCTTGTCATTACCAAGGCACTCGCTAAAGCAGGTGAGTATCATCTCCGAATTGATAGTATGGGATAATCTGATAATGAGCCTCTTGTCCATCAGATTACGCAGCGAAACAGGCTCATGTCGAGTTAGCCGAGCGGATGAGGAAGCGAGACGCAGGTGAGTACCGAGTTGAGCATCAGCGTAGGATATTCAAGTCTGATACTTGCCAACATTCCGCCAGGTTCTGCTCCGGCTTTGGGAGATCGAGTAGCATACGTCATCATTAAGGGAATCAAAGGTAAGCCTATCATCTTCATCTCAGCTCATATCTGATTGTCTGAACTGACTAAGCTCACGATCATGTTGTGATAGGGGCTGCCGCTTACGAGAAGTCAGAGGACCCACTCTATGTTCTCGAAAACAACATCCCGATCGATACCAAGTACTACCTCGATAACCAACTCTCGAAACCCCTTTTACGTATCTTCGAACCAATTCTGGGAGACAAGGCTGGAAGTTTGCGTAAGCACAACTATTGCACTGGGGCGTTCGATGCATAGCTCACCTGCAGCTGCGATCTATTTAGTGAGCGGAGATCATACCCGGACGGTACAGATCGCCACACCCACTATCGGAGGATTGATGAAGTTTGCCGTGAAGACCGTGACCTGCTTGGGATGCAAGACTCCGCTGAAGACCAACAAGGGTATGTCGCTGAGCGCAATAGCACATGCGCATCCCACTAATCGTCAAACTTACAGATGGAGCTGTGTGCCAAAACTGCCGACCGAGGCTGGGAGAACTTTACCAGAAGCATGTGAGTGCCTCTTCGCGAGCATGCCCAGGCGATGTGACATGCTTATCGCCGAATTTGCAGTCCGCGTCGACGGCCTCTCTGCAAGTCGATTTCGCTCGTCTTTGGACACAGTGTCAACGATGTCAAGGGTCTTTGCATCAGGTGCGTATCTTGAGCTTCTCGAAGCTATGCATTCTCTTATGCCTAATGTATCGATTCTTGCATTGTGCAGGACGTCTTGTGTACTTCGGCGGACTGTCCCATCTTTTATCGAAGAACCGCCAGGCAGAAAGAGGTCAAGAGCGCAGTCGATACCATGGAGCGATTCCATCGCGAGCAGGGGTGGTAGAGCTTGATCCGCCTCAAATGACACGAACACATTTTCGCTTGATCGCATACTGAACAGCCGTTGTATCCCATTCCATGAAATGTTGTGTGTAACCTAGACATGCCTCTGTACAATAAAGACGGGTTCCCGATGCAAGATGCACGCCTGGTGAACCTGTATCGCTTATCGCTTACGATGCAAAATGACGAGCCAAGTGATATCGTCACGCTTCGACGGCTTATTTCCACCTGAAATCGCTTTCGATGGGCGAGAGGATTGATCAGAACAATCCTCACAACGTCACAACGCTGGCACGCTGGGGTGTGTATCGTTCCGGTACTCGGTTTAGACAAAAGGACTGGCCAGTCCAATCAAATCATCTAGACATGGATTACTTATGAATGGGGTCGGTCTATGCGCATATACTCATATATATAAGAAGACTCTAAGCCTGCAGCACTGGCAACGGAATCGGTCCAGCCAAATGGCACAACGCACGCTCCATTCTGCTTCGACAAGAAGCCCGTAACCTACATCTCAATCATTGTTACAGCAGCCAGTAAATCATGCGACCTTCTTTTCTCGTGCGCGGAGTACAGGGTCTGGGTGTGGCTATCAAAAAGGAATAGTGAGTCTCTTGGTTCTCTCGACCCTGCAGGACCAGAACTTGACAACATCATATTCGCTGCTACAGCCCCGATCTTATCAAGACATACAACAATCGATGGACAGACCCCGCTATTCAGGGCAAGACAGTCGCCCTTGACGCTACCTTGATCACAACGAGATTCTTCTATACGCAAATGGAAGATGATGCTCTCGAGAGTAAGAGGATCGTTATGAATTGGCACCGGTAAGTCGACTTCAGCTCGAACTATACGCCTCGCCCGAGCTGACACCAAATCGTCTGTTCTGTCTTTTCAGCCTCATAAGCAGTATGAAGGAAGCTGGTGTCAAACCTATCGCTATATTTGACGAACCTGGCCCTCGCGAGTGGAAGGCTCGAGAGCATCTTCGACGACAAGCCCAACGTTCGCTCAATCTCGCACGGTCACTACTCGAAGACGCCCGCCGAGAACGCTTGGTCAAAGTCGAGAATGTCTTACAGGAAGCTAGGGCTCTGCTTCAAACCGAGCAGCTTCCTGCGGGAACCGAGGTTGATATTGAGAACGAACTCTTAAACCTGGACGAGCTCGCTCTGACTTCGGAGTTCACAGCCGTCAACGAGGACCCAGGCAGGAAGACGCTGCACGAGGCGTTGCTCCTCTTGCGAGAGTGTCGAGCTTCGAGCCGTCCGGGAGAGAAACATGCGACCAGGTCCGTCGACCAAATCCTCATCGATCGATCCATGGAAGAGGAGGGTGAAGCTGGAGCCGCCGACGTCGCCAAGGTGGAGCCACGTCAGGACGCTATGATCGGCGGCGGTGATGCTGCTTCGGACACCGCCCACCCCGATTCCGGCCTCGCCGCTAGCCTGAAGCATGTTGAAGAACAGCTGGCTCGTATGCCTCGCATTGACGCGGAAGCTGAACCGTCTGTCGAGACTGATGTAGCGGGTGATCCGATGCTTCTCGAGCGGCAGGAGGATGACATCGGAGACATTGCCACGGTTGTCGTCGAGCCTTCACTCGAGTTCACCGAGACGGTTCGTCAGATGGCGTTAACGGCCAACGAGAATTATATTGTTTCGGATATCATCAAAACGATCACATCCGATTCGCCTTCTCAGCTCGCTCTCCTTGAACGCCAACAAGAGCTGCGGGACTTGCAGGATCGCGCGAAAGAGGTTTCAAAGACTTACGAACGTAGTCACGCCAAGCCGACAGCACAGGATATGGAAGAGGCGCGAGAGCTTCTCGAGGTTATGGGTGTACCTATCGTACAGGCACCATCACCATACGAAGCTGAAGGACTCTGCGCTGCGATGGTTCTGAGCGGGATGGCCGACTTTGCGGGAACCGAAGACTCGGATGTCCTCGTCTACGGGGCTCTCTTGCTGAAGAACGTTGGTACCAGTACTCTTCCTCTTCAGTCGATTGACGGCGAGGAACTGCGCACGACTCTTGACATGACCAATGAGCAGTACAAGTAGGTTCACGCTCAGAAAGACCGCTCGTTTAGCAACACTGCTGACCAAATGATTCGTCGCCAATCGTTTCAGGGACTTCTTGATCTTGTGCGGCACCGATGCCTGCGAGCGGATTCATGGAATCGGATTCAAGCGAGCTCTGAAGCTGATCAAGGAACACAGTACCATCGAGATGGTTCTTGACAATGCTCAATCGAAGAAAGTCCCTCTTCGAAGGTTGACCCAGGAAGGATATCTCGAGCGGGTCGGAGCGGCTAGACGAGTCTTTAGCGACTTACCAAGCCTTCCTACCGAGTTCGATCTGCAACAACGAACTGTCGAGCCTTCCTCGGTTGACGAGTTCTTGAGGAATCGACATGGAGTCGCGACGTTGAACGACACCGATACCGTCAGTCTCGGAGACGAGGTTCAGCTGGACTACCATCCTGCTGAGTCGGATCTGTGGATCGAGCCCGACCTGCCTAGAGACGTCCCGGACTGGATGGTCGATAGCGATCCGCCGATCCAGGAGCGATGACGACATACGTATACGACTTACTATTTACGATACACGACACAATGACGACCTGTAACATCTATTTTATGCTTACGAAACAATCCCCTCTCTGGTATTGCCTCTCTCGCTTAGCCGCGTCGACCCTACTTTCCGGTATTTCGTGATATCGCACTGGCAAACAGACCAGCACCGAGGGCCATGATGTCACCACGAGTCGCGTTGCAAAGGACCTTTGGCAACTGACAAGGGGGTTGCCGTTTCTGACAAAGAGGGTCTTGCTAATAATGCCGCTCCGCAAGCAGGAGACAAAGGGGTTGCGGCTGTGTCGATGGGGATCAGGGCAATCATGGCACGCAGGAAGCTGCTTCGAGCCCCTTCGACATCAAAGGGGTCTTCTTGTGGCAGATCTATATAACAGCTGCAAGATGTTCTTCCCGGAGACCTTGTTCGTCAACACATCCCATCATCGCCGAACACAATCACCTCGAACGATCTACCAAAATATGGGTCTCTTCAGCTCCCACAAACCCAAACCCGCCGCCCATGGTGGTCTGAAACAAAAGCGCAACGCTCCCAACCTTGACCGTCAGCGCGCGCTGGCTCAATCGGTCGGCAACCCCCGCGCCTTTTGGCAAGAAGCCGCTGGCGCTCGTTACGACGTCGACACGCTCGCCCTGATCGCTCGACCAGTCCCTGCCCATGCTGGAGTCATGACGCTTGAAGCCCTTCACGGCGGCGAGTGGACCAAGGAGGAATTGGCTTTTAGCAAGGCCATCAAATCTGCCAAGGAGAATCTTGACTCTGGGATCGGTATGGCCAAAGAGTGCTGCGATCACGAGGGCGGGAGGAGCAACCCCGGCATGGACGATGCGATCAGGGACAGCGCGAACGCGTACCAAAAGCTCGTCCAGGCCTGAGGGCTTTCTACAGGACCAAGGACAAGACTTGGGCCGGTCGCGTCGCAGACCAGGTCGGAGACCTAGCTGGGACTGCCCTCGGACTCATCTGAGCTCTGAGAAGCGTTCCCGCGCTCGTTTCAGGCAATCCGACTTTTGCCTCCAGTGGTTCCGGTGGGAACCGGAAGCAGATCCCCTTCCGATGCCCGAGGTCGCTTTTGTAGTAGTGGTGGTCTGCTATTGTCGAAAATGATGGTCTTGTTCGATGTTCAATGACTTCAGGATCTACATTGCCAGTACCCTCCTTTCGATGATCATAAATTTCTCCGCAGCATCGCCGATCCGGAAATGACGGTCCGATCTCTGAGTCGCAAGGATCTTCGCGTTGCTCTAGCAATGTGTCAGACGACGACAATAGTACAATAGCAGGAAGGACGATCCTCATATGGTACAGCACGGACCTCTTCCAAGCATATAAGAGAATCACAGCCTCGGCTCATTTATCGCTTCCGGAGATTTCAGTCACTGGGTGCACGGCCCCCCGTCTTTGGTTGTCGTCTTGTGGATCGATATCCGTCCAACCCGTCGTCCCATGTGATCGAACCTTCGATTCGTCCTTGTCGCTATCCTGAACTCAAGCAAAGACGCGGGCGTAATGCAAGATGCTGATATATAGTTCGACGCAATGACAAGGCTGACAAGGACACCAAGATTTCGTTTCTGGCGGTCAATGACATATAACCTTACGCCGACTTAGCTCAGTGATCACGAAACTAGCTTTGACTCCGGCTTCCGTCATATCGGCACGCAACACAAGGTTGACTCGATATTGTGCAATCGTACCCGATCCATAGCGCATCGATATTCTTCGGCCAGAACCGGTAATCAACTCGTTCACCACCAGAGCAGCACCTCTTGGGAAGCCGCAAGCCCTTGTCCAAGGTCTAGCCATTAGGGACCAGCCTTGATCGGTACGCCGCCGAAGCCACGAGACTGATGTTGCTGCGTCGAAGACAATGTTCTAACCTGCTTGTTTGTCAGCTAAGGTTGCTCAACGTCTATCAGCGCTCAAAAGTTTCACGAGCTAAGGCCATCCTCGGTCCTCGTATCATCGTATCACATTGCACCATCCGGTTCTCCAGATCCCAAGCCACATTCAGGGGGCTCAAACCCGGTGTGAAAGTCAAAAACACCCGGAGCGACCGACCCCTTTCTTTCTTCGAGACGCGGGAAGAAGGGCCACGGAAGCAGAATAACGAGGTCATCAGTCCATCACCATCATCACTCATCATTTCTTCTCCGATACCACCCTGAGTGATCAGTCCTTCAAATCCGCTTGTTCCCGGACGACCACGACGTAACGATAGATCAGAGGATTCAAGAGGACGATACCACGTTTCAAGAAGAGAAGAGGAGAGAGCCGATCGTAAAAGCGGGTCGTCGAGTTGTCATATCATGGTGAGCAGCACGTTTTTTTTGTTCGTTCTGTCTTCCATTCTGCCAAGCTTCGGTCTTTGAAGGACAAAAGAGAAGAGGGTCTTGACGGCCGATGGTTTGATGAGTATGGGGAAACAAGCTCGCCAGCCCCAGCCGTTCGTTCTATGGATCTATGGACCGGTCAACACGCATGCACCTGCATGGCCTGCGCATGATCCTCGACCGCGGTCAAGCTAGATCCAGCCAGGGTTCCTGAATCTATCCGGGTTACAATGCGGGTCGTGGGCTAGGTCGGATGAGACACCAAATATGGCAGACATGTGGCGTCTGGCCAAGCAGCGAGCGGAGCAGGATGGAGCGGCACCGAAATTGATGCTTCAGATATCGGTGGATCGATCGATATCGAAACGCGAGGCAGCCGGGCTCGGACGAGCGAGATGTCATGATCACCAACTTGAGGAGAATGTTGAACGACTAGGTTTTTTCGATGGTGGAGCTGTTCAACTTTCATACATAAAGCTACGCAAAGACAGGGTCTCGTCTTGGATCGATCGACCGCTAGTTGTTCCATCACCTCGAGACTTGACAGCCGAAACAGCCCAGAAGATATCGATCAATCGCTGATAGTTCCCTGTTATCTGTTATTTCGCTACACCTATCGACCTCGACGACTTGCAATTTTGCGACAACTCCCTACGTTTCGATCGCTTGCTCGCCTGGCGGATCGTCGACCTGCGACCTGACCGACCTCCTTTGGATTCTTTCTTCCTGATCCACCTTGTTCCACCGAACGCTCGCCTCCGCGAATCACTCGGCCGGCTTTTCGTCTTTCTTTGATCGCTTAAATCCCGAACGACGACCGATCTCCTCAAACCTCAAACCTCCATCACTCACGGGATCGCAACCGATCGAACCTGTCCCTCGTCGCCACGACACACCTCATCCACACCTCACGGGATACGATAAACGATACATCAACCCGTCGAATCCCGGATCATCGTCGACGTCTTCTGCCTGCCGACATCCGAACCCCATCCTTTGGTCACCCTTGCATATCCGAACCCCCCTCCTTCCCGGTCCGATTCGAGACATTTCTACTGCGTTCCCGCTATATCGATACCCTACTTTTCGACCTCTTTCGGGCGGTACCTGGCTTCCTCCCAATTGTCCTTCGATAACCCCTTTCCACTGCCTCGGGTCTCTCTGGTCACTCTTGCGGGAAACGCCACCTTTGTGTTGCATCATCGGGTGACATTTGCCTTCGCCACACCGCCGTCACCTCGAAAAATCGAAATCGACACTTGGATCTTGGACGAAACTCCGATTGCCCTCCTTTCATCCTCTCGTCATTGATTCATCGAATTGACGTGACTCTCGATCATTCGATATACTTCCCTGGCCTTGATACGCTATACACCCGTTCCTGCCTGACTGTGGACACCCTTCATATATACCCACACCACTCATACCAACGACGTGACCGATCGATATACCTCTCGACACCTGAAAACTCTCTGGCATCGACATTCATCTTGAAATCAACCGTCCTATCGGCACGAATACCAGTCACAGACCAATCCATCGTCGTCGTACCAAAATTCTGCCGTTCAGAGACCAAGGATGTTGTTCAAAATTACCGTGTTGGGCGAGGGAGGTGTAGGAAAGACGGCGTTGACTGTACAGGTAAGTTTCGTCGCAGCACATTATGGCGAAGGCTCGGTAACGGCGAGATTGTCATATTCCACCTGCGTGTATCGTGCCTATGAACGAGGCAACCGAAACTGACTCTGCTTGCTACGATCCACTGCGCAAATAGTTTACCATGGCCTCCTTTGTCGAGACATATGACCCGACGATCGAAGACTGCTATCGAAAACAATGGACTGTGGACGATCAGCCCTGTCTGTTAGAGGTATTAGACACCGCAGGACAAGGTGAGAAATCCCTGGCGTAGTTTGTAGCAATAGATGGAGATGAGACTGACGATGAAATTCGTGCGCGAGCGTAGAGGAGTATACTGCTTTGCGGGATCAGTGGATCCGGTAAGTCGGCCTGGTTTGCTCGCGACTTGGTTTTACAACTGGCTCACCCGTCTCTCGTCTCGTGTTCACAGCGACGGAGAAGGTTTCCTCGTCGTCTACTCGGTCTGCTCGAGGGATACCTTCGAGCGGGTCGAACAAATCGTCAAACGGGTTCGACGTGTAAAAGAAGAGGCCGCTACCATGGGTGGTGCATACGGCTCGTACCCTTACTCCCCTCAATCACCCCAATCCCCACTCGGCGTTCGGGCTCACGGCCCAATACCCATCGTCATCATCGGAAATAAGCGGGATATGCAACATCTGCGTGATGTCCAGCCTGAAGAGGGAGCGAACCTAGCCAGGCGATTGGGATGCGAGTTCTACGAGACGAGCGCCAAGCATGGGTACAATGTGGAAAATGCGTTCAAGACGGCCGTTAGGGGGATCAAGGTCGCCAAAGGGATTGCCCCTGGACAAGGTGCTGCTGGACCAGGTGGAGGGCCAGGTGGACCGGGTCAGGGGGGTGCGAGAAGGAGGCAGAAGAGGAACAAGAACTGTGTGGTTCTTTGAGGAGTCCATCGCAGAGCTCCTCCTCGGGCAAGTGCGGGCTAAGCTCGCATTCGCCGACAAAGTGAGCATCGGGAACACGAGTTGTCATAACGCTTCGAGACGCGGCTGATCGCTCTCCCTGTGGGTATAGCTTAACGACCCTTTACGACCAGACCAGATAAGAACGCGGGGGTGACGCAAATGAGGCAACTCTCATGGACCTTGTTTCAGATACAGATTCTCATTCTTGCCCTTCATCGCATCCTCCCATCCGAAGTGACTGCATACTAGATTTCGAAAGGTTGCCAATTTCGTTTCGCCGAAGGATACTCGTAGCGTGCGTGGTGTATCAAGAAGATGTACGATAATGCTGATTTGAGAGTATAGAAACACGATAGTCTCCAGTGACATGAATCAGAAGGCTTCCACCATATCGCCCGGGGTTTTACGAATGAACAGGTAGACCCCGTGAACGATCGACCGAACCTTGGCGGTATCGCTCAAGCAGCAAGCTAGCAAGCAGACCTTTCCGATGATCCAAGTGACCTCTTGTGTAGGGTTGTAACGTAATCTACGTAATTTTGTAGTCAAACGCGTCCTGACGCGTCGCGTGTCCGGTTCATCCAAGCTGCCAGGTTGGTCAATTGGTCAATTGGTCAATTGGTCAATTGGTCGTGATCGCCATGATAGAACAAGCTCGTACAATCCAGTCAAAGAATCAGATGAAAGGCAGCTAGGTAGCAGTCACAGTCGCTCCTTCGACGCTGGAATCAACTCGATCATGTCTGTTGAATTAGAAAGTAACGGTCTTCTCGGCGGAATGGAGTTTCCGGCAGAGCCAAACAACGGCCTCGTGAACAATGGCTTGCTCTCAGGGTTACAGGAGGATGACGGTCTTCAAAGCAACGGTCTGCTCGCCATGATGGAGGACGATCAGATGCTGCTGGATATCGAAAGTGGAGTCGGGTCGCTTGCAGGAAGCAAGGGAGGAGAGACGGGGCTTCCTGGCGTTGGGCAGAGCGAAGAGGGGATCGGATCGTCGGTTCCTAGCCAATATGGTGCCGAATCTCGATTGTCAACCCCTCTTGATATCGATACGGACACCTACATATCATCGAATACCAACCTCGCAGGACCATCGAAGCAAAGAGTATCGCATCAACATGTGTACCGAGATGACACGGCTTTGAGAAACGCCCAGGCATTGTCGTTGCCGAGGATGTTCGCATCCACGGCAGATGGCAAGTATGTTAGCTTTGGCCGCAAAGTCAGACGGAAATGGGACGGTGTAGCAGTGAGTCATAGCTGACAGCTGAATAACCAGGATGTCTCTCAGCTTGCCGTATTCCGGCGACCTAAATCTAGGCCCGACCCGTACCTAAAGGCGACAAAGACGGTAGACTCCAGCTCCTCGATGTCCCCTATCACCTCCTTTTAAAACAGATCGACCAGGACGAGGTCGAACGTGCGGACCAGACTTTACAAGCAAATCTCGCTCGTCAAGAACATGTAGAAAGGCTGGAACGAAAGGGCAAAGGGAAAGATATCGGACAGAAGGCTATGTGGGTAGATAAATACCGGCCGACCAAGTTCACCGATTTGTTAGGGGAGGAGGTCAGTTTCAGCAAGCCGATCGAAACAGGTCTCATCTGTTGGCTAAGCTTGGATTACTTCCCTCACTTCAAATTTAGCGATGCCACCGAGACGTCCTCTCGTGGCTGAAAGATTGGGACAAGTGCGTGTTTAAGAGTGTCGCGCCAGGAGTCCAGGCGAAGAAACGGAATCGCCTAGAGAGCAATGAGGAGTTTGCTTATGTGAGGTAGTTGGCTTATAAGAACATTGGGTCGATGGCTGAATTTGCGGTATTACAGTTTGATGCGCTCGGCCGGCCTAAAGAGAGGGTGAGTTTTGCTGCGGCTTAGAGCTTCTTGATGAGAGTCATTCTGATCAGACAATGTGTTCCGTAGATTTTGCTGCTGAGCGGACCTCCTGGACTTGGGAAGACAACTTTGGCACATATCGTCGCCAAGCAAGCGGGCTACGACGCTTTCGAGATCAACGCGAGGTCAATATTGTGGTGCTGTATCGAGGCCGCAGGCGAATCTTGCTGATGGTTTGCGGTCACATCTGTTAGTGATGACCGATCGGCTGCTACCGTGACGGACCGGATACAGAACGCTATAGATGCAGGGAGCGGATTGCGAAGCAGGGGCAAACCGATCTGCGTGGTCATCGACGAGATTGATGGCGCAGCAGGAGGTGGCGATACGGTGAGGTGCCCTTGGAACACTCGTCATGTGATGCGGGGGACTGATATCAATCGCCATAATAGAGCTTTATCAAAAGCCTGATCAAGCTGATCCAGGATGTGCCGGCGAACAAACGGAAGAAACAGGCGGCCAAGGTGCTCAAACGCCCTATCATCTGCATCTGCAATGATCTGTGAGTTACAAGTGGCTCATTCGAAGTGAGGCGACTGGCTAAAATCAGGGCAATGTTCAGCTACGCTTCTTCCTTGCGACCACTACGACAACACGCGCGGATAGTCAGGTTCAAGAAAGCTCAGCCTCAGCTTGTCGTCAACCGCCTGAGAAATATCTGCGAGAGGGAAAACATGTCGGCAGAAACACGTGGTTTGGCGGCGCTCGTCGAGATCACCGAAGGCGATGTCCGGAGTTGCCTGAATACGTTACAGGTGAGCCAATGTGCAATCATGGTTGGTCCCTGCGTTGTAGTTGGCTGACCGAGACCTCATGAGCAGTTCATCAAATCACGTACGACCGAGGTTACGGAGAAGAGTGTACGAAAGACAGCGCTGGGACTCAAAGATGGCGGAGCATCTCTTCATGGGGTCTGGCATAACCTCTTTGTGCCAGTCACCAGCAAGAAGAAGCGGCAAAATGGAATGGCGACGGGCGAGGATGGCAAATACGTTGGTAGGCTAGCCGAAGTGGTCATGAGCAGTGGTGATGTCGACCGTGTCATGCAAGGTAAGCCCGACTGCTTGGCATTGAGACAGACATTTGTCGATGATAATTCTTGTCGTCGACCAGGTTGTTTCGAGCACTATCCAAATCTCAAGCCAATCGACGCCTCTATAAAGAACGTCGCACGGATACACGACTGGATCCACCACTACGACCGACTACATCATCGAGTCGGCAAGTTCCAAGAATTTGAGTTGATGGGTTACATGCCATACGCTGTGGTACCTTGGCACACACATATGGCTGCCGCCGCTAATACCAGTAGAGCGGTCGACTTTCCAAAGACGGACTATGAGGCGTTCCTCAAATCGAGCGCAATCAAGGAGATAGGCACGGCGCTGCTTCAGTCGATCCCTGCCAATCTACGGACGATTTACAACTCTTCGTCCATCCTGACCGAGCTGGGGCCATACTTGATGCGGATTATCTCGCCGCCATTGAAACCAGTTAGTCGCCTGCTTTGACATCTTACAACCTTGTCTGCTTCGCTGACGATCCCCTCCGATGCAGGTCAACTCGAATCTCGTAAAGGCGGATGAAAAAGCGACCTTGGTCCGCTTGGTAGATCTTATGATAGACATGAATCTACGTTTCTATCGAGACAAGACGGAAGAAGGACAGGCGACTTTTCGGCTGGAACCGTGAGTGGCCGTCTAGGGCGAATTTCTGTTCTTGGTCTATATCTGATGAACGTCGGTCACACCTAACTAGCGCTATTGATTCGCTGGTGCATTATGATGGCAAGCGGGCGAGTGACATTGCCACTTCGCGCTTCGCTGTGCGGAGTTTGGTCTCGCAAGCGGCAAGTTTTTGGCCGCTGTATCGACGATGAGGAACGTTTTCGCTCATGGAACGTCTATGACCAGGTCGATGCCGAAGTCGCCAAACGTAGGGGTGCTGGTAGTGGTAAAGAGAACAAACCACTACATGGGATGTTCAAGACGTAAATCGCGGTATTACTATTTCTAAAGCAATGCAATGCTCATCGCGATCTCGCCTTCTTTGTCGATAGTGCCCCGCAGGAGGAAAAGCCCGTCGATCTGGCAGACAAGGTGAGCAGATCCCCCAAAGCAATCAAGAGCCATTACAGGCAAGGTCGAGCTGACATCGAACTCCACCAGCCACCTACCGATTTCTTTGGCAGAGCCAAGGCAAATGTACTCGCCGCAGTCGGATCGAAGGGCATCGATGGACAGCCTGCCAAAAAGTTCCGAGTCGTTTACAAATTCAACGAGGGAAGCTCAAGCGCCGTCAGAAAGCCAGTCAAGATGGCGACGTTGCTCTAGATATGATCTTGTTGATGCCATTGCCATTTCTTGTATTACAATGGTATTACCGCTGCACAAGGCTACGATATCCTCTCGTGCATTTTGCCTTCCATCCATTCTTCGAAACCCTTGACAATGAGCCCTGGCTCAACCTCCCGTTCCATACCAGCCCATCCTTGACCCTGATACAAGCGTAGCCTCCATAACGACTTGCACACCTCCAACGCTGCGTTGTCCCCTCGCGGAAACAATGTCGGGGTGGATGTGATTGCGAGGTACCCGTCTGTATATGGGCAATCCGTTCTGCTAATGGCGTCCACGACATTCTTGTGCATCCATCTGGGTAGAACCTTGTCAACTTCGTATACCGGTATGACTCTATCGGGCAAGCCTGTGCGTGGCGTGTCCTTCCCATATATCGAGTACAGCGGGACGGACGGGAACGTGGTCTCCTCCCCTGCTCTTGATAGCAGATCACGAGGCCGAGGCGGGACTATGGATTCCGCTGTCATTCCACGGACATCGAGTACCGCTAGGATACCGGGTAGAGCCTCTTCCCCAGCTTTCAACCTGTCGAGATCCGTCAAAGTGAGGTTGACAAGCGATGATGAAAACGCTGTGGTGTTGGAGAAGAGGAGAAAGTCGTTGACTATTTTGGTCTGCAGCTGATTTCCGATGTGCAGCGGCAAGAGCTTAGACGCGGAAGCCGAGGATGATATTCGCTTAGCACTCCCTACAAACGAAAGAAGTTGAAGTCAGTGGATACACCTTCAAACTGACTTTGACACGTTTCTCTAAGGCTCACCTGGTCGATCAATAAACGTCTGCACAAGTCCCCGATGACATAACAACCAAGAACCTTTCCCAAGCTTATCGTTGTGATTAGGATGGAGGATCTTGTCCGGTACGAGGTAGATGTTGCCTTCTCTAGGGTCTTTCGGGGTGTCGGATAGTGATGAGTCGGAGGTAGGGTACACTGCAGGTCGAAGACATATCAAGAAGTCTGTGTTAGAGAATCAAGTGATGGTATCAGTGCGAGACCAGGTTAGGGTATAGGAAGGGATGGACGAACCTCGAGGTAGTCTAGCTCCGGTGACAGCACATCTTCGCATAGGCGAGGTCATCATCTTAGCTGTCACAACAGATATATTAAGCTCGAGAAAGGCAGCTCTAAGATAGAAGAAAGCCATCTCACCATGCAAGTCATGCCTAAACGCTTCGGCTAGCTCGTCGCCGTTGATCTCCTGTCCCGGTCGTTCCCTCGCTTTCCACTTCTTGACGGCTGACCCGCCGATCGCAGGTGATTGGTATTCGGAGAACGGATCCCGAATTGCAGTCGTGTGCAGGTAGCTTCGTGCTCCCTTTCGCTGTGACCAAAGCTTAGATCGGCGGGCTATTCTGTTCATCGCCATAGGCGAATGATCTGGGATGAAATGCGGTGAGTGCTGCCCCCGTTGATGTCAGGCAGACGACATCGTCTTACTTGTAATTAATCCGGAAAGGTTCATGGCGTTTCGAAATGTTTTTTCTAGAAGCTTGTGAGTGCAACGGAAGAGAGAATCTGTGATGAGAGTATAGAGGATTCGCTTCTTACACTATCAAGTCGGGGCCTTGTGCTAGACGTATCGAGGGAAGCTTGAACGAGATGATCGCCGAGGTCACGTGACACAGACATGGACCTCGTATTCGTCACCAGCTATCGCAAGGTTCTTCGACCGTCATCAGCAGCTACCTTCGTGTACGGACAAGATGAGCGAGGCTATCGCTGTGATAATGATTACCGATGCTCTTGAGTCCCGTCCACAGCCAGGAATGTTATAGAGCAGGAAGGATCGAGCAAGCAGCGGACTGAGGTCGGCCATATCCGAGAGAAACGGACATTCCGAAGTGTTTGCTGATGTCCGTTGTCTGTCTACCTTGTGTGATCTCGGCTACAGTTCGCGCTCGTGATTTCTGAGAGATGCCGTTAGCTGAACACACCGAACCTAAGCTAGCAACCCTTTTGTATATTTCTCACTTCGACCACAACTTGTCGTTTCCTCACCCTTTCCCACTGGAACACAGGATCAAACACTCGTTAGAATCTCTATCCATGGCACAACCAGCCAACCTGGTCGCCACGGCGCTGAACAAGGCCGGGATCACGAGGGGGAACAATGACTCGCGAGGCGTGGTCGGTCGAGTAGCTGGTGCTGGGGGTGGAGGTGGAAGAGCCGCCTCATCGTCGACGACCGGGATGGAGGTGGATAGAGACGGAGCGGGAGGTGGAAGGCCTGCGAGGAATAGGAAGGTGAGCTACAGTCCCTGTTTTTGCCGATAGAGAAGAGGTGCAGCCTGGTCAGGCTCGGCGTCTTCGCGCTCTGGCGACCCCTTTCAAACGGTCTACACAAAGGTCGACTCTGTGGCAGCATTGAAAAAAATCGCTTCTTCTTACGTCGACATATGGCCACTCTTCTGGAGTAACTCGATGTAAACTGCCGTCAATCGCGAAATGCTACCAAGATGGCTCGCGGCCTTTCAACTTTGCGCCTCCTGGCTTAGCTTGAGCAACCTTAAACTCGAGCTCCTCAACACCTCGTCTCTCATCCAGATAACCACCACTAGACGATCATCCCAGCCGAACTAATTCTTGAACTTCGAATTCTTTCCTGGCGTATAGTCGCATACATCCAACACCCCATACTCCGCCGCTTCTCGCCCAAACCGACCATCCCTAACCTCTTCCCGCCCCGGCCGCTCATCCTCAGTCCCTAGCCACTCCCAAACTCAACCAACAGCTTCGTCTTCCAAACCATCAAATAAATCCGGTCGACGGGACGGTCATTCGGGAAGGAGAGACGGGGGGGCGAGCGCAAGTACAGGCGGGTCGGGAGGGGATGGGGGAAAACACGTCAAGACGCTCAAAGAGTGGATAGGGACTAGGAAGCGAGGACCGGGGTTGATCGATCTCAGCGTGAGTTTTCAAGTTCGATCGGCATACAAGAGAATGCCTTGCGTAAAAGCTCGTTCAGAAACTCACCCCATGATCTCAACTTGCTTTTGTAGGCCATGGCGAACGATCCGGTGTTATTAGAGGCTGGGCTTAAACCGCCTGGGCACCCGGATGCTTTCGCGCAGATGGGGGATGTCGTTTGGAAGGTGGTAGCAGAGGATGATGTCGTAAGATGCCTTTCCAACTTCTTTTCCGTGATCTGCCCTGACAACTGATCTCAATCGATACCCATACAAATCACGTCGACGTATTCGACAACCCATAGCACACACATACGATCTCTCTCCGAGAGAACAACTTCAAGAACCTCCGTCAGCTATCGAGAATTGGGTTTTACCTACCCCACATCCGAGCACTGGATTTGAGCGGGAACGAGGGGATCTCGGAGATGGGAGGACCCGGAGGGCTAGACACTTTGAGTTGTCATTCTTCACGGACCGTGCCGGGGCCTGGGGACTTGGGAAAGGTCAGTCAAGGATAGCCCGAGATATGTTAGAGAGCGGTGTAAGGTGTTGAAGCTGATTACAAATTGGGCGATTGACACGATCAGCATGGATTGAGATTTTTGAAGGAGATCATTCTAACGGGGTCTAGACTACGGAATGATGCGGAAAGGCATGATAGGATTGGCCAGTACATCAGGTAAGTCATCTCGGTTCTCAAAGCGAAGAGCGTGGTATGGGTCGCTAACATGCTCGAAACCTCAACGTCAAATTATTTAGAGACGTCCTCATCCGGTTACCTAACCTGACCTTGCTGGACGGCCAACCGGTACCTCGGCTCGTCTTGCCGATCGATACGGATTTGCCTGCAAAGCCTATCGCCAAGGAGGAGATGGACCAGCTGAAAGCGAGGCCGTATACCTGGCCGTTCGATGTGAAGGACAAGTGGGCAGATGCGGATGCGATGAGGCTCGTTGGGGATCGGTTCCTAGCAAAGTGAGCGAGCATGGTGGAAAAAGGGGAAAGTGTCGTATTTGCTGACCATCGTTTATGAGGGTATTTATCACAGATTCTTTGAACTTTTTGACAATGACCGCAACCAGCTGCTCGTCGCCTATGCTCCCAACGCCACCTTGTCCATGAACTTTACCTCTGCAGTCCCACCTCGTGCCAGAGCAGCCGGATACCTCAGCACCCTTCCCAACCAGCGTGCTCTAAATTTCGAACGTCTCAAAAAATTACCTCATCGAAACTTGATCCATACGGGCCCATCAAGGTGGACGAAGAGCTTGATCGTCGCTACCGATGAAAACAAGTTGAGAGCGTGGTTGAACGATGATCTGCCCAAGACGCGGCATCCGTTGAGTGAGGTGGGCAAGTGGATGTATGATGTGATCGGGATGGACCCGGTGAATGGGGTAGGGAGGATCATGTTGGTCGTGCATGGAGAGTTTGCCGAATGTGAGTCCTAGATCTTGAATGGGCTATACAGGAAAGAAGATGAGTGACTGATACCGACTTCGACCTGACAATGACAGTACCTTCGGAAGGTTTGAGGTCGTTCTCGAGAACACTGGTCATCGCCGAATCGGCTCCTGGCACACCGTGAGTGTCGACCAACACACAAAGTGCGATACCATCCGGGACTGACCAAGACACTTTACTTCAGGTCTCAACTCGCCGGCTGGGATGGGATCATCCTCTCAGACACATTTTCTATCCGACAATACTGCGGGCATGTCAATTTCACCAAGAGCCTGGCCGTCAATGATGCGACGATCGCAGTAGGAGGAACCCCAGTCCAAGCGCAAAGTGCAGCCAGCGCGAATCCAGGTCCAGCTGGAGTTGCTGGTGCGGTGCAAGGGATTCCGCCTGACATCGCCAGCATACCCAACATCGTAAGACCGTCCCTTCGAATCTCTTGTTCCAGCAAAAGCTAGGAAAGCTGACACCGCTCGAGCATTTTAACGCAACGTTGCTCTAGACCCCGGACCAGATGATGATTGTCGCGCAGGTCCAGGCGCAGACCAACTTGATCACCCAAGGAGCGATGGATCTGGCCATGAATTCTGGGTACGACCTAGCTAGCGCTGCGATCAGGTTCGAGGAGGTCAAGGTGAGTGTAACAAGCGGGGCAGGCATCGTTCGAGGCAGATTTACTAATTCTGCGCGAATCTCGTTCGGGACGAGGATAGGGTCAGATTCCGCCGGAATTGTTCAGGCAGTGAGCAGGAAGCAGAATCGCAACGGAAGATGGAAGGACGGGAATGCGTACACAATCATAGAACCACACAGCACACATACAGATGTATCATATCAACACACAGACGAGCGGGACGATTGCAACCTTCGCAATTGCGTAGTAGACGGTAGTACAGTAGCTAGTCCAAGCGTCGGCGATCGTGAATCTCAGAACATGCATGCATTCCCGTTATTATCAATCGAGAGATCGTTGCCAAGCCCCAAACTCCAAGGACCCCGCTGGGACGATGCCGAAGTCCGCGTGGTTCGGCATCTCCTCGTGTGGACGGACCGATGGGCCGTTTCGACCGACAAGGCCGAACCCTGACTTTTCCACCCTCTTGTTCGGTCAAATCCGATGAGAGGGGACCGGCGTTGTGTGTGCAGGGAAATTCGTGTGAGGATGGATGGGTATGACTCCAAATTCGCAGCAACGAAGGGGAAGCAAACAGGATCATAGGGATACATTTCGTACGTTACTTTGTACTCTGACTTGGACTCCTTGGATACGTCTGTTAGAATCATTGCGACACTCGTTTCATCTGATCGGAACCTGAACCTGTAACCGAAAGCTCCTAACGATCCCCGCTTCTGAAACGCCGAATCCCCCCAAATCTGCTCATACCATACCGCCTGGCGCACCAAGAGACATCCAGTGAATTCGAGAAATGGCGGTCCCGTTTCCTGAACTCACGCAATTCAAGACGAGGGAAGAACAGGATCAGGAGATTAGGGTATCAGAACGACCATCGGTGTATCGACAGCTCACTCGAGGTAGGTCATGGTAGTGGACGAGCTTCACGTTCTGACTCGCTAACCGGGTCGCGTTTCGCAGAAAAACGCACACTCGCACCGATCCTTGATCGAAAGAGTGATGAGACGGACGTCGACCATGATGCAGACCAGGTCAAGGGTTACATCCCGTATGACGGGGGACTGAATGAACTGGAAAAGCAGGCGACAATAGGAGGCAAGACGATCGTGACCTACCCAGATGGAGGGTTACAGGCGTGGTTGGTGGTTTTAGGAGGGTTCTTGATGGTCTTTTCGGGATTTGGGGTGAGTCATTCTGCAATCGAAAATGTGATATGACCGTGTGAGACTGACTAGAATCCTTCCCGTTCGGTACGCTTGAACAGATGATCGGGTCGTATGGAGCCTTCAACACGTATTACCACAACCACAACCTCTCCGCCTACCCTCTGTAAGTCCCGCATCCCTTCCCCTGTCATTATATAGCTTGCTAAATCTCGCGTGCCCCGGGAATAGATCAGTAACGGCCTGGATAGGTTCCCTCCAAGCTGCACTCGTCTTCACCCTGGCGATCATCGGGGGATCCATGTTCGACAAGTACGGACCAAGACCGTTGATGATATTTGGAACGATCACCTCTTTCGCTGGGTATCTGGCGCTCAGTTGGGTGAGTGCGAAGTTTCGTTTTGATTTCGTCATCAAGTCCACGATGCTGACGATCGCCTTGTAGTGCACTCAACTTTGGCACTTTTTCTTGGTACAATCGGTCTTGATCTCGACGGGTATGGGAGCCATGTTCGTTTGCGGTGTTGGCGGCGTTGCAGAGTAAGTTTCTCCCTGTCGAGTTTATACCAGGACAGCTTGCTGATTGATCCTGGTTTGACAGTTGGTTTGACGAGCGAAAGGGGTTGGCTACCGGGATCGTCGGTGAGTAGTGTACCGCACCATGAAACCGGTGTACAGGCCCCTGATCTTTTATCGAGTTTACAGTCGGAGGCAGCTCCCTAGGATCTATTGTGTGGCCTCTTATGATCGCTAACCTCCCTCAACGAGGTAAGTTTTCTAGCTATACATGCATCCTTCCGACCGATCAAGCACTGATCATCGAGCTATATTGCAGTCGGCTTCGGTTGGACTGTGCGAATCATCGCCTTGATCCAACTCGTCGCATTGAGCTCCGCTACGCTCCTTATCCGGACCCGACTGCCTCGTCAACAAGGCAAGCCCTTGTTCATGCCCAAGACCTTCCTCACCCATCCGGCCTACACATGCATGGCGGCCTCGTGCTTCTTCTTCTCGATGGGGTTCTTCTTCTTCCTGGTATACTGTGGACAGTACGCGCTGGAGATCGGTGCGGGGGACGCCGCGCCCTACGTATTGATCGCTTGCAACGCTGCCAGTCTGCTCGGGCGGATTAGCAGTGGGGTCATCGCCGATCGATTGGGATACTTCAACATCCTCATCCTCGAACTGGTCGTCACTTTTATCATCATCTTTGCCTGGATGGCAATCAAATCGGTACCAGCACTATTCGTGGCCGCCGTCTTTTACGGGTTGGTCACGGGAGGGAACATCGCACTACAAGGGCCTTGCGTCATTGCTGTGACGAAAGATCTGGGTTGCGCAGGAACCCTGATTGGGCAACTATATGGTAAGCTTGGATTTGGAACAGACGTTTCGGATCGGTCGGCTAACATACTCGTGTTCAGGTTGTCAATCGCTTGCGCTCCTCTTGGGACCTCCAATTTCGGGTTACATCCTTGGGAACGACCCAGCAAAACAGATGGGCAACTACAAATATGCCATCATCATGAACGGGCTTTTGATGATGCTGGCGACAGGTTTCGCGATGGGCGCGAGGTATTTCCAGACTAGAAAACTTGTCGTTGTGGTATAGAGCATCAAGGATAATTAGGCAAGATCTCGCCCGTATTTATATATAGCTTGGGGGGGGGGGTAGATGCCGGAAACTTGTATTCACCACATTATTTGCTTCGAGCGCCCTGACAGTCCGGTCTACATAGCTCGGAGAACACCAAGATGTAGACAAGAATTCTTTGCTGCTTCTAGCCGCATGCATGGGTACGGTAGGAACGATTACAATGGGGCGGGGGTAAACATGCCGACGGGTTTCAAATACTTGCATAGCGAATGGGTACGGTCCGAGGAAACAACTTTAGACTTGGTACTTCCAGGTAACGTGTCCAAGCTCGGGACGGCCGGAAGGGATCTTCCCGTAACCGATGACGCCAAGCTGACCTGGCTGATCTGTAATACCAGCCACTAAGGGCAGACTCGCAAACAACTCTTCGAAGGCGGCCTGCGAGATCTCGAGCCAATCTGCAGGTTTAGTCGGATTTTTATCCTTGACCACAAGAGAGATCGTCTTGTCTTTGTCTGCGGTTGCGTGTCATCAGCTTCTAAATCAGATATAGGGGTTTTGGAAATAGGGACTTGCAAGTAACCAATACAGTCTTGCCACAAGCGTTGCTGGTGCCGCCCGGGATCAATCCTGCGGCTTCATGCATCGCCGTTGCTGCTCGAGTAGTATCGTTGCACACAAGGAAAATTTAGACGACTGCGTGGCAACCAGGTTTCGCTGACCGACTTACGAAGTGTAGCCCAATGAGTACCAAGCGGGATGTCACAGAATCCGATAGGCTCTGTTTGCGGACACATAGAATCAGTTCACGAACCTCCTACCCGGAATCTGCACGTACCTCCTCCCCCGGGTGGGGGTGGGGGGGTTTCTTGGTATGGAACCTCGGCGGCCGTGTGAACCGAGCCGTCAATGCCCGTCGGCACGCTACTAGTGCCTGGAACTGCGAGCTCAGACGTCGCCACTGCCGCAACGGCTCCGGTCGAGGTCGTTGCGCCTGGATTCGCAATCGCAGCATCACTGCTCGCGGGTAGAGCCGTTGAGCTGGCCGCGACCGGTACAACGGGGGTGTCAGGTACACCTGGAACGGTCGCAGTTGTACTGGGTACGACCTGGTCCGCAGTCGGAACAGCAGGAGCGTTCCAATCGCCATTCTTGGGTCGATCGCGCATGAAGGCCGCAGCGACCGTTGGCGCTCCGTCGGCAGTGGTATCGGCGGGTGCTGCACCTGTTTCAGTAGGACCCGTGACTGCGAGGGCGGATCCCGTGGGATCCATAGACGTAGCACCAGTGATGGACGATCCACTTGGTCCGATCGCAGGCCCGTCCGAAGTGGCAGCGGGACCGTCAGCTGTCGCAGTCGCGTCCGAGACGGCTCCGATGGGCGCGGTCGGTTCGACATCAGTGGCAGACGGTTCACCTGGAGCAGCGTCCGTCATGGTAGCGGCCACATCGGTTTCGGCAGGACCATCGGCGGTCGCAGTAGCATCCGAGGCAGGTCCGGTGATAGCAGCGGTAGGATCGCCACCCGGAACGTTCGCGTCGCCTAGTCCGGTAAGAGTGGGCTGAACATCAGGACCTAGAGCCGTAGTGTCAGTCCCAGGTGTATCAACGTCCAGGGGGCAAGACTCTCCACCCCCCGTAGATTCCGAGACGCAAGGAGAACCGCCCTCTGCGCCGACATCCTCACAGTAGGTTCCAGGAGCGCATTGGATCTCGTAACCACCTCGCATGAAGCTGGTGTCAGAGACGCACTTGAAGTCGTCGTGACCTCCGTGGCCTCCCGGCGCAGATTCGACAGGAGCAGCTCGAACGATCGGGGCCACCTGGGCCAAGGCGAACAAGACGGCGACGAGCTTGAGTTGCATGGTCGAGAAGTTTTGAGTTGTTGGGTAGGTAAGAGAGTGTGTTTCGGTTGACGAACGTGAAGATTTTCTTGAATTGGCGAGACCAGCCCGATATGCCAACTTTTGATCGTGTGTGACTGATGAGAGGAATAATTTCCATCTTCCAAACCGTTCCATGTTCACTATCCCTGGAAGCGTTATATAGCCGTAGTGTCAGCGCTGAAACACGACGTCTCTTGCACCCACGTTCGAGTTCCCCTTGTCGCATCATCCTTTCAAGGCAAGGACCGTCAGAAACCCCGTGCTACGTCAACCCCTGACCGATCGAACCCCCTGATACCCGAACCTGATGAAACGTGATCATGTAAATCGATCGGATGAATGGCTATTCACTACAAACCTCGTAACCTCGGCTTCCCGGTCCGACACGCGTGCCCCCTTTCTCCGGTCCCCTGATCTTCAGACCTGGCTGGCATTCTCCTTTGCGGCAAAGTCCTTCCTCCGTCTTCTCGAGCTGCCTTTGGCACACGGCGCGATGACGTAATTTTGCTAGTGTGATGCTGAAACGCCTTCGAAGAATCGATCCTCTCAGGGGCTCTTAATAAGCAGACAGTTGACGCTGCCCAACTGTCTCCGAATGTCCTGATGATCCACGTCATGCGCTGTATTCGTTTTAAATCAAACCCCGAAATTGCATTAGCCTTTGTCGATCTTTGGGGATCTCGCGTAGTTCCGGACTTACAATCTTCTACCTCCCCCCACAGCTCGATCTGACTCTGCACTTCGACGAGGGCGACTTGTGCGGCTTGATCAGCGGTGAGGTGACCGTCGACCAAGGCAAAGGCCGTCAAGAAGGATTTGGTCGAGTAGGTCGCCCTTTCCAAAGCTGTCACAAGTCGCAATCGGAACAAGGGGTATGAACAAAATTAGCCTCAAACCTTTGGATTGAAAAGAAAAGAATTCCCTTGATCGCCAAATCGAAGAAACCTAAACGCAGACCTCGACTTACCGGAAATCTGCCACTCATCCCACCCTAAAACGACCTCTTTCAACTTTTCCTTTGTCTCCTTCTTCTGCTCGAACCTCTTCCCTGCTCCCAAGACGAGCGTCTCGTAGCTGACGATATCCACGCCGTGAGTCTCTTTGAAGTAGGCGTGAAGGGGTTCCCAGTGGGTCTTTTGCAGGCGGACTATAGTTGAGGGGTGGTCGGATGGAAAGCTGAATAGCGGAAGAAAGATGGAGGTACCAGACGTCAGAACAAAGAACAAGCTTGTTGGATGTGGCAATTAGGTTTCATCAGGAAGAGAATCAGAAGGCGCACCAAGTCGTATCGGTATCGAGGTATCGGAGCAGTTCGTCGATGACTCCCGACTTGATGGCAGGATCGGACATTCCATCCAGCGCTCTCGAAGCTAGCGAAGTCTATGCAGCACGGCAGACGAACACAAATTCCGACTCGATATCAGTCTCAAATAATTCAGATGAAGCCGGCCAAGCGAGCGTCCGGCGACTCACCATAGGCAATCCCGAGACCTTCATAATCTCCTTCTGATTCTCCCATTCGTTCGCGATCAAGAGGGCCAAGACCTTCCTCTCGGCCGGTACCTCGAGCTTCTTCCCCGAGGGCGTCTTCAAGGGTCTTCCATCCAGGGTGATGAGGTAACTTGTGGGGTTGTTGAGGGGGAGAGGTTGGATGCCGACCGTCTTCCAGAACCGACGGAGTTGGGCTTCGGCACCTGGCGATGTTAAAGCAATTCGGGGTCAAATTTCGTTCGAAGCAACAGTATGACGGATATGGAGCTTACGAGCAGTAGGGTTAGGGTCATCCGAGCGTTGTTTTCCGAGATCGGGTGTGATAAGAGGCGGCGTGACGGTCGAGGCGGCTCTGAAGCTCGCGATTGATGGTCCGGCGAGGAACCTGGATGCGACCGTTGGCCGTGAGACGGCGGCCGTTCGCAGCAGAGAGGTCACGGATCGGCGAGACATGTCTAGATACGTCGAGATGGTGCTAGGTTTGTTAGAACCGGCTCAAGGATGAAGTCCAGATTGCCAGTATGAATCTATCGGATCGCCACGGCCCATGGTACTTTTGGAGGAACATCGTCCGAGGGAAAGGTGGGAAAGAAAGATGACAGGCTCACAAAGTAAACAACAGCGGGTCGAGGGGGAGGGGACATCTTCGAGGTAGATCCTGGTACACTTCATCAAGTTCACACCACCTCATCAAGGGAACAGCCGAACCATTTCATAGACCTCTACATCATGGCAGCAGGCGTTTTGATACCAAGGATGAACTCTGCCTCGAGATCGCCGTCAGAATCGCTCCCACAGGCGTCGATCCACGTGCACGGTCGACACCTCTTGGACAACCACAATCGCGTCATACATTTACGAGGAGCCAACGTCTCGGGATGTAGCAAAGTGCAAGTCCATCGTCGGTTACGGGTGATCGCATGTCTATCGGATATAAGCAGCTGATTGGGTTTCTATCACGATGTTCGAACGTTGTAGACCGAGCTCTGATCCTAACATCGATATCGGTAACCCAAAACTAGCTTCGTACATCAACCGACCGTTCTCGCTCGACGAAGCGCCGACACACTGGGCGAGGCTGAAACGATGGGGTCTTTATTATCGTAAGACCCGACGTTCGTCTCTGGAAATGGCTGAGAAGCGGCTGAGTAGATCTGTGTGAGATAGTGCGGATCACGGTCACCTGGGAAGCTGTCGAACATGCCGGACCGTACGTGTCATCGCCCAAAGCGCATTAGTGTATGATGCTAAGAAATACTAATCGCCCGAATTTATAGGGGTGAATATGATGAAGACTACTTGACCTACTTGAGAGCGTTACTAGAGGGAATGACGCAAGCGGGGTTGATATGTTATGTGGTAAGTCGCTAAGCCCTGCATCGTGTCCCGAGAATCGTGCCAGAGAGGTATGACCAGGGGCTGACTTGATCCGTTTTGATCTGTTGGACGGCAGGCTTTACATCAAGACGTCTGGTCCAGGTTATGCGGCGGGGTATGTGCCGACTCCCTAGCCAATCTGCAGGTTCAGAAATCGAGATAGGAATGTCACTGATTGGTGCTTCTTTTTCCTATACGTTGCGCTTTAGTCAGGAGCACCCGCATGGACGATCCAATACGCAGGAATGACCATCGACCCGCACATCCTCTCTGAAACAGGCGGGGCGTGGGTCGAGGGCGTCGACGCAGCGTCTCGGTCTTCACAGTCGTCGTCCTCACAACTCCCCCCTGCTGCAAAGGTGGACAAGGGAAAGAAGGTGGAAAACGGAGGAAGGGTGGGAACGGACGGGGAGGTCATGTTGGAAGGGGATGCGGACGGGGAGAGGGAGAGGGGGTTGTGGCCGACGGGGTATCAGAAATTGGTCTGCGCGACGATGAAGTGAGTTTCACAATCAGGTCATCAGGCCATGTATGACTTGCGAAACCGAAGATTCCCGTGCTAATGACGAATTATCATTTTCCTCAAAGCACTTTGTTCTGGGCGGGCAAAACCTTCGCCCCCAACCTGCTCGTTAAAGATCCCACAGATCAGGGCCAGAAGAAGAACATCCAAATATTTTTGCAAGAGAGGTATCTGGCCATGTTTGACAAGCTCGTCGAGACTCTCGATGGGGTCGAGGGGGTGTTGGGTTACGAGGTGAGTCGGTGATGTTTCCGCCAGAGGCATTTATGAAGGGGCAGTGATTGAGTGAAATCTGGCCGGCAGATGATGAATGAGCCGCATCCGGGCTATATCGGTATTCCCAGTCTGTACAGCTTCGTAAGTCAATGAGGACTTGGCTTTCCTAGCGAAATCACACAGAATCATCACTTAAATGATGTCCGGCAAAATACAGAACTATGATACCGACCTACATCTCGGCAAATACCCGTCGGCTCTACAATCGTTTGCCTTGGGAGCTGGATATACGCAAGAAGTTCCCCATTACGTACGGAGTTGGCCGTTTCCGTCCAAGATTAAGGGCTATCGGACGATGAACCCGACAGGACTGAGTCTGTGGACCAGCCCCGAACAAGAAGCAGACTCGGCAGAAGCATCAACATCGACTGGACGAACAGCGAAAGAAAGTCGGTGTATTTGGGCGCGACATGGGGTCTGGGGGTATGATGCGGACACGAGACGGCCGATCGTGCTCAAGGAGGGATACTTCACAAAGGACTCTCAGGGCAAGAAAGTCAACTTCTATACCGACTTCTATTGGCCCTTTGTCAAGCGGTGGGAAGACGGCGTCAAGCGTCGGTACGGAGGCAAGGCGATGGTACACGTCGAAGGTGTTCCAAATGAGGTGAGCACAAAATAGAAGCAGGAAGCAATCGTCGATACGTGCTAATCTTCGGTGGCTCAGTTTTGTCCGGATTGGCCGGAAGATGTGCGACCTCAAGAAAAGCTCATCTTCTCGCCCCATTGGTATGACCTGAACGCGCTGTTCAACAAAAGCTTCGGCTTCATGACGGTGAACGTACAAGGTCTCTCGAGGGTGAGTCGTGCGGTATGATGTCAATAAGCTTCCTTCAGCTAATCGAGGTCCGTATGTAGGGGATGTTTGTCGGTAAAGCCATCTACTTTGGTCACAAGGCTGCCCGGAACAACTATTCCCTACAGATAGGCAATATCGTCAAGGCCGCTCGAGAAAAGCTGGGGGAGGTCCCGATCGTCATCGGCGAGACCGGTGTACCTATGGACCTGAAGTGAGAACGCGACTAGAAACTCGGACGGCGAAGCACTACTGACTCGATGTCACGTTTTTGCAGCCGAAAGCAAGCTTTCAGAAGCGGCGACTTTGAATACCAGTCACGCATGATGGACTGCATCTTGACGGCGATCGAGAGAAGTTTAATTGGCGTAAAGTATGTGCTTGATGTAGCCTTGGTTGCTGTATCCAAACTGACGCTTTCGCATACTCTAGTCTCTGGAACTACAACCCTAGAAATACGGATGAAGCAGGTGACGAGTGGAATCACGAAAACTTTTCGTGGTTTTCAGAAGAGAAAAGACAAGACATGCTCTACCAGCGACTATTGCGCTCGGAACGGCTGGAGAGCCAATCAGACATCACTACAGGTCCTTCGGACCTCGACCTGGGCGCGAGGATGCTCAACGAGATTGTCGTAGGTTTTATCGGGAAGCACTTCCTATAGTAACCGAGCTGATATCGATCGGTACACAGCGGCCATATCCAATTCGCACGGCGGGTATTCCTCTGAAACTGCGCTACGACCCTGAAACGACCGTTTTTCGATTCGAATTCGCAAACCCGGTGCACGTTCACGACGATCGCCCATTCGACTCTACGCTGGGTCCGCCATTGACTGGTCATCCTCGCATTACCCTGCGTGAAACGGTCGTCTTTCTGCCACCGCGTTTCATCGAGGCCTGGAGACGACCGTTCTCGCATCGACCGTTCATCGTCAAGACGTCGGACGGATCGTGGACGGTCGATGAACTCGCTCAGACGTTGACGTGGACGCATGCGAACGATTCGCCAGGGTCGGAACACTGGATCGAGCTACGTATCCGGCCAAAGAGCGACGAAGGGCCCGGAATGGGTGAGGTGACCCTGTTCACTATTGTGTGCCTCATCGCCGTGATACTGGCGTACTACTTCAACTCGCCAACGTAGCCAGCATACTTTGACGAGGCGATCTGTATGGCGCCTCGATGTCGCTATATCAACCAAATACTTCATGACCTGCCCGCTTTGTACCTGGTCGCCGCTGTGATAACCGAGTACTTGTCCGGGTCCAGGGCCTTACCCTCGTTGGCCGAATAAAGCTAGCGGGAGTTGTTCGGTCACACTGATTGCCCAAACGGTGCATGCTCGGGTCGATTCGGTATACAGGGGATTTCGGGTCCGATGAGATTGGAAACCGATGTCCGTCTTTGGATGGACCCCACCACACAGCTCCAGGTTGATCAGGTGTTCACGCCACATGGACATTACATCAATCTATACGTACACGGGCTGGAACAACTATATCGCCTGGTGGCATTCCACAAGTTTCCTGCTCCGCTGGTCCAGATCACTCGGACCACAAACCACCCGCCACCACCTTCATTCCAACAGGTCTGGCCCGTGAAGACGTTCGCCTTAAAATACAGGATAAATCATCCTACTTCTTTAGACAGAGCTGCAGACGATTTGCAGGATGCTTTGCAAAGAGGCCGGGTGGAGGTGGTCTCCCGACTCGATCATCCACCCGAAGCCGACGGCGGTCATGAGGGACGATCAACAACCACAGACTCTCTCGACCGCCGGATGACACTGAACGTCTTGTATTCCTCCATTATCGCATTCTATGATACATACATACAACGGTCTACTCCGCTCAAGCCTTCTCACCGACGTCTCCCGTCTCCGCCTTCGCCTTGACCTCCTTCTCCTGCTCCTTCTTCTCGGCCTCCAATTGCCAAGCCGGGATACTCGGCCGACCCCCATTTCCAGCTAGCGTGCCCAACAGGTTGGCTCCGGTACTGGACGAGCCGTTTGCGAGCCCTGAACCCGAGCGGGAAGGCACCGAAGGACGAGGAGCCAAGAGCGCGTTCGCCTCTGCACTCGCTGGAGGAGGCTGCGTCGACGTGGAGGTCTTTGGTGGTGATGATGAAGAGGGCGATGATGATGAAGCGCCTTGGACTTGGTCGGACGTGGAGGAGGATGCGGCGGGTACGCTAGGGGTGAGCGGTCGACGGGCTTGAAGCGTGCGTAAGGACTTGATGTCCGTCTGTAATTCTTGCAAGGAGGAAGACTGGGCGGTAGCGTGTTTCTCGATCATCTGCAAACAAAGCGATTCAAGAGGAGTCAGCATCGAACATCGAGATTCCTGCTTGAAAAGAGACAATTCATGTCAGTATCGATCCGAACTCACCCTCGGTACGAGCGACTTCAGCTCCTCGACCTCTTGCCTCATCTCCCTCATCTCTTCTCTCCACCTCTCCTCCCCCTCCCCGACCCGCCTCACAGCCTCTCTGACCTCTTCGACGACCCCCTTGACACCTTCCTTTTCCTTCTCGACATCCTCCTGCAACCCCTTGGTCTGGGCTTGAAGCTCATCAAGGAGCTGTTGGGCCGCATCGAATTGCTCGGAAAGGGAATGCGAGGTCTCTTCGAAGGATGTCCGCGTTGGGGGTTGGAGGTGCGGGAGGAGGTATTTGCGGGTGAGGGAGATGAGGCCGTACATGACCCCTCCGGAAACTACTGCCATGATCTAGAAAGGTGATGTGGTGGCAAGCCGAGGAGTATTACCGTTAGTAAAGTTCGAAGAAGAACGTCGAATAAAGGCGAAGAGAGGGAGAAGGTCTTACGAAATAGTCCCTCCAATCTCTACGTGGGAGTTCGGGTTTCGGCATCATCATCCCCTGTCCATACCCATATCCCGGTCCATACGGACTGGCGTATCCACCTCCACTCCCATAGCTCTGATTTTGATTCTGAATCTCCGCCCGACCTTGACCATAACCTCCTCCAAATGTATCGAGGTCAGATCGCTCGTCCTGCGTCGTAGGCCCTCTCTCTTCCGATGACCCAGCTCCTGACCCGGATCCGGTCGAAGCGAGATGAAGCGCTCGTTCGATCTCGGAGGATGAGAGGCCTTTTGATTCGAGGAACTGGATCTTCTGGGTTAGTGGAGATGAGAGAACCTGTAGTTATAGCAAGCCGTAACGTGGATAAGATGTAGTCAGCCGAGAGGTCTCTTGTCAAGGCAGCGGTGTGGCTGACCTTGGGATCTCGAAGAAAGGTCACCGCATCCCGGATGAGATCTGGCCGTGATATTGTCGGATCTGACATGGTCGTGAAGTCTGTGTTTGGCTATGTCATTCGAGGTTGGTAGAAGGGATCGCAAGTTGCTTAGTCGCACAAGATATGGTCGAAAGCAACTCCGGTTACTAAAGGCCACCTCTCCTCCCGCCGCCGACGACGACATTTGAGCCGAGACTCGTCGGAAACCCAGGACGATGACCTTTGGTCTTTGAGGAGAAAAATATCATCCTCGCTATGATCAAACACCCATCACCCAGCACATTCAGCACCATTTCCTTCCCAAGTAATAGCTCTTGAACCTCTCAATTCACATCAAATCCACCATGCAGCCCACTATCGTCAAGTTGCCCTTCGTCGTCGGACCTCCTCCGGCCGACTGGAAGCCCACCACCGAGTCCAAGAAGGCTTCGGGTCAGTGAATGCCGCGAAACCTTGCCTGGAGATCATGCTAATGACCACCGCCCACTCTCTGCTTGACATTCGCCTTGTAGCCCCGGAGACCAAGTACCCTGTCTACCCGGCCGGTCCCTCCTTTATCGCTCAAGCTCGACGAGACATCCTCAACCTGTCTTACGAGGAGGACGACAAGATCCAAGCCAAGCTTCACCACGAAAAGCTCCAGGCCAAGGCTATCGAGGCGGGTGAGGAGCTCTACCCCGGCTTGGGAGAGGAAGTCGAGGAGAAGCATGTGTTGGCTTATGACCCCAAGGAGTGGAAGGTGAGCTTCGATACGATAGTGAAGGGATGCAGGGTGTAGTGTCGATCTCTTGTTAACTCTTCTCCTCCTTTCCCGACTCTCTAGAAACAAGACCACTACGCCGTTCTCGGTCTGGGTAACCTCCGATACCTAGCGACCGAAGACCACATCCGTGTAGCTCACCGCCGAAAGGTCCTCCGTCACCACCCGGACAAGAAGGCCGGCTCTTCCGCCGGACCCAACGACGACTCGTTCTTCAAGTGTATCGCCAAGGCTTTCGACGTCTTGTTGAACCCGGAGACGAGGAGACAGTTCGACAGTGTCGACCCGGCCATCGAGGACCACGTACCTAGCCCCAAGGACGTCAAGCCCGAGGACTTTAGTGAGTCGCTTTACTCGCCTATTCTCATGTGAAAATGACCACGATCGCTGACGATTTCTCCCACATGCATTGACCACCTCATCGCTACTGCACAGTCGCCACCTACGGCCCCGTATTCGCTCGAGAAGCCCGATTCAGCAAGACCCAGCCCGTACCAGGCCTCGGGGACGACGACGCCAAAAAGGACGATGTCGAAAAGTTCTACGATTTCTGGTACAACTTTGACAGCTGGAGGACGTTTGAGATGTGGGACAAGGAGGTCAACGAGGGAAGCGATTCGTGAGTCGTCCTGCACAAGTGGAATCAGTGGGAAGATGACAGTCTTGCTAATTGTGGCTTTCTCTTCTTGGCTATGTGCATTGGTAGTCGTGACGAGAAGCGATACCAGGAAAAGAAGAACAAGGCCGAGCGTGCTCGTGCCAAGAAGGAGGACAACACCCGTGTCCGTGAGATGGTCGACATGATCCTCGCTGCCGACCCTCGAATCAAGCGATTCAGGCAGGAAGAAAAGGCCGCCAGGGAGGCCAAGAAGGCTGCTTCCGGTAAACCCGGTGCCGCTGCCGGTGGAAAGCCCATGACCCTCGCCCAGCGAAAGGCCGCTGAACAGGCCAAGTTGGAAGAGCTGAAGAAGCAGCAAGAGGCCAACAAGGCCAAGGAGGCTGAGGACAAGGAGAAGAGCGCCGCCGCCAAGAAGGCTAGGGAGGCAGCTAAGAAGAACTTGAAAAAGTGGAAGAAGGCCATCACCACCGTCGTCGCCGAATCCAACTATTTCCAGACCGGTTCGGCTTCCGCTGCGACGATCGAAAAGCAATTGGCCGAGATCGATGCGCTCGTAGAGTCGCTCGAGCCCGAGCAGACGAGGGAGTTGAAGGAACAGGTCGAAAAGGCTGGAAAGGGCGAGGCTGCCAGGGAGGCCATCAAGGCCAAGGTCGCTACCGTCGCCGACAAGAGCAAGTTCAGCGAGTTTGCCTAGAGGGCTTGTAGTAGATGTCATGAACGCCGTCGTAGCGTGTATCTTGTCTAGATGCGTGACCATATGGCATAAGGTTGATGTGCAGCAAAGTGTACCGTGAACTACACGATCTCAGTCTGAAAAGCGTCTATGTAGCTTCAGGCCATGACAATCGGACGACCTTGCGTCCGACGCCTTTTGGCCACGACTTGACGTCTTCCGATTCACCGCCCCTGGCCTCGACCTGTCTGATAAAGTCGACCAAGCCTCCACCGACTCCAAAGTAAAGGATCTGTAGAGGTGTTCCTGGCCAGAGTCAGCTAAGATGCGGATTGTCATCGGAACGTTCAGCGCGATGTGACTCGCCTTGGCAGCGACCAAGATGACCGTCTCGGTCTCTGGCCATTTCGATCCCAGGTCGAGCTTGTCGAGATCCTCCAACCCCTCGATCCGCGTTACAGCGGTCGAATGTGACGTCGAACCGAAACGCAAGACGTCCAACAAGCTAGAAACGCTGTCTTCTCGATAAATCGTCTCGGCCGTGAGGATCAAGTCTTGCTTTTTTGCGCTCGTACGGAGGTGCTCGGCGAGTCCTTGCCAAGGGCCGTAGGAGAATTCGAGCTCGATTTTGTGCTCTGCCAAGCGAGACTTGAACGTCTCGACGATCTGCGGGGAGAGGTCTAGGTCGTCTGACTCTTGGTCGAACTGGTCGTTAGGGATGACGACTAGAATGAGGTTCGGCAAAGTAACGAGGTGGAGGACGGAGAGATTGTAGTCTTGTAGATGAAGCGTCGTGGTGGGTGTGTCATCCGAGATGGGAGCCTCTAGAAGCCGTTGAAGGAGATATAGAGTCGGCAGGGCCGTCCCGCAGCCGACCTGCAAGCGTCGACAGAGATGAGCCGCATTATTCGAGACAAGGATTTCTAGAGCAACTTACTTCCATAACCCTCTTGCCTCTTATCCGCTCGACAAGCTTATGTGTCTTTTGGTCATACTCGGCTAAGACTTCAACCAGATCCACCCCTCCTTCCCACGTTTTCAGCCCGCCCTCGTAAGTCCCCGGAATGAGGTCCGTGTCCGCATCGACATATTTCGATTCTAAATCTTCCTCTGCAGTCGGCTCATCGCCCTCTCGTTGGTCGATGACCTGGAACCTCGCATCGTATAAGTCTCGTCGCAGAATCTCCCTGGTCTCCCCAGCAACGGTCAAGTGCAGCGGAGAGTATGAGATGGAGGTGGGTAGATGGGCGACCTGTCTCCGTTGATACTTTAGCCGTCTCGTTGTCGCTCGTCCTTTTGAAAGATACTCACAAGCTCTTCCACAGTAGAGGACAGGTAAGGTACACTCTCGTGCTGTTCTCCAGCTGCAGCCTGCGTCTTCGAAGATCCAGCTCCAGAGGACAGTGTCACCTGCACCTCATCATCGGAACCCGCTTCTTCGTCCTAGAGTGAAGCGGTCTACTTTAGCCATCACACGTATAGCCGGCCGCACAGTCCAGCTTACGATGGAAAAGTCGAATTTGAACATGTGAAACGACTGTCCTTGATGTCGAATACGGGGGCAACAGGACTGGTGCGAATGATAGACGGAACGATAATGAACTTTTCCTTTCCGATGCCTACCGACCCCCTCAAGTTGCCTTGTTGACTTTGTCAAAATTCGCTCGTCTCATCAGGCAGATTGCAAAGTGATCGAGATGAGCGTAAGAATGATCATGTCATTTTGCTTATGAGCGCTATGGCTACCGTCTGCATCTTGTGAGCTAGACTATACTGATATAACTAGAGACTGCGATCAGGGGAAACAGCTATATAGGTTGGACCGGAGCCAGAGGTAGGAAACATTCGGTCGAAGAAAAGCGTAAAAGCGATCTGTCTTGTCTATGGTGGTTGATACACGTTGTTGTCTGTCGCAATGCTGGATAGAGTATGTGGTGGAGGTGGAGAAGACGCAGATGGGCCGTATATCGACTTGATGCGAGTACGGGAGAATCCATCCAAGTGCAAGAAAGATGTGGAGAGTGTGCGTTGACCGGCCGGTATCCAAGAGAGTCCAGATCCACGTGAAGAAGGTAGGGGTGTGAAAAGAGTCGTCGTGCGTTCGCGTAGAGACGTTGCTGCCATGTCAAGGGGGCGATTCGATCGCATGCTTGACCGGCCGTACCAGGCGATTAAGAAGACCGTAGCAATCCGTGATAAAGTCGTCATTAAAGAGAAGAAGCTTTGCTTGACGTAAAGAGGTTGAAGAGGTAAAAGAAAGGTGACCAGCGGGTAGAGGAGAGTAGAAAGTAGAATCCGATAAAACCCAAGATTGTGTTGTGTATCCGTCGTGAAAATTGTTGTCGTTAAATGAAGGAAACCCGATGTGTTTTTACCACATGAGAAGTCACGACGGGACGCCGCCGCATCATGTCCACCCGTCAGAGTCTCACAGCCTAATTGCTCAATCGTCGCAGCATGGGCATCTGGTGTCCCTGCGTATGCACCGATTGGAGCGCGGCCCGTTGTTGCGAAGCCGCAACATATCCAGGAGCGCCGGCCGGGTTCGAGTTGGCGTTCGGGTTCAGGCTCTTCTTCGGTCCCAAGACATCGTACCCGGGAGGCAAGACATTCTCCTTCATCGTACCTCCCGAACTCGTCGTTGCATCCTGTTGATGCATCGAGGTCATGCTCATCGACATGGTCTGTACGACGAAGGGGTCGACGGGGCTGATAGCGCCCACCGGCGTGCAAGGTGTCTTGGGCAAGGTCTCGTCCCCGCACTCACTCGAGCTGGTGCTGTAGAGACCGCTCGGGCTGCCGTTGGAAAAGTCGCTCTCCCTTCGAGACCAGGCCGAGACGAGTCCGCTTGGCAGACAGTTGGCAGGGGTGAGAGGAAGCTCGACCGGTCGGTATCGTCGGCCCATGGCGTAGTATTGCATGGTCAACGTGCTGGCCTTGCTGTAATAGTGAGGAGCGTACTGTAGAGGTGGCAAGAGAGACAATTAGCGACCTGGCCCCTCTCGAATACAGGTAGACAACGACCCGAAAGCTCACCTTCTCGATGCAAATATTCGAGACGTGCTTGGCATTCTCGCTGAACGCGATGTCCAAACAGGTCGTCACATGCTTGACCTCCTTCTCACCCGGACACAAGTCCATTCTCGGCCCTAGCCCACAGATATGCCTGGCCATAAGCAGACAGCCTCGAGCGATGTTGCTCGGCTTGAGACCGACAAAGTCTCGGGTGAACAAGGTGGTCTCCATGATGAACCTAGCAATGTGCTGGACCTGGGTGGATTCTTGGGTCCCTTGGCAGTAGAGACGCATCCAAGCTTCGGCAGTAGGATGACCGATCGTCCATCCGATGGTCTGCAACAGGTGCCCCTCCACTACAGAAGACGACGCAGCATGATCAGCGACCCGCCCATGTGACATCCTGCCAGCCACGTCCGACTCACTCTGCAAGAACGCCGTCACGTCATAAGCCGAACAACACATGTCTGCCAGCTCCTTGACGGTCGGCACCCGATCCTTGGCATCCTCAAACTTGCTGGCCATCCAGAGCGCCGAACACCCGACCAACTGGTAGTGCTTCTTGTAGACGACCCGTTTCGAGACGTATCGGTCGACGATGTTGAGCGCGAGGTAGAGGACTTCGGGACGGAGTCGGAACTGCTGGTGGATCTCGATGAGGAAGTCGACGAGGTATGGTCGCATGTACCATTGGAGTTCGGGTTGCATGTCGATAAAATCGGCCGAGGCTAATGTTTGGTTCTGTTGAGGACGGGTAAGTAGAAAGCAAGGTAAGGGGTCCGCTCGAGATGAACAGTTGTGATTCGTTCACTGACCTCCATCTCGTGCATGTACTCTTCGACTTCCCGGCTGTACTCGTCCTCGAACAACAATCTGTTCTCCCTCGACCCGGTCTGAACGATGGAACCCATAGACAACCCGCTCGGCTTCATGATGGAAGCGCTTGAATTGGCGTTGGAGTTGATAGCCATGGCGGCAGCAGCGTTTCTCAAAGCCAAACTCTGAGCTTGCGCTTGAGCCTGAGCCTGAGCTTGGGCATGAGCTTGCGCTTGAACCTGAGCTTGAAACCGCTGTTTCGTCGGAGAAATCTCCCGCTTGTTGCTCATGCCCATGCTCATGCTACCGGTACTACTGCTAGCGATCGGCTTTCCCGTCTGATGAGGATAAGCGGCGTATTGGTGACCATGGTGTCCGTGCAATTGATGAGGGTGGGGGTGATGATGGTATCCGGCGGCGGCTTCGGCGGGGGAGACGGACGCTCGCTTCTTGATGCTGCTCGAGCTCGATGCGGCGTACATGGACGGTCGAGTGGATTTAGTAGGAGGTGCGGGGGGCATGATGGTGATGGTGTTGATTCGTAGGTTATGTTTGGATGGTGGTGACGATGATCAAGAGGACTGATATTGATGGTGGTGATTGTATCGATTTCCAAACCGTCGAGGATGTTCAACGTTCTATTCGCGAGAGGGATAGAAATATAAGCGATCCGGGCGATCCCGAACTCCCTTTGAGACATTCTGAGACTCACTCGGCGTGGTGACGGTTGATGATGAACGGGTTGCAGGCGATCGTGAGAGAGAACGTGAAAGGAAAAAGTAGCCCGGATCGGCTTCGTTGTAGCAAGTTGTCGGTGTGTCAAGACGATTTCTGAGGGAGAGAGGTGTCGAGGTTGAGGAAAGTTTGCGTTCAGGTAGTCGAGATAAATGTGGTCGAGCGAGCTCTCTGTTCGAGTCCTGCTCGATCCGACGTGAAATAATTCCAGGGATGGGAGAGGGATTAGATAGGGGTAGGTATAGGAATAAACGTGAATGCAGATGAGGAAGGGAAACGAAGGATTTTGAAGGGAAAGTAGGTGGATGGGTGGTTGTTGTATCCGAGAGAGTGAAGGTGAATGTGTTGACCGAATGGATGGGCGTCGAGGATCGAGAGTTGCGTTGCGTCGGCGGGGTGGATCCGGTGTGCAGTGTGTGTGCAGTGTGTGTGATGTGATGTGCCAATGGCCGGGAAGAGGAAGGGGCAGGGGAGGAGGAGGGGAGGGGGATGTGCCAAAATGCCGTCAGGGGAAGTGCGCGCGCGAGGGAACAAAGAAGTAAGGGACAGCGCGAGAGGCAGGGGAGAAGAGGGGAAGTTGCCGCGTGAAAACGTAATTTACGCCACCGACAGTGAACGCCGTAACGCGTGACGTAAACGGTGATACCCGAATATAGAGACCGAGGTCGATCGTCGTACAGGCGAATATGCACAGCGCAACGGTCGTGGTTGCGAGTGTTGTTGTTGGTCGTCGTGATTGAACAGGAGTGGAAGGCGAGAGAAAGGGAAGCGAGTTGGTCGTAAGCTCCTCTTCCTTTCAACAAGTACGCCCGCAGCGGTAGCTCAAGACCGAAAAAGAGAGCTCGAAGCACACACACACAAGGCGAATATAACCGGCGGGAGGAGTCTCCTCTTTTGAATTTTGGTGAAAGTCGCTTGTAGTCCAGCTAGCACATGCCCCGTGTCGTGTGTGTGAGGGTATGAAGCAAATGTCGGAGTCGATTTTGGTAGAGAATAGAAGTAGACTCTTTCAAGCGAGAGCGAGGTCGTCTTCCGCATTCACCCCGACCCGGTTAGCGATACGATAGGTGTATATCTGTATCTATATCTCCTCCCCGCGCACGTCCTCAAGCTCCGGGACTTCTCTCAAACTTTAGAAGCACGAAGCGGGATGCAGGAGTCACGTCCACGCCAAGTAGCACATCCATTGTGATCATCGCCCATCCGCCATCGTCCGTCCGAGTGTATTTCCACCCATTCGTTCCATCCCAACTCCACCTCGTCTGCCCTGCTCCCCTCTCTCTGCCCTTGCGGGGGAAAGAGACCCCTTGTAACCTTATCTCACGCCCTAGTTCTCTCGCAGGCTTGGAGATCTGGAACCGGAAGACCATATGGTGCAATCGCGATTGCGATTGCGGCACGGTCCGGAAACGCCTCCTCCAGGGATGTGGGTTTGTGCCGTACTGTGCGACGCCAAACGATCCGGGAGAGCGTGACTGTAGGCAACCCCGAAACGCGCGGAAACGCCAGTCAGAGGCCAGGCCAGGGCCTACGTGCTTTTTCGTATTGTTCCCTTCGTCTTCGAAACGTTCACGCCCGAGCCGCGCGCCAGGCCGGGGTCGATCGCAGTATCCTCTCGCTCGCTTTCGTTTTTTTCCCCTCGCACCCAGGCGTGCCCAACTTTCTGCGCGGAGGGAAAGGGCCGGTGACAAATGACGCCAGACTTTTCCGACCCGACGACGATCCTTGTTTCGAAACCACAGCATCCGCACAACACACCGAACGACCAAACAGCCAGGACAAGGGATCGCGGTGACTTACAGGTTCGAGGGTGAAGAACGATGGCGTTGATGAAAGAACGTCTCGTCACGCTACGTGGATCGACGGTCGGAACTGGTGGATCTGGTTCGAGACAAAGGCGGTGAGGTCAGTCGCGCTGTCCTTGCCCTTGTTATTCTTCCACTACCGCGAATTCGACATGCAGCCCTAGATTTGTGAACGATGGCAAGTGGTAATGAACGGAGATGGATGGATGCGGTTTCATTCACCGACCCCTCGGTCTCGAGAGATGATCCCGTGACATCGGTTCGGGCTCTTTTCATCTGGGAGTGTGGGATTATCGTTATTGAGGGCATCGAGCCCAACAGCGACCTTTGGAGGCTGAACTCAGTCGCAAGGACATGAGAATCGACTGGCAGATAGTAACTTTGCTCCGATGGATGATTGTGACCACCCCAGAAATCATCGAACTTTCCTCTCGCAACGGCGAAACCCGCGGGCTTGCTGTGTCTTGTTCTCTTTTGGCGTGGGTGCTTGCGTCCTATGGGGCGTGTGCCAGGTCGCAAGCAATAACACGAAAGTGACACCTCGCAGATCGCCTTTGTCCCGGGTGACAAGGCCTCGGGGTAGTCACCCGTATCGATGGCTGGTAACCGCGTCGATCGCGTATCGTATCTGATATGATATATCACTTCGAGTCTTGCATCCGCCCCATGTACGTTCCTCAGGTACACGAAGCAATATCGGCGGACTCGCGTTTCAATCCTAGGCCCGATTCCCTGCTCGAGCCGCGGTCTGACGTTATCCGTCTGGCCCGCACGCACTTCCGACCATCCCTCCGACCAACGTATAACCATCGCTCATATCGCAAGCCCACATCGAAGAGAAGACGACGGCCGAACTAAAACGACGACTCACGGACTGTTCAAGGCTGGGTACCTCTGGGCCGGATCTCGATGTGTCAGAGTAGGATCTGGCCGAAGTAGCAAGTCAGGGCAAATGAAAACACCAGTGGCTTTGGAATCAGCACGAGGCGTTTCGTTATCGACCGAGAAGTCGGCGCGCCGACTAAGCAGACAACTATCGGTCAAAGGCACTCACCGGTCAAGCGTATCGACAATTCCAGGCCGGCCAGGGAATTGTGTGATGGTCAAAGGCAGATGTGACGTGTGTTGCAAAGTGAATGTCAAAGGTCCTTTCAACTATTTTGATAAGGCGCGAGATGAATCGAGAGGCGGAAGTCGGAGGTTGATGCTGGTTGTTGACGGTCTTGAGGTAGTCCAAGGTGTGAAAGTCTCGACCTTGGGGATCGCCAAAGTTCAGAGTACGCTCCCGTCTCGTCCTGTATATATGGCCTTCTTATCGGCGGGGACGAGGTCGGGTCGTGGAGCGCGACCTCGTGCGTCCAGGTCGGGTTTGTTGTTCTTGGCCGAAAGACGAGTCTTCTGATGGAGTTTCGGGGCGAGGATAGAAGTGGATTCGCTGTCAATCAGGTGGATTCCCTTTCGATCGCTCGTTACACTCACTCGCACAGAGAGCTGGTAGCAGCGAACGATCAAAAGGGAGGAATCGGTTCGGAGGCGGGCGAGTGATCTGCAAAGGATAGCGATCTGCGGTATGGAAGACATTTACGCCGATCGTAGAGAGGAGAGTAAGCACGCGGGACCACGATGCGTTTCATGTTGATCAAACACGGCTCACCGAGGCGGCCCAGGCAGTGGTAGGAGGAAGCACCGTGGTGAGGGTAAGTTCGGACCGGGATACGCGTTAGAACGCGACGTCACGTTGGATGATGACCGAAGACCGCGCGGGAATGGAGAGAGAGCAAGATGACCCCGTGGTTGGAATACGTTTCATGTTGAGTCGATCCAGCCGAGGGGGAAGAAGGTTCGCGATTGATCGTCATCGAAAGTTCGTTCAGAAAGGATGGGGAGGAATCCGATGGCGTGCGAGACCGGTCGAGCATGGCCGGCACGTTCGGCATGGCGGGGGATGAGGGAAAAAGTGGTGATTAGGTTCGAGAAGCGAGTGGCAGTGGGATTTTGATGAGGTCAGAGGATGGTCGGGTCCCGGGTCGAAGAGGGATCGTCGAGATTTCGGCGAAGTTGGATAAGAGATGGTAGAGCAGAGAGCAGATGAAACCATGGGTTAGTATGTGGTCGAGCAGCTTGTAAATCCCAGCTTGCTGCACATGACTCTGGTCCCCAGAGATAGGCCATACGCCGCCTGGCACCATCACACCTCTCTGTCTACCGTCCATCGTCTCCCCTCCGGCGCGTTACCGAACCACCTGAACCTTGACTCGAAGTTGTAAAAGAGATTGCAATCGACTCACTCAGTCTATACACCCTGTTGCTCGTCGTCACTCGATTGCCTTGCTTTTCCTTCTCTCTTGATAATGTCTGCCGGAGTGGGAAAGAGAATTTGCGGGCCCGTAGGGCTATCGATGATGAAGCTGAGTCTAAAATCTATAGGTCGATGCGATGCGGATGTAGGTTGAATCCAGGTCGTCAAGAAGAGAAGGCAGATTCGGTTATGCTAATGCTAAGGTCTGGGAGGATGATATGCTGTGTATGTAGAGATCGGTGGATGGAGTGGTTCGTGAGTCGTCGAGGGAGTTGGTCCTCGTTTTTGGTCGAGTAGGTCGAGTTGGAGTTCGACGTTGGCGTAAGGTGTCGTCAAGAGCAAGGTCGTTAAAGCAAGAGTCGTCTAATTCGATCTAGTGTGGTCCCCGGAGATGGTCGGGCCCAAGATTCCCGGATGTCGTTCTCGTGGTACACTCTTGAGGGTGTTCACAGGGAGGGTAGTGTGCTTGTAAAGAAGGTCGGAGGAAGAAGAAAGGTGGTGGTCGTGTGGGAAGTCGATGGAGATGGTGGTGGTAGTAGGGTGGCTTGGAACAGGAAGAAAAAACTATCTAGCAAAATTCGTCATACGGATCAAAATCACACGGTCGCGACCCATTCAACATGTCACATCACATCCAGTAGCAACGTGATAAGTCATGTCATACACTCTGCAACCCCCTGAGAAAATCCTCGTTCGTTTCGTCGGCCCGAAGTTCCAGATGACCTCACCACGATATCACCCTCGGGCGATGTGACGACCGGGATCTGATGAGGTGGATAAGTGTAAAGGAGGGCCCGAGCGGGTACGGAACGTTATGAAACGCAGCACAGCATTAAATCCCATCCGGATTGATCGCATACGAGAGCTGACGACAGGAAGTATCCAAAGTCTAAAATTGACCAAGTCGACGACAGCGACGACGACGACACGACTCTGTACGGACATTGATCGACCAGTATGTCCGGAGTATTTTATCCTCCCGATCAATCTTGACCCACCAAGGAAACTCGTACGACCATGGGCCACGACGAGACCAAAAGATCCACTTGTCCTCTCTTCCACTCGGTTAGAGCGTTCGGGCATGGTCAGCCGCGGAAACAGGGTAGACGGCAGGGTCCTTTGGACTTTGAAAGGACGTTTCCGATTGCTCTTTCGCCTTAGCGAGGTGGGTTGATATACTGCCATCGACGACAGATCACGAATGATGGGGCAAGAGTGGTTAGGATTGATCGCTTACGATTCGGATCCGGCTCAGATTTAGCAGTGAGAGAGAGTACCCTCCTTTGCCGGTGGCCCGTTTCATCCGACTGAACGGATCACGATGGCAACATGGCAATGGGGCTTTTGTGCCACGAGTTGCGACCAGAGTTCAAGTCGCGAGAAGGGGGATAGATGAAACGCTTGTAACTACCTCTTGAACCATGCGCACCTGTCAGCGCCAATAATGTGCTTCCATTCTCACGCTGTCGTACGACCGAGGTCGTGTGACAAGCCGCAGTTTCAAAGGGGGGACACACAGCGCACACAGCACATGTAAGACCAAAGGATGTCTCTGATCTTTGATCCCTTGATCCTGATGTTTCGATACTCACCCCTCTTCCTTCTTCCTTCTTCCTCCAACGCTCAAGCCCCAGCTCTGGAAGACGAACGCCCGATGAAACGAAAAACGGGGTGACAAGATCTCGGGCATTAAATCCAACGAGATGTCCGGGTCTTCTTCATCAGATCGATCAATTCTGCAAGCGATGTAGGGTGAGACGCTTGATGAGTCCTTGATAAGGTCGAGCGATGGAAATCGGCTACGGTTCTATTCCAGGGGTATGATGAAACGCACACTTGCGAGCGGGAGAAGAGTGGAGCAAAGGTAGCTAGGCCGATCGCGGCGGATGGGGGTCGGGAATCGAAGCGTCACCTGGCACTTGGAGCATATTCGTAGTACGCGATCTGGGAGTTGCAAGCCAATGTCAAAGGCCATACTGAGTAGAGATCTAGAGATGAGCTGCTGCTTTCACAGACCATAGAGTGCGTAGAGGTCGAGGCAGAAACCGTCAATATCCCTTGGCGTTCTTGCGGGCCCCTCGGTGTCGTGGGCGATGCCCGCGTGAGCGAGGCGTGGAGCGGCGGCAGAGGGGACAGGGCAGCCAGAGGCCTCGAACGGCGAGCGAAGGTGACGACGACGACGGTTTCGTGTGGGATTGATCGACGGATTGGTTGGGCGACCCATGCTTGGAGCCTGAGGGGTGGACCTCGACAATGTCATACAAACCTCTACTGTATCATCTGAGCTGTGGACGAACATAGTATTAGAACAGCCCAACATTACTACAGCTACACCGACAGACCTGATTCCCCTCTCCTGGCGATCACCTCATCAGTCGAGGTGCAATACCCACCTCTAACGAATTCGCCTCGACCTCGCTTTTCTTCTTCAAGCTGGATTTCATACCCATCCACCTACATCCCGCCGAGCAAGAAACCATGAGAGGCTCTCAACCTTCCCTAGGACGGACGAGATCCAGCTCGAACGCCCGTCCGAACCATATCCCGCTCCCACCCAACAATACCAACGCCAACAGTTCCGGAGGGTTCTTTGGCCGTCCTTCGGGGCCTGGGACGCCTACGAGTCCCAACGGAACCAGCAGCAATGGAAATGGTAGTGGAGGTGTTGGGATCGGAGGTGGTAGTGGGAATGGACGTCCGAGAACTCCAGGTTCGACCAACCCAGAAAACGCACCGCTAGCGAGTCCCTCAAGCCCTCGGTCCAGCTTTCTGCCTAGCTTTATGCAACGGAGTCGACCGAGGAGTTCGACGTTGACTAGGTTGGGGAGTTTCGGGAATCCAGGATCTGGCAATACTAATGGAACGACGACGGGTGATGCAGCGGTAGGAGGAGGGTCGGGAGGATCGGGAAGGACAGGTAGCAGTTCGGGGTCGAGGCCGGATTCAAGCAGAGCGGCTTCAGCGAACGATCTAGGGAGGAGCGTTAGCCAGCCTTTGGCAGCCAGTACAGGTGACTACAATATCAGAACCGGATAGGTGATCCAGGAATCTGACTGATTTGGTCTTTCACCTTGCGCTTTACCTCACTTTGCCTCGCATTACCTTGACCCGCTCACAACATAGCCGATGATTCTACCTCGATGACCACCTATCGAATCCGCCTAGTTCCCCACCTCGAGACGCACCGTTCAGTTCACTTCGAACCCGTCGTTCGTGACCTCAAGCCGTGTGACGATTCCGACAACTTGACGGGAAGGGGGACGGTCGTCAAGATTGGGAGGTTTACCGAGAAAGCTCAACAGGCTCACGATCAGGCTCAGGCACAACGGCAAGGTCAGGGTCAGACTGGACCAGGAGTGATGTTGGCGAGTGAGACGGTCGGTGGTAATATGGCCAGAGGGGAAGCCTGGAGAGGCGCAGGCGGTGGAGGGGATGTGACCGCCCCTTCAGCTAGGGATGGAGCCGATTTTGGGGGAGCGGCCATGAGGACGACGGTCAACGGGAATGGGAACGCTGCTGGTAGTGGGTCAGTGGGAGCCGGTGGGGGTGGACCGTTGACGAGCAACAAGGTGGCATTCAGGAGCAAGGTCGTCAGTCGGGCTCATGCAGAGTTCTGGGTCGAAGCTGGTGGTCAGGTGAGCTTCTCGCTTTGTAACATCTTATTGATGGTATGTATACACGAGGCTGATCATCAACCCCTGTTGCTCGGGGGAAATAGTTTTACATCAGGGATACGCATTCGTCTTCGGGGACGTTCTTGAATCATATCAGATTGTCGAATCCAACGCATGAATCTAGGCCGTTTTCCATCAAGGTGAGCTTCATGTCATCGGGTGGATGGCGCAGCAAGCTGACCATTCGTTCGCCTTTGCGTTGTGCAGGACGGAGACATCATCCAGCTCGGAGTGGATTACCAGGGTGGAACGGAAGAGATGTATAGGTGTATCAAGATGAAGGTTGAAGTCGGTCGAGAGAAACGAGGACAGAATAATTTCAAGTTAGTTCCTCCACCCCATCACAACGTAAAGTATTTGGACGTCTTGCTGAACTCTGCTGTACTCGCCTCCCCGAACTGCTTAGCAAGGAAGCCATGAAGCAGTTGAAAGTCCTCGGAGGCGTTCCAGAAACCCCGACCAGCGCATCCACGCCAAACGGGAAGAACAAGGTTGCTCCCAAGGCGAGCGTGACGGACTGTTGCATCTGCTTGTTCTCGGTGACCGTCTGTCAAGCGTTATTCATCGCGTGAGTTTCATGGGTCTCGGAAGAGGTTCAGGTAGGAGTACGAATTGCCGCTGACGCGCGGTGGTTTCGGACGGGTTGTAGTCCTTGCTCGCATGTGGTAAGTCGGCGAGCGTTGTTTCGATGTTTGAGTCAGCAGACTGCAAGTCCTGATATCATTGCCCATCCCATAGTTCCACTACAAGTGCATCCGACCGATCCTTGAGGTTCATCATCCTGGCTTTTCGTGCCCTCTTTGCGTGAGTCACCACGAGATAGCGGTTCGCTGCCAACCCGTTTCTGACTCGCCAGCTTGCCTGCAGCGTACATTCCATGATCTGGACGCCGATGTCGAGTTGGAAGATGCCTGGGAGGTAGCGTCCAGGAGGGCATCCGTGGCTACCGGCCGACGAGTCTCTCAAGCGGAAGGAGCCAACGACGAACCGATACCTCTTGCTCCTCCTATTCCTGTCATCAACGGTCCTGAAGGTGCATCGTTTGCGAGTTCAAACGATGGCAGCGCCAACGAGGATGGAGGGCAGATGAGCGACGTACCTCCCAGTCCGGCTTCTTCCCGACCGAACATGTCGCTAGGAGCTCTGCCCATCCCAACTCTCGGTGGTCCCGCTTCGAATGGCAACCCGGACTATGCCGGACTTGACGCTGCGACTCCTATGAACAACACCTTCCTCTCCACTCTGGCGGATCTGCCGAATCCCCCGGATTCTGTTGAACCCAGGCGTCCACTCGACAATGTCGTTGAGGATGAGCCTGCCGAGACCGAACTCGATGAGACTTCGAGGAGAGTCGAGGTGATGTACACCTGATCTACAGATGTGTCGTCGCTGTGTCGTGCGTTCCTTTTCTTCCCCTGTACTACTACCCCGCATACCCTCGCCCATGCCTATCGTGTAGAGACTAGAGAGGCCTTTGTATACAGTCTAAAGACAGGTCTTACGCATTTCCATTACATGTCCTCCTTCCTCGCACATTGCCAGAGCTTAGACGCGTCATGCAGCGGCTCTGCGCTCTTCTGTCCACGAATCTCATCAAAGCCGAGCAGCGACACCTTGCACTTTATCACCCTAACAGCTCTTCAGGTCCTCTGAGATCTACGACCACCGGTTAACGAAATAGATCACATTCATTGGGTATCTCGTGGCCTTCTGATTTCACTTATTCGCCGGTAAAAACCGCATACGCATCTCGAACTCGCTGGACGATCTCTCACGAACAAAGGCCTCCCTCGAACGGTCATAAAAGGCTCAAGGATGAAGAGATTTAGGAATGCTTTGCTGGGATCGCTACTCCTGCTAGCTGGAGCAGTGAGAGCTAAGGAGGACGAAGAGGTAGATGATGGCGAGCGGGTGAGTGCTCACATCGGTAATAGTCTAGGATCTGTGCGAAGGTTATTGAACTGACTGTCTCTGTAACACCCAACAGCTCATAGCGATGCGCACTCACGTACTGTACCCTCCATATGTCGATCAAGAGCTGCAGGTAAGAGCAAAGAAGCATCAAGATATGTACAGTTGCCAACGCTGACCAATGCTCTGTTCTTGACAGAACCGATGGTAAGCCACAAAAAACACCTACCTCGACGGTTGACCTAGGTCACAGGCTGATGCTGTCTTCTTCATTCCAACAGGTGGGATTTCGGGGCCGATGCCATCATTGTTAGTGAAGTTCTCCTGAACACCTCCTCACGGTAGATTGACAACATGCTGTATTGGACAGAACACCAACAAGCACGTCCGTCTAACACAGGACAGGCGATCAGAGATGGGGTGGTTATGGTCTCGGCTCCCAATCAAGGCAGAGAATTATGAGATCGAGGTCGAGTTCAACGTGGGTCAGGACGGTCACTGTAAAGCATGTGGATGCTGATGAGTTACTTCACTTCGCTCTCAGGTGAACGGAAAGGGGCATTCCTTGTTTGGGGACGGCTTTGCTATGTGGTTGACAACAGATAGAGCGAAGCCCGGTCCAGTGTTTGGCAGCATCGGTGAGTCTTGTATGGGGTCCCAAAGATGATCAGGCCGTCGAATTCAAATTCACCGACTATGTAGACAACTTCAATGGCCTTGGACTGTTCTTTGACACCTACCCAAACTCACGGCACACCTACTCTTTCCCTCGAGCGACGGCCATGTTGGGCGATGGCAAGACACCCTATGATCATGATCATGACAACCAGGCAAATGAACTTGCCGCATGTTCTGTGGGTCTCGATCGCCGGATCATCCAGATTCCTCGTCACACCTTGCTAACTTGCTACTTCCCAATTTCGTAGATGGACTTCCGTCGACGAGATACTCGAACGATGCTCAAGCTCCGGTACATCAAGAACAAGTCCCTGAGCCTGCAGCTCCAGGTCGAGAAAGAGGGCAGGTGGGACGACTGTTTCGAGGCTCAGAACGTGGAACTGCCGGCTGGAGACATCTACCTCGGTTTCTCGGCTCTGACCGGAGATGTCAGCGATGCCCATGAGTGAGTCCCGTTGTCGCTGTTCGAAGTCAGGTGGCGGTGACAGGCTGACGAGAGGATCTCTCTCCGCCTTGAAAGCATCATCTCGGTGTCTACCAATTCGATCGTATTCAACAGCACTCTGCCCGTCGGCGCCGAGAGCCAACTCTACAAATCGAAAAAGAGCAGAAAGAGCTCGAGCACCGGTTTGAGCATGTTCTTGTTCCTGCTCAAGGCGATTGGTGTGCTTGCGTTCTGCGCTTTCGCCTTCTCGGCTTACGTAAGTGAAACGAGGTTACCCTCAAGACGATTTACGGATGGCCACTGATCAGCCTCCCCGTTCATGCACACAGCGGACTTATAACGCTCAAAAACGGGGCAAGAGGTTCTAGGGGTGGATCTTTTGTAACCTGGCACCACGAGGTAGCATTTCGGGATGTCGTAAATCGCATGAATGATGGTCCCTGCTGAGACGAGGTACCAAGCCCCATAAACTCGTTCGTTTCTTTCGTGAAAAGCCCATATCCTGATTGTTCTCGCCTACGCTTTATCGATGCCTTATCCTTCGAACGTCGGGCAAGATCTGACGTCTCCCCTATGAAGAAGGCGGTAAGGAGATGGGATGGATCCCTTCCTCCATTTTCCACCGGCGGAATCAGAACCAAATCTCTTTGGGAATCTCATCCTACGATCTTCCTCCCTGAACGATCACGCATTTGTCCAGCATCTGATCCCCATTACATCATACTCTTGACTCCGTGAACAGCTAGACTACGTCTAAATGGGCATTACAGGGAATCGCAACTATCTATGTGGAAGGGCTTTCAAGGTGGCTTCCTATGAACGCCAAACCCAATCCAATTTCTACCTCGCAGGAGCCATCTCAATTGACAGCATTTTTATTCGAAAATCATCTCATAAACAATGCGAGAATAAGACGAGGAACACTGAGACAGAAAGTTACAATGACAGCTTCTACGATCCAGCTTCGAACTACATGCAGCAACAGTAGGACGAGGCATTCCCATTCGGCTTGTAACATACAAAGCCTAAACCCCAGATTTCGTGGATGCCCCGCTGCCTTCGGGAGTTTGCAGGTCAGTTCCCTCGTTCGGGAAGTACTTGTTCGAGAAGTACGAGAAGCTGAAGTTCGTGAACGACAACTCGTCTTCGGGAGCTTGATTGAAGGACATAGAGGAGGCAGCCTGTTCCTCTTTGTCACCACCGAAGGCGAACGGCTTTCCATCTTTGCCAAATCGACAGACGTAATCCAACCTCGTGCAGTTGTGGAATTCCGAAGCAAGAATGTCGAGATTGCGTTCAAACCTGTCGTGAGTGAACAAGAAGATGGCTCTGCATTCTACGAAAGGTTCTTCCCTATCCTTGGTCTCCTTGTCAGAAACTTCGAAAAGGCGAACAGGGACGTGCAGAGGGTAACCCATGGACTTGGAACTGTACCAGTTGGCGAAGTCGTACCACCTTTTCGCGCCTAAACGTTCGAATAGCTCTGGACGCGGTGAGCCAGGTCGACGATCTCCTTGGGCGAGTCGAGCACTGTCAAGAGTGAACTCGATGCAGGCTTTCTCCAGCAACGTCCACCTATCCCACAATCCTTTCTGATCAGCTTGAGGGTGAACATGCGTATAGGTCGCAGTGCCTATGTATTCGTCCTCGTCGCCGTTCTTGAAAGAAACAGAGCGGATGACTGGTTTTGTCTCTGGGCAGGGCGGCATGGTATGACTTCGATGGATGGACGTTGTACGGTGAACGAACGATGAAGTAAGAATGTGGAGAGACAATTTGTCACTATGGGACGGCTTTCAGTCTTGTTGCGCCTCCTAAAGTGAGCGCCTTATATCCTGTTTCCGTAGCCAAGCTCTCCAGTTTTATCTTGAGACGTCAGATGACGATGTTGACAAAGGAGATACCTTGGCCCTCGATGTCTTCAGCTATAGTGTCACATGACGGGCGTAAGAGGTCCTTCGGAAGCTGTATAGATCCCTTGAAAGGCCCTTTGGATTCCTTGAAAGGTCCTCTTAGACCTTTGAGAGGCTACATATGCCCGTCCATAGTGCCGTACCAACACAATAGAAGGTCGGTATGAAGACGTTGGACATACAACCGTGAGGTCGGCGAAGGCGTCACATGAGGAATATACGCAGTTCTCTGTACGCTGTGCGAGGTTCTTGGTGAGGTCATGAGCTGTCGTCGCAAGATCAAGTGACCAGTCTAGTCCTGGTGAAGAGTCACATGATCAAAGTACCGGGTCCTCGCTATCATAATTGAAAGCCTGCCCGACACGACAATACCTCAGCTAGACTTTCCCAAGACGTACATGGCAAGCAGAAGCGGTGAGAAGTAGCCAAGTTGAACATGCTTGGCGCGGCCTGTGTATTGGGCCTAGTTGGGGCGCGGGGGGCCTTCACTACATGGACAAGATCTCAGCGCGCAAATATTGTTCTCTACCTTCACTACCACGACATATGAGGATGTCACGAAAAGTCGCGATATAGAGAGGAGGTCACGTATGAATTGACCCTGAAACAGATCCGACGATGCGCTTAGAGGGACGGACACAGTAGATGCTTCCGACTGTTTTGCTTCCGAGTACCTCCCCTTGCGATTGTTTGTTTTGTTTGTCGCTCGTTTGATTCCATCGCCCATCATCACGCATGTCGTCGAACCAGACTGATGATCAGCTATCCAGCCATAGCTATCCCAGTCATTCTTGATCAACGATACGATCGTTGGATTCGACTCAATTCATAGTCTTAGGAGACTCTGCCCATCTTGAGCTCGTTCCGCTGCGATGGACGGGGTAAATTCTCAAGTCTCGCTGCCTGCCCAAGCCCGAATCTCATCAAGCTGATCGACCCGAACCTGCCCTCTTGCGATCTGGTCTCCAGTCCCTTACACATCAGGCTCTCCGTTCTATCTCCAAAGATGTGATCAGAATCACCCGGGCTCCTCCTGAAGACGTCAGGATTCGGGTTCAGGAAGGGAATATAGGGGCTGAAGGAGGGGTTATCGGAATCGTCAGGGGTCCAGGTATGTCGGATGTCGAGCCGATATAGCGGATGCTTACTGGTCACGGTTTCTCGGTCATGCTTCTCCAGAAGGAACGCCGTACGCAGGTGGATATTTCAACGTCTCCTTCTCTTTCGCTGGGATCGACTATCCGAATCATCCTCCCAAGTGTAAGCCGTATAAGCTCGTCTCGATCCTCAATGAGCTTTCTGCTGACAGATACGACCTCGGTCCTGACTGTTTACGGGTCTTACTTGAATGCTGATGCAGGTACGATGGTGACCAAGATCTTTCACCCGAACATCTCGAAATCCGGCGAGATATGCGTCGATACTCTGAAAAAGGCATGGACGAGGAACTTGGGCATCTCGGACGTCTTGGTTGTAAGTCTAGAATTCGGTCCTCCTATCCTTCCTTTCCCGTCTGCCACTATCCAAAGCACAAGATGGGGCTGTAAAATTATATGACTTGTTGCTGAGGTCTGACGCCCTGCTTCGTACATCGGTGGAATAGACGGTTAAATGTCTCTTGATCCACCCCAATCCTGAATCCGCTTTGGACGAAGAGGCCGGGAAACAGTTGTTGGAGGATTATGAGGGGTATGCCAAGGTAAGCTTTGGTATTAACACGCATACTCAGCCTGTCGAGAGGGAGAGACCAGCGTTGAAGCCGGATTACTTGTGCGGTGGGATTTTGCGTACGAGTAGATGGCGAGGATGATGACCAGGATTCATGCGGTACCTAGGGTGAGTCGTCAGAGACCGGATGAGATAGATGCCCTAAAGTTGGCATTGAATCGTGAACTGATTTGTACTCTTGCATCGCTCGACAGAATCCTCCTTCGGAATTTGGCAATTCCACTTCAAACGCATCGAGAGGACAGGCAACGACAACTCCTGCACTGACAGCACCGGCTCCGACAGCTCCTCTACAGGAAACTCATGCGGCGGCACAGATACCCAATACCACCGTCGCGCCGACCGTCGCCCAGACCAAGCCGAACCTCGAAGCGAGCGTAATACCAACCAATTATACCCGGACGCAGGAGACGCCCAAACCCAAGGCACCTGTCAGAGCCCCACCCAGGAGAGGCCTTAAGAGGCTTTAGAGATCCACGATACCTCGATTCATACCACCGCACCGGCCGCCTTTCCCAAGTGGGGATCGCTCTTCGCCGTAGAAGCGTGAAGTCTCCCAACATTCAGACCGGGAGCCCACATCACGCTGCTCTCCTTTTAACGATATTGTATCCATAATACATACGCGAGCGGGGACGTCGCAGGCACGTCGAGCCCTCTTGTTCGTTTCTATCACATTGTCTTAGTCTGTGTTGCGCAGTCGATCGCACCGCCGTGCAGAAGATGTTTGCTTTCGTGTTGGCGGTCCTCGACGGTTAGATGCGTTCATGCTTCCGAGCATCGGACAGCTGTCGTTGTTCTCCCGTTGTACACTCAGACGGATTGGCGCGCCTACTGTAGATCGCCGACGAGGTGTTCCGTCTTCCGGCGGACCCCAGCACACAGCTCCAGGTTGATCAGGTGTTCACGCCACATGGACATTACGTCAATCTATACGTACATGGGCCGGAACAACCATATCGCCTGGTGGCATTCCCCAAGTTTCCTGCTCCGCCGGTCCAGATCACTCGGACTACAAACCGACTGCCACCACCTTCGTTCCAACAGGTCTGGTCTGTGAAGACGTTCGCCTTAAGATACAGAATAAATCATCCTACTTCTTTAGACAAAGCTGCAGACGACTTGCGGGATGGTCTGCAAAGAGGCCGGGTGATCGCGTGCGTGGAGATCATCCCGCGGTATTGGCAATAGGTGGACGACAAGACCATCGATATCGAGGTGATTCCTTTGCCTCAGCCCGTACCTCCTCCAAGTACGATGGGTATTGGCTCGGCTCTCTCAACGACATCTCTTGTCCCCTTCGTGCCGACCTTTGCTCTCCCCGCCAAGCCCGACTTTGCGACGACGTCTCTTCCTGTCAAGCCGGCCTCTGCGAGCACCTCTCTTGTCGCCCCTCAGCCGGCTCTTGCGGATGATGATTTTGGCGCTCATAAAAGGGGCATCAGCAAAGAAACCGAGCTGACGACCCATGCCGGCCCGAAGAAGAGATCGAAACCGGTCGACGTTCCACCCCCGCCCCCTCCATCGTCGTCGCCACCAACACCGTCCTCATTGCCGCTTGGTCCACCTCCAACATTGTTATCGTCTTGTCTGCCCCTGGCTAGCTATACCTCTAGCTATCATGGGCTGAGCTTTGCCGAGGTCCACAACATCCACAATAGCCACGACGATTCGCTGAGCTAAGGCAAGGCCGGTGCGGACTCGACCGTTCTGGCTGGCTACCGGGAATTCAAAGGTCAATGTTCCACCACCTCTGACGTCACAGCCACCTTCACCACCTCTGACCATTCGACTCAGACTGCCTCCCTTGTAACCTTATGTCATTGGGATAGATGTATTTCGGCGCTTGTGCCTCGTTCGTGGTCTTGAATCATTGGTGAAGGCCAAAGGACATTGTTGCAGCAGGAGCGTCCGCGAAAGACTCCGACCTCAGCTTCCGTTCTCGGATCCCATTCACCTTCTCGAGGACCATACTCACTCGCAATTCCAACATCAACAGACTCATAGACTTGGGCAAACAAGGCTTCGAGATAGCAGTTGGGGATACAGAAGACTCATTGGGAGTCTCTCCGCTATCGATGGACCCAGCTCAAGCGGCAGCTCTGCAGCCCGACCAGAACCGACCAGAACCAGGCTTCTTCGAGACCGTCAACCGGGTCGTCACTCAGGGTATCCACAAACTCACCGAACCTATCGAACATCTGGCGGAGGCCATTCACGGACGTTTGGAAGCCACTGACGGGGATCTGGAAGTGGAACACTCAGAAACTGCAGTCAGAGGAGGAGAAGAGGAGAACATGAACGGGGTCGCGACGGGGACTTCGAGCTTGGGGGGAGAAGCTCAAGCGGATAGGACAGACGAAGGTGCTTCTGAAGCAGGGCGAATGATTGATACAGGTCAGTAGATGCTCTCTAACATCGAGGTCTTTGTACATGCTAACAACAGAAGCTTCGTACTGGCAGGAAACAACCCTTCGTTGACCCAATTTTATGCCGAGATTGAAGCTCGTGCTTCTCGAGAAGCTACTCCGGAGCCCGCACGAGAGGTAACGTCCGAAGGAACTATCATGCATCAAGAGATAGTGCAGGAAGAATCAACTCGGGTTGAGAACAAGGATATTGGAGAGGCTGGGATGGAGCCGGGACAGGCTATCACGTCAACGGATGTCGTTCAGGTTAGTCAGAAGCGGTGATATCAGGCCGCCGCTCTCGGTGCGTTGCCAGCTAACCTGAGTGGCTTCGTCATGATCAGGCTTCTCAGGAGCTTACTACGGCGAACGAAGGAGGTTCGAACGAGATGGAGTTGGAGGTAAACAACGGGAACGCTGGGGATCGACCTGGACCTTCCTTTCCGGCAAAATCCGCCCTGGCAAACTTGGCCATGTACAACAAGGCTCGAGCTACATCATCTCCCCTGTCGGACGCTCCTGGTGGGATAGAGGACCAAAATCATAACGCCTCGTCCAACAAAGGAAAAACCGCAGTCCGCTTCACTGCGGAGGAGATTGAGACAAACGAGAACGGAAATCTGGATTACGAGGACGATGATGGTCAGAGGGTGACGGAGCAGAATATCATTGATGCGGTGATTGCGTCGGCTCAGGGTCGGATCCCGCTAGGTGGGGTCACGCGGGAAGAGGAGAATAGGCCGGAGGATGTACCGAGAGGATTGAGATATGCTGAAGAAGAGGTTCGACACGGGGTACGATCAAGATCTGTCTCGTCTCTCTTCAGTGTTAATTTTGCTGATTTCTATCTTGCACTCGCAGATTCGTATCCAACCGATCGTTGAAATGCTATGCAATCTGACGGACCCATCCTTGATCAAGGAGGCGCATCTCATGCTGGAACGAGGGAAGACGCCCAGCACATACTTCCGGATCGATACTCGAGTCAACGAGCACTACGAGCGCGACTTGACCGAGTTTGACAAGGAATCCGAAATCAAAGCTGCTCAGATCAGGAGGGACAGAGAAATTGCAGCAGGGACTTATCCCAACGAGACTGTCGAGGCCATGGATGCGATTGCGAATGCTGGAGAAGGTATTCCGGCTACCGTACCAACTTTGACTCTGAATGGCGCCGGGCCTTCGACCTTGCTCGACGGTTCTAGCGATGACAAGATTCCGGGAGTACCGCAAAAGAAACCTCAGCCGTCTCCAGTCAATCGAGAGCTCCGAATCGATATCGATACACTGCATCCCGCACAACTCTATAATCTCGAAATGTTCCGTCGCAAGACGCTAAAGGAACCGCCTATGGAAGTCAACCTGCTCGAGTACATCGCTACCAAGAGTCTGAGGAAAAGGACTCCGGAGCCTCAACCGGAACCGGCTCCTGTCGTCCCTCCAGCTCCAAGGAGAACCAAGGCAGAGCGGGATGCGGAAAAGGCCGAGGAACAGCTGGAACGGGAGCGTTTGGCCGCAGAAATCGTCAAAGCCATGGCTGAAGAGGAAAGGGATCAACCTTTGCCTGATGATTCGGCTGACGATGCCTACGATCCGGTTGATGAGAGGAGGAGCAAACGAAGGGCGGCTCGTGGACGGCCTGATAGTGAAGAAGAAGACGCTCGTTACGAAATGATGCGTACGCAGAGTGGGAGGCGAAGCGGGGCGAGGCCATCGAGAAGGCAGCCAGAAGTTATCGATCTGGAAGCAGGAGGGGATGAATCCAGCGAGCAACCGGTACGCAGGAAACGAGGTCGTCCGCCCAAGAACCCGGCCGCGACAGCTGCACAGGTTCACAGTGACAGACCGACGCCGAGAAAGCCAGGGAGACCTCCTTTGGTCCGCCCCGAGGCCGGTCCTTCGGATAGCAATCGACCGATGCCGAGAAAGCGAGGCAGACCTCCTAAAGTTCGACCGGAGCCTGAACGCTCGGGCTCGCCGTCGGCCGAAAGGACAACTACTTTGCGTCGCCGCAAGGAAGCATCAATCAGCCCTTCCCGCAGCTCGGAATACTCACCTGATGTCGAAATGTTGGATGGAGACGATTTCAATGGTTTCGAGGACGACTTTCAGCCAAGCTCAACTCCCATGCAACAATACAACCGTGCCAGCCGACGAGTTGCCCAATCGACACCTGTTGAACCTAGTCAGCCTCCGACTAGAAAGAGACGTCAACGAAGTGACGTGGAATCTGAAGCAGATGAGCCTGTCGTCAAAAGGGGTCGCAGGAGCAAGCCGGATCAGGAGAGCGTGTCATCTGCGCCGACTGACAGTCAGCGTGTTACGCGGTCTCGACAGGAGGATTCGGGGAGCGCGGCCTTGGCTGGACCGTCCACCCGTACTGGAGCCATCTCGAAAAGGGGAAGAGGTCGCGGTCAAGCTATCGCACGAGGGGCTGGACGATCCGCTCGCGGGCGCGGAGGTGCGAGTCGCATCACTCGTGGACAGGGCGGAAGGATTGCCGTCGAATCGCCTGAACCAGTACCCACCAGATCTACCCGTAGTGGTGCGAAGATTATCGAAGCCGATGAGGCTCCTACCAGATCTACCAGGAACAGGCCGGCTCGTGAGAGCGCTTCGCACGAGCCGATGCCTACTAGATCTACTCGAAGCGGTGCAAAGAATACCGAAAGCATTGATACACCTACCAAATCGAGTCGAAACAGGCCAGCTGCCGAAAACTCTTCGTCGCGTGGACGTAGAAAGTCTGTCAGCGTCATTGAAGTGATGAGCTCGGTCGATTCGTCGCCGCGCGCCACACGAAGCAGCGGTCGACATCTCAATCTTGCGTCGGCGAAAGCCCAGAAAGTCTCGTTAGACAAGCGAGCTCGTCCTACCACTCGGCAACAAGTTGTCCAAACTCCTACACCTCGCAGGATCACCCGTGGTTCTGACGCTAGATCATTCAGTCCTGTTCGTCGAACCCCTCGAGATCGCTCTCGAGGTAACGAAAGGGCTGCGGCTAGCCAACCTGAACTTTCCCCGAGGAATACTCGTGCTAGGATCTCTCCCATCCCGGCAGGTCGTTCTATCCGGCAACGCGAGAAGGTTGCAGCCGAATCACAGTCTGCTCGGTCCAAATCGACACAATCCAAACCGAAAGCGTTGCCCGTCGAGGTCAAGTCGAGAGCGACTCCTATCAAACCCAAAACAGCCCCTTCCAAGTCCAAACCATCTCCCATCAAGAAGAAATCTGCGACCGCGAGACCAAGCCAGATGCAGAAGTCAGCTGTTCGCCCGACCCATGCCGTCAAAGAGCCATCTGATCGATACTTTAACGGTCGTAACCTGGTCAAGGGGAAGTTCGTTCTCGAGATCTTACTCCAAAGACTGCCAAAGTCGACCAAGAGGCTGTATAAATGGTCAGCACTGCCCCCGATCCCGGACGCTGCTTTGCCCAGAAGGCCCTACGATGGCTTGCAGGAGGGAGGGGCCGTGCGACGACAGATGGCTGCTTCGAGCGAGGTCGACCCCATGGAGGACGTAGACGCGGCGCTTTTGAATGCCGCAAGCCAACAAATTGTCGAGTCGGATGCCAGCGAGTCGCCCATCCGAAACAAGGGTAAAGGAAGAGCGACGTATGAAGAGGATGAGATTACGGTCGATTTCGAAAGTGAAGACGGATACGCAGTCAGGGACATGACTACAGACGGAGTCAGCGATGATGGGTCGGAGCGCGGTGAAGACAACGATATGGACGAGGCGGACTCTGAAGGCGACCCAGACTTTGCCCAGCGATTTGCGTTTCTTAAGTGATCGAAAGGACGTCAGACAATCTCGATTGTATATTGTGTAGGTGTCGAGAGATTCGTGGGATGGTTTCGTTACAACTTGTATGTCAACTCTCTATGTGCGATTCGACAATGTCCCTATTCCGTGCGGATGCGCCTATTTCACCTTCATGAAGGCGAATGCCATGTAGATCGCTGTGAAAGAGATACGAGCGAAAGACCTGAGCACCTCAAGTACTCCTTCACCGGAAGGCGGACTCGAACTTACAGCATGCAGACCACTGCTCAGCGTCCATGTTGAGATGTCCGTTCGTTGTCACCCCCATGCGCTCAGCGAGCTTGACAGACTCGGGCTTAGTCTGCTCCTCTGCGAAGACCTCATCAAAGTCTTTTCGATAGACCTCTTTCAACCCGTAGGATAGCGCAAGTCTGCATGAAAAAGTCGGTCTTAGCAGGCGCGATCGTGGCTTCAGCATCTCTCGACTCACTCTCGGAATGCTTCCCAATGAACGATAAATTCGGCGCAATCCTCAACCGCTTCAACCAAGGTGAAACGATAAGAATGCCCATATGTGCCTTCGTAATCTCGCTTGTCAAAAACGATGTTGTAGTAGGGGTTTCCGATGCTGAGTTCTTCACTCTCTTCGGGAATATGTGACAAGAGGTCTCTGTGAGATTCGGACCACAGGCTTAGCGATGCCACTCCCTCGTAACAATGCTGTCATACACTCACAGAAGTCTGGACGCAGACAGGGTAGTACCCAAGAATGTCCCGCCTATTCTGAGCGAATTCGAGATGTTTTCCAGCATTTGACGGACCTTCTTCTCGGATTCGAAAGCATAGTGCATGCAGAACTGCATGCTGATGGTATCGAACTTGGGTTCCAGCAGAGCACGAGGTACTGCCACGGAAATCGGAAACTACCCAGAAAATTGGTAGAGGTCAGTCCTGCATCTATATCCGGAACCTATCAGTATGGATACTTACTGAGAAACAATCTAGTACATAGAGATGCGGCCGGAAGTTCAACCGCCTTCTGGAACTTTGTATACGCTCATTGAAGTCTTGGATTGACCCTGACGCGACGTCTAGGTAGGCGTCAAATATGCTATCAGCTCGGACTGGTATTTCTTTGCGACCAAGGGGATTGCGACTTCTGCTTACCGATCCCAACGTATTCTTCGATCTTTGCCCTGTTCCATTTGTCAATATCACCTCCCTTCCCGCAGCCCATATCGAGCACCCGTCCGTTAGGCCGCAAGCTGCGATCTTCAGGATCAAAATCGCTAACACCTGGTCTTCTTCGCGTAAATCTGGCGATTAGCACAGATTTGATCCAGTTGTTGCACGTTTTGAGTCCGTATGTAGCTGATTGTGTCCGTGCAGCTCGCCCCGTATTACCTCGAGCGTTGTCTGATAAATGGGCAAATTGATTTTCAGTACACAGTTTCATCTGAATGTTTTGTGAGACCCGCTTACAATGCGCTGCGACCTCGCTCTGCTCGTTGAGAGCCTCAACTGGACCTCTTCGTGCTCGCTTCAATGCCCAGCCGTTATCTTGTTCCTGCTGGTCATCCCCATTGGTATATGGCGAATCCCTTGCTCGCTTCAGGCCATTGAGAGACGAACTGGCTCCTTCGCCGCCCGGTGGACCGGAAAGTCGGTGTTTGCCCTCGACCATGGTCCTGAACGGACAACCTCTACGGAGAGGATTCAAGCAGTTGCGAGCATCAGAGTACCACGCCATGTCCTCTGCGCTCAGCGGTTGAAGGACCGAAAGCGGAGCGGTGAGTCGGCGTGGTTTGTACTCGGTCTTTCCATTGTGGACGGGTATTACTATCGGCTCGGGAATGGCGACAGGAGCAGGGAGCGGCTCCGGTTTCTCGTCGGCAGGGAAGATTTGAGCTGCGAGATCTATCGGAGTGGTTTGGCGGGGAGTTGTTTGGTCGTTCTCGTCTTGTGCGACAGGCGAAGCAGCTCGAGCAGAGGGGGAAAGAGCCATTGATTCTGCCAATGGAGAAGGAGGCTGTGACGGTTTCGGTTTGAAAGACGTTTGAGGGCGATCGACGATCGACTCGGGCTGATCGACGGTAGATTCGGGCTGATCGCGCTCGGGACTAGCTGCCTCCTGCGGCTCAACTTGTACAACAGGTTCCTGCTGTTCTTTCGTCTCCGGCTTCATCTCACGTTCGACCTTTTGGTTCTTGAGGATCTCGGCCGGAACTTGATCAGAGAAGTCGTCTCCATCGACATCCGCTTGCATATCTTCGTCTTTTTTCTCTACCCGAGGACTGGGGACCGTGATCGAGACCGGAGCTTCGGTCTTCTCCGCCACTTTGACCTCCTCGACCTCGACCCCGCTGACCGACTCTCGCTTTTGCTTCCTTTGTATGTCATCCTCTCTTATCCGACTCGACCCCGCCCGCTCGCTTAGGCTCGCCAGTACATCTAAAGCGCTCGCCCCGTCCGGGATATCCACGTCCATCATTGCGTTCTCGTTGTCGGTTTCGGCGACTGTATGTGCGCGATTGATCTCCTTGTTGTTTGAAGACGACTCTAGAGGAATTGGATTTTGGCTAGGCGAGGCGAGGTCGATCACGCTGAGTCTTCTCGATCTGTGTATGACGTCCTGTGATGGAGGTTCCAGTTCGTTGGAAGGCGAAATGAGACCGCTCAGGTTGAACGACCTGCTCGGTATAGAATTAGACATGGGGATGGACATCGACATGGAAGGCTCGCCCGTCCAGCCCATGATCGAAGATCGACGTTCAGGCCTTTCCCTTTCCCTATCAGGGGAGATGGAGACGTGACCTTCCATATGGATAGAGGACTGTCTAGTATAGTCCCTCGAGTCCGGATCCAAGAGCAGACCTCCGCTCGTGCTCCGGCTGATAGGCATGGAGTTCGTATGCGAGTACGAATCGCTCGGTGTACCCGTTCGAGTATGTGGTTGAGTTTGAGGTTGTCCGACCATGTGCATCCCGTACAGTGACCTAGCCTCGGTGCTCGGTGAGCGGTAAGGTTTGTTTTCCGAGGTCGGGGAGATGAGGTTATGTATAGATGTGACCGAGGGGGATGGCGAAGGAGCTTTGCCTGGTGCACCTCGTGATGGAGGCCGATAACCCGATAGAGGGAAACCAGTCTGTGAATCCATGGCAGTAGGTGGAAGAGGCCTAGATCGATAGGTCGGTGATTTCTGCGGGTTGTAAAGGCCGTACAGGGCGGGAGATGGCCGCGAGGTATGTTGAGACGACCCGGACGGAGTAGGTGGGAATGGATATTCTCTCGTTTGACCGCCCGCTGAAGTAGGTATAGCGAAATGGGGAGATCTGATGTTCGATCCCAGCGGAGAAGGCGATGGATAGTGACTCGGGGTCATCCCTGGCGTCATGGCCGTCGTAGATGAAGGGGTCGCCAAGGCAGTCGGTCCATTGAGCAACATGCTCAGACTCCTCCCCTCCCCCATCGACCCTGGCGAACCCGTACCGCCTAGCACGCTCCCTATGGATGGATGCCTATACTCTCTCCTGTGAGAAGGTATCTGCCCCTGCATACTACCACTCGACCGGCGTTCGGGAAAGATACCCGGCTCTTCATCGTCGTTCAACAACCCTCTCAACCCGCCTGATGAACCAGGTCTCGACGATGCCTGACGTTCGAACTGTCCCGGGTACGGCTGCCTCTCATATGGAGAAGACGTCTCTTGATAATGCGGACTAGCTCCATTCCTGCCGGGTGCATTCGTCGACTGTCCAGGTGGGAAAGGATAGTGGGTATCGAGGACAGGTGTGGCCGAGGGCGAGCGGCTGGAATGTGTATCCCTAATAGCGTCATATGCCATATTTGCGGTATTGTCGTCTCAGTAGATTGTATTCAGGACCTCTAGTGTGGATATATGAGGTGAGGAGCTGTTGACCCGAGGTTTTGATGCGATGTTGGAAAGTTGTAATCCCCGAAGAAAAAAGGTGCGGCCAGGCTGATGTAACGTGTAACGTGGATCGAAAAGAATGTGCAAACGAAAGAAGAAGGGGAAGAGCTCGTTCGATAGCCGTCTCTAGATCGATACCATGATAGTAGTATAAAATGTGGGGATACGGCAAGTTGACTATACGATGGTAGGTAGATCTGAAGAACATGCATATTCCATTCCATCCCTTCTGCTTAGCAATTAGCAAAACGTCCTCGCTGCGCGCAAACTGCAAGGCGCAGTGCGACCAACCTGGTACAGAGTAGTAGTAGCTGGTCGATACGGAAAGTCTTTCCACAAGACAATCCTCTAGCCTCTAGCCTCTAGTATCACGGTCAATGGGATTGATATATGTGCCGACCTACTACATTCGGTCGTGCTGACGAGAGGGCCGCCGATCGAGTCTCGAGCGCTATGCGTAGTCGGTTCACCTTTTCTCACCTGAACCCGCCCATCAATCCATCGATCGACCAGGTCTATGAGATGCCGGCCTCCTGGACCACCCCTCAGCTCGAGCTCGACGTCTCTGCCTTGCTCTCGACCCTCCTACTCAAGATCCTATAATCCGCATCTTCCCTGCCCTCCAGGTCGCCCTCGACCCAGTCCTTGTCGACCTCTTTCAACAGCGCCGACTTGTTCTTTACGCCTCCTTTCGTATTACGCTGTCTTTGTAACAGCCGGGTGAAGAGCGAGAGACGGTAAGAGTAGGTCGGGTCGATCTCGTCGGGTTTGAAGCTGTATTCGAGGGAAAAGAAAAGACACGGGTTCTGGCTCGTCAGCTTGACAAGCTTGTAGGAAGGTCAGGTTCTAGGTCGACTTGCCCGTGCTTCTTGTAGAATCGTAGAGCTGGGACGTTGCCTGTGAAGAAGTAGCGAGAGTCAATCACCTGCAGACACGAATGGCCTAGCCTCACGACCTTGAACGCAAATGATTGGCGGATCCGACATGATGAGCAGCTAGGACTCACGTTTTAGACAAGTCAGGACGACCTTGCACACCCCCATCTTTTCCGCTATTGTCATCGTTTCTTCGAGCAACGCCGAACCAAGTCCCTGTCCTTGATTTCCTTTGACCGTCTGCAGCTCATATCTGCAGCATACACCCGAGCGATAGTAGAACAGCACAGACAGCTGTCAGCTCGCCGTTTCGATAACGCACAGAGCGAAATGTCGCACAGTTCCCGAGTTGCGGAACCCTCGAAGCGGAACTCACATGTAGAGAACGTCCACCTGTTTCCCCTCGTCTCCCGTATCCAGCGAATCCTTTGTATCCTCCTTGCACACCCTCAACGCGACGTATGCCAACAGCACCGTCGGCTGGGAAGGAGGGTGAAAGAGAAGATAATATTGCTCCGGATCGAACAGTTCCAGGTGTTTGTCTTTTGGTGGAGAATAGAGTGAGGTCGGTTTGACGCTGTTGGCGATAAGATGCAAGGATGTAACGACATACGTGATATCAGTGGTCCAGCGTGTCTTTCTGAGTAGTACGGATCGCTGCTGATATAGCGAGAAGCGATCCAAGACCGACTCACAGCTCGTCCATATTTTCCCAATATACATCCTCGATGTTTTTCCTCAACGGTTCTCCTAAGTCTGTCCCTCTTCCTAGCCGGACGTTTACATCGTACCTGACCTTTGACGAACGAGCTTGTCAGCTTCCACCGCTGTTGCTGATCCTGTACTTGACGTATTTCGAGATAAATGGTAGGACTTACGGCGAAGAGGCACCTGCGACCCGTAAGGACGAGGACGGCTTACATCCTTTCATGATCTGTCAATCCGTTTGCTCGAGATCAGTAGAGATCCCGGCGCCGCTGGAAACAGACGAGGGACCGATCGACCAAGTGACGCACAGGTTGCCAAACTGCTGCGGAATCAAGTTCCATGGTCCTGGATCGAGCAGGTTGCGAACGCAAGGGTAATGAGAGGTGCTGCGGGGATCGGGACCGTCTACGAATTGAATAAGGTCAGTCGAGTTACATCGGTATAAGATTTCATACAAAATACAATGTCTGTTGATCTGTAGACCCGCGGAGGTGACGCGACCCCCCCCCCCACACCCGACTACAACCCGTTCAACCTCTCTCGAGTCTTCGCGGCCTCAGCCTCCTGGACCCTCAACAGGTCCTCCAAGGCTGCTTTCCTCCTTCTTTGAACATCCTCCAACTCGGCATCAAGACGTTCGAGGGTGGCTACCGGCTCGATAGCAGGTCCGGCGGCGGGCTGCTCAGAAACAGCAGGACGGATTTCGGGCTCCGGCAGGTTGCGCTTCTTGCGGGGGACAAGCTCCTTGACCTGGGAGTTTTCGCTAATCTCCCTAGCGCGTCCCTGTTTCTTCCCCTTGCCCTTGCCCTCGGTCACAGTGACAGCGAGCGATCCGAAGCCCATCGTCGTCGTGACGGTCGGCGCAGCAGATGGCCGAGAAGCGGATGGCCGAGAGGAAGGCCCAGCCGATGGTGCAGCGGACGGCTGAGAGGATGGTCCAGCCGATGGCGCAGCGGTCGGCCGAGAGGATGGCCGAGAGGGTGGCCCAGCGGAAGGCGCAGCGGAAGGCGAAGGCGCAGCGGATGGCCCAGAGGATGGCTGGGATTTCGCACCGTACTTTCGAACGAACGTCTCGCCCTGATCCCAAGTGCCGCCCTTCTTCAAAAGCTCCTGTAAGACAAATCGTTTCAGTATCCTGGTCTCGATGTTTCACCATGTCGACGCACCTTGGGTCCGCACCAATGAACGTTACGACGATGGGGGTGGGGCCAGACGGCCGTGCACTCCCCCCGAAGACCCTGTTTAAGCCGAGTCGCAGCCGCTTGCAACCGCTTCCTACATGAATCCTCCGTGGCGGTGACGTCGTCCGAGTCGCTGATTCGGTACTCGACGTGGAAGATCTGCTTCGCGTCGTCTTCTACCTTGTGCAAGATATGGGTAGGAGTGCCCAACCCAGCCATCGTCGCGACCTTCTCCGCCACTGCAGTACGAGCAGCCGGGGTGATATCGGTCCCAGCCAATTCTACGGTGAGTTTACCAAAGTAACCCCCGGGCGAGTACACCTACACGACCGGATGGAACGACGCGAAGCTCATGAGTAAATCGCTCGCTGACAAGGATGTTCGTTCGCGAGAACGTACCTGAACGCATTTCAAACCTTGCCCGAATCTGGTGAAATCTTGCAAAGCGAGCAATCTTGCAATCTCGGCGGCGGCACGGTCCTTGTTGGCCGCGGCGCTGTCACCGCGGGCGCAGAAGATCAAGCCCGGCATCTCCTGAGCCTGGGCCTCCCGACCGAAACGGATGAAGGCGAAAGCGTCGGACTGAAGCTTGATATCCAAGTCCTTCTCCACGGACTGAATGACGTGCTCGGCCTTCTTGCGTAGTCGATCGATATCAGCCTGAGCGTAGTCGATCGATATCAGCCTGCGAAATCCGAGTCAGCCAAATCTATATCTACTTACAGTCGTCGTCGTGCTTGGTTTGAGGTCCGCTAGATTGCCCAAGATTGCCCGTCCGTACAAGCAGACGTGACGGCTGGGCTTGCTCGTCGAGTCGACCGCGGTGAGCTGAGAGGGAGAGAATTTGGGGGCCATGATTTGGTAGTTCGAAAGGGATCACGAGTTGATTGGAAGGGCGATGCGAGTGTTGTGGGCTTTTGACGATCTGAATGTGACGGTCGAGTGTGTGTTTTGATACGTTGATGTCGAGAAGTCCTCCATTCCACGTCTCTGCGTGCTGCGTGCTCGTGTTTGTTGTGATCGTGTCTTGCGTTAAGTCCGACAGGCCGAGGAGCGCTGGAAAGCGGGTGGAGCGGTGAAGCGCTGCTGGGGATCGGGCCCGTCGCCCCCCGTTGCTTTCCTCTCCCCTTTCTCACGCGTTTCTCCTTGTTTTCGCTTTCTCACGCCTCGCGAGTCGCGTCGTCCACTCTCTTCCCCCCCCCCATGATGATATAACCCTCCACCCCCCCCTCTTCCGCGTGAACCCCCCTTTTCTCCCTCCATTCAATCCGGACCATCATTTCACGGCTCGCCATCTCGCCCGACATTCCGACCCTTCATCCCTTCATCATCAGGCTCGACACACCGGCGACCAACATCCCTTCCTTCCACCCGTCTCGCCATGGACCAAGAGAGCGTGGGTTTACGTTGGTTCTACCGCCGGTATAGGAGGCAATCATCGACGCAAAGGTCGTCGGCCTTCCTCCGGGGAGGTCGACTTCCTCGGTTTGTCCGTCCGATAGCAGGAAGGACGCCTGACCCACTGAAGATCTTCGACCAACCCCGAACCTGTGCTACTTGTGTTCGGCCTTCGCGATGTATATTGCGCCCCGGCATAAGGGTCTCGACTCGTGTGTGGAGAGCTCACGAGTAGACTTCCTTGGACGATCACAGAGATAGCAACGTGCTTGACTCCTGGTAGACGAAGACAGACCGCCCCGCCGTCCTCTACGTCCTTTAGTACAGGGTGACCCTTTGCACGGCGGTGAGCGGATCCCCTTTCGGCAGGGCGGTGACCCATGCGTGACTGCAGCCCAGGGCGGACCAGGGCTCACGCTCGGACCCATAAGCCCTTCGTTGGGCGGGAAAGATGACACCTCCCGTTGCCAGCTGTAGCAATACGCATGGGATCGGGACGACGACGAGGAAATGGGATAATGGCGGAGAACATCGATCGACGAGAAGTATAAATGTCTTCGTCCTTGACCACGAGCTGACCAACGCCATTTTCGATAGTGCACGTGACCGATCTCGAGGGTCGATTGGCAGATGGCGGATAGGACGGGAACGCTTCGACATCATCGCTTCCCGTAAGTACCCAGATTCCCGTCTACTCGTGCCTTTTCTGACTTCGATCTTCGGCGTCGACGTCGTCTCGCACTCAGCTCTGGAGCGTTCATCCCGGTCTCGATAGGATACGGCCGGACGGGCAGCACAACCCCGGCCTCGAATGGAGACGGCCGAACAGGAGATGCACCCCAACATTGAAGGTAGGTCGGTCCTCTTGTCCAACGTCCGATGCAACCTCGTCCATCCTGCTGATCTGCCGCAATGACGTCTCGCTGGTACAGTGCCTCTTGCCGCCTCGTCAAGACCGAGGATATCAACGAGACTTTCAAAGACGGAAAGCCACTGGTACGTCTGACGAGACTCGTCAATCTATCAGGATCCCGGCTGACCGATCCTTCTCTCTATGCCTTCCTCTTTTCTTCGCTCGTAGCCGTCCTTGCGCAATACGTTCGTCATGAATTCGCTTCGAGCACGTATTGCGCCAGCCGAAGCCATCTTCACGCCGCAAGCCTAGTGAGTCGGTCCCGTCCTCGATCTCTTTCCTGGTACACCCAAGTCGGTCGAGCTGACAGCAATCGTCACTTTCCTCGTGATGAACAGCATGCGGGCTGCGGCGGCCCGGGAGGGATAGGGGAGGTATTCGTCAATGGTATCCCGGGCTTCTCTAGCTTTTTGCAAGAACAACCGAGTCTTGTCGACCTTTGTACTATATCGTCGAGAGCGATTCATTTGCACCGTTAGCTACTTTCACAAGGCTGAGCAATCTTATATGCACGACCACGACCACGAATGCGAAAAAAAAACTCACTATACCACCGGGCCCCTACATCCAGAACTTTCCGATACGATCCAGAACGCTCCCTCTGGGCCTCTGAGTTCTACGAAGGGCCGTCTTGGATCGCTAGCTTGGCTGCCAGAACTTTGCTAGGTCACGAAGTGAGACACGGTCGATCCACCTTTCGATCCGCGTGGACCCGAGACCTCGGGCACGCGCTCGCGTCGCAGCCGATCACAACACGAGGCGGCCAGCCCCCTTCCTGGATCCATTGACCACGGGCCGTGCGAACCGCACGAGCGATCGGAAGTCGTGAACAAACCACCTAGAAACAGGGCGATTCGTAGGTACTCGAAAGCTACCTCCCTTATTGAAAGGGCGAATCGCACTACCGAGCGGTTGAGGCCATACCGGTCTGTAAGCTAGGGTCGAAATAGCGTCATGAGGATGTCCGTTTGGGCGTAGGGGGCTCGAAGCTTCTTCCTGGCGTCTCAGCCTAGCAACTCGAGCAGGATCGCGTCGATACTAGAATCGGGTTTTGAAGATGACGCGATCAGCGCTTGTCGCTTCTGGTACTCTATATCATGTCGTCCCCGTTCTCGCCTTCCCCTCCGCCCAACACGTATTGTCCTTCCGGACATGCATCACACCGCAGCCCCTTTCAATGGCTGTCCGCATGACACTGTCGGTAAGGATAACGCTGCAGGACATGGGAAAGTCGCGCCGGGACGGTCGGTCACGTCGTGTCGACTCACTCTTGATTCTGGGCGACAGAACTATGCGATTCATAGATCCAGGCCTGTAGATGTCGATATGGCTCTTCGAGAGATCCCACGAGCAGCAGTATTTCCGTCCATTTTCAAGCGACCAAGTCCAGCTCGCGTGATTGGAAATCATTTTTGTAATGACCGCCTCGCCTCAACGATGGTGTGACCCCGGTCGATATTGATAGAGGAGTCGATGGTGTAGGTGTTGGTAATGTCGAAGAACAGTAACCTCACGACCCGACCCAATTACCCGGCTGACGTTGAATCGGTGCCAAACGGGATGGACCGAACCTTCGCGCCTTTACGGACTCCCGTCAGACCTCGCCAATAGCCTATCCCCCGCAGCACCGACTTCCCTAAGGGACGAGCCGTTTTTTCTTAGCACCTCACCATCAGGAAACATGCCATGTAAACCCCTTCCCATAAGGGAACAGGCCGAAATGCAACACCGGATTTGGCTATTGACGAGCGAGGTTGAGTCTCCGCAAGGTTCCGGTTCGATCCACCATCGTCGAGCTGCCATGCGAGGGATACCGACTGATCGTTCCCTATTTCTACTAGATGACCCCTATCTCGAGAGGGCCGCCATGAATGACGTCCGCACGGTCGGTAGTGCTATCCGCCGTTGCTAGGTCGAATTGCCTCGAATTCTTTTCGGACATCCCAACGTGCATCTTTTGCGGATGAGAGATCTGACTTATCGAATTACTGCACTCACGAAGACTGTATAAAACCGCAAAGAGCTATCCAAGGGAGAAGTCTGCGTGGTCCGTAGACCCGCTGCCTCGCTGGCCCGCTCAAAGTGGCAACTAAAACCCAAAAGAAAGCGCGTCTGCGTCTCCCCTCCGCGTGTTTGCCTGCAGGAAGCCACGAGGCTCGGCTGCAAATACGTATCCGAGCCTCACCTGCCGCCTGGTATCAATGCAACAGGTGAGCGAAGCGGCGGTGAGGGCTTGTCATGACGAAAGCAAACTTGTTTTTGTAGGATGTTTATCTCAAGACCTTCTACTTGACAGACAGGTCCCGCTGAATGGTTGTTATCAACTGGTTTGCTGCCCAGATGATGTCGGGCTTGTTTTGGGTGAAAACATCGGACAAATCCCAGCTTGTCAAGCTGACAAGGAATCACAGATTGTGGACCATAGGGGGGAGGGGAGAATGGCAACTTGGGTGGACATGTTGTGAGTTTTTCAGGCTTGAGGGTTCGTGACGACCTTGGCACCGACCGTGACAACAATACTGGTCTTGATCTGGACTTTGATGAAGCCGAGCGAATCCAGTCCCCAGATACCGGCAAATGCGTCGCCAGCTAGTCACGACCGAGACAACGATGAATCCATCGTGTTTTCCTAAGAACGACATTAACGAGCACAACCGCGAGCCAGAATTGCAGGACCTGGAAAAGGTGTCTAGCAGGTTTCCGCTGCGCCAACGGGTTTTCACTACGGATGCGCGCGGATTGCAGGAACACATGCCCGTTAATAAGCTCGTGAACGAAGAATCGAGTGCGTCCCGACAGGTGCTTGCCTTTGTCCGATGGGGTCCATGTTCTGTTCACGTTTCAGCTATTCCGGGACATCCGGATCATGCTGATGGCGCCGTGTCGTGGCGAATTGTATGCTTGTCGTCGATCGAAACGTGATCGAAGCGTTTCATCGGTCTCATGGTAGGGTGTCTTCGATCTTCGATCACGTTTCATCAGTTTCGAGGTAGGGTGTGTGCTACGACAACCCGGTCTTGCCCGACCTCCTTTGGTGACATGTCGAACGGCTACTGGTCATAAGGCGGCGGGGTCAAATAAACGTTCCAAACCTAAAAGAAGGGCCATCCGATCAGACCCATCCTCAAAGGAAGGGTCGATCGAATGGATGTTCCACCGGCCCGTGGCTGTCCCGCCCCAGTTGGTCGGCCGCCACGCGCGTCGTGCGTTTCATCATATTCCCCCCTTTCGTGGTCGTTGTCGTTTCGCGGAGCCTATTTCGGGATGTCGAGATCAGATGGATCGGATGTCGATGACCGTTGTTGTTGCTGTCGTCCTCGGTCGCCTCACTCCAACCAGCCTCCACTCTTCGGTTCGATTTCCCCCATTGATGTCGGGTCGAGGAGCGATGATGGATCATCCGCGAGTATATATATGGAGCCAGGAGTCATCCTCATCCCGGCCATCCCCCTCCCTCATCGTTGATCTCTTCTTATATCCTTCACATCCATCTGTCGTCATTCTCTTTTCCTTTTCCAATCACATACACCCTCAAACTCATCGAAAAAAAAACATCTCGACATCTTGACGATGCGATTCTCCAGCTTCGCCATCATCTCCACGGCCCTCGCGGCGGTAGTCAGGGCTGCGCCCACTCCCTCCCCGATCGAGAAGCGAGCTCTTCCTAGGTTGGGAGGGTTCAACATTGCGTAAGTTTAGATCGAAGTTAGAGGTTTGTGAGCCCGGAGCTGAAGGACTTCGATTATCACCACGCAGCGGATTCGACTTTGGTACTGATACCAACGGAGGGTTCTCGGGTAAGCATTCCTTTTCGCACTGTTATTGTATGGCAGAAGGATAACATGGACAACCACGACGTGACTCCACAGGCAACTACGTCGATCCGATGTCCAGCTCCAACCCTGCCACCTCGCAAATCGACCACTTTGTCAAGAACGGAGCCAACGTCTTCCGACTTCCCTTTGGCTGGAACCCCGCCGTCGGTGGTCAACTCGGTGGGACCCTCAACCCTTCCTGGTTTACCGCTTACGACAAGCTCGTCCAATACACCCTCTCCAAGGGCGCTTACGCCATCCTCGACCTCCACAACTATGCTCGTTGGAACGGCGGGATCGTCGGACAAGGTGGACCTACCGACGCTCAGCTGGCTAGCGTCTGGGAACAGTTGGCCAAGAAGTACAGCTCGAACGCCAAAGTTATCTTCGGGTTGATGAACGAACCTCACGATATTCCTAACATCGGGACGTTCGCCAAGACGCTCCAGGTCTCGGTCAATGCCATTCGATCCGCCGGCGCTACGTCGCAATACATCTTGCTTCCCGGGTGAGTCGGGCTCGTCTTCCTTTTGCTGACCATTTCGTATCTAACGTGTCCCTTTCCGTTGTGACCATAGTCAAGAATGGACTCACGCGCCTCGATGGATCGATGGGACCAACGACCCGATCGTCCAGATCACTGACCCTGCCGGTGGAAAGGAGAAGCTCCTGCTCGACGTGCACCAGTAAGTACCCGAATGTTTGACTTCTTCGCAATGTATCTTGACCTGTTGCTATTCGACTTGTGATAGGTACTTGGACTCGGACGGTTCGGGTACTCACGCCGACTGCACCACCGAGTAAGTTTTATTTTCCTCACCACGTTCACCTCACTTCACCCTCGCTGGATCTGACGGTCTATATGGTCGGTCTGGGATAGCAACGTTGCCATGATGAACAACCTCGCCAACTATCTGAAGGGCAAGGGTCGTCAAGCCATCTTGAGCGAAACCGGTGCTGGTCCCGATGCTAGCTGCAAGACCGCGTGAGTGGCTGATGGGTTAGGGCGCCATGATCGCATTGGACGCTGATGGCGTGTTCAAACAAAATATGGTCAAAGTCTCGCTGCTCAGCTCAAGACCGTTGTCGACCAGTCTTCCAGCATCATCGGATTTGTCATCTGGAGTGTGAGTATCGTCGAGGCTTTTTGAGATGTCGTCCATACTATGCGTACTTATCTCTCCCAATGTCCTCAGGGTGGTGCCTTCGACTCGAGTTACGTTCTTTCGGCCATTCCGAACGGAAACACCGACAACGCCTTGGTAGCAGCCGCCGTCAACCCGTACTTGCCCGGAGGTGCTGGCGCTGCCCCTGCGCCCGCTCCTGCTCCCAGCTCGACCTCGACCAGGGCCTCGTCTTCTTCTGCCGTTGCCGTTCGACCTAGCTCGAGCTCTTCGTCGGCCAAGCCTACCACCACCTCCCAGGCCGCCACCTCCGCCAAACCCTCTACTACCAGCCAGGCTGTTACCTCGCCCAAGCCCACTACTACTAGCAAGGCCGCCTCCTCGGCCGCTCCCACCACCACCAGCAGGTCGACCCCTCCTGGTAAGGACTCATCCTAGAAAGCGCTTCCTAGATCGTGACGCTAATGAAGGTTCAAAATCAGCGGTGACCTCGAGCAAGCCTCCCACTAGTACCTCGACCAAGCCTGCTGGGACCCCCACTTCGGTGCCCGCTGGTGGAAACCTACAAAAGTACACTGGCGCTCTCGGTGGCATTGCCGCGCCTCCTGTCACTGGTGAGTCGGATTTGGCTCATAATGCTTATGCGCAATAGTTACTGATTCGAACCGTTCTCATTCCACTTTGCAGCCTCCGGCAACCAGTGGAAGGAGGGCACCAACACCTTCAACTTCCTCGCGGACGCGCTTAGGAGGAGCTGTGACGACCAGTCCAACCTCTGCGGATCGTATGCCAACTCGGCTGCCGGTCGTGCTGCTGGAGTTTCTGTTAACCAGTGTCAATCTCAGGCAAGTCCTAAGATCCGTTTCTCGACATCGGCGACTCGAGCTGACCTTTTTCGACTCTTAGCAGCAAACCGCTTGTTACCAGTCCATCTCGGCCTGAGGATGCGGTAAAATTTTCTAGATTTCTTTGACTCGGATGTTCTAGTTTCATTGGGCTCTCGAAGGGTCGAGATAGGTCTTCTCACACTCGTTAACGTGTTTCTCATTCATGCATTATATGACAATCCATTTGACATGGCCAATACGAAGATTTGGGTATCTCTCGAGCGATACTGAGTACAACAACGGAACTCCCTGGTGACTTACTATTCACACTCCACTTGCCGTACGCTACACCTCATTTTTCTTTCAGCTTGGAGATGCCCTCTACCCCATTCCAATACTCTTCTCCGACCCAACTTTCGACCTGGCTATAAGCCGGTAAGACCTCGGACCCCCCAGCTCCAGATCCTGCTCCTGCCCGTCGGACGTTGGATGTGATCTTGGGATGAAACAAGCCGAACGTATGAGATTGATTTCCGAAGAGGGAATCCGAGGGCAGAGAGATGTCCAGTTCGAGATCGTACTACGAAAAGGCGATGACCGACCGGCTCAGTCAATGACGATGCAATTACGGACAAAGGATATATGTCTGCGAAAACGATACGACGCACCTGCATCCTGATCCCAACGTTGGAGACATTCGGCAACGTCGTGCACCTCAACTCCCCCATCTCCACTCGCTTCCTGTCGCCCACCCAAACTCCTTCCCGATTCACTGAGAAATCGTTCCCCTTGATCGGCTCGGTGACGAACTGGCTGTCCTTGCCGACGACGATCTTGCAAGCCCTCAATAGCCGTAAAGTCGGATCAATCCGGGCTAGATCAATCGGGTTCGAGGTAGTCGGGTTCACGGCGGAAGACAGGTATTCGATGGTCAGGTGGTATGGTATAGAAATGCCTGATGGCCAGGAAGGGATATCTGGCGTCGAGATCTATCGACGTGTCACGTATCAAGAGATGTGATAAATCCCATCAACATCGCCACCGAGAGGCTCACCTGTACAACGAACCTTTCTCCGTCAACCTCGTCTTCGGCCCGCCCACCTTTCATAAACCCTTTCAACCCGTTGCCCTTCTTGAACGCCCACTCCTTTGTACCCCTCCCGATCCATCCAGACGGGACCTCCGGGATGACATCAGGCGGGGTCAAGAGCGTGCCAATCGCAGCCAAGCTTGGATGAGGGTTAGGGTCGATTGGAATGAGGAAGAATGGAAGGGATATCGACCTGACAACAGGAAAGGAGGATGTTAGTACATAACCCGCTGTACAGATGACGAGATGATTGTAGTACTCGCTTGGTGGAGCGTTTGAGGAAGCTCTTCCTGGTCACGCTAACGGTGACGTGGTACCGATCTGTGTAATGTACGCAGACCAAACAGCGATTGCATAAGAACTCAATGACACCGCTTGCCGCTTGATGGATGGTCGTTCCACTCACTAAAGCCAATGACTCCTCCTTCGAGATGTCTCCTACCTAAGTACAAAGACGGCGGCAACTCGCTCTTTCCCCATCCTTTCCCGAGTACGTCGACGAACTCGTCCTCCTCTTCCGGAACGACCACCTCGAAGCTGTATTGTCCATTTCCGCTACCGCCGGCTAGCTGCAGTTCTTGTGAGGTCCTGAAAAACGTCTTGTCGGTATGCAAGGTCGGGGCACGGCTGGGTTGGTTTATGGCGAGCGTGGCAGAAGCGATCCCGCCAAGAACGGTGAGACCGTCAGTCTTTCCCCCGCCAGAGATGGCCGAAGCGTACTGAATCGTCCACGGAAGAATCCGTGAGACTCGTCAATATCCATGGCGCTATAGGTAGATAGATTGATAGAGGCTCACCTGTATCCCGACGACTTCCACCCAGACCTTTTCCACCCCGCTCGGTTTGTCGATCGAACAAGTCCCCCGAATCGATTGACCAGGATGAACAATGACCTTGTTAACCTTGTTGCCATCCTTTGAACTTCCTACCAAGCTAGCTGATAACCCAGACGAGTCGAATACCATTATTGAATGCAAGGCGACTAGTCGCTGGATGCATATGATATATGATAGCTGATATAGACAACCACATACAATGCCTGATTAGATGATTAGATGATTAGATGACGCGTTTCGTGGTTCAGCGAGACCCGGCCGGTTCAGCCTCAGACAGATGGAATCACAGATTTTGATACAGATGAACAAATACGTAAAATACATGTAATACAAAGTCGAGATCATGAGACGTCGTCGAGGATATCAGGAGGCGCCGTCGAGAAGATCAGGAGACGTCGTCGAGGTCTCGCTCCGCTTCAGCCAGCTGTAGCCTCATAAGCGCCACCCGCTCCACCGCAAGCTTCTTCCGAGCGGATTCGTAGACCTGTCTCGCCGATTTGTAGACCTGTCTCGCCGATTTGTAGACCTGTCTCGCCGATACGTAGACCTGTCTCGCCGATTCGTAGACCTGCGTCGCGGCGACCGGTTTCACTCTCTTCTTCGGCCCGCCATGGGTCTTCAGCTCCATTTTGTTGCTGATGCCCCTTTTATGAGCGCCGAAATCATCGTCCTCAAGAGCCGGCTGAGGGGCGACGAGATAGGTGCTCGCAGAGGCCGGCTTGACAGGGAGAGAGGTCGTCACAATGGCAGGCTTGGCGGGGAGAGCAAAGGTTGGCACGGAGGGGAGGAGAGATGTTGTTACGGCGGAAGTCGCTAATCGAGATAGGTCCTAAGTCGTAAGGCGTAGGGTGCTTATAGGTGAATCGCAGGTAGTCGGGAGAATGTCGCAAGTCCGCTTAGATGAAGCGGGTTCGGGTGCGGGATACGAATCCAGAGATATATGGATAAGGAAGGTGATCACTCGGTGTGAGGTACCGGATTCGGTCTAAGGTAAAACGATGAAACGTAGATACTTAGCGACGTCCTTGAGTTTGTAACCTCTCCGCAACACGTCTTGAAGATGTTGTAACAAGTCAGATAGGCGTGTATTGAATGTGATATCGGAACTTGACCTCTAACTATTACAGAGCGTCCTCTATCGAATTCGGTCAAGTTCCTCTAGCTATTTATACGGAGACGAGTACGTAGACGGGCTGGCGAACACTGAAAAGACCCAGGAGAAAAGAATGGCGAGAGATGGCGAAACTGGAAGAACGAGATGGCGAACAGACGAATCCTGTCGAGAGCAGCCGGATTCGGTAGAGGAGGCGAGTTTGAGTTCTCATTTGTCCCTAGGTACGTCGAGTAAGGTTGTCGAGGTCCTGAGTAGAGTGTCGTGTACCTCGAGGTCCCTGTACCTGTTTGTGATATGTGTCGGGAAGGTTTGTTGTTTCGGTGAATGGTGAAGGCGAATGGTAGGGGCGACCGAATCTGCTCCGAGGGAATCGGATTCGCCTCGTCGAGCCGGACTTAGGTGTATGCTGATGTCCGTAGATCGAGCCTGTGTGTCGGTAGTCGACTCACGTGATGATCCCGTAACAGATGTCGAGGCGGCGACAAGGGAAGCAATCCAGACCATAACCCATTTCAGTACCCAAACACATGACCTATGATCAAATGAGAGGAAGATGGAGCAGAGGTGGTCTCGACCATCAGGCGTGACCTTGGCGTCGACCTCACTGTCGTCGGTAGTGGTCACATCGTAGCCGGCACGGGAGACCACCGGTACAAGGCTGCCATCGCTGTGTCGATTTCCAACCGCCACAGACTCCTCCGCTTCCGAGCCATGAGCAAGTTTTCCACTTACAAGTCCTCCTTAGAAGTTCGCCAGTGTTGGGTCCCGGCGGGTTATTATATCAACTTCTTCGTTAATGGGCCGAGCAAGGATATACTCCCTTTCCTGGTCGAATCCCGCAATTTCTCGCCTCCCGTGTCGATCTCGTGGGCTCCTGCGAGCTATTCGAACCCGTCGGCCCCACCGAGCGCAAAATACGAGAGCTGGGTGGTTACGTACCGGCTTGCCAGTCACACCAACGCTGAGGCGATTGCTACCAGGCTCAAGGTTGGTCTCACGTGTTATCGAGTTCCCCAGTCATAGACTTACGTTTCATCTTCAGGATGGAAGAGACGATACTTCTCGGGGCACGCTGATGCAGGCAACGCCTTTATCGAGGTGACACCCTCATCAACCTGCAACTTTCTGGTGGTCGGCGAGCAGACCACCCTCCTACCAGGTCAGCTGACGTCTTTACCGGCGGCGCCCCCGAGCACAGCCATGGGATTTGGTCGAATGGTGCTCTCGGGAGAGATCACCCAAGACCACAAACGGGGAACGAGCTCGAACACGGACAAGCAGACTCACGGTCTGCCCAACAAGTGGGTGAAGCCCAGGCGGGTCGATTCTCCATCTCCTTCTCCACCTCCTTCGCCGCCTCCTTCTCCACCTCGTTCACCACCTCGTTTGCCACCTCGTCTGCCACCTCGTTCGCCACCTCGTTCGCCATCTCCAGGCTCACCTCCAACCTCTTTGAGGTCACACCGAGCGGAAGGTGACGACGACGGTGCAGTTGCTGGAATGGTCGGGACGGTCGGGACGGAGACGGTCGGGACTGAGACGGTCGGGACGGAGACGGTCGGGACGCAGACGTTCGAGACGGTCGGGATGGCAAACCCCGTCGGATCCGACGTTGGTATCCGGGGCGAGGGCGCGGATGTCCCCTCCTCAAAGGTCGAGTACAAGGACTATCAAGCCTTACTCGAACAGACCAAGAAGATGTATGGGTGGTGGAAGAAGGCTGAAATCAAGCTGAAGGCGGAGCAGGAGAAGACGGGGGTGGTTGATAGGTCTGAGTATGAGGAGCTGACGGAATGGAGGATGGCTGCGGTGGACACCTTTTTGGAACAAGCGAAGCGTCTATAATTGTTTCCCATGTATTGTTTTTTTTTTTTCAGAGTCGTTCGATAACGATGAGTCCTATGCGTATACTAAGCCTAGTGTTGGCAGGCCGTTCTGAACTTGAGAGAACTCGTCACAAAGGCCGGATGTCGAGGCGGTGACGAGGGAAGCAATTCAGACCATATCTTATTTCCATACTGAACACATAACCATGCAGATCTTCCAACAGCACACCACCCACATTCAGTACGAGATCACCCCTGCTAACCAGGTCGTCAGTATCCATATCCAGGATGCCATGCTATTTATACTGGTCGATGCTGACTTTATGGATCTGTATGGTTCCGCCGTTTCGTGGTCAATCAGTCTTCGAGATCCGGGTAGCCCTTTCGCTCGTGCATGCCTTCGACGAATCGGCTTGACGGCGTCACTTCAGGTCAGCGGTCTGTCAGTTGTATTTAGATCCTGGCGGGCAGATCTGAATCTGACCATCTGCTTGAAGTAGGACAGATCTGTCGGCGAGGCCGAAGAGACCCGTACGTGATCTCGAGCCCTACTTTGTAGTGCTTGCCACGTCATGGATGACCTGAGCGTTTATTTGATAATCTCTCGAGGGATGTTCACGATTGTCGACATCGAGACTTCGAGCGATCAGCGACATTCTTCGACCTCGAGCTCGTCGTCATTCGACTATCTACAGACTGCAAAGTCATCATCGATTCCGCATAATCAACGCACACTCGAGCTAGTCATCGTGTTTGCGATATGAGCAAACGTGCGGCAGCGCCGACTTCGGCAGCACCTCCGTTGCCTCCCGGGCCGCAGCCGACGCCGGACCAGCAGGCTGTCATTAACGCAGCGTGGCAGACTTATTATGTGAGTCGCCTATCGAGGCCCACAGAGCATCCGGAACGGTTCACTGATAGTAAATCTCGTTTGGTATGGTAGGCACAGAATGGTGTAGCTCCAGCGACACCATCGACCGCGGGAGCCTCTCAACCCAACGCTGCTCAGTATGCGAATTACGGGTATGGGGCCGGGGCGCCTATCAGTAACATGGCAGCTACACCAGCGAGCGCTACGTTCCCACCATCAGCTGGTATGCAACAGGCGTATCCTGCTCAGTATATGGTCCCTCAACAACCGTACGCCGGCTCGCCAGCCGGGTATATGCCTCAACAACCTCCCCAAGTCATGCAATACCCTCATCATCCTGCCCCGATGTACGCACAACCTCAGCCCCAGATGATGCCCATGCAGCCGGTCATGGCTATGGGTCCTGGACAACCTCAAGGGATGATGATGCCCCAACAACCTCAACAGTGGGGTCAGCATCCGCAACAGCATCAGCCTCAGGGACCTCAACCGAGGCAAGGTGGTGGATTCCGACCGAGACCTGGACCTGGACCTGGCGGGCAAGGTCAACCCAGACCTGGGTTTGCGGGGCCGGGACCGATGAATCCCGGCGGTGGTTTGGGTATCGCTCAACCTATGGCTCAGGCTCAACAGCCTCCACCTGGACAACAACAACCACAACCTCAAGCGGGGACATCACAACCCGGTCCTCAACCCCAGACCTTCCGACCTACCCCTGGAGGAGGACATTCTTCCCTTCCACGAGCTCCTTCCGGGATCCCGACGAACCCTACTTTGAGGAACCGACCTGCTCACCCGTCGCTTCCACCCGGACCTGGACCTTCTGCTCATCATCAGCACCAACATCCGCAGCAACAAGGTCCTCCGGCCAAACGACCCCGAACGGACGGTCCTTCTTCTGCCTACTCGCCTACACCGTCTATGCGATCTGTTGGTCCTGGTTCCGGACCAGGAGGAGCCGGACCCTCGGGACCTAGGGATTTCGGAGGGAGGAGGGATCATGACGATCATCGGTACCGAGATCGAAGGGACTATGACCGGGATCGCGATCGAGATCGGGATCGTGATAGGGAGAGGGACAGAGACAGGGATAGAGACAGGGACAGGTTTGAGCGGAGGAGCGACTTCGGCGGGTCTCAGGATGGTGGATCTGGAGGTTATCGTTCGGGGTTCCCGATCGGTGGTGGCGGGCGTGGACGAGGCGGTCGGGGTGGCCTGATGCCAAGGGATAGGAGAGATGGTCCAGGTCCGAGTGGGAGTGGTGGCGGTTCGATAGCTGGGTCGTCGGATTCGAGATTCGCAGCCGGTGGTGCTGGTGCTGGTCGTGGAGGTCTGCGAGGTCGTGGTGTAGGAGGACCCGGTCGAGGAGGTGATCCGGTCGTCGGCTCGAGATTTGTTTCGGGTAACGGAGTCGCTGGAGCTCCGAAGGGTCCTAGCGGCCGAGGCACGGGGATCCGAGGTCGAGGTGGTAACCTCTCGACGCGTGCGGGCGCTCGGGTGGTGGGCACTCGGAATGTCCCCGTGGGTAATACTAGCATCAACAAACCCGGTTCGAACAAGGATGGCACGGGCAAGAACGTCGTAGTAGATACCGAGCGGGAAAAGGTAGCTAAAGAGGAGGCTCGGAAACGGACATTGACGGATTTCAGGATCGTCGGACTGGAGATCAAGTCGTTGGGATGGAAGTGGGGCGTTGTCAGACCCGATGCGGCCGAGGACGACGAGGACGAGGAAGAGGAGGCTGATGATGAGGCTGTTGTCGAGGGAGATCAGCAGGCGGAACAGAATGAGACTGATCAGCTTCGTAATGGGATTGCCGAGGAGGATGCTGTCGAGCGGGATGTCAAGGCCGAACCGACTGACCCATCGGACATTCAGGTCGAGGTCGAGGTGAAAGTCGAGCAAGTACCCTCCGAGGCTACACAGGCAGCGCCGGTAGAGGCACATGACAAAGAGGCCACAAACGAGGTTGAAGGAATATCTGCAGAGACTACCGACGCCGAGGTCGTCAAGGAAGAATCAGACGAGCCTCAAGAAATCAAGGACAAGGCGGACGTTTCCACCGTCGCAGCTGGTGTTGCAGGGTCGACCGTCGAGGGCAAACGTGGTGAAAAGAGAAAGGCCAAGATGAGCAGTCCAGATGCAGGTCTGTCACCCATTCCTCTTTCGTCTCTTTGCGCTGTTGCCCATCGAGACTTCCGCGTCGTGAATACGTTTTTTGACAAACCCTTTCGTTTTATTTGCTCTTCTACTTGTTCTTGCACCACAACATGACTCGCTCCGATTGCCTTTTATGATCGTTGGCTGCAAGCAGACGACGACGCGCTGATCATGTCCAAGAAACGCACTACCCACGGACCCATCATCCGCAAAGAGACCGTGGCGCCATCATCGTCTTCATCACCGGAAAAGAACCGGTTCAGGATCTACTTTGCTAGTCCTGTCGAAGACGCTGACGGTCCCAGTCTCAAGGCATTGCATGCGATGGAGACTGTCGACGAGGACAATGCTGAAGAGGAGCAGCGCGATGAGAGTGAGGAAGAGGCAGATGATGACGAGGAGGAGGAGGAGCACCAGGCGGAGGAGGAAGACGAAGAACATGATGGCGAAGGGGACGAGGAGGGTCAGGAAGAGTATTACGAGGCCGAAGGTCAAGACGGCGGTGAAGCCCAGGATGAAGAGCAAGACCGAGATCAAGCCGATGAACAGCAGAAGGCTGACGAGGTCGAGGCCAAGGCCGATTCCGCCGCCGAAAACCAGGCTGAGGGCGATATGAGCGGGGTCGTCGAAGAGGAAGAAGAAAACGAAGAGAACAAGCCGGCTGACGAGTCCGGCGTAGAACCCGGCGAGATCGCAGAAACACCGTTGGATGCAGAAGAGACGAAAGAGCAGGATGTTACGATGCGAGACCCTTCTGTACCTGTCCAGGTCGAGTCCGACTCTACTGCTGTGGTTAAGGACGACACGCCGGCTGAAAAGGCCGTCGAGTCTACCGAAGCTGTAAGCGCTTCACCTGCCGATCCACCAGCACCAGCACCAGCGCCCGCGGAGGCCGAGTCGTCGAAACCGACCGAGCCTGCTGCCGACACCCCTGCCGAATCCTCTTCCCGCGTACCTTCACCTACCAAGAAAGACCGTCAGAAACCACCTGTCGTCGCCCCCTTGGCGCCTCGGGAACCCTCGAGCCACCGAATCGCCGATGCCCGATTCCGCCGCAGTCCTTCCTTGCCCGCCACCTCGAGTGACACTCCTCGACCGGAATCCAACCGACTCTCCATCCTGTACGCCAACGGGAAACGCAGGATCTGTCTCGACTCCGCCATCGTGGAGAGCGTCAAGATCCACCGTAAAAAGGGGAGCATCCAGGTTACTCTAGACGCTGGGGCCGTGAAACGCAAGTGGGAGCAGGATAAACAGGTGGAGCAGATCGTCAAGCGAATCAAAGAGACCGAGGTCGCCGATGACGAGGTTGGCGAGAAGGAAAAGAAGGAGAAAGATGATGGGGAGATCGAGGTCGACGGTAAAAGTAAAGGCGACGAAAAGAAGGAGAAGGACGCGGTAACGAAAGAGGATGTCAAACCGGAAGAGTGGAGTCTGACCAAAGGTATCCTCGTAAGTCCGGATCCTAACCCCGTTCGCGCTTATTATCTGAACATTATGACTGACGACCTGGTGTAATTCAGGTCGAAGCGCTGGACGAGGAACACAACGTCTTTGGCCCAGTAAACGCCGAGACCTTGGCCAACATCTGGGCCTCGATGGACGTGTCGGCCGAGGAAGAAAAAAGTCCTCCTCTTCATCGATTGCTGGAAGAGCTTCAGTCCGGTACTCTCGGTGCCAGCAAGGATGGTGAGGCCAACGGAACCGACGATCAGACTGAGAACGAGGCTGGACCCGATGGAGAGAACCCCGATCAAAGCTCGCTCAAGCTCGAACTGACTGCCTACCTCGACATGGACCGACCGTTGACCGAGCCTAAGTGGGTCAAGAGCGGGCACGTCGAGGATTGGGTCAAGGGCGGTCATCCTCACCATCATCATCACCCGGCGGCGAAGGCTGGGAGAGGGTCTGATGAGCCCGATGATGCGAGTTGGAGGATGAAGTTGAAGGTCATCGATCCGGATATGGTGAGTGCAATGGCACATATTCGTCATGCTCTGGGGCATGATACAAGTCGCAAGTAGCTGATCACAATTCAATTCTGTCTCTCGCGCGCTTAGCCACCTACCCTCGGTAGCGTCCTCGAAAACTGGGCGTTGGTCTCCAAAGTCGGGACCCTCAAGGACCGCCGCCGATTCGCCAACGGCCACCTGACGAGCCTCAACAACATGGTCCAGATCCTCCTCCGCGCCGTTCGTGGAGAATCCACCCCTCCCCTCACCCGGACCGCTCGAGCGTCTCTGCACGGACCCTTGAAGAACGCCATTTCCCCCAAAGATTTCTACTATACCCGTCAATCTCACACCTCGTTGGCGGTCATGGCGATAGTCAACCTCGTCAAGGATTATTCCTTCGGGAGCAAGGAGGCTAGGAATGTCTTGGAGGACAAGATCGGGAACGTGATCAAGTCGATGCCGCATTCAATCATCTTTGCCTCGGTGGACGATCTGTATACAGACTGGGTCACGCAGGAGCCGAGAGGTGCGCCTGTAGGGCCCAGAGGGGCGTGAAGAGAGTAGACGGGTAGGTGTGGAATGATGGGTAAGTGAGCGAGTGTATGGGAGTGTTGTCGATTAGATCGTTATACGTATACCTGTGATTGTGATCGTGTTCTGGATATTACTACTGTACATGTGAATATACTCTCAATTATGCCGCCTTGCTCGATCTCGCTGCGCGCTCTACTTGCTTGAACCGAACCTTGATCTATACGATCTGTAGATTGCTGTGAGTTGAATGTTGGAATCAGATGGTATATGAGATATAGGAGGATGTGTGGGATAGGAGGAGGGAGGTCGCTTTTGCGCGACGCGACTGACTTCTGACGTGACGCGATCTTTGAGAGAGAGAGCAAGACGCGACGCTAAGGGGGGGGGCATGCTGAGCTAGCTTTCAACCTCTCTCGATCTATCTACAGTCACCGTGACTGATACTTTACCCCAACACTCTAGCATACATTATCACTCACAGCAGGACAGGAGATTAGTCAATCCATCTCTTGTATCCCGCAAAAGCGAACGGATCACTCAGATCGCGCTGTAATCTTGGTCCCAGGTCAGTCTTGCAGCTGCGATCGCGAAGTTAAACTTTAGCCAACTCACATCACACCTCGTAATACAACAGGCATCATCGAATTCTTGCTTCCTGTACAGCAAACAACATCTTGCATTGGACAGCCGGTCCTGTCTTTTCACATCTTGCCATATACCCCTGATCACCATCACCATCGAAATCGTCATCCATCGTCCCAACCCCCGCCTTTAGCCTCGCGTCGCCGATCACCTTGACGCGTAATTCGAGGCGATAACGACGACCTCGACCTTCAGGTCTGGATCATGTCGAACAATGACAGTGGGACCACCACGCTCACTCAGGTACTGGATCCGTTCCAAACCCCAATCAACGTGAAGTCGGGACTTCCCGAGGTCGAACCGGAAAGAACGAATGGACAGGAACGCGTTATAGGGGTCGCGACCGGCCCCTCTCGATCTGCTTCTCCTTTACGCTCGAAAGAAGTCTTAGGCGATCCGATCGCCCTGGAAACCCGACCGCCGGCTAGACGGCATCCTAAACCACTCTTGGCTACCTCTTCTTCTTCCTCGTCGTCATCGTTGGAAGGCTTCGCAAGGCCGAGCAAGAAGAGCAAGAACCCGTCAGACCTCTTCTTTTACCCTCAACCGAGCTTGTCGACGATCACTCCACGTCCCTCACCTCCTCCTCGGAAGCACAAGACCTCCAGAAGCAACGATGACGGGAACGATGAGGATGATGGCGAAGACGACCACGACCAGCTAGACTCGGACCCTCGGAACCTAGGCGACCTCGGCCTGGATATCAGGTCTACCCCTTGGGGTCCTGGAGCGTTGACAAGCGACACGGGTCACAGTCATGGTTCTCCTGCGGATACGGAACTCCGAACGCCAGGCTTGGACAGCTCGGCTTTTCCCGTTCGGAAGCTGGGCATTCGCAAGGGGTTCGGTCGGGGGCCTGGTCAGGAAGAGGATGAAGATGAGGATGAGGCTGAAGAGGGGGACAAGCGATCAGGGAAGGAAGGCTGGAAGATGATGCAATCCCGGGGTCTGGAAACGCCAGCTCCGGCTCCCTTGAACCGTCAACCGAAAGACCTGTCCAGCGTATTTCCTTTCGCTCTATCCACCCCTCAGAACCCATCAACCACTACGAGGAGGTCGGGCGAGGATGAGGTGGATAGGCCCTTGGAGACGCCTTTACAACCCCAATCCAAATCTCAAATGCAGGCGCTGTCGATGTCAGAACCTCCGAGAGAGAGGAAACGTCGGGGATCCGTCACCCTCGTTCTACCCCCTCTGACAGCCTTGTCGACCCCTATCACGGCAAAGAGGTCCGCCTCGACTTTCGACCCGACGTCCATGTCCATGTCCGCACGAGCTACACCCGAGGTCGGCTCTACGAGCGCGAGCATGAGCATGAGCACGGGAAAGAAACGCCGGAGGACTTCACCGGAAGAGTTGATGGTCCTCGAAGAGGCTTATGTGAGGAACCAGTTGCCGACGAGTGATGAGAGGGCTAGGTTGGCCGGTCAGACGGGGATGAGCACGAGAGCGGTCCAAATTTGGGTGAGTTTTGCTCAGAAAAGTTTGATCGCATATCGAATCGACATAGAATCGGTACTGAGTTGCGACTCGTCCCTTCTTCCTCACAGTTTCAGAACAAGCGACAGACGGAAAAGAGGAAAGCAAACCAGAAAGTCTTCCCTACCCTGATGCTCGTGCCCTTGCGGCACGGCTCAGCGTCGGAACCGTCCAGCGAGGCTCAAGCTCTGGTGGATGAGACGCCTCGACCTTTCTTGTTACCCCTCAGCGGTAAGCGGGCTGGCTCGGCCAAATCGCCTACAGGGCATGCGTATCAATATGTACCTGCTGGGGAGGGTCAGCCATCGGCCGTGAGCAAGGGCAAACGCCCGGTGTTGCCGGGCGATCAAGAGGAGGATACGTTCTTCACCAGCAAGTCCGCGACTAGAGCAGACCAGGCCGTCGAACGAGGGGACGAGGATGAGAGAGATCTCGGGGCCGATACCGAGGTTGACGAGTTGGATCAAGGGGATCACGAAGTCGATGAGCTGGAAGACGACGATGAAGGGATTGTTCGGGGCAGATCTAGGGAAGCGGTCCTGCCCACTTCCGACGTCCGTTCGAGCAGCCCAGCGTTGATTAGGTCGAGTTCGCCCGTCGTCCTCTTGAAGGAGAGGCAACAACTGAAACGACGAGGATCTTCCGCCGATGACAAGAAGGATGGCAAGAAGGAGCAAGACGCCGAAAGGGAAAAGTTAATGCTCTTCCCTTCGAGCAGCTCAATCGAGGTCGAGCTGTCCGAGGACGTTGTCGCACCTACGCCTACCCAGGGGAGCGCGAGATCAGACCGAGCGAGTCCGGCCACCGTATTGTCGACGCCAAAGAACCAAGAATCCTCGAGATCGACCGCGATCAAGAGGACCACATCGGAGAGGATGCCAGGGAGTCTCAAGCGGCAGATCATTGGTATCGCCGATATTTCTGCCGGGGACCAGACCGATGCCAGCCCCTTGGCACCGTTCAGTGGCCGAAAGTTTGTGGTCTCCCAATCGGTCCCTAGCTTCTCGGTTGGGGCAAGGAGGGACGGGTTGTTTGCGAAGCCCGTCAGCCCGTTGGGTAAGAGAAAGTTTTCTTCTCGGTTCAACGTTGGTTTCCCGATCCGGTCGGACTTGCCTACGCCTGGCAAGTCGTTCGGACGCAGTCAGAGTGGGATCTTGGACGAAATGTGTAGTCGCAAGGAACTACCATTCTTGCCCAGTTCGGCACGCAAAGAGGTTCCAGGAACGCCCTGTCGAGTGGCTTCGTCCGAGCCGGAAGATCACGTCAAGGTCGAATCCGAGATTATGCTTAGTCAAAGCAAGACGGCGATGGCTGGGGAGTCCTCGTTGCTGGACTTGTTGCCCTCGGATCCACCTTCAATGGGATTGATCGATTTCAACTCGGATGCCGAAGATGCGCCGTTCGAGGGCGACACCGATGTCGAAGAGACGCCCAAGAAAAAGATGAAAACGCAGGACGTAACGCACGGTTCCGGCCTCCGACAATTTGCTTCGCTCGACTACTTTGCTGGATCGCCTTCCAAGCGCAAAGGACTTTTGGGTGATGAATCGAGACGATTGAGCGGACTGGGTACTGCCCGACGTCGTCTCTTTGAGGCACACTTGCAACAGCAAGCTCAGCAGCGAGCTAGCGTCAAGGCAAAGAAACAAACGAATAGCAGCAAGAAGAAGAAGAAGACACCTGCCTCTAGTTTGAAACGCTCCGGATCGAGCAGTTCGGCTTCGATTGCCTTGGCTACGATAGCGGCTACGCCTACGCGCAAGCCTTTGGCGAGCTCCCATTCGATGCCAGACCTGGCGTTGGTCACGTCTGACAAGGTCAATATTACCCCTGATCGACGAGTGCGTGGGGCGACAAAAGACGGCAAAGCGGAACAACAGACGGACGAAGAGGCCGCGCGGTTGTTGCTGGGATTGTTTGGTGGCAGGTCGTGATAGTAGTGGATAGAGACGATATCTTGAAAATGGAACCGGTAGTCCATCGAGGACGTGCATAATGAATTTGAACGAAGCTGTAGAACATGATTGCATTGATGAGAGATGGCATTTGGCATACAAAGATTGAGTTGCAGTACTTGTGATTATCAGCTCGGGCTCGCCTTGTCTGATGTCAGCAGCAACGGCGGCAAAGACAAGAGATAAGCCCAGACGGAAGGAGGAACCTGGCACTGACGCGACTTGGGCAAAAAGATTGTACAATAGCCCGGAATCGAACCGAGTGCTAGCCGATGGCAACGGCTAATGTTACCACTACACCACTATTGTTGTGATGTGAAGCAAAAAATTGAAACAAACTAACAGATACCGATGTTCAACTTCGACGTCTCGACTGCGGTCACGACTCAGCTCATGACGACATCAAGTCAAGCGGCACGCGGCCATATATAGCGTCTCCCCTTGACTGTCACCTCTTCAATCCCCGCACATCTTCCGCCTCGACCGCCGTACGTTTGCCGGCCCCTCCAAAGCTGGGACAGGTCCTTCTCCGGACCGGACCAATCCCCAGATGGACGATAGAACAATCGATTGGCTTTGAAAGACATGAACCGTACTCTGCGTTGACATTAAAGGTTTCTAGCTATATACACTTTTGACTGATCGATTTGACAAACGTTCTCGACTTGGGCTTCCGATTCTCCAGCACGCTACTCGAGCAATTCTCGAGAGACAAGGCACATCACAACGGGACCCAGAGCCGCAGCGCAAGGGCTCTAGTAGGCCATGCCCATAAAGCTCTTGCCCTTGTCGGTAGGCTGGAAGTCCTCGCTCTTCCCGACGAGGTGGGCCGTCTTGGACTTCTCCTCGACGGTGGCCATGTTGGCCTTCTTGTTGTCCGGCAAGAGGTCGTTGATGCTGGTCGCGTAGCCGGGGTGGATGGCGTATTGCTACAAGCGCCGCGGCGTGGGAGAAACGTCAGCGCTTGGAGCGAGGCTGTTCGGAAGATGGAGCACTCACCTGAGCCAAGTACCCCTCGATGACGATATCATCGGCAAACTTGAGCAGACGAGCGGTGTTGCTGTGCAAGTTGTTCCTCTCGGTCTCGCTGAGACGGTTAAGGTAGAGCTCTCGAACCTGGGTGTACTCGCGCTCGGTACACTCGTCCCTCCAGTACGACTTTCGCGAGACGACATTGTTGGCGACTTGGTAAGGCGCCTCGACGGCATCCATACCAGCGAATCCGGGGGTAGACTTGGTCGAAGGGACGTTCTTGTGGTACGAGTTGGGGAAGTACATGGGCTTGCTGCCAGAGTCGGCCTGCATAGCGGAGCGAATAGAAGGTATCAGCCATGAACCGTAGATATCTGATGTAACTAGGCGCGGCAACTCACGTCGGTCCTCATGGTTCCCATGAAGTTGTCCGGCGAGACAAACTTGGCCATGAAGGGGCAGTTGACCGGGATCTGGTGGATGTTGGCACTTCCCAACCTGGTGTACTGAGCATCACGGTAGCTGCAAAGGTAATCGAGTGAACACCGTATCGCTTTCCGAATACCCGTCGCGCTCAACATGGACTCACAAGAACGCACGCCACTGCAACAAGGTGTCGGGCGAGAGCTCGATACCGGGAACCAAAGATCCAGGCGAAAAGGCAGCCTGCTCGACGTCCCTGTGGTAGTCTACAAAGAGGCCTCAACTATAAGCGCATATTCTCGACAATAGGTAGGTCGTTAAGACGTGGACCCACCCTCGGGGTTCCTGTTGAGGGTCAAGACGCCGACCTCTTGCATGGGGAATTGACCACGGGGCCAGATCTTGGCTGCAAGGTTAGCACACAGCGTCAGTCTCAAGGGGCTGGCATCTCCTACCACCCATCAACTTACTGATGTCAAAGGGGTCAAAGTCGACCTGGGTAGCCTCCTCGGGGGTCATGGTCTATATAAAGAACGATCAATCAACCTTGTATTCCCTGGAAGTATCTCATAGCCGCCGCTGGCGTGCGTCCCAAAACTCACCTGAACCTTCATGGTCCAGCTAACGTTCCCGCCCTTCTCGATGGTCTCGTACAGATCCCTCTTGGCGAAATCAGGGTCTTCACCGCAAGTGATGGTAGCTTCGTTCATGTTGAAGTTCTTGATGGGCTCGTTCAGAAGCCAGTGGTACTATTGAATTGCACACGAGCGAGAAGAGTCGTGTAAGCGACAACGATTCCAACAAGATGGGTTGTAAAGAATCAGGTCTCACCTTGATGAAGGTGCTCTTGCCCTCGGCGTTAACCCATCGGAACTAGAATACCGCGCCGGTTTCAACACCGCTCGTCAGCCATCATATTCTTCTTCCCAAGTTCGAGAAGTACTCACAGTGTGGGCTCCGTAAGCGTTAAAGTGGTGCGAGACAGGAGTGGCGTGGTCAGAGAACAACATCAAACCGGCGTGCTGAGACTCGGGGACCTGAGTATCGTGCCAAGGTGAAATGTAATAGATCGTCAGCGCTCGACCTTGAAACAAAGAAGGGGAGGAGAGATGTCCCAATTCGGACTCACGTTGGCGAGGAAATCGAACCACCCGTTGTAGTTGAGCAAGAACGACTTGGGTTCACGTTGCTGCGACCGGATATTGTCGGGACCCTGGAAAGGGTCTCGAACGAAGAAGACGGGGAAGTTCAGACCGACGAGGTCGTAATTCCCATCCTCGGTGTAGAACTTGGTAGCGTGTCCTCGAGGGTTTCGAGCGCTATCAGGGTATTCCCTTCCGTAAGTGACCGTGCTCAACCTGGTGAACGTCGGCGTCTTCTTGCCCACGCTCCCGAACAACTTGGCTTTGGTCAGATGCGTGACGTCTTTCGTGACGACGAACTCTCCGAAAGCGGCCCATCCGGCAGGGTGAACGATACGTTCCTGGATCTTGGAACGGTCGAAGGCTTGTTGCTTCTCGAGGAGGGCGGTATCGGCTTGGACGCTAGATCACGACAAGTTAATTTTATGCAAATTTAGCGATTGACTTATCATTGTATGTCATATTGAGGTAGTGAAGGGGGGCTTACGGAATTCCACCGACATTCAAGGGGTAACCCGAGTGGTGCAACCTGTAATACCATACAACATGGATCAGACGTCAGCGGGAGGTCAATTTGGCGCCCAATGAAGGTAAAAAGATGGGCTTACGGCTGTCCAAAGTTGGTGGTGTAGCTGGAAGATCAGAATCGGGAGGTGTGTGAGAAAGAGGAAAGGCGAGGCGAAAGGATAAAGAAGAGGAGAAGGAGAGCAAAAAAGATTACCACGTAAGCCGACCGTTATCAAATTTCCAACATCCCATCGGAAGTGAAAGTAAAGGGCTCATCCGACTCACAGTGGGGAGTCGTCGAAAGCGTGCTGACTCTGCACGATCCCGGTCAACCTAGCGGCAGTCTCGGCAGGTCCGTCGTTGAGCCCCTGGAAAGCCTGAGCTCGCTGGGCCATCCTGGGGTCGACGCCGGGGACGTGTTTGAGGGTGTCGGCGATGAATTGAGCCATGTTGTGTATGTGAGAGTAATTTCAAGGTAAGTCTGAGTTGTAAAGTCGGACTTTGAGGGAAAAGGAGAATGATTGGGGAAGGAGGCGATGGATCGATGGAGGGAAGGGGTCTTCTTTATATATATACGGTGAGCGTGATTCGATCTCGCCTGTGCCAATGAGGATCGAGACGTTTCGTCATCCGGCTACCACCAGCCAGCAGCAAGAGCAGCAACGCTGGGCGCTGGGCGATCGTGGACGTTGTGAACGGCGAAAACGTGCTCACCCATTCCTGTGTTTTCGTCAGCAACATTCCCCTCCCTCCCTCCCCTGGGCGACGCCACCGGGAATCCACCTCCACACCGACCACTTCTCGTCATCAAGGTCTGTCACCCCCCAAGTCCCTCTCGCCTCCTGCCTTGCAGGGTCTGAATGAGCTGGAATCGCACCCCCTCCGCGCTAAAATAGAGTTCTTTGCATGACGTGATGCCACAACAAACCACGTGGTAACTCCGGTTATCGTCATTTTGCATCCTTTGGAAAGTCAGCTTGTCCGAGGGGTGACCCGTTGTGAAACGCGTTTCGAAAGGGAAGTGGTACGCTCCGCTCTTTCGCCTGATACGACGTCACCGATGACGACCTCCGCTGGATCTCAAGCGCTTCCTGTGAGGGTTCATTATTGAGCACAATCGCTACAGCGCCATAGCCTGTATGCAAATCAGACGCTGGCTTGATCGTCGTCTGATGACCAAAGATCCCTCTCAACAAGTCATCTGGGTGTCGACTCGACCCAACTTGACTTGGGACGGGGACCGATTTTTGCCAAGCGCCGCTCCGTTCATGGGCCGGCGCCTACTTCGAGATCCTGCACGCCTACGCCCACGCCCAAGCTCGGCCCGGACTGGAGATGGTTTTGGGCGACTACCAATTTCCCCATGTTCACTTCGACGTCTCTATGTGGGGTCCTTATTTGCCTACGCTTGGACGGCTGGATCACTCGAAACCTCATACGAGCAGATTCGGTGACGGTAGATTGGCTCCTGAAGCTAGCCTGCTAGTCTGGGATGCCCGCCGATCCAATCTCAGCGGCACAGTGTGGTTCATCAACCGGGGCAAAAACAAGAGTACGGGTGATCCTTGGACCGTCATTCAACGAGAGATCAAGAAGGATCGGGGACAGCCTATTCCATCCTACGAACAGATGTTGATAGCGACTGAATTATTGGAACGTGTGATGAAGCCTCGGGTTGAAGTCGACTTGATAAGCAGACATATCTTAGTGGATTTTGAGGGCCTTTGATCTGACGTCATGTCCCATCAATTTGCAAGTGATGCCATAGCCAGACATTCTTACGTTTTCGATCGCCATCTTTTTCCTGATACCACAGGTGTCATTCTAAGAATGGATGTCAGTAATCCGAGTTTGGTGCAGTTAACCAGGAACTGCGGTCGGGCAGCTACAAACATTATCGGTATGTCGCCGGCTCCCGAGCGCAATGTCCCACCGAGGAAGATGGGGTCGTTCGTATGCTCTCTTCCTTGAAGATGGTCTCGACTGCATCGCTGTGAAAGATATCTGTGGGCTCAGAGATATCACAGTGGCATCCAAGACTTACGAGGAGAATGGGCAGGTCGAAAAGGAGATTCCCTTCGTCGTTAGTAGGGATGTAATTCGATCCGCCAAACCTTGATCACGTCTTTGTAGCGAATCAGGGCTTCAAGATGGAGTGGCATGTACACACCTCAATGATCGGTCATATCCGTTGGACTGATGAGCGATGACCAGGAGGGCAAATTGCCATTCAGCTTGCCGCCAGTCGCCGTTCATGGAAGATGAGGCTCATCTTGTTCATCCAAGTGACAACAGTCTGCAAGACAAGACGAATAGTCAGAAGACATGAGCACTGGAACAGAAATGCAGTTCTGGGGAGACATACATCAGAGACCATGTACTATCTCTCGACGTCTTCGTTGGGGGCGGTATCTAGTAAAAAGATCCTCTTGGAACGTATTAACAATGATGATGGTGATCGAGTGGCCGGGATGTTGAAATGGACGCCAATGAATGAGCAGTCCTTCAAGTATTGTAATTTCCTATAGATGTTCCGAAAACAAACGGCCGTAACACCATCCACAGGTCCATCGTCCTGACTCTGGGTCTCGGCTTCCGCGTCTGGGATGATCTTTGATTTCGTCGTTTCTCGTTACAACGTTTTATTGATACACAACTCCTTCTTCAACCAAACTGAGACAACGGCGGTGTTCCATCAGACCCGGACAGAGTACACCGAGCTTTTTCCGCTCCGTACGCCGGCGTCGATACCTCACTTCCTCTCTTGGCCGTATAGAACCCGGAATCATTCTTCGCCCTTGACGATCTCGCTCTCCTCCCTCGATGCGTAGCCCGTCCAGCTCTATTTACGAAGAGTAATCATGCTATCAGCTCTCGTACTACTACGACGATCCTGAATTGTACCCTGCTTCGAAAGATGCCGCATGCTTCAAACGCACCTCGTCATAAATCCCCACCCTCATCCCTTCATCCCTCTCCTCAGCGCTCGCCAAGACCCTCATCCCCCAAACGCCTACACAGGCCGTCATTCCACTTCCGCAAGACCAAACAACCCCCTTCTTTCCCCTCTTGATGTTTTCCCACCGGACTTGCGCGTCTTTAGGTGTCTCCCCGGGAAAGGTCAGGGAGGAGATGATTGTCTCCCGTAAAGAGGAGGGAGGGAGGTAAGATGTATACGGACGATCAGGGTTTGAAGGGGTCAGGAGGACGTTGAATGGGAGGGATAGAGAGTTGGGGATATGGCCGGAAGAGAGGTTCGGGCGCGGTTCGGGGGCCGAGCCGGTCCATCTGCAATCCATTCGTGTAAAAATAGTTTAGCAGAATGGACTTCGTCCCGACAGCGAGCGTTTGTGGGAGGAAGGAGGAGTTGTCAACGGGTCCGTGTGCTTACCTTTCGCGACTGCGAGCGTCGAGGACTAAATCGGCCTCCGAGCTCTTTCCGTCCACCTTCGAATTCTTAACCACGTCCTCGTAGCCTGAAGTGTACGAAATCTCAGCCCCCATCAGCTATCCTGAATCCCACGAATACGATCAAGTCATGGTAGATTGAGCATAGCAAGGACTTACTGGTAACCCGGGATGATTGGAAAGAAGGGACCGGGTAATCACTTTCCTACACCCCCGTAGTCCGCAAATGACAAGTCGGAATTAACAAGGTGAAATCGTTTTAGCCTTCCCATGTTATTGTACCGAATCTTGACACGAGCCAATCCGAAAAGACAGACATATATGTATATGTACTCGACTTACCTGGATATCCCCGTTCATCAGAACTTCTCCCTTCTCCGATGCTGGGGAAGAAGAGAGGTCTTCACTGTCCACCTCGAACCCTTCGTGAATCCACCTCGGGAGGCCACCGTCGAGGATGGAGACCTTTTCGTGGCCCATCGACTGGTGAGACGGAGCGAAGGACAGGCAGTGCAGGTCGAGCGGGTTCGGATGGAAGTGGAAGTGGAAGCGAGAACGAAGATGAGGTCGAATAAGCAGGAGAAAGCCGGAGGGAAAGGGCATGTTAGCTACGGTGACATTCTGCTCTTATCGGCTCGAAGCGCACGGCGGAGTTGACTACCGCGAGACAAGACCCACATCGAACGTAAAAGCCGCCCTTGGCGCACTGAACACTCCAACACTATCATAAACCACCACATGATCCTCTCGCTTGATCCCCCTCTTCCTACATGCCGCAGAGAATGTCTCAGGGGAAGGCATCATATGCCCCAATCCTAGCGGGTTTAATTCCGAGTCGGTCTTGGGCACAGAGATTGCATCGACGTCCCACCGGATCGCTTGGGGAATACGAGGACCGGTGAGGAATTCCGTGTTGGGGTTTCGGGGCGAGTTGGGCATGTGCCATGATGCGTCGAGGATCTTGGTGCTGCCCTAGATCACGGGTTTGTCCGGTACATCGGTAGATTTCGGGTACACCGTAGAATACGGTCGACATGCGGTCATCGAGCAATCGAAGGCGAGTCGAAGAGATTCACAGAGATTAGTTTCCGTCTTCGATGATTCGATAAGCAACGGCTGGAAGGGAAATATTTCCAGACCCACCTTGGGCAACGCCGCCAGCTGTTTAGGCGTGATGAGAAGTGGAACGCGGGACATGCTTGACGTAGCGAACGATCGAGATTGGTGAACAATGGCTGGTGAAGCGGATCTAAGAGGATTGATGAGCATTTTCAGAATCGTTGATATGTTCTGTGAATCTTGTGAAATCTGTGAGTAGGATAGGATTGTGTCGAGCTCGAGGTCGTGTTTAGGTTATCGGCTCTGAGCGATGACGAGGCATGAGACGAACGGACATGAAATTGTTTTCAAGAGGGCGACATCACAGTCTGATGTCCGCCAGCCTGAGCCGATGTCACTCACCCACCACCTCGCTTCGATCATCTTGAGACCTTGACCAATATGTCATCGACCTGTCGACTGAGATGCCAGATCACAACGGAAACCCCACACACCCATACACACATCATAATGAGCTACTTAACCACAATCACACCCACTTCCACGGCCATGGCCTCGGCCTCGTCGTCATCCTCGACGCCCGCCGCATCGGCTCAGCGAACGGCCCCTATCGATCCCTGCAGACTATTCATCGGCAACCTCTCCCCCACGGTCGACGAGTGAGTCCGGGACATCTAAACAAAGTTATATTGCCCTCCGCTAACACTTGGCCGGCCCACCCCGTCTCGACTCGACTACGGCAAGATACACCCTCATCCAGGTATTCAGCAAGTGCGGCAAGGTCGCCAAGATGGACTACCTGTTTCACAAGACGGGGCCGTTGAAGGGGAAACCTAGGGGGTATGCTTTCGTAGAGTATACCAACAAGGAGGTGAGTCCAGTGTGTGGGTCTAGGTTCTTGGTTCGATAAGCGGGTCGAGTGAGGATCTGGGTCAATCAATCCAAGCTGACCAAATCTTGTCTCTGCTTCCCCTTCTTTCCTCTTATTGCCATGATTATTTTCCGCATCCTCTCTTCTTAACTTGAGAACGGTATCGTAGGACGCACAAAAAGCCTTGACGAAACTGCACACGAGGCTCCTCCGGGGAAGGAACTTGGTCGTTACCCAAGCATCTGCCGTAAGTCTCTCAAACGCCTGCTTCGAGTTCTACGTCGAACGAGACGTAATCAAAGGCGCTGACGATCCAAATTCTTATGTATATAAATCCGAATATGGATATAATTACGAACATGAGCAGTCCCCGGTGTACGACCAATCTAAACCTTACCGCCGCCCTGGGGACAATGCGAATAGGAGCACGACGTTGAGCTTGTTGAAGAAACAGGGGAGACCGCAGTCGTACGTACAAATCACCTTGTCTTCGTTCTGTTATACGTGGAGAGAGTGACTCGGGAGCTGATCTCTTCCACATCTCTTTACCTGCTTTGACTCTGTTGTCTCTTGCTTTCTCTCTCGATAATCATGATGATCTTTGCTCCCTCGGTCAAACGCACAACACCTCATATCACATTAAATCCTATGCTACTGTCTATCACGTTGGCATCCATTTGGGCGGAACCGACGCATACGCAGGACAAACGCCCAGATCGCAGCGCTCGAAGCCAAGATCGCCTCGATGCAAAACTCGCCCTTGTCCGCCCCCGCATCTGCTCCTGGGTCCGCCTCGGGATCCCCTGGTCCGGGTTCAAGTCAGGGGGAGGGAATGGAGCTGGACAACACGGGGCAAGGAGGGGAAGGGTGGAAGAGCTTGTTGGATGGGACCGAGCTCGAACAGGATTACATCCCGGTCGGAGAAGACGGTGAAGGTGTCGAAGGTGTAGGAGCGAGAGTCGGTATGGATGAGGACAGGAGCGGGACCCGGAATATCATCAAGGACACGGGTAAAGGAAAAGCCAGAGAGATCAACATCGATAACGACACCAGCAAGGGAAAAGGAAAAGTGCCGGAAAAGCTACACCCGTCTTTACCTGCCAAACCGGCCGCGCCCGTCGGACAGCAGCAAGGATCGGGTCAGGGGCACGGTCCGCGGTCAGGTTCGGGTTTCGGGCAGGGTCAAGGGTTTGGGATGAGCCAAGGACGAGGCCAGGGGCAGGGGCATATCGTTGGGGGAGGTAGTGGTGGGAGAAGAGGGAGGTCGTGAGCCTTGCGGGAATGTGGGCAGAATGCTGCATATCAATGGTCAGGGGTTCGGGTTGTATTGGTATTCCACTTGACGGGAGCGTCGATCTTCATTCTTGACATATTAATCCAATACTTGATGACCGGACTTGTTTTGCGCCAAGAACGAGGTCCAAGGGTCCTCGTCACACGACCCCCCTATCTCTCTCTTGTTTCGGAAGCAATTGCGAGCGATCTGCGACGCGAGGGGAGTTTGTTTGTTTGGGTTATCGGGGAGAGGGTCTCACGTCCAAAATACGACAAGCTCATTCAACTGCTGCAGTTCACATCCACCTAGACTAACTCACAACCAGCTATCAACTACCAGAGTAGCTAGTAGCTAGTACTCGAATGCTGCCCGACATGCCTGACTCGTCCTCGGAGAGCCGGCCCCTCATCTCCCCCTCGGCCCAGTCACAGCCCCGACCGCTCACCACCACCACCGTCGATAAGCGTAAACAAGATAAGAGCGTCATCAAGAGCAGTCTCGACATTGTCTTTTCCTGTGAGTAGCACGGGCTGGACTAGTATACATCTTCAAAAGAAACATCGAGCTGATCATTTAACCCCTAACCCGTTCATTTCACCACGTCGAACGCCTCAGACTCACGCTCCCAACAGCTCTTCTTCGGCTCGCACCTCCCCTCGGCCCCGTCTTTCGTCGCCTCGTCGACCGGGGACGGCGACACCTCTCATGGTGACTCGCACTACTATTTCAACCCCCACATCGATCCTGGTAGTGCACGCAAAAGACGAACCCGCGCCCAAGCTGAACGTCGTCGACGAAGACGCGCTGTAGAGGGCGGGGAAGACGTAGAAGCCGGTGGTGAAGAGTACAACGACGATGACGAGGAAGAGGATGATTTCGGTTCGACGGTGGATGATGGAGATATCGCCGAGGAAGATGAGAGTGTGATAGATACGCCCGACCAAGAGTACAGGGAAGACCAGACTTTCGAACGTCAACGCGGTCGACGGGATAGCAAGGATCCCCGTGACCCCTCGGGTAAACAGAGACGACGGTTCCAACCTCGCCTGCTCGATCGGGATTCGAACGACCATGACATTTTCGCCGCCGATCATTCGCCCTCCCCGTCCAGACCTACCTCTCCTCATCGAACTTCGGCCGGACTAGAACCTGGGCAAGGATACGGTACCGTCGATGCCACCCCAGGCAAGGGAAAGAACACCGTCAAGCAAGCGATGCGACGGTGGGATTCTGAACGGACGATCACTAGCGGGAACGCTTTTGACCAGTCCACCAAAGATTACAGAGGTTGGACCGGTCCCGTGCCTGCCGAATCGGACGAGATCAAGGAGAGCGAAGTCAGCTTGAACGAGGAGAGCGAGACCGAAGAAGACCTCCCTCGGGCCGACGTTCAGCCTCTGAGAAAGGCGTCGGCGATATCCCTACGACTCCCTACCGAATTTTCAAGAGGAATCCCAGGAAGAGGTCTCACCCCACTTTCACCCGGCTCGAACGCACAAGAACCGACCAGCTCCACCCCGCTAGCGAAACCTGGTCGAGCGAGCAACTTGTCGGCCCTCTCTACGCCTGTGAGGAGGGACGCTCGACAAGGCAGTTTCGCCTCTTACAACCGGGGTATAAGGAGGGGGAGCATGACGTTGGCTCTGAGCCCGGGCGCTCAGGAACAAGCGGTCTTGCAAGCGAGAAAGATGAGCGTGGGCGTAAAGGATATCAAGGGCAGACAGGTCGAAGTCGGAAGGAGCACCAGCGGGCAGACCGTATGTGGACCAAACGTCGCCGTTGATCGTGAGGCTTGTTGCTGAATCTATACGACGTATTGCTTGCAGATGTTCAACGCTATCGCCGTCCTGGTCGGGATCGGTGTCCTCTCTGAGCCTTTGGCATTTGCCTACGCAGGTTGGATCGGCGGGACGGCGCTTTTGATCTTTTTCGGTTTCGTAACAAATTACACGTGAGCGATGCCAAGGGTCTTGTCACAGTGCGATATATGCTGAGCAACTTTTCCCGTACCATTTGGCGGTCCAGGGCAAAACTCTTGGCTGCGATCATCATGTCCGATCCCGATTGTCAGGGTTATAGTGATCTGGGAATCAAGGCTTTCGGCTGGAAAGCTAGGCTCTGGGTCGATGTACTGTGAGTCTGGACCTAGCGAAGAGCTTTACTCCGAGGCATGATCTCATATTACGGACATCCGCTCCGGTACAGATTCTGCTGCGAACTCTTCGCCCTGGCCATCGCTTGGATTGTCTTGCTTGGAGACTCGCTCGAGGCTCTCTTGGGTCACTTTTCCTCGGATGGATGGAAGATCGTCGGGTTCTTCATAGTTGCCCCTACAACGCTCCTGCCACTCCACCTCCTCTCCATCCCATCTCTCATCTCCCTCTTCTCCTCGCTCCTCTTGATCGTCATCTTGCTCATCGACGGCTTCAGCAAGAATGCCGCCCCGGGAAGCATCCTCCACCCGGTTCATACCAATTTGGGACCGCAGATGGAGAATTACAACTTTTTGGGAGGTCTGGGTCTGCTCATCGCGGGATTCGGCGGACATGCCATCATCCCCAGTTTGGCTATCGACATGAAGTCTCCGGAAAAGTTTGACCGTGTCGTCAACTGGGCCTTTGTAAGCAGCGGCTGACCCGTCTCATGACGCCCATTCCAGTACTGACACCCCCTATAACCCCACTCGCTTAGGGCATCGCCTCGATCATCTTCGCCATCAGCGGGACGGCCGGCTACCTCATGTTCGGGGATAGCGTCTCCGATGCCATCATGAAGGACCTATTGTTGCCGCAGTACGGGTTCTCTATCCCCCTCAACCAGGTCGCCACCTGGATGATCGTGAGTTGAAGCCGGGTCGCCGGGAACGGCTGTTCCGAGATTGACCTTCACCCCACGATAGGTCATCAATCCGATTGCCAAATTTGCGCTGTGTTGCCGACCTGTAAGTTGTGGTACCCTTTCGAATTCAGCGTGCGGGAGTCCAATGTTCCACGTCTTTTCGCAGCTCAACCTGACCGTCGAGACGCTCTTGGGCATCAACTCGGTTCCGCCTCCACCTCACGATCACAAGGGCAAGACTGGCCTCATCACCGAGCAGGACCCTATGGAGAGCGCATATACAATCACGACCGGTGCTTTCCCCGTCCAGCCCACCGATGATGACGCGCCTAGCGACTATGTCAAGTCGGAGAAGCGCAAGACGTTCATGCGGGTCGTCGCTCGAGGCGGAGTGACGGCCGCTTGCGTAGTGGTCGCCATCATGCTACCAGAGTTTGGCAGGCTGATGGCGTTCTTGGGAAGTTTCACGACGTTCTGCATTTGCGTTCTCTTGCCCGTAAGTCGAAGCCGGATCGCGCAGACTGCACCGTAACACACGTCTGATATAATGATGCTCTCGGTAGATCGCTTTCTATACCGCCATCGTTCCCAAGGAAGAACGTGGTGGTCTCAGAGACTCGATCCATCTTGTCATATTCATCATCTCGTTGGCAATGTGTATAGCAGGAACGGGTTGGGCGTTCGTGACGGGTAACACCGCCTAGACGAGCTCGGTGTATATACCCTGTCTGCTTAACTTGGGGTTGGAGGAAGGAGGTCGTCCATCTAATTACATACCAGGATATCAGGATTCTGTAGCTCTGTAGATCTGTAGACGTGTACCATTCATCGCATGCATGCTCCACTATAGCCACTATCAAACGTCATATTTCCCTTTTTGACCCGAGACTCGTCGCTCGATCGCTCGATCGCTGCTCGACGTCCACCCTCAAGGTTCGGGGAGCATCGAGCTTGTTGTTGTGGAAAGAGACATGTACGAATCGTGAGAGCAAGACAGAACATCGGCTAGACAACTCCAGCCACCCGGGCATTTAACAAGATGTCTTCGAGATACGCTGAAGACGACCGCCGCTATAGAGATCGTGACGGCGATCGGGAACGCAGCGGAAGAGATCGAGATGACGATAGACGATCAAGCGGAGTAGACAGAAGACGGGACGATGACAGATACTCGGATCGCCGCGATGACAAGGAGAGGGATCGAAGAGGTGACAAGGACGAGAGGAAGGATAGGGACCATCGATCTGGTGACAGGTATGTCTGGAGGCAGGTGTGAAGCGCGGATACCATGGACTGACATTGCATTGGTTCTTAGAGATCGCTCACCTCGACCTCGTCATCGTTCCCGATCGAGATCGCCAGAGGATAGGGACCGTCGTTCGCATGACAGGAGACGGCGTCACAAGTCTAGAGACTCCAGGTCGGACGAATCCAGCTCGTCCTCGGGCTCAGACTCGGAAGATTCGTATGATCGGGAACGAAGGAGACGCAAGGAGAAGAAGCGCGACAAGAGGGATAGTCGGGACAAGGAGAGTCGGGAGGAGAGAAAGGCCAGGAAAGAAAAGAAGCGGAAAGAGAAGAAGGAGAAGAAGGTACGTACAATATCATTGAAGGTTGTGTTGGCGGTGGGGCGAGTCTGACCACGTTCCCGCTCTTCACCTTGCAGAAAGCCAAAAAGCACAAGTCCCTCGCCGTGACCTCGCAATGGGGGACTTACGGGATCATCTCCGAGGCCGAGTGAGCTACGAGAACAGTTCACTCATTCCCCCTTGTGATGACGTGCTGATGTTCCAACTCGTGCTGACAGTCGAGCCAACAAGGACCCCGAGTTCCGTGCATGGCTTGTTGAGGAGAGAACCGTCAACCCAGAGACCCTGCCTAGGGACAAAGAGAAGAAGGAGTTTCTCAGGTTCATCGAGGATTTCAATACGGGTGAGCCTGTCTGGAATTGGAGTCGGTATGAAAATGGACACTGACGAAGGCTGTTCGGGTTGGTAGCAACGCTGCCATCTGAGAAGGTGAATAGACGACATCGTTCTCAGTCCCATCGGATTTCCCGTCCGCTTTGCGAAGCGAATCTGAAACTGACATTTTGCATTTCGGGTAATCCAGTACTACGATATGGCAAAGTATGAGATCAAGATGAAGATGTTGCGAACGGGAGAGGTGACCAGTCTGAATGACGATGCTGGGTATGATCCGATGAAGGATCTGATGTCGCATAATAGTAGCCTTAAGGTACGTGCAGGAAGTGAAGTACAATCTGGTCTGGCTAAGGAGGTGCTAACTATGGTTATTGATCCGGACCGGACAGCGCAAGCCCGCAGAGACGGACACTTACCTGAACAAGGCAGAGCTGGAGGAACTACGAAACGTTCAAAGGGAGAGGTCGGAGATGGCTCAGCGCAAGCTGTTGGGCATGGACATCTCGAAGAACCTAGGCGTCAGGCAAGAAGCGGCCGACAGGTTGTTCAGGTGATTGTACCGACGATCTCGGCCAGGTCGATAACGCATAACACCGAAATCCCGATCACGTCAGCGGGTTTATGCATTTTCAAAGGGCGTCTTGACGGAATGTACACAGCAACTGTCAGCAGCTGCTCTCCCTGGTCCTACACCCCTCGCAATGCTATGGCATCGCTGGTGATGGCGAGGCGCGCGCCAGGAAGGAGGAGGCGACGAAGTCCGTCGCGTCGCGCGCCTCGCGACTCGCAGTGCTGCAGTCCAGGCAGTCCAGGCCAGTCCAGACCGGTATAAATTTGAGCTCGTAGCCCCTCGTTCTCTACATCCCTCTCCTCTACTCTTTCTCTCTTCATCCTCATCAGGTCAGTCCTTGCACTCATAATCCCGAAGCTCGTTCGTATCTGCGACACCTTTGAAGTCACTTTCGCTCGAAGCATTCAACGACAGCGCCATTCCTCATCTCGCCGTCAATCCAGACCATAACCTAATAACATACCCCGATCACGTCAACATGCAGACCTTCCAGCAGTACCCTCCTCAGCAAGTCAAGGCCATGACCGTTGCTGAGCTTATCACGCCTGGCCAGGTTCGGCGTCCCGTCAGCGCCCCCGCTTCGCTCAACTCGAGCGCCTACCAAGGTTTCAGGGCGTCGGATCACCCTATGCTGACCGGCTACTTCGTCGCTCATCGTCCTGCGGTTCTAAACCCTCCCAGCCATACCATCAACGTTACGGGCTGTACTCACCTCTACAAATGCCAGATGTATGGCTTGGACCTCATCCCGACCCAATTCAGGATCGACGGGTCGCGCGCTCTAGACCGTTTGACCGAAATGATCATGGTGAGTTATTTCTATGCGTATACACCTTACCACACACAAGCTAACATAGTATCACGTTCAACAGGGACAGGACGAGACTATGCGAGAACATGTCGACAGGTTTTGTACCATCTTCCACACGCACCTTGAGGCGCTGGCCCGTATCCCGGTCCACATCATGGCGCACTTCTTTTTCCGGTCGTTGACCACTTACCACGACAACCTCCGTCAAGCCGGAGAGTACTATCTAACCGTTATCGACCCGGAAGGTGGCATGGGCAGGCTCTTCGCCCATCTCTACGACGTCGAAGACAGCCTCAAAGTGCTTAACGGTATCAACAACATCGAAAGGGTCCAGGGTCCCATCGACGGCAGGTCTGGGTACGACGCCCGACGAGGCATCACCGATCCCGCTAGTTACAGGCAGATCTCTGGTTCGATCTCTCACCCTTCCTCGCCCGAGAGCGACGTACGAACCAGGATCTCGGCTTGGAACTCTCCCAACGCTCGACAAGAAGTCGGCCCTTACGGCTCGAGGCGTCTGAGCGACATCTCGATGGAGTTTTCGTTGAACCAACCCGTCGCTTACTACACTCACCCTTACGAATGCGACATCAAGTTGCCTCCCATCGTCAGCCCCGAGGTTGAGGAGGAGCTCAGCCCCGTCGAAATGGACGCTGCTGCGATCATGATGCAGCTCAGCAGGAAGTAACGTCATCATGTTACCGCCCTTCAGGAATCAGGCTGGCAACGCCAACCGCGCCTAGGCGCACCCAGGATCATCGCTTGCAGGAAACACTTACACACTCGCTAATACTTCAGGAACATTGTTAACTTCGCTCGTCTTCATTAGTTAGGCATCGTTCTCCGCATGTATCGCAAAAATAATCTCGACCCTAGTCTGAATCGATTGCAATGTCATTGACCCGTGAACGTAGAATGTCGATCAACCATTCCTTCGCGCCTGGCGGCATCATGAGAGAATGGTCACGTGATGTGCGCGGACACGTCCGAAACGAGTCAGTGGACTTTCGTGCATACAGTATCCAGGTGGTGCGATGATAACCAGGATACTCTGTGTTTCTTTAACTTCTTGCTTCTTGCCTCTTACAGATCATAGGTCATCATAATAGCTTCTGCTCTATACCTCTGTACCCGATTATTCCGCCTGCCAATATGGACACGCTGCTCATCTTCCGCGAAGTCTCGGACGACGCCTTGACTCGGATCAAAAAGTCGTTCTCGACAGTATATTACTTTCCCAACCCGACTCCCGAACAGGTCGACGATACCAAGCTCAAAGATGTCGATGCCATCTTTATGAACTGGAGCGGACTCCCGGACGACGTCGTACCTTCCTTCAAGAAGACTCCCAAGCTGAAGTTCCTGCAACTGCCTTCGGCAGGCTCGGAGAGGGCCGTCAAGGCGAAAGCTTTCCAGGAGCAGGTCGAAAAGGGAAAGCAGGGAGAGTTCGAGGTCAAGCTGTGTAACGCCAGTGGGATTCATGTTACCAGTATCCCGCAGTGGTGCATCGGACAGACAATCTCGCTGCTCCACCAGACGCAGAAGATGATCGTCTATGCTCATGTACGCCCCGCATGTGATTATGGGATCCGCGTTCAGCATTGATGATGGCTGAACCCATAAAATCCGATATTCCAACAGGAGAGGAAGACCTGGGGAAAGAAGGACATGAAAGGACCTTTCGGAGAAAAAAGTTACTACTCTAGGGACGTTGCCGGGAAGACTATCGGTTTCCTAGTGAGCCAGCATGATTAGCAACTCGCTCGCTCGGCGAACCGTTCGCTGACACGTCATCCCCCGCTCACAGGGTTACGGTACCGTGAGCAACAGAGAACCAACCACTTCGAATCTTAACGAAACGGCTGATAGACGGCCTGATCTCTTGACAGCTCGGTCGAGAGACGGCCAGGTTGTTCAAACCGTTCTTGGTTGATGTTATCGCTGCCAACTCGAGTGGGAAGGCTACCAAGGATACCGGGGTCAGTCCAGTCGTCGCGCTTGAGGTGCCGAAGCAAAGCTGATCATCGTCCTTCGTGCGTTCGACAGTATATCATGCCGGGAACCGGTGACATCGACGGTGAGCCGATAGTCATAAAATTCCAAGATTCGCCATGGTAGCTGATACTCTCTTCGATCTAGGTTCAATCCCTTCGGAGTTCTTTGCAACGACGGACGACAGCTCGTTCAACGAGTTTTTGAAACGCTCCGACATCCTCATCTGCAGCCTTCCGTCGACTTCCAAAACAAAGTTCCTCTTGACGAAAGAACGCTTGGGTGAGTCTAGTGCGATCCGACCCGGGCCGGCGCGGCTGCGATCTGCTGTGTTGTTTGTTGTGATCCTCGCTAGGGTAGAAGACTAATGAAACTCTGATTCTGGGGCCCTGGCGCCAATTAGCTCTCTTGCCGAAGGGTGGATTGTTGCTCAACGTTGGCCGAGGTGACTTGTTTCGATCAGGTCGGTGTTCTCTAGTCCACTCGGCTGGTAGGCTACATCTCCCTTCGTGTTTCGCTTACGCTCGTTTCTCGGTTGTTGTTGTTTGTTGTGATCGACGATAGAGGACCTCTTGGACGCGCTCGACGACAACTTATCTGGAGCCGCTCTCGATGTCACGGATCCCGAACCGCTTTCAGATGGGCATCCACTCTGGACTCACCCAAACGTCATTGTCACCCCGCACATCTCGGGTAACGCTGAGAGCGAAGGTGAACATGCGGTCGACCTATTGTTGCAAAACGCCAAGCGTTTCGTCGAGGAGAAAGAGTTCTTCAACGTCGTGGACATCGAGAAGGGCTACTAGAGTCCGGTTCTCCGCTGTAGAAATTCCCGCAGAGACGCCCCCTATCGCCGGGTGTTTCAAGCTTGGAGCGGATGACGATGATTCCAAATCCAGACGATATGGGATTGACTACCCCCGCCACGGCCGAAGTCGGCGACGTGCGGCGCTCGGGCAGTTTTCTTTCTCTCAAGCGAAGCGACTGCGCTAATGAGGTCGGGGAATGGTATGGAGCCTCGAAATCGGATGAGGGAGGCCCATGCCACGAGGGGTACTCACACTCGGCAGGAAGAGGATGCCTATCTCGAACTACGTGGTAACGAACAAGTCGAATCGGCAGATCGTTGCGACGAATCCAGCCAGTTCCATTGTCAATCGCTGCGCAGAACCATTGACTTCTGCAATTTCCGCTCATCAACATGAAGTTTCCTCCCGGTTTCCGGATCGACAGAAATGACGAAGGGGGCGTGTAATCTATTTCGGAGCCGTCCCGCACAAGGGGTCTCTCGGAGGATTTGTTTCCGTGTAAATCATCCGCGACCGGGGGTAGGTCGGATATGCTCTCGCACTAGTCGCCGACTTGCACCACAAAAAAAGAAGTCGACATGTGATTCCCCGTTTCGGTCACAAAACGCCTGGAGGGAGAGACGTCGTCGATCTAGCGCACTATTTCCAGTTGGAAAAACTTCTCATATGCTGCTCTCCATCTTGGCGATGTTCGGTTGGGCCAATCTGAACCGGCCGGGTGGCGACCCGCGTGCTTTTCCCCGAATCAAGGGGGACCATTTACCCCACGCCCAGACAAAACATGGTAGGTCGACCGACCCAAAGTGGCTGGTAGATGTAGGAGCTCCCTGGCCATCACGCCTGACATCAGTTTTTTTTTCAGTGACCGGACCCCCTAACCGAATGCACCGACGACCAGAATCGGTGAGGTATATAGGTAGAAGCAATCGGTCGAACAAGATAACATCGCCACACCATCTCGGAAGCCCTCCCTTCAAGGACAATCAAAGATATCTTTCAATAGATCATCTTCAACAACTAGCCCCTCAACAATGGAGAAGCAACCTCAAGCCCAAGACGGAGTGCCTCCCGTGGCTTCCGCCGACGTGAGCAGTCACTTATATTACACGTGATCCCCTATTGCAGGGAGCTGACTTTGCAGCGAAAACTACCTCTCGACCCACCAGAACACTGTGCCCGGTGCCGACTACGGTATCAACCTCGTCGAGCCCAATGCGCCCACCCACAACAAGGAAGTGCACGACGATGCTACTCTGAACAATGACTTCGCTGGAACCGGTCCCCGACCTTCTTACTTGGGTCTTCGAGGGGACGCCCTTATTTGGGGTGTCACTTTCTTCGCTACCATGGGTTTCAGCGTATGTATCGAGCGGCCATGAGGTATTTCGCGATCTTTCCGTGATCCGCGCGCTAACCATCGTGATTTTACGTCGATAGTTGTTCGGTTACGATCAGGGTTTGATGAGTGGTATCATTTCGGCCCCTCAGTTCAATACGGAATTTCCCGAGACCGCTTCGTCCGGTCCGGATGATGTTCACGCTGGTACCATCCGTGGTACCGTTACTGGTGAGTTTCAGGCCGGCTGGCAGAATCCGCATCCATACTGATCGATGACCCGCAAACGTGTCCCATTAGCTGTCTACGAAGCCGGAGCTTTCGGTGGTGCCGTCCTGTCCTTCTTTATCGGAGACCGTCTCGGTCGACTCAAGATGATGTGGATCGGAGCCATCTGGATGATCGTCGGAACCGTCATCGCCTGCGCTTCTTACGGAGATCACTGGGGTTTCGGTCAATTCATCATCGCCCGTGTCGTCTCTGGTGTCGGTACAGGAATGTTGACCGCGACCATCCCTTCGTGGGTTGCCGAGTGTTCCAAGGCGCACAACCGTGGTTTCCTCATTTGTAGTGAGGCCTCGACCGTCGCCGTCGGTACCGTCATCGCCTACTGGATCAACTATGGTTGCGTGAGTCTTGAGCGCTTTGGAGCGATGTGTCTTGAGACAAGGTGCTCATTGCTCTATCTCTTCACTTTAGAACCAAGTCAACAGCTCGTTCTCGTGGCGATTCCCCATCGCTCTGCAAGCCTTGTTCTCGTTCTTTGTCATCTGGGGATCCCTCGTCATGCCTCAATCGCCTCGATGGTTGTTGTCTCACGGACACATGGACGAAGGTCTCAAGGTCATTGCCGCTCTGGCCGGCACTTCGATGGACCACCCCCGTGCTTTGCAGCAGAGGGCATACATTATGGAGTCGATCAACGCTACCAGGCAAGCCAAGGCTTCCGCTAAGGACATGCTCGTCGGTGGAAAGAAGCAAAACTTGCGACGAATGGTCATCGGTGCCTCGTCCCAGGTCCACCAGCAGCTCGGAGGATGTAACGCTGTCATCTACTACGCCACCATTCTCTTCGAGGAGCAGATCGAGCTCGGTCGTGATCTGTCCTTGATCCTCGGAGGAGTCCTCGCCATCATCTACGCCCTGTTCGCCTTGCTGTCCTTCGTCATTGTCGAGCGAGCCGGTCGACGACCCCTCTTCTTGATCGGAACTGCCGGACAAGCCGTCGCCATGTATATCACCTGGGCCTGTCTTCTCGCTGGTGGAAAGCCCGCCGCCAAGGGAGCCGCCTTCGGTCTCTACTTTTTCATCGCGTTCTTCGTGAGTCTTACTGCGACCACACTTCAGGCTGATCGAGAACGAGCACTGAATACGCCTTGTCACCTCTACAGGGAGCCACCCTTTTGCCTTTGCCCTGGTTGTACCCGGCCGAGCTCAACGCCCAATCCGTCCGAACTCAGGCCAACGCCGTTTCGACGATGTGCAACTGGCTGTTCAACTTCTTGGTCGTACAGGTCTTGCCTACTATGAGTGAGTCACAACGATCTCGGACGCCCGCCTGTTTCATGAGCACTGATGCATATGCGCCGCTTCTTTTAGCTGCTTCTATCGGCAGTTGGACCTTCTTCTTGTTCGCTATCGAGAACACCATCGCCTTCCCCCTCATCTGGTTGTTCTACCCCGAGACCGGTGGTCGTGAATTGACGGAGATCGACATCATCTTCGCTCGAGCCCACTTGGCCAACCGACGACCCACCTTGATCGCCGAGGAGATGCCCCAGTTGACCGCTCACCAGCAAGAGGTTCTGTTGGAGAAGTACGACATCAACGGTCCCGAGGACACCGAATCCGGCGCCGTCACCCGAGAGAACGTCGACCTCGACATCCCTCCTGCGGAGGGCAACACCAAGGGAGCGACCTACGACGCTACCCCTACCACTAACTCGGACTCGGACAGCAACAACAACACTGTCAACGAGAAGCCCGCTCGGATCTAATACCTCTTTGTCTTGTCAAAGGGTTTGCTTGCAAGAGGAAGGCTACGTGGAGTGAATGATGGCTTCGCGTTCAATAAGCCTAGGAACTGTATCTATAGACATCATAATGCATCACGACATAGAACATAGAGAAAGTAAAACTCCCAAGATCAAGCGATAAAAGGTTGACTGAGCAATCGTATGCATATGCTTCCGCTGCCCGTTCCTTCCGGAAGCAGATCTCAACGACTTTCCGCGTCATCAACTTGATCTCGATCAACGCCTTGAATAATCCTAAATCTTAATCTTTTGGATCTTTGCTCCTGGCATCTTCTAGAGACAGTCAAAATCGATCACAATATGTCCTGGATTCTGGCTGATATCAAGTCACTCTTCCCGCTGAGCCAAACCGCGGTCTCGAGCGTCCCACAGCCTGGCGATGAAGCTCGATCTTTCAAGTCGGACCCGTCAAAGGATGGTGATGCAGCGAGTAGCCTCGAGTATCCTCTCGCATCACGCAAACCGAGTGTAGTCGTATTTGTTAGACACCTGGGATGTCCATTTTGTCAAGAGTCAGTCGAACAAGATAGATATCATCGTCGATGATGACCCAGCTGATCCCCTCGTGCCAATCAGAACCATACAAGAGCAACTGATCCCTTTGGCTAAAAAACGTGATGATATCGATTTCTTCCTGGTCTCGCAAGCAGACGTAAGTCGTAACATATTACAACTCCACATTGGCCAGAAATCTTACCGCGATTGTTTTACATCACTCATCAGACCGAGACAACTCGAAGCTATGTCTCCCGGTTGCCCATAGAGGACCCCCCCAATATCCCGTTCACCATCCTTTCCTCACCCGCACCTCACTCCCTGTACTCTACATGGGGCATTTCTCAACTATCAGCCGGCTCAGTGTTCGGTCCAGGTGTGATCAGCAGGGTGATGGAACTCGCTCGCGAAAAAGGCATCAAGAACCAAGAGACCGTTGGCTCTCGTTGGCTAAATTCAGGCGCGTTCGCCGTCTCTGCAGAGGGCGAGGTTTTGTGGAGTCATGTTGCCGCGCGAGCGGACGATGTGAGCGATCTTCAATCTGCGTTGAAGGCTATTGACGAGCAGAAATGACCTGGTGAGTGGAAGGCGAACGTGTCCGCGAAGTGGATGTCAAGAGGTGGGCCAGGCTGACCAGTCTGTGCCACAAAGTGTATAAAGACTTTGTACCGAAGCAACTTCCCAAAAACTACGTATGTTACATGTCTGATTCGGATTTGTAATGGTACAGCAGTGCTCATTCATGACCCTTTCCCGCCATCATTATCAGATCAAACAACATCATTCCTTGAGTCCCGCCGGCGAGCCTTGCCAAGACGACCCTTCGACCGAACCATCCGCCTCGGCTTGATACAAGATGTGCGAATCGAGCACCTTGCTCCCCAAGGCCTTCTCAAACGTGTCCTGATCAGGACCCGCACGGAGTACCGTCAACTGTTGTTGACCCAAGTTTGACTGGAAGATCCCCGCAGCGGAGGCGGGGAGAAAATCTTCGTACGTGACGGGCTCGTAAGCGTTTCCGTCGTCGCCCTCAAAGCTAGTTTGCGAAGACCCCGAGATGGTCGAGCTTTGAGATCCCCGGTATGGTCGGAAGTAGGCCAGGCCGTCGTGGCGCAACGTCTCCCAATTGTCAGGGAAGGCAGCAAAGACCTTTTCTAGGCAGCGTTGTCGGGTGGCATTGTCTATGGGGGATTTGAGGGCAGCGAGCTCTTTATCGGCCTCGTCCATGAGCTCATGATACAGCGTCAAGCCTGGCAAGATAGAGGATTAGCTATGGGGTTCTGATCGCCCGGCAACAGCGCTTGGCTCTCACCCTTGCGTGTTAGAGCTACACCTCGAGACTCGATCTCCCCGAACCTCGCCTTGTGTCGCTGCAGGAAGGGGGTCGTGTGGTCAGAACAGCCTACAAACAAGACCTTTGCGAAATGAACATCAACTCACTCCAAACTTCTTGCCACCCGATTCGTTGCGGTCCAAAAAGTAGATCGGCTCGGCGACCGCCTGAAACGAAGTCTGGCGCAGCAAGATGGAACAGTTTCGATGAGGCGGGCCTTCGATGACGTGTTTCGAAACGATTCTACGGACGGTCCGAAAACAGATCCGGCATTAGCGCCAAGAGATAGAAGCATCATGTGATACACGGCCCACGCTCACCCTTTCTCGGGCATCCGAGCCTGAACCGTATCAATATCGAGCGTCCTCGGGGTCAGGTGATTAATGTGTGGACCCTTGAAGGCCGCAATGTCCGCTACAAGAGAGTGTGCGGTGGCGAGCCGGTTGTACACGTCATACTCTACAAGGGCGTCTGACTGCCACTTGAAGGTGAGGAGCGCATGATCAACCAGACAATGGGCGTCGGAGTCATCCAGACCTCCTTGCGACTCCGCCTTGTCCAATAAGCGAAGGGTTTCCGGATGAAAGATCTCTCGTTTGTCCAGTAAAGACCGAGCGAGCTCTCTGATCTCGACATCTTCAATCAGCTCCGGTCGCAGGAGCGAGGTGAAGACGCGAAATGGGTTGAAGTCGAGTGAGTGCTGGGTGACGGGCCGGAAAGCAGTAGCATGAACGGGTACACCAGCGATGGAGAGGTCGTAGTAGTTGACGGGCAACATGTTCATTGTGCGGAAAAGTCTTCGAAGGGTATGAAGCTCCTCGGGCTTGCCTACGCGGATGGCCCCGTGACGCTCGACGCGGAGTCGACCGGCCTCTGACCGATACTGGGGTTGAGTCGCGACGATGTGGGCGTTGGTGTCATCGACTAGGGATACCAAAGCTCCATAGAGAGGCACCTCGGAGTGATACATCTCCGACAGCTTCGAGCAGAAGATCTGCCGGATATGATCGGGCTGAGTGAATTGGGCGCCGGGCATGATGAGGGTCGTAAAAGATAAGAGGATGGAGACAGGATCCCGCGCGAGATGAGGATGATCCAGGTCGGAAATCAAGTGTTTCTGGTTGGTGGTCAAAGTCCCAATGCACTGAGTGCGAAGCAGGTTGAGTCCAGGCTCAAATACGCAGATGGAAGTCTGCCTTTCTGCCTTTCGCTTGCAGCCCTCGCAAGGGCAAGCGATAGCGATAGCGCCATAGGGGACGATACGATCTGGCCCCGAGCGGCTACGCCTCAACCTCTCATAGAGCCGCCGATAAAGCCTCGAAATCCGTGATCTCGTCACATGGATACATTCAAAGGGATCGAGAATGTATATAAAGGTAATATCAGCCGGTACGTCCTGAGTAAGACAAGCAAGATTGATCTCTGATCTCTGATTCCAAGACTCCTGCCAGCAAGCGCAAATACACACTACCACACCATTCCGCAATGCCTTCCATCGCCCAGAACCTCTCGGTCCCTGACCTGCTCTCGTCGCTCGACATTTCGACATCCACCCCCAATGCCGGGGCTTACGATGGACAATGGTTCGGTAGCGGCGAGAAGGTTCAATCGTTCAACCCTTCCAACGGTAAACTCTTAGCCACCATCATCCAAGCTTCAGATGCCGATACTCAACGCGTATTGAAGGCTGCCAAGGCTGCCTCCAAGGTATGGAGGAACGTTCCCGCGCCCGAGCGCGGTCGAGTGATGCGCCTCATTCGAAACGCCATTGATGACAAAGTAGACGAGTTGGGCATGCTCATCACCCTCGAAATGGGCAAGATCGTCACTGAAGGTCGAGGCGAGGTGGTCGAATTTATCGATGTTGCCGATTACGCTGTGGGTCTGTCTAGGAGTATCGGCGGAACTGTCGTTCCTAGCGAGAGGAAGAAGCACTTTATGACCGAAGTCTGTCACCCTCTCGGCGTGATTGGCGTCATCTCTGCCTTCAACTTCCCCATTGCTGTGAGCCTCTGATCTTCCTTGCCTGCTGAGTTGCCCGAGCTGACGCCCGATGAAACGGATTGTGTTGCAGGTCTTTGGTTGGAACTTCTCCCTGGCCTTGATCACCGGGAACGCCTCCATCTGGAAGCCCTCGGAGACTACCCCTCTCTGTGCGCTTGCCACCACCAAGATCATCACTCGCGTGCTAGAGGCAGAAGGTTACCCCGGCGCGCTTTGTGGCTTGATGATTGGAGGTGGAAGTGTCGGGGCCGCCTTGGTTGAGAGCAAAGAGGTCGACCTGGTCTCCTTTACCGGGAGCGAGGCCAGGGGAAAGCTAGTCGGTGCCGAGTGTGCTATGAGATTCAAACAGTCTTTGCTTGAATTGGGTGGCAACAACGTAAGTGTTCTATTGCATTTTCCAACCCCGCGGGAAGTTCAACTTATTTACGTCGTGTGGTAGGCCGCCATCGTCCTTCCCGATGCCAACCAAGACCTGGCTCTTCGAAGCATCCTGTTTGCTGCTCTGGGAACGGCTGGACAACGTTGCACTACTACTCGACGTCTCTTGGTCCACTCGAGTATCGCCGATACCTTTATTGCCTCGCTCGTCAAGGCATTCGGTTCGGCTACCAAGCGTATGGGCGCACCTGAGAAGAAGGATACCCTGATTGGGCCGTTGCACTCCAAGCTCGCTTTCGAGGGATACTCGAACGCCATCGAGCAAGCCAAGAAGGAGGGTGGCAAGATCCTGTTTGGAGGTGAAAAGTGGGCCGAGGTCCAGGACGAGCTCAAGGGAGGCAACTGGGTGATTCCTGCCATGATCCGATACGACACATTCGAGGGAATCGAGATCGTGCGAAAAGAGACCTTTGCCCCAAGTGAGTTGACGGCAGCGGTGCTCCCCGTGAAGTCCTGAGATTGACTTTCCTGGCGGTCAAGTCTTGCACATCACTACCTTCGAGACTCTGGAGGAGGCCATCGAGATCAACAACAGCGTCGACCAAGGATTGTCTTCTGCTCTCTACACTCAGTGAGCTTGAGGGTTCCAGTGCGGTTGGTGTTCCGATATTCAACGTCCTCCTGCTTTGTAGGGATATGAACAACGTCTTCCAGTGGATCGGACCGGAGGGAAGCGATTGCGGAAGTGAGTGGCCATGTTGACTGTCCGGTCTGACCGTTCTGTCCAGTTATTGATGTTCCCAAGTTTCCTCTTTGCAGTCGTGAATGTCAATGGGTAGGCCCTTCCGAGCGCTGAGACTGTTCAACTGTTATCGTTCAGCTACCGATCGATTACCTTATGACAGATCGACCAGCGGAGCCGAAATCGGTGGACGTTTCGGTGGCAACAAGAGGCAAGTCGACATTGCGGTCTTGTCCAGATCATCGTTATTGAAAGCTATGCCATGTTCTCAGCACTGGAAGCGGGCGAGAGTCCGGTGGTGACAGCTGGAAGCAGGTGATTCCGAATTCCGGGTCATAGCTCAAACGGCTTGCTGAGCTGATATTGTTGCGTTTTCTTCTAGTACTGCCGATGGCACACCGCTACCATCAACTGGTCGAACGAGGTCGGAATGGCCCAGGGAGTCGTCTTCGAGTGAACGCAGAGTATTAATGCCATGACGACGTTTTTGTGCATGTTTCCTGTTGAGTAACGTGTGTTTGAGCTTGTATCAGCAGTATATCGAATGCTATCTTTTGGTGCATAGAGCTGCTCAGCTCGTTGAGATGCCCGACTTGGTCTGGGTCGAGATAAGTTGTCCACAAGGTTGCGAGGACGCATCTTACCTGTCCTTCGCTTTAGATGCGTCTTCATCACTAATCATTCCGCCTCAAGGACGATGATAGTAGGCGATGTGAAGAGTGGTCAGCTTCCGGCTTCGGGGCGACTCACAGTGATCGTTGGCATCTGTCGCTTATCGAAGCCATCAGCTGCAGGCCGGTCAGTGAAGTCCCCAAGCATGAGCTTGATCGGATCGACAAGCTGGAACGCTCCCGATTCGATGTTCTTCGGTCAGGTACTAGCCGTTCATGCATATTGTTGTGATGCTTCTTGTACAAATGTGCCTGCTGCTGTTCAGTATCTAGGCAAAGGATATTGTAACTTCCGACTGTAAACAACCAGACCATCAGTCTCGCTCAGAACAAGTGTCCGCCCGATCTTGACTTACGTCTGAAGCAATCTGTCTCCAGTCGACCCATCGAGTTCCCTTATCATTATCCTTCCATATGCTCAAGAGAAGCGTGAAGATATTCTGTATATTCCCGGTCCCAGTGATCGTGTGTAACTTTTCAAAGATCGACTTGACGACCGCCCTATCTTCCTCCCTGATAGCGTCGACACCAGCCACGAACAGGGGGAAAAGGATTTGGGACTGACTCGGCGTACCGAGTACTGTTGAAATGGTGGTCAACATCCTGGCGACCGAAAGCTGTGCGTCGAGCGAGACGGCCGGCATGCGAAACACGATCTGCCGGAGATAGGCGTGGGCCGCAAACTTGAACGCCTGAAAGGTGCTGATCAACGGTTGAGGGTTGAAAGACTTTTCGTCTTCCTGCCAGGCAGCCATCTCGGATAACGTGCGGGACGAAACCTCGAGCAGGTCAATTCTATGGCCAAGACCTCGCGCTTCCTCGATGACTCGCGAAATTTGCTCGAACCGATCGTCCTGGTCCTCAACGACATGGACTGACGTGGCTTTCGCTGCCAGGGCTGTGATATGAGCGAGAATCTGTAGAAGAGAAGCGTCAGGCGCGATCTTCAGATAGCTTTCCCAGCAGCGCTTACCTGATAGATCGGTGCGCAGATACCTAGGTAAATATCCGGCTTGGACCCCGCTTGCCGGATGAACAGGCTATACGTTTCCACCGGTACTTGCGGGTCGTCCTTGCAAGCCAAAGACCAAGAGACGTCGTGGTAGATACAGTTGAGTGCCAGCGAGATCTGCGTATCAGAATACCTAGAGTCCGGTCGGCTTCTTTGCAGAAGAGTGACCAGGTTTCGGATTTTCGGGAGAAGCTCTTTCCATCTATTGACGCTTCCCTTGCAGATCTGAGTGACAACAATTTCAGTGTCAGAACTCTAGCTGGGGCTCGCTTTGCCATCAAATTACTCACCTCGATACCTCCCAGCATCAAGACGATCCATAGCTTGTCCTCTAGCGAGACGTCCCCCTGAGTCGCATCCGAAGCGGCTCCCGCTTGCAACAACGACTGCACCCTGCGATCTGTTACCTCGGTAGCGATCCTGGCGATCGAGGCGTACGGCTCTCCTATCCGCGCCAGATGGCTTGCCGACCATCCGATCAGGGCTGGTAGAAGCAATGGCGACGTCGCGGCGAGCGGGAGTAGTGATTGCGTGAGCGAGTGTTTAGAGGGCGCTCCGAGGACCGAGATGATGGGCCCAAATCCGTTGACAAAGTACTAAGGCCAGCAACCAGCTTAGCATATGCGATCCCTATTCGGGTTGGTAGCACAGTTGTAACTCACGTCGATCAGAACAGGCACATGCGCCCAAATCCAGCTCGGCAGGCTCGTCCCCGCCAAGGACGACGTGACGTGTGACTGTGAAGCGATACTCGACAATGTGTGAGGAGGTATCGAACCCTGATTAGAAGGTTCACCTGTCCCTTTCGAGTTGCTGGGCAAAAGTTGCTGTGGCAGATGGTCTGCTCGTTAAGCCAGAACGACAAATCAGTCAATTTTCACATGCCACATGAAGGCCTGGGTATCTCTTGCACTGACTGCTCGAGCGATAGTCAATATCCATCCCGGATCGATGATCGTTCCCTGTCTCATCTCCAACAGCCACCACAAGTCCGTGACGATGCCCGTCATTCTGACTGGTCACTGCTGCAGGCGTCCCGTGTTGACCGTTACTCATACGTAAGTGTCCATCTTGTCCTTGCCCGTGTCCAATACCCATGGCGTGATCGTGGTTTTGATTGTGGCCAAGACCCTGACCGTGATCGTGGCCGTGATCATAGCTGTACTGCGAATCCCCTGCAGAAAGTATGAAATCCGCCCACTCGGACTCGGACTGTTCCATCGTCTTGATGAAATCGACCAAGGTCTGATCGAGCGCGACGGGCGTCTCAATCCCAGGATGATCCAGCATATGCCCTGTCGGTTGCATATAATCCAACGGGGTCGACATATTACCATTCGAGTGAGAGTTGGAGTTGGAGTTGTGCGAGAAGAACGAAGGTGGGCCTGGGTTTGGAGCGAGGGTGGGACCTAGTCTTGAAGGATGATCTGAGGGTATGGAAGAATGGTGAGACGGCGCCAAGCTGTTTTCCGACAAACGCCGCTGAGGTCCATGCGAAGCAGAAGATATATGCGCGTTCGGGTCGAGTAGAGGTTTGTTGTCTGGGTGTGGCGAGAAGAAGTCTTGTCGAATGGATCGAGCGGTCGGAGTCGTAGTCCCGGCGATATGACCCTGACCAGGAGGGTGCAACGGAGAAGGTCCTTGCGTGTAGTCGTCGACGGTGATCGGTCCGAGACTACCGATTGGAATACGAGTCCGGTCGTGGTACGAATTGGAAGTTGGAAGGGATCGGTTTGAGATATCGGGTGGTGTTTCAGATGGATGAGTGCGAGCCTCTTGCGGGATAGAGACCGTCTCGGTGTCTTCCATAATGCTACTGCCACTGGATATTTGCCGACTCGGTTGAGGTGTCGCTACAAGGTAATGGTCATGATTAGCTCGAGCGACTGCACAGAGGGCAAAGTATTTGACTTACTCGAGGTAGACTTGCCCTCTTTGGCCAATTCTCGGTGTTTCTTCGCGAAGGTTCCAGGTCGTGGCCTTACTTGACCGGCGACTTTCGGGTAGACGCAAGGAATATCCAGCCGTTCGCTACAGGTTGTGGTCATCGGTCGTCAGCTATTACGGATCCAATGTGACAACAGATGTCACGACTCACCAGCTCTCACAAACTGGATGACGTTCATCGCATGCTTTCTACCAATCAAGGTGCAAGACGATGTCGGTTTCAGTGTTCCCGTTACCCCTATTTCGGGTCTACCCGAACCACTCACCTTTCGTCTCCGACAAGTGAAACAGCCCGTCCTTTTTCTGGTTTTCTTCGCCTTTGATTCCTCCTTGTCGTCAGATCCCTGAATAGAGTTGTTCGCGGCATCATTGTTATTAACTTCGATTGCCTGCGAGGTGGCCTCGTTCTGATCTTTCATAGCGGCACCTTGCTGATGGTCGGTCATTCGTCCGGAAAAGTAGGCAGGTTCAATGGCCTAGAAGGTCTGGATCATCGTTACTATGCTGCCAGTGAACCTCTCAAGAAGTACTTCTAGCTATGAATGTAGCGTTATCGCTAATGTAGCGCTCGACATGTTTGGGGATATGGGATATGATTGTGGTCGATATGGTCGATCTAGGTCGATAAGCATCCCATCGATCCTGCAACGAGCGGATGCCCGCCCGACCGTCCATGGGGACTCCACGTCGAAGCGAAATATCAATTATGCGTTCTCGGTCACGGTTCAGGAGTTCGCCAGCGGCTTCAGACGGCCAATTTGTCGACCTCATGTTCAGGAATATAGCAAAATCAGTCGGATATGTCTATATATGTTTATCCTAGAGGCTCTTCTTCGTTATTACAGCTATTAGCCATCCCAACGGAACCAAACGCTTTTCAAGCTGCAATTCCGTCCTCCAACAAACGCATCGCCCCACGATCTCCTGCTCATCAACCGGAAGAAGAAACGACACACCCTCATCCTCTCCTACCAACATCACACCTCTCGCCCAGTAGAATCGCTCTTCTCCCGTTCCATACCCCTGCAAAGATATACACTCTGCGATCCGGCTCAACCTCTTGCGAGAGAGCGGGGACCAGCGAAGATGACTATCAAAGCAAGGAGTAAAGGAGACGGAAAGACGAGGAAAGTCCGGGTTCGAGATGGGATCTGGGTAGGGAAGAACAGTTGGAAGTGGGTTCTTCTGTTCCGGCTGATGTTTGCTGAGTGGGCGTGATAGCGATTCGGTGTTGGTTGGAAAGGTCAAGATGGCGATGATTCGGGTTGTGGAAAAGAAAGGGCCATCGTAAGGCCAAGGGTATATTGTGCGCGGAACTGCAAAGCACAAGAAAATAAACCTTGTCAGTTCCTCCGATCCTCGCAACATATAATCAATACACTTCTCAGAACTCACCGTATTCGTCAATTTCATTAAGCTTCATTACACATCGCTTTCGCCTTCAGACCGACGACAACAATCCCAGAGGATCGCTTATCGTCGTCATGCCAAACTCGTCCACCCCAAACCCGAAGAGGGACAAGTTGAGCTCGGAAGCTCTCTCGTCCATCCCTTCGAGGCCGAGACCGGGGATACAGGTGTGCTCCGTGGTGGGACCAGAGTTGGTCGTAGTCGTAGTCATGGATGTGTCCAATTCGCCTCCAAAGTTGAAGTCGAGCTTCGAGTTGCTTTGAAGGCTAAGACCGAGGTCGAGATCGAAATCGAGTTGTTCCTCTAGGCGGCGCTGGAAATCATGGTCGTAGCTCCCAAAGACATCGTCCGACCCTCCCATCCCTGATGTTGTTGTTCCTCCATTAGGCACCTCGTGCGCCATTCCAGCACCTTCTTCAAACCATTCCCGACCTTGAGCTTTATCTCCTTCATAGTGATTTTCCGTTCCCGAGCCTCCTTCTTGGCCATTGGCGCAAGGGAGGAGAAACACGCCCGCTGCAGGGCCGAGCCTCGAGTGTTTTGGCACTCGAAATTCGTCGTCATCGCTGCTGGATGACGAGCGTGATCTTGGTTCTCGGTAATAGGGAAACTGGGGAGAGAAGCTGGGGTCGGCGTCGGCGGGAAGGTAAGGGCGGGACCGGTAGATAAGAGGTCGGTGGGAAGGGGTTGAGACATGGAAGATGCCTGACTGGCGGGTAGACCGGGACTGATATCGGTCGGCGAAACTTGCGGTGGCAAGTAGGTCGAGGGATTGAGCGTGCCAAAGTTGTTATCAAGGTTGACAGGAGCCTGTGGTACATCAGGTCCGAGTAGCCTGAGGACGTCCAGATTTGCGGTCGAATCGGTAGCCGCGGGTGCGATACCACCGTTCATGCCAAGCAAGACTTGGACGACCTTTTCCAACTTGGCCAGGCGGTTCTTGAGCGAGGCGTTCTCGGTAGTCAGGGTCACGAGCGCTTGTGCGTGTTGGGCCGATACCGGGGCAGGCTGGATAGGGTGAGGCGAGGCCTGGACACTAGGACGACGGATAGACATCATAGATTTGGATCGCTCTCGGTCGAAAGCCATCGAGCTGTCCCCATCATCCTCGTCCTCGTCTTCGGAGTCATCGCCGTTTGAAGAGAATTGACGAGGAATCTCATCGAGCTCCCGCTTGGCGGGGATCGCGATCGAACTTGGATCAGGCGACAGCGGTAGAGCGTAATGCCCGCCAGTCATGATCGAGTTTGTGTTCTGACCGATCATCCTATCCCTGAGATCCTTATTCTCGGCCTGAAGTGTAGCGATGGTCGCCTCGAGTCCCTCCAAGTACTCGCGCTTTTTATCCCTCGACCTGTAACGGTCCAGAAGAAAGGAGGTCTGTCAGTCAGGTGAATATGGGAGTTTGGTTGGATAGGATTCGAGACTCACAACTGTGCCGATGTTCGATTCCTGACCATCCTAGCCGCCTTGCGCTTCTCCTTTTCGGTCATCGGTCGTTCCCCGTCCGCGTCGAGCCGAGGTTTCTTGACCGAATCAGGATCGGCGGTGGTGGCGTTGGATTTACGTTTGAGTGTCATGGTTGGGGTGTAGAGTTGAGGTTCTACGGAGAGAGACCTGGAGAAGAAAGGTGAGGTCTGACGGGGAGTAGTGAGGTATAGATAGGTAGTCCGAGTAGAGGCGAATCAAAGGGGGAAGTGTCAACGTGGAAGGTGAGACTCGTCGATAACCGTATCCGAAGGTGATTACATAAGCCAGTTCAGGTCTTGTATTCATCATATTTCGTTGTATACAGTTTACATCGTTCCAGCTATTTGCTCGTTTTTTGCCTTGGCCATCTCAGTTTGCCTCTCAGTCAATCATGTCGGCAGACAAGCCCTGTAGCGATGAGAAGCTTGTCAGAATTCAACGCCTTACTGCGCTGTCGTTTCAACAAACTCACCAATCCGTTCAAGAACAGGTTCACATTTCTCAGACGCAGTTCTCCTCGAGGGGTCGAGACCCATCCCTTCTTAGCAGAGTGCACGGTGTGCAAGATCTAAATGACGACCGGAGTCTCAATCAGCGTCTATTATCCCCCATTGTTGACCACCTCCAATTCACCTTGTCCCTCAGGCTGCTGACGAGCAAAGTCTGCTCATCAGGCGGAGCTTGCAACCCGAACGAAGCGATCAATCCCCAGACCTCCCCGTCCTTGAGGTCCATCTGCATCCCTTCCTTTTCGTCCTTGCTTCCGATCTCGCTCGCGGCGTTTTGGCCGTTTCCGCCCAAGAGGTAGATACCTGGCCCAAAGGCGGCGGCTTGGGCTTGGGTCGAAGGGAAGACCGAGGGGAGTTTGGGAATGAGGTTGCGAAGGAGGTTTGCAGAGGCGAGGTTCCTATGGTCGAAGCGTGTATCAGAGCCTGCTTATTCGGCTGGAGAGAATGAGCTACTCACCACTGATCCAGTTCGGCTTGCGATGGCACCATGGGTGCGGGTTGTCCCTCTGGTACAGGAACTGCAGCAATGTGCTTGAGCATCTCGGCTCGGGAGAATAGGATGGTAAAGAGGGCAACACCGGGCTATAAAGACGAGCGATCCGGTAAGACGATATGTCGAACTAGCCGATGCTGCTTAACTCACCCTGGTGGCCAAGACCTTGGCAACTTCCCATCTCTCACTGCACAACGAGACCATCCCCGCAACCATCTTCAGCTCGAGCCTTCCGACGAGCTGGACGACGACGGGAATAACCGAAGACAAGAACGTCTCGGTCCTCGCCTCGGACCGCTTGTGATTGGCCCGTTCATACGGTCCGAGCATGCTCGAGCTGGCCAACGTCGGCATAGGAGCGTTTCGGACGACATCGAGTTGAGGGAAACAGGCGAGCAAGAGGATGAGGACGGTCAAGCATTGTTGGTGGGACAAGTGCCGGATGAGTCGGCCAAAGAGCTTGTGCCCCTTTTGAACGCTCAACAGGGAGATGAAGGGGTGAGGGTCGCTGCGAGGCGAAAAATTGAATGAGCACTTTCTCGCCGCTTGTCAACAGCAACGAATGCCGCTCACCTGACTTCGAGAGGCTCTTGCACGAGCAAAGCTTGCCACATTGCCTCGACGGCGCCTTCATACTGGCTGGACCACTGCTCCGCCTGAATCCTCTTCTCCTCGGCCTCTTCGTCGGTCATGCCAAAGTGGACCTTTTGCGCTTCCGTCGGGGCGGGAGGAGGCTGGTCTCGTCGCATCTGCTCGAGATCGAGGATCAACTCGTAAAGCTGTTCCAACCTGAACAAGACTTGTTTCTCGGTCAGGGGCTGCTTGCGGTCGCCGTTGGGTCGAGTCGAGCCTCCCGATCCCTGAAGCAGGTTGGCGATGGTCGAGGCGGTCGAGGATTGCAGGTTCTTGGACGAGGCGGATACAGCAAGCGTGGGACGGGGTGCGGTAGCCGATGACCTAAACTTGTTCTTTCCGAGGGCTCCCTGAAGGGTCGCTGTGGCAGAGTCCAAACATACGTGAGTCAGCGACATCCTATTGCGATGCCTAGTGAGCTGACTAACCAGAAGGAGCGGCCGTAGCACGCTTCTGAGCGTTCTCGACGATCCTCTTGACCTGCACCGTCATCCTCTGCATTGCAGTCTCCTTCAATCTCTTGGGTCCACCAGTGCTCCTAACGACACCGACACCCAGACCTCGTCCATCGGGTCCGACTTGCAAGACGGTCGGGCCGTCCGCAGGTCCTCGTCCGACGGGTTGGCCAACGGCAGCGAGACGGGCTCGAGTGATGGCGCTGTGAACTTGGGCGTAGAAATCGGATGTGTACGGGTCTTGGGTGACGAGCTGCGACAGCTGAATTCGGGTGATGAATTCCTTGTCGCCTGCGAAAGTGCACAACTCAATTAGCTGCACATTTCATCGCGCACGCAGAGCACGCCGAGCTACACACCTCCGGTCATGACGTCGTTGTACCTCGACATGCTAGCGATCTTGTTGGCCTTCCTCATCCTCTTCATCTCGGCCATCTCGGTCTCCCTGATCCTCGCCTCGAGCTCCCTGTCCATTTGCTCTTCGCTCTTGGGCTGTCCTTTGGCTGGAGCAGCTGATCCCAGCGGGGGGAACATGGCAAGGTTTCCGAGTTGCTTTTGCAGCAGTTCGATCCCGGTCAGATCGGACGCGGGGGGTCGAGCTTGTTGCTGAACGTTGGCGGGGGGGACGATCGGGCTCTGAATTTGGGCCTGAGGTTGACCCTGGTAGAGATGCTGAGTATAGCCTTGAGGCAAGCCAGATGGCATCTCGTGTTGAGGCTGTTGCATCTGCCTGGCCGAGGTGGCGGGGACGGGAGCGGGCGAAGCCGACTTGGTCAAGTTGCTCATCATCTCCCTCTCAATCTCTTCCAACGTCATCGGCCTGTCTCCGGGCTGTCCGGCGCTGGCAGGGGCTTGCATACTGTAAGAGCCCTGGTTGACACCAGAGGCCGTAAAGCCAGAGTTGGGACGAGCATATGCGGCCCTGGCTTCCACTTCGATCTCCTCCAGGGTCTTGTACGCAGGAGCCGGGTTCGTAGCCTGTTGAGCAATGACGTTCAAGGTGCTGTTCGTCGGGGTCGAGTTTCCGCTCGAGTGGAAAGACGATGTCGTAGGGACGTTCCTGCTAGAGGTTTCCTTTTGACGAAGACGAGAGGCTACGAGGGAAAGGTTGATGAGATGTTGGTTGAATAGCTCTGGATCTCGTATCGCCCTCGACCTCGACCTCGAACTTACACTTCTTGGGCGCACCGAAAAAGTCGGCTTCGGTACTGGCAAACAGATCCGACGCAGGCTTGGTAGGCTTGAGTTTCGACTTGGATCCATACGAAGTGGGAGCTTGATTCTGTTGGTATCCTCGGCTGTCCATCCCAGCGTATTGGGCGGTCTGCTGAGCAAACTTGAAGTCGGTGCCTGCGAAGACGATTCAACCCGATCGATCAGGATAGAGAGATGAGCACCCACAAGTCGATCTGACTGATTTGAAGCAACGACGTCCGCCAAACTTACCAATATCACCGCCTCCAAAGGTCATGTCATTGGCATCATCTCCTTGCTCCTGCAACTGATCCCCTAGTCCATCGTAATCCTCGGTCCCCCAGGTGTAGACGGCGATGTCTTCGGCTCCGGCCTTGTCGCCAAAGGCGTCCAGGTCGTCATCGAGACCCCGTCGCCTTTCGGGCAGGGTGGCATCAAAGCCGAAGAAGGACATGTTGGTTGTCGTGACTGGCTCGATGTCGTGGCTGAGGTGTAGAAGCTGGTCCAACAGGTCGGAAAGGGGATGTTTGTTCGATGTCAAGAGTTGATCGGATGAGGTGGGATCGATGGCACGCGACGAGTCTCGGGTCTGAACGAGTGGGATCTGGTTTCAGATTCGTCAACCGCGTGATTCGAACGGCAAACTTCGAACTTGCTTTGGGATCAGCGCATCTGAACGGTTAGTCTCTTGGCAACTATTGCCCCGAACAGTGGTAACCGTGTTTGAGGTTCCGTGTTCGGTTCGCGAGCTTGAGCTAAGCGATCTCGTCGAATTGATTGAATCTCGAGCGCTTTGGGCATGCACTCGAAAAGGATAAGTCGACTCGATGCCATTTTATAGGCAAGACGCAGCCCTCAAGCGCGTAGTAGTGACTGAGGCAGAGAAAGGAAAAACAATCACTAAATGAAGCAAATCAGGTCACGGAGCATGCGATAGCTTAGCAGAACAGAAAGATGTTCGAGGCGGCAACTGAGAAGACTGCGCTTGAAAAGGCTATTCGAAATCGCAAGGTTTGAAGATCAAATGCTCGGCGAGCTTGATTTCACACAGTGAGGTACAGCTTGAGGTGGCTGTCCATTTTCACCCCACCAGTCCTAGCTTGACTTCTCAACCCAGTTCGGTCGTACGCTCTGCCGAGACCAGACTTTGCGTTCCTGCGAGAAGAGGTATTGCTCGTTCTGGAGGTCTATAACTGGGACATACTCAAGTAGAACCGGGCGATCATCAGAATACCAAGCCGTACAAGCGCATTTATGTGGCTGATCACTAGCGACATTGAGGGGACATTAACGCCTAGTGAAATCGCTGCCAGTCACCAGGCGATAAGGATTGAGAGCTCGATAGATCAACGTCAAGAGGGCAGTGAAATGTACATCATAGAAAAGCGCTCTTGACGGTATCGTTGTGGCAAATGCGACCGAGCCCGTGGGCAAGCCGACGATCGTTCTTTGCCTGATGCGTCTCAAGCCAGGCGATAATGTTCGCAACGAGGCGGAGGACATAGACTGGAGTGCATAGAGTGTACAGATCTCGGCGTGGATATCGATCAGGTTTACCGCTGATCGCACCCTTCAAATCGCGGCCCGACCGCGCTTACGACGACGTTCGATTATTCAGGTTTGCCCTCCCGTCGAGATTTTTGTTGTTTCGGTTCGTGACTCTGACCTTAACCCGTCGCGCTGCCCTTCTGCTCTTTGACCATCTAGTTCTCCGGATACAGTCGATACTACAAGTAGTCTCGATAAGCGACCTGCATTATCGTCAGATCAGGAGATGTTCCAGGAGATCAGTCGGTAGACTTCTGGGCGACGTTATCCAGGAGGGAGCCCTAAATGCCAATTTCCAGAATTTTCCAGGGCTGTCAATGCTTACTTTAGTGTATAAATCACGCGCCTCCACGTGTTTCTACAAATCATCGGGGTGCTGGACTTGCGTGCGCGAATCCCCTACGATCAACTCGATTTATCCCATCAGCACCACGCAGCCACAACCGTATATCTTTCTACCTCTTGGTCGGTGATCAAACAGAACGGACAAGACGCATTCACAGGAGCGCAGTTTGACTATGACCCCAGGCTCCCCGGTCGGCTGGCTGTAGCAGCCACTGCTCCCGGCACTGCTATGATGACGGCTTGGAATCATCGAGAGCCTACAGGTGAGGCTGTGTTGTATGAAACAGAGAGGTCGATGTTGCGGAGGGAAGGTCAAGAAATTCGCAATTGCGCATCCCTCAGGATCGAAACGTTGAGAGGTGTGTCCTAAGGAAATCGCTCAAGCCGATCTATTAGCCTCCCGATCCCGCTCGTTAACTGGACAGAGATCAGGATTGAAAGCAATGGAGCTGGTTCATCTCCTGTCGACAGCGGCACGAACATTAGGGTTACGTGCCTCGTGGTCCTCCGAACATGATGAGAGTCGAGATCCGGTCCTTCTATGATTCCCCAGAGCAACAGCAAGTTGTAAATTAAGTCGGGATCAGGCGGAGGAGGCCGTTCAGGAGTGTTCGGCTCGAGTGGGGTGAAGCTCAGGGTCGAATGACGGGTTGAAACCAAGGCTGAGACTCCTTGTGAGTTGGCGTTGCGTGGGATGCTACGTGTTCCTGATATGCAGGATTGTCGGTCAGAGCGGTCACTATCGATTTCTGTCGCATCGCAGATTCTTATAAGCTTTATCGGCTGCGGGAAGCAAGTAGGCGAGAAGGAGAGCGAAAAGTCCAAAGACCGTCGGCTCTTTTCGTAGTCGAATGCGAGCTACGCTTATGTTTCGGCGGTCAACCGTTCTTTGGCCGTTCTAAGCGCCTGAGTAGGAATCGAGTTCGAGGCTGATAGTCTTTGTGGGTCGGCATTACGTGCTATGTGTTGCTGAAGTGCAGGATCGTTATTCAACTGGCGTTCCCTATCGACTTGTTATTGTGTGGCGCGGTCTTGTATATCTGGACGGCGGTGGGAAGCAGGTGAGCGGGAAGAAGAGTGACAAGGCAAAGGACCTTGTGCTCATTTGGTTGTCGCGTTTGTCGACGGTACGACGGTGAGCTACATGGCGGTCGATCAATATGTTCTCCCACGCCGCTGTCACATATTGCAATCCGGCTCGCGGCGCATCGTCTCGCGTAGTTCGAAATGTAGAAAAGGAGAGAAGGGGTAGGAGTTACCGTCCGAGGTGTGGGAAACGATTGGAAAGCCGCTCGATCGGGTGGAATCGCGGGTCAAGTGATACCGCATGTGCCCAAAGTTGACATTGCCTGTGCGCGCGGGCGCATAATAAGACCGTTATCGTTTCATGATCCACGAATATATGGCTTCCGAGCCGTTACAAGCTGACATTGATTTTCTGGAGGCATCAGTAAGCTGGAATGTAGTGCGTGCGCTGTATAGCGGGAAAAGGGTAGACATACCATCGGGGACTAAAATATCACGTCAGGTCGATGATCTCGACGTTCTCCTTCCCGCTCGATTTCCCCTTCCCCTTCTCACTCGATTTCTTTCGTTTCGGACTCTGCTTCACTTCGTCGTCATCCTTCTTGCGCTTCAAAGCAGACGTCGCCTTGTCCGATATCTCCTTGCTCGATACCCTCTTCCTCGATACGGTCTCGACAGGTGCTACGACACCGCAAGGGTCCATCAGTCATAAGCGTGAGTAGGCGAGGACGAACTGGTCGACAATCCCCAAAAGCCATGCCACGAAAGACCGACCAGACCATTCCATCCTGTATGGCGGTCGTTCCGATGTCGTTCGCGCCGTCAAGTGTGTACTCGGATCAGACTATCCAGCGAGCGTGGTCGTCTCTTGGGTCCCTGAACGAGTCGGGCCGATCGCCACAAACATGGGGTATGGGATTCTTCGGTTACTGCGCTTACCTTTATGACCGATGATGGATATAGCACAGGCGTCGTTCTGCTCGCCAACGTCATCCCCGCGCGGCGTCGCCCCTCCCCCTCTCCCATCCCAAGTCGCGATCACTTGTTCCGAGGAGGATAGAGCGCGCCGGTTCATAGCAGTGTCGAGGGCGCATTGAATATTGGGGTCCGAAGCTGACAAACCGTACACGTACATTCCGAGATCAGGTGGCGCGCGCAAGCGCGGGCCCTTGGGTGAATGTCGAGCGTCGCCTGGAAAACAGACCCAGCAGTATCGCTCATATGAGAGGCCTTATAGTTTGTCGGTGTGAGCCAGTTGGCAGGCTACCTGATACGGAGGGCGGCCAAAACTCTACGTTCGTATCGATGGTTCACGTGTTGCAACGCGCGCACATAGCGGCGCTTCCTGAAACTCGTGAACGGGACGTTTGGAGATACGTCTCGATCGTCAAGACGACCAAGACTTGTCCATCCTATTTGAAAGTGTGGACTTGCGGATGATATGAACGACCCATTCGGGTGCGTAAATTGACGGCGTCGGCATCGTGTCCACAACCTGTGCTGCGATGATCATCGTGCACCGGATGATTATTTTCCGCGCGCTAACTTGCGCTGAAAATCATCATCCGGTCGCTCGGGCGGGTATGGTAGTACAGTGTAATGTATTGTATCTGTTGTGGTGTCAAACATCGAAGGTCTCATAGTTCAGTGGTAGAATATACGATTCCAACTGGTTAACAGTGTCATCGTGCGGTCGTCCGTTCAATCCGGGCTGAGATCATGTGAATTTTTGTCTTTTTTCCTGTATGTGGCGGCGTCTGGGTTTGGCTTGCTCGAAGTTCAGTGGTAGAATATACGATTCCAACCACCAAGTCTTTGTTATCGTGCGGTCGTCCGTTCAATCCGGGCAGGGGTCACGACCTTTTTGTTCCTTTTTGGCGTCGCTCTGTGCCTGCGGTCAGCGCGTTGACCCATAATCGAACGCCGATGGAGAGATTCGAGTGGGCTAGCACGAGCACTTGCGGTCTTTGCATGACACTGAGCGAGATTCGACCTCGTCGCCCTTCGCCCTAGCTTGCAAGATGAGTTAGATCAAGATCTCCGATCCGATCGGTCGGACGGCCCGGTCATATCGCGCGTAGCTGTTCGAGTTTTGAATGTCTGTTCCAACAGCGAAACCCCTACGTCGACAGGTGCAATAACCGCCCGTACCGCAAGACTTCGACCACAATGAACCGTAATAGAGAAGACCCACGAATCGCAGCAATCGAAACGGTGGTGTTCCTGCATCGAAACCGTTTCACCTTTGCTCGGCGACCTTTGCGGTTTCCCGGAGATGGCTTTTCGAGCTTGGACTCGACGATGGCCCCTGACGCGACCCTGCTATCATCTATCTTGGGGTGGAGGTCTCGGATATGCCGACGTTGTCGCGACGAGATAAGACCGGGGGCAGCCTGGAGAGAGTTTACGTGAGCAAAGTTGAACATCTCCTTCCAATTCCTCTTTCATCCTTCATTTCGACCACCGACCAGACTCGAACGAGACGCTCATAATCATAATCATACAGTATAAAGCTGTAAAGCACTCTCGATCGATATAATACAAGGAACCACGAAGAGCTCTCGAGAATGTCTTACGATATCAACCCGACAAACGGATCCAAGGTCATTGGTGCGGTCATTATCACCAGGCGAGTTCAAGAGCTTTGGAAGACGTTCGGGAAGAGGACGCTAAGCTAATGTTGTTGTGCACGATACTCAGGCATGGTGATCGAAGCGGATACTATCAAGGTGAGCCACCGAACAGAGAGGTCGAAAGACGACCGGGAAAGAAGCAAGCTGACATCATAAACTCTGTCGCTCGTCTCCTCCAACCTGGACGTAGATCCCAAATGTACGCACATCTTCTCGTTCCCTCAAAGTCACCCTCGTACTGATCCAGACCTCCCCCTCTCCCTTATCCACACCCTTTGACATCCGTCGTTGACCCCACAGCCTACGCCGCCTCGGACACCACGATCACCCCGCTAGGCTCCGCTCAGACCTACCAATCCGGCATCCAATTCCGCGAGAAATACCTGGTCAACGACAGTTCGAGCGCCGTAGCCGGTGTCGATTGGCCGTTGATCAACTTGTCCGAGGTGGATTTCATGGCCGAGTCAGTCCCGAAGGTCCCTCTCGAGTCTGCTTCAAAGTCTGCTATTCGCTGACATAGATGATACTCGGTGTTTTTCGAACCCCCGCTCGTCGTAGTGCATCGGAAGGCCAGGTCATTGTCGACTCGGCGCTCTCTTTCGCTCAAGGGTTCTTCCCTGCCAATCTGGCTGCCGGGACGGCGATGTTGGCGAACGGCACTCCCATCGCTTCACCGTTGGGAGGATATATTTACGTTCCCGTCACGTAAGTACACAAATCCCCGAGTGATTCAACGCACCTAACCACGCCCGAGCTGATCACCCATGCTCTCATTAACCCTTCGTCAACGCTCAGCACCGTCGAAGCCGACGAAGAGATCGCCCTTGAAGGCTTCACCTCCTGCCCAGCATTCGTCACCCGAACCAACGAAGTCTACAAATCCTCCGCCTTTCAAGCCAAGGCTGCCGAGCAAAAGGAATACCTCGACTCGCTCGTCTCGTTGTTGGACGGGAGGGCGGTGACGTTGGAGAACATGTACAACGTCTTCGATTACATGAACGTGCAGAACATTCACAATGCGACGTTTAGGGATGTCGTGTCCGATGGGGGCAAGTCGGATTACATCATGGTGGGTTCCAGGTTGAGGCCCAGGTCGAGGTCTCTGCTATTTCTTCCGCTGATCGAATCGCTGCCCGATGCGACGCACAGAGAAACAGTCGATACCTAGCCGACTACCACGAACAAGCCATCTTCACCGACCCAGACGTGGACGGGATCGGGAACATTGCCGGGCAGACCATCATCCCGCCCATCCTCGACGCACTGCAACAGATCGCCAACGAGAGCATGCCCTTGAAGTTGCAATACATCGGGATTGCGTACAAGCCGGTGAGTGTCGACATGCAATGGAAGAGGGACAACCTGGTCACGCGATGGAAGAACGCGAGGGCTGAACGGAATGTCATTGTCTTGCCGCAGTTCTTGTCATTGTTCAACATGACCCAATCTGGGATCGACGGGATGGTCAGCTACGCTTCGGCCCTTGCCATCGAAGTCAGGAACGGGACGGACGGGATGACCGTGTCGATGAACTTGTAAGTGTCAAGTCGCAAGACGAGCATCGATGAGGCGATTATTACCTGGAGAGCTGACTGCATTGCGACCGAATTTGACAGCCGAAACGGTAGCGCCAAGACCGACGACAACATCGGAGCCGACAATCCATTCAACCCCGTCCCCCTGTTCGGCCGCGACGAGACCGAGATCCCCCTCCAGACCTTTATCGACACACTCAAACCCCACGGAATCTCCGAGCTGTCCACATGGTGCACTCGATGCGGGAACACGAACAGTCGAGGGTGTGAATTGCTCGGCTCTGACGGATCGTCGTCCTCGTCGGACTATGCGAGCATCACCAGCACGTCGGGAAGGCAACACGTCAGCCCCGTCGTCGCTGGTGTGATCGGCGCTCTGGTCGGGATCGTCGTCGCAGGGATCTTGTTTGCCGCGCTCGGTCTCTGGGGCAACAAGAAGGGGAGAGGATCTGGGTCGGGATATGTTGGAGGCAAGAGGCCGGAAAGGGAGACGTCGTACGCTGGTGACACCGTGAGTTCTGCTTTCCCGCATCTGCACCCGTCCCGTCCCAACTGGTAAGCTCACCTTGACTTGACTTTCGGGTGACACAGAGCTACGAGATGGAGGAGCCGAGCGATGGGAGGAAGGGAGGTGTCGAGATCTAAAGGACATGCAAAAGGGACAGACAGGAAAATACGATAGTTCGTGGGAAATTGATGTATCGACGACTGGCGGACCGACCCCGAAGGCGGTGTACAAGCGGCCACATGAACGTAAACTATAAAGGTGTATCGGTATAGATGATGCGATTCGACAAAGTCGGACGATATGCGGGATCAGGTCTCGATCGGACCCGAAAGCGATCGACCTGTACTTTCGACCTGTGGTCTTGAGGCGTTTGCGTCGTGATCTACGATCGGGTTGCATGCCGATCTGCTCGTACATGGCTCAGTCACCCAGTCAACACTTTGGCCATCCGCTCTGATGATTTGGTTGCCAGGAAATTTCCTCAACTAATGGCGTGTCCAACTACAACCTTGACATCTTTGCAACAATTCACGTTGATCAAGTCGTCGTGGAGACTCTCAGGCGTAACCTCGACCTTGATACCCCAATCATCGGTAGCGGCCATTACATCGCCGTGACCAAGGGCACCTCCAGGTGGAGTAGGAGTATGCTGTGGCCATGACGACCGCCCGGAGAACCGTTGATGATTGGCCTAGATACTCTAGAGTTGGCCTGAAGAGGTCATAGCTGTCGTACGCCGCAACCCATGCTGGAGCTGGCGATATCTTCATCAAAGCAACCCATTCGCCACGTCACTCGCCCCAAAGTCCGTCGAACCCGACCTGGACTCGTCGAGAACAGAGGAGAAGCCCGTGAGAAGGCCGTTGGATTGGAGTAGCGACTGAGGAGTGGGCAAAGATGGGGCGGGGGATGACAGCACAATCTTGTAGCATCTGGAAGCCCCTGTGCGATAGACGACTTCTCGAGTAGAAGAAATGAGCATCAATGAGCAGAGAACCTCCAGAGTGCCAGTGATCAAGCTCGACATCACCAGGTTTTTCCATTCACGACATCTGTTGCGAACGCCAACGCACGAAATTCTCTCTACGAACATCCAACACCCGAACTTCTCTTTGCGAACCACCAACAACACGTCAACACCCAAACCTCTTCACATACCCTCAAACCCGAAAAATCCACAACATGTCTGCTCAAGCCGTTATCCTCCCCGCTATCGTCCAGCAGGACACCCGACTGCTCGTCAGCTTGCAGAGCTACGATTCGTCGATCACCGAAAACAACAATGACATCCTCTGGGCGATGAACCAGTTGGTAACGACCATTCGGCGCGACTTGGCTGTTGATTTGAAGGTTTTGGGATATACATCCTACAAAAATGAGTTCGCCTTCGTCATGTCAAGTCCACACCTGCACGCCATGCAACGCTTGTCGTCGATCGTCATATTCCTTCGGCCGCCTTGACGACCGACCACCGGAAGCAATCAAGATATCCCCATGACCAATTTACTTCCGAAGCAACTGTCCCCGGCGGTAAGCGATGCGGGAATGACTTTCGAGCGACAAAGATCACTCGCACTCGTGCACCATATCGACGATTAGCAACAACAACATCGATATGGGGGGCAAGCCATCTCATAGACCACCCACAGCGACACCATAGACTCTTGCCACATTCTCGTATATCCTGGAGACTGATCGATCGATCATCTCACTCTCGTTCAAAATCCCGCAGCTCCCGGCACGTTCGCGATCGAATCTCTCGAATTCTAGATCAACATACCCGGGGACCGATCTTGGACGATGGCGGAACGTCCGGCGTTCCGATCGACAAGGTCAGAACAGCCTATAAGGACGAACTACATCTCGGACGATGAAGAAGAGCTGGATATACCACCGGTGTCATCGGCCGTAGGAATCGGTTTAGAATCGAACTCGGCTTCTTCTTCGTCCATAAACGGACCTGCACATACACATGAAAATGCTTCGAACCGAAATCGGAGCAGGCAAGATTCTCTATCTGCCTATCTTCACGGGATGGACCTCCAATACCCGGCCTTGGCTTCCCTGAGGGACGCGTTGCTAGGGTATTTGGGAGAGGCGGAGATGATCGTCATGGAACGAATCAAGGGGAGACAAGCTGCGGAAGCTCGAGCGCGGTCCGGGTCGGGGTCGTACTTCGATACCCCGGCTCGATCAGATGGTTGTCAACCCGAACACCTAGATGCTGCTGCCCTCGGACTATACCCGGAGAGCGAGAACGCGGGGACGCTCGGATCGACATCTACATCGACGAGCTCGACACTGAGACGTCGTGGCAAAGCCCTCAGGAGGAGCTTATCGGGATCCTTACCTACCCCTCAACTTCCTTCACCCGAAGCGCTCTTAGCCCATCTCTCCGCAATTAGAGAAGACGTCATATCTTCCCTCCCCGCCATCCCCTCTATCATCCCATTCGGACTCCCTAGCCTACCTTCGAGGGCTTCGATGGCATCGATGTCGTCGTTCACGAACCTAGCTCAGGCGGGGAACGTCAATGTACCGGGATTCTTACAAGGGTTACCGCAGAGGTTGGGGGTATTGCATGATCATCTACCAGGATTGATCGGTACTGGCTTTCCGTACCACCATCATTCGGAAGTCTTTGCTGGCCTCGACCAGGACCGAGCTGCATCGCCCCCTCCAACTCCTGTGACGCCAACGGGATTGGCATCCAGGTTGAGCGCAGAAAACAGGCGACGAGTGATGGGGCTCGTCAAGAACCTTTTGCCTTCGGAAGACTGGTCCGGCTGGGAAAAGTTGGGATGGGAGGATTACGATGACGATGAGGACGAAGAGGATTATCCGACGTGGACTGCGCCAAGTTCCAGCACCAAGTCGAGATCGGGGTTGGGCATGATCAGACGGAGTCAGAGCTACAAGTCCACCTCTTCTTCGTCTTCTTCATACGCCAATAAGACCAGATCCGAAGGAGAACAAGCTTCGGCGAAATCCAACCTGTCCCCGAAGAACATGATTAAACGGCTGTACAACCCTTCTCACTTTCCGCCTTCCAAGCCCGACCGCGAGTCAGAGATCGAGGAAGAGCCGGAATACTTGTTCCCGAACAAGACCCCTGCGGCGGCCATGAGGCGACAACAGAGCTACGCCGTCAAGCGGGAGGTCAGGGAGTTGAGGCGGGCGAGGAGCGTCAGTCTGAGTGCGCTTGGCGAGCGCAAGGGGATGACCACGGGACCGGGAATGGGACCAGGTGCGGAGATGAGGAGGACGAAGAGTCGGGATGATGGGACGATTTGGAAGGTCGTCTTGACCGATTCGGAGGGGGAGGACGAGGACGGTCGAGCTGGAGGCAGAGCGGGTAAAAGTATTGACAACGCATTAAACTTGGAGGTGGGAGAAGAGGAGGAAGGAGAAGAGCTTGAAGTGGAAATCGAAGAGGTCGCTACCCTGGACGTCGGTCCGACCGTTCATGAAGCTTTGCAAAAGAGCGAGAACGGGACCAAGTTGATCGTCTTCGATGACCTCCCTTGGTGGATGCGGAATAACGAATACGTCACTGGCGGATACAGGTGAGACTTCGTGTTCAATCTCTTTTAGGTCGAAGCAGATACTGAACAAACACCGCCATGGACAGGTTCATTCCGCTTGATGCCAAGACGGGTCCGCTGAGATTGATCGCGAGCGCTTTCCGCTGGCATAACGAGACCAGTGAGTAGGACGAAGACCACCATCAGAGGTGAGAGATCACACGTTGATCTGGCTTCATCCAGTAAACATCCACTCGCATTTCATTCCCTCGGTCCTTCTCGCCGCATTCTTCATTCCCGTAAGTTCTGCCTCTCCAGTTCGAGTGAATACCATATCCTAATTTCAACCACATGTGCTCTCCCTTAGTACACTCTGTTCAATCCACCCTTTTCGGATCCTGCGCCGCTGGATATCTTGACGATGCTCGCTTTCCTTGCGAGCGCTTCGGCATGTCTCATTTCCAGGTGAGTTTGCAGTTTTGATGCGACGCCAGCTGGATCCAGCTGATTGGGAAACCATGACCCGGTATGCGCAGCGCTTCGTGGCATACGCTCGCGGGTTGCGCCAGGAGAAGGATCTTCGAATGGGGAGCCTGTGTCGACTGTGAGTGGCGGCTGATGCTGCATTACTATAAATGGAAAAAGAGCTGATCGTGATCACGATAATGTTGTGTAATCGCAGATGTAGGAATATCTTGTAAGCCGATTCCTGCCGTCGTACTTGATGCGTCTGAATGGTATCTGAAGCTCTTCTTGGAAATGTCCTGCAGGGCTTATATCGTGTTCAATCCATACGGTCTACTACAACGGGTAAATACCTGCTTCCCAGCACAATAGCCTTGTCTATGAGATCTCGGCTCATTGTTTTGCTGTTCTTTGACAGGTTCTACTGTCAAGGCCGAACACTACTCGCTTATACGCTGACCACACTGGCTGCGGCGATCGCGGGTTCGATCGCTCCCTTTCAACCGGTGTTCAATGAGCCGAAAAACAAGGTCGGTTTAACCCTGAGCATCGTGAACGTAACGCACATTGCTCACGAGGGCTACGTATCTGAACTCTGTCATGGTGCAGAACCTGAGAATTGCCTTCTTTTTGGCCATTTGTCTGACGGCCTTGGCGCCTCTGACACACCTGGCAATCCAGCACGGGTTGTGGACGATGATCAAGTTCGCCGGTGAGTGTCATCTGGATTCCGTTGCTCCTGTTGCTCCTGTGGAGGTAGGATTTGCTATCTGAATATGGCTTCGTTGTGACCAGCTCCGGTCGCACCGTCATGCGCGGCGTACATCGTGGGGTTGACTTTTTACGCGACGCATTACCCGGAAAGTCGATGGCCCGGCCGGTTCGATTGTTTCGGGCACAGCCATCAGGTCAGTCGATTATCTTGGATTTCATTGCAATGGATGGATTCGGTCAGAAAAAGCTGACGCGATACTGTTTCGAGGGGTGATCAGATCTGGCATCTGTCGATCCTATTTGGGATTTACTGGCACTATACCGGCAGCCTTGTCATCTTCGAGAGTCGGCACGGCATGGCTTGTTCTCTCGACACTGGAGTTGGGGCACCTATGAGCTCGTACTTGAGAGGATGGGGAGAGTGGATGTTGCCCGCCGGGCTGTATCATCACGGGCATCCGCAACTTCAGCATCAGATGGAGTACCGCGTGGGATGACGCTACATGATGGATTTTGAAGTTGGACGTGCGAATGGTGGCATCATGATGTAGCAATTAGCATATTAGCATAGCAAATAGCATGGCTCGGATTCGACCAGTCGCGCCAGTCGCACGGAATGGTATGCGGAATCATCACGCAGGTCGTTCAAGACAATAGCTGAAAGGTGAAACACGACACCCGGGTCAGCAGGATTTGAAATGATTGACAGAATTGGTTTAAGCGCGACCTTTTGCGCTTCCGCTTGGCGATTTCTTTTGGCGGAATGAACGAACGGGTTGCGGAAAACAAGCGCACTCTCTCGAGCCTTTTCGCGCTTTCCTGGTCCAGGACTCTGACGCGCCGAGTTGTGAGCCAGGCAACCACACTTGCTCGCGGGAAACCGCTCCCGGACGAGCCAGCCGACGTGTGGGCGGGGTTCAAGCAGAAGTCCATTGACGAAAGAGGTCGTCCTCGAACATCCTTCTGCCCTCTCTCCACCCCACCCTTCTCGTTTAGATTCTAGTCCAGGCAAGAAGACAAAATCGACAGGTGCGTGCGGAGCGCTATCAAGCAGAGGACGGTCTCGGGATATCGGTTGGCTGGCTGGATCAAACGGGATGCGGGTCGGGAACTGGGTCGGATTGCGGATGTCGAGGATGGGTCTGGATGGTATGGTCGGTCTGGAGGAATAGGTCTGGGTCTGGATGGATGGATTGCGTCTGGTCAGGGTCGTCAAGGAGATGAACCCGTAATTGGGGAATATATCAAGGATATTAGGCAATAGAACCGACAACACGATACAAGGGGAACGATTTCCGAAAGACTCGATCATCAGCAGAAGAGAGGAATCATGGCAGCGGAAGGGTTTACCAATCTGGTCGACTTTGGACCGTGAACAGCCGCCAATCCAAGCAAGGCCCAGCATACACGCGAAGGCAGAACCTGTTCGACGAGGCTGTCTCCAACTAGCTCTTTCGACGCGGACCTTCATCGATTACAATCCACAAACAGGAAAGCATCAAAGGCCCATATCGCTTGATCTGCAAGGAACATCCTTCAGAAGAGCTCCTGATTCAGATAGTCAGACGAAACCCAGACGAAACCAGACCTAGACCCAACTACGAAGCAGACCTACCATGCCATCTCCCCATCCTCTCCGATACCGGCTACTCTCAACCTGCATCCCGCAACGATCTAGCCAGCCAGCATATCCCAAGACTTCGCCTGCATTCAGTAGCATCCGATGCTTCGGAAAGCTTACCTATCTTCCTCTATGCGCTTATTGCAAACTGTACAGGCAAGATGGAGCAAAACGCCACTACCGCCAAGCACTTTGCTAAGCAGCCCATCTTCAACAACGCCAAGGTCAGGGGTGAGTAATCGAGTCGCTCGCCGACAGAAGGCAGATCACGATCTGGAGGGCCTGTCGGCTGACGCGTATGGGATCGCTCGTGATGGTTGTGCGTAGGCGGAAAGAAGGTCAACTCCAGGACCAAGCGTTGGTACAAGGATGTCGGTCTTGGCTTCAAGACCCCTGCCGAGGCCATCAACGGAACCTACATCGGTTAGTCTGCAAAGCCCGGCTCCTAACTGTTGTCGGCACACAACTGAATTGATCCCGGGTGTTTATTTGACGTTTCGTATATATAGACAAGAAGTGCCCCTTCACCGGTGAAGTCTCGATCCGAGGCCGAATCCTTTCCGGAGTTGTGAAGTCTACCAAGATGACCAACACCATCATCATCCGAAGGGACTACCTCCACTTGTCCGTATCCACGTTCTCGCATAAATCCAGCCGGGCTCGGGAGACTGATCCGCGTTTCTGTCGTTTGTTTTTGTTTGCCATCAACAGCATCCCCAAGTACAGGCGATACGAGAAGAGGCACAAGAACCTCGCCGCCCACTGCTCGCCCGCTTTCCGAGTCTCTGCTGGTGACCAGGTCATCGTCGGCCAGTGCCGACCTCTGTCCAAGACCGTCAGGTTCAACGTCTTGAGGGGTGAGTCGCGGGTCTTGTATTGCCCCATGGACGAAGGAGGAACATGATGCTGATCGATGTGGTTATTCCTGAAACTTTTAGTGCTCGAGAACAAGCAGGCCGCCCGTGCGTTCAGGAAGTTCTAAACGCCTCCATCTCTTTGAACGCCAGTCATCGCCCGCGTCCGGGATCGCTCGCTAGCCAGAGGACGTAGGGTGGGTGATTTGGTGGGAAGAGAAGATGGTTCCCGAAAGAAGGGAAGGGATTTTTTTTTCCTTTGGAGGGGAGCGTTTTGTGCAATGGGAATATGTTATTCTCTGTTTTATTATGAGATGAAACGATTTCCTCGGGGTAGACGGCGATTTTGTGACCGGTGTGCGGTTCCGTGCTGTCTGTCGGGACAGATAGTATGACCAGAGCAGTAATGACGGTGTTTCACTTGAGATCTCGTCCTTGTCGTCGCCGTCACGTGACTTGTGTTTTGATTCGATGACGAATCCACATCGAGGACTCTCGATCGATCGAACGTTCCGATCTCATGCCACCCGTTCGCATAAAGCTAGGGAAAATGGAAAGGACATCTTGTCATCAGATCAACGACACCCTATACGTGGCACCATCTCAAGTATAAGTACTCAACAAAAGCACAAATCAGAATTATCATGTCGTTCGTCGTTGTCGTCACCGGAGCCGTAAGTCGCAACCAAAGGCCTAACCACCTCGGCCTCACTCACTGACCCTTACGTCCTCCTACCTAACGCCTTTTACCCACTGTCTAGAACCGAGGAATCGGAACAGCCATCTGCGATGGGATCCTCTCCGCCTCCACGCCCAAACCTGTCGTCCTCTACGCCTGTTCCCGAGCGGGAAAAGATCTCGGCCTGAAGGGCAAGGTCGAATACCCGAAGTTGGATATCACGGACAAGACCCAGATTCAAGCTCTGGTTGACAAGATTAAGCAGGACCAGGGCGGGGTGGATGTGCTTATCAACAATGCGGGAGTCAATCTCGATGACGATTATTCGTTGGAGACTGCCAAGCAGACTCTGGAAACCAACTACAGGGGGACGCTCGAGGTGAGTGGCGAGTCCCTTCCTTGACTGTCGACCCGTCTGTTCTTCCGGTGTCAAGTCACTTCAGGCGTCGAGACCTCGAGCTGAGCATGAGACCATCATCCTCTGGTTTCGCAGATGTGTCGATCGTTCCTCCCCCTATTGAAAGACCGACAAGGATCCAGGATCGTCAACCTCTCCTCGGTCGCCTCCCAGCTCAACCATTACTCTCCTGAGATCCAGGAAAGGTTCAGGAGCGTCAAGACATTAGAGGAAGTTCAAGGACTGGCCGATGAATACTTGGTCAGTATTGTACACTCCTATGGTCATCGATCTTACGATCGCGGTCTAGACTGATCGGTAACCCCTCCCACGTCGATAGTCCGCCGTCGAAGCGAACAAGGTCAAGGAATCCGGATGGGGTCGACCTCAGCTGGCTTACTCGGTCTCCAAGGCGTTGATGAACGGGTTCACCCAAGTGTTGGCCAAGGAGAACAGTGAGGTGTTGATCAACGCTTGTTGCCCCGGGTGGGTTTCGAGCGATATGGGACATGTAAGTGCACTTCCAACACCGCTTTTCTTTTACTGTGCGACGTTCTCGTTCCTGATCATGGGTTTTTCCTTATGCAGCTTATCGGCAAGCCTCCCAAGTCTCTTGGTAAGCGCAAACTCGGCTGGTCATCTCTTTCATTGATCTCCAGCTCACCGCGTCTTTGCTTTCACTAACATTGCAGAGGAAGGCGCCAGGGTACCGCTCAATATCGCTCTCAAGGATATCGGCGGTACGACCGGAAAGTATTGGGCCAACTCTTCCGTCAGCGGGACTGGAGAGGGTCAGGTGCAAAAGTGGTAGACGTATCCATGCGGTGAAGTTAAACTGTAGCGAATCGATAAAAGATGAACGATGCGAAGGGTTGTATACTGAGACACTTTTCATGTCAATTGAATGAGCTTTACGATCGAGATTTGTCAGGTGTGAATCGAGAGACGCAGGCTGCCCGAAATGCGGCGTGTTAAGATCGTCGAATATCAAGAATCCGGAATGTTATCTGTCCAGCGACAGGCGTCATGGTGATATCAAGAGTGCGGACCGCCTCTCCGTCGGCGCAGAATTGTGCACCTCTTCATCCTTCATTTCGATCTTTCCTCGATCAAATCCATCTCTCCTTCTACCTTTCTAATCAACCGGACTACATGAGCGCATGAGCCAGTGAACGGAGAGACATGCATGCGTATATGTAGATCGTAGATCATTGAAGCTACATTGCGCTCAAAGATATCATGTAGATACATCTACATCCGACAAACTCTTGTAAACCCGTACTCCTGTCTGAGATCAGTCCATTCATTGCAACTCCATGAGCTTGCTCCTGACATAGGCCCGCGCCTGAGCGATCCGTGTCAGGCCGCCATTGCTGTCCTCGCCGCCGTCACTGTTGATCAATCCGAGCATCGTAGCTTTCGCTTTCGCCAGCCAGTAATTGACATGGTCGTTCAAGTCCTTCCATTTTCTCTCCAGTTGCTCGGGGTTTCCAGTACCTATCTCCTAAGCAACCCAAGATGATGGACAGCGCATCTAGACTTAATCGCACAGGCACCTTTGACAGCTAGCATTGCACCTTCTCCCCAGTTAACCGCATCCTCTACGGTCTTCGACCAATCCTTGAAGATTGTGGTCGGTGTTGGCGTTTGAGCGAGTCCCGCGTTTCATGATGATGACTGTATACGAAATTCTGACGCATGACCGCTTCTCTAACCCACATCAGCCTGCTGAACTCTAAGTGATAAGCGGAGGTTCTTATACAGCGACCCAAGGCTTGCGCGCGCCTTTGCGCTGTATGAGAGCAAGCGACATGAGGTCCAGGACCCCGTGACCGCTTGCTTCGCTTGGATCATCGCACTTGCAGGAGGCATAAAACCGTTATCATTCTTGTCCTTTGTGCAAGGTCTAGATGATACTAGCGTGCTCAAAGACAATATCTCTTCACTTTGGACACCACATCTTAGTGTTGGTGGTCGACAATATCCTGAGCGGTTTCGATGGGATTTCTACCAGTAAGCGCCTGGGGAATGGCGCGCTGGACCTGTGGCATCCCTCCGAGCCCGCTGTTCATCAAATCGAGAGTTCCAGCCAAGACCGCCAGATACTTGCGATTCCAATGGTCTCGGCAAGTGAGCCAAATCTTTTGGGAGGTATCTTCCTCTTGAGAGGGATATCCATACTCAAACAGCTGGACTCACAGGTCGACAGATTTGCAGACCGCAAAGTCTTCTAGGAACCGGTTGCATCAGATTTGGAACAGGGTGGAATTTGACAGTGCGTTCTTGTTGCTGTCCTTCCGCCGCATGAGCGGATCCCCAGCGATATTCTGGCCGACATATCTGGTGCATGTGCTGGTGTCTTTTGCAGCGGCCTCGAGACGTTCTAGATGCCGATTTTGTTCTGCACGCCAGGCACATAGCTCTGGTACACCCCAATGAACCTCCATAAATCTCGCACTCAGACTCCACCGTTGTCTACTGCGACCTCTCATACATCAGAGAGGCACTACGCTTGGTTTCCTCAGGGGAGGCGCAGGATCTCCTTTGATATGACGACGAGCTCCTCCCACAGTTGCTGTACATATCAGAAGAATGTCTCTTGGAGGCGGAGATCATAGTCTCGTCCAGCCGGCTCTGTCCATTATCGCTGTGACACTTCCAACGCAGGATAAATAGGAGGCCATCCTTGGTATGCTGGAAGCCGGAAGCGCTTGAACCAAGTCTTTCGATGCGCTATACTAGTACACCGACTGTCTAATCATACTGTATCTGTGGGAGAAGCGAAGAGAAACGTCTCGCGAACATAGGTCTCTTTCCAGCAGGTGCAATTGGCCATCACGGGCTGGTGTTCTAAGGGGATACAGATGCCTTTGAGGTCGACATGCGGGTCGTGTTGCGACACCGTTCGGCTCTGTGGTCCAACGCGCATATCGAGCATGCTGCTAAGACCTATGAGCGTAACCGAGCATAGCGGGGCGCTTGGGCTGTGATGGATATTGCGGCGGACTGGTTTCTCCGCAATTGCTGCCTGGGCTCTCGAGACCATGTAAAAAGCTTTGCCCCTGATCTCGACTTCGCAAGGGGAGAAGAAAAGATGATGACCTTCGGATCGCCCAGTATCGATCAAAGTCGCCAAGATCTCGGATGAGATGATTATTGACCGAATCCATCTATCATATAGCCTCGCATCCGACTACAAATACAGCCTGTTACAATTTACCTGATCTAGCCACCCGACGTCCTCATCGGGACGTACTAATCGTATGCTTGTCATAATTCCTCCTGCCTATACCCTTCATCTCTTTTCCCAAGACCTACGAGCGAATCGGTTCGCCTGTATCGACCTAGAATCAGAACCCTAAAAGGCTGATCCCAAAGATGATCCCGACGACAACCCCAACGCTTCCCATCGACCCCGATCGAGCGTGGGTATCCCTCGGCGAGCTGTTAGCTCGGGCGGATAGTGTGCGGGGTATACTGTGTTTCGGGGAGTAAGAAAAGCGAGAGGGAGGTTGATATCAGTATCGATTCAAGGCGAGAGCAGAGGCAAGGAGTGGGTTGTCGTGTTCGAGAGAAGAGGTAAATGGCAAGGAAGACGGAAGGTTCGGGGAGACAAAGCATTGCGACTTACGCTGTAGCAAAGTATCCTCCTGCGGTTTCCGTATAAGTAGGCGGGAGGCGGTATTGTACTTCGTGTCCCTGTTACACATCAATGGCATCAATGCAAGACGATCGTAAGAAGAGTATCAGCAACAGTTCCAGTTTCGGCCCTCGAAAGGTACCAAACAGTAGTAAAGAGAACTCACCGCCTTCTTGCACATCCCCTCCCCATACTCGACCGCATACTGTACGTCCCAACTGCTCTCACATTTGACCACCAGACACTTGGCCATCGTCTCCAGGTAAACGTCATACAGACAGTTTTTACTGATAAAGCTCCACTGGTTGAGGTTGGTCTCATGCGTCCAGGGAGCGGGGATGGATTCGGTCACGTCGTGGTTACATTGTTTCCAACAATCTGGAGTTGCGGGGTAAGGAAGACGAAGACGTGAGTATCGGGAATCAATCTACGTCACCTTGAACTGAAAGGTGGGACTCACGGCTAACATCCCCCTGAGCGGTATGAAGTCCAAATTGCTCTGCCACCGAAGACCCTTCTCCCTCTCCCGATCGCGCCAAAGCGCCCGAAGACAGGCATAATAGGCCCAAACAGATCGTACTCAGGATGAGCGATTTCAAAGAGCCGGAAGAACGGGGTTTCCCAGAAGAGGTTGTTGTGGGGAGGTGGTGGTACGGCATGGTCGTAATCGCTATGAGATGTACTTAGGTGTAGTGGAGGTTCGTGAATTGTCTAGGCCGTATAAGAGATAGAGGTCAAGATTCCTTTCAAGTGATACGTGCGCCGACCATTTGGATTGATTGTATGGTATATATTGAGATGCCATCTTGAACGGTTCTTTGCTACATGAACAACTGAACAATTGCTCTGGTCACTGGTCGGACTTGTTACTGTGACAAGGATTGCAATCGAACTTTTGTTCTTTGTTCCCTGTTCAAGAGGACAAAAGAGAAACGATACCCGAGCGCGAAAGCCGGGCCGATGCGCGGCACCGATTGAGCGAAAAAGACAGGTCAACTTGGACAAAAAGAAATCAATTGATGAAGACGATGCGATTCGAACGCATGACCCGAAGGACTAGCGGATTGAGGCTGTTAACCTGAAGCTAGCGGATTAACCACTCTCCCACGTCTCCTTCATGTTAAGCTCGTGAGTTATTAAAAATATGTACCCAACGCCCGGCGACACACCCGTGTCGCGATTTTCTCGCTCTGATCTCTCCTCCGGGGCCGCAGCGTGGGAGGCAGGGCGGCGGAGGGAGGATTGACGTCGTCGTCCGTCGTTTCGTTTCCTGCGATCGGGACCAACACTCTCGACTCTCACCACTTCTCTGTTCCTCCGGCATTAGCAAGCAAAAGCAATCGCACAAGATCTCTGCAGCTATCCTTCCCTATCTCCAGACGTACCCATCCTCCTCCCCTCACTTCCTCTTTTCGTCTCCTCTCTTACCCGATCGACTCTCGTAATCACCATCAACTCCCACTCGACCGACCTTACATCATACCGACCCTCCTAGGTCTCTGGCAACTCGTAAAAAAAGATCGATCCCCGATCGACGACCCCCATCTCGGTTCACCAATACAAGGACGAGGCTTTGATCTCGTATCACAGACCTTAGAATCACAACTGGATTAGAGGAGCAAGAAAGCGACGGGAACCGAATAGGATAGACGATTAGCGTTCACGTCAACGTCATTCCGTAGTTTGCACCACCAGCACACCCTTGCGAGAGGACTCGATAAGAAACTTCCTTTGAGGGCGAAGAAGACGCAGACGAGGTGATCGATTATCTTGCCTATACTGGAGTTTAGGACGCTGTAAGGTGATCCAAGTGAGAGTACATCACAAGGACGAGTTAAGAACCAGGCTAGACGAGAGCCGCACCCCGATCGATATCCGCGTCAACAACCGGTCATCGAGATTCATAGGAAGACTTTCAGGTTTCGAAACCCTGTGAAGCTGGTATCAAGATCAACAAGAGTAGCTTGCACGACCGAACGGGATCTTTCGGTCATATCACCTGGCAACCCAGGAATCCAGTCTAGATAAGCAATCGGGTATCAGCCACACTTACATCAACCAGGATGAGCGCTCCTTCTTCCCCAACGAAAGAGATGGAGAACTTGAGCGTCTCGGACAAACAGGAGAATCAGGCGAGTGACGTGCAGCAGGGGGAGAAGAAGGAATCTTCGGGGTCCGGAGAGGGGGTCGAGGTTTCTTCTACACCTTCGCCTTCTGCGACGCCTGCACCTGCACCCGCCCCTGTAGCAGAGTCGGCACCGGTACCAGCTGCCGAGCCGACCCCCATTCCGACTGCCAACGGTAGCAAGACCGACGATGCAGAAAAATCAGCAGGAACGGCGTCATCAGGATCACCTGCTACCGTCCTCGCGAGGGATATGGTCGACGGTTCCCCCGCTTCTCCTCAGGTCATCAAGAGCCCGCCTGCGATCGGAGGATTGGGAATGAAGAGCCCCCCGACTGCACCTGTCCGACCTGGACCTAGCATAAGTGGAATGGGCAGGGGATTGGCGAGTGCCAGGTCGGGGTTACAAGCTGGAATGAGCGGAGGTGGGGGCAGCAGATTGCCTCCGACTTTACAGGCCAAGATTGATGTGAGTTAATCGAAGGCGTCAGCATGCGGATATTGCAATCGGAGGGAGACTGACGCAAGTACGGGTCGTTCCCGTTGCAGGCCATGGCGACTAGGTCGAAATCGGGCGCACCGGCCGTAGGAGGCGGGGATTCGACCTCGACCTCGTCCCTGCTCGCATCCGCTGCCAACCGGGCTGCAGCACCAGGTGCTGGTGGAGGCATTCGACCGGGAGGTTCAGGTGCTCCCTTATTAGGAGGACTCGCCGCTCGACGTGCTGCATCGGGAGCACCCACTTTGAGCGGTGCAGGTGGTGGATTGAGTCGTCCCGGTGCCCCTAGCCTCGCTAGACCTGGTGGAGGCGCTCCCGTTCTCCCTTCGACCGGTCTAGGTGGTGGACCCGGTCGACGTCTGAACAGGCCTTCCGGGATGACGCTGAGCAGTATGGGCGGAGGTGCCGGACCGAGCGGTGGACCAAACGGGAAGAATTCGCCTTTTGGCAACTTTTCCAAGATCGTCGACCCGTCGGGCAAGCTCAATTTCGATAAAAAGGCCATCTTGCACGCCGAGGGGGTCAACTTTTCCAACGGAAAGTCGTTCGAGATCAACAAGGATCAGATGGAGTTGCAGGAAGAGTTGGGTAAAGGAAACTACGGCGAGGTGAGAAAGGTCTACCACAAGCCGACCAAGGTGACCATGGCCATGAAGGTGAGTTCGCGAGGAGATACGCACGAGTGAGTTGACGTGACGTGAGTATCGCGACTGACGTCGTACCCATTGCAGGAAATCCGACTCGAGTTGGATGAATCGAAATTGAGCGGGATCATCATGGAGCTTGACATCCTGCATCGAGCCATCGCCCCGGAAATTATCGAATTCTACGGCGCTTTCATGGTTGAATCCTGCGTCTACTATTGCATCGAATTTATGGACGCTGGGAGTCTCGATGCCCTGAACTTCGGCGGGATCCCCGAGAAGGAATTGGCAAGAATCACAAAGGCTGCAATCAAGGGGTTGAAGTTCTTAAAAGACGAATTGCAGGTCATGCATCGAGGTGAGTGTTGGTCTGACATCTAAGCGGAACAAGCCGCTCATAGCTACTACCTTGCTACTCGCCGCTACCAGATGTCAAGCCGACCAACCTGCTCGCCAACAAGAAGGGTCAGATCAAATTGTGTGATTTCGGTGTTTCGGGTCAGCTTGAAAAGAGTTTGGCCAAGACCAACATCGGGTGTCAGAGTTACATGGCGGTGAGTCTCGCGAATCAAAGTTCTAATCTGAAAACCCACGCTGACTCGGTCGTCCTGGTCGCCTTCGTCTGTGCAGCCTGAACGTATCAAGGGAGAGAGTACCGGTCAAGTCAGCACGTACACCGTGTCATCCGACGTCTGGTCGGTCGGTCTGACCATCATCGAATTGGCCATGGGTTGTTACCCCTACCCGCCCGAGACGTACCAGAACGTATTCGCTCAACTTCAAGCCATCGTGCACGGACCGCCTCCCAGGTTGCCCGAGCAATACTCGGCCACTGCGCAGGACTTTGTCGCTAGCTGGTAAGTTCAGCGATCAAGGTCTCATCTTCCTGGTTACGATGCACATCTGCTTACTCTGTCTTTGCCATGATTTGCAGTCTTCTGAAACAGCCCGACGCTCGACCGACCTACGCACAACTGTTGGAACACCCCTGGATGAAGGAGGATGACGAGCGCGAAGTCGATATGGCTGCGTGGGTCGCTGGAGCGCTTGAAGCGAAGGCCAAGCGGAGAACCAACGGAGCGCCTGTCAGCTCGAGCGCTCCCGAGGTTGCAGAAGGTCACGCTCGTGGACCGGCCGTGCCGCCACCTTCGCAGACTGCCAACGCAGACAAGCCATGACGAGCACAAAGGGAATCGCACATCATGTGATCTCGTACTGCACTCGTCAGGCATATTCTGCGGCCATTTAGCACACGCATCCACGCTATTGAGCGTGCCTTATATTCACCACCTGATCCAGAGAACATGTTATACACGCCATTGTACTCTTCTGATCGTCCCTTTCCGCTTGTAGCCCTATTATCGAGACTCTTTGACGGTTTCCGGCCTTCACCCGCATATGATGATGACACTCATACGCTTGCACCTTGAATGTCGTCTCATACCTATGTCAGGGTCCTTTTTACCTGTTCCGCTGCGCAGTAGCTTCCAACAGGCTGGCAGCCCTTTCAGATACATCTTGTAAACGTCTCGCTCGTCAACGGCGTTACACGCACAAGAACCAGCAAACGTGCCATCGCTATCGGATGTCCCTGAGAGAAGGAGGCCGCGACGGGCCTCGAGGATTGGACGTTCAACGGCCAGAAGAGATGACTACGAGGGCAAAAAAAGATACTCTCTGCCTGGGAATCGAACCCAGCGCGGGCGCGAGTAGTGTTGATAGTTGATATCATGACAAGCGCCAATGTTACCAATACACCAGCAAAGATGCACTGTACGCTAAATTTATGACTATCGAATAATGGGTTTTGTAATCAGAGAACGCATGACTAAGCGAAAATCTCGACGACTTTACATCGCCACGAATCATCCCTCTTCCCAGGGTCACTTTTGTTTTAGAGTTTTGATCCCAGTTACCTGGACAGAATATATAGTACGCTCTTTGCTCTTTAATATGTCTCAGAACGATAGCTGAAACAACGAGAATGCGTCGAGCCTGCACGAGCGTGTCACATAGAAGCGCGCTTCGTTCGCGCTTGTCGCCCCCTTTCGTTATGGACTAACTGGGATCGAGGTGAATGCGGTGGTAGCGTGACCTGTCGTATCATTATGGCCGTCTTGTAACCAGCGAAACAAGAACCACGACCTGTCATAGGATTCGTTCTAGGGAAGCTGATGAAGCCATGACGAGGTCCAAGACGAAAGCCAAGAAGAAGGCTCAACAGGCGCCGTCTCAGCCGCAACAACAGGTGTCAACGGAGGACGCCGTGTTAAGGAATGGGAACGTGCAGCAACATCAGCAGCAGTATCGCAATAGCACCGATCATAGTCATAGCCAGAGTCATTCATCTGCACATCCATACGCTCAACCTCATCATCACCATCATCAACATGTACATGCTCATGCGCAGAACGGGTTCCCTTCTCAGCCAATTCCATCTCATCCGAATTCCCATTCCCACTCCCCATCGACGCACACACCACAACCGGCACCTTCACAACCAGAACTCACAGAGGCGCAGAAGAAGATGGTTCCCATCTCCGACAAAGCTCTAGCTATGCTCAACCACATGCTAGGCAATCGAGGAATGATGCAAAGGGATCCATCAACGGGAGCGATCGACGTTGTGCTCAACACCGAGTTGTTCCCGAACTTGACGCTTCCGTTCCCAGCTCTCGAGATCCCGAGCAAGGGGAGTGGAGATCCAGAAGAAGACATCAGAGATGTTTTGCAAAAGGTTGCCGGGGGAGCTTTGGGCGGGATTGTCGGGATGCCAGGACCAGGAGTGGCAGGTCAGGGACAGGCTCAAATGCATGGACAAACGCAGCAGCAGCAACAGCAACATGCTCAACAGGTCATTGGGAATGCCTTTGGAGCTGGGTTAGGGGTCGGTCCGGGTGGAAAGTTGCCGAACTTGGAGGATCTATTGAAGTTGCCGATCTTCCAGACTGGAACGTGAGTAGTATATCGTTGTTACAAGGCACAGGCTGAAAGGTGAAAGCTCAACGAAATCCATGTCCCGTCCTACGTTGAGCAGAAACGAGAACACCCCAGCCTTGTCCAAATACCTGTTCCAACCGCATCCCTCATCATCGGCGCCTTACGCTACCGCTCAAGCACAGGCTCATCAACAGCAGGCGGTCAAAGGCAAGAACCGGCAACAGCAACCGCAGAATGCTTCTCCATCCTCCATCCCTCCAGGTCCGCAACCCCAGCTACCTGTTTCTGCCGGCACACCTTCAGCTCGCGGTGGTTCAACTGCTCCTATGCAGCACGTTGATGCCAGGTTACCTCCCTCGGGTCCGGTTGCTGCGGGTTCAGGAAGCAATAGCAGCAGTACCGAGGAGACAACGCATCACATGTGTCCTCACTGTGACGAGATGCACAGCGCGAGAGCGTACTCTGACGAGGAGTATGACGATGATGACGAAGAGTACGACTCGTATTACGCCTCGGAGGAGAGTTTCGAGTATGATGACGAGGATGGCGATTTGGAGGAGGAGGAAGGGTCCAACCCGGACGACGCCTCGCATTTATCATTCGTTCCGGAGGAGGTATCCGATGATGATGACGATGATGAGGACGAGGACGAGGCTGGAGAGGGTGTGGACGGAGAGGTGGACACGTTTTCGATTGGCGAGATCGAGGATGAGCTGGGTCCTGGAAGAGAGGACGAACGGGAAGAAGCAAGAGAGTTCTTCAGTCGGGTGTTTGGCAAGGGTAAAGAGAAACAGCGACAGAACGGTCCTCAACCCATGTCCTCGCCTGGGGGCCCGCTGAATGGACCTGGAGGTGACCCTCTGCAAGGCGGACCGCAGCCTCATCATGTCTGCGGACCCGAATGCCGAGAACCCACTCCCCGACAACTCTCGGAGGCTAGACTGCAAAAGGAACTCTTTTTCGAAAAGATGAAAGTCGCTTTCATGTATGACGGATGGCCGGAAGAGCTTCTCAAGAAGAAATGGTCCGAACTGACGGATCAAGAGCGGGAATATATACGGCGGACGGTCCTGGCGAGAGCGACGGACGGACCAATATGCGAGGACGAGAAGAGTAAAGCGAGGTTGATGAAGAAGGGTTGGCCAGAGTCGGCCCTGAGCAAGCGTTGGTCCGAATTGACGGATACGGAGCGCAAGAGGATCTTGCAGGTGGAAGCGGGGCCGCCAGGGCAAGACGATGGTGCAGGCGGGCGGCAAATACCAAGGGAGACGGCACCGCCGCATGTCAACGGTGCTTCGCCAGCGGTTCCACCACCTCAGATGCCCGGCGGTTGGACGCCAGGCGCAGGAGGCGGTGCTGGGGGTGGTCAACCGGATCCAGTCCTGCTCAGCGTTGGTGGAACGTTGGTGGAAGATGCTCACCGCGCCGATGCCGACGCACTGCGTGAGGCCATCATGCAGTATGGCAGCGTCATCGGACCCTACACCTCGGCCAATGGGGGCGACAAGATGGCGTTCCCAGAGATCACTGGTCCCAACGGCCAGGCTCCTGCGCTAGACGAACCTACCAAAGCCGAGGTCCGCAAGAAGCTCGCCCGGTTCCATGCCAAGGCGACCGAGACGGCGAAATGGATAATGAGCCACCTGGAGACGTCTTCCGGGATCGACCCTTACTTGCGAGGATCGCTCGAAGAGGCCAAACAGGTGTTTGAGGATTTCAGGACCAATTTCAAGGTACCCGACTTCTTGCAAGAGCAGATGGACGTCGCGACGATCATGTACGATGATCTGAACGGGACCAACCTCGCAGCGCTGCCTCCAGGTCCGCACGACATGCGCAACATGAATATAATGGCAGAAATGGCAGAGGAAACGCCGCCTAATACCAACGGGACGGGGGACGGCAAAAAGAAGAAGAAGAAGCAGAAGAAGAAGAAGAAGCGAAAGAGCGGAGCTACTGGGCAACAACAGGGTCAGGGCGAGGAAGGGAACGATGACCATGAAGGGTCGGAGGCGGAGGAGGAGGCGGGTCCGGAGAGTGCGTCTGTTTTGGACAACCCGGAGACCTTAGTGAGTCCCGATGATCTTGCTTTTGTAACGTTCCGAGCATTTTGTGCTCACCAGGCATCTTTCCTACACGAAGGACTGGGCCTGTAACGAGCTCTTCCAGTGGATTAAATCCGTCGTCTGGTCCATCGAACAAGACGCCATCCGGGCCGGTCGCGCTGCTGCCGTCTCCAAATCCAACTCGAACAAGAAGAACAAGGGCGGTAACAAGAAGGCTCAAGACGACCCCGCTCGGAACCCCATCCAGATCACATGGAACTTGCCGGAACAGCCGGGCATCAAGAATGAACAGACCAAGGGATCTGGGAAAGGCCAGCAGAACGCCGGGGTGACGACCATAACTTATACGCCTACGCCCGCTCCGGATGCCGAACAGCTCAGGGCGAGGTTGAGGAGCGTCGGGGTCGAGGTCGGACCCGCTTGATCATGTACACAGCTCTCTGCGTTACTTCATCCGCCAGATATGAGCCCGAGCTCTGGCCCACTTGTCACAAGAGTGCACGTAGACTCTTTCTGGTCATCCCTGCCGATGCTTGTAGGCCAGGACGCTGGCACGAGCACCTCCTTTATGCATTGTCACAAACGCTGTTATTCCCTTCGTGTCGTCACTTGCTTACTTGAGTATCTATTTCCGCGTCGCCCCGGCGATGAGCAATCGTCATCATGCAGCTTCGAGCTTGCAGCATGTAGCTCATCACGCCAGAATCGTATGATAAATGTACCAAGAGTGCGAGGTTGACTTCACCATAGCTCCTCAACACTGACATACCCACGCAAACTCAGAGAGATCTCGAATACCAACTATGGCTACCTTCAACGTATGCTAGTTATCCAACCAGGACACCGTCCGCCAGAATGATGAGCTGATCTAGCCTTTGCCTTATGCGCAAACAGGTCCGCCTTCGACATCCGAAAGGAGCGACTGTGCTTCAATTGACACCTGAAATGACCTACGAAGAGCTCCAGCTGATGATATTCTCGGCCAGTGACATACCTATTGCGGAGCAAGAGCGTGAGTGCAGCTGTCAAGGTGATGATCAGCTTGCAAAGCACGCCGCTCATCATGACGGTCGCCTTTCACCAGTAAAGCTCGGATATCCCCCTAAACCTATCCCTTCGAGTACCCTCGCAGAAACCCAGGTCTCAACAATACCGATCACGAAAGGAGAGCAAGTCATCGTCTCCGCTGTTCCCAGCACGTCTACTTCGGCTTCCCGGGGGGTTAATAATGCGGCATCACAAGAAACAAAACCTACAGCCATTAATACAGCGCCTCAGCCTCGATCACAATCACAACCTAAACCACCTGTATTAGCACCAACAAAATCTACCGTCAACACCCTCTCGAGCAGTTCTTCCACTTCTGCATCGACGCCGGTTGCACCGGCTGGGAAAGAGACGACCGTGGACCTGCCTGGTGGGGCCGGGATCATGCAACATCGGATCGTCCCGGACGACAACTCGTGCTTGTTCAGCTCGATCGGGATCGTTTTCAAGGGAGGGTATAGCGAATCCGTGACGAACCAGTTGAGGCAGAGTGGGTCCATCTTGTCTTTCTTTTCTTGCGGAGTCTTGCTGAGACGAGGGAATGTGGGCAGTCGTTGCGGATGAGATCCGGAAAGATGAGTTTGAGTATCCCGAGGTGGTACTTGGGTGAGTTGGTAACATTCAGAATTTACCACGATGTTCGCAACTAAATCATCAGGACTTGGTGTGGTAGACGTCCCCGGGACGAATATATCCGGACCATCCTCAAACCGTCGACATGGGGCGGAGCGATAGAGCTGGCGATCTTTGCCAAACAGTGAGTAATCGTATCCATCACATTTGTCTCTTTGATGTTGACCTAGGTGAATTGGGTAGCTTCAAGACTGAGATTGATAGTTTCGACGTATTGTCGGGAAGGGCCGATAAGTTTGGGGAGGGGCAATACGATTCGAGGTGAGTCGCGCACATGCATCTCTCGATGATCAGACCTAATCAAGTCTGGTAATCGTATTCGATGACAGGTGCTTACTAGTATATTCTGGTATCCGTGAGTCTTAAGGAAACTCGTTCTTCGCATCGTCGCCCTGACTGACCGACACTCGCTGTGATCCATACTGACCGACACTCGCTGTGATCCATACTGACCGACACTCGCTGTGATCCATATAGACTACGACGCTATCACCACCTCGCCCATCCCCGACGCTCCACCGGATTTTCATACGACACTGTTCCCGGTGACCGACGACTCTATCCTCCCCGGCGCTCAGAAACTGGTGGATCAGTTGAAGAAACAGCATTACTACACGGATACGGCAAACTTCGACCTAAGGTGCCAGGTATGCAAGGTCGGGTTGAAGGGAGAGACGGGGGCTAGGCAACATGCTATGCAGTGAGTTTGGGTCTGGCTGCTCCTGGTCATTGAGGAACGAACCACGCTAAATTGTCCGCCTGATCACTGTTTTCCAGAACAGGACGTAAGTGGTTGGAGGATGCGTGAAGGTCAGGAAGGCGAGACCATGCTAACGATCTTTCTTGTCCCATTCGCAATAGATGTCGAGTTTGGAGAATACTAGGTTCAGGTCGAACGCGTTGTATTTCAGTATGCATATCAGATTACTATATCCAAGTATCCAATGAACTTCCACAATGCAAGGGTATCTGCAAGGCATTTCATGATTAGCAGACGGCCTTACCTAGCTTGGTATGTATAAACAGATAATCCCAGGCTGAATTGAGAGAACCCAGTGGCGCAGTAGTTAGCGCATCGAGCTTATGCGGAAAAATTTATGCCTCTCGATGGTCGCGAGTTCAAATCTCGCCTGGGTTATCCTTTTTGATTGTCATACTGCCTTCGCATCGACGAAAGGGAGTGCGACGATCCATCGCCATCGATCCGATTGATCGATCGCTCAAAAGGATTGATCGCTTGCATGATGAGACGCGAAATCCACGTCGCGCGCGAGGCCAGATCCATCGTACCAGTAACCAAGCCCGCGAGCAAGACAGACTAGCTAGACTAGCTGGACTAGGAACAATGACCTTTACAAGGGTATTCGAGGCAGAAAATGCTGCGCTTATCACAAATGTGGGCCTTTGTGATAGCGCCAGGTTCTCAGCAAACTTCGGCATCCTGGTCGATCTAGATCGCACCCTTCAGCTTCAGTCATCAGTGTGTTATCGGAACAATCCGGTGTCCGCATACTTACCGGAATCCCGTTTGATTCAAACGTTCGCCCCAAAGAGCTCGCAAGCCTTTTGGGTGGATTTGTCCGACCATACCAAGCGGCATGGTGAAGGATAGCAGCAGTAGATAGGGCTGCTTAGACCGATGAATTTTCCTCGAATGCTTCAAGCCAGTTTGCAGTCATTGATAGGACCGTTCGAGGTCCTCCCTTTGGCCTTCAGACAGGGCTAGTAGGGGATCAGATAATCGGAAGAGCTCAGAATTATTCTCACAATAGTTACAATACTACTGGTTGATATGAGTCCTCAAGGATAGAGGTGTGATTTGCTTCAACATTCTGGTCAATCGTTTCCATCATATCAGGCGGCGCTTTAAAAGACTGATCTGGGCGTGTATGACCGCGAATGGCATGAAATCGGCAAACCTGATGATGTGGATGAAATCCTAGTCGGTGCAGGCAGCGTAGAACTGTCTGTATGGGAGTTCGGCGATGACTAGATGATTCGCTGCTGATGCTCAGCCGGAGATCGTCCCGGGTAACCAACCATACGCAAGTCGAAGCTTCCGGCTGACGAACAGGATCCGCGGGTGGGTATAGAACTTAGTATCGTACGTCTCCTACTCTACACTGGTCTTTGTGATCTAATACTCCTTCGCCCCAAATGAACAAGGGCTCGGTGAAGCGAGGCGCGATCCATGGCTACAGGCTACACCTTGCCACTACCGCCTTTCCAGTTTGTCTGAAGGACGAGTAGGCTCAGGTTGAATGATCGTTCTCGCTTTCAGCGTTCAAACGCGCCCGCGAGCGAAATTTCCCCCGACGAAGCGGTAAGACGAGGTCATCTTTGGTCGATTATTGCGACGTCAATTGAGCCGGTGCATGCACTATTCGATAAGTGTATAGAGGTCCGAGGTACTCGCTCGATAGTGAATTATGAGATTGCGAAAATGCTCGTTGTTCCCGTCTAAAGCGCGATTATCGTGTGGGCGTGGTCGGGGACCTGTGTACAAGGGCGGATGTTTACGTTGTTCATCCTCTTTCACTCCCTCCTCCTCCTCGCTAGCCCCCATCCCCCTATCCTCTGGCCCCACCATCGCCTCACTACACTCACTATCGCCAAACCTACTCTCGAAAACATGTTATCACATCCCCACCTGGACATCCCGCGACGTCGACCACCGTACACCTCTTCGAGCTCACAGTCTGCTCGAGCTCATGCCTTGAGAGACCCTCCACCCATACTCTTGCCTTTGCATCGGAGACTCGCTAGGCTAGGCCAGACTTGGACTAGTTTAATATCGGGGTCATTGGGGATTTTAGATATCGGACATCCACCCGAAACACGGATCGGCGCCTGGCAACTATAGTCGAGAGGTCGTATACCGGTAGAGGAAGACGTATTGCAGCAGGTCTGGTTGTGAGTTCAATCGTGAGCGTCTGTGTACGCTATCGCTACTCGGTCGACTGACGTCGCGTCATCCTCGAAACTTTTCCATTCGATTTGTTTTCCTCCCTGCCGTCCATCGCCTCTACGCTCTACTTTCCTCATCACCTGCACACCATATCACCGATCATAGGACCGGCTCATCTACTCGCTCGGAGCCCTGTAACTGGAACCTCATCTGCATTCGCCTTGACACCTGCGCATATACTTCCACCATGCCCCGAATCCTGCGGCATAAAGTCCTACACTTCCCTCTTCCTAACTTACTCCCGGTTCTACCCCCTAGCTTCATCGAGAATGCCAGGGTCAAGCACAAGGACACCCTCACAGCCAATCCGAATGCTAAGGGGAGCTCGAGGTCCAAGAAGATCAAGGGCAACCGGCCGTCCGTCGTCCCCTCCAACAATGGGGTAGACGACGAGGATGTAAAGAAGGAGGATGAAGGCGAGGACGAGCGGGCCAGGAGAGATACGGGGTCGGGTAGTATGGAGGTCGATGAGATCGAAGCGGGGAGCACGGTCGGGAGTACCGGTATGAACAACGGGGCAGGCCACAACGGGGACTCGACCACCGATGTGGATCAGGAGCTCGAAGAGGCACTGAAGGAGATCCCGATCACGGACCTACCTGCGCCGAGTGAAAGAGAGTTGTTGGAATACTTTCGTGGGCAAGAGCAAGGTCGGGCTGTAAACGGCAACGGCGGTTCGGGTCCGAGCTCGAGCAGAGCAGAGGAGGCTTCGACAGGCGTCACGAAAGAGAAGGAGAGGGAAAAGGACAAGGACAGGGAATGGAAAGAGCCGGAAGTGTTTTATATCAAGGAGACTGGGGAGATCTTTTTGGAGTACGAGTAAGTGTCGTTCCACCAGGCATACGAACGAGGATAGTTATGGTCACAGAGACGGGGAATATCTGCTGATGCTGAATGGACCTTGACGTTTTGACGTTGCCAGTAAATACGTCGATCGGATGTTATTCTACAAGCGAAAGAGTGGGTACTGTGACGAGACCTTCGATTGCTAGATAATCTTGGCTAACGGCATCTTGTAAACTGCTTAATCGGTAGTTTTCAACTCGGAGAGTAAGTTCTCTACCCCCTCATCTCATCTCGTCTTTGCGGATCCGAACTCTGGACGCTCCGCCCGAGTTGATTGCTGATATTCTCCTCTCTCCCTCTCAGACAACGTGCACAGTAGCTCTGACACCGTCACATCGTTCTTCGGAGCGCTCGAGGGTGAAAAGACCAACAGCGTGGCCGCTCAGGGAGGTCTCCCTCCGGTCTTGAAGAAGGCTTGTTTACATTTCGCTCAGTTCTGTGAGTGTGGACTGCCGACACATGATGAGGAAAGATAGCGGAATAGAGAAGCTGAGTTTGGCTATATCGGTAGCGTTGGATGGACGGCTGGAAGGGCTGATGGATAAGACGTTTGCGAGGTTGAACAACCGGTATTTCCCGCAAGAGAGTGAGTGCAAGTCTAGGTAGGAATTGGCCTGAAGGTCAGCCATTAGCTAACCACAACCAAGTCGGTCTCTTGCAGAGGTGTTCGTTCAATTAGGCAAAGATCAGTATATCGCCAACATCGCCGAAGTCATCGGTCCTTCTTCCGCCCCGAGCTCGAGCAAGAACGGGAAAAAGGCCGCCAGACGAGAACCTCATGCGCTCGCCCTCGACTCTCGGGTCTCCCAGGAAGAGGCGGACAAGGCGGACGACCCGATGGCGTATCACTACAAGGTGCAGCTGATCTCCTCGAAGGATTTCGAGCGGAATAAGCAAAGGTCGATCGGTGAGGACACATCGGCTCTGTGGGGCGATCGGGTCGTAGAGGTGGCAGCGGATCTGATATCGTAAGCGACCGAAAAGCGATACGAGGTGGCTCGACAGGTGGATCGACCGCTGATATTTCCTGATGAATCCGGTCCAGACGAGACAAGAACGAGTATTCGAAGCTGGCCATCAAACGATTACTACGAGATTCGCTCGGTCGGGACTCCATGTTGTGCTCTCCTTGGCTTGTACATGAGCCTCTCGCAAGAAGGTATGGGATCTCGACCGAGGTTCCGGATGATATACAAAAGGTCTCGGAGGCGGAACGCAAGGTGCAGATCGAGAAACGACGAAGAACGAGCGTGAAGGAGCCCCCGGTACCCGATGTCGTGCCAGAAGGTCCGCCCTCAAAGAAGCAAAAAGTCGAGGGAGGTGCTACGACTGGTCAGTAGGCGATGAATACAGCCCAGGTGCGCCATGTCACTGACTCGTATCGATCGGGATTTGTAGTTAAGAAACGAAAGACGGCTGCGCAAAAGGCAGAAGAGGCTGCACGAAAGGCTGAAGAGGAGCGGATCAAGAAAGAGCAGGAAGAAGAGGCTGCACGGATAGAAGCGGAAAAGAAAAAGAAGAAGCCGACAAAATATCCTGCAGAAGGTGGGTCGACCTGGGAGTTCTTAGTGGTTCGGGCTTTAACTGATGTGTATCGACCGACAACCCCCAGACTTTCTGATTGAGTATACGCCACGGGACAAGAGTTCGGGGAAGCCTCAAGTGCGGCCAAGCTTTAGCACCGAAATACCTTTCCCCATGCATTTCGAGACCTTTATTACGACTTGGAACTTCTTGAACGCCCTATCGTGAGCATCATACACGTCGAGGCGCATTATTACTCGAGCTGAAAAACGTTGACATGTCCTACAGGAAACCTCTGAAGTTGGCTCCATTTACGATCGACGAATACGAAAACGCGCTTTATCACTCAAACCCGGCTCAGCCATGCGTCTTGCTACAAGAGATCCACCAGACGCTGCTGAGTCTGATCAGAGCGGATGCTTCGACCAACCAGGACTTGGTCTTGCCGCTCAAAGCCGCCGTCCCACCTAGTCTCGCGAGTGACGGAGACTCGAGTAACGAATCGAGTGACGATGATGATGATGAAGACGAGGACAAGCAGGAAAAGATCAAGCTGGTGACCACTCAGGCTGGAGTGCTGGCAGCAGAGTTTGGTGCCCAGGAGACCAATGGAAAGATCGGCAGACGGGATTCTTGGGAAGGGATGTTGGCAGGCTGTCTGTGGCAGGTTAGTGCTCGGGGTCGCTCCATGCGGTGTACAAATACGGTAGCTGACGGATAGTCATGGGTAGCGAGGCACTACTCACTCCGTTCCTAACCTGATACACTACCTCTTGGGTCTCCTTCTGGAAGCGGAGAACGTGCCGACCGGTCGCCCTACATGGTCGGCAGCTTCGACAAGACCAAAGCTTGCAAAAAACTTGTCTGCCCGATATGCCGCCTTGCATTCGATCTTCAAGCTCGAAATCGTCGCTTTCCTATGTGAGCTGGTCATGCAAACTGGAACGATCCGGGACTACTATGATCAAGCGGCGCTGGCGCTCTCAAAGTGCAGGAACGACCAGAATGCGAACAAGCGAGATTTGGCCAAGATGTAAGTCGGGAAAGCTATCCTTCTTGACTCCTTGCTAACGTTTCGACCCCTTTTCGCAGCCGGGGAGAAAAGCCTGAAGGCGATCCTGAAGCGAACGGCGAGACGAATGGGCAAGTAGAGGATACACCGTCCGTAATAGCCAAAGAATCCGAGGATAGCAGCCTTTCAGAAGCCGAGTCGAGCTCTGCCGGTATCTCTCGTCAAGAGAAGGTCAAAGCCGCTCGTCAGCGAAAAGAGATGGAAGCCAAGCAAGCCCAGATGGAGTTGCAAGAAGCGACCAAAAAGAAAAAGGCCGACGACAAAGCTAGGCGACTCGAGAAGGAAGAGGAGGCACGGCTCGTCGCTAGATCTGCCGAATTGGCACGGGAGTTCCGAAGACAGTACAACAGTATGCGAACGTATCCTCTCGGACAGGATCGATTCTTGCATACGGTCTGGTGGCTCGATGGTTGTGGTACGGCAGACCTGGTCGGTCCGGATGGCGGGGCAGTGTATGGCACGGGCAGGCTCTATATCCAAGCTCCAAACGAGGCAGACATCAAGCGAGTGACGGAAGAGGAGGATCTGGACGAGGAAGAGATGGCGGCCAAGCGGACAGCAGAGGAACCCGAAGGGGAGCGGCTCGAATTGGGAGAATGGGCAGCCATTGACAATCCTGAGCAGGTGAGGCCTACTCGCATCGATCCGTCATCCTGACCCTGCTGACCTGTGCCGTACTGTATCGTCAGCTCGAAAATTACATGAACTGGTTGAGCGAAAAGGGCAAACGAGAGATCAAGCTACTCAAGACACTCGGTCAGCTCAGGCCGCTCATCGAAGCAGGAATGCGCAAACGAGGAGAGCTCTTTGCACCCGAACCCGAGGTGGAGGAGCAAGGTCTGACCGCACGACGACAGAAACGAAACAGCAACAAGAATCCTTATCGAAGCGGAGAATCTTACCTGGGTTACAAGGTGAGTGTTCCGACGCCTCAGTCATGTTCCCACGTTCGCAACTGATGGCGGCTTTTTTGTTCCGTAGAACACATACCGATAAGGACGATCTGCCTGCTCAACAGGATTGAGCACGATGCCCATTGTAAATGTCTTACGTACATGCCATCCTTACCACGCATTGAGGAATCAACAAGCGCAACCTCTGCTGAAGGACTTGAACAAATGTCGTAAGGTGAAGGTGTTGTAAAGTGACTTGTAGCCGGTGATCGTGATCGAGGAGTTGGTTGGTAATTCGGCGGCAAGCTCTTATGTTCCAAGGAGACCTGTAAAGCCGCCTCTTCTCATGCTGATGCTGCAGTGGTTGCGGTATATCTTGCTGCGGTATAACCTGATCACGAGGATCCCATACCAGCCAAGCATGGTCAAAACGGATTCGTTTGCTTGAGTCTGCTGAGGGGTTTCCTTGCGCCTTATGTTTGGACATGACGCGTATGTATATATGTATTGTCAACCTGATGTCGAGGTTCGAGAGGTGAGAAGCCAGCCAATCTCCAAAAGCCGCATTGATTTCAAAGCTCGACCTGTGCCGAAGGAAGATCCTCCAGATCTGGTTGCCGTCGACGTAATGGCGTACGGTATGATTGCCAATGCTCACAGAGTCCTGCCAGGTCGTCTTGATGCGAGCGATCACATGGCCCTCGTTGTTCTCTTCGAGCAACCAGGCAATGGCTGCCTGATAGAGCCGACCGTCTGGCACATCGACCCCGATTCCGATCGGCATGGGAACCCAATCCACCAAGATGCGCGGGCCCTCGTTGTTCCCCTCCATGTCTGTATCCTCCTCTTCGGTGCCAACAAATATTGATCGGAGCTACAAGAGAAGATTGAAGAAGCAAGACGGTTTGGAGAAGCAAGGACAAGAAAGACCAGTTCAGATCGTTGACCCAAATCATTGGCTATGCATCCGGTGCAGTGGACCCAGCCCCTAGGCCCCTAATCGATGGAAGGATAGAAGGCTTGCGTGGCTAGAAGCCGAAGATCATCCATCACCCTGGCCCTGAAGTGAATAAATACAGTCCAACCCCTCCTTTGGAACAGGATCCGATCCGGACATAGGCTAGACGCCGTACGGTAGGTAAGCCGGAGCGACATCGTTTCCTGCCATCGACTCATAGCTCTTTACAACATTCACATGTACACATTAGAAGCGAAGAAATAACCTAATATCGTTGGGGTAACCGTCCAGTCCTCCCCCTCTCATCATCCACGACCTCCTCCTCTGCGACCAGATCTTCCTCGAGGTCGTTCAGCCCAAACGTAGAGGCGAATCCTCTACGGCCCTCTTCTGCTTCCATCTCCACCTGATCCTCCGACTCTAACTTGGTCTTCTCCTCGGGTGTTTGGACGAAGGTTTTGGTACCGTGTATCCAATAATGTGGATATCTTCTTCGGCCGACGTTCTGCACAAGATAGACCAGGAGGTAAAATGAATGAGCCGTTGAACAGAAAAGCACTTCGAGAGGGATGGGACGAAACTCACATTGATGATGAGAGCCCAGCCGATCATAATCAAGGATGTTATGGCCACGATGTAGATGTATCGCCAGGATAACAAGACCACCGAAGGTTGGATAGAAGCTATCAACGCCGTAGCTCCCCCTCTATAACGGGTCTGGTTCAGCGCTGGCGGTAGGACTATACATGTCGATATTCCGACTCACGGTGGATGGGTGGTCCCCGTCACTTGCATAGCCAAGAATGCCAACCCGAACGAGATGGCCGCAGAGACCCATACTGGACGGCCCAGTTCCCCTGCCTGGGTCGTATCTTCGAGCCGGTAAGCTGAAGACAGCCGGAACAATTTGGTCACGCAGACACCGACGATGGCGCTGATGACCTGTCCCCCAAAGACGTGCCGAGGTTGAGCTAGAGGCGATTCGATAGTCCCAAAGCACAGGACGGCTCCGGCACCGAATGATGCGATGATCAGCGGTGTGCCGGAGTCCACAAAGATGGTCGTCGACATGACGATCTCGATGAGCAAGATAGCTATAATCCCGCCGATGGTCGAGAGAAGCCAGACTTCGTACTTGAGGGGTATATGCTTGAGCCACGAGAAAGGAGGGAAAGGGAGAGGCTCATAAGGCGGCTTCAGGGAAGGGTTGCGGTACCCTGTAAACCTTTGCAAAAAGCCAGGTAACCGAGTCCGAACATCTCTACGAAAGGCCAGCTTGTTGCCAGCGGTCTTTTCATCCCCTTGAGTTCTCGCTGGTGAAGGGGAAGCTACGGACGAGCGTCGGAACTGGGACCGAGAGAGCAGTCTCGTCTGAGATGTCGCTCTATTCGTGCTGTCATCCCGAACTGTCGACGATGACCTTCGCTGAAAGCGATCCCGTGACGTCGAGTCGGAACGCTCCGAGAATGATAACTTAGATTGGCGTTGTTGCACCGCCAATGGAGGCGTTGCCACAGCCGACGGGGACATGGATGCCTAGTCTATCATTGACGCCGACGTTCGAAGTTGAATATCGATTTGAGCTATAATATCGTCAAGCTCTTGAAGAGGAAGCTGGATATTCAGGTGTATTCGTAACGAGCGAACGGGATGACGCCTTGACGCCTTGTATCGAGGTCGGCGACTGACGGCCGAGACGTCCGTTCCGGTTCCTAGATCATTGATTAGCACAGGTTGACCCTCGCCGGGGGGCAAAAAGTTCAAGCTCTCTGCCTGGGAATCGAACCCAGCGCGGGCGCGAGTTGTTAGTGTTGATAGTTGGATATCATGACAAGCGCCAATGTTACCAATACACCAGCAAAGATGCCATGTTTCAAGAATTTGATGATAAAATATGATTGAAAAAACGGATCAACTTTCACAAAAGTCCCACATCATTTTCCCAGCGCTTTATTTAGACCCGCACAGGTGCTTCAAACCCCAATACAACACTACTTCACTAGTCCGCTGTGCCTATCAGCCGTCATCGGTCATACGGGTACGCTTGTAAGATCTAAGTTCCAAAGTCATGAAAATCCAGCATTTTGCTATACATCCCCGGTGACGTCATCCATAACGCCCGGCCAATCCTTATTTATAGATAACGCCCAGTGACCGAGGGTCTAGGGTCTCTTATCTTTCAGTTCCACAACTACCAAGGACTGTCGACTTCAGTTTTCAAGACCCACATCGCTCTATAGCATCTCTAGATCTACAATCCTATAACTCTATAGCTACACCTGGATCCACCCCTAAGCCTGCAAACTACCAGACGATCCCCTTCAACATGTCCGTACAACAAGGAATCAGCGTGAGTCTGCCCTCCCCGACGATACATGGAAATAAATCTGTCCGAACTGACTGTCCGAACATATCATAGCCCCAAATGGGAGCCCCTCAAGGAACCTGCATGTCCGTAACCCCGACCGGAGCTTCTCCAGGTCTGGACGGAGGTGCCAACGGGGAGATCGTCCAGAAGGACAACGTCATCGGATCGGACTCGACCTTGGAGACTACCAAGCTCGAGCCGCTCAAGCCTGAGACGGGCGCTGCTGCCGGAAGCTCGACTACGACCACGGACAAGCAGGTTAGCGAGGTCTTGGATGGATTGGCCGATTCTCAACCTGTCAAGACGGCCGGTGATCTCATCAACCAGGCAGCCGGTGGGTACTTTCAAGGCCGCTTGATCCAGGCAGTTCAATACAGCTTACGCTACGTGCTGATGTGGTTTCATTGAACCTCACAGGACTCGCGAACCAAGCTTACGAAGCTGTAGTCGGCAAGAAATAGATACTCGACCTCTGCCGAACTCTCAGACCCCTTCTAAAACATGTATCCAAGACCGCCTAGACCTTCTCTGTTCTGCCTCGTAAATGCAATGTGGTCATGATCTACATTCCAAGTCGATGCGTCATGATACTTGGCATACATCGCCTGTCCTGGTATCCTCCTCGCCTGAGCCTGATGTCTACATGCCCATCCCCTGGAACCCTCCGCTGTACGCCATCGGTCGGATATCCGGGTGAGGTACGGCGTCGAATTGGTGATATGACAATTGCCCGTCGTCCTGCATCCGCACGTAGGCGGCCTGTTGACAGGGAAAGGCGAGCCAAGGTCAGCACGTGAAGGCCATGCAAGAAATTGCGAAAACTCGCCTTGTTGCCGGTAGAATCGCAATAATTGGGACAAGAGAACGTCGTGATACAGAGTCCGTCTGTATAGAGCGTTCCGTCAACACCAGCTTCTTCTCCAAGTAACGGTTCCTAGCCACCGCCTGCTCACCGTGCTCGATCGCATACCCGTTCTGCCTGACCTCGTGACTTCGAATGACAGCCGTCACCTGATTCGCCTCGCACCACCTCTTGGTCACATCCGGTCCGAACCCAACCCCGACCCCACGTTTACTAGGCCCTCGTCCAGGTGCGTCCTGAGGATCCGTCCATAGGAGCTCGCACATGAGTCCCTCTTGCCCGGGTTGTTTCCCGTACCTGTCAATCTTCTTCACGTCGTCCAGCGTGACGCCGTCCTTGGAGAATAGACCTCCGTGGACGATAAAGTATCGTTTCTTGCCGTCCGGGGAGAGGATGGCGGGTTGAGATCCTTCGGATTTGGTCGACGAGGGAGGTTGCGAGGCCGACAATAGCGTGGCCATCGGGACTGTTTGCGTCGCATTGAGGGTAAGGATGGTTGTGGGAACCGCTCGTCAGCATCTTCTGCCCGGTGACAATTCACTCCGATTCGTCCAGTCCGACTCACGTGCGGTAAACACGTCGGCGAACAGCTTATAAGTCAACTCTCCATGCTTGGCCTTGCACTCGCCCTACAAAGTCCCCCAAACGTGAAAATGAACATCAGCCAACCGCTTTTCCTTCCACCCGTCAACCCCCACTCGCACACGCGGTAAACAAGAGAACCCACCTCGAACCCGTAAACCTTGTTCATATCACTCGTCTCGTGGTTCCCCCTGTTCAAAAAGATCCTCTTCGGGTACAACCACTTGTACGCAAACAACGTCAGGGCGACCTCGACGGACCAAGAACCTCGGTCGACAAAGTCTCCGTTGAAGACGATGGCGTGGTCTTCGGCCGGAGGGGTGAGGATGGATAAGAGGTTGCAGAGGTCGTAGAATTGCTGCAAAACGTCGGGGCCAGGTGTGGTTAGCAGATGACAACGCGATCGAGGTGTGGTCTGACGGCTGGCAGCTCATGCGAGTAAGGGTGGATGACTCACCCCATGCGTGTCCCCGACGATATCGCACTTGACCCCCTTATCGAGGGTTACCTCTACCAGACTCTCTTCCCTATCCAACGCCTCCTTGCAACCGAGGATGATCTCCCATACGATCCTCTTTGGCAACTTGCCCCCGTCTTTGAACGCCTCGATCATCCCCTCCACAAACGCCTTCGTCGGCGTGTACCTCTTCCTCTCCTCGTCGTACTCCGGTAAGGGTCCTTTCCACGACCCGGTGTCCAACGGACAAGCTCCGTCCTGGATCATCGAGGTTACTTTTTTCGAGGTGGATTCTGTTTCACCGACGTTGATGGCCTTTTCAAACTCTATACGTCGGATGAGCTTGACGGTGGTCTCCAGTTGATCCCTAGCGGGCTTGTTCCGAGGGTCTAACCGCAGGACGGCTTTGAAGTCGGGGACGGCGAGGCTAGGGCGGAGGATGGCGAGTTGAGAAAGAGCTCTTCGGTAGTGCGCCTTGACGTTCTTTTCGTCCAGCTCGATCGCCTTGGCTGCGAGTCATACATCACCAAGGTCACAATCAGCCCCCTATAGCAGCTTTTACTTCCTCGCATGGCCATCTCGATCCCGATCGCCCCCTTTCTTATTCTACTCACTGCAATCAGCAACAGCGCCCCCGTACTCTTCCAACTTCATCCTCGCCGCGGCCCTATTACTCCAGAAGACCGGTTCGTTGGGGTTCAAAGCGATGGCCTGGGTAAAGAGCTTGATGGCGAGGTGGTAGTCTTGTTGGGCTGTAAAAGTGGAGATGGAGATAGGAATGGGGTTGTAGGTGGGGTTGTGGTTGTAGTAAAAGTAAAAGATCGGAGCGGAAACATTAGCATAAGAGCTTGTTCAAAGCACCGGGATGGAATGGCTTGAAGTGACATCAAGACCTACCAGCAAAAGCCTGGTTGGCCTCGTTCTTCAGTTTGAGCGCCTCGGCCTTGTCCTCCTCGGTGACTTGCTTGTCGAGGATGAAATCGTCATCCGGGTCCGGGTGCACTATTTCGTTTCATATTGTGATATGGTAGAACATCGTTTGAGTAATTTAGCTTGGAGTCGGGATTTGTGGAGATTATGATGATGATATGGTGGTGCTTTGAGGGTTGAATAGCTTTCGAGGTCGGACGACCACACCCATCTCCACACTAATTTCAAGGTCGTCCCTCCGAAAGCGAAAGATCGCCTTTTTCGCCTCTCCCAACCGTTTCAAAGGAATCGAAACACTCGAACAAACCCTCCTTCACTCACAGCTCAGCTTGCCCATAGCGGGACTGGGGAAGGGGGTGATATCATCCTGATCCCCGTTCATGTTCACAGGCGGTGATTCGACGCCTGTGGAGAATACGTTGCCGAGTTGAGCTCGGATTTCGGCTGTTGTCGCCATGGTGAACAGATGGGGAAGCTTGAGTCCGGGAGGCTAGGATAGGGGTCCAGGATAGAGCCTTGCTTGTGAATGGATGAGATCTGCCTTGCACCCTTTGCCTCTTTGCCTATATGAAGTCGCAAAAACATAACATCCAAGGATGATCAGCAGCGAGGGTGATTTGACTTGAAAATGAATAATCATCTGGTCTTTATGCGCTATTGACCTCTTTCTTCGGGAGTAATCACTCGTCGCATTACATCATAAGGAAATCACATTCTCTTCTCTCTCTCGTCACCATCGACTAACTAGTTGACAAACAACGACTTGACCAACGATATAGTCATCGCCATCCAATCAATATCACTTCACATAGTACGATATCACCCTAACACTGGAATAGCCGACGACATGGCAGCCCTCCTCGCCAAGAAAGCAGGCCGAGTAAGCTCTTGCCCATCGTCGTCGACCTCCTTTCACCTTGGATCACATTTCGCTGACTTTTTTCCTCTTTCTCTCTTGATACCACTTTTCTGCTCGATCAGAGCGTCCTCGCTAAACAGTAAGTTTCTACAAATCATCACTCTCTGTAGCGAGGTCATGCAAGCTGATATTGTGATGCCTCGGGGTGAATCTGAACGTAAACACAGCTTGGCTTCGATCGAACCTTCAGACCCGTTGTACGAAGACGTCGATGTGGGCGGGAAGAAGAAACGAGTCCGAGTGAGTGTGGGAATACGACTCCACCTACTACCCCACTCTCCTCTATCCCTATCACCGAGCCCGAACCTTTCTTTGCCGGCTCGATATGGCAGATGTTTTGTTTTCGTACTGACATAATGCAACCACCCTCCATCTTTCATCTACGCTTTCGTCCCCGCAGAGGACACTCCCCGAAGGTCTATCCAAACGAGACAGGAAGGTCCTACAGAAGATCAAGTCTAGGGCGCATTATTTGGATAAAGGGATGAACCTCTGTGGGTTGAGGGTCGGGTGGACTTTTTGGATCGTGAGTGAAGCGTCCCTTCAAAAACCATCAATATATAATATGGGCCTCAAAGCTGACGTGTGCTCACAACGTCGACTTGATCCAACCCCGATCTATAAAAAAAAAAACTATGTATTTTATAGGGAATCATCCCCGGCGCCGGAGACGTCGTCAACGCGATCCTCAATTACCTCCTCGTCATCCGTCTGGCCAAACGGGCCGAGATCCCGGGCTGGCTCTTGCACCAGATGTTGCTCAACAACGCCGTCTCCGCAGGGGTCGGGGTCGTTCCTTTGGTAGGGGATCTGGTTGTGGCTGTTTACAAGGCGAACAGTAGGAATGCGCATTTGTGGGTCGTTTGCGACGGTTTATGACGAGTTGAGGTTGCTGATCTTTTCCATCTGGAATATTCTATTCGCTGTTATACCTTCCTGTATCTCCACCGGCCCTACCGCAGGCTGGAAGAATACCTAGCCGTCCGCGGACAAGAATACCTCGCCTCCCAAGGAGCGACCCTCCCCACAAACTCGGTCGCCGGCGTCCAACCGGGGATCACGCAAGGAGAACCCAACCTCCAATCCGAGTACAAACCCGGTGCGGGGATGGTCGCCGGGGAGACTATCCCTCTGCCAGGGCAACAGCCAGCGAGAGGAGGGGCGGGGAGGGGGTGGTTTGGCGGGTTCGGAGGTGGTGGGGCAGGAAGCGCTCAGCAGCAACAACAACAACCGGTCCAGGCGCCGGTCCAGGCTCATGGTGCGGGAGCGGGTGCGGGGTACGGAGCGACGAGCGGACAGGTTAGGAGGGCTTGATCCTCCTCCTCTTCTCGGCTAGGCAAGGGCGGTCGATAGGATGCGGATCCGCGGACGCACATACACACATACACGCTTTTCGTGCTGTGCGTTTCCAAACGGTTCTACATCCGCCGCTCTTGTCGCTTTCGTCCCTAGTTCTTAGTTCTAGTTTTGTAGCTTGATTGCTCGCGTTTTTTTTCCGTTTGCAATGTGTATTTGTCCTGTCATGTTATAATCAGATCGAAATGATACCCTTCTTATATTGTCCTGTTTTCCGGACATTGGACAAGTCGAGAGCATGGGATTTTGCTTTCGGCCTGCTGTTGACTCGATCTTCATCTTCAGCGCACGAAGCGGCACATGGGTTGACGAGACCGGTGTCGAAGAGAGAAATAATGGTGGACGTTCAGTAGCATCAGACATCGCCTTGTTGAGTTGATGGAGAGCGTCTTGAGCGAGTGACCTGGTCGTTTTGCAGCATCCGGTTCGGCATCTCATCTATATCCTGATAGCAACGCATTATAAAAACCTTTCACTTGCCAGCCCTTCCTGTACACCCTCAACGAACTCTATACCCGACCCAATTCTACACAGCTCCGACCTTCGGCTTATCCCTGACTCCCATCCAACCTGCAGCTCCTAAGAACCTCAATCCCGCACAGATCCCCAACGTCCCCGCGGGGCCTATCGAATCGATCAGAGCTCGACTGACGAACGCCCCGACAAAGACGGCTGCGATGGAGAGCAGGCGGTGGTCCCGAGAGGGGACTAGGCGGAGGGCGAAGAGGAAGGGGTCGTTGATTGTTGTTACCCAGACGGTAGTCAGGACGACGGCGGTTCCGAATGGTCTGCGTGAGCGAGATATTGTCGAATCAGTTAGATCCAGACAAGTATTCTAAGGTCCAGGCCCTGAACATACGTATTCAAACGCTGTTTTGTAGATGAGATTAGCAAGACAACCCCTATTCCTGAATTTCACATACAGGCCGAACTCACAACTCCGATGATCCCTTGTAAGCCAAGAGAAGCCGACATGAACCCCAATGCAGCGAAACTCGTCGGATTCGTCCAACTAGGATCTTCTCGGTCCCTGTTCCGCCGTTTACAACAAGTTCCCTTTTCAGCATTCAGACTCAAACGAAGGTCCCCTCGAACTCGTACTTACCCAGCAATCCCAGACTGCCCGCTGTAATGCGCTGCGATCGCCGCAGCCATGACTGACAAGGCCTGTGCTACCGTAGCGCTTATCAACCATATCCTTCGGTGCGGTCCGATCTTGTCTCCGAACCTTCCCAAGCTGGTACCCAAGAGGAAGGAGAGGAGACTACAGAGGGCTTGTTTGTCCGGCATGAGGAAGCCTGAGGTTCGGTGAGAGCCAAAGAGACGGGCTACGGCTATGCCTAGTTGGGCGACTCCGCCGCTGTATGAAGGGTATATAGGTTCGACGTTAGCGAACAGGTAGATAGGGGTAGTTTTGAGTCAGGGGTCGCTCACGTTTGGAAACCGCACCAGATGTAACATGCCTTTGACACGAAAGCGAGTTCAACGATCAGCCATGCTCTTGTGGTGTAGTCGTTGCTTGATCCACTTACCGAGAACGAGACGGCCGAAGTGAGCCCTGTGAGGAAACACGCCCAGACCATCGAGGTCGTCGTGCGTTTCGTATCGACCTCTGCCCATAATTTGTCCCTCCAGGTCGCCCTGTTCCGGTGGTCATTCTGAGTAGGAAGCCAATTTTCGGGCGGGTCGAGCTCCCGAGTCGGTGGTTTGCTCAGCGAGTTCGACATTCCTCTCGCAGCGGTTGCACAATATGGTTTGTCTGAGCGGAACAATCGTTGAGCGTGGTTTGCTGTCTATGCGTCGAGTCTTTTTAACCGGGAGATACTTTCGATCCCATTCTACGAGACATGATCCAAAGCCAGGTCTTGTTTGCTTGTGCGATATATCAAATATGGCATGGCAAGACGCAATCGAATAATGAAATTATACAGGGGTTCGCAGCGATGGAGAGAGAGAGATTGTCATCCGGCGCAGTCCGACACGAAATCACGCGATCGCGGGGTCTCCAATCAACGACAAGTCCCGCAGATAGGTGGTCGCATCCTTAGGAGCTAGAAGTGCCTCTTTGCATTCCTCCTTCGCTTCTTCATCGAGGTCGGGCTCTGAGAGTAACAAGCAGGGGCCTGTAGAGTAGGGAGAAGAGACGATATTCGATTCGACGTTAAAAATCGGTCTACCGGCCCGGCTTAACGGATCGCGCGAGTAATCCGCCGATAAATGGCTCACCTCGGTTTCACAAGTCTGACGAGCCGTTTCAACTTGAGCGTTCGGGAGAGAGTTGGCGGCGTCGAGGCAGTCGTTCTATCGAATGGCCGTTCGGTTCCCCATCAGATCATCTGGTCAGTAAATGTCATATTGAACCGCCCGAATACCGAAACTCGACTCACCCTCTTCTTGTCGCACATATGGTAGTAGGCGTCCATCTTGAAGTTGAAGCGTTGCCCGTTCCACGTGTAAAAGGTCTTGTCGCCCTCAGTGACCTCTGTAAATATTCCTGGTCATCAGCTTACTTCCTTTTGATAGGACGATTTGATGTCGGCTCACCTTGGATCTCGTCACCGGTACCTGCAGCAGGAGGGGAAGCGCTGCCACTGCGTTCACCACCACTCCAATCAGCCTTTTGCCACATGCATTAGAATACGATCGTCAAACACTCACGTAGGTGCGGCAGCCTGGGTAGTACTACTCGCGACCTCGGTTACCGGGTCTGTAGGGATCATTTGAGAAGGCTCGACCACAGAGCCCGAAGCCGAAGCAGTGGCAGAAGCGGTCGGGGCTGGAACGTCAGGTTGCACTTCTCCGGCCGCGGTGGTCGTAGGTACAGGTTCAGGTTGAACGATCTCAGTCGCGGACGGGTCGGCAGTAGCACTCGCTTGGTCGGCAGTTTCAGTGGTGATCGGGATGGGTACAACGGAAGAAGGAGCCCCTTCAGTCTGGGTCGGTTCGGGTTGAGCGGGGTCAGAGCCAGGCCCAGTTTCGATAGGAAGAGCTTGCGAATCGGTAGGCTGTTCCTGATCCTCAGTAGCCGAGTCGGTAGTCGTAGGAACAGCAGGCGCAGCGTCAGTCATGGTAGGAACGGCAGGAGCAGCTTCGGTAGTCTCCTCAGCGGCTGAAGTTGCGGAGGGCTCAGCGAGGGGGTCAGAGGCGGTCTCGGAGGCCGTCACAGAAGCAGAAGCAGCGGGGTCGGTGCCGGTAGCGTTGGTAGGAGCCGGTGCAGCCTCTGAGCCGGTACTAGGAGCTGGTGCAGTCGCGTTCCCAGGAGCAGGTCCAGGAGCCGGACCAGCAGACCCGTCCGGACGAGGATCATTTCCCTTGCTACTTCCTCCAGGGTAAACGGGGACTCCGGGGAGGACGAATGACATCAAGTCGTTGCCGGTGTAAAGGCTAAAGTCCAAGGCCATGTTGTTGGCAGCAGCAGAGTACATCTCCGGGAACTTGCCCATGTACTCGCTGGAAGGTAGCGAGGTCCCGCTCGAGGTCAGTTCGATCTCGGCCGCCCAGGGGTAAAATTGCGCGGGGACCGAGTGCATGGCGATCAGTTCGAACCGTAAGAGGTAGGCTCCACCAGGCAGGTCGGTGGGGAGGGTGATCGTATGCTTGGCTCCGGTCGTGGCGAGGACGTCGGTAGGCCAGATCTTGGCAGTGGCGTCATAGCCAGAGTGGTGGATGGCAAACCAGTCGAGGGTGGTAGCGTCGACTCCGGTGCAGGTGGCTCCACCACAGGACGCCATGTGGTTGAGGATCGGGCCGCTGTGACCTTCGGGCCAGGTTCCCATGTCGAACGTGACGGCTGCGAGGCGGGCGCAAGAAGACATGGGTTGTGAGCCGTGCTTAGGGCTTTAAGATGGTATTCCAGCGAGTTGAGAATCTGAACTTACTATCTCCAGCGTTCATGGGAATCGACTTGACGGGGCTGGTTGCATCGTAAAGAGCGCCTTCGGTTGTACCTCCAGTGGCGATGGCAGCCGAAGAAGGGTCCGTGTATCCGTTGTCCAGGATGTCGTTTTTCCTCTGCAAGCGCGCGCATGTCGGTTCGAATCGATATCAGCCTCGTCTCACCCAGGCCAGTTCAACAGAGATCGCGGCACTCACGCTGTACTTGCCGTCCGGCGCAGCAGCTCCGGCTCCGTTGGCAAAGTTCATGGCGGCATAATGATCTTGGTTGGGGATCCAAGCCGGGTAGGATTTGCCCGCGACGTCGATCTTGGTGAGCGAGCCGTGGGCCGAGGCGAGTGGGATGGTAGCCACCAGGGCGAGGAGCGAGACGAGTTGACGAGCGGACACGGGCATGTTGTAGACGAGCAGAACAAGAGGAAGAGACAAAGTAGGGGTAGCTATCAAAGCTTGGTGTATGTATGATGAGAAAGGATGATGAACCGTAATGTGGCCGGTAAGAAGAAAGAGGGGGACGTCGGCGCAATGTGCTCGCTCTATATACTCAAGTCCAACACGTAGCAGCGACCTTTGTGCTATCAAACTCTAAACTCCTTCGTATCAAAGGACACGACGGAGCGGGCCGGAAAGATCGCGGTCGAGGTCCTTTCGCCTGCCAAGAACCCGTCGTCCGTCGTCGAGACGCGCGATTCTGGCGTTTCAGACGACCGGCATATTGTCGGCAAAGAATCAAAAGGACGCGACGCCGTTCCGGAACGCGGGCGGGTCGATGAAACGCAGACGCGGTGGAACAAACACGATCGTAAGCGAGGGTTGATACGTGTGTCAGACGGCGTGATCGTCAACGTCATCATGGAACGGGTTTGACAACGATCGACGATGGCTCGACCGGGCCCCGACGAACATGCGGTCCCTTTGTTCTCGTCGAGGCAGCGCGAAATGTCGACGTCGTATGAAACGGCAAGTTGCGTCGCTGTTGATCTGCGTTCTGCCAGATCTGCGACGATGACTACAATCAGTCGTGTCGCGAGAGCCAGAAGACGGTACCCAGCGGCAAGCAGCGATTATCGCCCGGCGCGTCAAACTGCTATTATCGACCTCCCACGGCAAAAAGACTGTGACCCCAGCCCGGATTGAACGGACGACCGCACGATAACACCACACTGGATTGGAATCGTATATTCTACCACTGAACTATGGGGCCTTCAATGTTTCCGCCTCACTCGGCTCAAAAACACATCTCTCCAACCATTTCCTACACCTCGAACGGTAATTCCTACCCGGACGGACCTGCGGCCCGCCCGGGCGCTCCCTGACTTTACCCTGCTCTGTGTTCTGCCTACATTTACGTTGATCATAGTGTCATTAACGATACATGTAGATCAGCGAGGCCGACGTCCATTGCACGGACGTTGCTAGGGTCACGACGGGGTTTGCCACTCCGTCGCGAGATAAAGCCAGCCGAGTCTCCAATCTGAGAGAGGATCCGTCCTGCAGTCTCCCACAATATCTCCGATCGAGCATGAAGCAGGGTCTACACGCTGTACATGTTTCGAGCCATCCGAGGCACATTGCCTGACGAGCCATCACTCGGACCGAGATCGTGAAACGAATGTCGTGGCAGCGGTATATCCAACATTTGTAGAACATATCGAGCCACATGTGCCGGTTTATTGTGCGCCGATGCGCTACCGTGAATACAGCCATCCTTGAGTTGTTATATGGGCTGGATAATCGAGGTCGAGTTTTCCGGTACTTTCTCACGCCCACGTAAACCTATAAACAGGCAGCGCGAAACGTTCTTACGATCAGTCGATGTTCATTCGTGAAACACTTGCTAAAGTAGAGAGACGAGAACTCACTCTTGTCCACCTTCCCACTGCACCTCGTCCCCGTGTCCAGCCCCGTACCAAGCGATCGCCCCCAGGTGTTCTTTCCTCTTGACCAGCTTCATCGTCGGTTCGCTCTCCTTCCACAGCTTTTGGATTCGCTCAGGCAAGGCCCAAAGTGTAACCTCGTCACAACCCATGTTCTTGGCTTGGCTCAGGATGATCGCCTTCAACCTGACAAGATCGTCCCCGAGCTTGGCTTCCTCTTCCCCCAAGGAAAGGACACCGATACTGGTAACCCTCAACGTGGCCTTCGTACCATCGTCGTTGAGATCGACGAGCCAGACGGCCCATATCCCACGCTCCTGGTCGACGAACCCGAACGTCTCCGTCTCTGGCTTGGGGACAGCAGACTTTGATTTCGATGACGACGACCTGTTCTGGACCCCGCGGACGAGGTAATAGTTGATCAAGCCTGGAGAGTTGGCGGAATCGAGGATGAACTTTGTTTTCCTGGTCCTCGATACCGAATCTTTGTGGTCCAGGTTGCCTGCAGCTTGCTTTAAGAGCTTGGTCTCGTACGACTCGACCAGCGCGGGCGGTACCAACTCAGCATTCCACTCCCGTAGAAATCGCACCCCGCTCAGATCCAGGTCGACTGCTGCCGCTCGTTCTTGTCGATCCTCGATCTTGATATCCCAGACCAACTCTTCATCCAGCCTCGTCACCCACCCATCCCTATCCCCGATCTTGCAGGATCGATAAAAGTCCTCCCCGACGTCTGACCATAGTATCGAATAGAACGCGTCGTTCCTCATCGTACGAATGCTAGGCGGGGGACCTAGAGTCTCGATGGGCCATGAGGGAAGATGGTCGTGCGGGCCGAGGATGTAGTGCATGGTGGACATGAGTTGCCGGGCGTAGCCCTTGCCTGACGGCACCCGCGAGTCGGATCAGCGAAAAAGACAACGGGTGACGTAACGATAAGGGAAAGACTCACGACGATGTTCAGGCGCGGTGATGACCCCCGTCACGCAGTAAGAGGTCACGTCCTGCATCTGACCCGATTCGGCATCGTAACAACGAGCTTGTCTCCGTAGCCTGCGGTTTGGAGCCTTAGCCAACTTCGTCACCTGGCTAAAGACGAACTGGCCAAAGTGCAGACTAGACTCACGTCCTGGATGCTGCCAGGATGTTGGTCGTCTGCAGATCTGATCGAGGTACTAAAGCCCTGATCCACAGACCCGTTCGACAAAGTCAGCCTACAGTCTGTACAAGTACAATCACCTCAGGTCTCGGTCAGAGCGACTCGTCTCGCGACTAACCATATCAGAGCCCGATCATCTTGAGTGTGCCTCCCTTCAGCCTCTTGCCAATCCTGGTTCTCGTGAAAACTTTCTTCGGACATGCCTCCTGGCTTCATCCAGTACTCCCAGGCGTTGCGTCTCCATGCCCGTTTTTGCGCTGGGGAAGCGAGTACTACGGTGAGGTCGGCCGACATGGTATAGCACTCGATCGGCAGATTTGCAGGATTGCAGAAAGGCGAGCAAGAGCAGGTTACCCCTTCTTCTGAGTATTCAACTGGCCCGCTTGTATCAACATGTTTCCGAGTCAAGTCGAGGAAGAAGTGTCACTTTGAGTGACTCGACGAAATATCCTAATGGTACGGTTCGGCTCTTCCCTGTCGGACTTGACCGAAATTGCATCCGGTCCGATCGAGCCGACACAGCGGGGCAAGGGGGACCGGTAAAAGGCAGTTATGCGCGCGTGTAACTGCCCAATCCTAACTGCCTCTTAGCGTACCCCAAGCAGGCCCTCAATTAACGGGCGCGTCACAGCTCGCTAGCGCCCGACGCGCTTTTACGTCTCTTGACGCGACGCGCTTATCGCGTTCTAGCACCTACACCCTCGCGTCTCGAGAAGCATGTAATAAACTTACTACTAACTACTACTACGATAGGGACTTTTCACCCAGACACATCTAGACATCTCTCCACGCTTTGACGACCCCCTAACGACTCTCTTACGACTCACCAACGGCCCGGAAAGACGCCAGTTAACGCACCACCCCTAGAACCGTCAAAACCCGTCATCGAGAAGCCAAGAAGCTCAACTGGTAAAAACACGGTCCGAACGGACAATGTCCGGTTCGGGGGAGCAGTCGGAGCGGGGTTCTGTAAGTACTCCTTATCTCCCCATGAACTGCCCCGTTAACTCACTGATGTCAGGGATGGGCACACAAGGACCGGGAGGGGAACAGCGTCGAAGCCTACGCTCCCCGTAAGTTTTACCAGTCTTGTATCCGGCCTCTATCAGGGTGATCGATAGCTAGTTAGCTGATTGTTATCTATTTGCTCTCGTCAGTCAAAAAGAACAAGGGGAAGCAGAGGGAGCAGGCTGTTGGTAAGCTTCTCAACCGCGTCAAGTGCTTCTCAACTGTCAATTAACTGACCGGTATCCCCCGTGTTTGTGGGGAGTGCTTATGTAGACCTGGTGGCCGACGGTATTGATCCTACTCTCGACGACGATGACTTGAGCGATTTGTCGAGCGATGATGAAGATGGTGAGCCAGCCACGCTTATGTCACTTCAACCTGCCTCTAACCGAGCTATAACTGACGAGTTGTGGCGCTCCTTGTTCCGACTTAGAGGTCGCACGCCAACGCCCGGCCGCCCAAACAAGTCGGAGTCCCGAGCTCGAAACTCTCGAGCAGGTAAGTCCTTACTTTCACCTCCACAAAGGCCTACTTACCTGACCGTTAACTGCCCGATATAGATTGCTGCTAGAGAGCTTGCCGAGACGAAGGCAGCGGAGGACAGGGAAGCTTTGCGAGCGATTCAAAGAGAGGTGAGTATCGACTATGAGTGTTGCTATGCGTCTCCTAACCCTCCCTTAACTATCTGGTTATGTATTCTTTCAGAACCTCAAACGCAAGGCGACCTTTACCGACCTTCGTGCTGCGACCTACAAAGTCGTACGTAGTCAGCGCCATAACTCCGTATAAACGTGTCACTAAGTAGAGATTTACTGGGCTGTTTCGCGACGTTTGCTAGAACCGAACCGAGACCGTAAGTTAAACCCCCTCTAATCTGGACACTTACACGACAGTTAATCGCCATTTATTCCCTCACAGGACCTTGGGCCTATGAGGGAACCCGGACGTCTAGTCACCAATCATCAAGTGAAAGACGCAGTCAAGGTGCTACCCAGCCGGTTAGCCGCCCGTTATCACGCTGTTCTCGAGAAGCGAAAGGCCTTGCCTCCCGTCGGCCAGAATCCGACGATCAAGAGCCTTGTTCCGGTGATCCATACGCAAACGGCTTTACTGGACGAAATCGTGGCTCTGACAGGGGAGATAGCGAGCAGTTATCAGTGGGTTAGGGCGATGCATATGGTCCAGGATCATCTACGAGCCCAGCTCACAGTCGAGGACGAAAAGCTCGACGAAAGGATCAAGGCTCTCGAAGCCGACGCTGGCGGCTATCCAGCACACCCAGCACCCGCGGCTGCTCCCGCTCCTGCCCAACCGGCCCAAAACACCCCGGTAACCGGCATCACTATGGCCGATTTGAAGACCGCTATCAAGAACGATGAAGGTCTTCGAAAGGTTCTCCGTGGTGTCCTTGTCGGTATGCCCCCGAGCGATGTTCCTCAGGCCTCCGTAGCGGGCCCATCGGGGACCTCTAACCAGGCCGCTACAAGCGCGACATCGCCCACCGGGAAGAGGTCGAGACCCCCGCGAGCGACACACCGAGACGTGCGTTGCAATCACACATTGAGACTGTCACTTAACTGATGTTTAACTGCCCCCTTCCTCCCCCGTCATCAGGCCGGTGTCCATTACGCCGTCAAGAAGCTTATCGGCATGCAGTGTCACTGGGGCAGGCACCTCCGTGACAACCACGACGACGAAGGATATCTGGTCGAGAACGACTGGCCACTCCCCATGGAAGACGGCAGTTTGAAGGCCGATATCGAACTCGCCAACGGTGATGTCGAGGTTTCGGCGTGGCGTCCGGATTGGAAGGCGGTCAAGGTTGGGTCGGCGAAGTAAGTTCCTGTTATCGGCCTTTCAAGTACCTAATAACTATCCAGTAACTGACCGGTTATACGGCATTTAGATGGGCTCCATTCATCGAAGAATGTCTCGCCACCGTCAAGGATGGATGGAGGCCATTGAAGATGGGCGCAATCGACGACGACGACGCGATACGGGCCGCTATCTGCCAGTATTGTGCCACACGAGTGGGCAAACAACCGGCGATTGCGGAGAACGGAGGCAAGCCGTTCGCTGTGTGGCAGCGCCGACGATTTGGGATGGTAGGTCTTTTTTCAGGGCAAAAACAGCGTGGTTATCGAGCAGTTATATGGCAGTTGACTGACTTACCCTTGGTCTGGGTACTTACAGCTTGCCGATCGACGACTGGAGCACTTTGCAAACAGTCCGGCGAACAAGACCGTCAAATCGTCGATTTACACCCTGTTAACCGGGGTGTTATTTGTCCCCTCGCTGCACTGTGCCGACCCTCCCGATACTCGTCGATACCCGGTCCTTCCCCAAACTGGCCCAGATGAGCCCGATATCGAGACCGATGGATGGAAGGTATGGAGGCGTTACTGCTTCGACGGTAACAAGGAGGCTGCCAACAAGTGCGACGAGCTCTGCTACCCGTACTGGTTGTCTGACGAGGTGAGTGCTACGTGATGTCGTAACTCCCTAATCACTGTCAACTAACCCCGCTGTTTGATGTCCGTTTATGGCCACTTAGTATATCGGAGTCGGGGCCTTCCTCGATGCTATCCACTTGGAGAAGTATCGATCCCAAAACTCGTCGAAGCCCCGTTGGGTGGGACCTAGACGGTATTGGCCGGTAAAGAAGCCGGTTACCGACGACTTAAGGGCCAGTTTGAAGGACGACACGACGAAGCCCGACCCCGACGGCAAGGGCTGGATCATCTACCGGTCGATGGTCAACGACGAAGCGGCCCAAGATTGGGAGGCTAACGACCCACTTTTGTGGGCGTTAGTTTACCCCGATCCTCCTATCCCCGTCGAGCACCAAGGGCGCCCGTCGATTGAGACCTTGTCTCAAGCGCAGCACCGCGGTGTGTGGGAGTTATCGAGGACGTTAGTGGCCTGTCAAAAGCCCGACTTGACCGACGAGCAACTCCTCGACCTCGCCAAGACCTACGCCGCCATCGATCAGACCGAGCTCATCGCTGCCGGTGCCGCCAACATCGAGGAGGATCTCGAGGACGAGGAGATCGAGGACTAAACGGGGCCATAACTGGCTAGATTCAAGACGGTTACTAGACCGTCAACGTCAACATGTCTCTCGGGGGACTTTCTACGGCTTTGGACTTACGAAAAAAAGAAGAAAAAAAAGGAAAAAAACGAGGTATATGTATATTAGCAGGTGGGTTATGAGTCGGACATCCGACAGTTACGATAGGCCGAGGTTGCAATTCCGGTCGACGACTTTTTACGAGCAGGGAAACGAGATCGAGTTAATGTCTTTAGATGTCGTATATCTGGGCGGTTACGAGGGTGTTATAGGCCCTCCTTTTTTACTATACCATATAATGTCGGTCCCTGCCTACACACGAGTACATGCTTGGACGGCCCAGATAAGGTGATTTGGGGGATTATTGCGGCCTCCTAACTCCCATGTAGCTGGCCTGACTTCGAGCAGTGTCACGGGCTTCAGCGTGCTCATGATGAAAGGTTCGAGAGGAATTACTTCAGATGGCGCCTTGAAGGTTCTAGCTTCGTAGAGTCGAACATCCACGGCTGGGCTGGTGGCTTGAAAACGGTCGATTAACTGCCTCGTTACATGCTAGTAATAGGTCGCACTCACTGCTGGTAATAAGCCGGAAGCACAGACGGTACACGATGGTCACCAAGAGGTACAGCTCGACGACCCATGCAGACCAGTTTCGTGCTTGTATCGCCCTCGTAACTGACCAGTTGTACGTCATACACAGCTGTCAAAAGCCAGAGACCTCCCCCTGGAGTGGTGTTTGCGTTATGAGTCGTAAACGCCTTCCGAAAACAGAACAATGTGTCCTTGTAAGCGGCCAAGTTAGCGGTCCGATATGAGCCAATTGCACTCGGCCATGATTTGAAAGTCTTGTTTTGGTTGGCTATGCCCCTGTATCTAACTGCCACAGTTCGGAGCGTTATCTGGCGAGGGGAAGGGGGATTAGGGAGCTGTTCTCCTTCAAGATAGTAGTCATGAGAGGGGTCCATCTCGCTAAGCCTTGTCCTGATAGCCAACAGGCTGTGCTTAGGTGCTTCGACGAGTTCCCCATTGAACGGTGTTAACCGCTCGCTATCGGGTGCTGAACGGGCCAGTTGCAGACAGGTTTCAAGCTCCTTAATATCCCTGTTCATCTCGTCGAGTAATCTATTGGCAGCAGCGCCCGAAGACTGATCACTCTCCATAAAAGCCTGGTACTTATCAGCCAGTTGCTGCACAGTTATCCGTTCTGCGTCGGTCGTGGCATCACACAGAAGCTGCGCCTGCAGGAGGGACGACATGGCGGCCTTGTAACGTCCCTGTAACAGGGTGGTTTCGACCTGCTTGCCGTTGGTATTGATGGCCTTGAGAAGTTTGCCCAGGCGTTCGGCTGCAAAGACCCATAGCGAGTAGCTAGGGCCATGTAGCAATATATCGTGCACTAAGTGGCTCAATTGATGCCAGTTACGGGTCCGTTGTATGCCCGGGTGCAGCTTGAAAACCAGATCCTGCCAGCGACGGATAACCTCGGCCAGATATTCCACCTCTGACTGGCTTATAACAGGCCTTAATGCGAGTATATTCACCTCCGATAGCAAGAGAGAACACTCGAGCTCGTCATCAGAGAGTAGAGGGTTGTGCTGAAGGCTGGTACTGCCTAACCGTTCGTTGTGACGCCAAATAACAGGCCAGATAAGAGGCACATAAACCTCCGTAAAGGTCCTCCATTGAGCCGACGTCTTGGTGCCCCCCTTCACATCAAGGAAATCCGTTCCGATGCGATGATAGATCCCGCTTGGTAATAACACCTGGAGTGATTGACTTCGGTCAGTTAACTGTGGGCAAACAGCCAGCATCTGCAACACTTACATGGCCAATAGCTTCACCGATCATGACGAGATTTGCGGGAGTCAGGATGCCTCTTTTTGCCAAGGCTCGTGATCCAGTGCTAATACCTACTCGAACTCTTGGCTGATGGATAACTGGGCGATTATCGGGCCGTGTCCGGGCCGTTGAGCTCAATGCGATGGCCGCTGATGGGGAGTCTCGCATCGCCCTTTCCAGGGTCATCTCTTCGATGCTACCCTCTGTGGGCCCCGTTACCGGCTCGTTAACAGGCCGACACGCAGGTGGAAGTTCATCTTCAGTGTCGGTATTGGATCTCGACGATGCGTCGGACTCTTCTAGAGGCTCATTAACCGCCAAGTACTGGCCCAGTTGTAGGCATTTTCGAAAGTAGGTTTTGTTGTTGCCCTGAAGGAGATTGTGCATGGGATCGAAGACAGTATTCTGGAATTTGTCGAAATAAGGAAGGAACATACAGGCCGTTAAGTGCCCTGTAGCGTCGGCGTAAGGGGCGTGTTCGAGGGCGGTTTTCATCATACTGTTGGTGAACTTTGCGGGCCGATATAGGGGTGGTTTATGTCCTCTTCCACGTCTAGGAGCCAAAGCCCAAGCTTCACGTTCGTACTCGTTGCGCTCCACCAAGAGGTCCTGCTCTCTATTGTGCTCATGACGGGCCTGTAACACAGCGGTTATCCCCGCGTCGGCCTTCCTCAACACACCCAGATTGTGCTCGTGCGAGTTCCGAAATGGAAAGACTAGAAAAGTAGGTGTTCGATTGAGGGCCATTTTACGGCCTTGTAACTGGCTACACTTACCATGGGTATCTGCCTGTTGCTGGTGTGTCGCTTCACATCGAGTACAGATATCCTTGAGCGATGTTTGCGAGCCAGCCCCTATTGCGGCAATTGCCGCTGGTCTATCAGCGCAGATAGCAGCCAGTACCAGGCGGCATAGACGGCCGTTAGGAAAATCTGGAGTCTTGATGGACACCGGTCCTTCCCAAGCTTGACGCAATTCTAGCATGGTAGGTATCAAGAATTTCCAGAGATTGACATGACGGGGCTCTCTCGGGCCTGTACAGGGGTAGTAAAAGGGCAGTTAAGCAGCTGAAGTGAGACCGACTTCTTCGAACCAGGAATCAACGCACCGGGAGTCAGGCCACAGCACATGATCAGGTTCTGAACCCCCCTCAAACCCTGTGGTAAGTTGACCGCTTGGAGGGAGATATGACCCACAGAGTAGCCAGTCGTAGACATCGAAGATCGACAATTGACCCAATCGACGTAAAGGTTCATGTAAATAACTGGCGGTTCACCGTCTTTTGGGGGGTCACTTATGAGACGGTTACCGTCTGGGCCCAAGATCTGATCTAGCGCTGAACCGCTCCACTGGTCCCGGTAGATCTTCTGGCCAGGGTGTTGTGAAGCATCCCAACGGGCCGCTAACTGCCGTCTTTCTTGCCAGTTGAACATCAGTTCCTCGATTCCTGGATGCGCAAGGACACGCTCGAGCTCAGATTTGAGGGGAATTCGAGCGAAGTCACGCCACCAGGTTTTCGCTTGCGATCGGTCCATCAGGTGCCCACATTCTGGGCAGATATCTGGCAGATTTCGGGGGAGCTTTGGAGAGTGGATTGATGATAGAGAGACTGGGGAGTTGATGTGGTACAATACGGCTTGACAGTCCATGTTCGGGCAGACAGGGTGGGTGATAGAGGGCACATTTGCGCCCATTAGAGATCGGACCGTCCTAAGAGTTTTGGCTGGATTTTCACTCAGAGGGGATGGGTTGACACCTCCGGCCGCTAAGTGGGTCGTAATTACCAAGATAACGAGCGTATTGAGGGTGTATTCCACTGCTCGCCGCACAACCCCAGAGGCTGCTAGTAACAAGGTGTGGGCGTAGATCAACTTCTCCATGAAGGTTGTAGTAGGTCGATCGGCCTCGCAACTGGCCTCTAGGGGTGCAGTTGCACCGCTGATCCATGGCCTATCAATCGCTGGAGGAACGTCCCTCGGCCATAACGGGCGGAAGTCGTGAAGCTCAGATGCATAGCTGGAACAAGGTATGTCCATCGGTCCCCTATCTGCCCGACTCTCCGGCCGATACGGGGGAGATGCAAGTGATGGAGCTGGAGATGGCTGCCTGTTAACCGGAGTGTTTGGTGGGTCGCAATCGGGGGTTAGAGGATTCATAGGGTTTTCCGGGTAGTCGACCTCGTAGTTGGCATCTGCATTCACAAGGTGACCTGACGGCAATGAGGGAGGGGGAAGATTGGGTTGTAACGGCGAGATAACGGGGGTGGTGTGGGCCGGCTGTAAGGGCGAGTCTGGCGGCCCCCCAGAGCCAATGGAAAGGCTCCCCCGGACGAGGTTGTTATGGACCTCTAAACTGGCCGCTAAGCGGCGGATATGTGTCACATATGTTTTGCCGGAGATGCGACGTCCTGAAGGCCCACAACCTTGGCATCGGCAAATACCAACCGTCGATTTGGGCTAGTAATGGGGATGTTAAATGATGGTTAATAGCCTGGTGAATGCACTTAAACTGACCACCCGTTTCGCAAGCTGGTCAGGAGTGCAACCAGCAGGAGGATAATCGGTAAGAAATTCGGATTCCATAATCGCAAGATAATCGATGATAAACACAGTAGTTAAAGAGGGGTTACAACATGGATTTGGGGGACGTGGCCGTTGAAGGACTTGTTGACAATGACGCGTCGAAGAGTTTGGACTTAGAGAAAAAAAAAACGATTTGAGGGTGTCAAAGGACTTAGCGAAAAAAAAGGGGACTAAATAGGGCCCATAAAAGGCAGTTAGGTCAAAATCGTAACGGACCTCCTGTAACTGGCCTCTAACCGGCGCGCGTGTTTTGTAACCGGCCCCCCTTGCCCCGCTGTGCGATCGACGTCTCGATGTTGACGACATGGATGAAGCCAGACTAGAAGACCTCCTCCCCTCTTGCAATCAACGTGAGCGACGGAGCAATCGCAAGTTATATCTCATTAGTTGTGCAAGTCGGTCATCAAGTCAAATTCAGACTGCCCGAGGAGTCGGTCGAAGCGAGGCCTGATTTTACGTACTGTTAATCGTCGAATTGGACCTGAAAGATCGTATGGCCGCATCGATCAATTTCCTGAGTCATAATCAGTCATAATTCATAATTCATGGGATCATAAGACGATACACTTTCCAGGAACGCTCGATACCCATCGAAAGGTGCGATGCGGCGTGGATAGTTCGAGGTTCGCCGCGAACGGGCAGAGTAGATAGAGGAGTTTGCGGTAAGATCGGATTATACAAAGAACGGTATTAAGTAGGTTGGTGGTTGGCGGCTTGGCGGTTTGTTGCGGTTTGCTGAGCGCGGAGATGCAGAGGTGTCCTTAGTGTCACAAAGGATTGAAGAAAAGTTGGGGAACTGGCGTGGTTGATAGCGTTGTCCGGCAAGGCGAAGAGTAACAGGTGGATATCGGAATCCGACGAGTCCGAGCTATTTCGTAGGAGACCTTCTGTGATCAGCTCGATCGGTCTCATCAGATGGATCGCCCTCGAACAAAAACCCAACTCACGACCGTTCCCATCCTCATCATCTTCGTCCTCATTCATCATCCCTACAACCCAACCCATCCTCTCCAACCCCGTCCCCTCTTCCTCCCCCCATCGCTCACCCCATCCTCGTTGACCGCAACACCAAACTCGTCCTTGACCCTGTCTACCAACGATTCCATCCCGCTCTCCACATCCATCAATCCTTCTTTTACGGTCCGTCGAGCTTTGTCTGCTTTGTCTGCGAGCGGGGCGGAGGTTGAGGTGGGTTGTAGTTGTGTTGGTGTTGATATCGAAGCTGAAGCGTTCGACGTCTCCATCCCCGTCCCCGTGCTCGTGCTCGTCATGGCATCCGTTGCACCCTTCCCATCCTCAGCCCCAGCAGCACCATCACCAGCACCAACGGCAGGCCCAGAAGTAGACGTGGTGGAGGGCCCCACAGCAACCTTCTGAACATGCTTGATCACCCTCCCCAGAGAATCCCCCCAACTAGCAGCCTGTCTCCTCTGGATCGTCTGTAAATGAGCGAGTTCGGATTCGAGGTGGGTGATCCGGATCTGGGCGTCGTGTAAAGAGCGAGAGTGGGAGAGGTGGGTTTGGATGAGTTGGAGGGCCTGTCAGGTCGGGAGGGTTGAGCAAAGAGGGAAGAAGAAAAATGAAGGTCAGGCCAGTTGAGAGAGGGAAGAGGAGCTGGGAAGGGAAGCTTACGAAGAAGATGGCGGTACCGATTCCGATGACCGGCATCATCGCTGTCAACATACAAATCGTCGAGATCGTATTAGCAGGATATACCAAGTGAGTGCTGTCCGGACGCCTTCGCTTACCTGGTACGATCTATCCAATGAGACGAAGTCCCCACAAGACACCATAAGACAAGATGCGAGAGAATGACAACCCATCAGTCCCCCTTCACCTAAATACCTCTCCATCGATTGACTAAGAAATCGGAATCGCAGACTCACCTCGCGGTACCAAACAATATGTTTACTCGGAGCCTTCTTCCCCGCAGCCGCACCTGCACTCACACCGGCCGTACCCAACCCCGATCCAGATCCTAGGGTCGAAGTCCCTGCAGCGGAGCCTCCCACACCTCCAGCTCCAGCAGATCCAGCCCCAACACCCCCAGAAATCGGACCGGCAACCCCATTAGGTTTCGGTTTAGAGTTTCCAGGAGTGTAAGGTCGGGAGGTATGTTTGGTTATCCCTATCCGTGAACGGAGGGGAGAGGTGGGAGGGGTGATATTATTCGGATTCGGACGACCGGAAAGGGAAAAGTTTGCTCGGAGGGTGGTTGTCTTTAGGGACATGGTTTTATGTGTCGGGTTCTTTGAGGTGGTATAGTATAGTGTTGTGTTGTGTTGTGTTGTAGTCGAGTCAAGAAACACGAAGGAGGGGAGAGGAGTAGCGTGGTCGTAAGTCCTTCAAGTGGATAGCTGTTCGTCACGTCGGCTGAAGTCGAGAGTGAAGGACGTCGATGGCGTCAGCACCAATTAAGTAGAGGTTAAAAAGCGTTGGAGCCCGACTTGGTTCTGATCGTATTTCGTCACTCGATCGACAGACTTACGTGTGACTGCGAACCGAACCTGAAGAGATGGTCGTTGTGTGCTAGCCTGAGTACTCTAAATGCCTATCATATTCAAGGTCGAATGGCATTCGAATCTGGACAATAGGTCGAGGTCGAGGTCATCGGAGGAAGGGGAGACACTCACGTTTTGAGCTGAGACTAGTCGCGAGTATGTGACGACCCAGGGCGTCAGTGGCTGCACTTGCGCTCATCATCAGCGCCTCCCTCACAATCTCACTTTCTCCTTCGAAACTCTACTGGCGTCATCTCCTACTTCGCTACAGAGTAGTATGTCGCTTCGTTCCCTTCTCTTTTCGGGCGCTTCCACCTCTCCAGGACGCTGTTCGTCACCGGGTTCGCTGAGAACAATCAATATCGTCGCCAGCATGGTTATCGCCACCAACAGCTTTCCCGTCAGCATTGCATTAGCGTCTTTGGCCAAAAATTCGTTCTTCTTCTGAGTCGGGACAGGTGGCGCTCTCGTCGCTGCCAGGATCCCTACTATATTTAAAGTAGTCGTAAACCTTGGATTGTCTCTCCTCCCCATTATCTTACACGTAGCCAAGCCGATCTCATCATCGCTGCTGATCGTAAAAACAACGTCACCATTATCATCGCCCACGATCTTGCTGTCATTGCGCTGTCGTTAATCGTCTGATCCGCTTATGCTGATAAGCGGGATAACTGCAGCTGTCCGGCCGGTCATGGCTGTAATATTGTACCTGTCGAACTACGGACATGGACTACCCATCTCGCACTATCATAGAAAGTCAAACCCTACGAGTACAGTATACAGTATCGCTTTGATCCCTTCGATTGAGCTTAATGTAACATCATCGTGTAAAACGAACAAAACGAATCATTACGGCAGGTCGACCTTCGAGCTTCGAAACGTTCAATTTGTCATCCCACTCGACTTTCTGCCCATGTCGTTCCAATTCCCTTTTTGGGGGGGGGGAGGGGAGGGGGGGGGGTTGACATCCTTCCTTGCACTTCTTGCGCTTCATAAAAGCAGCTCTCACAGGCGTCGCCTGGCTCGATGCCAGTGTACTAGTATAGTAGCCTTGCTTGGCGCCAGTAAGTCTTGCTCGGTACCGTCTCGCTCACTCAGTCCTAGATCAATAAAAATGAATGGAGGGATCATCAGTCGATAAGCTATGTACGTAATACTTCGGGATGAGGTCGTCGGCATCCATTTGAATCTGAGTGGCAGTACAGAATAGTATAGTATTAGTACGCTTCTTGGTCTTGTCTCCGTGGTTCTTCCCGATTTACTGAGTGCAGGCGCAGGGGGCGATTTCTTCTACCGCTCGTTATTTTTGGTTGGTAGTTCGAGGTGTAGTAGCCGGTATTGCGTCTTGTGCTGTTGAGATGGCGCTGGCAATAGTATCTGGATACAGAGATCGTGTTTGATAGCCAAGTGGCAAGTCCTACGTCCAAGACCGAACCCAAGCCAAGCGTCCGAGTCCTGGTATGCTGGCGGCACCTCACAAAGAGCTTGCCCAGGTCAATGCGAGGCAGGAAGGAGAGGCACAAGGAGCTCATCGTTGAGTTCAGTGGCGATGAATGAGAAGAGAATTGGTGATCGAACATGGATGATGTCGGTTGCTGATCCGGAGCAGGTTCCTGGATGTGCTTCTGGTTCTGGTGGGCGATAGGCTTGCCAGTCTCCTCATCGCCCTTTAGCTGATGTAAAGTTGTGGATACCTTGTCCAAGGAGACAAGCAGGACTTGTGGACAAAGTATCAGACTGGCGGGAATCGACAAGGGGGAAGATTTGAACATTGGCATGAAATTCTTCTCAATACCGCTGCGATTGTAAATGAAAATACGGATGGAGGGAACACCAACAGAGGAGATGGGTCTGGTACCCGCAACGGGTGAAGGGGATAGGGAAGGGCAAAACGCCAGTGCGCCTATAGAAAGAGAAGATGCGGCAAACAGCTTTACTGCATCTCTTACAACAGAGTTTGTATAGAAATCAGTTTCGATTCGAGCTGGCGACAAGTTTGGGTTGAGTCGACAAGATGATAAGACAATGTTGGATAGCAACTTACCCTATAGAAGAAGACGACCAGCTCATGCTTCATGCAAGCAGCCCAAAAATTGACGAATCCACCATATACCGAATTGAGCTGCTCCGGCACAGAACATACAGATTAGGTACCCTTCTGCTTGAAGGGCTAATATCCACGTGGCGGAACGGTAAATATAAACAGGCTGGCCCCACAAGTTGTCCATACCAAGATGCTGACCCATAAGCATCTCCGACAGTGATGTCTTTGCCGACATTCACCTACGATTCTAGAGAATTGGTGTTCAAACATAAATGATGTTATTGCAAGGAAGGAGAGGCTCGAAGAATTGACCATCGAGTCCAGTGAGGACGGATACACTCGCAACGAAGAATAAGAGAACTGGTGGTGGTTGAAAATGAACGTATGTCCGAATCGTTTTCGCTCGAATTCGGGGCATGTACGAGTACAGTAAAATCATATCAAGCTAGAGAATTCCCGCACTCGAAAACGCAACTTGTGTGTCGTGCACATCGTCTGTCCTTACCATCGATCAATTCCGATGTCGATGCAGGAGACGACTTGAACTGGGAGTTTTAGTATCCTGTTCGTTGCATCGCGGGAGACTTTATTGCTGGTATTCATCGATACAAGTAGCACCTATGCGCGTATTCGAGACTACCAGTCGCCCGTGAAATGCTGGCAGATATGCAAGGTACATATGATAATCATGATCATGATTATAATCATGATTGTGGTCATGAACACCTGATTACAAGTTTGACGCCCAATAACCCACGAAGTGAGACCCACGATTCATGTGTAGACTTCGTTCCCCGACTACAACCCCCAGATACTCCACAGGACAGCTGCAAGCCTCCTCCGCTTACTAACCCTCAGACGCCCCTGTTCCAAGCTCGGGACCTGACCTCCCCGCCTCTCGACCTCTTTCCCGATCTCAAAGTACGAAGCTACCATCGCCCTGGTTCCCGCCCGGGCTGTATACGGCAAGTCGGCGATAGCATCCCTAGAAGCGGACTTTAACTCTTCGGCCATGCGTAACATGCGTAGCGTATAGCTCGGCGCGTGAAAAGCGTCGGGACCTTCGAGGTCTCTAGGTCGATGAGCTAGCATCTCGATCTGCTTCTTCCCCTCCCCCTCACTTCGGTTCCGGAACCACTGCATGGGTATGTATATCCTTCCGATCGCTTCGACGTCGCTCCTCACGTCCCTAGCGATGTTGACCAGCTGCAACGCCTGACCCATCTTCCTCCCCTGTCCGAGGGTCTCTTTACGCTCGGGGGAGAGGGTCCATCCGTTTCCGGCCGTGACGGGGTTCGACGTGAGGACGTTCCACGTCAAATGGATGATCATGTCCGCCACCGACCCGGCCACGCGGTCGGCATAGAGTACGAGGTCGGCCTCGGTCTGGATCGGCGAGATCCGTTTCCAGAGTGTGTCCCGCGTTTCAACCCCGTCACCTATCCGGGTGAGCTGGAGCATCTCCCGCTTGTCCGGAAACTCCAGGTCCATCTGGTACCCGTCCAAGAGATCGTCGAACGGTCGTCTAGGGACCAGATCGACGATGAGCCTGCTAAACAGGTAAAACGCCGAGTACGCCCTCGAGGGCACTTTAGTCTCGAGGAAGACGTCCAGTGACCGAAAATCCCCCCGTGCGGTGGCATCGTCGTAAGCCAGGTCGAGGAACCGTCTCATCATCTCGAGTCGTCTCTGTTTCCTCGCCCCAATCTCTTTCAACGTCAACGTCCTCGCCTCGCCCTCGTCCTCATCGTTGGAGTCCCCGACCTTGACCTTGGTCTCAATACTGACCACCTCGCCCTGCTCATCATGATCGTCATCGATCAGGTCGTCCGTCACCCTACACCACCCATAAACCGCTATCAACCCACACCGCATCTCCCTCCCCCATCCGAGCTTGGCCACGCTGAAACTCTTGCTTCCCGCCTTCAAGGTGGCTTCGCTGGATTCGAGCGAGACGAGGAGTTGTCGAGGGATGGGGGGTGGGGAGAGGGCGAGTCTCGTCAAGAGGGTGATGTGTCGGATAGGGTTGGCCGGGGGACAGCGAGGAGTAGGGACCGAGCCCCCGGTCGGAGGTGGGGCGAGGAGGAGGAGAAAATGAAGGTGCGAGATGAGCGATGAGGAGAGGACGAGGAGGTACGAGACGATGGCGAAAAACACTGCCTCCCTAAAACCGAACGAGCGGGCGAGTACCATCGTCAGCATTTCACGATCGACAAGGAGGACCGCCCAGACGGACCGTACGACTCACTCTACCGGCAACCCCCTCCAAAGCACCCACCCCAACGTCCTCTTTCCCTGGGTATCGATCGCCCAAGCGCCCGCCCTGATAGCGACGGTATCGACCATCCACAACCAACCCGTCCCCACAGCCCAAGCTATCCAGTCTTCTGGCAAGTCCACTTTGGCTCCTAGGGCGGTGAGGAGGGCGAGCACGGGTGAGATCCAGATGAGGATGGCGGAGAGGTAGAAGAGGCGGTCTTCCACGGGTTGTAGTTTGAGTTGGAAGGGTGATTTGAGGGTTTGGATGAAGAAGGTAAGAACCCCAGATTTAGGATTCGTAAGGGTAGTAACCGGATGTGCGACGATATCGCACAGGATAGGAAGAGGTGTAAAGAGCCCGATCCCGCCTAGTGTCATGACCCCCAACCAAAACAACCCAGCGAGAGGTCTTCGAGGTAACGTCTGTATTCTTTCTTCTTGTATGGTTGTCTTTCGTATCCGTGTTGATGTTGATGTTGATGTCCTTGTTCGAAGTGTTCGTATCCGTGTAGGTGACGGATTGGGGGGTATGGAATTCTTGCGCTCGTCCTCATCCTCGACCTCGTCCTCGTCCTCTTGCTCATGCCCGTCAGCTTTCTCCCCCTCCCCCCCAACCTTAGCCTCACACCCATCTCCCTTGTCATCCCCACCCCACCCCTTGATGACACCGACGACCGTCAACCCCCTCCACGCAAAAGGAATCCCCCTCCCTACGCCCGCTACCGCCTGAACCAGTACCAACAACAAAGGCTGTAAGATGAAGAACAAGTGTTCTTCAATTGGGACGTGGTAGATCTTGAAGAGGATCGAGGAGGGGGGGTATGTCCATGCTGCGTGAGAGATTATCCACTGCGGTTGTAGAAGATGGTTTGGAGGGGAAGGAAGAAGGTGGTTCGGGGAGGTTGGGGATGGAAGAGAGATGTCAATGAGATGGTGATATTAGCATATGTATAATCGTAAAAGAAGTAGCAGACCCGGTGAATTGGGAGCCGCTCGAGCGTGTACGACTGACGTTATCCCAAGGTGTAGTCCATATCGTCGCCTACAAAACCCAGACAGCGGAAACGTTAGCCATGCCCTGAAGGGTCCTGTGTGTAGATTCAGGCATCTGAAGAAAGCTACTCGCCATGAACATCAACCATCCGACCTTGATCCCGTCCCTCCTCCCAAAGAGCGGACCGTAGAGGTACCCCAAGAGCAAGATGGGTGGGATCACGAAGATCAGGTGTCTAAGCCCAGTAATTGGAGAGAGGTATTCAGTTGCTGTGGACAATTTCAAAGTGACAAGATGTTGGGGGAAAGGGAACTTGCACTTGAAAGTATGTCAATGACAGCGGTGGTATTGGTGGTGGTGGTGATGCCATGATGCTCGGAAATTTCGTCCCTCCTGTGCTCGTCGTTGGTTCGAATTCGATGGCGATTTACGGACGACGGCTTGACATCCTTTTCCTCTCGTCTGTTCAAGGGATGGTATCTATGGATTGCTGGTTGTGGAGTAAGATGTTGTTGTCGAGGGTGACATGGAAGGTGACATGGATGTTGAATCTATTTTCTACCTTTTGAGCGGGGAAGAGGGAGGAGGAACTACGTCGTCCACCCAGACAAACCCTTACAACCCCACCTAACCACAACCACTCCCTACCCCAAGACCTCCCAAACCAATCTCCCATCTCGCAACCCACCATGCAACCACCAACATTAAACCTGAAACCCGTCGACCGGACCTCTTCCTCGTCGAAACGTCCAGCACGACGACCCGTACCCGACGCTCGCCAGGTCGACCCGATCAATAATGTTCGACCGACGTGGGAGTATATGGCGAGCAAGGATGGAAGGGATAGGAACTTGATCATCATGTTACACGGGGTCGGTACGTTCTGACATCGACTGTCTGAAAACCCTCATCTGACGATCTGACGATATCCTATTGACTATATATATATATATATATACACAGGTGATACAGAACGACCGTTCTTTCAGCTCGCCCAGAAATGGCAACTCCCCGGAACATGCATCTTGTCTCTCAGAGGGTTCTTCCAGTCAGTCCAGATTCAGAATCTCTATCGCTCGTCCTGCTGTCAAACCCTTGATTTCACTTATCCGCCGACGTTCCTGTAACACACCCACCTTTGGTCCCACTGAATCTATGCTTATCACTCATGCCAATAGGGTCCCCCTGATGGACTTCCCCTCATACTCCTACCTCCCCATCTCCATGACCCATTACCTCTCCCCCGACCCTCCTCCGATCCCGACTAAAGAACAGCTGAAGGCGCTGCAAGAGGTCACGTTGCCGCTCTTGAAGAATATCTTGCGGTACCTCGTCCGGGACTCTAATCCTAATCCTAATCGAAGCGGGATTGAAAGTGAAAGCGAGAAGGGGATTGGGATTGGGAAGGATAATACGCCGGTGGGGTGCGGGTGTGGGTGGGACCCGGAAGAGATCCATCTGTTCGGATGGGGAGAGGGGGGGACGATCGGGTTGGAGTTGGGCAGGTCGTTGGCTCTTTCTTCTTCATCACCATTAACATCAACATCCACAACATCTTCGCCGACAACCAAGAATCAGAATGGGAATGGGAATGGGCAGGAAAAGGAAGACAAGGACAGGGACAGCAAGCGGATAAACAGGCTAGGATCGGTCATCTCCATATCCGGGGACCTGTACTCGACCCCGCCTGTCGGAGCAAAAGATCTCGGAGGAGAAACCCCTGTGCTCTATTTCCACCGCCCTAGAGTCAAACCTTCCTCTTCATCGCCTTCCTCCAACTCTTCAAATTCAAATGCGGATTTACCATCGCCATCGCCATCGTGGCTGAAAAGAACGTTCGCCCACCCTCAAACGATCACCGCCAAATTCTCTCCGGTCGCTGCGCAGCAGGACGAGAAGGGCAGGGATATCCGGATGCCAGAAGGGAGGGAAGAGTGGGAGGGGGTGATGAGGTTCTGGAGCGAGGTTTTGGTCAGGCCGGGTATGGAGGAGACTTCGAGTTCTATGGCGGGGGAGGTTTATGAGGTGGTCCGATGAGGCTGAGGATGAGAGGAGGAGGAAGGGTCGGGCAGCGGAGCGTCGCAACAGCAAGGATTAACGAGTAACGACACTACTGGTATTGCGACCATGACATTATGACATAGAGATCCCGATCTGGCTAGAAATACGAAGCGACCTGTCAGCCGAAGGACTGGGCGACTGTGCGTCTCACCGTGCGATGAGATCTAGGACGATTTCTCTCAACGAACGTTGGCGCCATCGACGAGATAGTCTTTCTTCCACCGGCGGCGTCAAACCGGGAGGCAGCTGGGGAGCACTTAGAGCACCTTGGATTGATCCAACCCCGCTCTGCAATTGAATATCTCGATCGTTCATGGAGCGCTCTTGCGGGGTGGTTCCAGACCAATACGGATTCGTACCCCAATGTCGTATGGGGAACCGATGAGTGCAACCCGCTCATCTTTGAAATCTTCCGTTTCCACACACCTGATCTGTCGGGCACACGCAAATTTGCGTCATGGTTGGCGAAAGATGCGGGGATTCCCGTTGTACTGTGCTCGAATTCGACACATCCTAAAGCACAGAAGACGAATACCAAGACCAAGCCGCAGGGGACAAACACGACCGAGCCCAAGCCGTGGCAGACAAACACGACGAAAGCGCCACTTCGCTCGTGCCCGTACGGCTTTCTTTCGATAATTGCCGCGAATTCAGAGCTATCAAGTTGCAAGACTATCACCGATAACGATGTCATGATCGTGATGCATCCTGTCGCCTGCGACGTGGCTGTACAAGATGTCGTCCTGTATCGCACATACCACTACATGATGAGGTAAGCGCACCTCCTTCGCTCCAAGCTCCGAGATACGACACAGGTGGTTCTGTAATTGCACATACCACTACGTGATCAGTTGGCCGGATGCACTTCTAGCCACCACCCCGGATTCCACCTCTGTTTTCAGATGGCGGGATGTTGAAGTCTACAAAAGGTTTGCGCCGACCCATTCACCATTCAGTCACCCTCCCGAACTCGGCTGTAATCGTGAACTTGTCGTATGGGATGTGAGGGTCATATCATGACAGTGGAAAGATTACCAGGACCTATCCTGTCTCGTTTTGAGATACAAAGTCAGGACTGTGCAGCATGTGTACCATGTCCCGTTTGACTACGGAACCATGATGGTCAGTCACGCCATTCAGAGTGATCTCATCAAGTTGGAAGACCTGGACAGTTTCACTCTGCTGTCAAACCGGTCAGGATCCGGCCCCTAACCCCATTAAAGGCGCGAGCCTGACGGATGGCTATCAAACCAGTTTGTATATACAACGAGCGCTGCCGCTCCTTCTGCCAGGGCAATCAAGAACGCGTCTGCATGGTTTGCATCGGAATCTCTTCCCATGAAGCTCGCTCAGGTATCGCCGCCAGACCTTAGGAGAGCAAGTAGTTATCAGCCGTCTTTCACACTGCCCGGACGAGCCGGTCGACCTACCCGCAAGTTTCTATTGTCGATCCCCATCCAGTTCGGTATAATTCACGTCATTCTTCCCTCGCATCGCGTCAAACATTCGTTTCATCATTCCCTTCGGGTTGCCATTCTCGAGCAACTTGCTCGAAGAGTTTTGCCTGGTCGTCCGTGTTCGCGAACCGGCGCGACTGCCCGGTCGACTGCTCGTAGGTGTACCCGAGTACAGCGACGACTCTTCGTCGCCATCAGCATCGTTCTCGTCGTCGTCGTCGTCCGAGTCGGACTCGACTTTCTCGTCCCCGAACAAGTCGCCCATGTCTTCCAGGTTGATTCCAGCCTGTGGTGAGTGCAAGGAGAGACAGCATGCTAGCTTTAGCAAAGGAAGCTTGCCTCGTGCGCTTTACACGCAAAGCAAAACTTGCCGTCTCGGGAAACAAAAAGTAGACTTCAATGCGGGGCAAATCAGCTTCAAGCCGTGCATATATGAAATTGTTCCCAAACTTACCTATTACGAATGCCAAGGCACACCAACCAGCATGGAAAGGGTATAATCTCCATGTGATGAGTTCTTGCAACACGGGGGTCATGACTCCGACGATATAGTTGAAGAACCAGTTCTGACATCAAAACACCGTTCAGTTAGAAAAATTCTCTCTCGCTGTGCTCTCGCACCTAAACTCACGGTTGCGGTCGATAACGATACTCCCTTGGCTCGGAAAGGCAACGGCATGATCTGAGACCCAAAGGATTGAATCAATCTCATGGCTTCGGTTGACAGCTGGCGAAGACCTACCTCAGGTGGGTACAGCCACGGGATAGGTCCGAACGACATTCCGAACGCCGCATTGTAGACAACAATGCAGACCACCACTACAGACCGCATTATATCGATCAGCTATCCGACAACCATCTTGAAGAAACCGGAGTCGCGACTCGCCTGCTTTGGGTGTGATCGCTTGATCGATGTAGATCCACCAGCCAGTAGCCGTCAGGGCGATTGCCATCTATCATAGTATATCGAATACGTCAATTTCACGGATACCCATTACTCGACGAACGGCTTACGATGACGGCCCCGGTCAGAAGGATAGGCCTCCGACCGAGCGTATCGACGATAAACCAGCTGTAGGCGGTACGTCACTGTATTTAGTAGTGTGCAGGGTCCAGATATGGAGGCTCATGACACTTACGGGACGATCGACGAAGCGACGTAGAACAATCCGTTGATTCCAGTCATCAGAATGGCGTCCCTGCCGATCCAACCAGCCTCTGACGGGATAGCCACTCTGTCAGTTTTCAACGACCTGCAAGTGTTCTTGATATCTATCACTCACGCTCGAACACCAGCGGGGCGTAATATGAAACGACGTTGATTCCAGCCTATAGAAGTGATGATATCCGGATCAGCTTAAACATTCAATACTGATTGAACGAAGATTTGTATCACGATTCCAAACTCACCATTTGCGCCATGGCCTGACTGCTCATGGCGATCAAAACCCTCGACCTATACCTCGTCCACAACGCCTTGTAGCTCCTATCTGGGACCAACCTATCCTTGAGAACAGCCTCTTTGATGATCCTAAATTCTTCCTTGGTGACCGGGTCATCGAGGTCTCCATTGTGAAAGTCGGCCAGGATCTTCAATCCTTCCTCGTCCATATCCTTGTCGATTGCGTATCGAGGAGACTCTGGCAGGGCTAGAGCGCCGATGGCGAGGATCAATCCGCCGATGCATTGGATTGAGAGGGGGATACGCCATGCGGCGTCCGACTCGATATACGAGCAGAAATAGTCGATCCACTAAGGGTGCGGAGACGATATATTAGCTTGAGACAAGCTTGACGGGAATGGCTGTACTCACGATTGACGAGGCATATCCGACGATCTACCATGACCACAAGTTATCAGCTCGAGCTCTTCCCCAGTGTCATTTCCCAAAATCATAACTCACATTCAAGGTGAATTCTATGCACGCCAGCTTTCCTCTCTGCGCACCACACGTTACATCAGCTCCGGATCAGCTTGTTTGGTGACAAACAGTCGCCCATCGACTCACATGATCCGCCGGCGAAATCTCGCTCTGGTACATGGGCACTACCGAGCTTAACAACCCCACCCCTGAACCACTGATGATCCTCCCGACGAGCATCATCGTGTACCCCATCGTCAAGGTCTGTATCGCACCTCCTACGGTGAAGATGCATGCGCCGAGGAAGAGGGTGAATCGCCGACCTTTTGTATCTGATAGGTGTGCTGAGAGGAGGGAGGTGACTTTATACCAAGAAAGGCGAAGAGGGTTGGTTTCGATAAGCGGACAGTTTATGTCTACATGGGCAGGATTCGGCGGATGACGTACTGAAAGCTCCGATCTCGAGGATAGCCACCATATTCCCGAGTTCTGATGCTGTTGGGTTATTGACTACAGCAGAACATCAGGATCAAACGGTCAGGAAAGGACCTCTGTGGACAAAGGCACAAGAGAAGGACACGCACAGAACTTCTTGAAATACGGGTTCGTGATGAGCCCGGACATGACACCCCTTGATGCGACGACGTTGTTCAGTCATATTATGAGCACAAAGTTGAGACATACAGCTCATTTAGGACTTACTGATCGAACCCAAAGAGCCATACACCGATTGACAAGAAGAGTGAGACGCCATAGAGTAGCTTCTGACCGACGACCTTGCTACCTGTCTTGCCGGACAGTTTAGGCGGTGTGAGATCGGATGCGCTCACATGAGGTGACATCGCTGCAGATCCCGTTCTAGACCAAGCTAGGGCTTATAGTAATCCCTGTCTAAGCCGTCGGATGTCGATATGGAACCGGAGAATGGTGGTTGATGATGATGATGATGATCGAATATGAGTAGGTCGATTTTGGCTGTGTGGAGTCGTTCGGGAGCGTCGGTCTTGCGCGACGTGAGTCACCGAGGACCAGCAGGCGCAAAGCAAAGTAGATGCGTGCGATTGGGCGCACAACGAGAATAGAAACGGTACAAGCTCGACAGGCGAGACGATACATATGCAGGCAGTCGGGAGCAGAGGTCAGGATGCTAGTGATAGATTAAAAACGACTGCTCGAATGGGCGAATTGGGATGGCCAGAGCTGCTGCGCCTGACGCGCTCAAGCGGCATCGGCCATGAAAGGGAAAGCTCGTAGCCACCATCCAACGAATCAAAGAACATAGTATCCCATAAAACAACTCGGTGGAAAATAATAACAAAGGTGATTAGAGTACAAATTACATTTCCTATTTGTGACTAGCTCGAAAGCGGACTCCGCATTCAGCTAATCCACCCGCAACCCCACTTTACTCGGCATATAGCCAAGTACCCTTCATTCCTCCATCCGCTTAGGCGAGGTTCTTGTGCTCGAGGTGGTCGACGTCGCCCTGCTTCTTCTCGTCGTACGAAGGGTCGTGAGCCAGCTCCTCGACGGTCCTGTCGTGCAATTGCTCGACCTTCTCGTCTCCGTCGAAGATGGCAGCGATGGCCTCCAAAGACGGTTGTCGGAAAGTCTCGACCAAGTAGAAGTAGATGAAGACGACCTCGAAGAGCAAGAAGACACAGTAGACGATGTAGTACTTCCACTCGATGGCACCGAGAGCGACGGGGTTGACGTATTGGTTAAAGACGAGGGTGATGTTGACGGCCAAGTTCATGATGACCAAACCCTTGGCTCGGATTCGGAAGGGCAAGATCTCGACGGTGTAGGCGACGAGCAAGGGGGACATGGCCAAGTTGTAGAAGGCGTAGTACTGCGCGAGGGCGAGGATGATTTGTCGTTAGCCGAAGTCTCAGGGCGAACACGGGGGGAACAAGATTACTCACGATGAAGATGAAGGCGATGAAAGCACGACCGGCACCGGTGGCAGAGTGCAAGGTAGTGCCGTCCTCGGTGACCGAGACGACGGAAGAAGTGTTGTATACACCGGCACAGGCGGTACAGACTAAGGCCCAGATAGAACAACCAGGTCAGTTTACGTCGTCCCCATGACTGCAAGAGTACACGCCCGAACGTACGAGTGAAGAAAACGGTCATTCCGATGGTACTGGCCAAGAACAAGAATCGTCGTCCGAGTCGGTCGACCATCATGGCACCGAAGATGGCAGTGGCGTAGTTGGTGAGTTGCAAGATTCCGTTGATGAGGGTTCGGGTCTCGGCCTTGGCGACACCGACAGAGATGAGGACCGAGTTCAAGTAGTAAGAGACGAGACCGTTACCGGACCACTGGGAGAAGAAGGCGATGGCGATAATGATCCTCATCCTCTTCAGGTTACCCCTGCCCTTGAACAAGCTGAGCCAGGTAGAGCTTTGCGAAGCCTCCTTCTCAAGCTCGATGGCGGCCTTGCACTCGTCGAATTCGTACTTGGCGAGAGGGTCCGAAGCGTCTCCGGCACAGTGCCATTTGACGAAGAAATCCATAGCACGCTGTTCCTTTCCGTTGTTGATGTTCCATCGAGGCGATTCGGGGATCATGAAGATGAGGATGACCTGGATCATGGAAGGGAGTCCCTGCAAGAGGGAGGGGATTCGCCAAGACCAAGTGTTGTTGATTCGGAAAGTTCCGTAGGTAGCCCAGGCGGCGACGATGGAACCGAGGTACCAGGAAGAGTTGTACAGCGAGGTCAAGGGTCCACGGTAGGTAGGGAACGCCAACTCGGTGATCAAGAGAGGAGCGGCGGTACAGGCGAAAGTGAGACCGAATCCGATGAGGCTACAAGGATGAGCGAGATAGGTTAGATGGCTGTTCTTCGATAACGTTGAGGTCTGAAAGTATGGTATGCTCACGTTCGGGCACCAATGAACATTCCGATGGACTGCGCAGCGGTCTGGATGGCGACTCCGGCCAACATGACTGTCGGGTCGAGGGATGATCAGACCAGCTTCTACTGCGTCCCACTGAAATAGAGACACTCACTGCAAGAACCAAAGAAGATGGCAGCTCGTCGTCCGAACTTGTCGGCAACATAGGCGGAGAAGGGCAGACCGGCGATACCTCCTATCGATTGACAGGCGTTGAAGATACCCAGAAGGGATCCGGTCGGTCGGTTAAAGTAGATCTGCCAGTTCTCCACGGTCTGGAGACCGTTCATCATGGAACTAGATTCATCACGCAAGAGAAGATAAGTCAGCCTGCCTGCGATCGAGCTGACACGTTTCAAAAACACGAGCACGGTGACAGGAAGGTGAAACAGGTTCGAACATGATAGCCGATCACGGTGTAATCCGCGCCCACGCGCACCGCGGATGCAATCCCCTCACCCTTCTTTCTCGCACACGACCGGACTTCGACGACTCACCCATCGTATCCGTTCGTCATCGAGGTCAAGAGGACCAAGCCGATCATGAGGGTCAAGAGTGCCTGTCGACCCTTGTACCATTTGATGTCTCGTCCGCTGAGGAGCGAGTCGAGGTTGGCGTTCGGGCCGGAAGTGTTAACGGCGCCAGTTCCCGTCATCGTGTTCGTCGGGTCTTCGTAGAGGTTGTAGCGGTAGGTCGGGGTTTGTCGTGTCTGGCGGGCGATGCCTTTCAAGCTGAGAAGAGTGACTGAGAAGCGATTTGTACAGACCAGGACTGATGGCCACCGGGGTCCCAGACAGCGAGCTATATATCCCACTCGAGGTTGTTGCTCGATCGAGTCGAGGGAGGCGTCCCATACCTTCTTCGGCGTTCATCCCCGACGAGCCCCGGAAAAGCGAGGCAGGAGGACAGAGAAGGGGCACCAAGAAAGGCGAGTTAGCAGGGCGAAATCGTCGGTGCTGCTAGTCGGACTGAAGTACTGGATATTGCCCAAAGTTCGATCCCGCTGCCTGATCGCTCACATGTGCTGCATGTGCAGGTCGTTCCTACCCCTGTTCGCTCTGCGGGAAACGCGCTCGGGCCGCCACATCACTTCGTGGGACTCCGCCCGCGCGCCAGCGATAATGTTCCTTGCAGTGTTCCACGCGGAGACCCCTGCACATCCTTTTTCGCCATTGTTTGCCGGTCCAGCTGATCGGTCCAAGCACTCTCGCTGTCCCCTTGGCTTCTGCGCTTTGGCCTGTGACGATCGGCTTGGACGACGATGTTATTTTAGCGAGAGATCCACCGGTTGGCTATTCTCTGAAACCCTGATACGTTCCGGATATGGCCCGCTGTCCCCTACCCGATCAATCCTCCCCTCTCCAAGAGCGAGAAAGAACTCAATTCGTTCTGCTTCTGCTTCTCTTCCAGTTCTGGTTTCGTCGTAATTTGAGATCACATGCGACTGAACATGCGACGAAATCCGACACCGTACATCGAATTACGATCCACCACAGCTGCCCGGCTATCACAACACCGATCTCTGATCGCGCTCCTGATCCACGTCCAGCGACGCGATCGTCGTCGTCTGCAGGGTCACATGCAGAGATACCATCATACATCCTCTCACTAGCTTCTCCTCCTCTTGGCCTCTCGTTCGGTTGATGTCTCTGCCCTCTGCAAGCTGCATTCCTCTCGGTGCATATCGATCCTTGGATGCAATAGCAACAGCCGGACGATGACAGTCCGAGGGCGACGACGGTTTATTTCGGCCGCGAGCAGTCGCATTTGGCCTCGACCGTGACGAAATGAACGGAGGCAAACAGAGCTCAACCTCACAGCGCGGGTGGTTTGAGGCTCTGAGACAGTCACGTGATTAGCTCAGTTTCGGGTTGCGAACCTGAGTCTGCACTACCCCTACTTGACTGTCTCGAAATCTACAACTATAAACGTCTAGCGGTCGAAGAGCGTTACAAGCATCGTCCTATCGAGGGCTCCCCTTTCCGTCGACCGACGACTGGACGGTCTTTGCTTTGACTAGATGTACTGCCGTCTTCTTGATTCTGAACCTACAACTTTGCCTTGACTCCTACGGACCCATCCTTCGGGGTCTCTTCATCCACCTCGGCACACTTGCCAGCCAAGCGCCCAAACATGTCAAAGTACAGGCTATCTACTGTCGCTGCTGCCGAAGACGCTTGACCAAGCGCAGATCGGGCTGCGATTCCTTGCGAGATGATGGCCACTACGAGCGGGTCACATGTGGTCAGCGATCAACGATGAGATGGAGGTCGAACCGTTTTCTTGCGGCAAGACTCGAGACTTCGACTTACATCTCCACAACATCCAGCTCCTGACCCAAGCTAAACCCTTGATCGGGTGTTCCCATCGACTGCCCTCGACGACCGGGGTCGACTCGGTCCTCTTTCCCCCCTCGGCGATCCAGACATCCATCACCCGTTCCTTCCATGCTTCCCCACGTTGCATACACCCAACCCAATACCTTTCCAAGTCATCGACGTGTGGCACACAGAGAACGTCCCTAGTTATATTACGAAGGCCTTTGAGGAGGTTGGATGTGCCGGGTAGTTTGTTGTCCAGAGGGAACTGCGGTTGACCGCGAGATGAGAGGAGACGGGAGTGGGAGATCGAGGCGGGTTTGCATTCGTCCGGTACGTCGGACGGGTCGATTGAGTGCGGTAAAGTCAGGTTCCCAAGGTCCGAGAGCTATGGTTGTTCAGCGAGATATCAGATTTCTATCAGCACGAACCCTACACCATGTCCGCCTTGTCTTATAACACGACATTCGACGACACTCACCGGCGACCCTAGCGTACACAACTCCCAATCCAACACCCCGACGACCTTCCACCTCCCCTTCTCATTCCTCTTGAAGATCAAATTATCGATCTTATAATCCCCATGGACCAACCCCCACACCCCATTCCCCTTCTCCTGCTCTCCCACCCGCTTCGCCCCCCTCTGAAGGTAAGGCACCATCGTCTCCTCACCTTCGATCTTGCCGGTAGTTTCCTTCGGGTACGGTTTCCCAAGCAAGTCTTTCCGCAGGTGAACGGGGATCTTGGTCCGGCCCTGAGCTTCGCTAACGCGGAGGAGGCCCTTGACTTGACGTTCGTAGAACGGGACGGGTATGTGCGGAGGAGGTCCGAATGATTTGGGGAGGTCGAGGACGTCCAGCGGGAGGGTGGAGAGGATGGATAGGGTCTTGATGGCGACTTTCCAGCTATTGTCGTAAGGCATCACATGATATAGCTCTTCTTGTTAGCCTTCGCACCTCAGTCGACCACCTCGATGCAGTGTATTGACTTCTGCCCCTGACCCCGGACTTACCACTCGGCCTTTTCCTCCTCCCTGTCCAACTCGGGAAACTCGCAATCCTCAAAAACGTTCCCCTCCTTGAACTCCATCACGTAGAATTCCGGCATCCCCACATTATCCACCCCCAACCCATCCCCTTCTTTCCTTTTATCATCCCCGGGGTAATACCCATAAGTACGGGGGACCGGTACCAACCATTCGTCCACATCGTCATCGTTTTCGTTATCGTCATCCTCTTCTTGACCTGATTTAGAATTAGACGTGGATTTAGATTTCAGGTCCGTGCGGTGGGAAACGAGGTAAGAGTTGTAAGCGCTTAAACGGGAGAGGACGGTGTATTCCCTCAAGAGGTTGTGGGCTGTAGGGGAGATCAGGGCTCCGGAGGGTCGGGCGCGGAGGACGAGGTGGTTGTCCCTGTACGCAGGGGTAGAAGCAAGTCGACGGAGATCAGCAGGGAGGATCGAGATAGTTATAAGGGATGTTGGCTTACTTTTCGTCCACTAAGAGGTAGGTGGGGTTTGACTACGATGGAGATGACGACGAGAAATTAGATCAGAACACGAAGAGGTCAGCCCTGACCAACGCACCTGCCCGAACTGTTTAGACAAAAAGATCACGATCGATCAGCCTTACACCCTCTTGGCATCCAGCAGAACAACCGTTAAATACTCACGCTAAACTGCTTGACCTTCTTCAAGTCTCCCCATCCTGTCCTCTTGCTGTCGCTTTGAGCTCCGCTCGACCCAGCCTGGCTAGACGATGTAGGTGAAAAGACGGTCGACGCGAGCGAGCGGACGAGGTACGGTTGGAGCGTCTCTAGCGGGAGGTGATGGCGGGTCTCGACTTGGGGTGGCATGATGAAAGTCGCTAATGTGTTTGATGTATGTCCTGATATTCAATCGGTCGCGATCGGTCGTCAATTGGTCAATTGCAACTTCTGGGCGAGAACTTGTATAGCAGCTCGTCGATGGATGCGCTCTCCGGTTATCTCGATGGGCTACACCCTCGGTCATCGCGTTCGTCCCCCCGGTTAATCGAAATCCGGGAAATGTGGATTTACAGTTGACACGTCATGCGCGTCACATCGTCTTATCAAACAAAACGTCGATATCGCGTTTCACTCGAGCGCAGCCTGTTGCAAGTAAAGAACTAAATCGCTCAGATCGCTCGCTAGTCGGGATCGTAATCGCAGCGGGTCATGGGTTCACATTAGCGGTATAACCGCTCCTTGTCCAGTCTCCGAACCATCCAAGGACGACATCACGGGCATGATATGTCAAAGATTGAATCGATCGCGACGCCCGAAATCGTTACATGTGCTCCGTTTAAGAGCATAAATGATGATTCGCCTGTAGTAAAGGGTCTGAGAGTTACAGTGTCTCAACTGCCGCTACCACCACAGCGATGACCCATCCGAGTATCTGTTGTCACGTAGACCGAAAGTGAACGTGCGCTAATCTGATCCTGCGTGTTCGTTCGTCCCGTGAAGAATTGTACGAAAGTACACGACTTGTTATTTTGGCATGGAGGCTTCATAGCGTACCAGCCAATGATCGCCAAGGTCACACAATCAATCGTAAGACGGCAAACCAATAAAGGATCACCTCCGTATTCATACAAGCACCAAGGTATCATGCAGGAATGCGTTCATTTTTCTTGCCCAGTATGATAGCGCTCTCCGAATGCTGTTATGCTTTTCGTAGCTGCACAGTCCGCCAAAGCATCCTTGGTGAAGATGATCTCATACCCTTGTGCGAAAGCGTACGGATAGTGCTTAACTACTATGCCCGCCCTCTTCCAGCACTCCGTGGCCCTTTTGATTGGCGAAAGTGAGTGGAGAGATTGCCGAATTGCTGGCTTGCTTCCTTGGCTTGTTCGCACGGAAACCTTCTCGGTTGACAGGAGAGGATAAGAATGCCGAGTCGGATTGCCAAGCTCATCTTCCCAAACTCCCGTTCGAGGTGATAGTCCTATCTTCCTCAAAAGACTTTCCTTGGGCGTACCAGTCACCCCCTCTGTCCAGCCACTTCTCACGGACCTACAGCGGGAAGACGGATATAGCAAGCTGATGTTCAGCCTACGACTACTGCTACAGACGATCTTCCTGTAGGTATATCCTCCATATCGAATCGAAGACAATCAGGCTGTCGGCGACAATACCTACCGGAGGGGTACATGTTTTCCTTCAAATTTCTCTTGATGCCATCTATCGATGCTCAACGCGCGGAATGAGATCGGATGATCGAGAAATCAACGAGCTACATGCTACGTGCAATGTGAAACTGACCCTCGACCCAGGATTCTAGGTGTATGGCTGCAAAGATACGGCACGTCGTGACCGGAATTGTCGGAAATGCATCTTGGAGCTGGTTTCCGAGTTAACAACTCAAATTTGACCCATTTTCTGGTACTTTCGGTTCACTATTATACAAGTCCATTTGATTACCCATCATCCACCTCCAGCTTCGACTTCAAATCTGCCCCGCTGCGAACGTCCAACCTAGTGTCCGTGGACCTTCTTGACGTGCTCGACCGTCTCGCCCTGCAAGTCCTTGGGGTCGGTCTTCTTTGCGGAGGTATCGGCCTTGACGACGGCCTCGGATTCCGACTACAATGCGAATGACCGTGAGGATCGGGGTTGTTTAATTGTAAATCGGATTCGATCGATATGAGTGGTGATGCGAAGTGATGTGGAAGGTAGGTCGCCGGAACGCGATGTCATGTTGAAAGTCGGATGGACACAAGAATGTAGGACGAGTAGATTCACAGGGAAAATCAAACAGAAAGACAACGTTTGGACGAATCAGCATCCTGAATCTCCCTTTCATCATACCAAACCCTCGATCGTCGACGGTCCCCCCTCCAAGCAGACCTCTCGCTCTCATCTCATATTCTGACCGTTGACGATGACGACGCGGGGTTCGTGAGAGGACTCACAGCTAAAGCCTCGTTCCACCTAGGAGCGTCCTTGAGGGGAGACGGGTCCTGCTGGTCGGCCAAGTTCTTTTGCTTCTCGTTTTCCAGCTTGGCAGCGTCACCTCCGGCCATTTGCCTATAGGTTCGGGGTTCAAGGTGTCACAAAGAGCAGATGAGGTGTTAGTAGCCATTCAATCTAGCATGAGGATGAGTTGTTGGGAAACGGATGCGGGACTCACGATCGTTCGGGGAACGAACGGAGAGCCGAGACGTGGATCGATCGGGTCCTCAGGGCCGAAGCCTGGGCGGTGATGGGAGTTCGGAGACGGAGGGAGAACATGCTGTGATTGTTGGGTGTGCGTGTGATGTGATGTGTAGGGATTTGTGCGTTAAGATGCAACGATGTTGATGTCAGGACTATGAATATAACTTTGTAGCTTTGTAGAGTGTAGCAAGGGTAACGATGCAACCGATCGACCTTCTTGAATCGACTCGAGCTTGATTGGAGGATGACCGTAGGATATATTCGGCTCCGGATGCAAATCAGATGATGATGTCATTTCGGAATATCGGAAGCAAATTAATGCGTCATCACTGCGGTCCGGGTATACATGGGATCAGGCGCGCGCTTCTATTGTACAACCTGGTGAAACACTCCTCGGCTTCTTCCTCTATACCCTCTCCCGAAGGCTATTCAGTGCGCTCCCTTTCTTGAACCTGTAATTATAAGCACATGTTAGCTCGTGGTCTGACTCCGGCACACCCATGCGTTTCTTGCGCCTTACCATTCGACCTCGCGCGCTGTCAACGAGTGTTCAAGCTGAACGTCCAATACCTCTCCTCCTCGCTTCTCCACCCTCAACGTATGCTTAGATCCGGGTGCCAGGCCGTTCAGTCCCATCAGCTTCAATTTCGAGCCTGTGGATCATATTCAAGAAGATTCAGCTCGGCTCGATATCGTGGGATTCCGAACGCGTTACCGGACTCACTCGTAGGATCCGCATCGATCCGGTCGTAATCCCCTTTATCGACGAAGAATAACGGCAAGACGCCCTGTTTCTTCAGGTTCTATTTCCCTCACAACCAAAAAAAAACCTCTCCGTTAGATCTTGCAACACGCCTCTGGTAAAAAACAAACTGGAAAAAAAACTGACGGTCTCGTGGATCCTAGCCATACTCTTGGCGATCACGCCGAACCCGCCCATATATCTCGGAGACATCGCAGCGACCTCTCTCGAACTCCCTTCCCCGTAATTCTCTCCAGCTAGGATGATCCAGCTCTTGTTCTGGCCTCGATAAGACCTGCGTGTAGAACAAAAACGCCGGAGATGGGTCAATCGCTGTGCTTTTCCCCTGTGCGGGATGGTAGTCGGGCAGGAGATAAGACCGAGGGACGTGGGAGGGACTCACTTGGCCACATTTGGTACGGTATCCCATTCTCCCGTCATGGTATTCTTTACCCAGTTCGTCTTGTCGTTCTCGGCGTTGACCGCACCGATGAGCAGGTTTTCTGTGAGTACATTATGATCATCGCATCGCAATAACAAGATCGTCAGCAAAAACCGAGATTTTGTTGTGATAACGATGATCGCATTGTGTTGTTTTCGAGAAGCGAGGAGGAGAAGGTAGGCTCACCAGAGATGTTCTCCAGGTGTCCCCTGTATTTGTACCATGGTCCTGCTGCTGAGATATGATCCGTCGCTGAAACAACCACATAACCACAAAACGTCAGATCATACCAGAGCTTGGTGCTCAGCCCCGAACTTAATCAACTCACTGCACTTGCCCTTGACCTTGATCAACAACTCCAAATTCTTCTCATCTCCCCCTTCCCAAGCCTTGAAAGGCTGTACCAACTGGATTCTGTCCGACGCAGGATCAACATCTACGACCAGGTGCTCCCTCTCCTCAGGTCTGAGAGGCGGGCAGTAAAGCTCTAAATCCCTGACGTATTCGTTGGGAGGGAGGACGGAGCCGATGGGAGCGGAGAACCGGAAGGATGAGCCTGAGGGGGTGGAGATAGGGTCCGAGGTTGGGTCGAAGGCGAGGTTGCCAGAAAAGGCCATCGCTGTGACCAACTTTATCGATGGCGAAGCAAGGAGGGTTTGTGCGACAATCAGCTTTTCATGTTGTATTGATAGCATCAAGCGCGACTCACCTCCGGACTCGCCACGAACGAATGCGTCTTCGGATTCCCATCCTGCCTCCCTACAAAGTTCCTATTAAAGGACGACACAATCGAGTTCGGTGTGCCCTTCTTGACGTCCTCCCTCTCCCACTGGCCTACACAAGCGCCACAAGCGTTTGCTAAGATCGTCCCCCCAGCCTCCCTGAACTTGGCGAGGATCCCATCTCTTTCCAAAGTAGCTCTTATCTCCTCCGATCCCGGTGCTACCAACAACTTCGTCTGCAACGGTAGGGAAGCATCGCGAGCTTGGTCTAACAGGGACGCGGCTCGGGAGAAGTCTTCGTAAGACGAATTCGTACACGAGCCGATGAGCGCTGCGGAGATCTCTCGAGGCCAGGTCGGGTTGGTGTCGACCTCTTTTCCGAAAGTGCGGATTGGGGAAGATAGGTCCGGTGTGAATGGGCCGTTGATGTGCGGTTCCAAGTCCGACAAGTTCTGTGATTCGAGTAATTTCAGCACTGGCTCTTCAACTCGATCAACTCGAATGTATCGGCTGGAAGACTTACGATCTCGATATGGCGATCATACTCGGCCCCTTCATCCTTCCTCAAATACCCCAAAGCCCCTTCCGCAGCCTGCGCGATCCCTCCTCGCTCCGTACACCTCAAATAATCCCCCATACTCTTCGTATAAGGAAAAATGCTGCTCGTCGCCCCAACTTCGGCTCCCATGTTCCCAATTGTCGCCATCCCTGTACAACTGATCGTCTCCGTCCCGGGCCCGCAGTATTCCACCACGCTCCCTGTGCCGCCTTTGACGCTGAGGATGGAAGCTACCTTGAGGATGATATCTGCTCACCCCACACGCTGTGAGCCCCATGTTCAGCATATCGCCTCGACGGGACGTTTTACTTACCTTTCGGTGTAGACCACCCTCCCAACTTTCCCTTCAACTCGACCCCGATAACTTTGGGATGTTTGACCTCATACGTCGATCCTGCCATTACATCCACCCCTTCCATTCCACCTACACCGATTGCCAACATCCCTAATCCAGCAGCATTGGGCGTGTGAGAGTCTGTACCGATCATGAACCCTCCCGGGTATGCGTATTGCTCGCTATACGACATACCGTGGGGTGCGATTGGTATCAAAGGAAAGCAAATGAGTCGTCATTTCGTTCAGTTTCTTGGTTGTGGGAAGTGTTGACCAGTCAGAAGAATGGGAGCCTACAAGATGATCTGATGCAAGATCCCTGACCCAGGTCTCCAAAAGGCGATGCCATACTATCATCTCACCCCGAATTTAGCACTCGAATTCATGGGATAACAATCCGAGCTTTGAAAGACTACGCACCTTGGCACAAGCGCTCTCCAAGAACTTGTAAACCTCCTTGTTCACCCTCTCAGCCTCGACCATATCCACTCGATCGCCATGTTTGGCCGTGATCAGATGATCGGCATGGACAGATGTTGGAACTCGGACGGTGGAAAGCCCGGCTGATATGAATTGGAGAAGAGCCATTTGGGCGTTTGCATCTGTAGCGCGAAACGTTTCACGAGCTATCAATAAGGATGAAAATATGGAGCAAGAAACATAGCGGGATTTACCGTGCAAGGCGACTCGCTGTGTTCCGACAATATGTTATACTCGGTCAGCTATCGAAGCGAGCATGCGGAAGAGAAACGCGACCTACCTGAGGCTTGAGTTCCAGTTGAGAACTACCCCTTACGAGATCCTGTTCTGGGTTCGCCAAGTGTGCATACAAGATCTTTTCCGTCAACGTCAACGGCTTGCCGCCCAATCTGCGGGAGAATGCGGCAAGCTTGTCAGCGCTCAAGATACACCGGAAAGCGAGAACATCCACTTACCTCGACTGCACTCTTGCTAGTCTCTCTTGTAGGTCATGGTAAGACGATCGAGTGTTTGGTTCCAGAGGCGATGTCGAAAACGAGTGAGGGACGGCTGAAACGCTTGCGAAACCTCGTGTCGAAACGCGCGGGACGTAAGATCGGCTGATGTTGCGAAGCATCCTCGTCGTGTCGTGGTTGTTCCAGATTCTCAATTCACGTTCGCAACGTTGACGGGGACAATATCAATGCTCACCCTGCGGACTCATCTCTATATGTACCCTCGACCATTGGCTTTTACCTCGGCGATCGTGACCTAAGGGCAGAGTATTACCGACAAACAACGACTCGAACCCGTGTGATTGGTCGGAGAAAGCGGGTCACGCGGGGTTTAGCGGGTTAAGCAGGTTACGCCCGCAGAAGAGACACGCCATCGCACTCTGATCTTGCGAAGTTGAGCCATATACCTTAGATGGGCCAGTAGTCCAGGAAATCAAGGTGACCCTCCCGGACATATGACTGATACCGATCACAGAGGATACAATTCGATCTTCTTACGTACAACGTGATACATCACACGCATCTATAACATGTTGCTTGTGTACTAGTACAGCCGCTCGTCAATTTCTTTGACCTTCCGATAGATTCTCCTCTCGGGCGGTCCCGGTCGACGTCGCATTCGGAACCAGTGCCGAAAGACTCGCGCTCAAGTCCTCGCTCCACATACCGCTAGCCATCGACCCACTCCGTTTCCCATTCTCGTCCAGACGCATAGGAACGTCGTCCTCGCGAGTGAGCGTCAACTTGGGCGTCCGCGGTCCAGCCCCGCTCGACATTGCTGGCATGGCTATCCTCGTCTCGGCATCGAGGACCTCGGCCCAACAGCTTATTCTGCATATCTCGGTGCGCAAATGTCGGACGTTGGCAGCCGTGGGCAAGAGGGCTGTCTCGACCGCTTCCCGTGTCACCCGTTGAAAGGGCGTGAGGACGCTCAGGTTCCGTGCGATTCGCAGTTCTTCATCTAGGCTCTGGTTGAGGCTGTTCAACTTGATGCGGAAGCCAGAGACGCGTCGCTGTATGCAAGGGCTTTTAGTATCATGCCAGTATAACATTGCTTTTCACGTCGACTCACGCTCAAGTACTCCAGCCTAGATCCCGGATCTCGCACCTCAGCCGATGGCCAGGTCAACAGCGAGGACGAGGGTCTTCTGCCGTCAAACGACGCGACTGGACTCAGTTGATCAGAATATGCCGGGTCTATCGATCTGTTCTCCCCAAAGACGTCGGAAGAGGCGGATCTGACAGTGTCGTGGTTCGTCTCGGCCACGATCGAGTTGCGTTTGCTCGGTGGTGCTGAAATCTGGGGTTCTACCGGGAGCGGTGCCATCATCGGGATATCCGCCGTCTTGAATGCGCTGGCGTAGTTGATCAGGCTAATCCATTCGTTCATCTCGTATTCGTCCGCCGCTTGCAGAAGATATTGGCGGCCGTATGGCATCAGCAGTCGGAAAGCGAATTCGTGCTAAAGTCATGCCATCTTTTCAGTACGCGTTCGGTATAAGACGTATGGCGAGACTGACCTTGTCATACGATCGATCGTGAATCGCGACCGCCGAACTCAAAGAAAACACCTCGTCCGGTTTGAAGTTGTTGAATCTCGGCGACAACAAGTAGCCCGGAGTAAGCGCTCCTACGGCCGCGAGCTGTCCGATATGATCGGCCAGACTGAGCGCCCACGTGGGCTCCTTGATGAAGATGAGCTGAGAGCCAGTCAGGACCACGCTCCAGCTCTTCCACTTCCGGTTGGAAGCCTTTTTGCCCTCTTCATGCAGGTCGTCTAGTAGGCCGAGCGGACATCGACGCGTGAGTGCCTGCACAGAGATACCCATATTCGCGTATCATCGACTCACCTTTGCGGCTGAGTAGACCGACTTTGGCGACCTTAAGCCGGACTATCGGATCCTCTCGATCTACAGCTCCAAACTGCGGCGGACCTGTCGCGTTGACCAGCAATGTCGCCCCAGACTTCCGTCGGGTTCTCGGTTTAACGACTTCGATGAACGGCGCAGTAGCAAAGGCTTCCTTTGGCTGCCAAGGATCGAAGAACGGTCTCGTTCCGATGTACGATAGCGGCGTGTCTTGTGGCAGCACCGACTCGACGTCGATGCGAAGGCTCGCCAGCGAATTGGACCTAATCCAGTCGTATAGATCTGATCTCGATTTGCGGGATTGTTGTGACGACATGCCATCGGTCGTGGATGACGTCGCGCTTTTGGGTAGTTCCTCGTCTTCCACGTAGATGAAAGGCGTGAAAGAGACGTTATCATAGAAGGTCTGAGGCACAAGCCAGTTTAGTAAGTCGATCTGACGGCCTGTGTCAAAGGTCAACTGACCTCGAGAACGATCTGGGGAACCCCATCCAGGCGGGTATTTTTGACATATTCGGCCTTGCTCATCTTGCTCTTGTTGTTCGAATTGAAGACGTCGGTATGAAGCATCATCAACGAGAACGCGATGACGTAGGCGTTGTCTGGAGATGTTCGCATGGTTAGCGCAGAGATCGAGTCTGAAGGGTGTTTTCGTCGTGCGTACCAGGATCCTTGAGGAGGCCAGGGTGACATTCATCATATCGTTTCGCGAAAGCCTCCATCACACGATCGATCTGCTGTGTCTCCTTGGGCAGACTGACGCCCATCAACAGCTTTCTTAGAGCTACGTCTAGGGCGTCAGGCTCGAAGTCGAAATCGCGCATGAATATGTTCAAAGCGCCAATGTGAATGGCGTCGCCGCTAGCGAGTCAAGCAATAAAGGGCGTCAGCATGGCAAGACCCTGTCGCAAAGCTCTAAGCTTACCTGGACGCCAGAGTGAACAGGATATCTGATCTCCGAGAGGCACTCCTGACTTTAACGAGCCATGTCTCTGCGTCATCTTCTTCGCTAACAGCAGGAATGGCGTGTAGCGCGTCCCGCTTGTCGGCTGCGATGTTCAAGGCGGGTGGAGCCTTGCTCCGTCGGGCCGCCGAGGCGAGTTCTTGTCCTGACTGCGGTGACGGGAAGAAGCTGTCTCTGCTCCAAGTACTGCCGAAGAGCCCGGTAGAAAGTCTCCTCGGATTTGTTGGTCTTTGCCGGGTTGGACTGCTGAAAGGGACGGCCTGATGAACTAGCGAAGGCGGGTTTGAAAACAGTGTCGAAGAACGCTTGCGACCCGATGATCCAGACGAATGAATAGAATGTACGTCCAGCAAGTCAAGCGGCCCAAGAGACACCTTTTTCGAGGCGGAAGAGGAACCGACAGACGAGTTCATCGAGGAGGAAACGCTGGGTCGTGGCGGTTGCTCCGAGACCGAAGGAAGACCCTTTTCCCCGAAAGAGCTGGACAGGCCGGTATTCCGTCGCGAAGGCGTTCTGAAGCGATCCATTGGTCCATCGGATGCGCCATTGTTGACCGCTTCATAACTGCCTTGTCTAGATATCTTGCCGCCGCCAAACGAGCTCACTAAGGATGTGGTTGATGCGGTAGGCGATACCATCAGATTCGGCGTTGCGGGCGGGCTCATCAGCGAGCTAGCTGCCGCTGAAGCCATCGCATCTTTGAGAAGACTCCCGCTTCTTCCGCGTCGCAACGAGGGTGCAGCAACGAGAGCTCGTTTCTCCTTGAGAGCAAGGTCTGAATTGGCAGAGTTTGAGCGAGCAGCAAGGCTAGGTCTTCCACGACCGTCGAAGAGCTTGCTGAAATCCCTATCCGTGGGTTGTTTGCTCATCGGTGTCCTCGCTTCAGGAGGATGAGGCGTATCCGATTGCGCCCTCCGTCTCGCCGAGTCGACATCCAACCCGCGCCCTTGCGTCGATCCAGGATACTGGCTGGTTTCCGGGAAAGATCCATGTGGAGCGGTCTGTAATGATCGAGCTGGCATGTTTTCGCTAGTGGGCGAGTCGTACCAATTCGGGGTTGACATGCCCCCAAATTCGTCGACTGGCGTGACGGCGGCCGAAGAGCCACTCGATTGTCCGCCCATAGTAGCAAAATAGCCTAGGCTGGCCATTCGCGAAGCGTTTCCGACAGGCGTCTTACCCCCGTCCGAATTCGTTGGTGTGAATAGCGATCGGGACGTGCTGTGGTCTCGCTTCCTGCGGCGGATAGTAAGCGAGGAAGCGAGGGTAGCAGCACGAGAAGGCGTTGAAGGCCGTGGTATAGATAAAGGTTGAGCGGTTCGAGGGGGCGATCCCGTCACCGTTTCTACCGCCTGTAGCGCTGCAGCATTTGGTGGCTGCAGCTCGTCTGCCGTCTGGCGCGTCACATCGTCGAAATTCGACGCCGTCGTCTCGTTCGCATCGGCTTTAGCCTTGGGCTTGTCTTTCTCCTTGATCTTGTCCTCCTTTTTGTCCTTGCGCAAACCGAAGAATCCTGCTGCCGACCTCAGCAGACCCGCGCTCCCGCTGCGCTTCCTCTTGTGAGCAGCTTCGGCAGCGCTTGTAGCTGAAGCCGAAGTTGTCGTCGGCTCTGCCTGCTGTCGTCCAAGCATCGCGCTCGACATCGAGTCGGTGCGCGGTGGCGTAGCAGACAACATCTCCTCCACCTCCTCCTCCTTGTCCATCTCGACAGCTCTTGCAACGACCCGGGACGTAGAATCGTGCTTTTCGTCATCCGTCTCCATTTCGGTCCGTTTCCTGATATCCGAAAAGCTGCGTGCCTTTTGCAACCTCTTCTTCCCCGCTGCGAACCCCATTCCCAGGCTAGCAAACCTCCCGCTCGGCATCCCAGAGTCTGACAAGCTTCCATCAGAGACCTTTTTCGCCCCCTTGTTCTTGCGTTTATTGTCCTTTTCGAAATGGTCAGGAAGAGGCCCAGAGGCTGAACGCTGTTTCCCTGACCCGTTCGGTGCCAACATGGCTACCTCCGAGAATGTGATCGACCTAGCGCTTGTAGCCGGGGATGGAGATCGTGCCTTTGCAGCGGCGTGCGTGTCGATAGGATGTGGACTTAGTCGACCACGGCTTGCCGATTGTCTCGAGCTGTTGCTTGGGTATCGCGTCATCTGGCTGGTCGTCGAGGGAGGTGGTACCATCCCCTCTTCGTCCGTACCAGCCAGATCCAGTTCATTAGGTAACGGTCGGGCAAGAGGTACCGTCAGTCCTTCGGCTTTCGCTCGCCTGATGCTCCTCCGACGAGGTTCGGGTAACCCGTTGAGGCCTCGTATACGTTCTTCACTCGCCCTGCTCCTCCCAAGTTTCACTGATCTCGATGGCCGGACTGTATTGGACCGTTTCAACCCAGATTCCTCATCGCTCGTATCCCCCTCGGCATCGTTCCCTGCATCATCTCCACCTATCCCGGGCGTTGTTGTACCTATCATCATTGCGCCAGAGACGACCACAGCTGGAGCACTACCGCTCGCGATCCGACGCGCCTGAGTCTCTTGACCCTGATTCTGACTCTCCCGACTGTCCGCCCGATCGAGCACTTCACCCAGGCTGAACCGAGCGGCGCTATCCCTTCCGACCGTATGATATCGCTGTCGACCAGGCGATCGATCCGAGACGAGCAGGTCGTTGGCAGGGGAAGAGGGCGTGATGATGATCCCGTTCGGCATAGGGGGGAAAGACATGGTCGCCGATGAGATGGAGGAGGAGTGAGAATGCGTATGATGAGGTCGGGGTGGTCTTGCTTCCCTTTCGCGTTCTCGTTGCGACTGTACTTGCGAGGTCGAAGGACCTGCCATTTGATCGTGTTGAGGTGATGAGACGGCACGTGCGACCCGCCGCTTGATCCCATTCGAAGGAGAAAGCGGGGGAAACGGTAATCTCTGTTTGCTGGGAGGCGTTGTGGGAGGAATAGCAGGCAGGCTCTTTTCCGCAGGAATAGCTGGAAGATCCGAACTCTTCGATCCCGTCCGATGTACAGTCTCGACGTGGCCCAGGGAAGACGTCCGTCGAGGTAGAGGTCCGCGAGGCGTGGGCAACCATCCCTGATCTTCCCTCAATTGTTCCATCCCTTGCACTCCTAATTGCATCTGAAGTCCCATCCTGCCTTCGATCGACCCAGAACCAGACCCTCTTTGTTGCTGCTGTTGTTGTTGAGCTTGCAGACTCGAATCGCCATGTCCGTACGAGATAGCGGTAACGAGTGCCGGCTCGGGGCTCTCGGGTGGGGTATGAAAGTGATCCGAAGCAGACCAGGGTGGTGAGCTCGGGATAGACGTAGAGGTCGGTAGAGAAGCCAAATTCGCAGATGAATCAGAGATGGGAGTCGAATGAGAAGAGCGAAAGGAATAGGTGGAAGTGAAGAGGGAAGAAAATCTGCGGGTTGGTTTGGGCGTCTACACATAGACATCAGAATACGAAGAACAAGTCGATTGATGTGAGTGAGATCCTTGACTCTCCAGTCCAATGTAACGATACGAGCTGCTCACCTTGTTCTCATCTTCTACCACATCCCTCACGAATTCACTTCCACTCCCATTCCCAGCTTTCATCGAGGAAGACGACGAACTCGTATCCGTGCTCCGTTTCCGATCGCGTTTCCCGACGACCACAGTCGACCTTTCCTTCTCCCTTCCCTGACCTTTTTCGTCCTTGTTCGTCTTTTGCTCTTCGATAATGTCCTCATTCACCTCTTTGGCTGTATCCTCGATGCTACTGGAAACTGGGTCGATTTCACAGGTTGCTCCTCGGGGTGATCCTGTAAGTTCGCCTGTCCTCCCTTTCCTACTCTCACCCCCGACCCGGGATGCCGAGCTAGTCGTAGATCTTTCCGAGCTACCACTCTTCCTAGGGTTCGGTATAGTTGCCAAAGTCTCCTCAGGTGTATGTGTAGCTTCAGACGGTAGTATCCCAGGTCCTCCTAGTGTTCCCCCTCCTGGTACTATCTCTACTTCGGGCTCGAGCCTGATAGGCTTCCCAGCTTCATCCCCCTCATCATTCAAACGAGAACGGATATCACCATCTGCTTGTCTGACTTCCTCTTCCAGGTTCCCTGCCTTGAAATCCGTTTCTAGATTCGGACTTGAATTCGAATCTTTCCCACCCTCGAGCTGATCTGCATCGGGAATCTGGAGCGAGCCCGACCCTGTTGTCGGATCCACAAGTGGAGGATTAAAAGTCGGTGATGGTGATGGTGATGGTGGTCGTACCGTAGATTTCGGAGCGGATTTGAATGGCCGTGACAGGCCAGGGATGTGTACCATCCAGGTTTACAGCGCAGACAGTCGGTCGTCCTTTATAGTAGAAGGTATTGACTTGTCGACTTGTAACTTGTATGCTCGAAGTGTATGTGGGGAGGCCTGCCGGGTCACATTTCCTCGTCAGGCGTCTTGGTCCACGGTGTCGACTACTACTATGAACGGCGTTTTAGGTGATCGCAGGATTGGCAGCTGGCTATCTGGTCATATTCTCGTGGTGAGCGGATTATATAGCTATGAGAATGTAGGTCGGGGTATATGAAGATGGTGGTATGAACGTGATGCAAGCTCGAGGAGGTGCTGTGATCGGCGAACAGCGCGAGACACAGCCAAAATCGTGCATCACATCATACCATATCGCAGGCCAAAGAAGATCATCCCTTGTCCTTGCAAGATACATGGTACACATGCAAATGAGCGAGCTTATAGAGGCTGCAGTCTGATATCTACGAGCTCGGAATGGGTTGCGGTGGTCCGATCATACCGTATCGAACGGGGATGCGTGATTCTGATTGCTGTGACCTGAGCTGGCTGCGGGTATAACTTGGACGATAACTGTTGTGCATGTATCTGCCTCTTTGCCTACCCGGTGAACATCAGAATTCAACGAGCATACATGTTTGAGAAGACATGATCCGAGAACGCTGTTTAGCTGTTGTAGAATAGCTAGGATAGTGTCATCGATTGCCATCGAGGTTACCAAGACAATTTCATGTATTTCTCTTCGCCCGCCGGGGATGAGTGGAACTAGCAGCTAGGTAGCGCTTTTGCGCGTGGATGTCATTCAAGAGTACCTACTCACCACCTCGACCGACTCCAAGCACACCTTGCTATCATCGACCTCGGACCTATCATACTCCTCAGCCTCCAGATAGATCTTAGCACCAAGGTAGACAGTCTAGGTCCCCGAGTATTTGCACGTTGACATCTGTCCACGTTCGGATTCGAGAGAGCAACACGCAGCAAGACCGTCGACGCCGACCCAGCAAAACAACATACCACCACATCCAATCTCACAGATCACATATCAACCTATCGCACTCCACCCGCTGTCTTGCTGTGTTAAGCACGGCTCCTCAGCGTAAAGCGAGGTCCCTCAATCTCCAACGATGTCCCTCTTCGGACAATCGAAACGACCCTCCTCGTCCTCGAAATCAAACGGACGGAGGATAGGTCTCCCTCTCTCCTCGATCGACACGCACGACCACCACAATTTCCACAACAGCAACAACAACTCGGGTAACAAGTCGTTCATGTCACACAGTCGGAGAGGGAGTTTGACTTCGCCCATGGCGACGGCGAGTACGAGTTCGGGGTGGTTCACCGTGCTCTATATACCTATACCGGCGGTCTCGATATTTGGATTCGGAAGTAGACGGAATGGAGCAGGAACGACTTCTGGCTTGGGGTCTATAGGGATGGGAATGGGCATGGGCATGGGAATGAACGGAGATGGGAGGCTAGGAATCCCAAACTCTCATTCGAACGACGGCTACCTCCCCTCTTCATCTTCCTCGTCGACGGCGTACTACCCTTCCTCGGCCTCCTCGGCTTACCCTCAACAACCAAAACGACACCTCAAAGTCTACCTCCCGATCCCTCACGCGGTACTTTCGCGGATACCGTTCCTCTCCCGCCCCACTCCATTACGCCTGATCGCCCTCTTAGCTATGATCATCACGTTGGTGCTACTAGTGACGGGGCTGAAGCGGGGAAAGCTCAATTCCGGGGGAGGTGGAGGGTGGACAGAGGTCTTTGGAGGGGATGGCGAGAGGGAAGGAGGGGTATTGACGAAAGAAGAGGTAGCGAGGATCTGGGAGTGGGAGGTTGTTAGTGGACATCATCCTAGTTTGGCCGACGGTGAGTACCACGATCCCGCAGAATTGAATGAATTGCGGACGAACAGTTTCAAGGCTCGACCTTGTCGTTGTATGAGTACGGATTATATCGCAACACAGGAGTGCTGATCTCGAAAGGCCTTTGTTTGCTCCACATCACAATCACCTCATAATTCACGTATTCGTAGCACCATCAAATATACCCTTACCGGCCAACCTTGGAAACCCAGCTACTCCCCCGCACGAACACCCTCATCCTATCATCCCAGACCTCACCAACTCGAACTCGGAACCGGCTCATCCCAAGATCCTAGGGAGGGGGTTAGAACGAGATTACCTATCCATCAGCGAACCCTTACCGCCTTGGCAGACCCAGGAGGAGGAAGAGGACTCGGAACGAGGTGGAGGTGGGATAGAAGTCGGTGCTGGGCGGGAGAGTGAGGAGGAGAGGGAGAGGAGGAGAAAGAGGGACATGTTGGTCGCCATGGGGTTCCCGCCAAGACCTGTACCGGGGAGCGTGATCGATCTGGACAAGATTTTGGAGCGGTGTGATTTTCAGACTGGCAAGGTGAGTCGAGGTCGGTTGATCATCCTCAATCCTGAAAATTACACCGGACTGATCAGTGGTGAGACGTGGTGTGAATGATCTCGGACGAACAGCACGTGCGGGACTGTTTGGAGTACCTGCGGATAGGTGGGAACCTCGATCATGGACGACGACTCCGACGGACCAATTTGACGGACTATGAGCATATTTATCACGAGGACCGGTCGACGAGGCCGCCCGCACGGTACCTCGACACGGATCAACTGGCTAGAATCATGTTGCCGTCAGAGACGCTCGACGATGAAGGTCAACCGGTAAACAGGGTCGACAAGGGTCTGTCCAGGGATCCTCTGAAACTGCCCACTCCGCTGGATTCGAGCCGAGGGTTGTATGATCCGAAAGCTCCTTGCGACCCGGACCATCCGAGGATCTTTCACATGTTCTGGGCAGGGCCGTTTACGGACAAACCGTACATGGCTGTCATCTCGTTCCTCTTTACTCAGAACCTCGGACTGGACCAGGTCCCAGGGCGGAAACACGCCGAGACGAACGCTTGTCGACCGCAGTTCTGGGTCTGGATCAACCCGGGTCCGGCAGCTGCCGTGCCAAATCCTTCGGCCAAGAGGGAGATGTACGAGTCGCTCGCCGTCAACCCTTGGAGCGCACCGTTCTTGCATGCGAGGTTTCAGGACGTCGTCAAGTTCAAGATGTGGAATACGACCGAGATGATGGATGGCATAGACGAGCTGAGGGATCATTGGAGACAGATGCCGATCTTCAATTCCGGGGGAAATACTTATGGAGTGCCCGAGGCCGTCTCGACGGCCGCTCCCGAGCCGACGGGAGGCGATCAGGACGGGATGGTCGTACTCGACGGCGAGAAGCAGGGGGACATCGCCGCTATCCCGAGCCCGGCACCGATCGTCAAGAAGAAAGCCGGCGGTCTTTTCGAAAAGGTCGGGTCGACTTCTCAGAACGACTACGATCGACTGTCGGTCATCCTGTCCGACATTGCCCGCTTCATCCTCACCCATCGATACGGCGGGATCTACCTCGACGCGGACACGGTCTTTCTCAGGGACTGGGAAGAGTTGTGGAACTGGAAGGGACAGTTCGCTTATCGCTGGTCTTTTCACGACAAGTACAATACCGCCGTGCTCAAGCTGCACAAGGGTTCGGCGCTGGGCAAGTTCTTGTTCAAGGCCGCGCTGGAGAACGGGTTGGACTTCCATCCGATGACCATCTCGACCTATTTGAAAGAGGCCGGGTTGGAGAAGCTCTTGTTCAGGATCCCGGACGCCTTGTTCGACGCCGCTTGGATCAACTTTGAAGGGTATCAGAGGGACCGGCCGCCTTTTCCCTACTTTCCAGAGTGAGTCCCCCGGAGGCTGAAGTATCGACTGCTGCCGGTTCTAGTTGAATCGACGCTGATACTCGTGCCTTGATGCCTCGATCGACGCAGTTTCAGCGAATTCTTCTCGAACAACAAGTTTTCGGCCGGAGCGCCGCATCCTACGGGCTATGATGGGTTCTTTAGGGGTTCGTTTTCGTATCACTTTCACAACTTTTGGTAAGTCTCGGCGTCCAGGAGGTTTCAACCGCAGGAGAGTCCGTACGAGTACTGACAAAACTCGCGCTTCTCATGTCGTCGATCAGGTGGCTACCCTTTGACCCATCACGGAACTGGCCCGACCTGGGCAAACGCTTCCTCAAGGGCGAAAAGACCCTCCGACAAGCGGCCCGGGCGGCCAAGGTCATGGGCGATGAGGAGACGCCACGGGACGTCGATGTACGAATCAACGTGGACGATCGGGACGGGATGGACGAGGTCGGCGAGGACGAAGCGGATCTGAGTTGGAGTACGGTGTTGAAGAGGACGTTCGAGGCGTATATACGGGCCGAGAGACCGAACATGTATGGGGAATGGTTGCGGTGGTGACGAAAGTCGAGTTTTGGCAGGGGAGTTGGCATGATTCATGATGACTACTATATAGAATTGGGTTCTTGATGGGGTGGGTGGGTGAGTGGTTTTGTTTACGATGTGGTGGGTCGGGCTTCGTTGCCGACTTGTCAATCGATCGTCGAATCGGTCTGTATAATCTGCATCTCTATATGCTACTACGATGCAACTACTACTACTGTACCTACGGCCCTGAACTCGTATACGGAACCGTCTTCGCATCATATCACAAACATGGCAACTGGTGAGTCTGATTCACGTACAGGCGATTCCAGGCTGACCTCGTTGTGCGATACGCTGGTCGATGTAGACGCCAAGCTCGAAGCAGACCTTCTACAAAGCATCAGGCAAGGTGACACTGCCAAAGCCAAGCAGCATTTCAAGAGATGGCATCGAGCTCAGTTCGCAGACACGTGAGTTAAAACGGTCAAGCAGTTGCTGATAAGACCTAACTGGACTTTTATTCTGAACCCATAGGTCACTTGTTGTCACGGTCTTTCGGCTCATTCGTCTCGGATTGAGCTTCTTGATCTTTGGTGCACTCTGGTATCTTATCATCAAGCAGAAGAGGGAACAGAAAAGAGGCGATGAGCTATATGGTAAGTTCGTTCACAAGGTGGCCTTGTTGTCTTCAAGACTGATCTGTGGTCGTGGTTGCTTCGGTACCACTAGCATATTTGATTTCTGCATTTCAATTCTTCTTTTATATCATAGACCTACTCGTTGAAGCCCAAGAATATTGGTATGATCCCCGGAAGATGGACAAGGTGACTAGGACTATGGGCTATCACACTATCTTGCCATGGGCTATGTTGATGGCATTGAAGTATGGGAAGAAGGTGGTGGAAATTGTTACGGCGAAGAGCGCGGCGATGTCCGGATGAATCCCTTTGGGCCTCGTCGATTTGTCGATCTATTCTTTCATACGAGATCACCCATTGATCGTTATTGTAGAAGATCCATACTTCATTCATCACTTTCCGTCTGAACGGTCTCTTGAGCAGCTAGCAGCCTTTTGGCGAAATGGCAGTATCCTGGCACAGCCGCAACTTATAGCGTCGCGATGCGTCAATCTAGTCATCGGACGCCCGACGACTGGTTGCCTGGATATCGATTTGTCTACAAGATCAAAGAACCTCTGACCAGTACGACGGTACACCGCTCCTTGGCTATAACATACACCTATCAGGAACCTGGCATACGATCTCTCTTTCGAGCGAACCCAAGCCTGGTGTATTTGACCTTCATCGTGAGGTCGCCGTCCATCCAGGTGAGGCTACGGCAATCCTGGCAGAGATACGTGAGATAGACTCGGTGGAAAGACGGCTGATCTCTCAGAGGCCGTTGATAGGGCCCCGTCGTTGTTCACCGCCAGCACCTGATCTGGGCCTGGGAATACCTTCGTCAGATCTACTTCAAACGCCAGACGTTGATGGGCCGTTTCATGCCCGACCTCGCCCATCTCTACGACGTCCCTTGTGAACTGCCGACTGCAGAGTACATAGATGTGGTCCAGTGGGCGCACGAGGCAAGTCCCTTGGCGACCTTGTCGATATGTCCGTTAATGATTGCTAATACCGAGCTCTCCGAATCGGACACCACCTGGAGTACGTCACCTGCAGGCTCAATTCCGTTTCTGTACGTGAAGATTGCTCCCACTCGAGAGGGTCTGTCCTTGATCACTGAGACCACAGCTCTGGCTCTTCTTGATTCATATACAGACACCCTCGGATGGTACCTTGATCGACTCTCAGATTTCGAAGATCGAGGTGTAAAGCCGTTGGCGTTCGCACAGGGACGGATGGAGGCTGTCCCTGAGAACCAGAACTGGTACTTATTCAAACCTTCGAACGATCCCAAACGTTACCCCGCCTCCGTCTTTCTCTACGCTATACAAGTCTTGAGAAACAATACCGGGCTGGGCGATATTCGAGACCTCGATGTTCAAGCCAGGTTGCGGGATATGATCAACCAGTACCCAGAAGAACTCGATTACGACGTCGGCAACGAGGGCGGTCCAGTCATGAGTATCAAGCTGGACGAAGGAGCGGGTCTCTACCACGTCGATGATCCTGAAGTCAACGAATTGATCCGGGCAGGCGCCATCTCCGAGGATGTCTTTTGCCACGAACCGCTCGACCCTGATCTCCTGGTCAAGCTCGCTGCGACGGTACGTTTACAGGACATTGTGTAGAGGACGTCACGATCGGTTATGACTGAGTGACTGGGATTTGTCTTTTCTCTCTTAGGAGTCACTCCGCTTGACCCAACACGATGGTAAATCGAAACCACTGTACACAACAGGTCAGTCCAGGGGCTGTATCGAGGCCGCAAAATGCTGCGCTATTCGACTGAACGACTCTTCTTTTTCCTATCAGATTCAAAGGATCGCCGACTCCCTGATCCCGAGACATTCTTCGACCGCATTGCTCCTTCTAATTACGTTTTGACCTTGACCAACCAGCTGTCCCGAGAAAAAGAAGAGGGACGTAGAAGCACTCGTCCGGTTCCGCGCAAGATCTGAGACCAGGGTTCCGTTACGTCTGCTCGACACGGAAAAGTATCCCTGCTTCTATCAAGCAGACGATACCAAGTATGTGAGTGAGATCGCGTTGTCCAGAACGTGGGTCGGCCTCCGAACGGGGCTCATCACAAGATGCTCGAACGCAGTACAGGTGTCGACTTGATCGGCCTAGACCGTCCAGCCCTGTCCTCGGGATCTAGGCTTAAGTCGCGACGATCCCTCTTGTGATCTTCGGATCCTGTCCTCAAGAATATACTCGTACTCCCGGGCTCGTCTTTCACCACGATATCAGGGGATTCAACGAGAGAGGAAGCAGGCGAGAGGGGAAACAGGCGAGAGGTGTTCGAGTCGTTTGCTCGCCCGCATGACCGGTTTCAAGTCACAACACATGTGTTTGAGCGATGCTCTTCATCCGTCTTTGAGTAGGAGTATACGTATAAAAGAATTATAGGGGTGCAAAGTTGCTTGTAGAGGAAGGTTTCATATTGTCATGTCGCCGAACAGGTATGCTGTCAAGCCCCTCCTAGCGAGCCGAGTACTCAGAGGCGATCCGGTACCGCAACCCTCTTAATCATTTTAGAAAACATCAACCAGCAGACCGTTGCCGCAACGTACACCTTTGTCGAAAAGTACCGTTGGGAACACTCTCTGTGCTACTCGGTCCAATCGTCGACCCGGACACAAGAGGAATACACCCAAGCTAGGCGCATCAGATGGGGTTGGGAGATCTTGAGGTTTCGACACGAAGCTCCTCTCCCATTGAATTCCTCGTGCCAGATCCATCTCGTTCGGCTAGGTTTGCGGAAATTCGGCTTCATGCTACACTCGGACATACTTGAGCCATGCAGCGAACGTTTGGACTTGGCAGAGTCCCGTATATTGCGCACGAGCATAGTGGATCGAATCTAGAATGCCATAACACGTGATCGGCCCAGAATTTAAACAGATTGGATAGGCATATACCGACATGCGCTTCCTCAGTGTCGGCCCTCATTGCCGACACATCCGATGTATAGCACGCCTCTCATCAACAGCCAACTCCCGTCCAAACGTTCAGCATATTTTCGTATCTACATCTATCGCGCCAGGTCGTACAACACATTCTTCTTCCCGACCACCCAAGAACTCTCTGTCTTGCCCTATCCCTGTTCCCAAGTCACAGTCTAAGCGGACGAGACGGTCTCCCCGACAATCTTCTCCGCCTCGGGCTTCAACATTGCGCTCCCATCGTTCTCGACTTGAACATGGGCGGCGTCGATCTTGTTGCCCTCCTCGTCCTCGAACGCGCGGAGTCCTCTCAAGCCCCATCGATCGAGCATCGCCTTGTCCTCGTCCCATCCGGAACAAGGGGTCGTGAGCATCTGTTCGCCGGTAAAGATGGCGTTCTGCGAAAGGTTGGGCAGGGGCGTGAGTGATCAGTATCGAATCTCCTTCCTTGTCTTTTCGTGTAACACGAGTCGGACTCACGGCACCCGCCATAAAGGCCTGATCATTTTCCCAATAAAAAAAGCCGAACCAGTCAGTACGAATGCGAGAATATCGAAATACGAAGCTCCGCCCCAACGTGCGTGCCTTCGCGACTCACCATGGCCTGCTCGGTCTCGCTAAACGTATGCCTTCCCGCTGCCAACCGGATGATGGTCTTGGGCATGACGATCCTGGCCGTCGCGATGGTCCTGATGACCGAGTGCACGGGGACGGGCTGCAGCGTTGAAGAAAATTCGGTTTTTTAAGCGTCAGCGTCTCTCGACGGGAAGAGATACGGATGCGCTGTGCGAAACAAGGGGGGCCTCACGTCGTTCTTCTCCAGTGGAGTACCTGGGATGGGTACGAGCGTGTTGACGGGGAAAGACTCTGGATGTTCCGGCAACCTCCCCACCTCCCAGATCAACCCTACCCTATCCTCGTCCTTTTCCCCCAAACCCAAGATTCCACCGGAACAGACCTTGATCCCAGCGTCCCGCACGGCTTGGAGCGTGCTCAGACGGTCCTCGTACGAACGGGTGGTGATCACCGACGGGTAGAATTCTCGGGAAGTGTCCAGGTTGTGGTTATAAGCGGAGAGACCGGCTTCTTTGAGTCGGCGAGCTTGGTCCGGGGTCAACATGCCCAGGGTCGTGCAGACTGCTCGAGCGTGTCATGAATTCGCAGTCCAGGTTCGAAGGAATAAGAGTTTGTCCGAGAAATGATCCTCGTCAGCTACCACAAACCGAGAAAAAAAACCCCACCTCGCCGCTCCCCTCCCCTTCAGACTCGCGCAAAAACTGACCTTCCATCCCCATCCCCCTAACCTCCCTGACCATCGACAAGATCCTCTCGAACCCCCTCTCCCTCCCCTCCAAACCCCTCCAAGCTGCACCCATACAGAACCTCGTAGATCCGTTGGCTTTCGCCTTTTTAGCCTCCTCGATGACCGGGTCGAGCTTTACCAAAGGGGTGGCTTTGGTAGGTGTGCCTTTGTGGTGGGTGGATTGGGAGCAGTAGGAACAGTCTTCTAGGCATCCGCCGGCTGTGTTGTGGTTTAGGTGTTGTGCAGGTTGCGAGTCGGGAGAAAGAAAGTGGGACGTCCAGGAAGAGGGCGGTCGAAGTAAGAAGACCGGTCCGAACCGGAACAAAGAAGGCAAGATATCGAAACTGTATCAGCTCCCCGTTTCAATTCCCATGTCATTTTTCTTTTCTCTTGGAGAAGACGACGCCGGACTGACTCTTGATATTCATCAAAGTACACAATTGGATCCTAGACGGATCGTGGTGCATCCTATGGACCGATGCCTGTATTCAGTTGAGATTTCGTGTATGGTGTGGAGTTCGTGGTGATGTCGTTTTGTGCCGTGTTGTGTCATACGGGAGTTGGGAATATCAAGGTGAAGGTGGGATAGTGGACGGTAAGATAAGATGAGGTGAGGTGAGGTGGGTTTCGGGTTGAGGGTGATCCGGTTCGTGATTCATAAGTCAAGTTCCGGATCGAGGTCGAGGTCGAAGTCGTAAGCAAAACAAGTTTAATCGAATCGTCCAGAGATGAGTCCATCGACGAAGATGCAAGTCGAAAAGGTCCAAACAAAAATAAATAAAAAGCAAAACACAATTTATCAACATCACCAGTTCCCTTTCACACCCGAAACCCCCCCCCCTCCCCCCCCAAAGACATCTCTCGACTCACCGCCCTAAAAACAGTCTCCATCAAGGGCGCATCGAAGATCTCTTGAACTTCATGTCTCAACCAGTTACTCCTGACCGCTCCCAATTCCGTTTTTCGTGATTTGGCCTTGAGATTGAACCCTTGAGCCAGAGCTGCCGAAGAAGAAGAAGAAGAAGAGCCAGAGGTGGAAGTGGACGTTGATGGGTGTTCGATGGCGGTCGCCAGGCGACGGATGGGGGGGAGGGAACGTTTGGCTGCCATCGTCTACTCGCTACTCGTCTTGTTTTTGTGTATGTCTAAGGGGTAGGTTGATGAGATGAAAGGATCAACAGCTCTTTGACCTTGTTAAGCACCAACCTCACTCTCTCTCTGCTCTCTCTTATCCGAGGAATGCGGTTGGGGGAGACGGCAAGGTGGGGGAAGTGAGGGACAGCGCCGGAAGCAAATCGATCATACCGGGTCGGATGTATTTGCTATCCCGCCGTCAGCCGGAGGTTCCGGGGGCGCAGTATTGTTGTAGCGAGTCTCATGTATCTGAGTCATCGTGTAGAGGTAATTTGCATGGAGACCTGGCGCTCTGAACAGCTGGGCATCGTAATACTACTGTATCTGCTCGCTGTTCGACAAGTGGCAAGTAGCTGTCTGCTGCGTAATCTCGGGGCGGAAGGAGATCGCAACAAAGCGCGCCCTATACACCTTCACTAGAGCCCGATAACACTAACCTATAACCGATCATTCCTTGCTTCTACCTCTTTGACTCTGTCACGATCTGTCATCCCAATGTCGTCAAGCTCTTCTGTCTCTGCGATTCCCCAACTTGGTACCTTTCCGATGAGGTCTACGTTTACCTTGATCACTTGCTTACCTAATACATCGTCCCGCTTTCCCACGCGTTCTACTCCCCCATTTCACCGCCCATGACATCGTAAACAACTCACCCTCCCAGCACCATCATCGATCACATCACATCAACAACATTCATCATCACGAGCTATACCGATATACCGACGTCTTTCACCTTCTTTCACACTTTACAGTAAATACTTACGAAGACTCTAAGTACCGGAAAAGAGATAAGATAGGAATCATGGTAAGCCTGACGCCCAACCCCACCACCTCTGCCTGGGATCCGCCGTAGCCCGAGCTCCTTGCGCTGTGTCCAGTCGAGTCGGGAATGGTCGTTGACATTCTCTCTTTTTGTTCTTCTTTTGTGCTTCTTCTTCTCATCTCTCGACGTTCACGGAATATCAATCATTCCGGACCTCCTAATCATACTACCGCACCGCTAATATGAAATGGAATACACTTCAATCTTTACTGGGGGATTGAGATCGAATTCGGACTTGAATCTTGAAATTTAACTCGATTGATCGTGATCATATATGGATCTGGGAAATCGCTTGCGGGAATGTGTACACGGATACGAACACGACTACGGACACGGATATGATTATGGCTCCATTACGACGCATTCAACCTGCATTCGACCTGGGCACTTCGATATCTATAACGGTACCACACTCCGGGTTAAACTTGATCTGCTTGGTTTTATCGGTTTATCGGTTTACTATCCACCGTGGGGAATGTTTATCTGGTCTTGGTGATGTCTGATCGTATTGTAGGCCGACTCGTCAGGTGAGTTAACGGTTCCCGCTCGCTACATCCCGTTTCTTGCGTGGATGAAGGATGGGGAAACGATGCTGATGATCGACAGTCCGGTTTCTGCTTCAACTTCCCTCCCCACCCGTCCCACCTGCAACCTGTTCCAAAACATACACCTTCTTTGTTGCACACCCAACGCTCCTCTATGATCTCTACACTACGACCATAATCTCATCCTCCCCACCGCCAAACCCGAATACACAATAGAATACCAAGAAGCCTTCGCCCTGTTCGACAAGCGCGGGACGTCCAGGGTCCCCAGGGAATCTTTGGGAGAGCTGTTGAGGAGCTTGGGGCAGAACCCTACTCAGAGGGAAGTTGCCGAGTTGCAGGGCAAGGTGGGAGGGACTTGTGAGTGCAGTCCGATCTAAATCTCGGTTCCCAGACGGGAGCTTCGGCTCTGTCGAGTTTTGTCATACGTGTGCGAGTTTGATGTGGATCGGGAAAGGCTGACCATGTTTTCTTTCTCCTGACTCTGTTTCTCTTTCGCTCCGACCTGTTACATGTTCCGTGGCGATGGCGATGGTCGATGATCTTGCCGAAACCGGGATCCTTGTGATCATACCAATATCCACCCTTCCGCTTGCTTTCGACCTACGAACCGATCCGAACGTCCCCCTTGTCTCGCACTCGACCTCGCCTCTGAAACGGATCTAGTCGACTACAACGAGTTCCTACAGATCCTTAACCGGCCCGACGGTTGGAGACCCGCCGGGACTGAAGGTACGCTCGCACATGAACTTCCTCATTCTCATGAGATCCCTTGTCTTTATCGTGGATGCTGACTCGAACCCATAAAATACTATCCCGAAAACCCATTCCCATCCTCGATGCGCGCAGAGGAATTCATCAAAGGTTTCCAAGTGTTCGACAAGACCGGCAAGGGCCTCATCGGAGCTGGAGAATTGCGATACGTGTTGACCCAGTTGGGGGAGAAGATGTCGGATGCCGAGGTGGACGAGCTGTTGAAGGGGGTCGCTACGGTGTGAGTCAGAGTTTCTCGGTGCTGGGCTTTGCCTCGGCTAAAGGGTTCGAGGGAGAGAGGATCGAACAGCGGGACTGACCCTTTTGATGTGTGATGAGCAGGGACGGGCAGATCGATTACCACCAATTCGTTAGGAGCATCATTTCGCAGTAAATCACCTTCACGCCTTACCCACTGCCCTACGATGCGGTCTCTTCATCTCATCCACCTCCTCTGCGCTGCTGCTCGGCGATGAGTTAGCGCCAGAGATCGACGTCAATATATCATCCTCCTCGACTCTCCTTTTTGTGTCTCTTTATTTCACGAACGACTATCATGATGACGATGAATTGCAGTTTCTCAGACTCCCGTAGAGATCTGTTGGTGCGTTGCGTGGAGAGAATCCGGCTGAGCCGAACGTTGAGGTCGAGGCAATCGGGGACTAAATAAAGACGTGGTTTCCTACCAGCGTCGTTCCAGCAACCAATGAAATGAAATCATTCCGTCGCCGTCAGTCATCCCCCACCGTCCCGTGTCGCTATCGCTACCGCGTTCATCGCCACCATTCCATATCGCCCTCAACCCGTCGAAGAAAATGTTGTACTACTTTATAGATTCAACCAAGCTGTTCATGAACAGAATATATGCTTGGTCTGCCCGTTCTTGCTCTTGCGTGTTTCATGAGCTTTTGTCAGGGGAATCAAAGGACATCTTGTAGACACAATAAGGATAATAATACTCTAAGTTTCCAGTCTGATTTAGGTTTCTCTTATCCATAAACATAGCCCCAAGGAGCGCATACCACCTCTCGTGCCGCTTCTGTTTCTTGAGGTCTAGGGGTTTCTTCAAAAGATCCTTTCTATGTCGATGACGGACATAGCCGCTTCCTTGCTCGTTTTGTTTAGCAAAGCAAGAAGAACACTTGTACTGGCATTGCAAACACCAACTTCTGCGCCTGCCTCTCTTCGCTTGAACGTTGTAGGTGTCGCAGCTGAGCCATTTGTTGCCTCTCCCAGGACATTTGCCACTTAGATTGCTTTGAGGTTGTGTACAAGGCTACTCATAGGGGAACACATGCTTTGCATGATTGAAACATCGAGGAAGAATATCGATGGTATCACTACAGTGGAGGTAATGAGACCCAGCCTTGTCCCGCATGATCAGATCACATGTGTCTATTGACGGTTGCAGGCCCCTGCATTCCTCGGTAATACTGAGGGTTTTCTTCCTGATGCGCCAATGCCATTGTTGTAGGCCAACAAGCTGATCCTTGATCCCCCCCGATAGTCACAACCTTTACTTTCGTCTGGGGACCCACTGTGTGTTGCTCCCATAGAGGCTTTGCGATCTTTCAGTGAGTCAATCCGAGGCTGATCTTCCTGACTAAGGTCGCTTCCATGCGTCCGGACAGAGACTGTGTCCTTGCGCCACCGGAAGGTGAACAGTAGAATTGCAGCGCGTAAGAAGAACTCAGTGCCGCAATTCATTGCCGAGAGTCAAGTCTTGGTCTCTGTAAGGGAACTTATCCCCCGATCCCCCGAGCCATGAGCCTCCCCCAGCCCATACACCAGACTGATTTGTCGGGATACTAGGGTATATTTAAGGCATCCGCCAGTACACAAGTCATCCTGCAGATCGAATTTGGGTTTCGGATTTGGCCGAAACGCATTTCCTAACCAGGAAGTTGGGGATCAAGAGGATCGACATTCGAGCATCTAGACTCTCTTACCTTCGCTTCGTTCTACTATATACCAGCGATACATTCAGATGCTGGTAGCTATGTCAGAACAAGACTCCTCCCCCGAACCGGCTCATTCGAAAGATGAGGCTCCTGCTCAATCAGCACGGCCGGCACGCACCCCTCAAGCAGCACCAGCAGCATCGACGGTCTTCACCCCCTTCAACTTTCTCTTGATCTCCGGCCTCGCTTATCTCGTACTCCGATCCTCTGAGTACAAAGTCGATCCAAAAGAACTGTTTCAAAAAGGCTTGACCTACTTCTCTGAATTTACCGGAAACGGTGGATCAGGATCAGTATCAAGACAGGAATCGGGATTGGGGTTATATGCGATCTGTTCGAAAGAAGGCAACCAGATCTATACTAGCGAGCTAGATACTCCGCAAGTACAATGCGTGTTGGTCAGTAATGATACCATCATAGGTCTGGGTGCTCAAGGTCAGTCGATGCGATCATCGTTCTTGATCGCTTGCATCGAGACACAGAGACTGACGAGACATTTCCTTCTGACCTCATGGATGATGATATGGATGTACAGCCTCGGTGGAAGAGACCGCTGCCTCTCTCACATCCGATCTGGACCCGGGGACGAAGGACTTGCAAGTATATTACCTCCCTGCAGGCGGAATCATGACCCCGGTATGTACTACTTTCGATATCCCTTTCCTTCTCCTTACTGCTCGTTCGGCTGAGCTGGGTTAATTTTGCTGTAAGCTGATCTGCTTTCTTGTTTCGAATCGGATCGGGTTATAACGATGTGGTGTATCAACAGGGCTTTACCGACTCGCACGCCCATGTCAGTCTTTCATCAATCTTCACTCGTTCTGTGCAGCAAACGCTCGAGAGTACTGACGAGGTGTTACTTCAATATTTGCGTTCGGATGTTCATAGACGTTGCAATACGGGCACGCTCAGTTATTGAACTTGGCTGGTAGTCGGAGCGTTGACGGCAAGTACTCTCTTATCCTCGGTCCGAACCCACCTCAGGGCCGTAGACTTACAAGTGACCACTCGGCGTTATTTTCTTCTCTTCGATATTTGCAGAGATCATCCGGCGACTAGAAACCTACGTTGATGAGAACCGCGAAGCTGTAGAGGGCGGGGCTTGGATTGAGGGTCAGGGGTGGGATCAGACGCTTTGGGAGGGGAAACAGTTTCCTACCGCCGTGAGTCGCATATTCCCCAACACCATAAACCCTGCCGGCGCTTGTGGTGTGTAAGCACAATACGAAAAGAAAATGATCGCTAATATAACTAGATTCGGCGTGTTCTCTTTTATTTTTATTGCATGTGTAGGCCGACTTTGACAAGTCGCCCAAACTCCGTGGTCTCCCGATCGCTTTGAAACGGATCGACATCCACGCCGAATGGATCAGCTCGTCCATTCTCTCCCTTATGGGCACCCTCCCAGAAAGCGTCCCAGGCGGCAAGATCATGCGTCACCCCGATGACGACACTCCCACTGGGGTCTTCCTGGACAACGCTATGGGACTGGTCGACTTTGTCCGCCCACAGTGGACGGAAAAGCAGATGAAGATGTATCTGGACCGCACGGTCGGGGATGCCGTGGCCAAGGGGGTTACGGGGATTCATGATGCTTTTGGGTTACCAGAGCATATCGAGTTTTACCAGAGGTTCGTCCGCGCGGCCTTTGCAACTTCGGTGTTCAAGAGTAGCCAGTAGCTGACTCGAGGGTTGTTCTTGATTGGTACGCAGGATGGCCGATGAGGGAAAGTTACCGGTATGTTCTCCTATCTCGATCGGATTGTGATTTGCGCTCATTGAATGTTCTCTTCACCGTAGATCCGGTTCTATATCATGGTAAACGACGTTCTCCCATAAGCGAGTCTGTGATACCGTCGGGGAATCTGAGATTCCTTTCCAATATAGCGAAAGTGTCCCGATAGGGAGAAGTACTGTGGAGATGAATTACCCATGATCGATAACGCTGGTGGTACGTCTCGCATCTTTCTGGCTCGGACGACCTTCTCTCAGACTGACTGCTCATTCCTGCGCAGATGGCAAGCTCAATGTCAGAAGTGTCAAGCTCTTCGCGTGAGTGTTCGCTTTCAGGTCTCGTTCTGATGACGCTCAGCCGCCCCTGTCGAATCGCTTCTTTTTCCATCGTTAAAGGGACGGGGCTCTCGGCTCGTGGGGTGCTGCGATGTTGGAACCTTATTCCGATAGGCCTGATGAGACTGGGATCATGGTAACCCCGGAGGAAGCTTGGACGGGTCTGATCGACGATTTCGTGCGCAATGTAAGCATAGTCGGGCGCTTTCACATTCTGAGTTGTACCGATACTTACTGATCGAACCGCATCATGTTAGGGATGGCAAACCGTAAGAATCAGTCGACTCTCTCATGAACTGAGATGCTGACACTGAAGTCTGAGGTTGTTGGCAGAATGTCCACTGTATTGGCGACCGTGCGAACCGGGTCGTCTTGGACGCCATGGAGCTTGCGATCGCAAAGTATGGACCGGCCGATCGCCGGTTGAGGATTGAGCACGCTCAGATCATGACTGAGGATGACCTGGCGAGAGCGGTCAAGCTGGGAGGTAAGACATCTGGCTAACATCCATGTCGATCCATGTACGCTAAATCCCGATTCCTCTCAGTCATTGGTAGTTACCAGCCCACGCATGCTACTTCGGACGTGAGTCCCCATGCTTTCCTGGTTCAAAATCTCTTCCTGATGCGCCTTTTGCGTTCTCTAGATGTGGTACGCCGAAGATCGAATCGGAAAAGACAGGCTCAGGGGAGCATATGCATGGCAGACCTATATTCAGTGAGTAGCTGCTTTCCGCTCGAGGTACAAAAAGCGCGAAACCTTCGAAGCTAATGCACTCAACCGCAGACTGGGAGGCAGGATTGCGCTCGGATCCGACTTTCCGGTCGAATCGATCGATCCTCTGAAAGGTTTCTTTGCTGCTATTAGCAGGACAGACGAAGCGGGCGACTCTCCGCATGGTCGGGACGGATGGTTCCCTGAACAGAAGCTGACCCGGGATCAGGCCCTGAGAGGATTCACCATAGACGGTAGGTGATCCGCCGATATGATTTCCTGGCTCCTCATACTTACTCTACATTGATCGAGACAGCGGCCTACGCTTCCTTCCAAGAAAACATTACGGGATCGTTCAAGGTCGGCAAAAAATTCGATGCGGTAATCTGGGACAGGGATATCATGCGGGTCGAACCCGCCACAGAGGTACTACATGCCAAAGTTAGCGCGACTATCGTTGACGGAAGACCGGTTTATGGATCGTTGTAAGCGCGACGGATGCTACAGTAATCATTCATAACATGAAGACATTCTCATTTAGTGAAAGCGAAAGCTAAGCGGAAACCCGGCAGGCAATCAGACTCTCAGTGTGGTCAAACCGGAGATGCCTGTGTTGACAAAATTTGTACTAAACTTCGTTTCTACTGGATTCCGGCAGCTCGAAGCTGAGAGACGGCAAAGTTGATCGACTCGGCCTGCTGAGGAGATGTGCTGTAGCCGAGGTGGGCGACGAGGGATCCGATAGAGGTGCAGACGTTGTCTCCACGGTTGCAGACATCGTGAGTCTTGGCTCGGTAAGCTTCAGGAGTCCTGATACCGGTGAGGGCGGCGCTACCCGAGCCGATGGTGGCGGTACCAGCATTCTCGGGCTGTCCAGCTCGCCAGTAGGGGCTGAAATCCGACAGCGCTCCATCAGTCTCCGTGATGTGTCTAGCAGTACGTGGCATCATTTTGTAAGTAACTCACTTTCCGTACAAGATGGTCGCGACGACCGAATCGACCGGGAGCGAGTTGTCGTTCTCCGCATTCACCACGACCATGGCTCCTTGAGAGTATCCGACCAGGACGAACTTGGTATCGGGACAGCTCGAAAGGGTACTCTGGACGTGGCTCAGGAGGTCCCTGGCTCCTTGCCTGGGTCCGTTGAGGAAATCGGCGATGGCTACCGCAAGGGCAATGTCATCGCGGTAAATGAGCTCAGGTACAGGCAAGAGGAGGGTCATTTGTTGCTTGGCTTACCAGGATACATGACCTCGTAGTTGCTTCCACCAGAGACTGCATTGAGAATCCCATCCACAGTGCCTCGGTTTCCGGTAGGGAAAGCTTGAAGCTCGCCAGTCCCACGAGCAGATATCACTTCGTAACGGTTACAGCCGCCACTGCCACCGCCGAGACCGCCGAAACCAGGCCAGCTGAACTGGCGTTCTTCGATTTCAGTCTCAGCTCCTGAATATTCACATACAGGTTCAGGTGGCTTTAGCTTTCTCAGTGAGTGAGATGGAGTAGGCATGTGCAGAACAGAGCTTACCAAGAGGAGCGGCGGTCGCCAAGGCGGTCAGAGACGAGATGATCGCGAAAAGGGCAGTGAAGGAGACCATGGTGATGAAAAGGGCAGGATGATGTAAAGGAATGAGCTGAATGTGTCAAGGAGTACTTCGGAACTCCTGCTTCTACGGATACCTCGCCCTTTTGGATGGGTATATATACTCGCCAACCATCGGGCGTACGTAGCTCGACAAATCGTTCGGTAACCGGTCTTTCAAGAAAAAAGGTGGAGTCGCATGAATTTCCACAAGCCTCTCGACTGCGATTAGTGCGTATCTTGCGCAGGAATCGGTCTGGTATGAAACGCGCTTGTCTTTACGCAGCCGGCGGGGTCTTCTCTTGGCCAACACTACAGGACGTTGCCTCCCCCCTGCACATCATCGAACCGAGACGAAACGTGACGGCACGCGCTCCCCTGAGTGGCGAGCGCTAAACGTCGGGCCGGGACCTCATGGCGAGCGCTAGTCAAGTCAGCTTCGGAAGAATGGTCCGAAGTTTCACGTTGTGACCGGTAACAACGAGCTTGATTGCCGGCAGATATGAGGCGGAGTTCGATCGATTACATCCAGATACTTTCCACTCTCATACAGCTTCTCTCAACTGTTCTTCAGCTACATGTACAATAGCAGGGTCATGAATACATTCTCGACCGATCGTCGAGCACTGATGGTATAGGTATCCGCGCCATGGCTTCACTGTGTGAGTCATCCCACATATCCGGATATTCCTCCTGGTCATAGCGTTTCGGATAGGTGAACACGTTCGGCGTGAGAGCTTGCTCGGGGGTGAAAAAGACCATCAGGTCGTGCCTGGTCTCACAGAATATCCGCAGCACTCGTTTGACACGCCAAATGTAACGCATGGCCTCGTTGAAGGGAAAGGAGTGGATGTTATTTGTGACGCGAGCCCATTCGCCTTGGTAGCGTATTCCCAAAACTCGCGACTCCTCTTCATGAAATGCTCCCACCGTTCTGATGCCATCCGGGTGATGTCTGATCATGTACAGTATCGTCGGTGGCATGGGTTTGACACTCCGAAGTATTTTCGAGAACACATCATTCCAACCGTCAGCCCAGGGCTGTTCTTGACGGTTGTAAGTCCTCTCGAGTTCTGTTACAGCGTACTTGGCGACGGTTTCCAAAGGCTTTTCCGCTTCCTTGCGTCGTCTAGATACCGCTGCTGCCTTCTTTTCTGCTTGATCATAAGTATCCCAGCTTTGCTTAGACTCCTCCTCAGCCGTTCGGGGGAAGAGACCAGTGAACGATAGTTCGCTCAGCAGATGCGACTTTGCTGAATGATATATGATTGACGAAGCGGGCGCATTCCAGGCTGAGATGTCTTGTAGGGTGGACTGATTCGAGGTAAAGTTGTCACACGTTGTAGACTGCCATGAATGATCCATTCTAAAGGCGCGACGGTCAAGGCGTTATGATTCCCCTGTCGACTTTGCAAGGTCGAGGAGGATTGTACACAAGAGGTGACAACTTTGTCATGCATCAAGACGCGAAGGGTCTTTAAATAATGGATCTTTGAAATACGAGAAGCTCAAAATACTAAGACAAAGGAGATACTCGGCAGGGGACCTGACCTACATGAGGTGAGTGAGACAGAGGTACAGAGCTGAAGCGAGGCTAGCGAGGACATTCCTGCCTCCTTCCCCGCGAACTCGAGACTGATGGCGTGAACCAGGGGAAAGCGCGTTTCCGGGGCGATTGGCTTCTACCTGGGACCCGGACATGTTCTAATATTGATAAAACTCGTATATTGTATTTAGTGGAAGGATGGTAACGCTTCGGTTTTACAGATTGTAAGCTATAGAAATACATATGAGCTCTACACTTGTGGCGCCCCTGTAGGTGACTCTTCCTCTTTCGGTAATTTATCGATCCACTCATCTACCGATGGGTCAACTTGGTATCTGGGACTGAACATAGTATCCGCGTTGATTTTGCAGTACATTGCAAGTACCTGCTCCGTGCTTTGTAAGTAACCCTCAGCTACACCGACCTCAAACGCTTCCGGCAGAGTAATTTCTCTGACCGGTTCCAGCCTCTCTTTGTATGCCATGACGAGTTCATGTGTTAAGCCTATCCTCTCAAGAATAGAGTCTGGCATAGAATCGGGAACTGCCAATATGTCTCGGAACTCATTCCGCCATTCGAGATTCAAGATCTTATATGGTCCTTGCAGCTCTTCGAGTCTCTGGAGAGATGCGTTGACCAGGATGTTCGGATCCGGAGATGGATCTTCGGGTTTGTCATAGCTCGATCCCGTCCTTGAACTTTCTCCTCCGCCAGGTGACTCCAGCTGTGAAAGATCTCCGAAAAAATCTGCACCGTACAATGGCGCCTCGACAGCGGTTCCAGTTTCTGAATAGATGAAAGACAGCGGATTGCTCGGTCCATCCGGCAGGCTCACAAGAGAGGCCCGGTTGGTGGCAATGGAACCGAAAGCAGACAGTTGGGGGCCTGTCTCAGGGAACTGACTGGATACGGACAGCCGGTTGGGGGTGTGAGCGCTCATTCCTGGCCATGATCGGCGATTCGAGTGATGAGGATTGGCCACGATTTCGTTCGAATCACCGCCAGCACTACTGGTAGCAGCAAAAGATCCTTCATACCCGGGCTCAGGAACTTGAAGATAGTTGGGAGTCATGATCGTATCTGTCCTTTGTAAGGATCAATATAGAAGAGGATGACAGAAAGATCAATCGATTATACATGAACGATTTATACTGTCGGTATGTACTGCTCCATCGATACACCTACCTGTATAAATTCACGCAGATAGTCCAATGGCCTGCGCAAGAACTAGCTTGATTACTTTAGGCTTCTCCGACCGAAATCTATCCAAGCGAATAAAAGGAACACGATTCAGAGTCCACAAGTAGCGACTGACAACGTTATCGGGCACGTCAGTATCGCTTCGCGGAGCGTGGGAATCATGTCGAATGCTTGCCGCTTGTCAAGAAGCGAGATGTTCCTTCCTGCTGCTGCTGCTGCTGCTGCATCAGACCCAGACAAAAGAAGCTCAGCGTTACATGGCTCATGACAAGCACGATATGTGCGGAAGGTACCACTTCTATCACTGGTTCTGCCGGATCGGTGGCGAAACAATCGAAGGGCCCATCATTCTGCCTACGAAACTAAAGGGTTTTGAATGCATGAAAGGAAACCGCACTTCTTGCGGTTTTTAGGTGGGGATCGACTCCGAGCAGACTGTTCGTATGCAGAGAAGGTCCCAATCTGTTCAGGCTTCCCCCCCCCTCCCCACCATCAGCCATCGAGGAGAGTACCTAGAATGTCAAGATCTACGTGAAACCCGCTCTGACTACCAGGTCGAAGTCTAATACCAAACTTTTGGGCCGAAGTCAAGCGCCATGGGAGGGCTCGTATGCATCGTACATGGCCAAGACTTCATGGTAAGGATTCTCCTTTCATCCGTGTCGAGAAGCGCTAATATGGCTGTGGAAGGCTGGGATCGAGATACATGCTAGCAGAACGATTTACGCGCGAACATGGGATAATCAAATTAATACTATGGGCTTTGGGATCTACGAGCACTCTTGTACAACAATGCTCGGCTCTCAAGTCCAATCAGGCGACCCAATGTACTCATAGTTATCAACATCATAAAACGCCTCTCCTTCGGCTATAGTGGAACGATCACACAGTCTTTCCTTGTAGTAGACACCGAAACTGCTGCAGAAACGTTTGATTATCGTTTCCGCGCGATATAACCATCGACATGCTTCATTGGCCAGAATCTGACCTATGAGATCCAACGGGCTAAGTACATGGGCCAACTCCCACAAGGTCCTACCCTTGGCTGCTTCCTGTAGGTCTCGGAACCCTTTGAGTTGTCCCTTTGCTTTCGGCGAGCCACCTTCCAGCGTCCGCAGCATATACTGTGGCATCTCCTTTTCCTTTTTCAGAACAGATCGAAAGAGGTCCTTCGCCTCTTGGTGTAGTTGGATCTCAAGCTTGTCCAGCACGAAAACGTCAATGTTTCGCATGATTCTGTCGACCATATCGGATGGGTTCATGCCATGCATAGAGTCGCACCATTCCAGATGCTCTTTCAGCTTCCTCAATCGTCGGTGCTTCTGATCTTCGTCTTCCTCAATCTCGAAAGCATTTGAATAGTCAATATCGAAATACGTAATAGAAGCCTTGGTGAGTCGTTGTATGATCCCGTCTATGGTTTCTTGAGAAACCTCGCTGGCGATAGTCTGACTAGGATTGGAGGTATCGTACGTTTCCTGAAAGTTCTCAGTGTCGACATTGGCATGGGCTCAAGTGGAATTACCAGACGATGAAAAAGACCAACCCTATCGTCCGACCTGTCCCCGAAGTTTCTGTTTCGCCTTGCCTCGACGCTGCTGAATATTTGCGATGACATCATTCGGATGAAGAGCGCTCGTAAGATACACGTTGGAAAGACTGTAATCGGGAAGGCAAAGATCGACAGTCGAGACCTTCAGTGCTACCTTGTACTTGTAACATCCTATGCTTCTCCCATATCTCACTTCGTCAACGTCAAAGGAGCCCTCTCGTGACAAATCGTGTCCGGAGATAGCGTACAAGAACCACAAAGGAGTGTGCACGGTGAAACGCCAACGATACGGGGCATTCTCATAGACGCGCCAAGTAGAAGCGCACGTTGATGACGCGGCCAAGCGCGATGAGCACGGAGCAGCAACCTCACAGTCGTCATCCCACATTCCGACAACAAAACATTCGACTTCGTGGTGTCAAGCTCGTTCGTGTACCATCTAGCAAACCTCATACGGATTCTATACACTTACACAAATACAATCTCACGAACCATGTCCACCGAAGCTACCACCGGAGACAAGCGAAAGGCCGAGGAGCAGACCGTCACTGCCACCGACGATGACGCCAAAAAGTCGGTCCAGCTCGTTTCGTCCGACGATGCGACTCTATCCCCCTGACGCATCTCACCTTCGCAGGCAAAAGCTCGGTGACGAGGCCTTGACCAAGGAGTCTGAGGTCGACACTACCGTCAGCGAGTCTAACATCATCCCCGAGGGTACCGAGAGGAACGCCAAGCCCGCCGCTGGGGAGCTCGCCGAGCCTGAAGACGAGGATGAGGAGAAGGCTGACAAGAAGGAGGCTGATGCTGATGTTGGTGCCGATGAGGAAGAAGACGAGGAGGAGGATGTCGAAGAGGAGGAAGAGGGCCGACGACCTCGAAGGCGAGCTGCTCAGAAGGCTGAGGGGTACTATGGTGTAAGCTCTCCACGTTCGATCCCAGCTCTTTCTAAGCCGCTTCACTCATTTCTTCCCACTCTGATCACATGATTCACAGACCGATGCTGCTAAGGCTGCTCTCGGACGTGAGTCCATCAGCCATCATCCTTTTCAACTTAAACGAGTTCTTAACTGACTTCTCCATCTATACCGTCGATCCTTAGCCAACGACAACGAAGAGGAAGACGAGGACGACGAGGAAGTCCAGCCTGGTGATCTGACCGGGATCACCGAGGGTGATGATGACGAGGACGAGGATGAGGATGAGGAAGAGGCTGAAGAGAAGTAAGAAGTTGGCTCATACATACATGATAGTCCGTATGGAAGAGAAAAAGTAAGCCTTTGGGTGCTTTGCCGATCTGATCTGAGCGAGATTGGGTGGTTTGCTGATCGTGCGATCTTGTTTTGTAGACGTCATGCACGGGCTAGACAGAGAGAAATGAGGGAAAACGGGATATGGAGAACTGAGAACGGTCGATCATACCTCTTGATATACCTGGCATACAGATATCCTCGATATCCTGGTTGTAGAGATAATCGCCCATGATCGAAAAAGCAACAAAGAATCAAATCAAATATACACAAAAGAATCTCGCATGCGGACCGAAACCCTCGAGCGGAAGGCCTCATGATACAAGTCCCAGATCACGAGGGACAGACGTCTCTCTAGCTGCGTGCTACGTGTCTACCAATATCCACTTCGTTGTTGACCGTGCTGCGCCGTCAGATCTTCGGGAGCGGCTTTAAATGCGCCCATGAAGACTGGTACTAGCCAGGTCAGCGTGAATAGAGGGGTCATGATCAGGTAGCTGACGTATAGCCGAAAGCGCGATTGCCAGGAAGTCAGCTCGTATAATCAATCAACGAAGAGGTTATGAGGGTAAGAGGTTGAACTCACGCGACTCCGAGGGGTTGAGCGCCGACCCCCGGTGTACTCGCCGTCCAGATGGCTGTCATCAACCATAAAAAGAAGAACAAGATCGCCACTACCAAGTGGACCACCAAGACTCCCTTCTTACTCTGCCCGTACATCCCCGCTCCTTGTTGTTGTCCGTATGAAGACATCGATTGGTTTTGGGTGTGGTACCCGGACCGACGTAAGCCGGACCAAGCGTCTACGGCCAAAAAGAGACACCCGAGGAAGATTCCGATCCAGACGGAGGATAGTTTGAGGATGACGGGAACGTTGGAGAAGCCGCCTTGGATGTCGGTCTTGGCTAGGCTTTCGATGCATCTGCAAGGAGGGGTCAAAACCAGACCGTACGCGTGTTACAGCAAGACGATCATATTATAAGCTTGGTCAAAACGTGTTTGTATAAGGTCTTCTCAATCGTAGAAGTGCAGACTCACGGCAAACTCTGTACTCCTCCACTTCCGTTCCCGATCTGACAACTCCCTACAGCGAACTCTCCTCCATTCCCTCCATTATTTCCACCTTGGGGCTTATAAGTGAAAAGCGTCATCCCCGGTACAGAAGGGTCCAGCATAGGAACTACTACGACTACCTCGATGATCAGTAACAGGGAGATGGAGGTTACGACGAGCGCGATCTTCCACCCTTTCGGAGGAGAGAGACGAGGGTGGCCGGAGGTTGAGGAGGAGAAGTAGTTGGGACGGGTGGAGCCGTAGGCTGATGTTGGGTTGCGCCGGCTGAACATGAGAGTGGGGTGGTTGTGGTTATGGCCCTGAGCGAGGGCGTAATGAAGTTTGTTCGTTATTTGTTGAGGACAGTTCGGAGGCTAGGTAAAGTAGGAATGGGTCGAAAGAGCTCTCTAGCTAGTGATCTCGAGGGCATTCTATTTCCCAACATGACGTTCTTCCTATGCAGGGCGACATCGTATCAATATGGCTTATATCAGGATGGCCAAGATCAAAACCAAGTTTGAGACGTGGATCGTGTTTCTGCTCCTTCCAAGTCAAAGGATCGCCTTAAGGGGGCTAAGTCGGCGAGGCTCCGTCTGAAACACACGCGTAGGTTGGAGGTACGGAAGAAGGTATTCGGATCGATGGGAAGTACGTATCGATGGATAGGGTAACAGACAGGCGGCAACGTAAGAGGCTCTCTCGATCTCTCAGCTATGGGCCCCTCGTACTGTAAATCAGCAACACGGTTCGACGTGCTTGAAGAAGTAAGAAGTCCGCTTGATGGTTTCACTTGCCCATGCCGTAAGCGAACTCGCCCTCCGGCCCTCGGTCTCGGCCGAACCTCAAGTACCGGAAGTAAATAGCGTTCCTGTAGCCGGGAGTCGGAAGCAATTTATCCTCGTTACGTCATCCCCATCGATGGCGACATCGCGGCGAGTTTCCGAATTTCCAGGTGTTTTTGGAATCTCAGAGAGCGAGTTGGGTCAGCAAAGGTGGACGATGGCGAACAACCGGGTACATACTACATCTACATCGACATCTACCTCGAGACCTGACCGTATCTTGCAGCCATTCTATAATCCCTGCAAGTCTTGGAAACACTCTGCGTCGACCATGTTCAAACAAGCTCTTCGACCGCTCGTACGCGGCTACGCGACCGCCGCCGCTCAGCTCAACAAGGAGGTCAATGGGTTTGTCGGTGCCGTCGGGTGAGTTTCGCTGTAATCGATGTCTGAATTGCCTTATACGAGTAAAGGTGCTGAAGAGGTCGTCGTTATCGTCTTGCCATGTTTCAGAAATACGCCTCTGGTGAGCTAAAGACTTCATACGTTTCCCTAAGCCGTCGCCTCGAGCTAAACCTCGCCTCTCTCTTCCTCTATCTTTTATGACAACTCCGCATCAGATCCGGCTCAACCGTCTCTCCGAAGAGACCGGCTGCAATATCCTCGCCAAAGCCGAATTCATGTCTCCAGGCGGGTCCATCAAAGACCGTGCCGCCCTCTGGCTGGTAAAGAACGCTGAAGCCCAAGGCCTGCTCCAACCGGGTGGGACCGTCGTCGAAGGGACCGCGGGGAACACGGGGATCGGCCTTGCACACGTCTGTAGGAGTAAAGGGTATAAATGCGTCATCTACATGCCGGATACGCAGAGTCAGGAGAAGATCGACCTCTTGAGGATGTTGGGAGCGGACGTGAGGCCGGTCCCCGCGGTAGCGTTCGATAACCCGCAAAACTATAACCATCAGGCCAAACGATATGCGGATAGTTTGGAGAATGCCGTATGGACGAACCAGTTTGATAATATCGCCAATCGACAGGCGCATATCGAGACGACCGGACCGGAGATCTGGGCTCAGACGGGAGGGAAGATTGACGCGTTCACCTGTGCGACGGGGACGGGAGGGACGTTGGCGGGCACGGTCAGGTTCTTGAAGGAGAAGAGTGAGGGGAGGGTACAGGGGTTCTTGGCTGATCCGCCGGGGAGCGTGCTTTACAAGTTGGTCGAGAATGGAAAGGCCGAGCGGGAAGGAACTGGGTCGATCACCGAGGGTGAGTTTGCGTGCGGGTTCGAGCGATGCAATGCAGATGGCATTCATGCTACCGGAAACATCTCATACTGACCTACATCCACTTTCGTCGACTGTTTCACCGACCCACGACCCCCGCAGGTATCGGCCAGGGCCGACTCACCGCCAACCTCGCCCCCGACCTCTCGCTCCTCTCCGGGGCCGTCCACGTCCCAGATTCCGAATCGATCAAGATGGTCTACCGATTACTAGACGAAGAGGGTCTTTACGTCGGCGCTTCGTCCGCTCTGAACGTCGTCGCTGCTACGATGGTTGCGAAGAAGTTGGGGAGGGACAAGACGGTGGTGACGATGCTCTGTGATGGGGCTTATCGGTACGTCCCGCCTTGGGTTTAGCGATATTGGGTTCGGGATACGAAAACGAGATGCTGAATTTTTTAACTTCGATCTTACGCCGGCGCTGTGATAGATACCAAACCCGTCTCTTCTCGCGAGTATGGCTTCAATCGAAAAAGCTGGATACGGCCATCCCGGAGCATTTGCAGAAATACGTCGTCTTGCCTTGATTCGATTCGATGTACGAATATCTCGCTTTGCATACATACATGACCCATACCATCTATCATCTTCAACTATTCACTCGGCGGGCTAGCCGATATTTGGCGGGGCCTTGTTGATCGTGTTGCGCAGAACGATCAGGCAGAATAATACGCGAACAGGTAATAATTGATTGTGAATCGTGAATCGACGTTTGATGCGCTGATCGTCGGTCTGGCTATCATCCAGCGATCAGGCCCGTTGTCAATGTCAAAGATAGAGGAACCTTGCCACAGCCATACGATCCCGAGTCGACGATGTTCAAGTTTGTAACTGCCTGCGGCTGTATCGTATCGTTACCGGACCGATGGATGATACGATGGAGATGATCGATGATGATATCGACGGGGAAGGTGATGGGACACAAGAGAAGTCCCCCCGTCGGCTTGGCTATCGGGAACAGAATCCGCTTCCCCGGTTCGAAATCTCGACATCAGAGTATGTCTTCACCTTCCATCCAGGATACATGCGAGTTTGTGATCTATTTTCGCTACAAGACATCACAGGCACACAGCTTGTACGATGGTGATGAGCAAGGGGAGGTACCTGGCAAGCCTGAGGTGCTGTGTTTGCTATGGTCGTTGCTTTGTGTATTCCCCGTAGGCCGTAGGAGATGTCAGCTCTTTGATCGGCTCCGGGCCGCGCGCTACCACCGCGAACGACGATCCGCTGGTCACCGCCGGACGACAAACCTTCGAAACGAGGAGCAACCCCGGGAGTTGGAAAGGATCGCAATCCCGATGGGATAAGGCGGAGATCGGGGTAGGACTACTGGTATGCTGTAGAGTATATAGGGCTGCGGGGTATGCGGGAAGGTGGTTGAGGATGATCTTTACAACGATCGTCGATCTCTCAAACCATCTTCTTCTTGCCTCGCTCTCCCTCCCCATCCCGCGCGTCGACAACCCACTGTAAACCCTCTCTCAGCTCTCATTTTGCAAACAACCTTTGAGCCTCGTACCAAGAAACTATGGCCAACGGAAACGGAGTGTAAGCGAGAACCTCATCTTCACCTGCTATAATCGCAAAGCTGATCCGAGTCCACGTTCGTCGATTCTTATAGTCTCGGATGGACGCCCAAGCTCTGGGCCGCCGTCGTCGGCTTGGTCGCTTATGGGATTGTCGCCTGTTTCCTCTCCTTCCGTGAGTTTCAGATTCATTTTCGGCGCGATTCGCATAGAAAACGCACTTTGCAATGCAATGCGATGCAGAACCTCTCGCTTACGACTTTCTCTTCCCTTCTCGTATTCAAATCTTGTTCTTCTCACTGGCAGGATGGTGGAAGAGCGTGAAACCGCGTCGATGGACCCTCGTTCTCGTCATCGGCGCGTGGACGATGACCCTCGGGTTCTTGATCAGGATCATCTGGGGAATCGGGGATAACGTGGATAGCATTCCGGTCTATGCGATTCAGAATTTGGTGAGCATCGCATCACTCCACACGATGATGCCGTCCCCGATTCGAACTCTTCTCATTATCGTCTTACCAAACTGAAATTTCCGCCTTGCAGTTCCTCCTCTTATCACCCTGCGCCTACCTCGCGTTCAGCTACATGGTGCTCCCCCGCCTAGCGACCTACCTAGACGCCGAGGATTGCTTGTTCTTACGGTCCAGGTGGATCGTGAGGATCTTTGTCACTGCGGACGTGGTCACCTTTTTGACCCAAGCGAGTGGGGGTGGGATGGCGGCTAGTGGTGGGGATATGGCAAAGACGGGGGACAAGGTCAGTCGGCTGTCTAGATCGAGTTGAGGCCGCTGAGGAATTCGGAATGTTTGGGTGGGAAGATTTGGATCGGGTTGGGAGACTGATCTGATCTGGGTTATTCGGTCGTCTGGCATTACAGTTGACTCTCGGAGGGTTGATCCTCCAGGTCATCTCCTTTGGTCTTTTCACCTTCCTGACCGTCTGGTTTGGGTACCGATCGTGAGTCCCGACTTCGTCCCCCGGACTCGATCCCGTCTTTAGCTTTGGAAGCTAATGAACGTCGCTCATCGTTCGCCTTACTTGCCGTAGTCGCTCGCGTCACATGGTCTGGACGTCCCGGAACCCCTCGGCCGGGCAACGATTCTTCAACCGCTGGACCACCCTCTATTACGTCCTCCTCCTCACCTGCGTCGCCTACCTCACTCGGTGCATCTTCCGAGTAGCCGAGTTCGTTAACGGATACGACAGCTACCTGGCCACCCACGAGGGTTACTTTTACCTGTTGGATGCTCTGCCGCTGGTCATCGCCATCTCCTTGTTCTTCTTCGTCTGGCCTCCCAGCATCTTTGCACACGATGCCAACGCTCTCGATGGAGGATCGCGTGAGTACGGGACTGCGACTGCGACCGGGTCGCCTTCTTACGATCCGGAGAACAAGGGGACCGACGTTGAAATGCGACACGTTTGATCGATGGCGCCCTCACCGAACAGATGGAGGATATTCGAGCAAGTTGTTACCCGCCCGGGCGACGGGATATATACCCATGTACCCTCCTCAACCCCAAGCTCGAGCGCAGGGTTACAACGAGCCCCAGTATACTTGTGGTCGTTAGGCATGATGAAGGACGTATGACATTCGGTGTTAAAAGTAGACAAGCGATAGTAGATAGACTGGACGGAAGATGTAGTTTGGCAATAGATCTGAGTTCGATGGTACGATACGATATGATACGATATGATACCCTGTCCTTCCCTGCTCGACGATCGTTGCCCCTGAGCAAACGCCGAGATGATGTCGCGCTTGGCTCATCTACTGGGTAGCCAGAGCCTCCCTCATGGCCTCGTAAGCCGGCTTGGGGAGAAAGTTGGCATCGTAAGGCGTAGCGGCACCCCAACCGGGAGTCAGACTGGGGATCCAGGAGATGGGGTCGTAGAATTGCCCTAGGATGAATCACAACGATGATAAGACCGCACTGTACGCGCGCTTTGAGCAGGGGCTGGGTGCTTACAAATGGTGATTCCGGGGCAGAGCCTGTTATCAAGACAGGTCTTGACGGCAGTACGATAGTCGTTGGCCCTGTTAACCGAAGGATGCGGTCATCAGCCTTGGTGAGCATCAACGAGTTTGTTGAGTGTTATTGCATCTTACTGGACGGCGAGATCGGCCGAACTAGCTTGATCGTTCCCGGTAACCCGGACCCTGACGTCAAGCTCGGTAAGAGGGACTTCAAGACCGAGGTCGGTAAACTGTTGCATGCTCGCAGCAATGTCTTGAGGCATGCTCCCGGCGATGAAGTGGGACTCGAAGCCTGTGAGAGTGAATAAACGTGGTTTCGATCAGATTGAAGTACAGGAAGGTTACCCTTTTTGAAGCTTACCGATACAGTGCAACGGGGCACCCCTTTCCAAGAGTTTCTTGGCGATGGCGAGCATCCCCTTGCTTTTAGCGTTGACCCCTTCGATGTTGTACTAGTACCCGTTAGAGGTCAATGGGTACTCTCCCCGGTTTTCTTATCAACCAATTTACTACGTAACTTACGTCGTTGATACAAAGCTTGATGGACGGGGCCGCCTCGTGGATGATGTTGAGCTGCGATACGGGCGTGACGGGGGATCAACAAGGTGGAAAGCGGCTCTGTAGTATTCGCTGCGCTTACGGCGATCTCGAGGTAGTCTTCCCCGAGGACCCGATGCCAGACGCTGTCCCTCAAGGTACCATCCTCGTTAAGAGCTGAGAACAAGATTGTGCTGTCAAATGAAACGATGGTAGGCTAGGGTAGGAATGGGCGACCACGACTCACGTTCATTGATGGCATCGAGGTAAGTCCAATCGTTCTTGTAACGAACCGCGACATTCATAGCGTGGTCCCTCAAGGCGGCCTTGAGCTGTTCGGGATCGGTCATCTGGTTGATGTAGGCCGGAGTCTATGGTATGGCGGGTACACGTCAATGATGGGATCGCTTGGAACATGATGGGTACAGGCAGCGTACCTGAGCGTGCCAGACAAAGGTGTGGCCCCTGACAAAGACCTTCTCCGGCGATTGCCTGGCTTCAGCCACGATCTACATCAGAAACATCGTATAGGATAAGCTACGTCATCACAGCGATGACAAAGGGGCTCGCCGACTCACCGCATCCATCCCCGCCCAGTTGTACTGATCGGGAGTTGGGTGGATGGCATCCCATTTGCCTTCGTTCTCCGCAGTAAGAGCGCCCTTGAACTCTCGGCGGAGGATGTCGAGGTAGGCTCCGCCTGGGTTGTTCCCGAGCAAGTTGAAACTGTTGGTAGCGGTCCCAATGTACTTGCCGTGTTGCTTGGCCAGGGCGTTTAGACCGGCGGGTTGCTGCTGTTGTTGTTGACGTTTGGTAGGGGAAGCGACGACCAGCGTAGTGAGAAGGGGAATGAGAATGGAAGTGGCAAGCATGGTTGAAGTTTCGTTTGTGTAAGCACCTGGCTTTGTTGCATAAGGTCGAAAAAGGTAACGAAATAGTAACAAGTCATCAATTATGCGAAAGGGAGGCCAAAACTGGCTCGCTATATATATACGTTTCTGACCTGCTTCCCAGAGTGTCGGTACTGTTCGAGCCTCCTTTGGTATTCATTAGGGTCTGCACGATGACAGTATCTATCGATCGCAAACGCAGTTTAGATGTGGTGTTGTCGACAACTACTATAGCCTGAAACGACGCACCTATGTTCGGCGTTGAGAGTCGGTCAATTCTGAAGGCATCTCCGTCGCGCTATACTACCTCAGGGCGACAAACCTGTGGAGCCACGGATAGAATTCCTTCATCGCACGCAAAGGATGTCTCGGCCTGTGGATGAAACGCGGCTATTTATGGATCTTACCCCTTAATCGCTGCGTGAAACGGGGTGCAAGCCTTCTATTTGAAACGCCGACGATGAAACGCGTGTCACGTTTGTCTGTCGCGCGATGACGGATCGTGCAAGCGTGCATCGATCATGTGCCTTTCGGCGTTCGTGGGCATGCTTGGTCGGTGCGAAGTTTGATGTTCATGCGTTTAGTGATCAGTGACTTCCTGTATCGTCGGCTCGTCGGGTTCGACGCAAGCTGCCTCTTGCTCTTGTACATTATTATTCATCCAACGACGGGTAAGCTGGGCGTCAATGCCGCCAACCTTACCCGCTGGTTCAGCTTACAACTGCAACACGTTCGCTCGAACTGGAACTTCACATCAGTTCGCCGGTCTCTCCCTTGCGAAGTCTCCGGTAAACCATTCCCTCCCTCTGCGTGCCCACGGCCGATCAGATCCGGACGACCGAACAACGCCTGGGACTTTCCTGTCCACAACTGGAATTCTGCCTCAGCAACCCAGCTATATTCAGTAGAAACAGAGCTGCCTCACGGCTGCCGAGTGAACTTTAAATGTGACTCAGTTGCGTTCGAATATGGAACAGTCAAGTTACGCAAAGGCTTGCTTGCCTCGGCGGCCAGTACGTACAGATGAAACGGAGGCATTCAATCCCTACATCCGGAAGGGTCCAACCCTCGGCATCAAAAGTAGTTCACATTCGTCACTCGGAGGACCTATTCCTTTCGGCCGAGGGACCGGTAGTAGCAAGGCTAGCAAGGCTATATAGAGTAAGCTTACCGACAAGAGCCATCGAGCGTGGCCATTTACAGTAGTGACGCTTTGACAACCTGATAGGATACATTAGAACAGCGATGTTGAGCCTCAGTTGTCTTCGCGTCTTGCTGCTCGGTCTTGCGGTCACCACCTCGGAGGCTATTCCGGCTGGTCGAAGGAATACCGATTCCAATTCGACCGTCGACCTGGGATATGCGGTATACCAAGGATCTGTCAACTCAAAGACCAACGTCCAGTCGTTCAAGGGGATCCGATATGCCGCTCCTCCTCTTGGTAAGTCTAACAGAAATCATCTGTACCCCATATCCGTCTGACGTAGACCTCAACGCACAACTCGCTCAGGTGAACTTAGGTTCCGAGCGCCTGAACAACCTCTCGCTGCTCAAGGTATTCAAGATGCAACAACCTTCGGGTCTCAATGTTTCCAACAAGGCGTAGGATCTCGATATGCCAACCAGACGGCCGCCTTGACAGCCGCCCGGGCTGGGTTGAACGGATCGTCGGAGGACTGCCTGTTCTTGAACGTCTATGCACCGAATGGAGGGAATGGGCAGGGGTTGCCGGTGATGGTCTGGATTCACGGAGGAGGGTACGTCTGCATAAGATCAAGCATGATTGTCTCTTTCGCTGTGTTCAGAATTCCATTCAATCTACAGTTACACCTTGGGCGCAAGCAACACTTTCGATCGTAAATCGCATGGGTTCGAGTCTCACGTTGTCCCCTTCAACTGACAGGTTCTGGATGTTATTGCTTCAGCTGCCTACTTTTACACTCGACCGCAGTCGGACTACGTCATTGTCACTATCAACTACAGGTTGGGCGTGTTCGGTTTCCTTGCCGGACAAGAAGTCAAGGATGGAGGCGCTCTGAACGCCGGTATTCGTAAGTTTCGGCCATTCCATGCGGCGGTGATACTGTCCTGTCGAACTTGGCATGCTGACCGAGTCGGAGCCTGCTTTGGATCACAGTTGATCAACAAGCCGCATTGCAGTGGGTACAGGCACATATCGACAAGGCGAGTAGCGTGACAATCGTTCTCCACAGCTGCATCTTTCCGCTGACAGGCGAGTTCTATAGTTCGGTGGCAACCCAGAAGACGTTACGCTGTATGGAGAATCTGCCGGTGCGGGTAGCATTCTCCAGCATGTGAGTCGAAAAGACGAAGACGGGCACTCGAGAGATCTAGCTGACCACCGAGCCGAACAGATCGTCGCGAATGGAGGCAACACCCAACCTCCCCTTTTCGTCGGCGCGATCGCGTCCAGCCCGTTCGAACCTCCTCAATTCTACTACAACGACACGGTCCCTCAGGGTGTTTACCAGTCCTTGGTCGACTCGGTCAGCTGCACCAACTCGAATGATACCCTCGAATGTCTGAGAGAACAGGATGCGGCGAATCTGGCGACGGAGGGCTTGCTCATCATCAACCAACAAGAGCCTGGGTGAGCTTTTGAGACAGCCGGCAGCATCGAGCTCGTAGCAAGCGTTATTGACGTGGGCTTTTTGCCGTGCTATAGCGATTTCCTAACGGTTCCCGTCATTGATGGAGAGTGTGAGTCTCGTTTCGGGAACTGTACAGATCGTCAATCGAGCTGACTCAGCATGATTTCCAAAGTCATCACTGATCGCCCTCTTGAAATCCTGAGGAGCGGCCAGTTCAACGGGAAATACCTCTGGTCGCACCGTAACTTTAACGAGGTGAGTCCGCAATCGATGGAAATCTCTAGGAAACTCGGACCGAATCCTTAAGCTCATAAGCGATCTCCATCGGAAGGGTATCGTCTACGGAGGAAGCAGCTTTGTCCCCACCAATATCGGCTCGAACGTGACTCTGCAGGAGCAATACCTGAACCGCTCGAAGCCCGAGTTATCGGCCTATCAGCAGGCTCAGTTGATCGATGTCTACGACGCGCAGACGTTCGGGTCGGTCCAAGTCGCTACCGAAAAGCTGTGAGTCTCGTAGTAGATCAGGACCCATCCAGCTTAGATGCGATTTCGATTCACACGCTGAATGATGTTGCCACTTCTTTTTATCCACCGGACAATAGATACAGCGATGGTACTTTCGGCTGTCAATCCGTTTGGATGGCTCGCGCATTCCAGAACCAGTCCTACATCGTGAGCGCATCAAGATCAGTGTTGTCCTTCATTCACCATGATTCACTCAAAGCTCCTGTCTCGTCACTTGCCTTTCCGCTTTATAGAGCTACTTGGTCATTCCCGGGTTCGGCGTCCACGGTGGAGAGTAAGTCAGAGAGCATGTGGACAGTTTTATACCCTGATCAAGCTTGAGAATAGCTGACCGCGATCCGTTCAATTTAGTCTTGCATTCTCCTGGAACGGTAAGCCCCGATCTCACCCTCTTTACCTTATCTTCAGTTCGCAATGTCCTTTTTCCCGTCCTATAGGTGACATACGACAATGATCTAATTCGATACCCATACCATACCGTATCTTACAACAGCGCCTCAACTCTTGAACATGTCCGCGGCTTATGCCGGAGAGACCCAGGCTTATACGGATAACATCAACTCGTTCGTCGTCAACCGTAAGCCTCTACCCTCTCCTTTGTCCGGTCTCCATCGTTTTGGGAACCATCAGATAACCGTCAGGCCCATTCATCGTTGCTGATTCGTGTTCTTGTTGGTGAATTGATTTATGATGGGCAACGTTTGATGTAGATAAACCGCTGAACAGCGACTGGATTGCATTCGACGATGCCAACCCGACGAACTTTGTCTGGAACGTCACCCAGGGAACACTGGCACCTGATAACGAAGTCAGGCCGCTCGATCAAGGGTTCTTGGGTCGTTGCCAGTGAGTCCCAGCGGGAAGGCATAGTGCTTTTAGCAGTCCCGATTGTCAAGGGATCTGAGCTGATGATTGGTTTGGGTGGATGTTTGATCGCGTTTGCATTCGAATAACAAGGTTGTGGTCGGACCTCGCTCCTACGTTGCCCTTGTAAAGCAGCGATTGCCAGTCGAAAGATTCCGGTCGACGTCCCGGCAAGAGTGGAACGGGAACGTAGTTGATCGCGAGAGCGAGGGGAAAAAGTCGCAGTCCCGGATGAAACAACCAAAAAAATATATAATCGGTATCGTGAACTGTGTGGAGGTCATAAGTTACAACAAGACGGTCATAATTACACCTCGCCTATAGCTATAGTATGCCCAGGAAAGATGTGGAAAAAAGTCTCCTATTCCGTTTGTAGGACGTTATAAACTTGATGTCGTTTCCGGTAAAATTATGCGAAATGATGATTCGATGTTCGCGAAACCTGAGCACATGGGAAGGGTTTGGAAGACGTCGAATAGCGATCTGTCAGATGTCGATCTGTCTTTCCCACCACGTTACATAGCAACTTCTAGGGAGCACGTTCGTGATGCACAAAGGAGGCTCTTCAATCCACGGGCTCAAGATGACAGTTCGAAGGTGACAACAGAGTTTGCCGACCCAATTGCGCAGAGGATCTAGCCTTCGTGTTGTCGATCAACCTCGTCAAAGGAACCTGTTGCTGCCCTTTCGGTGAGTGTTTGATGACGATGAAACCCCGAAGTCCCGTTGAAACGCCTTTGTTCCGTGTGATTGATTATGCCTGTGGGAACGATTGGTCACGTGAATCAGTCAGCGTCGATGACATGTCGACCGAGGTCGGTTGTTGTCGTCAGATCCCCAACCATCACGCCATCACCCATCGGCAGCTAGGAGATCTCGGTGTAGGCAGGCCAGATGTATATATAGGGGAGGTAGGATAGAGGAGAGTAGAGTCGGTCAAAGGAACTCACATCGTCTAAACTTACAACCCACTGTACCACTGTATCCATCACTATCGAAGTCGAGAAACGAACACTTTTACGAATCCCCACCACATCACTTCAACAATCATGTCCGCCGTCTCTACCTCTACCACCACCGACGCTTTCCTCGACGCCGTCAAGGCCAGGCGAAGTCTCTACCAGCTCTCCAAGGGAGGCTCTGTCCCCGATTCTAGGGTCGAGCAGATCGTCAAGGAGGCCATCTTGCACACCCCTACTTCGTTGTGAGCATCCACAAACCTCCACGCGTGATCCGTCATCAATCCCGACGATCAGGTCCGTGTGATTCGTCCCATCAATCGCTGACTCGCCCACCACATCACCCCTTTCGCTCATCCTCGTAGCAACTACCAGATCGGCCGAGCCGTCGTTCTCTTCGGCGCCGAACACGACAAGCACTGGGACATCGTCCGTGACGTCCTCAAGGCCGTCATCGGGGAAGAAGCTTACGAAAAGGGAAGCGCGGGGAGGATCGCCGGGTTCAAGGCTGCCAAGGGGACCGTCTTGATCTTTGATGATGAGCCTACGGTGAGGAAGCAGGAGGCGGATTTCCCTCCTTATTCCGAGCACTTTGCTCCGTGGGTGAGTTTCGAGTTGAGGTTGGGGGTTGGGGTCTGAGATGGCAAGTCGTTGAGAGGCGTAGGTTGGCTGACTGTGATCGCACTTTGGGCGAACTTGTTCTTTATTAGGCCTCGCAATCTCACGGAATCTTGGCCCATATCATCTGGACCGCCCTCGAGCTCGAAGGTCTCGGTGCCAACTTGCAGGTGAGCCCTTCCTTCCCTTCTTCCTTCCTCCCTTCCTTTCCCATCCTCAACGCGTTTACCGATATCACGCTGCGGGTCATCATCTCACCTTACTGACCTCTCGTCTCGTCTTCCTTTTTTGTAGCACTACGGCAACCTCGTCTTCAAGCAAGTCCAGGATACCTTCAACGTCCCCGAGACCTGGAAACTCGGGAGCCAGCTCGTCTTCGGACACCCTGAAGGCCCCGCGGGGGAGAAGCAGTTCAAGCCTATCGAGGAGAGGTTCAGGTCGTTGGGTTCTTCTTCCCAGTAGATCGAATGAGCATAGATCGATAGATCGAGCTACTACGCTACGTCTGGGAGTAGCATATGGTATTACTAGACATGGTAGCACCCGGCTAGCTGGTAGCTTAGTGGCACTCGCATGGTATTGAGTTTGGTTATACGAGGTTGTATAAGAACTTTCGATGGACGCGAGACAGATCCGATCCATCCAACATTTAACACTATACTGCGGTCTTGGGACTTTCGAGCCGGCATGCTTCGCACGAGCAGGGAGAGATAGAAGCTAGAAGCTTGAAGAGATCCTTCGTCCGATCTAAACAGGTCGAGAGTGAGAGGGGTTGCCGAACAACCTGTGCTTACGTAAGCCAATAGCGATTGCCGGTATGGTATGTGGCTGGGTCGGACTTGACCGATATAAGCGGTCGAACAGCAAACAACTACTAGGCAGAGCGGTTCATCTATCGAATCGATCATCCCATCGTCCGTGTCATTCTAATGGGACAACTTGCCTAGCTGCGACTTGTACGATCTCGTACCACAAGCTTATTTACGTTGGGATAGGATGAAGCAGCCCCTCGTCAACCCGACTTACCAACCCGTCCCGCACCCGGAGACTCGATTCGCTTCGTTCCGGTAAGACTCCTGACACCGTCTCCCTCTGATTCTTGATCGTCGATCGAGTTACATGACTTGTCATGGCTTATCTTTGTGTGCTATGGCCTGTGGTTATAGCGAATTCTACCCGTTTTACCTGGGAGAACACGCCAACAGGATCAACCGCCTCATGCACCTCCTAGGAACCTCCGCAGCGGTCCTCTCCACCTCCCGTGTGCTTCTCTCCCTCGTCCCTTACCTGCTCGCTCGGCTGGACCTCCAGTCAAGTAAAGAAATCAAAGCTCTGCAGTTGACGCTCGGAGAAGCGGGGAAGGTGATTCTGAGGGGGATCGGGATCGGGTACGCATGTGCCTGGGTAGGACATTTCTTCGTAGAGAAGAACAGGCCTGCGACGTTCAAGGTTAGTCCCCGTATTTCTAACTTTAAGAATGGCCTTCGTTTGACGTGAAAAACATCTGAGCGTCTAATCTGATACCCTGGACGGGTCGTCCTCGTTTTTTCTCTTCTTCTTCTTTTTCTGGTGTTTGCACACGGATAGTACCCGCTCATGTCGTTCATGGGCGACCTGAGGATGTTGTTCGAGGTCGTCACCCTGCGCCGGTCCATCTAAACCATCGGAAGACTCTTCTTTTTCAACTGTAATGTACCTTGTTTTGTAATGTATTTTTTCCTTTCTTGGTCCGTGCGGTATCGTGTGTCATATACGAAATTCAATACGCTCGGGCTATGCCCAGACATTACGCTATCGACCTGACGAGGTCAATCCTGGTGCGATACGGGTTTGATTTGAGGACTTGGCAAACGAGATGTTAAAGCTCGTCCTGGTGCGACTGACCGTCCAGATCAATACGTTGATACGTTCCCATGTGTAATTAGTCATTCTGCGTGGCCGGCGTTGCGGTTGTCGATATCGTATGTGGTACTGCCCCCTTAGCTTGCTCAGGAATCAGTACGGAAGAGCGACCGTGGCCATGACCATGACCAGGATGTTTCCGGCTGACATATACCTCGAAGAGTAGCAGCGGTTGCACGTAGCCTATCAACGAGAATGCTATCACTTCTGCACCGAAGCTGCCAGACTTTCTCTCAGGATTAAGTGGCTCATATCATTAATAATCCCTTCAGTTCGATTAATTCGCGATGCGGTATTACAATCCCTTTCCTTTTCGCTCGACGGCGGTTTTGACTCTTTGGTCTTTGCTTTCTAAATGTTACTCCTCCCCCGCGCCTAAACCTATCGCTGCCTATCGCTGCACTGCGATCTACCTCACTTCTACCTCTTGGTAGCGAACCCGACCCTGTTCTGACCCTGGTCGAAAACGGCGTAGACGGCCTGCAGGAAAGCGTCCCCGGTCAACCAGGTGTTACCCATACCCAACCCGCCTGATCCGACAAGGGATCCGACGCAGTATTGGGTACCACCGGAGGAACCGACGTAGCCTTGTTGAGTGAAGATGGAGTAGGGGATGGAGAATGCTCGGCCTCCGTAGGCTGTTTGACGATGGAAGGGAAAAGAAAGGTTGGCGGGTCAGATATCGTTCGAGGAGAGGTTTGAGAGTCGAGGTTCGACACGAGGGATGGCACGAAGACTCACTCAAGCTGATAGCAGTGTTTCCATTGCAAGGAATAGCATAGTACCCATCGTACCCCGAGTATCCGAAAGAGCTCAACGGCTTGGCAGATCCGAATCCGCCGTAGAAAGCCTGAGCATCGGCAGCGTTGGTGTAGATGAGGGTGGTACCGGTGTCGATGACGCTTCCTCGGGAACCGACGACCTGTTTTCCGTTGACGGTAGCGGCGTTCTGGGTGACTGTCCAGTAGGCTTGTTGGGTGACGGGCGTGTAGGTGATCGAACCCGAGTACTTGGCAGAGTCGGTACCGCCCAAGTAGAGCTCGGCGCCGGATTGAGAGAGGGCGAAGGAGAACACAGGGGAGCTGACGGCTCCCTGGTTGATCAGGGTGGTGAAAAAGGTATTGGTGTTCGTAGTAGCGATACTGGAGTAAGCCATCCCGACCAATCCATCGAAGGTGGCTCCGGTGGTGGAAGAGACGCTGGTAGCGTACCCGACTCCTTGGTTACGAGCCGTTATCCCGGCGACGTTGACAGAGTCGGTGTAGACGGTCCCGCTGGTCATGCTTCCGTCACCGTATGAGATTTGAAAGTTTCGGTTCTGGTTACGAGCGGTGGAAGAGGAAGAGGGGTTGTACTTGTTTCCGGGGCAACCGTTGCAGTTGGTACCGGGGACCCAGATATCGGAAGATCCCTGATCAGGTTACAAGAGTAAACTATCGGTCAGTCTTGCTCATGACAGACTGAGGGGAAGATGAGATAGAGGAATCGACGTACGGTATCAAAATCCATCTGAAAAGACTGTCCCGGGGTTCCGATCGAGATGGGTCCTTGCCAATAACTCCCCCCCTGTTCCGCCGTCAAGGCCTCCCCAGCGGCAGCCCGTTTCGCCAAGTTCTCCTCTCGCTTCTCCTTGTGGTCCATGAAAGCCAACTTTTTGCCGGTGTTGGCTTCGAACTGAGTAGCACCGACGTGCATCTTTTGAGCGAGGTGGCCTTCTTGAGCTTTGAGCCAGGCGAGGTCGGCTTTGGGGATCCCATCCCGGGTGTAGAGGGTGTCGGGCTTGTGAGGGGATCGTTTGGTCAGGGGGATGACGGTGCCCTCAGCCGAGGCGTCTTCGGCCACGGGAGCGGCGAGGGCGAGGGTGGAGAGGATCGCAAAGAGGGCGGTGAGCTTGAGAGCGACCATGGTTGGAGTGCTTGTGTTCGAATGGAGATCGGAGTTGTGAGGTGTGAGTTGTGAGGAGAGAGGAAAGAGAAAGCAAAAGGGACGGACCAGATCGACTCGACGACGAGGGGGTTTATATACGTCTTCGGGAGATTCAAACGTATGCTCGCCACAATCTGACCCATGCGGTACACTCCCTCCTCAGGTCCTCCGTTCGACCTCCGTCGACAACACAACATCCAAACAGAAAGTCATCCGGGCCACTTCGAGAGGCGTAGATGATCGATCTAATCGTCGGACGAGACCGTTCGAACGGAAGCTTATTCTATATATAACCTGGAGATGGGTCGTTAGATCCAGACTGAAACGTATCCAGGGCCCAGTGGACTCGGTACCGGTGGCGGATCGGCAGTTTTGCATTCGTACGCTAGTCGATGGCAAGAGGCAAGAGGAGAGGCGAGATCGATGATCGCGACAAGCGCGCGCGCGAGCTAGAACAGAGAGGTGGCAAATAGAGGTCGGCACTTTTGGGATGGTCGGTTCTGCATCCAAACCTCGTAGTCCCGATCGAACCTCGCTTCTACTCTCTCGATAGTAGCTGAGCGAGAATCGCCGGGTATCAGAACAACCGATTCTTCCACCCCGTATCGGACAGAAAAGAACGCACCGCCATTCTTCCGGCGGTAGATGGATGCGAGGGCCAGGTACCGAGAGGCGCGTCGAGGCATAGAGGAACCTGCCTACGGCGTTCGCTCGGGATGGTCCGTTTCATCTCTGTCCACCCGAAACCGTATGTCGCCTTGCGTATCGTATCGCATCAACATACAATAATAGCACGATATACTGGTGGTCCACATGATACACTTCGAGGTTTCGAGGTGGAGGACCAATGGTCGACCATCTATCGTGTACCTTGATAGGCAAGTGCAGATTACCGGAGCTTTTCTTCGTTCGTTTGCCACTAGATCAGATGCTCCTAATCAGTGCCTATGCTCCATGTCGTGAATCTGTCCGGCACCGCATACTCTTTCGCTCTGCTGGCGGCAATGTGCGAGTATAGTAGCGTATGTCTCGCATGGGTTCGAGGTGTCATCTGACCGATTTGTTATCATGTTATGCGATTGCTTAAGCCATCTGTACTGTTCGGACGCTGAGGGAGGGGGCACCATGAGTCGGTCAGAAGCTGGAGTCTTGCCCCATGCATGCAATCGATCTCAGATAGGGACGATATCGTAGCGTACTGATCCGCCCAGCATACATCAGCCAAGGAGCCAGGCGTATGAGGGGGTGAGGGGGGACGTTGAGCTGTACTGCTGAGCGACCGACATTGTCGCAATGTCATTCAAGTGCCCTGGCCCAGAAACGTTAGCAGAAGCCATAGACAGGACGACGAGATGATAGGTATAGCATGTCCATCCTGCTGAGGATTCATACCGCAGAGAACGCAAAGATTGATAGCATTGCGACCTCGTCGAAGAAACAGCAGACCATCATTCGTTCGTATCAATCATATCTAATATGCCCTCTCAACGGCCTGTCATTAAAAACACCTCTTATACAATACGACAATTCTTTTGTTGAACGGAGGCTGCCCTTGACTAGTTTTCTCCGGACCATCCTGTCTACTCGGCGGCGTCCCTGGTCTTACCCACGGGGGGTCGCAAACACCTATCCGTCGACAACGAGAGGTCGTTACCCCACCATTCGGGGAAGTCGGTAGGGTGACCGGCGGCACCGAAGACGGCAAAGTTGAGGATGAAGGAGATGACCTGGGTACCACCGTCCAAGGCACCGGCCAACAAGTACTGTTCGGAGGCGAGTCGAGTTGAAAGGTTAGTGATCGAGGACGTCTGAAGCGGATCATCTCTCCGGGACTCACGTTGTACTTGGTGAACGCCCTCGGGTACCTCTTCCTGACGAACCACTGCGAGAACACTCCAATAACCATCGAAGGCATGACGGAGGAGTTGATTCCGACCGACATGTAACAAGAGTACTGGCAGATGATGGCCGTGTTGAGCTTCTTGAACGCGGTCCTGGTCTTCTTGAACTGAGCGGGAAGGAACCTCCAGGCGAGGTAGAAGGGAACGGGGAGGAGGAGACCGATACCGAGCGAGGCGGGGACGAGGACGTAGAGCTTGCCAGCGCCGAACATCTGAGGGCCGAGAGCTCCCCAGGCGATGGCGGTAGAGTTGTACGATTGGGCGTTTTGACCCGACCAGATCCTGTTACCACTGATGCTCAACAAGACCTCCCTCTGCTCGGTCAAGATCGAGATGGCCATGACGTAGTTGAGGATGGCACCGACGATGGTACCCAACATCTGGGCCAAGAAGGTGTGCCTGGGGGGAATCTTCAAGTAGACACCCAACTTCAAGTCTTGCAACAAGTCGATGGCCTGGACCTGAGGGTTGTTTCCGTACATGGCGGCGTACATGTTGGCCACAGGCTCACCGGGAAGCATGTAGGCGGCGAGCAACTGGTAAAGACCTGTTCCTCCAGAGACGAACTGACCGAATCCGAGGACACCGGCGAGGAAGGCGTAGACGGTGGTAAAGACAAAAGCGATGAGGAGGATGATGATCAAGGTCCACCAAGGAGTACCGGAGTGACCGGCATAGTTGGTAGCCTGAGCCATGGCGAAAGCTCCGACCAAGATGAGGGTGAACCACCATCGGGGAATAGGCTTGTACTTGAGCATCTGGAGGTAGTGCTCGTCGGTGACGTTGCTGTTGTCTTCCTCGCCGGATCCCCACAAGAAGTATCGCCAACCGTTGGTGAAACGGGCCTTGACGCCGCCAAAGGAGAGGCCCTTGAAGAGGATCGAGATGTCCTGGTGGTGCCAAAGGGCGACATGGACGAGGGCAGCACCGATACTCAAGTTGTTGACCATCAAGAACAAGGCGTTGGTAGCACTGAATCGGGCGGGTCCGATGACATCGTACTTGGCCTGGTCGAATTTACCGTCGGTCAAGAGCGCGGTCTGGTTGTACTTGTATCCCTCAGTGTCAAAGATGGACTGCGACATGAAGGGGAAGTCGAGACCATTCCAGGCGTTTCCGTAGTAGACACCGGCCATTCCGACGTAGGTGATCAAGATACCAATGTCCCTACGAACGAAAAAGAGATGCTTCTAATCAGTGATCCGTCGTCAGTCAGGAGGACCATCCGGAGGACTCACTTGTTCAACTGCATCTCCAAAGGCAGGTACAAGCAGTCGGAACCGATGTAGTTCCAGTCGAAACTCCAGCTGAGCAGACCCATACCCTCGTTGTTGGAACCACCCCCGAAGACGTTTCGAAGGACGGGGCTGGTGTGGTTGATCAAGCAGATGATCGAGACGGCCGACATCAAGGGGAAGATCCATTGGGGAAGGACTGTCAGGTAATGTAAAGTCGATCAGACGATATCGACTTGGTCGACGGGATACTGGTGACTCACTCTCGTAAACAAACATAAAGGCGAAAACTCCCCAGAAGAACTTGGTTCGCTTGGTTCCGAGACCGCCGTCAAAGTGCAAGGCCTGGAAAGTGTTGGCGAGCGAGATCTTCGCAGGGAAGATCGAGTAGGACGGCTTGACGGTGAGGTCGGTCAACATCCCGGCCATACCGTACCCGATCAGTTGCGAAGCGAGCAAGGTGAAGATGGCGACTCCAGCGTTCATCTTGTTGTCGTAGAACAGATCTTGTACCGAGATGACTTGAATCTATGACGTACAAAGTAAGCGCGAGGTCAGTGCCTAGTGTATGTTCAGCTCCGGTGGCATCGCTACTCACAGCAATGGCAGACCCGGCAGCGGTACTGCACATGATCAGAGTGAAACCGTGCTCCTTGATGTTCCATGGTCCGGGATTGATGTATCGGAAGACTCCCCTGGAAGGCAAGAACTTGGCCATGGCTTCACCGATAAAGTAGGTCATGATCAAGAGGAAGGATTGCGAGACGTTCTGCGGATAATGGACGGATAATCTTCAATACGAAGCGAAAGACACAACTGTAATCCCTGAAAGGGAACTCACGATGGTTTGAGGCTTGAAGTAGTAGATTTGAGCCAACACGGCTCCGAAACAGGAAAAGCCGAGACCGAGGAAGAGGGATCGGAAGGTGATGGCAGGGAGGGTTTCATCGTCGTAGGTGGACAAGACCTTGATTGCTACATCGTGGTTGTTTCGAATTGCGTATTCCTGGGCGCGAGCATGTCGGCGTTGATAAGCGCCAATGATCACAACGACAGTCGCGTACTTCAGACCACTCACCTCTTTCGTCGCGGTACCCTTCTGGATCCTCTCCTCCATGGCCAAAACATCGGCGAGATGGTCCTGCTCGGCAGGCTCGATGACGACGTTGGCACCGGCGCGAGAGTCGTCCTTGTCGTCGCCGTAGATCTTCTTCTCGTCATCTGATCGTTCATATGATTCGGCTCGGTGGTTGAGCTCCGGCAGTGCCGCCGGGCTGAGGTCGTCGTGGTCCTTGGCCATGATTGTCAGATGGTCTTCCGATCACAGTGTGAGGATAGAACTCTCCCTCGAGAACATTCCCATTTCGTCCATCTTGACTCTCATCCACGGCTCGCTATATGTACCCGGCGTTGGCGACATCGGATATCGCACCATCTCGCCCGATATCGCGCTATCGGTAGATGTTGAATGGACCCATGTGCTGCGTTGCGATGGTTGCATGTGCAGACTCCGGTCGCATTCGAGCGAATGGCCACTGTAGATATCGGCGCTAGTTGGTTTCTAATTTCGTGAACATGTGTGGCTGATTGCATTATTTGCCCGATCGACCCCCTTGTGCCTGTATCGTCGGATGAGCCCGAGCGCGGTGGCGAAATCGAGCGCGGGGCCTCGGACGAAACTCGTCGAAACACCACATGCTACCCAACTTGGAACCGCATGCAACCCAAATTTCTTTCGGCAGGTTCCGCAGGGAAGGATGGAGCTAGATTGATCTCCCTGATTGTGTGTCGTCTGACCGCTATCTGATCGTCCGATTTGCCAAGGCGACGACATCCCAACCGCATCTAACCGTCGATACCGGAGCACGCGGAAGCGAGCGAATAGTAGGTAACGCTGTACACGTAGAGGATCACGTGATTGCCTGCTTCTTCGCTAACCCCGTGCAATCCCATTTGCTCGTGTCAGGAATCGTCCGAAGACCACTGCCAACTGCCAGATAGGCGTCTCCCAAAAACAGATCACTCTCGGTAGCGGTACGAGAATACGCATCGGCGACTTCAGATATGGCGACATGATTTCGCGACACTGTAGATGTAGCTATTCCGAGAACCGAACAGCCAATGATAGGTGCAGGATTTAGAAACCAGCCAGCTCGATAGGCAGACATCCCAACGCAGTATCCTCCGGAAGCCTTCGTCGTCGATCTTGTCGGCTCCTCTTTGCTCCTCTCTCCGCACAGCATTCGATGATAGCACCCGAGATTACGGATATACCCCGTACTGTTTTAGGGCCTGTTTACCTGCACTTTGACTATTTTTTTCCATTCCCGGCCAATTCCACGTTTTACTAGCAGTTGGCTGACAAATTTGGAATCGCGAGGGAAGCCCAAAGAGGGGTGTTTACTAGACCGTTTTTTCTCGCTTCCGACCTCGATTTACGTAAACGCGTAAGATGTCGACTTCACCTATCGACATGATAACAATCGACGTTCTAGACGATGTAGACAACTATGAAACACTGCTACAACGTTCTAAATAGCATGTACAACATCGTGGGGACCTCTAGTTTCACCCTCCAAGTTAGCCATATCGATATTTATATCTAGTTCGTTCTCTAGACCTCGAAAACGCGAAAACTTATGGAGTCCGACAGCGTGAGCGACCGATCAACAATAACGAGCTCAGAGGTATCCGAAATCGACTCTTCTGAGGAACAAACAGCCATAATAGAAGCTCGAAACGCTCGTAATAGGTCCCTACAACGTATATACTTCACCGCAGCGTTTGTCGCCGCCATCGAACACGCCAAACGAGTTCCCCGGCCGATCGTTACCGACAACGCTCGAGCTCGATATAAGATCGACTTATGGACCTCAGGACATCCAGAGGTCTGCTGGGATGCTACAGGCATGTACACAGCCGCCTTCCGACACCTCACGCAAGAGCTCGAAGACCTAGACCTCGTAACGTCGACGATAAACGTATCGGCCCAAATAAAGATAGGGATAACGTGCTGGATGTTACGTCGACGAGCCAGCGATCGTACGCTACGAGATGTGTTCCAGTACTCCTTAAGAACCATCCACCTGTACGTAGAAGTCACCTACAGGCCCCCCACCACCGCCAACGAACGTCACCGACCCACCACCACCGTTTTATAGGCTCATCAACGAGGTACTTCAAGCGATTTACGATCCCTCGTTCTACGATCGATATGTCGTTCAAGATACACCTCAGACCCTCCCTACCGACGCAGAAGTCCTTGAACGAGACGGCTACGGGCCTCTACTATCATCAGCTATGGGTGCTATCGACGGCACCCTCGTACAGGCGTATCCACCGGCTGCGGAGCGAAAGGCATATCGAACGCGAAAACACGGCGTGTCTATGAACGTTCTAGCCTGTTGTCGATTCGATATGCTATTCACCTACGTTCTAGCCGGATGGGAGGGGTCTAGACATGACGGCAGAGTATATCAAGACGCCCTTACGGAGGGTTTGAAGGTACCGGAGGGGTATTACTACCTCGCTGACGCCGGCTTTACGATGGACGAAAACCTCATCATACCCTATCGAAATACACGATACCACTTACAAGAATGGAATTCAGCACCTAATGGGTGAGTCCCCCAGCCAAACGGTGCCCACTCGCACCGTCAGCGAACGGTACATTCATAGATTTACATCATCGCTGGGTATCCGTTTTTTCAGTCGAAATCCTCGAACATATCAAGAACTCTTTAACTATCGGCACTCGTCGGCTCGTACGACTATAGAACGAGCGTTCGGAGTCGTCAAACGTAGATATCCAGTGAGTTCTAGCCAGCTCAGCCGTTGTTGATGACGTCGACGGTATTCGCTGACTCGACATCGACGATATCGACCTAGATACTCGCTTACGGAACGTATTACCCCATCGATACGCAGGTCGTGATGATCTACGTCTGCTTCTGCCTTAACAACTTCATCGCCATTCACTGTAACGACATAGAGAGGTTCGAAGACGTCGGTGACGATGTCGATGACGTAGAACGACGAGAACGAGAGGAAGACGCGGACGGAGGGGTCGATCGAGACGAAGCGGTGATTCTCATGGAGTCGAGACGCGATGCGATAGCGAGAGAGATGTGGAACGACTACAACGGTGGGAACAGGCCGAGACGACGTAGGGGAAGGCCTAGAAGAAGGTGATGTAGTTGTTGTATCAGTAGATCGTTCGGTTGTCTCGTAACATCGCGATTTGAAACGGTCGAACGAGATCACCCACCTCCCGTTCGATCTATCGAAACCCCTACCAAACACCCTCCGTTTGTCGACGTTGGCGACGTTCTACCCCCATCTCCCTCTCTCTTTCCTGTTCTAGTATGCGTTCCACATAGAATTCGAGGAAGTCGTCGGGTACAGAGAGGAAGGCCGTCGCCTCGAGAGGTCGTTTGATGAAGTAATAGTTCAAACGGTTCCGGTCGACGTGATCGAGTTTCAGTATCGCTGCAGCCTCGGTGACCTTCTCGAACGTCAAACGATGAGCCGACGCAGCCTGAGAGGCCTGTTCGTTGAGCGTAGCCATCTCCTGATGAATTAACGTCAACGAATCGTTCGAATCGGCATAAGCAGAGGTGCGAGACCGTTTTTTCCTCGATTTGGGGGCCTTCGACGGTGTTGTTTGGCTCGTTCTGCCCGTACGTTGTTTCAGAACAGAATAGGGTATATACAGCAGCGAAACGAACACTTACTCGGCCTCAGAACCACCCTCGTCGTCGTCGTCAGCGTCGTCTTCCCTCTCGACCGTTTTTCTCTTGTTTTTCGCTTTGTTTTTGGCTCCACGAGGTGTTTGTTTATGAGGGGTCGCTACGTGAGCCCCAGTCGCACAACGACCGATCTGAGTGATGGAGAAGAGGTCGTATAGGTCCCACTTCTTATGCCTCCATCGAAACATCAGTCTGTTCAGTTTAGTCTATAGTAATGAACGTTTGAAATCGATGTCGATGTGGAGTTCGAAGGTTCGCGTCGTTTGTTGTTCCGGAGGCAAAATCGAGTATCGGAAGCATATTCACACGCATGTCGACGTCGTAAGCACATGTCAACCTTCATCAATTCCATCTTCGTCGATCAAATACGTCGATAGCTCACCGTAGACGTTCGGAAATCCTCCCAGACCTGTTCAGGAGCCGTAGCCCATCCGTTCACAGGATCCCAGCCTAAGCCAGAGTCGGTTGCAAGCTTGTACAGCGGCTCGAAGTAGTCGGAACGCAACTTCACAGGAGTATCGTAAGCACCGATCGATATACGTTCGAACGTCTACTATACCTTTTGATAACGGCTCATACACGACTTGATGTTCTTCTCGCCACCCTGAGACCTTATCGCATTCACCGCAGTCGCCACCTCACCCCACGTCTTCTCGTTGAAGCCGTTATCGCCAGCCGTACCGTTTTGAACCGCTTTCACCAGGATTTCCGTCATCAGTCGATCGTCGGCTTCCAACCACTTGGCGTTGAATTGCAGGGAACTACTAGCAGGTTCTGCCTGACTCGGGGAAGGCGCTGGAGCACCAAATCCGATACCGTAGCCGTTCGGAACTTGCGAAATCACCGACGTCGACCTCCAATCGCGTATATCGCCTTCGCTACCTTCAAACGGTCGATCGTACCTCGTTTCAACTCGCTGCTGGGTCGACGTAAACGGTGAAGGGGTGGAGAGGTGTCTGAAACGTTCCTCTTGCGAACTAGGTGCTACGGCTCGCGATATCGACGAAACGGACGACGGAGGACCCATACTACCGTTCATCGACGGCGTTGGCGGCAGGGTCATCGGGAACCGTGGCTGTTGGGCTGCAGGGGTTCCGTACGCTGGTACGCCCTGCGAGGAGGACCCAGACGGCCCGTTCGGAGGGGTTTGAAAGTCAGAGGGAGTCCTAGACATCGTAAGTTGACGATTTTACGAAAACGACGAGAAGAGCGCTATATTGAAATCGAATGTCGACTACTCCTTGTCAAGGGCCGTTCAACCACAAACTACTAGCGACGCACAGCCAAAGTCTGGTTTGCCAGCCCTTACGAAAGAGTCGAAGTTCCTCTCGTAACAATATGCCCAAAATCGAGCCAATAATTACGAGATTTATTCTTACGTGAACTCGGTGATTAAAATGGGCTGGCGGCCGCTAGTAAATGAGTTTTTGCCTCCACTTTACGGCAGAACTACTGAAAAAACGGAAAAATCGATTCTCGCCGACCGTTAGTAAACAGGCCCTTATCTCCCGCGGATGCGTGCTTTTCTCGGCCCCACTCCACAACAGATGAGGACCGGACCGCGAAATCCGCGAGGTGTGTCGTCTGACCGTCTGATCGTCTGACCAAAGAGATAGCATCCGTTACGTCCACCAAAACCTAGCTCGAGCGTGCATCCACCGGGTATCGTGCTGTATCAGGATACAGCGTGGGCGATTGAGGTTTCACGTGGGTCCTTCAAACCTCCACTCGGCAGATCGGCAGGGTGGTCCGTCCGAGAAGTGTTCTTGTCGACTTGATGATCTGCAATCTCGTTGCATGGGCGAGAAACGTTATCGTACATCGTCGGCATCGAGCTCCAACGTTCAAGATCCTGGATTTCGACGATCTATGTCCCTATCGCTATCACTATCAAGATAGTTCGTGGATCGTGTGTCACATGTTGCGATGTCGCTTGATCGCTTGTTGAGTGGATCGTGATCGCGGGACTTGCCAGAATCCATATCGAACGCGCAATCTCGCACTCGCACGATCCCACGGAGTGTTCTTCGTTGCATCTTGGAGCGACATCTTGCTGGCAGCGATGCTGTATCGAAATTCGCTTGAGACTTGAGGATGATCCGACGTGTCTTTGCTCATCTTCCTAACATCGGAGCATGCTCTTCCCTACTGTCCTGCTTCGCGTACTCATCCTCAGCGGAACATCGATGTCGATTTCGTCTCTCGTCCAGAGCCTTCTCTCCCGATGAGGTCGTAGACGTCCTTTATGCACCTTCAAGTTCCCCTCATATCTCCTGTGTCTGGCTGCTCGACCTGTCCATCATGTCAAAACACATCGTCTACCTTATTATCAGTCGTACAGATCTCCTGTTCGGGACGTTTGAGCGATCGAGGGGGTACTCACCGTAAATGGTTCCACGTGGTAGTCTTGTCCCGAAGAGAGACTGCTCCCGGTCAACGCCTCTTCCTCTGCACATGCTCCCGTTGGCAAATCTGAAACCAGGTATCGAGTATCATATCCTCCTGTGACTCTATGCTTCTTCCTTTGAACACCTTCACGTCGAGGCATGTTACGTCGACAGTAGAGTTCGAGATATGTTAAAGCTAAATAACGAGCAGAATGGTAACGTCAGTAATGCTTGCGGAAGCCTCGTCACCTGGAATTCGCTTACAGGTTGTCACACTTGGAACGTGTATTAGCGTGTCCATTCCGAGGCGGTCTTCAAACCGGAACAGCTCGAATTTACCACAGGTTAAGCGGAATACTAGTCATGCTAGTTAGAACGTAGAACAGTCGATTCACATTTCGAAGGGAGCTTCGAATATGCTCATTCGGAAGCGGAAAAGCATCCGATGATCCCTCGTCACATCGTCATCGAAGTCCAGTACTTCAACCTCGTACCTCGTGTACATCATCATCGGCCATCGGTATAGCTGAACGACTGAGGTAAGGTAAGAACGTACAGCAAATCTACCTCTAAAGCCTTATCACCTCTACCTCGTCAAACGTTCACTATTCTGCAAGGCTTGAGGTGAGTTTGCTCGCAAGGTTTACCTCACTCCTATTATCACTCCCTCTGCCCCGCTGATCGCTGCTCGCTGATTGCTGATCTAGTGCAAGAGACTCTTCTTTACCTGGATCTAGAAACTTCACATACCACCGGTCTAGAGCATAGTTGCTGCAAAAGATCACCTCCAGCGGAGAACTCCTGCGAACGGTTACCGAAATCATATCAAGCTGCATAGTGTATGTGACGATACGCCATTTCTCGACACGTATTCTCGATCAGTATCCATGTATATGCACTAACGCCATAACCTTCTACACATGCAGAAGCCTCGTGGCTTCTCACAAACCTGTCCGACATACGACATCTACTACCATACTTCAACGAAGGACGTGAGCACAGTTGTCCCGATGCATCATCTTCACTACGATTTCCCACTTATCGCTGATCGACTTCGATCAGATTTGAAGGAACGTCATGGGTAATTCGAACTCCAAGGAACAAGTCTCCCAAGACAACGATGAGAACGAGGCGGGCGAGTCTTTGACTAGCGGGTGGACCTGCCTGTTACGACGATATCTGATCACTGATTTGCGGCTCTGTCTTTTCTTCTTAGGACACACCGCCGGACCCCCCTTCATTTTCGAGTACCGCTTCGAGCCCAACGACGATGTTGCTACGGTCCGAGAAGCTCGAGAATTTATGATGGGCGGGTCTTATAGAGTCTGTCTTGTCACTATGGGAAAGACAGCGGTCTGACCTTCATATGTTTCACGATCAGGATGGGCCGAAGACTTGATCAAGAGGCACCACCAGGTTGATGTACCAAAGGGTGGACTACAGGAGCTTTTCGAACGCCTCAACCTGCACCAACAACAGTTGCTCGCCGAATCTGAAGAGAATTCGGTAGATGAGATCGCTGTTGAGAGTAGGCTGCTGGTCTTCACGATCAGTGCTGCTTACTGGCTTCGATCGACCAAGGAGCTTCCGGATGCTGTCGAAGCGGCAAGGCTCATTCTGCTCCACGGCGAAGATGACGGATTTTACCATGCACAGAACATCAGCGAGCATATGGATCAGATGGATTTCGGTCGTGAGGCAGAACTAGTCGACTTTCTTGCTTGTTGGGGGGATTGGGTGAATCAAGGCCCTTGATGTATACGTCCTGCTGCAGATACTGATGGCGGGTCTATCTACCTTCATAGGAGGCGAGGCGTATTCAAGCGGGAATCGACTATATCGCTCAACGTCCCCCTGGCCGAACCGCTTCTGGAGCTGGTAGCGGATTCCTCAAAGATACGCTCACTGGTAACTCTATGAGGGAATCCGCCTCCTCGTCATTCCCCCCCGTCCAGACCGCCTTTCCCGAGAACGATACCTCCGGACAGATTCGTCTCCTCACCGCCTCGTCGAGCCCGATGGATTTGGGTCAACTCGACGTTGAAAGCGAGATGGACAAGATCCAATCCGCCATCGCAAGGGCTCGACGACAGGACAAGTTCAACATCTGTAATCTGGCAAACTGCCGAATCCGACAGCTCGTCGAGACGATCGACGCTCACAAGCCTACCATCGTTCACATCAGTGGGCACGGAAACGAAAGGTCTCTTCTTTCAGGACGACTCTGGCCGAGCCGTCGAGGTCGAGAAGGAGAGGTTGGAAGGTATGATCAGGGACGCGCACGATCACGGGCAACTCAAAGCGCTCTTCCTCAACGCTTGCTTCAGCGCCCACGACACCTATACCACGTTCGCTCAAATCGGGGTTTGCGTCATCGCTATTCAGCAACCCGTCGAAGATGACGCGGCGATCTTTTTCGCCAAGGAGTTCTATGGAAAGTTGGCCGAAGGGTTGACGTTCCGTGTGGCCTTCGACAGAGCGAAGAATACGACCAGGGCGGCATATTCGCGAACCGCTATCAACCCTGACTTCTATGAGAGGTAGCCACACGGCTATGTCCATCGGTTTCAGCCACTGGTCTGGTAAGGGGAGTAGCGCCCGTAAACGAAACCTCGGTCTAACACATCTCTGTGTCAATTCCAATCTCCGAAAGTCACAGGATAATGCGGTCTCCATCTTATCCTCGAAGCTTTACCCGTCCTTCTCGGCTCTCAGTATTCACTTTCTCCTTCCGCCTTACGTCTCGATCCACCACAACCTTTCTGAAGGCCATATGACAGGCATGGAGTCGGAAGAGGCCCGCCAAATTTCTGAAGACACGCGAGAATTCCGCAGTGGCTTACATTTCAGCCTGGATCCCCGCCATCATCGACCAAGGTCTCAACGCAAGGCCTTTCGACTTGACAATATCATTTCCGGCCTGGATGCGAGTATAAAGCAGCTCGAAGAATTCCTTGATGACGAGGTCAATCAGGAACTTATCAAGAACGTGGCTAAGATGATACCATACCTTGAAGACCGATCCTTAGGTACGATCCTCCTTCTGTGCTCGGCTCAAACATGTCCAATATCGTGATGTCTTTTGTGCACGCTCGTGGAGCGCAGCGCTGTTGGGATCCAACGGCGGGTCGCCTGCAAATACCCGTTCAAAGGTCCCGTTCGTTCGGGGAAGTCAAGGACTTGATACTCCGGTCGAAGGTTTGTATCACAGAGCGACAGGGCTGAGTGTCACGCCGCAGGTCGCTAAGGGCGTTCTTCGGTCGTAGGGTCTAAGGTTCTAGGCGGATCGCAGGTGTCAACGCACGAACGGAGGCTAGTCCTACGTAGAACATACTGGTACCCTACGGTGGTACCTTTTAGATTTACGATGTAATGCCTGAACGATTGAATCAGATAGTGCTTTCTTCAAATCCGCGCCCGCACGTTTCAAGTGGCTGTGCAAGCGCGGTATCAAACAAAGACATCGTGGTTCCACGTGGAGGCGGGTCTGTCAGAAGAAGATATAAGATCTTAGCGGGACGTCTGCACATCGTCACAGATGACTGTAATCTCCGTCACGGTATCTTAGCTCAGTCCAAGGCTTCACTTCATACATCCCTCGCCATTTATCGTCGTCGAGCCACCTCGCCATGATCCACATCTCCGCGCTACACGGTAACCTGATCCTCGCCGCCATCGGTCGAATCGCCGTTAGATACCCAAACGAACTGGCCATCGGGTCCATGTCATACGGACAGCTCGCCTCGAACGTCCTGAGTTCAGCTTCCAACCTGCTCAGCGTCTCTTTGCCGGAAGGCATGCTGGGAGGCTACGACCTCGAGGAGGAAACGGTCATCATGCCGGGTCTCGGACTGGATGCCAAAGTCGTAGGCCTACTGGCTACATGGGCTGCCGGAGGCATCGGTACATCGAGCGACCATCCCGGGGAATTAGACAGTCCGGACCTGCCTCTGGTGTTCTACGATCCATCGACCTCGTTGGGCGGCGAAGCGCACCATCCCTACAGGCTAGCCGAGCTGGAGCTGCATGACGTTCGACCCCGACGGGAGGGTGATGAGACGGTCTACGTGGACAATACGCAAGTCGCCTCCTGGCTCGCCGAGCTGGAACTGACCGACCTCGAGCGCAAGGCGTATGTCGTCGAAAATTCTTTACAGGGCGTAGGTATCTTTTCTTTCTTCTTCCCCTTACTGTTTCCCTCAACAGCCCCAGCTTGGGACCCGTGACTCTCGCTGATGTCGAACGATCGTTTGGATATAATGTAACACAGGTCGATACCCAAGAAGCCCAGGTTCCCATCGAAGCCGAGCGCATTACCCTAACTCACCGTCAAGTCGCCTCGCTAGTCTTTGGGATCAACAACAACGACCCGTCACCCGAACAATCTCAGCTCCCGCCCAAGGACCTGGAACTATTTCAGCGGGTAGCTCGATTGCTTCAACAGCCTGGTTCAACGAAATGAGGAGTTGGTGTGATGCAACATGATCACTTGTATTCCATCTATTTCATACCCCCCCGGATCGTTATCATTTCGTCTGTACAACCTGCCTCTCGCTCAAACACACACCCTTCGGCGACCGCTGGTCCATTCAACCCACGCATTTGCGCCTTTCCCCACCCATCCGGATGTCCCCTTCCGACCTGACCTTCTCGCCGTCAAACGATCACTGATCCCACTGACCGGTCTTGAGCTTTTCCACCCACGCCTCGTCCACGGCTTGACGCAGGGACGAGATGGCCTCCTTGGGAGAGGGGGCTTTGAAGACGGACGTCCCTGCGACGATGACGTTGCAGCCTGCGATCGTGGGTTGCGAGAAGCGGGCGATGTTGTTGTCGCCAAGAATATAGGGAGAGGTCAGGGTGAAAGAAAAAAAGATGATTGGTAGTGTATGAGCATGCCGCTATGTGTCTATCTCGATTCTACAAGCCCGATATCGGAGAGAAAGACTCCAAACTCACCGGCCTTGGCACAGTCACACACGTTCCCCGGCCCGACCCCCCCATCCACCTGGATATGCTTCTCCACCCCGTTAAACCTCTTCCTGAGCTCCCTCGCCTTTTCTATACATTCCGGCATGAACTTTTGCCCGCCCGCTCCGGGGTGGACGGTCATGATCAGGATCATATCCGCCGCGTGGAACATCTCGTCGGTGATCGCCGTGGAAGGGGTTTGAGGGGAGATGGCTAGGCCTGCGAGCATGCCGTGGGATTGGATGGATTTGATCACGGGGATCGGCTCGGCTGTGATGTGCCCGAAAGTTATAGGCGGGGTTTGCGCAAGGTGAAACAGCGAGTTTGAAAAGTCGTTAGTCGTTTGTGGCTGCAACGCTGCAACGAGGAAGACAGAGGACTCACGAGCGGCTTCGAGGTGAAAAGTATACAGCTTTCCACCTGCTTTGGCGACATCCGGGACCCACTATCGGTCGTCATAGGCCAGCGTTAGATGACAAAATTAGGTCAGCATAGGAAATCGACTCCCCCGAACCATCTCCTCTCCATGTCCAGAGCGATCTCCATCTCCATCTCCATCTCCAAAATCATCTCCATCTCCACCTCCACAAATCTCCTTCATCTTCTACCCTCACCCCTCACCCTCACCCCAAGACCCAAAAATTTCGACTCACCCGCATAGGCTCAGCGACCATCATATGACAATCCATAAAGATCTCCGGGTTGCCCTTTTTCACCCATTCGAGTAGAGGGGGGCCGAAGGTGATGTTCGGGACGAAGTGGCTGGAGGGGGGTAGTACGTATTTGTGGGAGGTTTGGAGGGAGGGGAGGGGTGAGTGGTTAAAAGGGGGTGGTTTGTGTGTTTGGGTGGGTGGGTAGTTCGGGTGGGTAGTTTGAGTGAAGGGTTGGGTGGTTTGGGTGTGTGTGGTTCGGGTGTGGTGTTGATGAAAAGGGAGGACAGAGGACAGAGGACGGTCAGAAGAGGAGGAGGTAGGGTTGGGAGGTTTGTCGAGGTCCCGCGGAGATATATAATAGGGTGATATGATGGTCGGAGCGATAATTCGAAAGTCGGAGTCGAGTTCGATGAAATAGAAGAAAAGAGGAGAAAAGAGGAGAAGAAGGCAATGACGATGACGATGACGGAGAGAAGAGCAAGAATGAGAGAGAGAGAGAGAGTTTCATCAGCTTCTTCCTCCCTCTTCCAAATCTCCAACCCCATTCCCATTCTCCTGCCCGTCTCCATCCCAAACCCAACCCGCCGAACCGCAAAGAAGCACAACTACGCAACCACGCAAGCAAAGGACTCAAGCTCACCCGTCCATGACGTCCATATGACACCAATCCGCCCCTTCGGACATGATCATCTTGGTCTCGTTCGTGAGTAAGGAGAGGTCCGACTACGAGTTCCCAATCCAATCCCCATGTCGATAGCACGATAACGGTTGGATATCCGTCGAACCAGATTTCACAGGGAGAGAATAGAATGGCAGTGTGATGGAGTGAATAAACAGCGTGTTCTCGGGAGGACCCGAGCCTTGTTCAGTAGCTTACCGCGAGGACAGAGGGAGAGATGATGGCCTTCATTTCCGACATTTCGAAGGAGTGTGTTTCGATCTTGCTGTATGGTATATGTGTCGCTGTAGCTGATAAATATTGAATGGTCGAGGAGAATGAAATGTAAAGCGATATAAGAGCAGGTGAGTGAGTGTAGAGAGGTAGGTTAGGTGGATGAACGTCGGTCCGATGGTGATCGTCGAGTCCGAGCTCAAAAGGGACATCTGTCAGATGAGAGGGAAACGTCATATCTCCCTCGTCTTCCAGCTTCAAGTGACAAGTGACAAGGCTGTAATGTAAGCGACGATCGGGGTCGTGTATGATGATCTCATACGTCGTATACCATGTATTTCTATAATCGTACGTATCCACATTTTTTTATACAGGCCCATCCCTCAGCTGCAGCCGCCTCAATTCAACATTTCTCTCCCCCCTTCTACGAATCCCCCACCCCATCCCACTCTTGCGCCTAATCGGCCCGCTTCCCAACGACCCAATAAGCCTTTCCCCCCGGCCACGTATGCGTCTCGCTCCCTTCTTCCCACACCCAAGGTTTGCCCCCACGCGGGGTCTTGCCGTCCAGGACGAGCTGGTCGTGCGCGATCTTGGCTAGGTAGCGGATCTGCGGGGCGAGACGAAATGGGGAAGGCGACGGCGTCAGGGGGTATGAAAGAAGTCGGTTTTTGGGCAAGTCGTTTGGAGGAGTCCATATTCGACCCAGAGTTTTTGGTAGATCCGAAAACCAGAGCAGAGTCACACGAATAGTTTTTCGGGTTATATCAGCACCCAGCTAAAACATAAAACGCGTATTCTCACACCCAAGAAACGCCTTTTGCAACCCTCTCAACCCCCCCGTCCGAGAAAAAGTCGAGAAAAAACAACTCACGTGTTCAAACTCTCTCGACCGATACGCCGAGACGTACCCATCGAGCACCAGGATGAAGGGTACGATCGGGATCAGGTAGGTGAATATCAGCGTCACTACGCAACGATGATGTGTAACGTGTGTGTGTGTGTGCAAGTGCAAGTGCAAGTGCAAGTGTAAGGGAGATTTGGTTTGTTTTTTTGTCGCACAGACCGGGGTCGGAGTTGGAGTCGGGGGGGTCGAGTGGTGTCCAATTGGATCGAGGCGGATGGAAGAATGAAAAGAGCGACATCCAGAACACACGATGAGAGAGAGAGGGAGAGTAGGATGCCCGGCAAGAAAGGCGAAATCAGCGTCCCGTTTCACCCCGTAACCGAATCGAATCGAGCCCTTTGCTCGCCGAGAACCCCCTACTACTACAATACAATTGCGTTTGCGTGCGAGCGAAAGAGGGACTCACGTAAAGAAGGCCTCAACCAAGGCGTATAGATCCAAGTCAACGGCCAGAGGCCCGTGATCGTCAACAAGCTCCCGAGGTCGAACTTTTGGAGTTCGAAGATGCTGGCGAGCGATGAGAGCGAAGCGAGCGATGAGAGCGAAGCGAGCGATGAGAATGACGCCAAAGGAGAAAAGGGAAGAAAAAAGAAGCAGATGAAGAAGAAGAGAGTGGTTAGCGGTTCGGCTTGAGGGTAACGTAATGTAAGACCTTTCTAGAGCAGGGAGGGGGGAGGGTGGATGTGGTTGTGTGGACGATAGGGCGGTATGGTGCGACACCGGACGAGACTCTGAATCTTGATTTCGGTGTCGATTTCGATGTCGATGTCGGTATGGATATGAATGTTGACGTCCATCTCGGGGCGAGGTGGGAGGATCAGGTTCGGGTGCTCCTTGATCCGAACGTCAACCGTGATGCGATGCGATGTGATCTTCAAGACAAGTCCCAGCCCTTGTTAGGGTCCTTTGAGTCTCAATCCCGGTGATGAGCCTCGAACCTCCCACACCCTCAAAGACACGCATATGCGCATGCGCGAACAAGTGACACACCGCCCACACATCGTCCTGAGAAAAAGAGAGAGAGAAAGAGAAAGAGAGCCAGGACTCACCCGATGCCATCCCCACCCTCCATCGCATCCTTCAAGACCCTGACGGCCATATCTTCGTCGAAATGATGAAACGCCAAGAAGAACGTTCTGAAGTGTCGCTGTCTCTGTCTCTTCGACCGTCGATCACTATGACGATACGACGGTGTATCTTCATTGTCGTTTTTGTTCTTGTTGGTGGTGGTGGTGTTGGAGGTGTTTCCGGTTCTGCGTCTTGTTGTACTGGTACTGGTGCTGGTATTCGTACTAATAGCCCCACCGGAATCCTCCGCCCTCTTGCCCCCCTCACCCCGACCCCGACCTCCCCCACCAACCCCCAACTCGACAAGATCCCTCGGACTATCCGTCGCATCAACCCCCTCCTCTACGTAATACAGAGAGCCGGTTGGACTGTTACGGGCGGCGGTAGACCAGGCGGTAGGGTGTGGGTGGATGTCTGTTAAGATGAATGGGATTGGTTGGAGGGAGGATTTGGTGCGGCGTTGGCTTTTGTAGTACCGAGTTTGGGTACAGAGAGTGTATAGTACAGATAGAGAGATCAGGGGTAAGATCGTAAAGGAGAGTGTTAAGACAAGATCAGTCAGGTCAAGTGAAGTGAAGTGAAGAGAAGAGATCATGGAAGTTTGATGACTTCGAGGACCACGACCAAGAAGACCGCATACTGTAAGAAGCGACTTTTGAGGAGGGGAAGAGGGGAAGGGAGAGAAGACCAGGGGGGACGAGAAGAGAGAGGGACTCACTTCATGATCCTCTCGATCGTCTGGATGGGTCCTCCAGCGCCCGAACAAAAGTCTACTACCGTCATCCCCTCCAGGTCATCCCCACCACCACGATCTCCTCTCTCTTTGCCCTTGCCCGCCCCACCTTTTTTAAAGGCCTCGCGGGGCTCGGCCAGCACCCTCTCCAAAACCCCAACTACCATCTCCGCCGGCGCCCGTCTCTGTAACCCGGGGAACCTGTTCGTCCAAGCCAACGTCAACATGTCTTGGATCGGTTGGCGGATAAAGGCGGGGGTGTAGGGTTGTTCGTGGAACTCGATGAAGCGGCGGCGGGGGGATGGGCGGGGGGGTGGGGGTTCGAGCGTTGTCGTGATCTTAGGGGTTGATGAGGGTGGTGGTGGCATGGTTGGGGAATGAGGTTGGTTGTACGAGGATGTAGAAGAAGGTATGATGAGGTTGTTGGTCGGGGTTGTATCGTCGTTGACGATCGAGTGTGTACAAGTAAGCAAGTAAGCAAATAGTCAAATAGGTAACCAGGTACTTGACCCCCCCCCCCCGACCCCCGAGAGGTCGAGTACGCGTCATCACCCACCCACCCACCTCGTCGTCATCGATCCCGATTAGTAGCTGATTAGTATGTTAGTATGAGAATACTAATGACCTCGCGTCGTCGATTAGTAATCGTTGAGCATTTTCATTAGTATCGTCCCTAAAGGGGGGGGCAGTGCCGATCGATCGAGATCGACCCTCGACACCCGACACCTCCTCGATCCAATTACATGCAAATCTTCATACAACCTCACTCATCCTCTCGACCACAGCGGGTCACCCATCAACTCAAGCTCGAGTGTATACCAACCCGGTTCTCTCACACAAGCTAGCGAGTGATCTCCAAGCAAGTCCGTCCATCCGAACCTGATCTCTGATCTTTCGGCGATCGTATGCGTATGACACCCCGTCCGTCGATCGCGATCTACCGAAAACCAACTATCGCACAATATATATTATAATACCCACCACCGCTTCCACTCGGCTCGACTCACCACTCACCGAACAAGCAAGGTATTCGATCTAGAATCCAAGCAGAATAAATCGACCTGAACCATGACCCGACCACAACCACAACCACAATCTCGATCCGCAACGGGTTCGAGGAAAAAACGAGTCCTCATCATCGGAGCCGGCCCAGTGGGGTCGTTAACAGCCCTCAGTCTGGATAAACGGGGGTGGGAGGTGGAAGTCTGGGAGGGGAGGACGGGTGAGTCGTGTTGGAGGTTGTTTCACTTCTTTTTCTTTTTCGTCGTCGTCGTCGTGGTGGTGGTGGTGGTGGTGGTCGTGGTCGTGATGGTCTACAATAGCAGCGGGGGTTTCGTCCTCGGTTCCCCTTACAACACGAATCGAGATCATCGTGAAACTCGACCTTTCGACCTTTTTTTTTGGAAATCGAGCAGATTAAACGGGTACTGGGACTGATACTTGATCATCATCTTCTCCATCTTCTCCATCTTCTCCACCTCCTCTCACCCTATTCTTCTGAACGTCACCACTCGACACTCAATACTCGACACCCGACACCTCGACCCTGGTCCCACCTCGCCTCGCCTCGCCTCTCATATATAGACCCCCGCGAAGAATCCTCCCACCCCCAAGCTCTCCGCTCGATCAACCTAGCCATCTCGGCCCGTGGGATAACCGCCTTAAAGTCCGTCGACGAGGGTCTGGCAGAGGGGTTGGTGGGGGAGGCGATTCCTATGAGGGGGAGGATGATACATCATAAACATAAACACACGGGTATCGGTTCGAAAGGCAGTAAAGAGGACGGGAGGAGGAAGGAGGAGGTGAGGAGGGAGGCGCAGGCTTATGATCCGAAAGGAGGAGAGGTACGTTTTTGAATTGGGTTTTTTCGACACGGGGATCTAGGTTTTAGGTTCGGGGTGGTGGGACTGATTGTTGATGCTGATCCTGATTCTGCGCTTGTGTTGGGGGGTCTCTGTTATCCTGCTTGGGCGTGATCTCTAATCTCGAAATTCGAATTCGACCTCGACCACCACTTTGACCACCACTTTGACCTCGACCTCGACCTCGACCTCGACCCCGACCTGAACCCCAATCCCCCCCCCCCCCCCCCCCCCCCCAAACCACAGTGCATAAACTCCCTCCCCCGCCCACTCCTCAACCTCCGTCTCATCCAAGCCTTGCCCCCCTCCATAACCTTGCACTTTAGCACCAAACTCTCTCACATCTCCTGGTCCGACTCTACCGCCTATGCCAAACCCAGCGATTCGGACAAGAACGCCGGTGAATCCGTACAGCCCAACGAAGACGAGCGCGACGACACCAACACGCGCAACAAGGAGGCGAGGGGGAAGAAATGCCAGTTCGATCTGGTCGTCGGGTGTGATGGGTCTTGGAGCAAGGTCAGGCAGGAGATGATGCGTGTGGAAAGGGTGGATCTGGCTCAGAGGTATATCGATCATGATTACGTCGAGTTGCATATGCCACCGAAGAGCGAGAGCGAGAGCGAGAGGGAGCGAGAGGGTAAAGGGGGAAAGCCGGCGAGGAAACAGGTCGGGGAGGGAGAGTTCTTGATGGAAGAGAATCACCTGCACATCTGGCCCAGGGAAAAGTTTATGCTCATCGCGCTGCCTAACAAGGTGAGCCCCGACGTCAGGCCCAGCCTTCCCGTCCCGCTGGGACGTTCTTGTTCTGCGCTTCGACTGATACAACCCATTGCGACTTTCTTGCTCCCTGTTCTTTCTCGCTTCGCTCTGCTTGACGGGGCGCATCTTCCATCAGGACGGCTCGTTCACCCTGACCCTCTTTTGCCCGAAAGACAAGCTCGCCGAATTGGACCGCCGGGAAAAGGCCAAGGTGTTCTTCGAGGAACATTTCCCCGACGCGCTCGATTGGGCGGGGGAGGAGAGGTTGTTGAGCGATTTCGAAAAGAACCCGAGGGGCGCTCTGGTCACTATCAACGTGAGTCGAATTGTGCGGATTTGATTTGATATGGAAGGAAGGAGGAAAGTTGACGAGGAGCCTCGGTGGACGCCCGCTGCGCAGGTAAAACCGTCACACCACTTGTCCCCCGCCTCTTCGGCCTCTGTCCTGCTCTTGGGCGACGCCTCGCACTCGATGGTCCCCTTCTACGGCCAAGGTCTGAATTGCGGGCTCGAGGACGTCAGGGTGTTCAACAGCTTGTTGCAAAAGTACGACGTCGGGAACGAGGCCGTCGAAGGGGAACGGGACGAGAGGTTGGTCCAGGCGTTGCGAGAGTATTCAGAGGTCAGGAATGGGGATCTGGAGGCTATCGTTCAGCTCGCTATGGACAACTAGTAAGTTCGAGGTTGATGAGAATTTTCCTTTGAAAAGCTTTGGCTAATCTTTCGCCTTGTCGCCAGCACTGAGATGAGGTCCAAGGTGGTCAGCCCGACATACCACATTCGTCGCGTGCTCGATTCCGTCCTCTCATACCTCATGCCACCTACGTCGAAACGGCCGATCTTGCAAGCCGAAAAATCTCCCGCCAACTCGCCACCCAAGCTGTGTAAAGAGGCTTTCCCTACACCACGGGTCAGCGGATGGAGTTCATTGTACTCGATGGTCACCTTCAGACCGGACGTGAGTTACAAGGAAGCTCTGAGGAAGGAACGTGCGCAGAAGGAGGTGGTTGCAGGTCTGGCTTGGGCGTTGGGCGGGACGGCGGGGGTGTTGGGAACAGCGGGTTTAGCTTGGGGTGCGCTGCAGGCCAAGAGGTATCTGGAGAGGCGTTGATCGAGGGTCGAGTATAGAAGGACGCGATGTATGTTGATCGTTTCATGTCATAGTTCCGAGATGCCATCAAGCAAGTTCGACGAGAGGGTTCACTTTAGGCTCTCTGGTCGTTCCGTCATGATAGATGGAGGATCTGGGAACGACATGAAGACACATGAAGACTCGGGTATGAGAGCTGGCAACGCCATGTTCGCACAGGTAAGATTCAACTCATGCTCGAAACCCTCTCGTTGCAAGGCACCAGCGGATGTCGAAGTCGATTCTCGTAGCCTTTCGACAGGCTGTTTGAGGTCGGATCGTTTCAGACCACGAGCCAAGGGTTAGTGGATCGAACGGGGTGCAGTGATTCGGGGCGCGAGGATACCTCTCGTCGATAAGGGACGTGACGTGCTTTTCGATCGATGTCGTCTGAAAGCAACTTCACATCGGCCAAACGAAAGACACATTCGTGTAAATCGACTTGTGGGCAAGTCCGGGCAGATGTCGTCGACTTTTGACCGGACGGGAGGTTCAGGTCGGCGATGGCGTGATCGCGACATTTTGGCGCTACAGAGTATGGCGCGACTCTTATCGCTTCCGCCACGTTCTGAATGGGACAGGACAACTTTGAAACTGTCTCGTCGTATCGCATCAGCGTCGGGACAAAATGCTTGACTCGGCTCGCAGAATGGTCTCATCGTCAGCTATCACGGCACCGCGTTTGAATGTGACGAAATCGGCTGTCGAAAGCTTCCCATTTTAAGATGGTACAGGTCAAGGTTTCGGCATAAAAGCTCGATCAGATCGTAGTCTCGCTTGTTGGCTGGACGTACCTGTGAGATTCAACAGCAAGCAACATCGCATCAACATCCCACGATGTCCCCCTCAAGCCCTTCATCCGCTAGCGTTTCCAGCAAGGAAGACCATCTCGATGAGCCGGAACGTTTGCCTACCGAACAAACCCCGGAGAAGCGCGTCTTTTACAGGACGACGTTCTTTGCGGCGACCGTTCTGGGGTTATGTAACTTTGCTGCACCGGGAATCTGGGGTGAATCCGGATACGCCTACGGGGTTCAGTTCTCTTTTTGTCTATCCCGCTGACAGCGACCCTTTTTCAGGCGCCATGAACTCTCTCGGAGCTGGAGGCGCGCAATCCCCCTGGCTCGTCAACGGAGCCAACGCCCTGACTTTCGGGCTCATGGTCGTCACTGCCACCTTGACCCCGGTACTCATCAGATTTCTCGGCGTCAAATGGTCGCTCTTCTTCGGAGCGGCAGGTTATGCGCCATACGCCGCCGCGCTCTATTGCAATATCGTAAGATCAACCCTGCCACCATCAGCCTTGCAGATGGCTAACCTGCGCTCTACGTTCTGATCAGTCATTCGGCACGAAATGGTTCGTCCTGTTCGGGGCTGCGCTGTGTGGTATCTCCGCTGGAGTGTTCTGGGCTGTAAGTTGGAGTCCGCGCAAAGTCGGTTGAACAATCTCGTCTCATCAATGCGCTATCCAGGTCGAAGCCGCGGTAGCATTGTCTTATCCCGAACCCAAGAATCAGGGTCGTCACCTCGGCTGGTGGATGACGTTCAGGGTCGCAGGACCCGTTTTGGGAGGAGCCATCAAGTCAGTCGGGGCTCAAACCAGACCCACAGACATGTTGTTACAAGACTGACACGTATCGTATTCTAGCCTCGGCATCAACTCTCAAAATAGCCAGCGAGGCAGTGTCAACCCAAAGGTTAGCGGGATTGGCGCAAGGGTGAATCGTAACCCTAACTCACCGATGTCTTGCAGGTCTACCTCGCTTTCATAGCGATTCAAGCTATCGGCCCGCTGGTTGCCCTTTTATTGCCCGCTCCTAGCAAGGTCCAGCGAACGGATGGTCTCAAGGTCATTCTTCACGTCGATACCCCTATCGGACAGGAAGTCAAAGAGACTCTCAAGCTGTTTGCGAGCAAGCGGGTGAGCGGGAATTCGATATGACACTGACGCAAAAACATACTAACAAGGCATCGACAGTTCCTGTTGATCGTGCCCCTGATCTGCCAAGCCGTCTTCAACGAGAGTTTCACCGGGACCTACCTGACGCTATACTTCAGCGTGCGAGCGCGTGCTTTGGGATCTTTCTTGGGCGCTATCATGTCCATGATCGCCGGTAACCTTCTCGGAGTGAGTCCAAACCGTTTGTTCCTGTCACTCGATACAGAATGTTTCGGCTGATCACCTCGATCTGTGTACTGTAGGCATTCCTCGATCGCAAAAACATCTCGCTGAAAACTCGCGCCCGATTGGCTTTCGGAGGTATCATGACGTTGCAAGGAGCTTGGTGGATATGGTCTACCATCATCCAGGTCAGCCCCTATTCCCTTGAGAATCGGGCGAAAAACCCTTGTTGACATAACGAATTGATTGCAGTCCCAGTTCAAGAGGCAAGAAACCCTGCTCGACTGGTCGGACAGCGGGTTCGGCAGGGGGTTCGCGCTATACCTGTTCATCGTCGTGGGGTTCCAACTGAACTACATGTACCTTTACTTCTTGGTTGGAAATCGTGAGTTACCGGTTTCTGGTCCCTTCGAGTACGGCGTGGCTTATACTACGGGCCTCATTCTAGTTGTACAAAAGCCTGTCGACATCATCAGAATCGCAGGACTCCTTCGTGCCACGGAATCCGCCGTACGTATCCCGAAGCCTTCGACTGATATCGAGCAGGCGTACTGACACTGTCACTCATACAGGCTCAAGCAGTAGCATACGGTACCAACGCCATCGAGAGCCTCGGCACGGTTGGATCGTCTGCCATCAACTTTGGTTTGTGGGGGATTTCGGTCATCCCTGCGTGGTTCGTCATTCGCAAGATCGGTATCGAGTACTTTGGGAGGGTGGCCCTCGAGGCAGAAGCGGCGGCGATTCTCGAAGGAGAGACTACGGTTGACCCGCAGAGCGAAAAGTCGCCTCGCATCTGATATGGCGAGAAGAAATAGGCAATGCCTCTGTTGAGAAGGATGCTTTAGGTTGGTAGGCAGGTTTAAAATTAGGGTTCCGATGAATGATTATTGTCAAATAGAGTAGAATGTCGTATCATGCCGAAAAATTGTCTTGCAAGACGACGGGGGGCCGTCTGGAACAGTAGACCTGTCGAGCTCGAGATATCGTGCCACAAGATACCGGCCCTTGTTAGTGCGAGTTGACGCCAGTCACGACCTGTCGTTGAAGGATGAAATGCAGCGCAAGTACCACATACGCAGGAAGACATGTGTTTCGATGCCCATGGCACTGTATTCATAAAGCACAAATATTCCAACCCAAAGTTATATTTACGCGACCACCCTCTGCCTTTTGACTACAACTTCTTCCGCCTCGACCTGAGCCGTCTTTCGCTTTCGCAAGACTCGCAGGACAGGTACAGGTTCGGCCACGGGAGGTGTGACGGGTTCTTCCATGGACAAGATCAACTTGTGGCCTCCGATGCCTTTCCCAGCTCGTAATCGTTCCAAGCCGGCTTGGATTCCGGTTAGACCTCCGGGTAACACGTTGTACCGGGCAGGTTTGATCTTTCCTTCCAGTAAAAGGCGATGGAACGTATCCAGCAGTGGGAGAGAAAAGTCGGAATGGCCATAGAAGGTGGTGGAGAAGCTGATACGAGGGAGTTCGACCTGACGGACGGCGTCGGTAGCAGAGTCGGTGGATTTCGGGAAGCCGGCTAGAGCGACGAGCCGAGCGGAATTGGAGGATACGTCGATGCTGTGTTTCTTGCGCCACGAGGTAGATCCCTTGAGTACCTGATGACAGAGTATAGCGGTCTCCGAGCCTACATTGTCGATCGCAAGTGTCACCTAAAGAAGGTATGATCCCATCAGTAAAACGTTCGCCTACAGTCTGTTTCGTGTGCACACTCACGTCATCTCCCGTGGCCTGCCTGATCTGCTCTATCAACTCTCTGGGCTCGGTCCAGCGGTCGAGTATCACTTCGGCTCCTAAAGAACGGACGTATTCGTGATTGACGGGAGAGGCCGCGCAGATGATCCTAAATCCGAGCAGACGAGCTAGCTGGATCAGGTAGATTCCCGTGATCCCAGCTCCTCCCCAGATCAGAATCCAAGGGCGCTCCAATTTCGATATCGGCTCGGCCTCTTTCAGGAGGTCATTCAGGTCGAACTTGAGCGTCCGGAAAAGGACGACTCCGGCGGTAATCAGACCCGTCCCCAGCGTCGCCGCCTGCAAGTCGGATACGTTGTCGGGGGTATGACCGAGTTCGGCTTGATCGTGCAAAGAGTATTCTTGGAATGCGCCGGTATAGGCCTTTCCGGAGTTTGCGCAGAACCAGACCTGAGGGATTGGTCGTTTCAGGATGACAGGTGGGTGTGCACGAAGACTTTGATGTAGCGACTCACGCGATCTCCCTCTTTGAAACGGGTTACTTGCGTTCCCACTTGAACGACCACCCCAGCGCCGTCCCGGCCGATGACTTTTGGGTCGGTGGTGATCCCAAATTTGTAGGCCACCGACTGCCAGTCGAATGGGTTTAGCCCAATGTGAGTTGTCTTGACCAGGACTTGGTCGACCGATGGGGACGGTACCGGATGGGCGGCCGTGAACTGCCAAGTTTCCTGTCCTGGTTCGGCAAGCCTGGTCAAGACAGCACGCTGAGCGATAGGAACGGTCATGACTCTTGTTTCTCGAGAGCTTGATTTTGGTTGTATAGTGCAGCGAATCGCAATGGGTTCGTGTCGCTCTTGACTGCTGCTGATCGATTGAGTGTCTTGCAGGTCGGTGCAGCATATTCGCGTTGAACGCCGATTTTCCCCCAATCCCGCCCACGTTATCAGAACTCAGCATTCAATCTATGTGCAACCTCACGGACCGATATTGGACGATGTGAGATGTCGAGATGTCGTTGAATGGTGTTTCCCCAGATCTGATAACGCCGGGTGAGATTGGTCAATCGTCTTGACCAGGATCACACCATCGATACTTCCGCGTGGCGTTTCCTCTCGGCAACGAGTGTGAACAAGCGCGCGAGCACGTCAGCGGTGGCGCCGATGATGAAACCAGACGGATGCAACAACGTTCGGCGATCACGTCTTGCAGCTAGCGTTGATGTCCGAAGTGATGCGAAGGGGTATATAGTCGATACAACGGTAGGTAACATACTTCCCCACCGCCACAGGCTTACGATACCTTCAAATCCGTACATGATCCAAGCTTCAATATTTCGCCCACCTGCAATCATGCCCATCGCAACTCCCCGCCCTCTCACTCAAGGTCAAAGCGATGTCTCCCTCGACCTCGTACAGCCGTACAGCAACTTTCCTCTCAAGGTCACCGGACCGACCGTATGGAAGGCCGAAGACTTCCGCTCCAAGCCGGATCTTTGGAAGAAGCAGTGGTCGGCCGAACAGATTCGCGATTTGGAGCAGGCGTATGATCGTTTCAAGGAGAGTGGCAAGCCGATCACGGCGATCACCAAGGTAAGCTTGTTTGAACAGGAGAGAAAGCCTGAGGTCGAGATGCGATATTGACGCGATGACCTGGTCTCTGCTGCAGGAAACCTTCCCGCTTTCCAACGAGATTGCCGAGTTTCTTGCGGACATCCGATCACAGATCGTCGATGGACAGGGATTCATCTTGATCGAAGGGTTACCCGTAGAGAGCTGGGAGGTGGAGAAATCCACGGCTCTTTACCTTGCTATCGGTACGCATTTCGGGAACACCCTCAGTCAAAACGGGAAGGGACACGTTCTTGGCCACGTCAAGGACTTGGGCAACGACCCGACCCAGATCGATAGGGTGCGAATCTACTCGTGAGTTTCAGTTCGGCTTGCCTTTTCAGCTTCATCTCCTGATCTGTCCGTACATCTCGCAGCACCGCCGCCCGTCAATTCTTCCACACCGATGCGGCCGATATCGTCGGACTGCTCTGTCTGCACAAGGCCAAGGAGGGTGGCGAGTCCGACGTCGTCTCGGCCCACAACCTCTGGAACGTCTTGCAAGCCGAACGACCCGATATTGCCGAGATCTTGACCCAGCCGATCTGGTACTTTGACCGTAAAGGTGAAGTCTCAAAGGGTCAAAATGGTTGGGTGCAGAAGGCCGTGAGTCGGTCGATCGGGCGAGAACTGGCGGATAGATCTGTTCGAGCTGACCTCGATGTCGGTGCCTCGTTTCAGGTCTTCTACTTTCACGACGGCAAGGTCTTGTCCAACTACGACCCTTACTTTGTCAGGTCGATCGGACGTCACGTCGAGGCTGGCTTGATCCCGGGCTTGTCGGAAAAGCAGAAAGAGGCGATCGAAGTGTTTGAACAGACCGCTCAGCGATTGTCCTTGCACATGGTACTAAAGGTCGGGGACATCCAGTTCGTGGCAGATAGTACGTGACGTGATGCGTTCGGGTTGATCATGCACAGGATGCGGATGGCTGATAAATCTTGCCCCTTTTCTATTCAGCCCATGTCTTCCACGCAAGGACGGCATACACCGACTATGCTGCTCCGGCCCCTCGTCGTCATCTCTTGCGATTGTGGCTGGCGACTCCCGAAAGCCAAGGAGGTTGGAAGAGGCCGTTCCCGGATAGCGCTCATGACAAGCGGGGAGGGATCCAGGTCAACGATCAGGCCGAGACTTGCCCGTTAGATGCCGAATAGAATAGAGCTTGGAACGTGTTTGGATCGTTGTATAGCCAAGTGTCTTTTGGTGAAATGCCGCAATGTCGGAAATGAATTTGAAGTTGCGATGCGAGTCGTGTTTATTTCGCATGTGACTTTTGACGATTGGAAATGCGATGGTATCACTAGCGTATTCAGCTAGCATTATCTGCAACACGGTCCATCCTTCGAGGCGGGGTCTTCAAGGTACTAGCGTTGCGAATTCGAGGAACAGGTCGCCGCTTTCCTGGTCAAGCACAATTCGATGGTATGATTGTATCCGGCATCTCGCGCTTCACCAAACCGGCTTCAGGTACAACGGCCAGCCCAAGTTTGACCAATACAACGCGGAACCTCCGATAGCGGCGAGCAGGACCGTACCCTGTACGGTCTTTCGAGTGCGTCTTCGCTGGAGTTCTCGGTCGACGTCTATCCTGTTAGCGATGGGTTTGCCGTCACCACCGTCAGAAGGTCTGGCAAAAGCGACCCAGTGAGCCCAGTCGGTCGTCCTCGTCGCTTTCCACAGGCCGACTAAAGAGTACGGCACCCAGAGATAGTCAGACATCCGTCACGGACTGTATATCCCTTCTCAAACTCACTGGCATCAAGCGGATTAGGAACCGACAACCTTCCCTGCCCACCGATCCTCCACCAATTAGAACAAGCCTGGCTATTCATCGTACTCCCATCCAGCTTTTCCTGGATCTCCGCGTTGTGGGCGTCGAAATACGAACGGTCTGGTTGAAGCGAGCCGATACCGAGCTCGAGCATCTCTTTGATCAGGCGGGCGATGACCGTCGTCTGGTTCCCGATGGTGTAACCCCAGGAACCGGCGATGGCGTTCGGGCCGAGGGTCATGAAATAGTTGGGGAACTGCGTGTTTTCGAGATCGAATCAGATCAGGAAAGAAAGCGCTGTGTCAGTCCGTGTGCGAAGTGGGGATTTCGGGCTCCGGTCGGGGTCGGCGCTGTGGACTTACCCCTGGCACAGCCAAACCTCGATAACTCTGCGGCCCCCCAATCTCCTTCCAAAACTCTCTCAACTCCACCCCATCCTCCCCATAAAGCCCTACGTTCAAGCCGACCCCGTGTCTGGCCACATCGGATCCGGTAGCGAATACGATCACGTCCGCGGGGAATTCTTTCCCCGTGGTATCGATGAGGGAAGTCTCGGTGATCGAGGCGATACCGACCGAGTTGAGGGTGACGTTGGGTAAGTGGAGGGAGGTTAGCCAGCCGGCGTCGTAGGCGGGGCGTTTACATCCCAGGGCTACAATATGAGATCGGGTCGGAGGTATCAATAAGATCGAATTGGCTAAACGTCAGCCAGGTGTCGAGATCGTAAAGCAAGACCATAAACCAGCCACAACTAGATCAAGGACTCACGGTACCTAGGCATCAAAGCCTCTAAATACTCCTCCGGTGCCGTCCTCCGCAAGTAATCCAACAAGACCTTTTCCGTCTCATCGTGCCCGTCGGCATCCCCGTCGTTCCTCGTCTTCCACCGATCATTGTGTGCGGTGAAAAGCTCATAGCGATGCAGGTACCGTACGAAAGGGAGGTAGCGGTACAGGAATTGCTTGTAAACGGGGATAGGGGTGTTGTGTTTGGGGAAGTAGTACCCGCCAGACCGGATGTACTGGGTGAGCTGGACGCCGGGGGTAGAGGCTAGGCCGGGGATGAGTTGGATGGCCGAGCTGCCGTTGCCGATCACGGCTATGCGTTTGTTCTCGAAAGTGAAGTTCAAGTCCGTTTGGGTTTGGGTTATAACACGTCTCCAGTGGAGGTTGTGGAAGGCGATACCCTTGAACTTTTCTAAGCCCGGGATTTGGGGGATGAGAGGGGTCGACAGGGGACCGTTGGCTGAGATCAAGATGTCGGTGGTATGCGTATAAGTGGAAGATGGATCGCCAGGACTTTTTGTCGGCCGTAAGGTCAAGGTATGCGTTTGGGATATGGCGTCCCAGGTGGAAGAGACGTATTCCGTATCAAAGATGAAGCTGTCCAGGAGGTCTGTATAATATTATTGTGCAGGAAACATGGGTTTCAAGGTGTCAGCGGCTCGTCGAGACGAGACAGATTAGCGTAATAATATGACTACTCGCCGTGTTTCTCGATACACTCGTTCAAGTACCCCAAGACCTGCTCTTGATCGGCAAACACATGACTCCAGTCGCTCTTCGGGTCAGAGTACAGGCTGTACAGGTGGATAGGGATGTCGACCCCTGCACCGGGCCAGGTCGAGTTGAGCCATGTCCCTCCGGCGGCGTGTTCCTTTTCGATGATCGTGAGATCGATAAGGGAACCTAGTTGACGCCGCAGTTGGATGGCTTGGGAGATGCCGGATAGACCGCCTCCGACGATGGTCACTCGAGTGCGAGGTGCAGCAGGTCTTGACGGTGAAGTGAGAGTCGATGTCATGATGATGGTCGAGGTTATTGAACGACGTTACCTGCCTAGATCGCGCACACTCAGTGACCTGCTTTCGACCGTTTCGTCCATCAACCGGGCCAAGATAACGACCTGACGACCAGAGTCATCACCAGGAGCGACGATTGACGACCCCAGATCCTTACGAGAGAGTACAGTAGTCCTCTATGCTAGCACCCTGAATTGACAATAGATCGATCGAGGCTGGATGTCCGAAAAGTCGTTTTCGCTCAAATCCGACGACCTGCTCTAGATCTCCCTAAGCACGCCATCCATCGAATATGATCACACCACACCACCTCACCACCACCTACTAGCTCGGGAATGGCGACATCGACGTTAACACAATCACTGGACAGATCTGATTGACAAGGAACAAGAGGTCATATCGTCAGGTCCCCGGCCGGTGATATCGCTGGTATCACGCCATGGGACGGTAGATCATACTCGGCTCGTTATCGCTCGAAGATGGGAAATGGTCAGCGTCGAGCACGGACTTCAGAGTCGGAATCGTCTCGTGGTGAAAATACTACGTCGGCGATGGTCCTCGGGTCAGGCTTGGGAGTTCAAATGCTCGGCAAGATGAGCAGGGATTGAGGGCTTGAGCTCGTACACGTAGAAAAGGAGCAGCAGAAATCGATCAAGTCGAGGCTAGGTTGAAGATCAAGGTCAGAACCTGATCGACGTAAGGACCTACCAGAAAACTTCTTATCAGGCAACCTACCACCGTAAACACCGCACCACGATGCAATCATTCGGGACCGCCCCCTCTATCAACCCCGTTAATCAAGACGACAAGAACTCCATCCCCATCAGACCCGCGGAAGAAGGCAAGAGGAGGTGGATATTGAACGCCTTTGATATGAGCTGTGCAGGGCATCAGAGCCCCGGGTTGTGGAAGCATGAGAGGGATTGGAGTGCGAGGTATCATGATATCGAGTGAGTTTCGAGGTTTCGAGGGTGGGAGCGTGAGGGGGTGAGAGGTTTGAGGGTGTGAGAGATTTCGCGGTGATGATCGGGCTCTGTGCGATACGATCGGTCGAAATGCCTTCTTTTGCATTTATCTGAGGATCGTACAGGGAATGCTGATCGGACGTGATTTGGGGGTCCATTTTTGGCTGTAATTCAGGTATTGGACGACCGTCGCCAAGGTCCTGGAGAAGGGGAAATTCAACGGGTTGTTGTGAGTCGCATTGTTATAACATATCACGGGGGGAAGCGGAGGTGATTCGAGCGATCTTGTTGTAAGCTGACGAATGCGATTCAATTTGTCCTCGTCAGTGTGGCCGATACCCTCGGCGCCTATGACGTCTATGGGAGCAGTATCGACGCAGGTAGGTCCAACATCCAGGATAGTGCGAAAACACGTCCCGGCCGCCCCGCTGAAATCGACTCGCGACTCGGCTTGTGACACATTGGTAAAGCCGCTCGGACGGGCGCACAGTGGGGAGTGGACGATCCGACGTTGATGGTCTCTGCGGCGGCGGCGGTGACCAAGCATCTGACGTTTGGGATCACCCATAGTGTGACTTATGGTGCGTCGTCAATCCGGATTACGATACTGTGCTTCGTCTGTATAGGGGCAGATAGTTGATACCGATCTTCACGAACTTCCATCGTGCTTGCAGACGCTCCTTATGTCCTAGCGAGGCGTTTCTCCACCCTGGATCACCTCACAAAGGGAAGGATCGCATTCAATATCGTCACTTCGTACCTCGACTCGGCAGCTAGGAATTTCGGCCTGAAACATCAGATGGAACACGACGAGAGGTATCGTCGGGCCGAGGAGTACATGAAGTAGGTCTTCCGACTTTGCTGCTTTTGTCCGAAAACAACAACAAGACAGGACGAAGCTGACCACGGTGACTTGCGCGCGACGCAGCGTTCTCTACAAGCTGTGGGAGAGCTCGTGGAGGGACGATGCGGTCGTACTCGATGTGGCTACCGATACGTATGCCGAACCGAGTAGGATTCGCAAGATCCATCACCATGGCGAGTTTTTCGACGTCGAAGGGCCGAGCTTTGTCGAGCCGAGTCCTCAGAAGGTGAATCTAGGGCGGTTTGCGTCTACATCTGCAGTTGTGTGCTGACTGACACGTGTCCCGATTGGCTTTGTTTGTGGTCGTAGACGCCCTTGCTATACCAGGCGGGTAGTAGTTCGGCGGGGATCAAATTTGGAGCGAGACATGCCGAGGCCGTGTTCATGAGCGGTCCCAGCGTCAAGAAGGTGAGTCATGAACGGGGTGCTTTGGGGTGGACCCTTTGCACGATTTCGGTCAACTGACTCGATCTGGCCGCTCGAACAGATTCGTCAACAGGTCGACGCTTTGCGATTGGCGGTCAAGCAGCAGGGACGTGATCCGTTCTCGGTCAAGGTGCTCGTCAAGCTTACCGTCATCGTCGACGAGACCGAGGACAAGGCCAAGGCGAAACGTGACGAATACCACGCGCTGGCGAGTCGAGAGGGCGCCAAGGTCTTGTTCGGAGGGTGAGCATTGGCGCAAGCCACAAGCTGTTTTATCCTGAATATCGGATTGACTTCCGGCCGTTACTCGACTCAGCTGGATTGGAGGAGATCTTTCCGTCTACAGCGACTCGCAAGACCTGCGTGTGCATGGCACACCCGCTGTCGCCGGCGTGGCGCGTGGCTATGCTGCACTGTACCCTCAAGTCAAGCTCTGGAACGCGGACACTTTGGCGGATCACTTCAAGCTGGGCGGGATGGGACCAGTTGTAGTCGGCACTCCGGTACAGGTTGCGGATGAGTTGCAAAGCTGGATCGACGGAGCCGATATCGACGGGTTCAGTGAGTCTCTGACCGCGATCTGGCACGGTGCTTTCCCGCTCTGATCGCCTCGGATCTTGTCAGACCTATGCTACGCGATTACACCAGGCACATTCGAGGATATCGTCGAACACCTCGTACCCGAGCTACAACGCCGAGGCGTCCACTGGTTGGACTATCCCGAGCCGTCCAATGGCAAGCACCTGACGGCGAGAGAAGGAATATACGGTGTCGGTCAGACGAGGTTGCCAGATGATCACTACGGAAGTGCATTCAAGTGGAACGTCGGAGAAGAGAATGGTCCGGAGCTCGAGACGGGCGGTGGCGTGGCGAACAAGGCCGTGTCAACGAGCCAGACGAACGGTACTTCTCGCAAGCGCCCTGTAGCGAATGGTGAAGTAGATGCCGCGGTTGCCAAGAGGGTCAAGGTGGTTGCGTGATGAGCGTTTGTAAGAATCAGCTTGTAAGCTCGCCTCGACATGCATCGATAAGGAAATGACAACTTGTGATCTGCAATTTGGGGTCTGTAGTGTTTGGTCACGGAGAAGCAGAGTCATCGGATGTTGGTCGCGATCTGATGTGCTGAAAGGCGACATCGACCACGAAATGACGTGCTCGGCATTCATATTGCGCTACCGCGCTACCGAGATCTCAACATTCCGATCCCGACTAGCCATCGCCGATACAACAAGACGAATTCTTCAACCTTTAATAGCGCATGACCAGAATCTGCTGTTCATGTCTGTCCGAGCGCTCACGAATCACGAATAGAGTACCAACCAAATCATAGCAGAATGTCTCGAAACAATTCCGAATTCAAGGTCGCTATCATCGGTGGAGGGATCTCTGGCATCGCCCAGGCTGTCACGCTGAAACGCCAACTAGAGAACGGCGTAAACATCAAGGTGAGCACATGAATCGCACGTCGTCTCTACTGGATGCTCATCAACCTAACTGGGTAGATCTTTGAGAAGCGATCATCTCTCGGCGGGGTTTGGCGAGATGCTAAATGGCCTGGCGCCGGTGTTGATGTTCCCATCCATCTCTACTCTCTCTTCTCGGATCTCAAGAGCGATTGGACGACGCTGTTTGCGGAACAGCCCGAAGTGCTAGCCTACTGGGAGTCGCTCGTAGACAAGCACGGTCTGAGGCGCGACGTGATTTTGAACACGGAATATGTCGGTTCCGAGTGGATCAGCTCAGAGCAGCACCACGCGATCTCTTTCAGACGCAGCGACGGGTCGGCATTCGAGTACAGCGCCAATGTCATCATATCCGCCAACGGACCGTTATCAAAACCGACGATCCCAAAGCTTCCTGGGCTGGAAAAGTTTGAGGGTGTATACTTTCACAACCTGCATTGGGACGAGAACGTCGACCTGAGCAATAAGCGCGTGGCGGTGATAGGTAACGGGAGTTCCGGGATACAGCTCGTCGTGAGTACAAGAACGACAACTATGCGAGACATCACCTGACGAATCGTTGAGCAGCCTGGCGTAGCGGATATCCCCGGCGTTCAATTGACCCATTTCATACGCAGTGGGGGTTACTTTGTGCCGAAGGGTGAGAGAAGGCGCGATCGATTTATCGCTCGATTGGGTGCTCAACACGATCCTTGGCAGTCAACACGCCTTATAGCGCTGCGACAAAGCTCCTCTTCAAATATGTTCCTCTTGCTCAGCGAGCCTACCGATTCAGTCTTTTCCTCGAAGTAAATACAGATTTGGGTTTGGTCTTCCGGTGCAATTTCGTCTTAACGGCTTCCGTGTCTGACCAGAGCAACGATCGTTGGCGAGCGAAAAAGGAACCCAAGTCTCACCCGACGCCCATGGAGACTCAGCTGTTGGATCATCTCGCCAAGACCGCACCTCCGGAGTATCTAGAGTAAGTGAAGCGGCCTTGACTGCTACTGTCGACTGCCATCTCGAACGCTAATTCGATACTCCAGCGCCTTGACACCGAGATATCCGCTGGGATGCAAACGTGTCGCGTTCGACGCAGGCTGGCTCGAGTCGCTTCATCGCCCCAACGTCAATCTGGTGAACCATCCGATAGTACAAGTCACACCTCGAGGCCTTGTCACAAGCGACGGTGTCGAAAAAGAATTCGACATCATCATCTTTGCCACCGTAAGGTCGAGATCGGCTTCAATCTTAGATGCTATCGCTGACCTCGACTCGCAATTTCGGATAGGGATCAAACGTCGCGGAACACGGCGTGGGCCTGAACGTCGGCTTGAAAGGCGAAAGAGGCCAGGACCTCCAAACTCACTGGAAACAGATCGGTGGACCCAAGGCGTACATGGGAACGGCGGTACCAGAGGTGAGCGTCGAGACATGTCTCATCGAGCTCGGTCGCTCATAATCTGGCGTAGTTCCCCAACTACTTCATCATACTCGGACCCAACGCCATCGCCGGAAGTTGGGGATATACCATCGGGTGTAAAGCGCTGTTCAACGCGAAGCTCGTGCAGGCTGTGAGTCTTGGAACGCATGGTCTGTCACAACAACCGCTCATCTTGACTGTCTTTGGCAGATGATTCGCCATCAAATCACTTCGCTGCAGCCAAAGTCGGACGCCTTTGAAAAGCACAATGAAGAGCTGCAACGAGGATTGGCCGGGACCAGCATGAAGTCGACGGCTTGCGATAATTGGTGGCGAGTAGGCGGCAACGGATTGCTCAGTGTGCCCAATTCGGTTTCAGGATGTAAGTCTCCTCGTTACGACTGGGTCCGGCCTCTCGTTGATCACGTACTCGTCTCAGTCCGTCTAGCAGAGTTGACAAAGAACATTATCTGGGATGACTGGTCGGCCACGAGGTTGGACAAAAATTCCGGCAAACCGGTGGAAGTGATAGTCAAGGAGAGCAGCTCGAAGCGCACGACTTGGGCATTGGGTCTTATCACGGCTACCATGGCAGCTGCAGCGGTCTCGCAGCTCTCGGCGGGAAACTTGGTGAGTCGTTTCTTGAGCCCGGTCACGCAAATCATGATCGACTGAAGCGACTGCCATACACAGCCGTTGAAGTTTGAACAGATCGAACGATTGCTTTCGGCAACCGGTCTTTGGAGATGAGCGCGGAGGTGTTCGCCCTGGCAATGTCTTGGGGGTTAGCGGGAACTATTCGGTATCAATCGCTACCCGTATATCGTTGGACAGAGTCTCCAGGACCTTGTACATGCTTGTGGGGGAAGACGCCCTCGTTCCGTTACGGTGATCGGATTGTAAAATCGAGGTATAGATAGACCTCCACGCGGCCAGACACGATGTGTCGTTATAGCAACATATCAGCGCGGGCTTTGCCATACAATAGATGTGTCCTCCTCTCAGTTATACCACGCTGCCATGCTCGGCCATAACCTGTGTATAGTAGGTAGTAGGTATCGATCAGTCGTCTGCAATGCGGTAACAATCAGATGGCAATGTTGATCCACTGCGAGAACAGCACTCACGGGTCGAAGGCTATCGTCTTGTAGTCCCGAGGCACCTTCCTAGGGATGGTGAGGTGAGAGGGGGACCCGATTCTTCCGTTGGACCAAGGTTGATCCTGATCCGATGAATGACGGGCGGGCGAGGGTGGATCGCTAGCTATCGCATCAACAACCGAGACAGGAAGCGGTGCCATATCGTCTTCGAAGCGATCGCCAACCATGCCCATAGGTCGACCATCGTAGTCTCGGTGATCGAACTCGATCTTCAAAGTGGATCGCACGGGACGTGGAGACTCCGAATGAGGCACGAGCCCATGCCCGAGGTCATCTCGAGCTCGCTCGGCTTTGACGTTGCTGTACCTCCTCTGACTTTGGACGACAGCCTTACTCTCCCGCATCGTGTCGGAGTACTCGCAGAGAAGGCCACTTCGCACGCATCGGGTGCACGGTGCTATGATTATCGACCGGCATGAAGACGAGGTCGAAGATGATGATGAGAACGAGGTCGAGGTCGATCTTCCCGTGCCCTTCGTCTTGATCTGTTGATCGGTAGATGGTACGCACCGCGTCTTGCGCACCCGACAACTTTGACAAGCATTGGCTCGTCTGCTCAAAGGTGCCCCTCTGGTCGGAAAGGCTGGGCGGGTTGAAGAGGAAGACAGAATAATATGCTCGTCCCGTCTGGATGACGAAATGGATGATCTCGACGACGAAGATGAGGATGAGCCCGAGTTTGATGTTGAAGTTGGGGTTGATATCGACCCTGCCACTGAAAAGGAAGAAAAGGAAGGGAAGGGCGTGCCGTCGGTCTTCATCATAAGACCCATATTGTCACTCGAGCTACGGTCCTGAGCGGCGTTTGTGGGCGAGATGAGTGGATCCAATACGCGACTGTAAGAAGAGCCTCTGGCGTATGGGTCGACCAGCAGAGTGGATAGAAGGGGTGTCGGAATATGAAGCGGGGCTTTCAACATCAGATGTTGGAGTGACGGGAGAGACGTCTGGTGGGCAGGAGAAGTGGACATAGTTCATGGACGTCGACCTGGTTGAACACGGGAGGATGCAGGGAATCGGTGGAATGGAGTGCGTCCAAGGGGGTCGACGATATGTCTTGATCTTTCGGACGCGCATGCATATATCATCATATCGACGGCACCTTCCGACGATCGATAGGCCTTTAGCAGGCGGATCGAAAAAGAGCAGATGTATTGATTCTTGCTTCTTTGTCCCTTTTCGCAGCATAGGCAGTAGGCATTCAGTGTTCCGCTTGCGCTTTCCGATCTCGGCGCAATTTACGCAAGATACGACGAGGCGATGATCGAATTCGGCGCTCTTCCCGAACCTCTCGGCGATCACATTCGAGAAGCGCAGCTGGGGTCTTTACTGAACCGGACGCCATCGATCCGGGACCCGATTACCCGTCAACCGTGGGTGCTCGGCGCATCCGTCGAAGCGGTTGAAATTGTAGGAGTCGCGTTTCGATAGCGGGTCCTCTGCAAGAAGGGAGAGGATGTTTCGCGTTTCGGATGTCGGTGCGAAACGATATGATTGCGTATACGGGTAGTTCTATCAAGAAATAGACAAGTCCCGAGAAGGAAAGGGACTGCTATCTCGCCTCCCGACGAGTTTGATCGAGAGTACGTGTAGGGTTTAGGAGTGGCGGTGGGATCCATGAATTAGCGTTTGAAGACTTGCATGACCGATGACCGAGCCCGTGGGACTCTGCCGAGGTTATTTACCCCTTTCAGCAGAACGATGGCGTTCCTTTCGGCGATCAGAGGCTTTTCGATTTCGGTGACTGACCTTTCGCCTCCCCAGGGACGAGGGAACTCACCTTCTATCGGTTACGGAAGCTCGGTGACAACCCCACGCAAGGGCACATGGATGGGTTTCGGAGAGGCACGAGACGGGCGCGCGCGCGTGCGAATAAGAGCGTCGATCAATCAATCGATGACGACCTCTTTCGAAGGTGTCGGATGATTGGTTTCTTCCTCCGACATCTGCCGTGCGAGATTCTCCTTGCCCCTTGTTTCGACGGATCGTTGGAGTATCATTCGGCCGGTTGTCGAGCGACTGTACTTATCGGGACGTGACCAATACCACCGCGCTCCCCGAATACTCCGACTCCCACGCGCGGAGTTGAGAACGATGATATATACTTTCGTTGACCTCGGGGCAAACTCATTTCATGTTGGCTGCATGGCTGCACTTGTGATCGAGATCTCTTGCATGCGGTACCTGCATTCCCGTATCAAACTCAAACTATCGAGATCTTCTTCTTGTGCGGGTCTCTCTTTGATCGACGTTCTCCTTGGATCGTGATCAAGCAGGTTGGCCATTCATTGCCAGGGCCCGGTACACGCCTCTCCCCTCGACCGTCCCGCCCCACTATCACGATAGCACCTTCGTCAAACGAGATCATCTCGGCCTCTGGTGACAGGCATGGCCGACTCGGTTGACCACGTCGGCCAGACCCGTGGCGTCCGAACCTCGAGCAGGAACCTCGGGAATCGTATTCTATATCAGCAACCAGGACAACTCGTCAAGCTCGAGACATCTCCCATCGGTAGCCTCGCAGAGGAAGAGCAAGATGACGGCGACGAGGAAGGCGAAGGAAACGACGATGATACGATGAGCGTTGATCAAGACTATCATTTCTCGCAAAGCCCGCACGTCGATGGCGCTCATGCCTCACCGAGCCAAACCGACGGATATCCGCAAGTTGAAGCTGTGGAAGAGAAGATCATTCCCAATATCAATATTGTCAAACCCATCGGTACGACCTCTAAGCCTGCTCGTGTATCCAAGGTAAGCTTCCCGTTCTTGCATCAATCACGTCGCATGGATCTTGGATCCTTGGACTCACTCCCGTGTTTCCGTTTCCTGTATCACTTGCGTCGGTAGAGAAGGAACTCGACCGTCAAGCGTAAAGAACAGAGTCAGCCGGCCTTGCTGCTCTTCGAGTCGCTCTAAGCTGTCATGTCTGTCATGAAGCTGACCTTCATGCTCACTACCCCCGCCTCCCACCGCTGTCCCTGTCGAAAACTACCTCATATCCCTACAGACCGCATCGCCCAACGCGCATTTCGAATAAGGAAAAAGGTCTATCACCTCGAGCTCGAGACGAATGCGATCGAAGCGGCCGACAAGATCCGGGACATGGCGGATAGTAACTCGAGGTTGATGAAGATGGTGGAAAAGTTGCAAAGGGAGAACAAGGCAGTAAGTACCTCAATCGAGCTCAGGGAGCGATGTGGGCAGAGGACATGGGGTGGCGCGGGCCTGATTTTCGTGTCCTTTTTCGTGGACCTTGCCTTGCATCAGCTCAAGGCGACTCAGGCAAAGGCGAACCTATCGAGCGAGACTACCGACACTCAGGAAAAGGTTGAAGGGAAGGCTAAGACGGTCAAGCGTAAAGAGCGCACGGTTCAGTCCAAGTTGGGAGGGCAAAGGTCGAGCGATGCCATGTTGACCATCGACAACGTCGAGTTGAACGTGGCGGACGACCCGCTCGTATCGCTCAACGACCTTCAAGCCGGACTGAACGACTTTGAGGACAACAACAAGAACGACTACTCCGACATACATCCTGTGGAGCCGTCGTCTGTGCCATCCCCGGGAAATTACGAGACTCGATGGACGGATCCGATCCCGCCACCGTCGATGACAATGCCATCGTGGTTTCAAGAACAACAGATGTATCCGCCATCCACCACGAGACCGTCTACCAGCTCGAGTAGTTATACACCGCAGACCAGGTCGTCCTTGTCGTCACCGCTCGCTTACATCGGCAGTCTGCCAGCTCAATCGTCTGGCCGATCCGGTTGCTCACGGCCCAACACTGCGAACGCGATGGAACAACATATCGAGGTAATCAACAGTCCGACGCGTGAGTGTAGGGTTCCTGGCGCTTGTTACGACAAGGACACTCGCTCACGAACTTTGCCAGGATTGTTACCTCTCGCCGTCCTAAATCTTTAGTAGTCTGTCCTTCCGAATCGACTGCAACGCCACGATACAATCCGTTTGGCTCCCAGGGCCAACAAGGCGCGGCCAACTTTTCTTCCCGACCGCGATACTCGTCCGAGGTCGCTGCACCTTCCTTTCCGGACATGACGGACATGTATCACGATCAACAACAACAAAGTGCCATCCGAGCCGATTCGGTACGGCGCTACTCTCGAGCTTTGCAACAGCACCATCATCCCCGTCTGCATTCCATTGGAGACGACGGTGGCGTGAGGGCTGAACTTCAACTAGGACAACGAAGAGACGTCGGGAAGCAGGTCGACTTTTCGTCGCAAGGGGAGCCGTCCACTTATGGCGGCCATCACGATGTGCGGGACGTCTGGACGGGTTCGCTTCAGCCGCCCGTACAGGGCAGCACGTATGTCATGCCCCAGTCTCCTAACGTTGGACCGAACAGCCAGCCGCGGGGACCGCCATCGTGGCTCCGTCAAGGGGAGATCTTTCAACAACAGGATCACATGGAAGGAATATTGGGAGGGTTTCACTCGGGTCTTAAAGCAGAAGCTCGAGGAGGAGACGGTATGATCCCAGTGGATAGCGTATTGACGCCAGTGGATGGGCTAGGTACGATGGGTGAGTCGGCGATGGCGTGTCTCTGTCCCGCCCCATCGACAACCGCTGATGTCGCTTCGTTCCAAGTAGACTGGAATAGACGTCTGGATTGGCAAGAGAGGGACCACGCGTGGAGCGACGTGTACGCTCTGGACACGTCTCATCTTGTCGATGGACAGCAAAGCGGTAGAACAAACATGGCATTCGATGTTCTCGATGACAAGGCATCCCATGTGCGTCGATGAACACAAGCGCACAACCGGGGCCGGTATGCTCTCATCGCTCGTCTCGCGATATTGGGCGTCGACACTACTGTATAGCTTCCCGAGGACCGAATATGTACACGCCGGGTTAGAGCGCGGTCAGCAGTGCAATATCTAAATCGCGTCCGACATCTAAAGTCTCTTCCAAGACTATGACTCTCGCTATGAGCCGCCAAAAGCGATCGCCATTATTTCGCGGAAGAAACGTACCTCGAGAAGCCGATGTTGCACCTGAATACCTCCGCTCGATTACCTAGCTTCACCCTGTCATCGGCGCTGCGGCTCTTCCATGTCAACAAGCCGTTGTCAGCAACGGGTCCTCGCTCTTCATACTTGGATATGTCAGATTCGAAACCAGTTCGCCCGGTGGAGGACTTGGATTTGCAGGCTTGCCGTTCGCTGCCGACCGAGAGTCTCGGGAGTGTACGCCCCCCACGTCCAGAGCAGAGTGACATATGCTGCCAAGAGGAACTTCTACGCGCACGGGGTTAGGGTTTAGGGACGGGAGCCGCTAGAGGACCCTAGATGACGATATTAGTCTACACCGACGGGAAGGGACGATCGAGTCGATTGCTCATCTACGATCTGATTGCTCATCCAAGGTGCAATGCTTGGTTTGGTCTGCTATATAACAAATCTACAGATGTAGTCCTCGATTGACCAGTTCTCAGAAACGCACAAGCCTACATCCACTCATACTTCGAACAGACAGATCCTCACTCCCGCACCGACAGCATGGCCGTAAAACTCGAGTGGACGGTAGGCACTCTCGCTATTAGCCGTTGATGGCCGCTTCGGCTGACTCCTGCGTGCTCTCGAATCGTCCTCCAGAAATTCAGCAACACTATCAACGGCAAGCTGGTCGGCACGGCTGAGACCCGACATGGAATCAACCCGAACGACCAGCAAGCCTTGCCCGAGGTAAGCCTGTATGTCACATTCGGAGACGTCATTCGTCTGACCGCCGTCATCCCCTTCCTTTTGATCGCTTCGACAGGTCCCCGTCTGCACCAGGGTCGAAGTCGATCAAGCGGTATCAGCCGGGAGACAGGCGCTCCCCTCGTGGAGGGCACTGTCTTGGGAAGAACGAGCCAATTATCTGCTCAGGCTCGGTGATGCCATTGAGGCCAACAGGGACGGCTTTGTCAAGATGCTTCAACTCGAGGGCGGCAAGCCGGCCTCCACCGCCGGCATGGAAGTCCAGATGGTTCTCGACGCCCTGCGGGCTGTGGTCAAGCTTCGGCTCGATGACGAGATCCTCATAGACGATGAGATCAAGTCGACTACGCTCCGTCATATGGCCATCGGCGTGGGTGCCGGTTTGGTCCCGTGGAACTTCCCCATGTATCTAGGTGAGCACCAGTGGAAAAGGTCCAAGTCACCAGACGGCGCGCTGAGCCCTCCGCCTGTCTCCTTTTCTCACAGGCAACGTCAAGACGGCGCAAGCGTTACTCACGGGCAACACTTTCATCATGAAGCCTTCACCTTTTACGCCCTACTGCAACCTCAAGGTTGGCGAACTCGGGATCGATATCTTCCCGCCCGGCGTCTTCCAGGTCATTTCTGGCGCGGACGACCTCGGCCAGATGTTGACTGAGCACACGGGGATCGATAAGATCAGCTTCACCGGCTCTACGTTCACTGGTACCAAGGTGATGCACAGCTGCAGCAAGACGCTGAAACGGGTCACGCTCGAGCTTGGAGGCAACGACGCGACCATCGTCTGCGAGGACGCCGACCTCGAGAAAGCCGTGCCCACCATTGGTACCATGGCCTTTCTCAATGCGGGACAGGTCTGCATGGCCATCAAGAGAGTCTATGTACACCACAGTATCTACGACGAGTTCAAGAACAGATTGGTGGAATTTGTCAAGAATAACATGAAGGTCGGGGATACGTCTGATCCGAACACTACCATCGGACCCGTGCAGAACAAGCTGCAGTTCGACAAGGTCAAGACGTTGTACGAGGACATCGAAGCTTGTGGTTGGAAGCCTCTGCTCGGTGCCAAAGTCCCTGAGCTTGATGGGGAGAACAAAGGATATTTCATCTCGCCCGAGATCATCGATAATCCGGCCGACGACTCGAGGATCGTCGTGGAAGAACCCTTCGGGCCAATGTAGGTAGCGGCGGCGGCGGCGGCGGCGGACGTGTGCGAGTCGAAGATGACGTGATCACTTTACTGATCTCGTGCGTCCCAGTCTTCCTCTGTTGAAGTGGTCGAACGACGACGAGGTTCTCGACCGGGTCAACGACACCCTACAAGGGCTGGGGGGATCCGTCTGGAGTCGAGACTCGGAAAGGGCTACGCGCATCGCCCAAGCCATTCAGTCCGGTTAGTCGTCGCGGTGTAGTCATTCCTCTGTCTATCCTCACGCGGGACCATCTCTGTACACCTCATAGGGACCGTCTGGGTCAATGGACATGGCATGATCGAGGCCGGTGGTAAGAGAGATTCTTTCGAACGACATGATATATACACCAAGCGACTGACCCGCTGCACACTGTCACAGTCCCGTTCGGCGGAATGAAGGCGTCTGGGATGGGTCGCGAGTTTGGGCTCGACGGGCTCAAGGCTTGGGTTGAGCTTCAGGCATTGTGGGTGATGAAGTAGTGAGGCAGAATGTCTTTGTAAGGAGATCTCGTTGAGCTTGCAGCGGAGCCGTTTGTAACCGAAATATACGATGTCACGATTTCGTTCGATGAGGATTATTGAATGTCTGAGCGCGCGAAGACGAACGGCGCGATCTCGGGACGTTTGAGGTCGCACGGTTGCGGTTGAGAATGTAGCCCAATCGTCTGCAGGCTCGAAAGATTGCCACCAATTACCAAGGGGCTTGTAGACAATTGCTAGGTACAACGGGATTTGGCGACGATACCGATGAAGTGAAGAGTGATGGAGCTTCTCGATACCGAGACGACCCCATAATCACCCCTGCGATGGGTACTATGAGTCATTAATCACACGAATCATTCCAGGTGGCGTTCTTCGACTCTGGGCAAGTACTGTATTTGAAATGGTTTCCTGTCGATTGAAGCTTTCGATGATCGTTAGGGCGGATGCCACGTTCAGAGTTGGCCGAGGAGTGACACGGATACGAACAAGTTCGATAATGGTTTCGTACAATCTGCTGTCTCGTCCTGTACATTACTCGTTGTCACATCGCTTTTGTTGCTAACAGATCCTCTCGATTCCCTATAGCCTACCCGAAGAACACACAATCATCTTCTGCGCTAACCTAGCTACTACTGTTTCTATACGACGGTCAAGGAGACCACTTTGGACTTGCTAACCTTGCCACGACGTCCCCAAGGTCTGGTCAAGTGAGCAAGCAGAATTTGAGCAATCTGCTACTCTCCGCGAGTACGTACGCACATCCCAGGTTCGACTTACCGGTTCAAAGGACTGGCGGGGCCGTTGAAGATCAACAGATCATAGAGGAAACATCCCAGCAGGCCCCCCACGATGGGTCCCAATGCGGCAGTGTAGAACCAGTAGCCCGATCGGTAAGTCCAGATCGAGGATGGGTATCCAAATATGCTCGCCGCTATTCGAGGACCGATGTCTCTAGCAGGGTTCATGGAATAGGCAGTCTGCGTGCCGAGCGAAGCGCCCAATCCCACGATGAGGAAAAGTAGGATGAGACCGTTCATACCGGCAGGGACAGGATTATTATTGGCGTCGCCCATGGCGAGAATGACCATTAGTAATATGCATGTGGCGTAGACCTCGGAGAAGAAACAGCCTGGTGGAGTGCTCAACGCTCAGCACACACTTGACGAGAAGCAGCATACATGCCGAGTCGAGACGCTCACTGATGTTGGACATGTAAGATTGCGCGGCGGTGAAGAACAAGCTACCGGTAGACGTGGCTTCACCAAAGGTCCTTACTCCATATCCGCCCTCAAACTGGTTGATCAAGTTCCAATAGTTGGCTTGAATGAGCAGACTTCCGACACAGGCTCCGAGGATTTGAGCCGCCGCGTAGCCTGGAACTTTCCGCCAAGGGAATCCTCGGAATGTAGCCAGACCGAGAGTGACAGCCGGGTTCAAGTGAGCACCAGAGATACCACCGGCGACGTAGACTCCGCACATGACGCCGATTCCCCATCCGAAAGAAATGGACAGGTAGCTCCCCTGAGTAAGGTTGGAGACCACGACTTGACTGCGGGGCGATAGCGCGCGCTATGAGCATCGATTGTTTCAGACGCGCGCGCGTCGAACTCGGGTAACATCGGACTTCGCCAGTTGACACCATTTCCAAACGTGATCATTACGGCTGTGCCCAAGAATTCTCCAAAGTATTCCTTCATCGAAGTCCTGATTCGCATGAGGGGATTGACGTCGGTGGACGTCTTGGCGATGACCGTCACCAATTGTTCCTTTTCCGTCTCTGGCGCATGTTCCAAGTGTTGGACATCTTGCGAAAGCTTTTTAGCGATCGAGCTGCTAAAGTCTGTCGTTGTCGCTTTGTTGTAAACCGCGGTCAGGGGGGGAGGGGGGAGGGAAGAATATCCCAGATGACGCCCAGGCCTCACAATGCAACTGCAGCAGATTATGGACCTACATCGGGCGCCCGCTAAAATTGGTCAGCGGTTTCGAATCTCTCACTGATGTCACTCGCGCTGTTTCATCCCAGGCGGGTGCGATACCCGATCAATCGGCTTCCGGTCAGAGAATGATTTACGAGCGATTCCTCGGGTCGCCATTGCAGCGCTGTGTTCTGGGTAACAGGTACGGTCATCTGAGCCCAGTCGATCTTGGCTGTGCTCTCAGCCTCTACAACGGGATCAAGTCTGTCAAACCTGTAATTAGACTTTCGTAATCGAAACGCCCCAGCCGCGCGCGAGCGGCATTGGCCGCCTTCATGTGCGAGACAACCTCAGAATCAACTCCACAGACGGGGCAGATGGCGGTCCCTGTGCTTGTAATATCGATTTTGCTTAGGTGAATCGACCCAGTCTTGTCATTGTTGGTGTACTCGAATTCTGTAGAACAAAGATAGTCACGCAGCCACCTCTTTTACGGAGTTGAGCGGCCGCAGCAGTCGTAAGCGCGTTCCGAGGCGCAGATTCCGCCGTTTCGCCCTCGAGCCGTACTTGGCCAGTATCTCCGCCGTCCTGATCAGCAGTAGCCGGTCTCACCCAACATTATCGTCTGGCCACTCGTGCAATGCTACTCTCGGCTATTTCCTACTCGGCGTCGATGGAGTGACGTCCGGCCCGCATGATCTGCCTGTCTACCATCTCGAGCCGGTTCGTCGAGTCCGGGCCGGCCACGTCTCGCAGGATGGCTGTATACATGAGGTATGTGTGTGGACGTCCCTTGGTCAACACCGGCTCTTCCAGGATGGTACTTAATGTGACTTGATCTCATGACCAGGTTACTGCCACGATTGACGATCCGCTCATTCGCCATACCCTCTCCAAGCCATCTCGCATCACCTCGATTCTCGAAAAGCTCATCCTTGCCAAAGATACAAGCACACTCCTATACAATCGTACCACTGACTACACAGACCCGATCTTCGAGCACCATGGTTTCCGCCAACTCTGCAGCTTCTTCGTCGACGCAAGACCTCATCATCTCGGTTGACATCGGGACCACCTCGATCCGAGCTATCGCCTTTAACAAACTGGCAGAGGTTGTCAGCACTGTTCAAGTCGAATACGATCAAAGTACGTCAGAGCCAACGCGACGCGTAATACGGCCGCTGATGTGACTTGATACGCCCGCTGCCCTGCCACAAACGTGCTTCGCGGTTCGTCACACAGTCTACCCTCATCCAGGATGGCACGAGCAGAAGATGACCGACTTGATCGGGACCGTCTGGAGCTGTCTCGATGGGGTCGCCGAAGTGAGTCAAAGCGCGGTCGACGGCGGCCTTGCTTCATGCGTGCTTTCGATTGCCTTCCACTGTGAATTGACAATATCCGCGCCGTTCACAATTATGTTAGAAACTCGAGGAAATGCATTACAAACTCGATCAGGTCAAGGGAGTCGGTGAGCCGGTCCTGACCTTGACTCTGGCGATCGAGCCTTTGTCTCTGACGCAGCATGTCATGTGCTTTGCAGGTATCACTAACCAGCGAGAGACCACCTGCGTCTGGAGTAAAAGTAAGGGCGAGGGAATATGCAATGGTAGGTCGATTTCAGATCCAACATCCCTGCACACAAGGATCTGACAAGGGTAAATCATATTCCTTTTCGGGTCACTTCTGAATTCCTCTTCGCCTCGACTCAACCGCTTCGACCCACAGCAATCGCTTGGCCCGACACCCGTAACACCGACACCATCCGAAAGTTGGCCGAACAGAGTGACAAGGGTCTCGACGCTCTCAAAAAGACTACCGGATTGCCCTTGTCCACCTACTTTTCCGGTCCCAAGCTCCGATGGATGATGGACAACGTCCCCGAAGTCAAGGACGCCCACGATTCCGGTGATCTCTACTTTGGTACGGTCGACTCTTGGGTTCTGTGGAACATGACTGGGGGTCTTGATGGCGGTGTCCACTTGACCGATTGCACCAACGCCTCTCGAACCATGTTCATGGACTTGGAGACTCTCGACTGGAGCCAGGATTGTCTCGACTTTTTCGAGGTAGATAAGGGGTGCCTCCCGAAGATCGTCAGCAACGCCGAGGTCTTTGGCAAGGTGTCTCAAGGCAAGTTCAAGGGCTTCCCCATTGCCGGTTTGATTGGGGACCAGCAGGCAGCGCTCGTCGGTAACAAGGCAGGTCTCGATTGATGATGTTCTTGGCGAGTTACGCGCAATGGCTGACTCGATCCTGACGTCTGCTTTCAGTGAGTGTATCGAGACCGGATCAGCTAAGAACACCTATGGTACCGGTGCCTTCATGTTGTTTAACACGGGTCACGAGATAGTACCCTCGACTCACGGTCTCTTGACCACGGTCGGCTACCGCTCGTCTCCCCAGTCGAAGCCCGTCTACGCTCTCGAGGGATCGATCGCCGTCGCTGGATCATCCGTCAAGTGGTTGAGAGACTCGATGGGATTGATCGGTGATTCGTCTGAAGTCGGTCGACTCGCCGCCGAGGTCGAGGACGCCGGCGGACTCTTCTTCGTTCCAGCGTTCTCTGGCTTGTTCGCTCCTTACTGGGACGACCAGGCCAGCGGTTGCATTATCGGTATCACCGGATATACCACCAAGCATCATCTCGCTCGGGCTACCCTCGAGGCGACTTGCTTCACGTGGGTCACACGATAAGATGTGGCGATCGTCGAGCCAGGAGATTGACCAGTCCCTTTCGTCATTCATCTCTACAGCACCAAGGCAATCCTCGACGCCATGGCGAAAGACAGCAAGACCACTCTGTCTGTCCTGCGAGTCGATGGTGGAATGACCAACTCGGACATTTGTATGCAGCTCCAGAGCGACATTCTCGGAATATCGGTCGAGCGACCACAGATGAGGGAATCGACCGCTCTCGGATCGGCCATCTGCGCCGGTGTGGCTCTCGGCCTGTGGGGCTGGTCGATGGAGGACCCCGCCAGTTTATCCCGGGTCAACACTGCCGAGGCCACCATCTTCAAGCCTCAGAAAGACGAGGAGGACAGGGAGATTCGATACGAAGGTTGGAACCGTGCCGTCGAGAGGAGTCGAGGATGGAAGAACCCCACGTTTGTACGTGCCAAGTCGGCGTTCCAGAAGGACGAAGTCGTAATCACTCGGGGGAACTAGATGCTGGAGCGGGTTCCTGCTTGGGTGTTCGTCAGACTTTGAAGTAGAGTCGATAGCGACCTGTTGTAATCGGTTAAAGAAACGTTTTCGCTGACAGAGATATGTCGTTGCGTTTGAGAACGATGATGGGTTCCTTGTCTAGCTGGTCTCGTCGTTTGCGGTGCGATCTGACCCGTATTGACGTGTTGCAGGGCGACGAGCCGAGCATCGTAAGGGTAGATGCCCCGAGATTGCAGATTTCCTATGACAAGTCCCGCAAATCCAAGTCGACGTATCCTTGTCGTATTTGGCCTGTGCGTGTTCCACAAACTGATGTTTGGCTTGCATGGCTTGGCGAGTTGCTCGAGACTGTACAACGTTTAGCGCAAGACGCATTCCGCTCGAATGACAATGAATCGGCACCACGATACAAGCGATACTGGAAGCGTCGTCGACCTCGTCTTCACCGAGCTGTTCATCCGATTCACCCGCTATACCATGGGCCTGAATCGGAACATTCCATCCCGACCGTGTCGCCATGTTGAACAGGTCGTCGGCCAAGGCCCGAAGCAAGTCATTCATGCCATGCGGGAGGTGGCGGGTTTGAAGCGCTAGGGGGCGAGCTGCCGATGTGCTTGGAGATGACGTTTCGACGAGATGATAACTCGGGTGTCGATGAGTAGTTGTCAACAGGATCGACGATCTGGTCTGCGCCGACACTCTTGGTTCCATGAGGTCCGTCGGAAACACCGGGGGAAATGTTTCCGACTGAGAGAGTTTAACCATTGGGTATGCATGGCACAGCTTCAACGATATACGAACAATGGCTTAAAACCTAACGAGATAGATACAAGGTTGATGGAGCCGTTGACTGGCATGCTCGAGGGCAACGAAGGGCGATCGCAGGCGCACGAAACGACCGCATAGTCCGAGGGAATAACGGCATGCGACACATGAACCCTGATGACGATAACCTTGAAAGGGACGAGGTCCGAAAGGTCGGATATGCAACAAGTGGCGATGCTAGCGACTTGGGCGAAACGGTTTCCTCTCCAATCGCGCACCGGATACCACATCGAAATCGCGGCTTGTAGCGCCAGCCGGTCGATCGTCCTTGCGTCCGTCTGTATGTGTACGTATGCGCTGCGGTAGCAGTTCAGGCGAGCGGTCGAAAGCTGCTGTTAGATCTCCGCCAGGCTGAGCGATCGCAGTTGCAGGTTTCAGTTGCGTGGTTATCGATGTATATGTATCACGCTCCAGCGAGGGAGTGTCGAAAACGACGGGTGTCCACAAAGGTTTGAGTCGGCGATCTCTCCCCTTCCGTATTAGTCGTCTGGATCGGATCAGAGAAAGGCCGGGAGTGGAGCTGCTGCTTCGATGTATTCGTATCTTTCAAGAGGTGTTCCGACCTATGTGCTTCGGGTTGATCGCAAAGGGTTCCGTTCAAAGAGCGTACTGGCTTCGAGACGAGTCGTGCTCATGCGCAAGAGGAAAGTTGATCAGCGGATATGCCAGCGGACCAAGGGTAGTCTGGATCCGCCCGTCGTGTCCTTTTTGCTTGCTGACCGAGAGATTGTTTTCGTATCGGCAAGTCGAGTCGAATCGTCGGCTATGCGATACGGGTCGCGTGAAAAGACCGTGCTGCGTGCAAGCGACAGGGTTATCTGCAAGCAGCGGGAAAGCACCGAGATTATGAGCTGGATATCCCTTTGCGATCGTGGGCGTGTGCTTGACTCGTACTTCGAGCACCTCCGAGGAACAGGAAATCTGACTGCTACACACTCACTGAGACGAGAGATTGACCGACCGTAACGTATGCGAGACCTCTGCCGAAGCTAATACTCGCAACCCGGTGATTCCGTATGACCTTCCTGACGACCAATCATTCACGGTTTCTCCCTCAGGAAACGCAGTCCGTCCGCGACCGTAGAATCCTCGACTCGTGTCTGTTCTGACTGAGGACAACAAGTCGATCCGAGAGTTGCTGGACGTGCCCACGTACGCACGAGACAGCCTTTATGATTGCGTATCCGAGTCTCGGCGAGATGGTCTTCAGGACCGCTTGCGAGTGCTCCTTTCTTGTCAAGTAATCACTGCGTTTGAGCTTGGCTGCTGCCTCGCTTGCTTCTCCGATGATAACACGTTCACGTACGTCTTGTTCAGGTTGCTGACATTGCTGGTGGGCGGAGATGGGTTGCACACGTGTGCTCGACGTGATCCGACCTTGGACGGCGAGAAGGTCGACCATCAGAACGTTCTAGGTGTTCTGTTCCAAACATGATTGTTTCTGTTCTCGCCTGTCGATCCCTCTGACCGGAAAACGCTCTAGGGCGGTGTATGATCTCGATCCTGAGAATAGACTAGTTCAAAGAGGCCGTAGGAACTCGTTCGCGATGTCGATCTTCGCTGTTGATGAAATTAATGCTCCAGGCGTTCACGTTATAGAGCCGGCGACGACGCCATCCTGATGCTTCGTGGTACGGATTCCATGACGGTATGGAAGACGAGAGTCCAACAAGCAGGGTGAGATGAACGTCGTATGATGGAGGTACGATCCGGAACTTGTGGTTCGAACGAGATCGCTGTTCTTTATCTTCGGTAGATCGCAGGGGTCGGTCTTTTGATTGTAACAAAGCCGTTGTTGTTCGTACGATCCTGTGAACCAGTAGAGGGGGAGCGACGATAGGTCGAACGACGTCTGTGAAGCTGAGCAGATCGTTTGGAATCGAGACGGGGTCGATTGTCTGCTGGCGGACTTGGCGACGTGGAGATCGACCCGTCAAGCCGTTCTGGACCGGGGAGTCAACTTCTCGAGGGTATTTAAGGATGCTGGAGACGATGTGAGGGTGGTCTGGTGGCGGTGGAGACGATATTTGAACAGTTGTTCAGTCAACTCCGAAACGCAGAAAAAGAACTACGAAAGTGACCATGAGATGATATGATGTATATGATGACGATGTAAACGCGTAAAACCCAATGCATGTCATTTCCCCAATTTGCACCTTGCGCACGTTGCGAGGCCTTCTTCCTTCGTCCTTCAGCCATATATTCAATCTTGTGTTCTAGAGTTCTTGAACGAGACCCTACCAAACGTGATCTTCGGAATCGCCTCATTGCAATTCGACGTTCACCTTCTGTACTGGCTGCCCACGGACACTCCGGGATCCGTCCAACTATAGGGTGATTGACAGGCGGTGAAAACACGTTATTTACACCGCCTATGAGCCTAATTTAGTATCGACTATGACACGTCATACAGGCGGATGTTTGTCGGCGTTTTCACCGTGTATCAACTTAATGAAATTACTTGGAAATTTCAACGCCTTCACAGACGGTGTATAGTCGATCTCATAGGCGGTGTATAGGAGGTCCATATTAGTCTCATAGACGGTGTAAATAGGGCTCATAGGACTTCACTAGGCCCTCGACCAGCCCCCCCGGATCCGACCCTATCGGCAGCATATTTCGTTCACCGGATACAAATTCATCTGATCGCTCACAAACATGCCGAACTACAAAGTACACAACACCAAGTCTAGCGATCTAGCGAGACTTCGACTCACCACAATGCTACGTCGCCACTGCATCGAACCTGAATGATGGCACCCTAATCAGCGAATCCAGACCTAGTTCATGAAATAATAATAGAAATCAAAAGAGGAGAAGTCACTCACTCAGCCAAGCGCGAGTTCCGATCTCCGGAATGTCTTATCAAACCCCCCGACAATCTGTTCAGTATACCCCAACCCCCCGAGCAAGCGGCTCAGCATCAAGTTCCCGACAAACCCTCGATGGTCTGGACTCACCTTTTCAGTATCAGCAACAAACACCTCGCAGACCCACGGCCCAGACCCGTACACCTTCAACCGCCGGTAGCTCTTCTGATCACCGCGACCCACCTCGTCTACTCGCTGCCGGTACCCCTCGAAATGTAACACTACTTAGACAAGGGGATCGCACCGACAGTGAGGGTTATCGATCCGACCAGAGTAGCAGGGAAGGATCAACTTCCGGTAGAGAGGGTCGACGTCGGGAACAGATGAGGTGTTTGGAGTTCCGAGAGCCGGTGTTGATGTCGGTGGTGCTGGAAGGACCGGAGCGCAGGTGAACAAAGGTTATCTGGGAACGAACGGACGCAAGACTCTACCCACATCACACAACTTCACGGTCCCGTTCAAGAATCAAGCGCAAGCATCATCATCTCGTCAGCAGACTCCTCCCCGTACCTCGCAAATGCCCGATCAACATACCCCTCGTCCCGTCAATCCCCCACGACAGGTACCTGCCGGCGAGCAGCAGCGTCAGCTGGGGAACCTCCTCTCCTCCTTGCAAACGGGCCAACAACAACTGACAGCTCAGGTGAAACAACTGCAAGAAGATCTCGTGCGACTCACACAATCGAATGCGGCCAAGGAGTCGGTCATCCACAAACAGGCGGGTATGTTGAACGCGTTGGAGACGAGGCTTGCAGAGACGCAGGCAAGGGTGACGGAGCTCGAGGCGGTAGCAAGGCAAGGAGGGCTCGGCGAGGGTGGAGAGAATGAAACGGCAAAGGATGTCAGCAAAGCGATCAGCGCGGCCTTGAATATCTGTTATGGATGCAACCCACCAAAGGCATATCCGGCGGAAGGCGAGGTATGGCCCAGGCTGAAGAGCGCTAGCGGACAGGCGGATGGCGACCCTGCAATGCGTTGGGATTTCAGCCAATCGTTACTTCATGAACACAACATTCCTGAGACGTAAAAACTCATCAGCGTCCTCCAAAACCAGTTCGATCTGCTCCCACTCACCTCCGACGTAGCCCGAGAGTCCCTCCCTGCATACAAAGACGCCGTCGACCTCTACAACACCGCCATCGCAAAGAAGTTCAAACATCTGTCTGCATCATGGAAGCGTAAACAGATCAGCGAATGGAGCAAAGGAGATGGACGCCGCGACGATCTTCTTCAGGAGATTACTCAACTCGAGGAAGAACAACAGACCGAAGGGCTCGAAGAGAAGAAAGCGTTGTTGTCGATCATGGACGCTGCGGCTGCCAAGCCAGAGAGGCAGAATCGAAACAACATGCGAGCGAAGTTGACGGTAGTGAGTGGCATGATTCTGTGCGATAACACGAAGCCCGACTGACCGATCTGCCGCGTTCCCGATGTTCCAGATGCAAAACTATATGACAACAAAGCGCGCGTTGATGTCAGAATATCAGGGAGACGAGTGGAAGTGCTTGGAGAGTCTGTACGTACAGATCCCTCCAGTGACCAAGAGTGGAGCGAATGGGAAGGGCAAGAAGACCTGGCACTGGCCGCAAAGAGATGGTGTATACTCCGAAGAGGTAAGCGTCGGCAGTTCTGTGGGAATCTTATTGTCTCGTCGCGGCTCACCTCGATCCTCCTCTTGCATCAGTTCCTCGAAGCCTACTATGCTGTTTACGACAATCAAGAGGCCTCCACGGGAAAGGTGACCGGTACCACCATCAACCCTCCTCCTCCCGGCTGGATCCCGCCTGTCGCACAACCATACCTGCCCTCGAGCTACGAATTCCTACACCTCGCTCCGCAGAGGTGGATGTTCACGGAATCTTGGATCGAGGAGAATCCTAAACTGCAAATGAGCGTCATCCCGATCGGTCGTCCTACCGACCCCGAGGTTGTCAAGGCATCCGTCTGGTACCGGTCCCATGCTTGGGCTCTCGGCAAGAGCACAGGGACGAAGCGAAATCTCTCACAGTCTACCATTGCCTCCACCTCAACCTCTCGTGGAAGATCGATCAGCGTGATGCCAGGCGAATCCGATGGGGACCGAGGGAGATCGATTGAGCCAAAAAACCCTGCCAAGAAGCGCAAAATCGTTACTCAGCCCAGCCTGTCCCAGGTCGCCGAGGACGAAGAAGATAGAGCTCACACCGACGATGACGACATTGAGGTAGCCCGTTCCGCCGGTTACCCCTCGAACAGCGGTTCTCGACAGCCAGGGATGACTGTCCGAGCCGAAGCATCTCAAGCTACTCACAGTCAAGCGTATCGCATGGATACCCAAGAAGATCTGCCTGACATTCCGCGCACGTCCATGACGGCATCCGCTTGGCAGCCGGCGAGGAGTCCGGCTCATGATTACGAAGATGATACCGGCCTTGTCCTCGACAATACCTTCATGGATTCCCTGATGCGACCCTACGAACAGAACCAGATGGAGAACAATCAGCAGAATCTCGCTGGGAAGAGTCAACCAGCGAATGCCGACGTCAACATGGAACTCAGTCTCAACGACTACATCAACTTCGATCTCACCCAGACGATTCCCGGTACGATCCAGACCGACACCATTATGTTCCAGTGAAGGTCGCCATGTCACGACAATGATGAGAGTGAGTGACATGCGTATTATACTATGACAGTCAGTCTGTGAGGCGGGAAGAGCTGACGATCAGGACTGCTGCTATTTTCTCCAGATGCAACGAACACCTCCGCCACCACTTACGAATCGACTACAACTGGCGTTGAGCAATGTAAACAATTAGATCTGTCCTCCCGCTATTGTAACAGGCGGGCCAAGAAGTGTCCGTGTTGATGAGCATGTCGGATCATATGGATTGATCCTTGACTCACCGCTCGACCAGGCCGTGCGATCGGGATCAGAACTCCTGGTCGTCGACATCGGCATCCTCATCGACATCTTGGTCGGCATCGGCGTTGAGCCAGAACTCTGGCTCTACTCCGTCCTGAGATGGTAACAGATCCAGGCGATATGATTAGTCGTCTGCGCCTCATCCGTACTCCCGCTATGCTGCTATGACTCACCTTCTCACAGGACGTGGATACCAGGCAAGGCCCATCAGCATGAGTCTGCAAGGGGGTTACGATCGTCGAAGCTTTCATGTTGTCGATAGGGATGAAGGTCGATCGTTTGAAGATTCTGCGGTAGATCCGTATGCCCAGGTCAATCGATCTGCGACAAGGTTGTGTGGTCAGCCCCTGCTTGCTCAGCGTTCCAGTACGGGTTGGGGTTTACCGGTATTGCCACGGGTACAAGCCCTTTGCTTCCTCCAGAAATTCCACCAACGCCAGAGTCAGTTGTAGCGGCTCCCGGATATGATCGACACGCAGCCGAATGCTGAGGAAGAGCTTCAGTCGACAGAGGTGCCTCGGTCCGTTCGGGTCTCCGACGCTTCGGGAAGCCAAGGCGTATTGATCGGAGCGAGTTCTGCTGTAGAGCTCGCTGCAGAACCTGTCAATTGCAGATTAATGAGATCGTTGTCACCCCGCTCCCGCTTGCTTCGCCCTACTTACTTGAAACCTGTGTACACGGCATGCGTGTAGATTTTGTATGCTGTGGACCGAACGGGAAGACACGGGGCATCACCCATGACGTATGCAGCGTCTGCAAAGCCATATTGAGGATAGTTGGTCTGGACGTACTCCAACAGAGGCCTGTAAGCATGAAAGCGTTGCAGGTCGATAACATGTCCCTTTTCCAACGGTGTCGGCAAGCGAATTTGGTGATTCGCAGCGTTCCCCCTAGCCTCGGCAAGCATCAAAGTCCCCTGCACAGCGGCTTTGTCGGTTAAAAGCGTCTCCAGGGCCGCCTTTTCGGTGATAGTAGCGTCGGGGGCGGGGTTGCTGATTTTCGCGGCCAAGAGGAACTCGAGAAGCCAGATTCGTAGACAGGTCGATGCGACGTCCCTTTCTAAACCGTTGTGGTTGATCTTTGCGAGGGCTCCATTATTTCTCTCGAATGCCCACGTTCCGAATCCGGTTAATGGACCATACATCATGACGAACTTAGGATAGTGCATCGCTAAGTGCCAGTTGATGGTAAGCCTTCCCCCCATGGCTAATATCGCCGTAGCAGAGCTGGAGATATCCCTTACAGCTGCGTTGGCTGTATTGAGGCTGATTTCGTGTGAATGAAGAGTTCTGATACCGCAGCATAGCGAGATCGCCGCCTGGAACCAGGACAGACGGCTCGGTCCGGGCGCGTCTCCATCCTGTTCGTCGAGAGGTTCCTGTGAAATGTCATCGCTATCGTGGCACCTCCACGCGTTGTAGAGAGCGACGGGAAGTAGCTGCATGACTCGCTTCCATTGATCGGCTTTGAGACCACCACCTGCGGCCTTCTTTCCGGATATGGTCGCGAACTGTTTGGTGATGCGCTTTGGCAGGCGTCCCAGATGACCGGGGTATTGGCTGGTCTCGAACACCTGTCGGAAGTCCGTGATTGCAGGATCGTCCCCATCGAAGAGTCCCATCTCGAAGATCAAGTTGACGAACCGCTTGGAAATACCGAGGAAGGAGTTGTGCAGCGGATCAGGGGGATTCGTTGCCGAATGGTCATAGCCCAGGAGACGGGCCATCGGCGAAAAGCGGACTCCGTATTCCTGTTCTATCTCTGCGCGCCTGGCTTCATTCGCGATCTCGTATTCAAAGGCGGCTCTTAGGTGTTCGCCAGGGTCGTTATCTACGAACTCTTCGTGTAAGTATCCGGTCGGCTCGTTGATCTCCTCCTTCTTCAGGTTGCAGTGATGGCAAGGTCGATGTTTGTGGCTGTGGCCGACAGTACCGGCTAGTTTGCGTGTAGCAGGCAAATCCGAGGCGTTGAGTAGCACCCTTGCTTGCACGTAGATTTCGTGACGAGGAGCGCCAGGTGGCCTAACCCTGTCAACTGCGGAGATGAGAACACGAAAGCCCCGTTCGCAGAACTGGATATCGTTGACCACGGGTTCGAGTATCCTGCTGAAACACGTCCTTGATGGTTCTTTCGGTCCAGGGATCACCATGAGCAGAGCTGTGTAGCGACGCTTGAAACAGAGATCTCTCGGTAGGTTGGCGATTGACGCGTACATAACCCCGATTGAGGACCCAACTACACCTTTGACCGCGAACCTGTGGACGACACACGAGATGAGCTCATCGGTACTGTTCATGGCGACAGGGTGAAGCGAGCCCGTTTGAGCTTACCAGTCAAGGTTGACGACGATTTTGAGTCCGAACTGTAAGCTTGAGTGCCTTGTCGTGGAATGCCCGGGCTCTACGAGCTCAGGGTCGATGTCCTCGGTCACCCGATTATCATCCCAGACTGTCCGTTTGGCATCAGCCCACCCCGATCGCCAGGCCGATCCATCGCTAAGTCCCTGTAATGGAACATCCTCGTGGAAGTAGGGCTGGTCTCGCGGCAGAGGTGGGGTCTGGTCCGACGACTTCCAATCGTCCGGCCTCGTCTCTGGGTCAAGACGCCAGGTGTTCAAGTTGCGCCTCACGTTGTCGTCTTGTAGAAGTAACCCGAGCCAGGTCGAGAGCTTGCAGAAGGGCATAACCTTGAACGGTATTCGTACCCGACCAGCCTCTATCTTGTATATAGCCGTTTCACAGATCCGTCGACTCTCAGGTATGGTCGATCCACAGATAGGTCTTTCGAGTAAATACAACCGGTCGTATGCGGTCAGGTTCCAGCAGTCGGGGTTGGGGCATACGATGAAGCGGTTCATGTATTCGTCAGGGAGGACGCCCAGCCGAGACATAGCCGTACGTATGTTACTGGTCTTGGTGTCGACTTCCTCGCCGGTCGCTAGTTCTATACCCGCGGTCATCTGCTCTAGGAACGTGTTTGACGTGTGGTTGCTCAGGCCTTTAGCCTTCCCGAATGCCATTACGGTGTACAGGTGACGTATGGCCGGTTCGAGATCGTGGTGTCTATTGAAGTTCTTGAGGATTACACGAGGAGTCCCATCGATGCCGTTCTCGAGGTCCACCCCCGCTTCTGAGAGGTCGTCCGGTTCCACAAGTGTATCGTCCTCTATCATGGACTCCGCTGCATCCTCTGGCTCGATCTCATCGCGAGGCTCAAACTGCTCCACCTCTGCTGAGCCTCCACCGTATCCACCATCCGAACCATCGCTCTCTCCTCCTAGATCGAAGTACTCGTCCCCGAATTGGTCGTTCCAGCGATCTTCTTGCTCTTCGAGAACAACGGATGGCTGAGAGTTTGCCTCTTGCAGCAGAGATGCAGGTCGAGAAAGTCGAGGAGGGGAAAGTGGTAGAGGCGGTGGGGGACGACCGGCGAGACGAGGAGGGTAAGGTGGTTTTCCTGCAGGATTATGGCGTGACCAGGTGGTATCGGAGACCGATTGATAACCCCGACTGGTCGAGCTGCACTTCGGGCAGAAGCAGGACCTCTGACACGACCCGAGTCAGTAAGCTGGAGTGCACGAGTGTCCAGGCCCTGTACATCGGTCTGAACTGACCTGCGGCCTGGGGTTACGTCGTCGAGGTACTGCCGACATCACATCCGGATCTGGCCATCGATTCCAAGCATGCCGTCAGGCCAGGCCGTCGGCCGGTCCGTTCGTCAAGTCTAGTGTCAGACGTGGGGTATCTAGGACGGTCTAAAGGCTCATTGACCTCGATGGTGAGGTTGCTTCAGACCCAGCTAGCACGTAGCTAGGAAGAACTTAGCCGATTCGAGGTCTTCGAAGTCAGAGGGCAGAGGCCCAGAGCGGCGATTGTTGTTCTGGAGTCGCAGAGTCGCATAGGGGTAGCATATTCGGTTCATATTACTTGTAAATTGCTTCCGGCCACTATACATCCGATCGAAAGTCGTGCTGACTAATATGAACCCCCTATGCGCCGACTATGAAATTGACAGGTAATTTACACCGCCTATGAGCCGGCTGTGATGTCGAAAAATTCATAGTCGGATCATAGGCGGTGTAAACACGTTATATGAACCACCTATCTCTCGGATGATATTACCTGACGTCCCGGAGTGCCACGGACATTGATCCATTGATCCATTGACGAGCGGTCGAATCTCCGTTGTCACGGAACTCTGGACTCGGCCTTGTCCCTAATGATCGCGTTAGGGGTTAGGGGTTAGGGGTTAGGGGTTAGGGGTTAGGGGTTAGGGGTTAGGGGTTAGGGGTTAGGGGTTAGGGGTTAGGGG